CTTCTTTGCCACCCATATACTTCCTTTTTTCAAACACCCTCAGCAAATGCCTATGTAAATATAGATACCCCCCTCTCCCCCTCCTCTTCTCCGGGACCACCAGCATAATGAAGAAAGTCACACGATCTCAAGGAAGGAAACATGATTCCCACACGCCACCTTTTACAATCTCATACCATGTCCTGCATTTCGCGTCATAGTACTCAGACATATAACCCCCCAATCCATAGTTAACGTATCCGGTATCCTACCTAAAGTAAAACACATTCCAAACATGACTTGTGTGTATACAAGATCACCCACCTTTTATCTCTTTTTGCACTTTTTCTGCCAGTTCAATTGATTTCATTGCATTTGTTTCGTTTTCTAGTTTTGTCAAGAGTATCGTTATGATTTTCCTTCCACTACGCTAGCTTGCTCGTACTTATTCCCATCCCATCCGAATGGTAGATAGATACCCAGGTACCCTCGCGTTGGGAGTCGCGGGGTATGGATGTGAACGGGACTTCTAAATCCTACCAACAAACCCAATGGAACGGCGATTACCATGGTACCGTGTTCGAGAACTCCCTAACGCTCCTCCTCCTCTTCTTCTTCTTCTTCTTCCTCCTCCTCCTCCTATTCGTGTCTCTGATTAGAAGAAAACCGCGACGAGGAAAGGAAAACTCATAAGTGGCAAAACACCACACGCTTTCGTTTCTACCTTCCATCTATCCCCCTTCTTTCCCCCAATGTTCCTTCTAATCTCACATGTACTCCATCGTAGAGCGATGAAGAAGAACTTGAAAACGACCATCCGAACAATTCATAGATATGATAGAAAAAGCCCGAAGGCTAGAAGTGGAGAGCAAAAAGCAGAGCAAAAGAACCGTCGAAACGGGAATGAGAAAGGAAAGAAAGTGGAGATTGAAAGAAAAAGAGGGTATATCATTAGAGCGCTTCAAAGGTGGGGTCAAGACAAGATTCGTGCTATGAAAACTAAAAAGACATATCCGTAAGTTGGTAGCTGAATTGAATCTTAGTATGTTTAAAAAAGTGGTATGGATAAATGTATAGATGTACAACGAATGGAATGTATGAAGGCGTTGGGATATGGATGTTGCGCTACGCTGAACTGACTGAACGCTTGAGATAACGAACGAACAAACGAAGGTAAATGGTTGTGATGTCGTGATCGCTTCAAATTGTGCCTTTTGCTCGTGGTGTTTAGGCACTAATGCGGAGGGTATCGTATGCGGGTTGGGAGGACCGACTACGAGCTCTTGAACACCATGGATAGCGGGTTTCTTCTCCGCTTACTCTGGTTCAGCCCTCCCTGATCCCATGGTAAAGGATTGTTCTTCCGAATGTGGCTTCCGAGGCCCAGTCGCTCGCGCGGCGATTGATACCACGATGCTGACATTTCCGAGGGTGTGGTCGAATCCACGGACGCTGCTATAGAGCTGGTATCGCTATCCGCGATGGAGGGTCTCGGAAACGAGGCGTCGGCAGCATCCACAACTGTGTTGATGGACTCGGCCGTGGAGGCTATAGAGGCCTCGTAGAGAGTTGGCAATCGGGTCACCCCGGATCTCGGCGTTGTCGTGGAAGGTGTCGAGACATGATTTGTCGGCGGCGTGGCGAGCTGGGTCGAGAGCGGACGGCTGAAGTTCAATGTTGTCCGAGGCGTGCTGTCGGAGGCGAGCAGAGACGCATTTTTGATCATTGTTGATGGATCTTCGAAGAGGAAATCGTGGCTGCCAAAGTCGTACGCGTCGACGTGTTCATCGTCACTGTTGCGTTCTTCCCCTGTTGTTTTGCTAGCCGGTCCCTCTCCTTCCGCACTCCTGGAAACGGGCAAACGATAAGCAGCCTCTGCGGCCACATAATCTTCCAAGGTTCTTCTATCAAGAACCTCGGTATGGAGGGAGGGAAGATTCCGTGGTGCAGGAGGTGCTGTAAAAGTTGCGGTGCTCGAGTCGTCAACACGACGGGTATTGTAGGACGACTCAGGAAGTATCGAAGGGCTGGGCAATTCGTTTATAGGAGAGGAATCAGATAGTGCGCCAGAAGCATTAGGATTATCGGGAAAGAAATATGTCATTTCGGGAAGCGGCGCAGCCGACTTATCCAGATGTGCAAAGGAAGGCCCCGAGTCTCTTCGTTCCCTTGGATTCGGTAGCTCCGACATAGAGCTTGCGGAAGACACGACGGAGTTAGGAGGATTAGGGCTTCCATCCGATCCGAGCGAGAAGAGGGAGGAGTTGGGAGCGCTGGAGATCTTGGAGGTGGCCTGCGACGCCGTGCTATATCTCTTCTCTTTGGACTTGACTTTCTCTGGAACACCATCCCATTTCGAATTCACCTTGGGAACATTGGCGGGAAGCTTTTGGAAAGAAACACCAGACATGGTGGTCGGACTGGCTTGACCACCTTTCTCTGCAGCGAGCTTGCGCTGCTGGATGGCGAATTGCTCCAGGGCTGTCTGGGAGGGCTCCTTGAGGGTCAGGAAGCCCATCACAGCATTGGTCTTTTTCTTCTTCGGCTTCTTCGGGTCCGTAGAGTTCCCGGATTCCCGGGAACTGGAGGATGCGGAAGCATTTGAGGAAGCCAGACTGGATGGCGCAACGCTGCGTGATTCAAAAGATTGGCGTGATGGGGATGCGATTGCGGACCCAGACAGGTCGCGGGTGGCGGAGATTTCCAGTGACGAGATGCGGGTCGCGGTCGTTGTGAAATCGGTACTGGTAGTGGTGGTAGTTTTCGTCGTCGTCGTAGAAGTCGTGCTACGAAGGGTATTGATAGTGTCGGTGGAAATGTTGGAAATGTTTGAGGCATCGGCAGCAGCAGTGGGAAGAGGTATGCGATACGCTAGCTTTGGTATCCGGACGTGAGGGGCAGCATGCGACCGGGCCTTGAGATCAGCGGGTGCCATGACTAGCAGTGCCAGTCGATTGTACAGCAGTCCACAGCAGCCTGGCAGTCTTTGGCAGGACGACACGAAACGGTTGGCGATCTATGGCCGATCTATGCCCCGTTGTGGTAAAGAGCGTGGCTGCTACGAGTAGCGTAACGACGTCAAAGAGGCCGAAGACAGCGGAAAGCCCGCGCACCGTTTGCCAATTGTCGTTGTGGTTATCGTCCTATTATGCAGTGTCAAGTGTTTGGATGAGTTGAATGGATGTTGGAAGAAAAGAAGGAGCGATTGCTTTACGAGGCTTTGGCATTAGGTTTGACTACCTGTGGAGTTACTGGTTGGGAGACATAGTTAAGTACAAAGCATCACGGAGTACTATGGGGCAGTTTAGTAGTCCATTGTTATTTCCAACGCAGGGCAGGGCAGGGCAGGGCAGGCTTCGTTTTCCCTTTCATCTCATTGCAACTAGGCAAGGCACCGTACAATACCACTTGCGAATTATGGGCAAAAAGCAACGCGCATCGTCCATCGGCGGCTTTTCCTTGAGGATGGGGGAGATGGTGGTGGAGGCGAGGCGTCCCGTCCTGAAGGGCTCCGGAGGGCGACATTGGATGGCATTGGATGGCATTAGAGTTGTGGCTTCGGCTGCAAGAGTTGGATTTTTCTTTTTAGCTTTCATTACGCTGCTAGACAGGTAACTGCTCCGTACACAGTACTCCGTACATGGGATTCAGCAGGTACCACGCACCATGTGTAACCAATAATTCGTCGTGTGTAGACATGATGGCTGCCACGGTGGTGAATTCTGTGGACTATGAAATGGAGAGCAGCGAATGATGAAGGCGCATTCTTGAAAGAGAGATTGCACATGGCGAAAGTACTCGTAACCTACCTGTTACCACGTGCCGTCCGTCTGTTGAGGAGTGTGTTGAGGAGTACCCCATAATAGTTACTTGTATGTATTATCGAGGTGTTGAGTAGCCTTTCTGCTTTCTCCCTGCTCCGAGGTCCAGCTTCCTAGTCGTGTCTAGTCTCCGACGCCGTGGCTACCTGAACGTGTAGACATCTGAACAAATGAACATGTGGTTACGGAGGAGATACTCGCTCTTACAGATCACTTGACGAGAGCGAGAAGAATGAAATAATTGTGCGACATGACCGTTTGTCTAGATTCTGCCAGCTGGAGAGATGTTTATTGCAACATCCATCCGAGCAAGGGATACTTATGTGTCTAGGTACGGATCGATCCATGGCATGGCACGGCATGGCACGGCAAAAAGAAACCAGCACAAGGAAATAGAAGAGATGAGTGGGGGTAGATATACTCATACCATTGCTATTGCTGCCACTGTGTACCGAGTACTTCTAACATGCATATGTACTCGTATATAAAAATATGTAAGTAGCACAGAGTACCAACATACATTCAGTAGGTATACTTAGTGTCGCTGCTTGCTACTACTTCTGAACTTGATGTAATGTATTTTGGTATTGATTATGTTTGATGAGGACGGCATGAGTAAGAATGGATCGATTTGTGTATATATACGCAAATGGTGGATACAAGTAGAATTCCTCAGTTCAAGTGATGATGTTATGGAAGTGGTTGGTTAACTAGGTGTTGTTGATGCTGCTGACTAACCAACTGATCATGTTAAGCCCGTTTCTCTACTCGTCAATATTGCGATAATTACGCGTACAAACTGTAGAATCTAGATACTCTGACTGTGTATGGAGTACGTACTGTCGGTAACTTGTGACCAGTCCAGTAACTTGATAGCGTGAGAAATTCCCATCATCTTCCAACCGTCAGTCGGTGTTGTTCTACGCGTTTCTCCCGCTTCCACGCCTGTACACGCTCTGTTAGTCTATCAGTCTGGACTGTCCACCGGAGCCTCTTCTCTCTTGTGTATACTTTTTTCACCTTACCTTACCTTACCTTACCTTACACACTTCTCACTCCCTCATTTTCTCTTATCCGCACAATCGCCCCTCACCCAACCCCACCTACCCACTATCCAAACTGTGCCCTATCCACCAAACATTACCTCCACTTCACCTCGCGTCGCCGTCCAGTCCACTCTACTCTACACCCTCACCGCTTCTCGATAGAAACGTGTAGCCCATTCCGAGCATACCATACCCTTCCCTACAACTCGACTGTGGCCGCCGGCGGCTCAGGTTTCACTCCCGAGAAGAGTCTCGACCACCACGCTGCGCTTGTCCGCCCCCGCCCGCGACCAGCGACCAGCGACCAGCGACCAGCGACCAGTGTAGCTTCCCTCCCTCATACTCCGCCCGTCCATCGGATTAAGGATTCTGCATTGTCCTGCACGCCCCCAAGATGCCCGCCCTGACCATCCCATCACCAACAAACACTCCTCCCGCTGCGACACTCCCAGACCACTTGTCTCAGCGTACAGACAAGAGCGATGTCTCCCAATCACATTCTTTCTCCCAGTCGCAATCACAATCACAATCGCAACCACAGTCGCAATCCCAATCCCAATCCCCACTGCGCTCGCAATCCCCAGACCGACCACCGATATCGCCGCTGACACCTACCACTTCCGCTTCTCAGCTACACATCCCCGACCCTCCTGTCTCACCCGCGCATACCCTCCCACCACCACTCACGGCTACCTTCAGGGAACAACCACCTTCGCTCCCTATATCTGAGAGCGAGAATCCAGATGCCATAGCTTTGCGCTCGGCCATATCTCTCCTTCAATTACAACGGGAGAAGAGCAAGCGTGACCTCAAGGCCCTCGAAGACCTCAAGTCCGCCGCCGTATCTGATCCAACAGCTTTCGTGAAGTCGCTGCATGAGCAACGTTCGCGTCCTTCCCCATTCGGCACCGACCCTCTTGGGCCCACCTTAGCCGATACTGCTGGCCTGGTGTCTGAGGAAAGGACTGGCAATGGACAGCCGCAGAAGAATGGCGGGAACCACAAGTCTCATGCAAATGTAGAGGCAGATTCCGATGGGGAGGAGGGCCAGGCCACACAATTTCCCGCAATTCCCACACCCCAGAATGTCATCAGATGTCCGCCCGTGAATTGGGCAAAGTATCACGTCGTAGCAGAACCGCTGGACAAGATGCACGAGGAGCAAAAGCGGTGGCCTGGGTCCGCCGAGCCTCCTCGGACAGGTACAGGCCGACGAGCTCCTCCACATGCAGTAGCAGCTCCCTATTCACCTTACACGGACGGAGTAAACAATGGCTCGCGGACACAAGCCTCTCGAGAGTTCAAGAAGTCGCCGTCGTGAAGACTAGCTCCACAGCCCCCATGATTCTCTACTCTTCCTTGCGCAAGGACCACTTCTCTGCATTGCATTGGAATGGCTCGAGGGGCACAGGTTGCTCCTCCTCTTAACGACCGTTATGTGGGCGACGGATGATTATGATAGCACTGGCATCTAAGGTAGATAGAAATAGCATAATACCACTCCAATTAGACGTTCCTGCTAGTATCAGTATCACAGGAACGCCTTACCTGTCCACGTCCAAGAGGGATCGTGCATTGCAGTTTCCGTTTTCCTGCGGTCATAGTCCTGCAGAGACTTTGCTCGCGGCACAGGATCAAAGCCACCACGGTCCCGCTATGCAGCCCGGGGTAACTAATACGACTTGATTCAATGTTTACTCCGTACCAGCATAGCAACAAGACAAGCCGGGACCCAATCAAAACGAAACATTTCCTTCCTGCAGAAGAATAACAGTATGACAGAAGAAGGAAATTAGCTGATACGTTGTAGTTGGATTTTCCACCGCTGTTATCTCACAATATGATTTCCTACAGTACTCAGTAGTCAATAGCCAGGGACTCCATAGTCAAGATTCAGTAGTCACAATGATTGATCCAGCCGCAATCTTGCTGTGGCTTGGACGGCGTGGACGGGTATATCTTGTTGCGTGTCAAGCGAGGTTGAGGCGAGTGCAAGGCTATGAACCCTGTGGTCGTCCCTCTCTCCATCTACATGTTACGAGGTGCGAAGGTAACAGGTACGTGGGTAACTTGTTTGGTGATGGTTGTGGTGGGACCCTTGCATATGACGTCCCTACGCCGCGCCTCGCCTCTCATCCATGGCCCCAGCCCTCCCACAAATCGTATGGCTCCCATCACACGTCACACATTCTTGACTCTGCGACTCTCCGCTTGACTATCCAACGACCAGGGTCTCTAAATACTACGATGCAAGATAGAGGCGAAGATCGACAACAATGCCTTCGCTCGTACCCTGTTTTGCGGCTTTACCATTTAGCAGGTTGGCGTCGTTGCTAAACTTGGTTCGCCCCCAAGTCTCACTATTCAGAGAGTGACGTTAATGGAAGGAATTCCAGATCCTCGCCTCGCACCACTGGATCATATAAACTCACAGCCAGTCAGTCACGATGTATCCCATCTTGCATCTTCTTTGTCATAGTCTAGTGTGAGACACATCAACAGAACACCCTGTATTTCTTCTTGTCACAATCGTTCAGCGTGTTTAAAACAGTCACTCGGAGAACATCAACTCGCCCAAACACTCTCATACAACCTCTTCTTTATTCACTGACGAGTTGAACAACCACCACCATGAGGCCCCTAGCTATTATCCCGATGGTATGCTGCATAGCGGCAGTCGCACTCGCTTTCATGTGCCTCTTTGCAGGCCACAAGAAATCATTCATGGAGGAATACCATATAATCACGTTGAACACCTCTCGCATCGGCTACAACCTCCTTAACACCACTTCGGAAGAGAGCGCCAATCCCTTGGAGGATCTTTTGAAAGACATCAAGGACAAGTTCAAAGATGAGATCAACCAATTTGCCGGCGACATGGCCGAACGACTCGGCATTGAGGACTTCTACAGTCTCCACCTCCTCACTTTCTGCTCTGGCGACTACGTCCCGGGACCCATGGCCAACGAAACCGTGAAGCAAGACGACATCACGAAGGACGTCACGGATTGCAGCAAGGCCAAGGCAATGTTCACCTGGAACCCCACAGAGACCCTCGAGCGACGCCTGAACGAGACCGGCCTGGGCGTCACGCTCGAGGACCTGGGCTGGCCAGACGAGATCCAGGACGGCATCAACACGCTGCAGACCGTCCAGAAGGCGGCCTTCATCCTGTACTGCCTGTCCATCGCCTTCATCTTCATCACCCTCATCGCCGCATTCCCTGGTTTCTACGCTTCGGGACGTCTCCTCCCAGCTCTGAATATCCTGCTCTCCACGCTCTCCTTCATCACCATCGGCTTGTCCAGCGCGCTCATGACCGCCCTCATTGTCAAGGGCTCCGAGGTCATCAACAAGAACGGCAAAGACATCGGCGTTGAGGCCCATCTCGGCGGCAAGTTCATGACCATCACGTGGGCCTCTACCGCCGCCATGTTCATCGCCACGTTCGTATGGTGTGTCGAGATTTGCTTTGGCGAGCGGGTACATCGTCGTCAATCGTATGTGACCAAGGAGGGTTAAACGTCACGTCCGTCTCCGTGGAAGGAAAAGATTGGCAATCAATGTCTTCCCCAAATTGACAAACCATTCCGCATCGACTCGCCAGATGGATTTACCCCCAGTTTAGATACTCAGAATGACCACCTACCTACCTACACATTTATCATGACCCCTTCCCTTTTTTACTTCTTCCTTCTATATTTCCCTTTCCCTTTCTCTATCTCTATTCATCTCTCATCATGACCAGACAGGAGGAGGAACGCGGGGAAACAAACACAACTCAGAAAAACCACGAAATTGGCCTCTTTTCTCCTTCTCTCTCCTTTTACCTCCCCATCTCTTACTCCTTCCTTTTTTTGCCTCGATTTGATAGGAATGAAATGCACTATTTAGCGATCATATACCCTCATCCCTCTTACCCATAACCCATCATCATCTCAGACAAGTTACACGTTTTCCAATATAGATCACAGAAAAACCAGAAACCCCCCCCCCCCCCAAAAAAAACATATGGATAGATAGATAATTGAATGACGAACCAAAAATTGTATCGAATCATGGAATTGACCGTCTTTTAAGAAGTGAAGTGCAGTGAAGTGGAAGTGGAAGTGGAAGTGGAAGTGAAGTGAAGTTAAAGGTGAAGTTGAAGGTGAAGTGAACTAGAGTGAAATTAAAGTTACATTTGACTCGTGCCATCTATGCTTTCCTGTAACATAAGTGCATGTTTTTCAGATTAATATTTTGTATATGTATATATACGTATGTTTGGTAAATTGTGTAATCATACATGGTACAACTCTCTAATCCACGTTTTCAAGGTCATCAAATACACAACTTCAAAACCCGGCACAAAACCTAACAATCCTAACAACCGGATCTTTCTCTAATTGTACCATTTCATCTCGCCTTCTCTCCTAACCTAGTTTTTCATTTCCTCTATTCCTAGTCCAAACCTATACACCTAAAGAATCTAATGAAGCATCATGGGGAAGCATGAAAAAAAAAACATAGTCTATTGATGAATACGAAAGTTTGTATGTATGTATTATGTACCTATAGATGTAACGAGTAGTACACGTTTACGAGAGCGAGAACACTACTGTACGTAGATCTTTTTTTACAAGAGTTTGACGAAAGGAGGGAGATAGAATTTGATTTTAACTATGTACAGTACATATATACACAGGAACACGACTGGAAAGATGGCGACATGGACAGTGATATTTTATCAAGAGGTAAAAGAAACGTATAGTAGAAACAGAGGGTTTGATGAAAACTTTTTTTTTAAAGCAGCAAGTCTTCATGGCTATCAGAAATCGACTCTATACATAAGTATATATAATAATATAAAATATATCACGATATAAATAGTCGTAGCCAATTCCGTTCTGTCCCATCACCATCTAATCTTCATGATGATATATAGGTACCCAGGCGTCACCTGCTATTGTTACCACCATTACCAATCCATTGCCCGCCCATCAATTATCGTCAGAATCACGCTCCTCGACCACGGAGTTCCCATCGCCGCGGATGAAGCCCGAGTGGCCCGGATGAGACACCTGCGGCGCGTGATGGCCTTGTCCCTGCACTTGCGCTGCCACCGCCGCCGCAGCTGCCGCCGGGTTCTCCTCGTCGTCGAGGGCGCTGCTCCGCAAGCTGCTCCGTCTCCTGCGGCTGACGACACCCGGGAAAATCTTGGGCTCCGCGGCCTCCAACGGCAGGCCCGTCGAGCTGGTCGTTCGCGTCAACGTCATCGACTCTTCGGGGCTCTTCACGCCCTGGTTTGTCGCGGTGGCGTACGGTGAGAACGGTTGCTGGGTGCTCGTTGGCGATGGGAGGATGCTGGGTTGGGGAGGCACGCTGCTTCCCGGGTCGAGCACCATGCTCGAGCTTCGTCGTGGCCGTTCGAACGTGTCGCCCTTGTGTCGGGCGGGGCTCGGTGGTTGGGCCGAGGACTCTACGGGGCTGTCGGCGCCGGCGGATGCCTGGTTGAAGCGTGCCTGCTGCATGGGATAGTTGGGTGACTGTTGATGGCCGTGGCTGGCGTCCTGGGACAGGGAAGGTATCTGGTGCTGGTCTGGCAGGTGGGCTGCGGAAGGGTTTGTATGCAGCGATGCCACGGGGGAACCAGGATGAGTAGCGTGGTTGGACCTGGGTGTTTGTGGGACTGTAGAGTGAGCGGTCGGAAGATTCAGAGTCGTGAGATCGTGACCCGAAGTCTGTGAAGCGCGCGTGTACCGATCGATCCTGTTGTTAATGTCAGTGGATGTTTCCTTTCCATCGTCCAACTAAAAATACTCACATGGACAGTTCTGCTGCCAACGTTTCGTGTCTGAATGCCTCACGGATGCTGGGCACATTGGACTTTGCCATATCGTTACCAGCTACACCCGGAAGATGATAGTTGCTTCCCAGCCATCGCTGCTTGATTGAATGCTCGAACCCACTCTGCTCCACAGAATGCTTTGCTAGTTCGCACATATCCACTGCGCTCAGCTTGTAAATCTGGGCTGCGACTGAATATTCTTCTATGAGGGGCTCCTTAGTGAAGGCGAATTGCAATGGATCGTCAGTTGATAACGAGACATTGAGACCACGCCTGAAGTAGCCTAAGAAAGGATTCCTTTCGTAGGCGAGGAATAGTGCGTTGTTGCTCAGGGGAGACATGGCGACGCCAATCTGTTCCAAATAGAAGATGTATTGCAGCAACGGAACCTTGCGGAGAAGGAGACCATGGCTGATACTGTGTGTACAAAGGACAGCGGCAGCAAGATGGTCGGTATCACCTGCCTCTCCGCAATGTGGTCGGAGTAGGAACGTATTGAAGCCACGCTGCTTACGCCACACATTGAGAGAAGCAATGTTCGCGAAAAGATAGTACATCCAGTAGCTGTAAGGAGGATTTTGCTTGGAAGTCCAGACTTTGGGAACGGGGAACTTCTTGAACAGGCGACGTTCGACTTTGCTCTCGTCGTCGACACTGTCGAATCCGATGACTCTCTGCAGGAAGATGTGCAATTTGGGGTGGCTTGACGGATCTTTAGTAACTTCGAAGAGCGGCTGGAAGACGTTCGTGACAACCTGTTCGAAGTTGTCCATGAGATTGGACGCTTTATAGACATCGTACAAGCGAGGCACCTGCACCAGCCATCGCACGTTGGGCGAAAACAACTTATTGTCCACAACCCAGGCGGCGAGATTATCCCATTCATCAAGCGCTCGTCCGTAGATGGAGATGCGCCACTCCACCATTTGATACTTGCTGGATTCCAAATCCGAAATTACCTCTTTCGTAATTTCCGCAAGGTACCGCCCTTTGATGAAATTGTCGGTCTTCAGGAAGATCGTACGAAGACGAGATTCTCCGATGGGATTGTACTTGAGATTGAATTTATCAAAACGATGGAAGGAGTCGGTGTGCGCCTGGTCGAGTTAGAATTTTCTAAATTTTGAGGCTTACAGGATCCAACTTACGTGCATATCCAATGTATCAATACTGAGGTCATACGCTGTCAGGTTGATCGATTCGAACACCTCCTTCAGTGTCAGATGCTTTCCATCTCGGAAGAGCACCACCTCGTCGCAAGACTTCTTCATCTTGGACTTGATGAAACGCAGCAGATGCTTTTGGTTCATGCATGCCGAGTGGTGAACGTGAGTATCTACCTTTCGGACGTTGTAGAAATCTCTATGGGGAACCTTCTTGCTGTCGGCAATCTCTTGATACTCATTCAACAAGTAGTAGAGATTGAACTTGCCCTCGAGATACTGAAGCCTGCGGAAAGCGAAACTTTTACTTGGCCCGTCCGACGAGACATCGAGAATGGCATCAAGATCCATGTAGAAGTCCCTCAATGTAGGAATCGCCACAATTGGCAATTCAAGCTCTGCCGACTTGGTGGTCTCATACACTTGGAAGACGCCACTCTCGTCCAGGCGGAAAGACAGTTCGGATGGGCCGGGAATAGGCAAGTCTTCCTTGCAGAAATCCTCACCAATATCTCTACCCATCTTCCTGGGCGGCTTAGGAGCATCGGCGGGATCGAGAACTGTGCTGTTCTGCAAGCTGCTCGTTCCCATAGGACGCCCCTTCAGTTCATCCCACACCGGCTCAGGGTGGGGAGGGTAAATTTTCCAGCTGGGATCGTCCTTTGGGTTATCGAAATTGCCTTGAAGAGACAGGCGGATGTATTTGTGACGTAGATCTATGACTTTTTGAATATTGGTATATATCGAGCTAAGCTCAGCAGTCACGCTCGAGTCTGACATGGCGAAACCACCCGCTCCTGAGCCGATTCCGACTCCAGCGCCAGCTCCGTGTATTCCCTCTTCAGCAAGCAACGGAGGTTTGAATTCGTGCGGAAGGCCGGGGTGATTTGAATGCTCCCTTGCGGACTTGTCGGCACTGAGGAATGCATCTGCAGAGGGCTCGTTTGTTCCAGCAAGGGGAGCAAATTGGGTTCGTGGGTCCTGTGACTGTTCTGTCTGTGACAACCCGACGGGAAGCGCGGGCTTGTGAACCTGGTTTGCCAGGCTCGTGTTGCTTTTTCTAGATCGAATACTGTCTGCTCTGCTTGGCATATCGAGGCTGTCGTTGGCAGCGAAGTTGGCGGGGAAGGTTTTCGCACGTATAACGGGGCTATAGCCATCGCTGGGGGTGCCGAGATTCTCGAGTTGGTGACGCTGATAGAACTGCTTTGCCTCAGAGTGACTCATTTGCTTCTCCGAAACATAATCGTAGAAAGCAGTGCGCCTCTGCTTATCGCGTGGAAGCAAGCCAGCAGTCTGTGCATCTTCGGATGTACCGTTGTTCCCGCCATCTTCGTCGTCGTCCTGGCTCGAGCCTCCCGGCTTCTGTGTGGTGCCAGCAAAATCGTCGCCAGCTAGATCATCATCTTCCTCCTCCTCTTCAGAAGAGGGAATCTGAGTGTCGTCTAGCTGGGTTACACGGAGGTCTGGGGACGCATCCGGCGCCATTGAGTGAGAACCTGCGCACATGGCAACTTGTCAGTGGAAGCTCGGAGGATTGTGCAAAAATTCTTGAGGCTGAAGTGCTCGCTTGACGAGGAGAGTGGAGGAATCACCTTTCATCACGTTTGTGGCGTCGAGGATTGGTTTGACAGAGCTGGATGCAGACGATTGATTGATTGATTATCACCTGCAGAATTGGAGACAGGAACGCGCGGGACCGCCCGCACAAGAACAATGCCCGTACAAGGGTATGACGACGTGGCCCCTCATCGTGCGCCTATTCGTTCTGATGGTCTAGCAAGAGTGCAAACAATAACAATTGAGTGACTGGAGTGCGATATATCAATTTAGTGAACATCCAAGTATGGTATTTATAAGAATTGGCCAAAAATAACATTCCCAGGTAACAGGTAGTGACGCTGCTGCTGCATTCGCGCGTTGCCTTTATGGAAGGGAATGGGTGGGGTAACTGTGCATGGGTTGGGTCCAAATTCGCCTATAGATACCGGCAATTGAATCAATTCTTTAAGGCAACTACTTCGTAGGTAATTTGACTATGTTGGTACCTCGGATAGAAGTGTAGCAACTACGGAGTAAAGGATACTGTAATTGTATGCAGACATTTTTCCTGTATGTATCAGTACATGCCAAATACACTCATGTATATTGTGTTGTACTCGGTGTGTCTTGGTACACAGTCTGTCATACAGTGCAACTCGACATACAACCTATTCGACTTGTGTACTTAAATCCAAAGGACGATACCCGACGGTTATCGATCCTATATGAGATGACGAGACACGGGACAATTTACGCCATGTCCCGTCGGGAACGCGGTGTCACAGGATCTCGACAGGTAGCTAAATGACGTGCAGCGAGTCAGGCCACAGGCACTTGCGGGTACGCACAGTACTCGTAGCATTATGTTGTGACGTTGGCAATTGCGGCTACGGTTTGCTTGCTGTCGTGCTCTGTTCATATAAGTTGTGCAACTTCATTTCCATCGTGGTCGGGGTACAATGCTGTGCCGTATCTTGCAATGTCAATTATGAAAGTTCAACATGTTTTCTCCTTCGTTGCTGTCTTTGCGCATTTTCTATAAGAGTGATGTGGGTATATTTTCTATGTTGTTTTCTTTCCTACGCCAGCTTCAAGCCGGTGCTTATGCCTCCTGATGCCTCCTGATGCCTCCTGATGCCCCCTGATGCCGTATGTATACATGTGTATACCCATCGGTTGTATCTACACAACAAAGGAAAAAAAAAAGGAACGTTACATGATGGGTTACATCCGGGCCCATTCTAGGCACTCTATACAAATACTATACAATCATGACAACCCTAAGTTGACTTTTGCTCTTCTTTCGCAGAGGCCTTGTCGCCCTCCAAGGCGCGTTTGTCCTGCTCAGCTCGCTCAGCACTTCCAGTACCTGTGGCACTGTCGGCAGAGCTAGCCTCAGCCTCCTTGCTCTCTTGCTTTTCCCCTTCCTTGGCTTGACGCTTTGGCTTGTCATCTTCGTCAATGTTCTCGTGATCCTTAGGAGAAGCATTCTTGCCCTGGCCTTGGTTTTGCTCATTCTCCTCTTCGATGAGCTCTTGTTGCTCCTTGAGTACCTCAAGACGCTGCTTGTTGGTAGCAGCACCCTCGGACGTGTGGACCTCAAGTTCGACCTCGTGGTACAGCTCCTCTGGAATGCTAGACAAAACTGCCTGCAGAGCGTCCATCTGGGATGTCATTTCCGACTCTTTGCCCTGGGCATAGACGAATGCGTTCGATAGCACGAGCAATGTGGAGGGCACGCCGAACTTGAGTCGGAGCTCAAGCCAGGTCAAGAGATCTTCACGCAGCCTTGCGGGGGAGACACCATGTGTTCGCAGGCCACGGCTGGCGCAAGCGGTCTGGAGCTCAGGGACAGACAGGGAATCGACACCTTCGTACGAGATGGCACGATCATCGCGCTTGATCTGTCGCATGCGGACACGAACTTGGTAGCGCAGGAAGTTGTCAGTACCAAACGAAGCCATGTTCATGTAGCGGCAGATTGCCACGAGCTGTGGTCGTGACAAGTTGTCCAAAGTCAGGTCGTCCTTGAAAATCTTGCAGACCTTGATGATCTCTTCTTGGGATGGTGACTCTCCAGTAGTGCGAACCTATCAAATATGTTAGCATCGAGGCATCCATCCATCTGGATCAAGTTTCTACGAACCTTTCGGAAGAACTCGGAAAACTCCTCTCGCTGTGCATTCTCTGCAGACACCGGCAGACCAGTCTCTTTCAGGGTCTGGCGGAGGAAGGTGCTGACCTCCTTTCTTGTCGCTCGTAGAGTCTTTGCCTTTGCGTCTTTTGAGGACTGTCCCTCATATGTGCTGGGGAGGAGATTGGGGAAGAGCTTGAGCGCAACTGGGAGTAGCAGCTCGGCGAAAGGAACAATGACAAAGACGGAGAAAGGGATCAGACGGCCCAGGTCCTGTACTGTGCGTTGGAGCTAACCATGATGTCAGTCGTGTGCTCATTTCATCACGAACCAATTCGAACTAACCTGGCGATGCTCTCTGCGAGTGAGCTCATAACCAGCTGCCATCTTCAAGGCGAGCTTTGAGCTGATCCGGACCTCGGCTACGAGCAGTTTTGTACCATCCCAATAATGATTTGCTTCCTTCTTGACCTTTTGCCAGACTGTGAGCTTCACCTTCTCCTCCTCCTTCTTTGCGACCACCTTCTTTCCGTCTTTGCTCTCGGCGTTGGCCTTCTCTGCCGCAAGCTCGGTTAGGGTCTGCTGCTCCTCGGCTTTGGTCTTCGGGAGAGCGGTAGGTCCCGTACGGGGGATTGCGACATCGGGAACTTCTGAGCTTGTTGATTTCTCTGTAGCCTTCTGTTGTTCTTCTTTGGGTAGGGGCTTCCTGGCTTGGTTTGCGTTGAAGCCAGGGGGCGGAAAGTTACCACCCGAGTTGGATGACGTCGAAGTTTCGGTAGACAAGGGACGGTAGGGAAGCAAGATGGCAATGGCAGGCATATTTCGAGGCATACTTCGAGGCAGCCTTCCAGAGGTCCTAATGCCGGCCCTCATGACGGCGGGGGTTGCCCGCGATGCAGCACGAGTGGCATACATTTTGCGCCGGGAGCGGAAGCGGAAGCGGAAGGGAAAGGAGCGACGTAATGCGTCCAATGGAGTAGAGGGTAAGGCGGACGGTCGGCGCAAAGATTACGGGAGATTCGAGATGGGGTTAATTTGATTTTGAGTTGATGGTTGGTGGGTAGTAGGAAAGGTTGGTGAAGGAGTGTTGAGGAAATTAAGGAACAGATGGAAGGTGGAAGATGAAAGATGGATGAATGGACTTAGTTAATTCTGATGGTGGATGGATGTCAAGAAGAAGTGGATGGAAGGGAAAGGGCCGGTCTAGGGCTGATGAGGGCATTTCTAACCATATCGGGAAGAGGCTAGTCCTGAATCGTCATCTTTCCAGGGACATGGAAAGCTTATTAGGGCCAAATGCTCGATTTTTCATCTGAACACTTTGAGAGAGTTATGGAGAAGATTTATACCTATACAAGTAACAAAGAAGTGGACTTTCTATGTCTTTTACATCAGTAACTACCTAGGTATGTGTAGATCACTTTGTGAAGTAAGTGATGATGACTTTATAGAATGTAAACTATGATCAGATCAGTCGTCTTATTATTTCAAAGTTTCCATTATTAGCAGACAGTATACTGTGTAATTGAGTGGTACCAGGTAGACGCACTACACGCAGTCCGCCGGGTAAGCAGAGGCGAAGGTGACGAACTGGCGAAGTGACGAGGGTGTGAGGGTGACCGACGGAGAGGCAACCGGTGGCCTTCGGAGCAGATCGGTGCTACGGCTTGCTTGTGCCTCCGTGCGTGTTCCTCTGTTCCTCCCCCTCCCCGCAACTGGCCGAATTTATTAGTTATTAGTCGTATTGATTGCATGATCCCATTACGAGTACCATTAACTACTGTTTCCTCGACTCCAAGATAACTACTCGTACCAACCATTACTCCAGACGCTACCACGCGACCTAACCTAACCATTGTGTACAAGTACACGCATTCACTAACTAGCCTACTGACACTGCCCACACGTTCATCTTCAATCTACCACCCACACTCCCTTTTCCACACATCGTGAACCAACTGACTTCATTCCTATCCATTCCTCAACACTCTCCTACAACCATACCCGTCTATTGCGCGCGTCCTCCCCTCTTCCGGCCCGCAGCCCGTTATCGGCATTCCCCAACAGCCGTCGATCAACATACACCATACATACCTCCCCTATAATATTCTTCAACCAAATTTCCAATACCTTCAACAACAGTATCACTTCTGCAATGATGACCTCCCGCTAGGCAGAGTTGGATCTCGCCAGGACTCCTCTTGCTCGTACAACATTGCCCACTCCCGTAAACTGCTGTATAGATTGCACCCAAGCTCAAAGCTCCATACCGCACTCTCCGCAATCACTCAACAGCCACTCAACAAACACACATATACAATAACGCCATGGCCCTGAACCGAGCAGCAAGACTTATACTGGTCGGCGCACCAGGCGCAGGCAAAGGCACCCAGACTGAGCGCATGTTGAAGCGCTTCCCTCAATTGGCATCAATTAGTTCAGGCGATCTTTTGCGCAAAAATGTCAGAGAACGAACCCCTCTAGGTAAGACATGTCCGCATATTTCTACCAACTCTTTCTGACCTTCAACTAGGAATACAAGCAGAGTCCAGAATGAAAGCGGGCAATCTCGTGCCGGACACCATGATTTTGCGACTCATACTCAACGAATTCACAACGCGCGGCTGGCTCACCGACAATACCGTCCGACCCTACAGCGTGTACTCGAGCTCACTGGATATGGGCGGCGTGGACGAGACTGTCGATTCTATCGTGATTCCTTCCAAGTACCGCGAAGCCAAATACAACTATACAGACCACCCATCTGCATCCTTCATTCTTGATGGCTTTCCTCGAACGGCGCAGCAGGCTGTCCAGATTGATGAGTTAATCCCTATCAACTTGGTGGTCAATATCGACACCCCCGCGGATATCATTATCGATCGAATCTGCAATCGATGGGTCCACGCGCCGTCCGGCCGAGTCTACAACACGACATTCAATGCGCCCAAGGTTGCCGGCAAGGACGATGTGACGGGCGAAGCTTTGACTCGAAGAGAGGACGACGATCCCGAGGTGTGGAAAGCTCGGCTAAGGAACTTCAAGGAAACCAGTGAGCCGCTGCTCGAGCACTACGATAAGCAAGGCGTTTTATGGACCGTACGTGGAAACAGCAGTGACGAGATCACCCCTAAGATATTCGAGGAGTTTGGGAAACGATTTGCAGCGGATATCTGAAATTCTGGATATCGAACCACCGCCCAACTCTTCGCGTAATGTGGCTATACGATATTGTACCAATAGATCTTGTGAAACGTACGAAGACTCGAGGGGTGAAGGGTGATATTCATCGATCGAAATATTCTTTGCGGGCGTACAGTACTCGCAGGTGTGAAGATACCAACTTCCTTGGAAGCGGCTTACACCCAGCAAACCCCATCACCTGAGACTCGACTTCGATGAAAGTCGGATTGAGACAAGTGACATTCATGTTAGGAAAGAGGTCGATAGCAAGTCGTACGTTTCAGGCTGGTTCACGAAGCTCTTATTCATGTAAATAAATTTAGATATAAGAGACCCCCACCTCTTAGAGCAGGTGGGAGAGGGACCCTATTAATGCAAATGACCATTACTATGCAAGCCGAGAGCATGTCTCATTTTCAATTGTATCTCCAGCCTCATTTGTACTGATGTTTGTATCAAATAATTGGGTATTGGTAACTAGGTAGCCTCGATATTTTATTGCGATGTTGGGCGTTCTGCGTTAGACCACAGTGGGTTGACCCTGCACCAACCGCCGCCACCTTTCCCGGTCAACACCTACCTAACCAAACGTCACCGTGCCCTAGGCAAGCTGCCAACCTACCTCATCCAACCCATTCCCTTCACGACTGCGCCAACGAGACTGTTGCTTCTTCCTGCAGATCACACAATTCACGACTAGCACCACGATAATCGCAAAGCTCACGATAGAGCACGATATTACTCCAACTCGGGCCTACAGAATCCTCGAGCAGCCGGCCTCCCAACACCAAGGATGGCCGAAGAGTTCAGTGAAGGAAGGCTGGAGACGACGGTGGACAAGCCGCAGAAAGAGCTTCCTGGCACCAAAGATGCATATGTATCGTATCTAGTTACCACTCATGTAAGGCAAATTCTCAGTTCAGACTTATTGATCCTGCGCAAAACACTCCAATCGACCTCCACTCTCTCTCCAGCCAACTCCCAAGGCCCCAATCAAATCTGACGCTCTCGTGAAATCCAGTCCGACTACCAATCCTTTCAACGTCCCGACTTCTCCGTCCGTCGCCGCTTCACAGACTTCGTCTTCCTCTACAAACAATTGTCGAAAGAGTACCCGCAATGTGCGGTCCCGCCGCTGCCAGACAAGCACAAGATGGAGTATGTGCGGGGAGACCGGTTCGGGCCAGACTTCACGCAGCGGAGAGCACACTCGTTGCACCGGTTTCTCAAGCGCATAACGCTGCATCCTGTGCTCCGGCGGGCCATGCTTTTTATAACTTTCCTCGAGACCCAGGACTGGAACCAGCACATGAAGGGACGGTCGTCGCGAGGAACCAGCGTCTCCGAACAGGCGGGAAGCAGCGGAATCGTAGAGTCCATCACCGACAGCCTGTTGAACACATTTAGCAAAGTCCACAAGCCGGACAAGCGGTTCATAGAGGTCAACGAGCGGGCATCGAAGCTCACAGACGACCTCTCCAACGTAGAAAAGGTGACGGTCCGAGTAGCCAGGCGCCAGGCAGACCTCGAGACCGACTACGCAGACCTCGCGACGCAGTGCCAGAAGCTCATCACGCTCGAACCCGGCGTCGAAGGCCCGCTAACATCATTCGCATCATCGGTCTCCACGACCTCCCAGGGTTTCAAATCGATCAAGGAGCACACCGACCAGAACTACCTCACCAGCCTGCGGGACATGGACGCCTACATCCTCGCCCTGCGGGCCCTCCTCCGCACCCGCGAGACCAAGCAGCTCGACTTCGAAGCCCTGACCGACTACCTCGCGAAGTCGGCCGCCGACCGCGACCAGCTCGCCTCGCAGCACGGCACCTCCGGGCTTGGGGCCTCTGGCTTCCTGCGCTCCAAGGTCGAAGACCTCCGCGGCATCGACCACGAGCAGTCGCGCCGCCAGCGCGTCCGCAAGCTCGAAGTCGAGATCGAACGCCTCACCGGCGAGGTCGAGAACGCGAAGAAGGCGACCGAGGCGTTCGACGAGCACACGGTCAAGGAGGTCGCCGACTTCGAGCGCATCAAGGCCGTCGAGTTCAAAGACACGCTCGGCGACCTCGCACAGGCCAACATCGAGTTCTTCCAGGGCACCATCGAGACGTGGGAGAAGTTCCTCCAGGACATGACCAAGGAGGAGCAAGAGCGCAAGGCGGCCGCAGCGTCGTCCTCCGCCGGGCCGGGCACCGCTGTACACTGATTGATTGATTGACCAAATTAGCTATCTGTTCGTAATCGATGTTTAATACCATGATCACCCATCTATCTACCTCTGTCAATGGCCCTTTTTGCTCCCTATGGAACTTTTTTATGCGTATAGAAACACTATCAGAACTGTCTGATATCTAAATAACCAGCGGGCAAAACAACGAATTGAATCAGATGCAATAAGTTTGAGTCTGCATACAGGGGCTTGTATCTCTGATGCGTGATTGATATGCACTCGATGTAAACACGCTTTGCCCCGTTTCTCTGGTTTCTTCCACCATCATACCCCCCGCCCGGTGAGCTATCCGTTTTTTCGATTGAATTGTATGGGACCAGTGTATTGTACTCTACGTGGTGATGACGAGACTTTCCAACAAGAAGCGATGCAGTACACTCGTAGTAGTGGAATGTGTATACACAGAACGTGTTGCCGTCTGAAAGCGTGGGGGAAGGGGGGGCGTTAGTCCTTCTGGAATTGATTTGTTTTCAGAACCAACCATGCGTTCTAAGCCGTAGACAACAATATCATCAATGATTGGTTCAAAGGTTGAGCACGACTAGGTAGGTGAAAGGGCAAACGCAACATCACAAAGAATATAGACTTGAGAGGACGAATGACACGTTTAGAGTGAAAGTTCATTTAGACTACCATGCATTTGTCTGATCACCGCCTTCTACTACCATTCATCAAGGAAACTCATTATCGTCATCCCAGACATACGTCACCCATTGGAGCGAGGGGGGTGTGTTCCATCTTCATTCCCATGAGACATATACCCGTCGATAACCAAACGAAAACCCCCGCCGAAAAAAGTGTTGGAAAGTAGCCGGTGGTGAGCGACTTTGGGTAAGGAAAGATGAAAAGAGCATGAAAGGAAATAAGGAAGACGTTGATTTGGGAAAATATAGGGAATCTGCCACGACGCATCCCCCGGCGCAAATCTATCACTGCATAAAACTTTCTTTTGGAACAGAAACCACTTTGCACATAGAAATTGACAAACGCCGAGATGCCACGAATGTTTTGCCTACCCACCACGTTTCACCTCAAGCTGCTTTTGGACGGATAATGGAAGGATGTAGCGTCGTCTGGTCTAGCAGAGGCGCATGGAATTAGGTAAACTTCAGCTTCTAACCCAAGAAAAAGCCCCAGCGGCTACGGTCAGAGGCAAAGTTGCAAACAAAGAGACCACTTTTTAGATGAGATCTGGCGCATATACGTTAGCATAAAATTCGATATTATACTTCGATCGGAAAAAAACTTACCAGCCACGTTCATGGGCATCTCCTCGATCTGGGTGCTGTAGAACTGCTCGATCTCACGCATCATGCGGACATCGTCAGCAGTGACGAAGTTGATGGCAACACCCTTACGTCCGAAACGACCGCCACGACCGATACGGTGGATGTAGTTCTCGCGGTTGGCGGGGAGGTCGTAGTTGATGACCAAAGAGACCTGCTGGACGTCGATACCACGGGCAAGGAGATCGGTGGCGATCAAGACACGGGAAGAGCCGGAACGGAACTCCTTCATGATAACGTCACGCTGGGCCTGGTCCATGTCACCGTGCATGGCAGAGACGGTGAAATCACGGGCAGTGAGCTTGTCGGTGAGCCAGTCGACCTTTCTCCTGGTGTTGCAGAAGATGACGGCTTGGGTGATGGTGACGGTCTCGTAAAGATCGGAGAGGGTGTCCAACTTCCAGTCCTCCTTCTCGACGGCAATGTAGAACTGCTTGATACCTTCAAGGGTGAGCTCGTCCTTCTTGACGAGAATGCGGACGGGGTCACGCATGAACTTGGTGGTGACCTCGAGGACGTCCTGGGGCATGGTGGCGGAAAGGAGGACGACCTGGGTGGACTGGGGGAGGAGCTGGAAGATGTCGTAGATCTGCTCCGTGAAACCACGGGACAACATCTCGTCGGCCTCGTCGAGGACAAACATCTTCATGCTGTCGGTCTTCAAGACGCGGCGCTGGATCATGTCCTGGACACGTCCGGGAGTGCCGACGACGACCTGGGGACCCTCCTGAAGAGCCTTCATGTCATCACGGACGCTGGTACCGCCAATGCAGGCGTGGCACTCAACGTTCATGAAGTCACCGATGGCGACAACGACCTTCTGGATCTGCTGGGCAAGCTCGCGGGTGGGGGCGAGGATGAGAGCCTGGCAAGCCTTGATGTTGGGGTCGAGCTTCTGGAGGACGGAGATGGAGAAGGTAGCCGTTTTACCGGTACCGGACTGAGCCTGCGCAATGACATCGTGGCCTATCCACCAGTGTCAGTTCCATGATCATACCGAGTTGGAGTTGTGGAGAGCAGAAGGAGGAGGAGGAGGAGGAGTGTTGTTTGTAACTTACCCTTGATGACGGGCATGATGGCGCGCTGCTGGATGGCGGAGGGACGCTCGAAACCGTAGGCGTAAACTCCGCGAAGGAGCTCCGACTTGAGGTTCATCGCATCGAAGGAGTCGGTGGTCTCATCGTAGTTGGACTCGATCTGGCCTGCGAATGTTGTGTTAGCGAAGTCTCAACAAGGAGAGAAAAAAAGTTTTCCGGATTTCGACGATAGGCGCGCAGCGCAACAGCAGAACCCGCCCACCTTTTGATAGCGGGACCACAGTGCGGGGCAGCGGCGATGATGGAAAAAATGAAGAATGGAATAACAATTTAGAGATACTCACCCTCAGGCACATCCTCAAGACCCTTGTCAGCCATGATTGTGCTAAGAAGAAGTTGCGACTACAGGCGCTGCTCTGTAGTCTTGGAAAAGGTTCGTAGTGGGGTTGATAGCGAAGGTGATCCTCTGGATACCGTCGCTAAAGTGGGATGTTCGTGAGTTGTAAAGGTGAAAAAAACAAAGATACCGGATCCTTTATATAAAGAATCCAAGGGGGGTATCTAAGTAGGTTTGTATGTGTGTGGTTGATTTGTTGTGATGTATTTGGTTTGGGTGTAAGAGTGAAGGCGAGGCCAAAGGGTTGGGTGCCTCTCTGGTTTTTAAGAAGGAGCCAACGATTGAAAAATCTTGTGGAGTGCACGGGCCACTTTCCTTTTTCTTCACTGCTACTGGACGGCCACTGACGACTGAGACCGGCACACTGAGACTGGGACTGGGACAATGAGACTAGGACTACCGTAGGACTAGGGCACTTGCTGGGGTGGGTGGAGGCAAAAAATACTACTCGCTCGTAGTTACCAGGTATTACCAGCAACAGTCCGATGGGAGGAAAAAAAATAATACTCGTAACCAACAATCCTAGAGGCAGAGGCAAAGCATAGCAAAGCCACCCGCGCGCGTGGTAAGGCAACCGAATCACTTGTTCTATTCGTCCTACTCGTACCGTCATTGAACCTTGTAACTACCTTTTGCACCCGAAATACTCGTACCATTTCTCTATCTTGTCACTTGTTGTTCGTCTGATCTGATACGATCTGACATTTCAACGTTTGCCTATCAGGCACACAACTTTTCCATTCACCCTCTTCGACAGTGGTCAATATTACTTACAGATCCTGGGGTTTGCGAAATTGACTTGTTACAAGTCTGCTCCCTTTATTATCCGAGGAATTACACCCTAGCTATCTTATGTTGTTGTATCCTTCGTGCGACTACCATCAATAACTACCCACTATCAAAGTTCTCTCCCGGTATTCCCAACCATGGCACCAGGCACTCTCCTCCAGGAAGACGAGTATACGGATTCAAGACCCTCCAAGAAGGTTAAGACCGATTCAGAAGTGGCAGTAGACTACCCCGATGACACGGAAGAAGATGTGGCAACCGCAGTACCCACCCATCCACTCGACATCAAACCCGCGGGCAATGCCTACACCGCATCTGAGAATCTCAAGTCACACTGTGGCGCATTCGCTGTCTTGCCCGACGAACTCATAAACCATATGCTTGAGTCATTCGATGCCGGCACTCTCGTGCGATTGGGAAGCACGTGCAAAGCCTTGTATGCTTTTACGAGACTCGATGAGCTATGGAGGGCTCTGTTCATAGAGTAGGTCCTTAGTCCTTCCGTTTCCTTGAGTCACACATGCCGTTTCGTCCTGGCCACATACTGTAATCGCCCCCAGCACTTCCATCCTGGCTCCGTGTCTTACATCTTGAATCACACCAAGCGTGTGACTCATTCTAGAGTCGCAGTAGAAGTAGAATTAGAACGACTACATCGCATAATTTGGCATAGGGCGTTCGATGTTGAAGACTGGACGTAACGGAATCTACGTTCGATTCTGATATGACTAACTCGTGTCAGGTTGTCTCCCGCGGACTTCGAGTGGCAAGGCACATGGCGATCCACATATCTGGGAATCCCAAAGGGGGAGGCCTCATCGATCTCGTGCAAGAATCTCTTTTCGGACGTTCTGTACCGGCCATTCCAGTGCGCCAACACAGCAATAGAGCCTTTCGCCGCCCGGATACCTGCACAGAACGCCATAACCCACATCGCCGACCTTTCCCCAGCAGAGTATGCTGAGAAATGGACGGACAAACCTTTCATCCTCACCTCTCCAGTAAAAGAATGGCCCATCTACAACAAATGGACACCGGAGTACCTCCTGCAAGAGTATCCCAAGAAGAAGTTCCGAGCCGAGGCCGTCGATTGGCCCATGGAAACTTACATGAAGTACATGTCCGACAGCGCAGATGAGAGCCCTTTGTACCTCTTCGACCGAGCGTTTGTAGAACGGACTGGTATCAATGTCGGACGTGACACTCCCGGCGCAGCGTACTGGCCACCCGACTGCTTTGGAGACGATCTTTTCGATGTACTAGGCGAGCATCGCCCAGACCGTAGATGGATGATTCTGGGCTCCAAAAGGAGCGGAAGCACCTTTCACAAGGACCCGAATGCCACGAATGCCTGGAATGCCATCCTCACTGGCTCCAAGTACTGGCTCATGTTCCCGTCGTCTTCCAGTCTTCCTCCACCACCAGGCGTCATCCTCTCGGAAGACCAGTCGGAGATCACGTCGCCGTTGTCCATCGCTGAGTATCTACTAACTTTCCATGCATTCGCAAGACAGACCCCCGGCTGCCGAGAGGGTATATGTTATGCCGGCGAGGTGCTCCATGTCCCATCCGGGTGGTTCCATCTAGTCCTGAACCTCGAGGACAGCTTGGCCCTCACCCAGAACTTCGTCCCGCAAAGGAAACTCGCCGAGGTTCTCGGATTTCTGCGAGATCAGCGCGACCAAGTCAGTGGTTTTAAAGAGCAGGACGCCGACCGCGCATACGAGCTCTTCGTCGAAAAGCTGGGAGAGAAATACCCAGACATCCTCGCTGAAGGACTTCAAGAGTTGGAGAAGAAGAGCAAAGGAGGACGGGGCAAATGGGAAGAGCTCACTAAAGGAGAGGATGATTCCGCCGACCAAGGAGGCTTTAGTTTTGGATTTGGCGGTGACGATGATGACGCTGACATCCCTTGAAAAAGTTTCGTTGCTTGGATTTGATCAACGACTGTATGAATTACTACAAGCGCGGTCGCGACTTACAATGTCTACCTGTATATAAACGATGTAAATGCCAATGTAAATAACAAACCACCCACTTCGGATACGCTCATACTATCACCACCTATCTACAACCCGTCTCATCCATATACTGCCCTTTGGCTTCCCTTTCTCCATGACAATATCAACCCTAACTCTCTCAATCTCACATCCGACTCGCCTTCCTCAGCACCTCCTTAGTCAACTCCTCCCCCTTCTCCCTCCGCTCGCTCAGCCGCCCCATCTTCAGCAACCTCGCCAACATGTCCTCGTCGCCGAAATGCGAATTGTGCTCGAACTCCGGCTCCTCCCCGTACGCCACCCTCGCGGCATCGACCAGGATCCTCGCCGTCATCCCGAACACCCTGAATGTCGTCAAGTCCTCAAACGGCGTCGTTGTCGGGTCCTGCGAATCCGGCCTCGTCTTCATCGCCGTGGACGCGGACGTCGTCGTCGAGGAAGTCGAAGTCGAGGGAGAAGGAGGCGGAGGCTTAGGGATATAAAAATTATGCATACGCCACCGCGACTCGTGCCAGTCCGTCCAGGAGCCACGGTACCAGGAGTGCGGATGCCCGGCCTTGTTGACGGGCCCCGGGCCATGGGACTCCCAGTTCTTGCGCAGGAAGTTCTTGAACGGCGCCGTGAAGACGGCGGCGACTTCTTTCGGGTCGAGCCGCGGGATCATCTTTTCTTCGACGCCACTTCCTCCCCCACTTTCTCCTTTGCTCTCTCCTGCTGTTGACGTGCTGCTGCTGTCGGATTCGGGCGACGAGAGGAAGGCGACGCATGGTCTGACGCCGAGTTCGGTCTTCGCGAGGTTGGCGGGGATCTCGCATAGGTGTTCGATCTGGAAGCCCGGGGGCAGCTTGGTGTCGTTGGTTGGCAGGCCGATTTCCTCGTATGCTTCGCGGCGTGCGGTGTCGAATGGGGTTTCGTCGAGGCTGTCTGATTTACCTGTCATACCATATTTACTTCAGCCATAGTCCCTTAATGTGTAACTACTGTTCATACTAAATTGAGAGGCGGTGGTCCGTCTCCCGCTGGACGTTGGAGATAGAAGATGTGGGATCATTTACCTCCCGGTAAAGCAGCCTGGCCTGCGTAACTTCGCAGCGTGCTTGCGCGCATCGTAAGCACGACCTTCAGCTCACCATGGCGGTCCGGGAAGAGGAGGATGAGGACGGCTGCGCGTCTCGTGAGTGGGCAGTTATACCATTGCGTCGGCGGAGGTGAGTATGCGCGGAGGCGGGCGAGAGCTTGCTGTTTGCGATTGTCAGCGGAGGGGAGTAGACGATGGAGAATCTACTCATTAGTTTGGGGGATTTACTGCGGATGATTGTGTGAGCATGGTAATTATATAGAATCGTAGGCTTTGCCATGTTCACGCATGGTGGATACTGATGTCTCGAGTCGGTGGTCGAGGTGAGGCGGAGGGGTACGATGTCAATGGCCCGAGGCAAATAGTTATCGGATCGTTTATTCGTCAATGACGTGTTAGCTGGTTTGACCGTATACGAAGAGCAAAAAGTCACGACTAAAATCCTCAAATGTTCTTTCTTGTTCTCATAATTTGTTTGTCTAGTCTTGCCAGCTAATGATGAATAAGAGCCAATGTATTTTCTTCCACTCACTCCGAGCCTTGAATGATCGGAGAATGGAGAAGACATTGAGCTCCGCAACACAATCTTTTCCCATTTAGGGCCTTCAAATGCTTCGAATGGCTAGAATCCTTGCGTTTCCTGAGCCCATTCCATCATATTTCTCCGTGGTTCATCTCATGCTCATATCTCGTAGCCTCTGCTGCGCTGGCGTTCTCGCTCTTCAGGCCAATGTCGGCTCGCTGGCCACCGTATATCCCCTCCCATCATTCAGGCGAAAGTAGCCACACCTCATCCGGCAGCCTTCTTCTTCTTGTCCTCTATACACTCGACATTGTCCTCCGGGATGTCCTTGTAAGTCTCCACCACGTAGTCATAGATGTCGTCGCTCAAGTCGCCCTGCACCGTGATCTCCTCCCCACCTCCTGGAATCTTCGTCACGCTACTGCCCGTCGCAAACTTCTTGCCGAAGTCCTTGGCCACCTTCTTGATGTCGAGGCCGAAGGCCTCGAGCCCCTGAACGGCGGTCACGTATTTGCGCTTGTTCCTCTCGATCCGCTTGATGAGGACCTTGGAGTTGTCGCGCTGCTCCTGGGCGCGAGCCTCCGAGGCGGCGGCTTTGGCCGCCTTCTTCTGGGAGTCCTTTTCGGCGCGTTTCTGGGCTTCGAGGGAGAGGGTGGAGAGGTTTTGCTCAATGGCCTCTGTGGATGTCGATATGTGTTAGTCCTAGGCTTTCTTGCATGCATAGAAGGAAGGGGGAACGTAGAGGGTCGGACCTTGTGAGTAGAGCTTTCCGTGTAGACTCGGATGATGCTCTTTGAGCCAATCTTCGCATTTCTTAACAGTACCACCGAATTCGCAGTACTACAATCGAAACAAATCTTGTTAGCTAGTTTCGAGTTTCAAGTATACCAAAGTTCGACCTACTTCAGGCGGTAAGCTGCAGACTGCTCGTTGTTAGTCTACTGTCGAGAAAATGTTGTAGTTGCTATTTCTCACCTCCGCAGTAAGTTATCTGTTTGGGGACTGATTCCGCCATCTCGATTATCAGTGGAGCACGAAACTCTCACTCTAGGTAAGTAACGGTAATGTGGGGTATCGGTATACGTGAGGTGTTCCTGGACTGTATGTTGCGGTCGCCTCGTAGGTAGCAGTTTGATGTTCCGACGCCGCTATTTACTCGAAGTGGGGGCGGGGTATCGATACCAAATGAGAGCTGTTTACTGCAAGTGACACACGGTTCACCTCACACTCACACGTTCACTCTACAATCAGTCATTTCACTGAATAACTTGTCCGTTTCTGTCGGGAAACTAAATACAATGTCCTTGAGTCAATTGACGACGAAGTTTTTGTAAATTGAAACAAATTCCCACTACATTTTCGTCACGTTATGTTAGCATTCAATCTTCTGCTCGAGGTCTAACGAATCTAAAAGAAAGCTCAGATGAAGTAGAAATTTATGTATTTGGGTATCTGTAATATCAACTTCTAATGCTACCCAGTTCCTGAAATTATCCAGGCTGTTCCGGACGAGCCTTGCTCGGCATTCCCGTGTTTGAAATGTAATTGCTACAATTCCTTTTTGTGCAGTCCTTTTGGTCATGTAAATCTCGTAGAAAGCTTCCCGCTTCCTTGACGAACCCGCCTAAGGGTCAAATGCCTCTGGCGGTAATTGGTCCTTCTGGGCATTGAATATCTGTGCCGCTGCATCCATATCCCAGTTCCCTGCCTTGAGGCACTCCACAGCCATCTCCGCCTTCAATTTCGTAGCCTGGCGAACCTGGGCAACCATCGCTTCTTCCTTGGGTTTGAGTACCCAGGCTGGGGTTCCGCCTGCAGCTCTGAGGGAAAGCATATCGCTAACGACTCGTACGCCTGCAGGGCCTCCGGGTCCAAGCACAAACGTACGATCAAAAGCTCTTCGGACGACTTCGTCTGCACCTTTGGCAGTCCGGTGCTCCTCGTACTCTCCGTGGATCGTGATCATTAGGCCGGTGACGCCTCTTGGATATTGGCCGGAGGGATCGGGCACACCAGGTTGTGGCTGACAGTCCATGCTGTAATTTGGAGGGCCGAGGGGTGGATGTCTTGTGGGAGGCATGGCCGTCCAGGCCTTCTGGATCTGATCTAATCCCCGACTCCTGCGTTGAAACCGTGTTCGTTTTCCGGATATGAATTTAAGATTCCTGCTTTGCGGTAGGTATGAGTCCCAAGGCGTCTTCTCGTGCTGGTTTCCTGCTCCACCTCTAGCCCTTGCGTTGACACTTAGACTGAATGTAGAATTGTTGTCATAGAACTTTTGTAAGGCGGCATTACGATCGGTGTCGAAGCCAGGGAAGAATTCGAGCAAGAAATTCTCGCCAACTTTTCCCTCGTCGAGCCAAATGTTTACGTTCGATGGGCGAGGGGTTTGTTTGGGTGCGTCTAAAAGCGCAATCTGAGCTTCCGTGCGGACTTCACGGCCGTTCAGGAGGCGAAGCCGTGGATACCATGCAATGACTTCCTGTTCCCAATTGGGCTGTGATGTTTCCAGGGGATTGTTTGTCAGAACAAGGTGTTCAAGGCGACGGAATTTGTTTTTCCACAGCCAGAGATCCTTTGTGTTTTCGATTTTGTTTCCTGACAAATCGAGATTTTTGGTGTCAGGCAGAACTCGAGATAGGTCGGAAACCAATGTAAGATTGGTAAGATCGTTGTTGCTGACCGTAATGCTGTGGATGGCATCGCGCTTTGCTTCGGCCGTGGGTAGTTGCTCATCGCAAAGCTTCATTAGGACTGGGATGAACTTCGTTTGTGTAGATTTGGTCTCGAACATGCCCAGCTTACGAACCTCCTCGTCGCTGGTGATAGTTGACAGGTTTAGTAGTTTCGCGTCGGCGTCGTACCGCCTCGAAAGAAAGCCTCTCAATACTTCAATCGTCTGTTTCATGTGCTCAACTTTGTTTCCGTCGCTCGAGGTCGCTTGCTCAGTCGATGCACCATCGCGAGATGTGATACCGCTTCCGGAGATAGAGAGCTTTTGGCTTCCATGTGTGGATGCGAAAGAGAAGCCATTGATTTTCCCAAAAGCGGCGACGTCGTCCGATCGAACAAATATGTGAAGGACATCTCCAAAAACACGGGTACGCTTAATGATATTCGAAGGGCCATTCTTTGAAGCATTTGAGCTTCGCTTCGCGGCATGTCGCTCCAGGAATTGAATGACCCGCTGGACCTCCGCCTTGTCCGTCCAGCCCGTCACTCGCAATTCAGTGAGATTGGCACTATGCGATTGCTTAGGTGTTGTTCTTGGAGCAGGGGTCGCGCCCATCACTAGATCGCCATCGCGGTCGCGCCTCTGGTGTTTGCGAATGCCGCCCCCTCTGCGCGGGCCGGTGGGGGCGGGCATCTTGGACATAAAAGTGTGAAGGTCGTAAGGTATTGGGGGAATAGGGCGGATTATGTCGAGTTACAGTGGCAGATGGCGAAGGTAGATCGATGACTGAGAAAGTCGCAAGACCGTAGAAAATCGCTGCGTAAAGTTGCGCGGGGCTTGAGTTCGGGTATGCCTGTGACCAAATTAGTGAGTGATTCAAGAAACGATAGCAGAGAAAGATGGTGTCTGAAATCGCACCTTCTACCCTCGATTGACCTTTGGCCTTCACTACTGGAAGAAGAGAGTTTAGAAGTCCAGAAGTTGGGACAGTTTCCTAGCTTAGTAGAAGTGACGGTTGACCGCGTTACGCTTAACTATACTGGGTTAGCACTTCAACGCATCCCGGTTTGACTTGGCAGAAACGGGTTTGCTGCCTAACGCCTTTATATTGTCCCGGTGTGCCTAATATTAGGTACCTATTGTACCTGGAACAATAGGAATAGAATTCGTACGGCTTTCAATGGAATAGGAATCAACTCCACGTATAGACGACCCCTTAATACAATAAGCTTTCTGTTTTTTAATTCAAACACTTTTATTGGATTATTACTATCGTTATTACAGCTTCATAATTCACAGTATCTCCATGTTCTCCACGCATGTATATACACCCTAAGGGTTGGTCCTGGACCGCTGGTCATTCACTCAAGTCCCGTTGGCAGGCGGCTCGTAAGAAACTCCATCCACGGTCGAAATCAATTTCCCAGTAGCCTGAAAGTTGTTTACCATGAGCTCAATATTGAGCTTAAACCCTCCTTCGGTTGATTTCTTGGTCGACGTAGAAGCACCTGTGCCAACAAGATCAGAAAACCAAATCAGTTCAGTCTTGTAGCGATTTTGGGGATCCGGGATATTTGTGATGTTCTCATAACCATTGATAGTATGTTTCCCATCGCTATTGAAGTTCACGTAAGTGGCGGCTACATGGAGAATAGCCCCAGTGGGTGCTGCTGTAATAGAAACCTCAGCACTCCCTGATACCTGCCCTTTCAATGTATATTCTCCAGTTTTCAAACCCTCACGACGGGGCAAAGCATCGCCAGGTCTGTAGCGTACCGCCCACGGAACGCCTTTGCCGATATCGAAGACTTTGGGCACTTTCTGAGCCTTACGACTTGAAAGCGTGGCGAGCATGAGGCGGTACTCCCGACCTCCCTGAGCTGTGGAAGCAGGGCATGGAAGAGGGTTGCCTCCACCGCAAGACGGACTTACAACGAGAGCCTGCCAATACACAATCTTGGTGCCATCATAGCTAAAGGCAGGGTCAGCCCGGCCATTCCAGTTTGGGTCACCAATGCTTTCAGGTTTGTCGTCGTGTGGGTTGAGTCTCTGTCCATAATACGGATCCCGGTCACCGAAACCATCGAGGAGGATTGGTTGAAAAAATCGCCGTTGAAGGTTGTTGCGCGATGCTGCCGTAGCAGCCGCGGTCACCATATCCGCCAGAGGTGGAATGCCTCGCATAGCCGCTGCCCACATGAGGCGGTTCGAGCCTCGGGTATCCATAACAACAATCCATTTGTTATCGGCAGAGAAAGCAACAGGATCCACGTACTCCGGATGGCTCGTAAGGCGACGTACAGCTCCAGTTTTGAGATGAACAGCAAAAACATCCATATTGTTAGCCTCAACACTGCCACCAATGCAGGTAACTTCGTCTCCTGTCCCGCTGAATCCTCGAAGCTCTCCTACATTGATAGCCTCATTGTTGATAATCAATTTCGTACCATCGGCGGAAATGATGCCCTTTCCTTTCGGGTCAAACAGAACGTCGACGTCGACAATATCGTAGCGCGGATCGCGAGTGTCGCCGGATACAGGGATGGGGTTAAACTTTAAGAGACCGAGGTAGGCAATCTGGCCTAGCTGGCCATTGAAATTCGTGAACGAACTGAACCCGAGATGATTGTCGTCAGGGTGAACTCTAAGCTCACGAGGAACTCCTCCAGGACCGGCACCATCAACCGTATTAGGCCAATAAAGTGGATAGATGTACGTGTTTTCCGGCTTGCAGCTCTCACTTTCCAGATTGGCGCCGCCGCACTCCAGGATATTGAGTCCCCATATCGCTTTCCTTCCATTCCGGAAGACATGTGGATATGATTTGTCTTGCTGTACAGATCGAGCGTTTTCCGCAGGCACTCCGCAGCTCAAACACTTCCAAGGATCTCCATTCCCAAATTTGGTTCCGTCTGTCTTTACCAAAATGAGATGCTCGCCATTGTAGATGCTCGCTGGGTCTGGGGCGGGTGGAGCTCCGACATATTGCACGTTCACGACAACATGTTTGTCATCTGGAGTAAATCCACCTGCATGAAAAGTTCCGAGTGGCCTGTTGATACATCCTGTGCCTTTGGCATTGATTTTGAGCGTACAAGCGCCCGTGGTACTGTCGGAAACAGGTGGAAGAGGCAGTTCAATTACCTGAACGGGCTCCGGGGGTGGGGGTGGTGGTGGTTTCGATGATTCACCTTGACTTTGTGGAATGGCTTGGGCAACGCCAATAAAAGCGGCGAGGACCAAGGAGATGGCGGAGCAGCGCATGATAGACAATAATACCCAGGTAGACAATGGAGAACCACGAGTTGAATGTTCTGGTCTTTACAAGGTGGAAATCGGGGCAAATTTATAGACGGTGGTTATCACCAGCGTCCCATCTTCACCCCCCCTGATATCGACTCCTTTACATGAGCAATAAATCGTTGCATGAGGTGCTATATCCTATAATGGATTGATTGCTCCGTATTTTGATCCAGTCAGCGGGGAGATGTTGCAAAAGCGGTTTGGCTCACCCCAGTATTGCCCCAGATCACAGCTACCCCAGATCTTGGGAACCACAGCTTCCCCAAGTAGGCTGGTGGTCCAGGGGCACATTTCGAGCTTATTTCAGGAACGATGAAATAGACACATAACCTTTTCAGGGCCATCCAATCATCGGGTGAAATAGTAAGGTAGTGTGATGGTCTCGAGCATGATATGAAGACGGGCTTCTATAGGTACTTGCCATCTTGGTTTTCTATCATTTACCAACAATCTGAAAAGTACCCTCAAGTTACATCTTTGGCCTTCAGTAGAGCACAGTTTTGATAGGGGGTAATCACCCATTACCTTCAGTACATTAAAGTGGAATACGCTCGTAGCTGAATTCCAATTCCAATTCCAATTCCAAGCTGTCCAAGCCACGAAGGTAAATACAGCGTCGGGCGGCGGAGGAAGAAAAGTGGCGGCACTTCGTCCGGGGCGAATGCGGAAGAAACACCGCGGCAGCATTTCTTCCGCGATGAAATTTGCGTCTTTAAGTTCGATCATGAGTGTAACAAAACGGATGGAAGATAGAACAATCAACAACGATGTGGAGCTCGGCTCTCAGCGTAAGGGGGAAGTCGGAAATAGTCCTAGGAAGGCTCGTGAGGCTATTTAATTGACTACAGAGACACTTCACAGGGCTGAATAACATTATAGTAGAAACACTTCTTAAGGCTTCGCAATATTGCTATCACATTTAAATACTAAATGCCATAATATTATTTACTGGATACAACGGTGCTTGGGTGGTGATCATAACAATAGTGGGTGGCAGAGCATCGCGAAGAACTCCGCATCGGACATCATGGGCAAAAGGGGGGGTTACAGTAATGAGCAGTATAGGCAGAGCACAAAGAACGAGTGACGCGATAGGTACAAGCTTGCAAGATGAAAACAGAGTGCAGAAAAACATAATGCAGAGTTGAAAGTTGTTGACTAATTATAATACTGGAAGGTGGGGAGAGCGGCAGATCGCGACTGCCACTCCCGCCAACACACAAATGCAGAGGCCAATCTTCATAAATACATTGAGTCCCTTTCTTGTGTATTGTAGGCTACTATAGGGCTGAGTCGCTTGAGCTGATTATATCTGAGTTTGAGGTCTACGAACCTTCCCTTCAGTGTACGAATAGTGCCACTCCCGCAAACGGGGCGAGACGGTTGGAGACACGGAGGTTTGGTGGAAGGGGAAGAGGTTGTCAGACGTTCAAATAGAGATTTAGGCATTTAAGGAGAACTTCATAGTAGGAGTTGCGGTTAAGCCAGCTCACAGGATGTCAGATACTCTAACAGGCTTCAAGTCACTACATCTAGAGGGGGATATCATATATATTGCACGATATGCGTAATATATAATGAAAATTAAGGGGAGTTAGGAGTAACATACATAATGATTGCGTATACGGAGGGTAGGCAGGTCACCCTGATCACCCTGGATCTTTAATAATATGATGTAGCCAGTTCGAGACGGCCAATATTCATAAAAGGGGAACTAGTTTGTCATGTTGTTGGCAGCCACAGCTCGTTGAGTAGCAGTCTCCGTCTTGCCGAATCGACGAGGGGCAATCTTGCGCTCGAAGAGTTCATCCAGCTCAGCAGCAGAACGTCTTGAAGATAACATTAGCACAGTGCATAAGTAGAAATACTCCAAAAGAATAACTTACTGTGCAGTTTCGGGAACGATGAACCAACATCCAATAGCAAAGGGCAGACCAATTCCGGCATAAAAGAAGCCAGCCTTAAGACCCCAATTCCATTCATTCGCATTCACCATGTGCGGGACCAATTGATTCATGACAACATTAACAATCCCATTGACCGCGCCTGCAGCTCCAGAGGTGTAAGGTCGAAGTCGTTGAGAGGATACTTCGCCAATGAAACCCCATCCAGTGGCACCAGTCATAGTCAAACCAATGTCTGGTTGAGGAGAATGTCAGCACAGTAGAGGAAAGCTAAAGAAGAGTTGTATAACGGTGATAGAGGACTTACTCCAGATGACAGCGAAGAGAATGGTGATGTAGTTCACAGCTTTCGTTCGGGGAACCACACACAAGATGCCAACTATCAGACTGGCGGCCCACATGGAAGTGGTACCACCGCAACTGATCCACCGTCTTCCAACAGTATCGGCGTAGTAAACGACGAAAACAGCAGCTACTAGCTTGATACCAAGAACGATAACTTTGATCTGGAACGGGTCACCCACACCTGCTTGCTGGAAGAAGTAGGCGCCGAAGGTGGAAAACAAGACCAAACCAGTAAACTGTTGCGATGTAATAGTCCAGAGAGCACAAATAGTGCGGAGTCTATCAGTACCACGGAAGATGGCGTACCACTTCTCTCGCTTTTGAATCTTAGCCACTTCCGCTTCATGCTCGGTCAGCAAAACCAGGACTTCGACCTGCTGGTCGATGTTGAAATCCTCGACATTCTTGTAAAGTCGAGTGAGCGCCTTCTTGGCTGTGTCGAGTTTTCCTCTGGTAACAGCCCAAGCAGGGGACTCTGGCAGCACGAGGAAAATAATACCCATGAGACCAATGTGACCCCATTGAGTGTAGACAGGAGTCAGCCAGTCATTTTTATCCTTCTTCGATAAGACCTCCATGGCCAAGTAAGCAAAGAAGGTTCCAATAGTCCACCACATATTATATGTCATGAGAACGGAACCGCGAATGCGGTTGGGGGAGATTTCTGAAATGTACGCAGGAAGGGTGACCTGCAAACACCCAAGTCCCATTCCAGCCAACATCTTCGCTACCAGCCAATGCTCCCAGCGTCGAGCAAAGCTCTCACCAACTATACTCGCTGTGAGAATCAGCCAACAGATGTAGAAGGACACCTTGCGTCCGTACGGAGCTGCGATGAATGGTAGGAAAAGCTGGGCGATGATTTGTCCAACTGGAAGGATGGTTCCCCAGGCAGCTATGATGTTGGAGTCAAGGGCCGGTTTTCCTTTTGCCGTGGTTTTGGTGGCAAACTGTGCAACAAAGCCCGGGTTTGCGAGAATTCCAGCGTTCAAACTAGGAAAAGAGACGGGTCAGTGTCATGGTATAAGGTAGGGGATCAAAGATGGTGACCCGAGAGACGAACCCGATCTGATATCCATCTGCTCCGGCCGCAAATGCGGCAAGAAAAGCGAAGAAGGTGCACCACTTGAACTTCATCGCAGTCTCCTTTCCAGTGAGGGTCTCGTATCCAGTCAAGGCCTGACCTTTGGATGCGGCATCGGCAACCGCCTCCTTCCCCTGAATTACATCGTCACCTCGAGTTTCGACATGGTTGATTTCGTTGGGGGACTTGTCTTCTGGCCTGGATTGTTGCATCGTGAATGAAGCACTGTCTCGAGATGGAAGAGAGAGTGCACTTTGGAGCAGATTGTCGTTACTTCTCGAGGCACTCAAAGGTAACCAGATGATCTGAAGGGTCAGGGATAGATACCCATGGAGGTTGGAGGCATGAGAGTCTATATACAACCCCAGATTCTTCGCACTGATACTGACATACGAAGTAGGCATACATAGACACGCTCACCCCATGCACCCCATGGGGCTTGGAAGAAGAACCGCTTTCAGATTGGGGAACTACGACCGAAAAGATCCCCGCATTCCGGTTCTTGGGTACGGGGTATCCCAGTAGGTCTGGATTCGGTTTTGGGGCAACCCGGTTGCCTTAGTCGCGGACGAATGATGAAGGCGAGGGTTTGGCCGACACCCGACGACATCTCAATAGGCCTCTAGACGTATTCACCTGCCCGTAACAAGCACTTTCAGGACCACATGCATTGACAGTGTGCTATGGGGCCCATAAATTCCATCATATTGCTAGCAACTATTGGCTAGATGCTCATTCGTTAGTTTCTCTCTTGTTCTACCAGTGAAGACTTGTGTGTTTGTCTATTCGAATGAAACAGAATCAATAAATCACATCAAATAATAGCGTTCGAAAGGAGCGCTACTACCATAGTCAAGGCTGGCCAATCTTTACATCGGACTCTGTCCATGACTGGCACACACTCTTACCCAGCGCTCGGAGATCGCCGTCGCCGTCGCCAACGCTACACATGGACTCAGGAACCGTATTTACCGGACGAGCTACCGCCCGGTGATTCTTCCAGATCCATTGTCCGGTCTAGATCACTCCAGCAGCGAGCGCAGTTGCGGATCCAGATCATTGGAATAGCACAATGTACGCTTAGATCATTACCAGGTCGTATGCTTCGCGAAATGCGTGACAGCTTGCCTATACCACGGATGTATTCCTCCGTATCCATCCGCCAAAGTCATCATATGGATTGCATTTGTAGTAGGACAACATAGTCAGCAATCACTCTACTCCTTTGTATGCTACTAATGGCCACGGTTCTAAAGAAAGAGCTATGTTGTGAACGATTCACAGATAATGTCAAAATTTCATCAATACTCTATTCGATTTCTATGTGAAGTATATGAATCAACGTTGAGCTCCCTTGGAGTCTACTTCTTTTACCATCAGAGACTAGCATAGCCAAGCTGCAGCAGTTTATTACCAAATTCAATAAGATAGTAATCAGCATATACAAGACCGTGGTCTGCGCTAGCACTCCGACTCTGGTCATTCCAAGTCACCGTGGAACTCCTAAGTATGGCTTCAAAGACTTTTTGATTAGGTTCGCATGCAGCTGCGGAGGCAAGGCCATTGGGCACAGATTCGAGACGTACTCGCTCTTTTGATAACGTCAGACGTATGGTATCATCGACAATTCTCAATGCGTTTTTCATATAGTCTTTGGCTTGGTCATGACGCCCAAGTGAAGTCAGTGTTTGCGAAAGTAAGAGAAGGCCATTCGCAGCTACCACTCCAGCTGAAACATCCCGTAAAGGAGAGGACGGGTCTTCGATAGGCGCATCAAAGTCCCATAAAGGCACATATCTTCCAGCCTTGGCTTCATCGTTCGCGCCGCTTGCTAGGTCAATCTCAACGCAAGCTGGCGCATTCTCCAGCCGCAACAGGAAGTACTCTGCAAGCCCACAGGCAGCTTCGAGGAAAACTTCATCTCCAGTCCAATTGTATGTCTGAGCATAGCCCAGGATAGCCCATGCCTGACCACGAGACCACGTGGAGTCAGGAGCATACCCTTGAGCTGTTCGGATCTCTTTCACCTCCCCCGTTGAGGGCTGAAAGTTCGCGACATGGCAGGTGCTGTAAAGATCCCCATTGTATGAATTCCTCGTGACGGATTCTTTTCGAAGGTGAGACTTGATCAGTTTTTTGGCGTGAATGACGGCTGCCGCAGACAAAAACTCGTAACCCGTGTGTTCAGCTGCGTAGAAGAGAAGATCGAGGTTGCACAAGGAGTCGATGATGACGAGGAAATTCTCTTGTTTGTCACGGATATCAACACCTCGCTGCCAGGTGAGGTGATCCCAGGAACGGATAGCGCCTACACGAGCGTCAAACCGCGAGTAGAGGCTAACAGCGGCAGTGCGGATGCTGTCGAGTGCTTTCTGATCGTGAAAGAGCTCCCAGCGAGCCCGCATGTGTGGCATGATCATGAAGCCCAAATCATGAGTATCTGTCCTGTGCGCCATGCGGTGAAGGGGCTCCGACCATTTCACGCCTAGTAGACCCAGCGTATCGCGGACTTGGGAGAGCAACAGTCTGTTGTCTGCATGGTGCATGCTCTTGGGATGCTTTGTAGCCCGTTCAAGAAGCGCGTAGATGCTGCCAGGAAAGAACCCACAGGTCCAGAAATCGATGGGTCGACAGCGATATTCACCCTCTTTCTCGCCCGACTGAGGAACGAGCTCTGGGTATGATTCAGGAGGATCCTACGACCTTTGTTAGTTTAGGGCGATATTATAAATTGTGAAGACGTGCATTATTCGTGAGAAGCAAGTCTGCCACGCGCAAGACATTCGCGGTGATGTTTTCGGAGTATAGTTCTTTGGAGAGACGTTTAGTCAAAACATGCCACTCTTGATTTGAATCCGCTTTTTCAGTATTTGTTATTGTGTTCCTTGAAATTTCTTCGGGTCGGGAACCCCCGTTGATGTACGGCTTGATCAAAGGGAAATGGCCGTTGGTGATGGCGCCAATTTTGCAGACGCCGTTGGCTGCGGTCTGCGTCATGGTTTCTGTATCAATCATGGTCTTGTTATGGAAAAGAGATATAGGTAGCACCTTGTCACATTAGGTAGTCTTCAGTTCAATGTTCGCTTCGCGGCTTCTTCAATGGCATGGCTTTGCTGGGTCGGATTTGACAATCGTCCGCTTTCCGATGCACCTTGAGGAAGAACCCACTTTAGTGGCATATGGCAACATGTATATCTGTTTCCCAATATCTTGCTCAAGCAACGTCGCACTGTAGGAACACAGCAATGCCTCCATTGTCGGGATTCTCCGATAATCCGCTTGAGTCGCGCGATGATGTTGTTCGGGCGAGCCGCGCACTCATCACTCCATTGCTACCTTACTTTTCTCCTGCACGGGCGCGCGTCCGTATACCTGTCACCATTGGTACACACTTCGACGAAACCGCTGCTCAGCTCGAGGGCTTCGCACGCCCACTGTTTGTTGTTGCAGCCTTACTCCACGCTGGAGAGTCAGTCGATGAGGTTTTGAAACCATGGCTCGATGGCTTTGTGGCAGGCACCGATCCTGAGCATCCCGAGTACTGGGGTGCTATATCGGACAAGGATCAGAGAATGGTGGAAGCTGAGATGATTTCATTTGGACTTCTTGCCATTCCGCGCGAGGTGTTGTGGGATCGCCTTGATGGGAAGACCAAGAGCAATGTCATCGAATGGCTTCATGGCCTTCAGGGCAAAGATATTCACACTTCCAACTGGCTCTGGTTTCGCGTCATGTCCAGTATCGCGTTGATCAAAGTCTGCGGTGCTGATTCACAAAAGCTTCGCACGCAGATGGAAAAGGATCTTGAGTTGCTTGACTCCATGTATCTGCAGGACGGTTGGTCAAGTGATGGTATCTGGCCCGATGCTGAAGAAGTTTTGGCCACGGACGCACAGGTGTTCCGGGAGACAGGAAAGAGGAACCAGCGATTTTGGTCCCGTCAGGCCGACTACTACTCTGGAAGCTTTGCGATTCAATTCAGCCAGCTGCTGTATGTGAAGTTTGCGTCAGACTTAGATGCTGAACGGGCGGGAAAGTATCGGCAGCAAGCCAGAGACTTTGGAAGCCAATTTTGTAGATATTTTGATGAGAGTGGTAAGAAAATCATCATGCTTCTCAGTGCTTGCAAGTTAGATAACCATTCTCAGGTGCTGCAATTCCTTTTGGTCGATCCTTGACGTACCGATTTGCGTGTGCTGGATTCTTTGCCGCGTTAGCATTAGCTGAAGTCAACAACCTTCCGCCGCCTCTCGATAAGCCTGGTGCAGTCAGGGGTTATCTTTTGAGGCATCTGAGATGGTGGAGGGACCGCTCAGAAGATATATTTTCCACGGACGGAACACTCAACATTGGATGGCTTTATCCGTACGTCAGCTACTGCATCTCTGCTTATGTATATAAGAGCCAGAGGGTTTTACTAATATGTACCCTAGGAACATGTTCATGAGTGAAGATTATAACTCGCCACAATCCGTATACTGGGCTCTTAAGTCATTTGTCGTTGTGGCACTAGCAAGTGGGAATGTCTTCTGGACTGAAGCTGAGAGCGCATACCCGAAATCATCAACATATCCCTCCGTCTCCTATCTCCCTGCTCCGCGGCAGATTGTGTGCAATCATGCTTCTGGGAACCACCACTTTCTTCTCAACCCATCGCAGTACCTCACCCGGCCCTTCAAGAATGCTAACGCGAAGTTTTGCAAGTTTGCTTACTCGTCATCTTTCACTTTCTCCCTCTCAGTGGGAAATATCGTAGCGGGCCAACTTGCGCCGGAAAACTCCCTTCTCCTCAGTAGGGATGACCATGAGAAGTGGGCAACCAAGCAGACTTGCACCGACGCTATCATATCCACCGCTTCTATCAGGGGCTCTGTTCCGGAGAGCATTACTGTAGCATCGGCGCAATGGTATCCATGGGCTGATCGTCAGGTGTCCGTCACTACGACTTTGATACCACCATCAGATAGGTGGCCCGATTGGCACTTGAGGGTGCATAGAATTAAGATTCATCGAAACCTGGAGGCACTACATACTCTGGAGGGAGGGTTTTCCATTGCAGGTCGTCGACGGATCGACGGAAGGTTGATTCCCACCGTCACGCTGAATGAATTGGGAAAGGATGCACAGTTGGGAGTATCGGAGGGCATATACAAAGAAGGAAACGGCGCAGTAATTTTCTCCACCGCAGGGGCGTCCGGCGTCGCAACTGCGGAACCGACTTGCAGCGACTCATCCACTTCTATCTCGATCATTAAACCGGAAGCGAACACAAATTTAGCAGCACCTCGCACACTCAGTCCAGTGATTGAACACTCGATTCGTAACTTGTCAAGTGGTGTTGAACTGACATTGTTGACAAAAGTCTTCGCTATCTCAAGTGAGGCAAATGGTGGAAGACAGCTTTCAGGAAAATCGCTGGTGGAAAGATGGCTTGATCAACCGCAGGTAAATTTTGGTCCCGTAGAACACGATGAAGAAGTGGACCATATCATCTTGGATATTTGAGCGGGGATTCAAAGCTCGAAAATCATAGAAACTATGCAGACAATCATAATCGTTCAAGTTCAGCCCTCATGGATAGATTTAACATACTATTATACATCTGATTACGACTGATTTTACATGCTACTAATGCCAGAAAATCCAGTATCTTCAGTATTAAACATAAAGTCGTCAAAATTGATAATGCGGTTCATTTCCAGAAAATGCTGGTCCATGAAGCCTTGAGAAATTAGCGAAAGCTCGTCCGTTGCTGTGTCCATGATAGGAACCTGGGAATTGCGCCTGATCGGTGGCGAATGCTGCTGAGAATCTACCCCGAATGAAAAGTTGGGGGATGAGTTTGAGTAGTCGAGGCCTATCGGCTCCATGGGGTTTAATCGGACACCGGTATGTGTAGTATTGTTTTCACCCTCTCGATACTGTCTCATTGGGCCATATGGCGCTAATGTGGCCCTATAATCATGCCCAATTCGCGGAGATACCTGATTGAAGGAAGCCAAAGCGTGGTTTCCTGGGTCCTTCATACAAAGGCTGTGAAGCTGCCTTAACTGCATCGCTAAAGAGCGAGCGAAAGGGATCGTGTCGGGTTCCACTTGAATCACAGGGCCAATCCATCTTGAGCTCATCGCCTCCAAGGCCTCAATGAGTATCCAAAATTCTAGTGCAAGATCCATCTTGTAGTGTATTGAATGTACTGTCATTTGGTTAGTGGTACTCGATGGGCTCGACAAGTCCAGCACGAAGCGAGGATATGATGTATACTGACATAGAAGAACCTTTGCACTGACAAAGATGCAGACAGCAAAATGTGGTGCAAAGACCAGTCTCGCGGGGGCATAGTTTAGATACTTGGTTGTAATGTTAGCAGTTTCCGTCGCTGCTACAAAGCAAGTATCCGCACTGCATGCACTAGGTAAATTCAAATGCAATAGATCGTCGCTCGGGTATCCGATTCGTTGATGTAGTAGAATGGACGACATGTTATGGGTGATATGTGCTAGGGTCATGTTAGGATCCATAGCAGTGCTTGTAACCTGACTAGCCGGATTATTGTTTGGGCTCTTCCATCGTTGTGGCAAGAACATTTTCCAGCTGCATCGACCTTTGTTAGCTTGATGTGGCCCACAAGTAGTATAGATACAGCATATATGCTTACTGGACCAGACGGAGGTCCAACTCCTTGAACCGTGTCAGCCAACTCGAAACTTCTTGTCGATTTGTCAAATCGACTTTTTGTTGGATGAAGTAGGTGTTAATGCGGCTTAGTGACTCAACCGACTCTATATAGTATGCGAAAGCGCCAATGTTGGACATGCCCGAGGAATCGGCGGCGTTATTTTGACGATCTCCTGTGCTATTCGTTGTACTATTCCGGTCAAAAGAATTCGATTCGGAAAACCTCTTTATCTCATCGTACTTCGAGGGGAGGTAAGTGATCGTATGGCCAATTTTCGCAGCAGAATGATCCCAGATTCCAAGGTACGGTGTCACTGCCGACTGGTTTCTTTTCCAAAGGCCCCCATCGATGGGTAATCTTCTGCAGACATCATCCGCAGTGAGACTAACGTTCCATCTGAATACAGGATTAGTTGGTTTGGCATTGACAGCATCAGAGGGACGGCGAATAGTCATACCCAGTAGTGATGGAGCAAAACCTCAAAGAAAGTCAGCGCTACCGAATAGAGAACATTGGCCTCCAACAGTCGTGAATCATACCTATCGAGGACAAAGACGTTCCAAAAAAGTCTTCTGCGCTCTTCTTCTTCTATCCAGTCACATGGGGGTTGTAAAGAGGGAAGGTTTGATAGTAACGCAGCAGGTTTAACAAGATTCGTCTCTTCTACACTGAGGTGGAGATATTGAACGGTTCTTGCGAGAGATCCAATGGATGACCAGGCTTTGGTCGTTTCGCCTTGACCAATCTGCATCGCCAATGTTAGCATTGAATTCTAATCGACTTTCGTATTGCAAAAGGGTGGTAAACATTAAGGGTGAGACTTAAGAGAAGAAAGAAAAACCACGATTGGCCACTCACGTCGATAAAGGCAATGATTACAAGAGCTTGCAGATTCTCTACCGTCAAATCACTCATCGCGTTGAACGTGATGTAGGCTCTTGATCTCCTAACTTCATCCTGAATGTCGACAATCGGGACCAAGGGGCTCTTCTCAATTAACCTCAAGGCGGATACAAGAATCGCATGGAGAATAATCAAGGATTGATCAAGATACTTTCGGTCAGCAAGTTTACTTCGAAACCTTGTTTCGTGCAAAATAGGAATCCACGGATGTACGTTTGCAAAGTATGCGTCTAACAACAGTTCAATGAAATCGAGTCTTGAAAGAAGCGGATGAGGGTTAATGTTGTAGTCTTCAGAAGGGATTTGACAACTATGGCCATTCACACGCGCTCTTTTCCTTGGACGTTGTGATTGCAAAGTATGCGCTTCTTGTTGAATAGTATCATAAACAACGGATGGCGAAGACGTATCCGAATGCGTTGTTCTTGCGGAAGGTGTAGACAGGCTGGAATTGAGGTGACGTATTTCCTGAGTTAGCACGGATAGAATCCCACCCAAATCGGGGGTGTTATTGGATATAGCAGCAACATTTGGAACAGGATGCTCAGATGCTTCACTAGTTGTGGATATCGAACTAACCCTCTCCGGGGCTTCAAAGACAAATTTCTCCAAAGCTTCTGTGATATATTCAGCGCTGCTATCTCTTCCGTTTCACTCGGAATATCATTGAGTGCATGTACATACCAACACGACGGCTCAGAGCATCGACGGCGCCGCCTTTGAGGCCCGGTTTCTTTCTCTGGTACTCGTATGTGCATTCGGAGGCTTTTGTTTGGTTGGATTAGCTTAAGCAAGACATATTAAGATGAACGTACCCAGTCGCCTGCAGTGTGCGCACGTCGGCCATTCCCGAGAACATCGTAACTTGCGCTTCCGACATCCGTCGCACTTGGATTGAATATCGATCAGGCCTTTGGTATTGGTACGAGCACGGGAATGAAGAACCTTACCGATGGCAAATCAACGTCAACGTCCGGAACCTCTACTGAATTGTCCGTGGCCATATCCGATCTCCTTCCGTCAATTGCAGGAATCGCGAACTCAGCTTCCTGACCGGCAAGAGCGTGCAGTTGTCAACGTCTAGAAGCAATGCACTTGACGTTTTTACGCAGCAAGTGAGCCTCTCAAACTCAAACTGACTTCAGGAAATCAGAGGAATTAGATCAATCTCAGTTCTCAGTCACCGATTTTCCATTGCATCACAAATTGCGGTCCCCACAATCTTGGCCCTTCTCATTCTATACCCCGCAGACTTGTAAAATTTCATGACTAGGGAAGATGGCGAATGGTCGGTAGACGGTATACGGTATACGGTGTCGCAACGGAACCCACAGTTCGTCAAATGACCGTAAAGGGCGTCCAAAGTCTGGGGTCGGAAGATTCGTCGCCGGCTGTATTCATCCGTTGTCCGGCGCACGGCTTTCCTAAGGGTACATACAACACATGGAACATAGCAGAACGAACTACATAAATCAATGAGTTATGAAGGCGATCTAGTAGCGTTGATCGAGCACAATGCTTAGGAACACTGGCATTATAGGGGCTTGAAAACATCAGAAGCACTAGAATCCCACAGTGCTTCTCCAGGCATGTTTCACAGCAATGTTGTAGAAGTGAATGGTCCTGGTGTTCGCTCGCTGTTTCCCATTGAATCATTTCACATTGAAGCAATAATCTCATTCTGTCACTGAATTGCAACGCCCTAATTGATGTCTAGTTTTGGACAGATATCTTGTTAGACAAATGTTGTTCATATTAGATCAGTGGTAATTAAATGACAAAAACACAGATGCGGTCAGTCTGCGTCTCAAAAGGAACGCTCATGGATATCATCGCGCAACACAGTATGTAACTCAAAAAGCATCCTCATTTGGACAGGCCGTCACGTCGTGACCCTCGCTTTCGCAGAGGGCACACCACTTGTCTGGATCCGCTACAGCTGAACCCTTTGGTGGAACAAGAGAAGTGTCCAAAGGCATAGGCAGAGGTGCAGATGGTGCGTTGCCTGGAGCCTTTGTTGGAGTAAGAGCAGCAGGTCGCTCAGCAGCAACAGACAATTCCCGCGGAGCTTCAAGAGCGACTTCTTTCTGATGGTTCTTGGGTTGCTCTTGTGGCTTGGAAACTCCATCACCACCCATGGCAGAGCAGTTAAGGATGTCATGGCCGCCAGTCTCACAGATCTCGCACCACAGAACACTTCCATCTGCTGATGAACGTCCGTCTGACTCAAGCATGGGTTCCAGTGCGGCAGGTGCCTCACGGCGTTTGTTCTCCGGCGATTCTCTCCAGCTCAGGACCGTACCTTTAGAATCACGACCAGATGACCTCTTATCCTGCAAAACCGTACGTTCGGTTGTGTTGCTGATGACACTCTCCCGTTGCTCTGGTGCTCCAATCTGCTTCTTCAATTTCTCGATTTCTCGTTCAAGCTCCTCTTCTCTATAAGCTTTGCGCTCCACAAGCCCTCTCAGCTCTTCTTTCTCGCGTTCTAGGCGATCGGCATCCGCTTGGGCGGCCTTGAGTTCGTCGGCATCCGCAGCTGATGCGTGGGGCGGCTTTGGCGACCGGCTATGTTCATCTGGCCCAGAGCTGAGGGAATGGATGATGGCCTTAAGACCTCTGATTTCGTCGTCTCTCTGTTCGATGTCTCGTGATCCAGGACTCAGTGGGCTGGTCACCATTGCACCGGCACCCTTTAGAGCTGCTGCAGCCTTCTCGCGCTCTCGCCGAAGCTCTGATCGTCCTCGTTCCACCTCACCACGGAGAAACTCTACCTCACCACGAGCCTCCGCTTCGCCTCTCCTGGCATCCTCAAGGCCTTCTTCAAGCTCCTGCACAAGTTCTTCGAGCTGCTTCAACTGGTTCGCTACGCTTTCGACATCCTCCCCACGCTCATGGAGTTCTCGGATCTCATTCTGAAGCTCCTCCACCTTGCGCTCGTATACACGTTCAGTCTCAGTGCTGGCTAGTTCAAGTGTATCGATAGTGCTTCGGAAATCGGCTCGATGATTGTCGAATTCAGCCGTGAGCAAGGCGATCTTATCGTTCTTCTCACGGAGAACAGCGCGTAGTTGGGCGACGTCGTTGAATTCACCGCTATCATGCGAACGGCCAAGATCCAATCCATCTTCCGGCATGAGGTTCTGAATTTCAGCCAAGCTCGCTTCCATCTCTGCCAGAGATGCTGCCTGTGCACCCAGCTGCTTGTCCCTCTCTTCCAGAAGTGTCTTCAGCCGCTGAATCTCCTCTTCATTCTGCGCAGACATTGGGCGGCGGGATTTGGGTCCCGCAACCGATCCGTTGCTTCCACGTGCAATGGGGGTTGACTCCCCGTCCTCATCAATGGTATCATGCTGACCCAGTCGCGAGTTGTTCCTAGAGTATGGGCGCGATGGACCGGGCGTGCGTGGTTTCTGAAAGGCCGGAGCTCGTGGGCCTGGGCTGTTGAATCTCGGCGGACCTATAGCGCTCTTAGAGAATCCACCAGGTGTCGTTGGTGCTTGTCTACCCGGGGTAGGCGCCAAATGTGGTTGCTTTCGGAAAGGAGACTCTGGACGAGGAAGTGAAGGCCTGCCTTTCGGTTTGAACACAGGGCTAGGTGCCCGGGCTCCAGGACCTACTGATTGGGAGAATTTTGGTACGGATGGGGTCGGAGGACTGTAACTGGGCTTTTCGGTGGTTGATATACTGAAGTTTGCATAGGAAGGCGTAGTGGGTGTCGGCGGAAACGAGTCCGTGAGAGAAGCTCGCCGTGTGGCTCGATGTACAGGCAGAAAGATACCTGCGCCGGGAATTGAGGTTACAAAGTATCTCTTACTATTGTTGTGACCAGTTAGCTGCGCTCCCGTAAATTGGATGACAAGATTCCGTATCTGATGTGTCATCTACTTACCCGTCCACATCACCGTCATTCTTTCCGCGGGAAGCGAACTCTCCGCTCAATTCTACACCTGCGAAAACACCTTTCTTCCCAGCAACAGCACCAACGAACTTGACTGTGCCATGCATGCCTCCCGGAACGTCTACCGTGTCGCCAACTTCGATATCCTGTCCGTCAGCCCCCATCCTGTTCGTTGGTGTGGTCGGACCTCCTGTAAGTGCTTGGAGACTTGCTTTGCGATGGGCGAGAGAGGATGTGCTGGCACCGAGCGCAAGATTTGGAGAGGAGATAGTATTATGAAGCGAAGGCCGGGCGAGCCTTTTGCTCGGCGTAAGGGCCATTTTGTATATCGGGCGACGGCTGTGTTATTGTAACGCGAGCAGGCCCTACCCTGTTGCACGAGAGAAAGGTGGTGGTTGTTGTTGACACCCAAGCGGAACATGCAAACAGGCAGGGGTAAATGGTTTAGCGACTGTTTGGGCCAAGCCGTAGATCCGCCCCTCTTCTCCTATCCCCACTGGATGGTGGACCATCAGGTAAACCCACTGTGTGCACTGTCACTATCAATGACGCTCAAGAGTTCCTGTTGTGTTGTCTGTTCAGGCTCACTTCGCCTTGATGGTGTTACGCGTTAGTTCATGCTTACAGCATGATGAGGGTCTCTTTCACTGATTGGAGTAACCATGAATGAAATCAAGTACCTGCAATCTCCTCCGCATAGAACGCGATCTCACGTGACATTACTATAAATGACCAGGGGCCTCTCCATGCCGCATCTTTAAAGCTCACGACAAATGTCTTAAGGGAGTCTCTTATTGTTTGAGATTCCAAGCTGTGTGTCTTTTGTAGGGGGTTGTGTGTAATAATTACGCGTAGTAAAGAGGTCCATATAGGTCCAAAGGTGCTGGAACAGCTGTGCAAGCAACTTGCTGTTCAAAAGGTACTCTCCAAATCACTTGCAATGGCGAGCTGAAGGTGATGTCGACGGAGACAGTATCAGATCAAATGGAATGCTTCTGCCCCATGTAGGTACGAGGTATTGTTCTGTGTTCTGTGTTCTGTGTTGAACGCGACTCGGTGCTTTGAGCGACCGCTACAGGCAATTGCCATTTACCGAGGCTCATCAGCGGACAAGCTGGCCCGCCTCCACCATGGCCGCCATACAAAAGCGTATTGCGTAGCCATGTTTGCGAACTCCAAATAACAATAACTCAAAAGAAAACAACATGGCTGGCGCTGTTCGTCAACCCATAGATGTTGCCGCGCTTGAGCGCTACATCTCTGCAAATGTCCCGGACATTGAAGCTCCAATTGACGTCAAGCAGGTACTGTGTAAGCCTCCCGTACTGCCAGTGAACATGTCTAACATTGACGACATAGTTTGGTTATGGACAATCAAATCCCACATATCAACTTACGGACAACAAAGGTCGTAAATTTGTTATGAGGAAGAAGCCTCCGGGTCAATTGCTTTCCAAAACGTGAGTGATGGGCGTGATGGGACTCCCCGTTGTACTTCCATACGGCGAGTCGCTGTTGGCGTCCAGTACCTCGGGGATGTGGCATAGAGCACCTCTTAAACCCACCCTTATGCCGAAATGATCGCTGATTGTATGCTACAACACAGAGCCCACAAAGTAGACCGTGAGTATAGAATTATTCATGCGTTGGAACAAACAGATGTGCCAGTTCCCAAGGCTTTGTGCCTTTGCCAGGATGAGGAGGTGATTGGCACTGATTTCTACATCATGGAGTTCCTGGATGGACGAATATTTGAAGACCCAGCCATTCCGGGAGTCACACCAGAGGAAAGAACCGAGATGTGAGTTCATTCCGACTTCTCTGTCTTTATACGAAATCTCACATAATTCAAAGCTGGCGCTCTGCCATCACCACGCTTGCCAAATTCCACAGAGTGTCGCCCAAGGATGTTGGCCTGGAGAACTACGGCAAACCGAGCGGTTTCTATAACCGTCAGATTGCAACATTCAACACGATTTCAAAGGCACAGGCCGAAGCTGTTGACAAGGAGACAAAGGTGCCCGTCGGTAAAATCCCCCATCAGGATGACATGGTCAAGTTCTTCAGCGATCCTCAGACGCAACCGAAGGATCGGAGCAGCTTTGTCCATGGCGATTACAAGATCGACAATGTAGTTTTCCACAAGACAGAACCTCGAGTGATTGGAATACTAGAGTAAGTGAAGCGTAATGGTCTCAGCATTGCTGTTTCAACCTGGTATTGACATGTGTTTAGCTGGGAGATGTCAACAATTGGTCATCCTCTCTCTGACGTGAACAACCTGCTGGCTCCTTTTGTTACCGCCAATTTCCCAAAGGCATTGGCAATTGGCAGAGGAAACAAAGCTTTCCAAGAAGGTGCAACACCGGGCCTTCCAACCCGAGACCAACTGATTTCGTGGTATGCTGATGCCGCGGGCTGGGATCCTCGCCCCGACATGGTCTGGGGAGATGCATTCGGAACCTACAGAGCAGCTATAATCATGCAAGGAATTGCTGCTAGATATGCTCTGAGGCAGGCAAGTAGTGCACAGGCGGGCGAATACGGAGCACAGATGAGGCCATTTGCAGAGATAGCATGGGATTTAGTACAGGAGACACAGAAGAAGCATGGAAAGGCAAAATTATGATGTTGGCAAGATGGATTCAATGGGCCATCCGCTCTATCATGTATTGATCGCTCTGTAGAGTTTTTGCTATCAAATCAAATATCCATGTGGTATCGTTCATCTCGACCTGTTGTAGGCAACGTCAACGACCTTGCTCTGGATACGCGTTGTCGTCCGTGCCATGCGAATAGCCATTAAAGCAAAAGGCTTGGGAAAAAATCCCCAGAAGTCGGTTTCCCTCAACGCCGCTTGCCAATCTCGTGAAATGTTGCTTTTGAAGCACACATAACTCCTCCTAGAAGTCGTGGGCCTTGTCCTGCGTCGCGCCTGCTCATCTGCCGCCCTTGTATTCGTCGGTGTTGATGCGATCGAGAGCCTGGTAAATGCATTAGCTACAATCTGGGCTCCTGGCAACACAAATACATACCTCAAGCATTACGACAGAGTTTCCACGAATGACCACCATGCCGATTCGAACCTTCTCTCCACCGGCCTTCTCTTCGAGTGCATCATCCAAAACGATATTTAGGTAGACATCGTAACCGCGTAATATTCCCATCACCTTCCTGCTGCCGTTCAGCTGGACCAAGATTCGTTTCTCAAGGTACTGTAGTAACAATCAGTATAATGTCTCTCAATCTTGTTTCGCGTAGCGTCGCAACAAAGCCATTCTATATCTGATCCGGGCAACCATAGATTCCGTGGTATGAAGAAATAGAAATTTGACCTACTTTCTTGAGTTCTGGCTGCGCTTGAGGCATCTTGAATGGTTCTCTCTCGAGCGTATGAGAAAGGTTCCTAAGCTGTAAGTGAGGTTGCGGAGGTTCGGCGGTGGGATAGCTTTTCGATGATCTTGGCGCAAATGGACCGTGCACATTCATAGTGCCCAGTTGCCTACGACAGTTCCTCAAAACTTTCCAAGATCGCAATTCAACTGCACGTCCAATATGAAAAGAGCCGGTTCTGGAAGAGTCGCGCGCAAAATTGGCGCATACGATGGAGATTCCGCGGAGAGTACGGACACATCGAGCGGCACAAAACAGGAGCAAGGACAAACAGGTGAGGACTTGCGATTATCCCAACTGCAGTTTTCTGTTTCTGACACTCCTAGGGAAGGTCTTTGCTAATGCGTTTTTGCAGATACAGTCGTAAAACGGCCTACTTTTGCGAAGGCAAAGAAGCGCTCGTCGCAGCGCATATCATTTGGTTCAAGCGCGGAGGATGGAGACGAATCCAGTGACACCGCTGTGATCACACCCAAGAAGTCCACTTTGAGTCGCATAGCAATTGAGAAGAATGCCGAACGAAGAGCCAGGTCACCGCTTGTGCCTAGTGCGCCTCTGAAGGAAGATCGGCCTAGCTACGACAAAAGCCACCTCGATGAACTGCGGAACTCGACCCCTTCGACCCCGAAAGATCTGAAACCTACGTCGGACGAAGAGGATGAGGTACGAGAATTGGATATTGCTTCGAAATTCGGTTCCCCAGCTCCCCTACAAGCACACAGCTCCGCGATACCGACAGATGCGGAGATCAAAGAAAAGAAAGCGAGGCGCGCGAGGTTGGCATCGGAGTATGCGGCAAAAGATGATAACGAGGAAGGAACTTGGGATTCAGATGACAACGATGAATTTCGCGGCGGGAGGAACGAGATATCACTACGACCGAAAGAAGAACAAGCCGACACTCGCCTTGTCCACGAAGACGAAGACATGGCTGAAGGATTTGATGATTACGTTGAGGATGGTGGGATATCACTGGGAAGGAAAGCAGAACGCGCCGCACGACAGCGGCGACGTGCTGAAATGGCCGAACTCATAGACAATGCTGAAGGTGGATCAGATGATGACGGGACGGACGATTCCGAAGCGGAAAGGCATGCTGCGTATGAGGAGGCTCAAACTCGAGCAGGCGCCTATGGGAAAACCATTCAGAAGTCGGACGATGGTGCGAGAACTCCACCAAAGATCACTCCTTTGCCAGATCTCGAGGGCGTTTTGGAACGCCTGCAGCTTGAGGTGACCAATAAGGAGCAAAGAAGAGCTGCAATGATGCAGAGGCTACAAGAGCTACGAGACGAAAAAACCAGTATATCGGAGCGGCAAAAGTATCTCCAGGAGCAATTGCAGAAGACTGGAGAGCAATACGAAAAGCTACGATTAGAGGCCGGAATGCCTGCACTGCCTGCAAGCGGTGGAGATGGAACCAAGCTCTTAGTTAATAGAGGATTGGAAAGCCTTGGAACAACACCACTGGAAAACACACCTATACCCACTCGCCCTGAAGATGACTAGGGCAGAAGTATTTCCAAACGGCGGTAGACGAATTGCTATCATATTAAACAGATACCCATCATAGGATGATGTAGATTTGTAGGCTTCTGCACTGGCTATTATACAATCAATGTTCATTCTCATTTCCCATAGCGCCAATGATGCTCCTTCATAGCACAGATCTTATTGTTACAGTGGTATAATATAAGTGTATAGGTTCGTGCATTACTCTGCGTCGATCTCGGCCCATACTTTCTCGATGTGTTTCCTCTTCTCTTTGGCCGCCTCTCGGTTTTCCCTCGTTCGCTCGAGTCTCTGCGCGCGCAGGCACATGTTGACCTTATGCTTTGCATCGTTGCAAGCGCCGAAGCATCGTGATATGAATCCTCGTTGGTGGCATTCTTCGAGTGCGGCAATCACCTCCGCGCAATCTGGACCGGAAGTGTAAGCAATGCAGTAGTGGAATGGTCGGGTTTGGGGTTTGCCCTACGCTTGGCTTGGTCGTTGTGTAGATGTGGATGCATGTTGATTGCGCCAACGAAGATTCTCCTCTTGGTCGCAAGGTGGAAGTAAGAATTGTGTGGCGTGAAGGATCAATGGGAGTTATACGAATGAGCAATCATGAGATTCTGTGACCATTGAAGTTGGTCCGTGCGGGATTTTTTACACGGTAACTTCTTGACGCCCCACCATCTAGAAGCAATAACTGTTGCCCATCCCAGCCTCTAAGACCCCACAAAGTGTGCAGAGATGGCGTCGCAACAGTCACTCAAGAAGCAGCAAGGTATGTGGAACTGTCCTGGGGAATATATTATTTGTCATGTGGCATCATACTGATGCGGGATAGAACTGCAAACCACGTATCAGAACTATAAGAATACATTACAAACAATAGCCCAGAAAATCGGGGATATTGAACAGGAGACAGAAGAACACAAGTATGTATCGGTCTCAGGATCATCTTCCAAAATTTGAATCCCATCCCAAGCTCCCTTGGAATCATCTAAGTCCTGGTCTAACGCGCTCATCAGGCTTGTGCTGGAGACCCTAGAACCCCTTCCAGGAGACCGGAAATGCTTCCGCATGATCAATGGTGTCTTGACTGAGAGGACAGTCAAGGATATTGTCCCCACGCTGAAGACAAACTCCGATGGTCTGAAAAAGACCCTCGAGGAGCTGGTCAAGCAGTACAAGACTAAGCAAGACGAAATGGAGAAGTGGAAGGTATGTCATGCTCTGCAGGGCATTACTAGCCCATTCATATGAAGAATCGTCGATGTTAACATTCAACCACAGAAAAAGCATAATGTACAGGTTGTTCAACAACCCCAATAGAAACAGCCTGGGATTCTTAGTACATATCCTGCTGCAAAGAGATGAGAGGATGTGTTCCACGTATCTTAGCTTGATGGTATAGTCATGATGACGGGAAAGACACTATTGCGGCGTCAAGAGAAGAAAAGAATAGCGTTGTTCGCATCTGCAACGAAGTGTTGAGAGACGACCGAAGCTACTAGGATCATCCTACAACAAAATCATGACGACCTTCGGACGATTTTGATGATGGATGAAATCATGCTAGGATGAGGAAGATACGACCTCACTTAGTCTTCCATGAGGATGAATCATGTAGGCCTTTTGGCTGTGATTCACCCTCAACGTGTCCAGGCAATTACACAAGGGTCAATGAATTACATCAAGCATCAAAATGACGATGGGTCTAGAACTGCGAGTGTACAAAACCAATCCAAGCAATACTACGTCAGTTTTCCAATATCATCGGCCTCATAAATGCCATGAATGTCTGTGCAGTACCTGAAGCAGTCGTCTATATGGCGGATCCTAGAAAGTGACGTATTAGAAAAGCTGAAATGTGGTGGTAACCTCTCATCGACTCGTCCATATCAGTGGGATATAGTCTGCAGTAGGACGTCGATCTTCCTATGATATGAGCGCCAACACATCTTGCAGGAGTTAGCCACATCCAGCCATGTCTCGACCCGAGTGACAGGAACGTGGCTGAGATGCTCTCTGACTTGTATGTAAATTGCTATGAGGTGTTCGTGAACGTGGGATGATCTTGTGCCAACCGGAGGTTTATCTGATGGGGACCATGGGGGTGGTGTGCTGGCCAATGCACGTCCGAGCCGAGTGACGAGATGCTGATACGAGAAGACAGAAAAGCGAATGGCAAGCTGCGCTCATCGTCTGAGGTTTTAATTGAGGGGTTCTATCTGCACCCGCACTCATAGGGCTGAGTTTGCGTGCATTGGCCCGGGCGATCGTGTGGGTTCAATCACGATGAGGTATTTCGGACTAGATGTGAGGTATGGCCATACATGGCTGTAAAGGTCCTTGCATGTTATGCGTTAAGAACAGGGCTAGAGCATGGGAAATCCATGAAGAATCGATATTGATTCATAATTCAGTTGCTCCCTTTGAAACCATGGATTCTGATCGATGGGTCATTAATTATACGATTCTATTGCGAGAGTTCTCGGGTGGATCCTTCGAGGTATCAACTGACGTAACTCTGGCGCGGGTGGTAGAAGTAAGGTTTTTAGGGATACGACCCATACAAGCATAAGGCTGGACGGTTGTCGGGGGAACACGTGACTCTCCCTCCGGATTCAGCTTTTGTTTTGATCCATTCTGGTTTAGCGCGTTCAGACGGCCCCTCCCATCAACTGGATAGCCTAAGCCTAACATTCAATGCCCGCCCGTCTCGCGACGACCGTGTGAACTGCTCTCAGTCCCTAGTCCGGTTGCTGCTGCTGCCCGCGCGCGACCGCTCCTACCTATATCTACATCAGCTAAACTACTACACCACATCAACCTTACCCTACCCGACTTACATACAAGTGAACACCAATACACATCCCACCAGTTCAACCCAACCTGCCCTGATCTACGCGCGTCCCTGTATTACAATCCCTTGCGCGCCCGGTACGTCGACCTGCGTCCAGCCTCTGCATGCCGCTAACCCTCATACTCCGTCAGACATCGCTGTAGTACAGTGGTTGCATACTCGGTCGCCAAGACAGAGCAACACACCTCCCGCAGCTCCAGTGACGTGGACGCCAGCGAATCTCGGGGAAAGCGCCAGCGCACACAGTCTCTCCAAGTTCCTATCCGAGCCTGCAGGCTACCGAATAAACATGTCGACCACCCCCCCGAAGAAGGAGGGCGTGGAACCAGGAGCTCAGTCGCCTGACAGTTCGGAGCCGCATATGGACAGAGAAGCTCAGGAAGCACAAGCGCAAGGACTCGGGTACGAGTTTGAAGTCAAGGAACAGGACCGATGGCTTCCAATTGCCAATGGTAGGTCAATCTATATTCAATTCCTCCTCTTCATTTTGATTTGCGCGTCGCTTTGCTCCCATCTGCACGTCGACGGATTGCTACCAGCGAGCGCCGATTGGAAACCCACATACTCGCAATCGCGCGTTTGAATCGTCTGCGCGTCGAATCACGCTTGTTATATCATCCGCGAATCTGAAAGCGCTTTGGTGTGTCTGGCGAACCGTTGCCCTGCAGACGGGAGTCATGTCGACTTCTTCAGCGTCTCCGCAGCATTCAGCTTCGTCGGCACAGTCAAATTCAAGAAGTTCAGTAAACCATCTCGCATCAGACGCTAACATTCGCAACTTTGCTCCAGTCGCCCGAATCATGAAGATGGCTTTGCCCGAGAACGCGAAAATCGCGAAAGAGGCCAAAGAGTGCATGCAAGAGTGCGTCAGCGAGTTCATCTCGTTCATCACCAGCGAAGGTTAGTCTTCTAGGTTTCCTTTTCTGTGGGGATGTTTGTTGACATTGTCTGTAGCCTCCGAGAAGTGCCAGCAGGAAAAGCGCAAAACGGTCAACGGCGAGGATATCCTCTTCGCCATGACCTCCCTAGGTTTCGAGAACTATGCCGAAGCCTTGAAAATATATCTCTCGAGATATCGCGAGGTAAGCTGCAGGACTTTCATTTCCCCCCTGTTCTCTCCTTTGTTGCCTTCAAACTTGGCGAAGTCATTTATCTGAACTATTGGTATTGATTGGTGGCACGAGACCCTCCTCGCAAATCAGAACAAACCTGGCGGTGGGATCAATCCAGGCGGGCCCAGCGGGGCAAACCCAGGTGCAAATGCTGCCTCCGGGGGTACCTTTGCCCAGGGCGAGAATCCCCAGCACGGCAACGTATTGAGTGGCGACACCGAAATGGCAGAGAACGACAACACAGCTTTCGGGTACACCGTTCATCCAAACGGTTCCGCCGACTTCTAAATGCCGTGCCGAGATGGGAAGAGCGAGCTTCCAGCAGAGAACCAAATCAGGTCTACCTATCGACGTGGTTACGGTATCTTGATCACCGCAAACGGAGGAAACTGCGTCCTGTTTCGCCGACGCTCAGGGAAGGGCTTGGATCAGATTGACAGATCGGGATAGGCTTTCTGACTTTATTTCTTAACTCGGAGGATATGTGTGGAGGACTGCAGTAACATATTCGGGCTCCATTTAAGAACCTCCTTTCTTAGCTGGGGGAGATAATGGAACACCGCCTGCTGTTGTGACTATCATTAGGAATTTTTGGTTCAGGTCCAATGGTGATCACCACCAACCGAGATAGTTTTCCGGTATTAATGATGAGGATTGGATAATCTGTTGCCCACGCAATTATGTCTATCCTGATGCAACTTGATACTGGCATTCTATACAGCTACCTTCTTACTCGCATATATGAAAGACGTAGCAACGCAATCGAGAATCGCACTCTAAACCTCAGGCCAATCCTAGTATAAAAGGATCAAATCCAACTACGAGCTTCTCAACAACGATGCTGATGAAGATTGAATAATTCCTGCTTAATGCTATTCACAGTCATGCTGCCTGTCTCTTCCTAGCTAGGAGCTCACTCAAGGGCAAATCATCCTCCTCGTCATAGAACTCAACTTCCTCATCGAGACCAAAGTCTCTCAATCTCTCCCCTTCCCTATTACGCCAGCCCTCTTCGCCATCCTGACTATCCTTAGCTGTCCAGGCTCTTTCTTCACTATCTCTCGTATCCGTTTCCTCTCCACTATCCACCTCCTCGGAATTATCTAGACTTCGTTGCCGAGCCACGTAATCTTCCACTCTATTCACAAACGGTTCCCTTCGTCTGACGATATCATTCTCTTGTCGCTTACGGAAGGCCGCGAGTGTCTCCTCAGGTGTAAGACCCGCATCGCGATATGTGAAAGCAGTTTCCCCCTTCCCTATTGGGGCCTGCTTCCGATACATGCGGTCCGGGTCAGGCGGCGGCCAAGAAAGTGACTCGTCTTCGAACCCGTTCGTTTCGAATTTTAGTCCCCCTTCTATTGATGGGGTAGATGCGAAAGGCCAGAACCAAGCTAACACGTTACCAGTACCCATGCCCTGCTTGATGTTCTTCCAGATACCAATGTCGTAAGGAAACTCCTGTTTTCGGATCTGGACCTTGACGCCATCGGGTCCATCGAGCCAGCCGCCGAAGTATTTGGCTCGCCTTACTAATGTCGAATGTCTTTCGATTTCCCACCCTTCGATGGTGGTGGTGTTGACGGACAATCCCCAGATGTTTCGGATCAGTAGAATAGTGAGAGCGAATAGCGTTAATGAATTGGCGATCAATATCGCGAATAAATGGGCAAGCTGATAAATGGAAGGCCCGAGGTAGCTAGGTAGGTGACGTTCTGCCCAGAGATGGCTGGCGGGAGCCCATATCAAGTTGAAGAGATATGTCATAGAGACGACCGCGTAGAAGAGGAAGCGCATGAAATGAGGAAAGGTCGTATGGGAAACACAGTTTTGTGTCCAGGGACAATGATGATCCATTTTGGGAATACATCTGTAAATTTGAGTCAGATCAGTTTTTAGAGTTCAAAACAATGCCATAGAATTACCTCTGACATTCTCGGCAGTGGTGCGCACGAGGGGGTTTGATGGCTTTGCATTTTCGACACCACTTTCTTGATTGGATCGCTTTGTTCTCATGTGTACCATCAAGTGTTTTCGTTTCTTCCTGTTCTGATTCTATTTTTGGTATTCGTCCTGGGTCAACGAATACAGATTTTGTATAAGAAATCAATAGGCATACGAGTAAACTATTGAACCAGACGAGCTGATTTTTCGTCGGAGGAAAAGGCTCGAGATAGAGAAGCAGCCATTGCGAAGTATATGCTAAAAAGAATATCAGGGCATAGACTGAAGGTACCGCAAAGCGCCCTAGCTCCATTTGTGAGAGTCTGAAAACTGTTTGGAATCTACAGGCTTGCTGATGGGTTGATTTCAAGGAGGTGACACGGTCACGTGGTCGCCCCATCCGCTATAGGTGGACCCAACGGCAATCTGAACTGGGAACATTAGCTTCACATCGTCATCAATAATAACATACAACGACTTTCTACAATGATGGGACGGATAGAATGGGTATTCTACCTCCTGATACCGGCCTCGATCCTCATTCATGTCTTTGTGGCACCATATACTAAAGTTGAAGAGTCGTTCAATATTCAAGCCATTCACGACATCCTAATTCACGGCATCCCGAACGAAAATGCAGAGCAGTTTTTCACCGCGAATTATGACCACATCTCTTTCCCAGGATCTGTACCAAGAACATTTGCTGGCGCCTTGATTCTTTCGGGGTTGTCAAGGCCATGGATATGGTTGGTTAGGTCACCCCAACAACTCCAGTTGCTAGGTAAGTAACACTAAGGATTAGAGATGTACAATTTGATCAATTGACAATTCTTATCAGTGCGCTCTGTTTTGGGGCTCTTAAATGCGGCTGCTCTCGTATACTTTGGTCAAGGCGTCCAAAGGGCTTTTGGGAGAAGCGCTGCGGTTTGGTATGCGCTTTTCCAATCGAGCCAGTTTCACATAATATATTACGCGTCTCGAACATTGCCAAATATGTTCGCATTTGTTTTCAGTAGGTCTACGATATTGATAAAGCTTCAGTGCCACTGATCATATTTCAGGCACCATAGCATTAAAAGGCATACTGGATGCTCATTCCAACCAATTCAAACCTGGCAGTGCTGCAAGAAGCTATCGACTGAGTCTTTACTTGCTTACCTTTGCTGGCGTCGTTTTCCGTTCCGAATTAGCAATATTGGTAGGAACATTGACCATTTACCTACTAGCTACACGCCCGATCTCGATACCAAAAGTAATCATTCCAGCTGGTCTGGGTGGCCTCGTCATGGGGCTGCTTTGTACTATTCCCATTGACTCCTACTTCTGGCAATCATTCCCCCTTTGGCCAGAATGGATTGCCTTCTACTACAACACAATCGAAGGTCACTCTGCAGATTGGGGAACCTCACCGTGGCATTTCTATTTGATCAATGCCCTGCCACGACTTTTGTTGAATCCACTCACATACCTGTTGTGCGTACCTGTAGCACTCGTCAACCCCGTTTCACGACAGCGAAGTCTGGACCTTCTGATCCCCCTTCTGTCCTTCGTCGGATTGTACAGCTTCCTTCCGCATAAGGAGTGGCGCTTCGTCATCTATGTCATCCCTGGTCTGACTGCTGTGGCAGCGGCTGGTGCGGCCTGGATATCAACCCGTAGCGCCAAGTCGGGTGCCTATAAGCTCCTCACTGTAGGTCTGATCGGGTCGATCGTACTTTCATTCGCTGCATCTACTGCACTGCTCGGAATCTCTAGCCTGAACTACCCCGGTGGGGAGGCACTTACGACTCTTCATCACCAATTGCCCCACCCAGAAGGCCGCCCATTACGGGTATATCTAGACAACTTAGCATGCCAGACCGGTGTGACGCGTTTTCTCGAGGTGCACAACGGACCCCAGACAGTCATGGATGTTTTGGAAGCACAAGATTTCGCCAACCATAAGTCTTGGGGTTATTCGAAAACCGAAGACCCAGAGGTGCTACTCGATCCCCGATTCTGGGACAACTTCGACTACGTTCTCGCCGAGAGACCCGAGAAGGTGATTGGAAGCTGGGAGGTTGTCCATACGGTATATGGATTCAGCGGCATTAGTTTCCTTCGGCCTGGTGAGGGTCTTGGGAAAGGTTCTACTACCGACGAGAATGCTGCTGCACATTATACAGACAGGGTAGCAGCGGTATGGGCAACTTTGGAAGAAAAACTTAGATACCCTCTTCTACGAGGCTATTGGGTGAAGCTTAATATGCAGCCTAAGATCAGAATCTTGGCTCGAAGGCCAATAGGAATCTAATGAGAGTAGGTAGCTAAGGCAAAAAAGCTCTGGAATTGTTTCAAAGTTATGACTATGTGTATGAATATATCGTGGTTTACGACCTATGGACATCCTATGATTCAATGATGGTGCAATTTCCCTTCATCCTGTTATGACATAAATTTCAGATTACTCCATAGACATGCGAAAATAAAGCAATTGTACTAATTCGACAGCTACATAGATATGATATCTTTCATCCACAAATGGTGGACATTGGAACGTGGTCACGTGAAGGGTTACTGCCTGGTGAATCTTGGCGGCGATGGCCCAAGCTTCTTTCGAGATTTAGATTTTCGGAATCAACGCCATCAATCTCAAGACGCGACTTTGTCCCCCATGGTGTTCGCGCGATACCATCAGTAATTCTCCTACCTTGTCGCGTACTGCGACTACACGATATTCATACATAATTGACGCTCAAGCCGGGCCATAGACTTGAGACAATACAGTCAAGATGGCGGACCAGAAGCAGAACAACCTCGCGCAATTCAAATATGCGGCGATGTCAAATTTGGTCCTACAGGCGGACCGAAGATTTGTCACTCGCCGCGGAGATGAAAACACTGGCGACCCCGAATCGCTTGCCGGCCGGATCAACATCAGGGACATGGGAGGACGTACAGCACGAGACGATGCGCCAACACAGAAAAAGAAGTCGAAAGGTCCTTTAGACGTCGAACGAGGAAGCATAACGGAAGGTGGAGATGTCCTCGAACGTGAACAGCGTAAACGGAAGCGAGGCGACGGGGCAGGACCCGCCAACCGGACAGCACAAGCGGATCTCCTGGTCGAAGGCCTCACATACAAACCACGAACCCCCGCTACGCGAGCAACGTTCGATCTGATCACAACCCTTGTTGGCCGAAATCTTGGAGATGTTTCGGCAGCGACGGTACGGAGTGCCGCTGACGCCGTGCTCGAATACCTGAAGGACGATAGCTTAAAGGACCTGGATAGAAAGAAGGAGATTGACGATCTTTTTGGATTTTCCATGGGAGCGAAGGAATTCAACGAACTTGTCAATCTCGGAAAGAAGATTACCGATTATGACGCGCAAGACGCTGATGAAGAGATGGGAGAGGACAATGACGGATTAGACGATGCGGAGTTGGACGAGAACCAGGGTGTCGCGGTCGTCTTCGACGAAGATGAAGATGACGAAGAGGCGAGGCAGACATTCGAGGTTCGGGATGAAGATACTTCAGACGAAGATGATGATGACGACGCCGCAGCTCCCGATGAGCTTGGTGACGGACAAAACGGCGCTGAAGGCGACCGTGACATCGCGGATGGAGAAGAAATAATCATACAAGGCGAGCAAGGCGCTCTAGACGACCGAACAGGAGGCTCCGAACAGCTCATACCTACTCACGAGATCGACGCATACTGGTTGCAACGACAAATCGGTCAAGTGTACGAGGACGCTCATACACAACAGGAGAAGACGCATGATGCGCTCAAGATCTTGTCCGGGGTCGATGACGATGGCGACGAAAAGCCGCTTCGTGAAATTGAAAATGATCTCATGGAGCTGTTCGACTACGAGCACCATGAGATTGTCGCAAAACTTGTTCTCAACCGGGATAGAATCGTTTGGGTCACAAAATGGAGGCGGGTGGCCGATGACAAGGATGGACGAGCTGCTGTCGAGCGTGAGATGAAGGCTGCAGGCCAGCAAAAGATCCTCCAGGAGCTTCGACAGCGAGAGACTGGTGTCAAAGCAGCCGACTCTGCCGGGGCTAAGAAGATGAACATCGACCTCATGGATATTGATCTTCCAGACTCAAAGGATGCTGCCACAGCCGATGCCCCCAAGCAAGATGGATTGATTGGTGGTCTGCAGCCATCAGGTCGAGTAATCAATCTGGAGAATCTTGTTTTCGATCAGGGCAATCATTTGATGACGAATCCGAGCGTCAAGCTACCACAAGGCTCAACCAGGCGTCAATTCAAGGGCTATGAGGAGATCCATGTACCTGCTCCCAAAGCAAAGCGTGACGCCAACGAACCCAAGAACCTACCAACCACCGAATTGCCAGAGTGGGCACGTGTGGGCTTTGGCTCCTCCAAAGAGCTAAATCGAATCCAGACCAGGTGTTTCCCTACAGCATTTCATGACGATGGCAACATGCTCATCTGTGCTCCTACCGGTTCTGGTAAGACTAATGTGGCAATGTTAACCATGTTGCGCGAAATTGGCAAGCACCGAGACCCACGGACCGGAGAAATTGCACTCGACAACTTCAAGATAATATACATCGCACCTCTCAAGGCCCTCGTCCAGGAACAGGTTGGAAATTTCGGAAAACGATTGGAGCCGTATGGAATCAAAGTCTCCGAATTGACTGGTGATCGTCAACTCACTAAACAGCAAATCGCAGAGACACAGATCATCGTTACTACGCCAGAGAAATACGATGTCATCACCAGAAAAGCCACCGACACCAGTTACATCAATCTTGTACGCCTTATCTGTATCGATGAAATCCATCTCCTACACGATGATCGTGGTCCTGTATTGGAAAGCATCGTTAGTAGGACAATTCGCCGAAATGAACAGACAGGCGAGCACGTTCGACTTGTTGGTCTCAGTGCGACCCTGCCTAATTACCGCGATGTCGCCAGCTTCCTTCGTGTCGATCCGGAGAAGGGTCTCTTTCATTTCGATGCAACCTTCCGACCTTGCCCACTCAAACAAGAATTCATCGGTGTCACAGAAAAGAAGGCTATCAAGCAACTGAAAACGATGAATGATGTCTGCTATACGAAAGTCTTGGAGCAAGTCGGCCAAAATCACAATCAGATGCTCATCTTCGTTCATTCTCGTAAGGAAACAGCGAAGACCGCGAAGTATATCAAGGATAAGGCACTCGAAATGGACACTATTGGTCAAATATTACGTTCCGATGCAGCAACGCGAGAAATTCTTCGCGAGGAAGCCGACAATGTTCAGAATGCCGAGTTGAAGGAGCTCATGCAGTATGGCTTTGGAATCCATCATGCTGGTATGTCAAGAGCAGATCGAACAACCGTCGAAGATCTTTTCGCAGATGGCTCCCTCCAGGTGCTTGTCTGCACGGCTACATTGGCTTGGGGTGTCAATTTGCCTGCGCACACAGTCATCATCAAGGGAACCCAAATTTACTCGCCTGAGAAAGGTAGCTGGGTCGAGCTCAGCCCGCAGGATGTTCTCCAGATGCTTGGTCGAGCCGGTCGGCCTCAATTCGATACATACGGAGAGGGTATCATCATCACTACGCAAACAGAGATACAGTACTACCTGTCGCTTCTTAACCAGCAACTGCCTATCGAATCCCAGTTCATAAGTCGATTGGCAGACAACCTCAATGCTGAAATCGTCTTGGGTAACGTACGCACTCGTGACGAGGGTGTTGACTGGTTAGGATACACATACCTGTTCGTTCGTATGCTTCGATCGCCTGGTCTTTACAGTGTCGGCGCCGAGTATGCGGATGACGAGGCTCTGGAACAGAAGCGTGTCGATTTGATCCATGCCGCTGCGCATGTTCTCGAGAAATGCAACCTCATCAAGTACGAGAAGAAGACTGGGCAGCTACAGCCAACGGAACTAGGACGCATTGCCTCCCATTACTACATCACCCACAACTCAATGTCGACATACAACCAGCACATCCAGCCAGGTATCAGCGCCATTGAATTGTTCCGAATCTTTGCGTTGAGTGAGGAGTTCAAGTTCATTCCCGTTCGACAGGATGAGAAATTGGAACTCGCGAAACTACTCGGAAAAGTTCCAATTCCGGTGAAGGAAGGAGTCGAAGAACCTCAAGCAAAGATCAATGTTCTACTTCAAGCATATATCTCACGTCTCAAGCTTGAAGGCCTTGCCCTCATGGCTGATCTAGTGTATGTTACCCAGTCAGCCGGGCGAATTCTTCGCGCTGTCTTCGAGATTTGTCTCAAGAAGGGCTGGGCTGGAGTTGCTAAGCTCGCATTGGATTTGTGCAAGATGGCTGAGAAGCGCATGTGGCCGACCATGTCACCCCTGCGACAATTCCCTAACTGCCCTAGGGATGTGCTGCAGAAAGCTGAGCGTATCGACGTGCCATGGAGCAGCTACTTTGGACTCGATCCACCTAATATGGGTGAACTCTTGGGAATGCCCAAGGCTGGTAGACTTGTTTGTCAGCTCGTTGAAAAGTTCCCTCGCCTTGAAATTGAGGCCATTCCCCGACCAGTGACACGCTCTATGCTCCGATTAGAGCTTACAGTTCGCCCGAACTTCGTCTGGGACGATCAACTCCATGGCGCTTCGGAGGCATTCTGGATTCTCGTCGAGGACTGCGATGGCGAAGAAATTCTTTTCCACGATACTTTCCTCCTTCGCAAGGATTACGCCAACTCTGAAACGAATGAGCATTACTTGGAGCTTACGGTTCCAATTGAAGAGCCTATGCCGCCCAATTACTTTATCACGGTTCTGTCCGACCGATGGATGGGCTCTGAAACCAAGCTCGCCGTGTCGTTCCAGAAATTGATTCTTCCTGCGAAATTCCCCCCTCATACCCCCGTCCTAGATTTGCAGCCACTGCCTGTCTCGGCATTGAAGAAGCGAGAGTACCAGGCACTTTACGAAGATATTGGTCGTTTCAACAAGGTTCAAACACAAGTCTTCAATTCGCTCTACGCATCAGACGACAACGTGTTCATTGGCGCTGCGGCTGGAATTGGAAAGACAGTGTGCGCTGAGTTCGCTATACTTCGGCATTGGTCAAGTGGCAAGGATGGCCGCATCGTCTACCTAGCTCCCATGCAGGAGATGGTTGATAATCAGTACAAATACTGGAGCGATCGGTTGGTCAAGCTCGGCGGAGGCAAAGATATCGTCAAACTTGCGGGTGAGATGACTGCAGATCTTCGTCTCTTGGAAAAGGGTGACCTCATTCTTGCTACTCCAGCGCAGTGGGACGTTATTTCGAGGCAATGGCAGCGACGAAAGAACGTTCAGTCAGTCGCATTGTTGGTTGCTGATGGGCTGCATCTCTTGGGTGGCTCCGGTGGTCATGTGTACGAAGTGGTTGTCTCTCGAATGCATGCAATGGCTGCCCAGATCGAGTCTGGTCTCCGCATTGTTGGATTGAGCGTGCCACTTTCTAACGCCCGGGATGTCGGAGAATGGATTGGCGCAAGCAAGCATACGATGTTCAATTTCAGCCCGGGAGTTCGCGCCGTGCCATTGGAATTGAAGATCCAGTCCTTCACCATCCCACATTTCCCATCGCTGATGCTAGCTATGGCGAAGCCTACGTACAAGGCCATCACACAGATGTCCCCCGACAAGCCAGCAATGGTGTTTGTTCCAAACCGGAAACTAGCACGCACTTCAGCATTGGATCTCTTTGCTGCAGCTGTGACAGAAGACGACGAGGACCGCTTCCTAAATGCACCATTAGCCGACATTGAACCAATTCTGGCTCGAGTAAACGAACAGGCACTCGCCGAGTCTTTATCCCACGGTATTGGATATTTCCATGAGGCCCTCAATCCCTTTGACAAGAAGGCCGTCCAACATCTCTTCAACATCGGTGCGATCCAGGTCATGATCGTTTCTCGGGACTCGTGCTGGGAGGTCAACAGCAACGCTCACCTTGTGATTGTGATGGGTACACAATTCTTCGAAGGCCGAGAGCACCGCTACATTGACTATCCTATCAGTGAAGTCCTACAGATGTTTGGTAAAGCCGGAAGGGTGGGTCAGGACAAATCTGCTAAAGGTGTTCTAATGGTACCAGCCGTGAAGCGTGACTACTACAAGAAATTCTTGAACGAGGCTTTGCCTGTTGAGAGCTACCTTCGTGACTTCCTTCACGACGCTTTCGTTGCCGAGATAAGCGCGAAGACGATCGAGTCGACCCAGGAAGCTGTTGACTGGACCACCTACACCTACTTCTACCGCAGGCTTCTCGCAAACCCGAGCTACTACAACCTCCACGATACCTCCCACGATGGTCTCAGTGGATATCTCTCTGAACTCGTCGAGTCCACGTTGAAAGAATTGACAGAGGCCAACCTCATCGAACATGATGAAGACGAGGATACCATAACACCACTGAACCCGTGTATGATCGCCGCTTACTACAACATCTCGTTCATTACCATGCAAACGCTCATGATGTCGCTTAACGAGAAGACTACCCTGAAGGGTGCTCTCGAGATTATCACAGCTGCGACTGAATTTGAAGACGTCCAGATCCGCCGTCACGAGGACCACATCTTGAACAAGATATACGACAGGGTGCCTTACAAGATGCAAGAACCGAATTTTGAAACACCGCACTTCAAGGCATTTGTTCTGCTGCAGGCACACTTCTCGCGCATGCAACTTCCCGTCGACCTTGCCAAAGATCAGGAACAGATCGTCAAGAAGGTCCTCACCATTCTCAGCGCAAGTGTCGACGTCCTCTCTTCGGAAGGCCACTTGAACGCAATGAACGCAATGGAGCTCTCCCAGATGGTCGTACAGGCTATGTGGCAGAAGGACTCCCCATTGAAACAGATCCCGCACTTCGATAATGACACCATCAAAGCGGCTCAGAAGTTCGGAGTGAATGACATTTACGAGTTCATGGAGGCCATGGACCCTGAAGAGAACCAGGACTACGAGAAACTCATCAAGGCGCTTGCGCTCGACAACAAACAGCTATCCGAGGCTGCTACCTTCACCAATGAGTACTACCCCAATGTTGAGCTCGAACACGAGGTTCTCGAACCCGAGGACATTGCCGCGAACAGTCCCGCATACGTCGCTGTTAAAATCACGCGCGAGCTCGACGAAGACGATGAGCCAAAGACGGACGTCCATGCGCCCTTCTACCCCGCCGACAAGACCGAGAACTTCTGGCTCGTTGTTGGTGACCAAAGGGCCCGCACTCTGCTGGCCATCAAGAAGGTTACTGTGGGAAGGCAGCTCCAGACAAAGCTCGAATTCACAGTCACGGAGCCCGGTCGCCACGAGCTCACTCTTTTCTTGGTCAGTGACAGTTACTTGGGCATTGATCAGGCACCCACCTTCGAGGTCGATGCTGCGGAAGGAATGGACGAGGATGAAGACTCGGAGGAGGAAGAGGAAGAGTAAGAATTGCAATACACGAAGGTATAAGGATTGTAAAGGACATTGAAAGCTAGTCGGCATCTGGCATGGGCGTTGTGGGAGGAGTTTTAAAAATCAGGCTTAGATCTGTATGGTTTAATTTGCGTTCTAGTATGTACGAATCAGACAATGCTCAACTGTATATTATACATATCCTGGGATGAGTTCGAGCACAATAATCATGTTTTCGTTATTTTTATACGTGCTGTGCCCTTCGCCTGCTTTGGTGAGGTTCATTACCTCCTTCGTTATTAAGCTCGTTGGTGAACCTTGGAACGATTGCAAGCATAGCCGATGCACGAACACGAACAATCAATGACCAGTAAATGCAACATGAAACAAAATCTTTTCTGGCAGTGTCCCAACGACCTGACTATGCATATACTACAACCATATAAGGTATCTAGATCTAATTGCTCCTCTTCCTCGCCTTCTTCTCCCTCTCGTACGCCTTCGCCTCCCTGCCTTCCTCGCCCTGGATCTCCGCGACGAGCCTCTTGTACTTCTCCTCGTACGCCCTGTCCTTCTCCTTCTTGTCCCTGAGCTTCTCCCTCGCAATGAAGTTTGCATCCTTGCGGAGCTCTCGGAGCGCACCCTTGCGCTCGCGCTTGTACTCCTTGCGGAGCTTGGCCGCGTCGGCGCGCTCGCGGTCCGGGTCGTAGTGCTTGTTGGGGTCGAAGGCTTCTTCGAACTTGGGGATGGAGGATTTGATGGGAAGGGGTCGGTGATGGTGGAGCTCCTGCGGTCGGCGGCGGAGACGCGCGGTTTGGATTGATATGCGGACGCGCTGTAGGGTGGGAGCTGCTTGCGATTTGTGGAGGGCTAGGGGTTCGAGGAGGGGGGTCATGATTTCGATGAATGCGGGGAGTTTGGACCAGGTGTCCACCATGGTGGAGATGTTCTTGCAGTGGGCGGCCAGTGTGTCTTTTTCTACGTGGTCGGACTTCAGGCAGAGTACAGTGGATCGTACAGTCTCTGGTAGGTAGCGTTTCGAGACTCGTTGGTAGTGTAGACTTAGTGCTGCGAGGTAGGCTGTGATGGAGACTTCTTGCGCGGTTGATACGGTGTTCAAGAGTCCCATCCATCTTGCCATGATAGTGACTGCCTATTTGTTAGCCTGTGCTATCATAGATAGGAGTGGGCTACCATGGGAGGAAATAAACGGAAGTGTCCCAACTTACTGGCTGGAGTGCTCACTTGCTCAAAGTGTGCTGAAGTTTCATAGATTGATCCGATTGCCTTATAGTGCATTAGCAGGTGCCCGCCAACTATACAAGAGGTATTCAACTTACGGTGAGAAGGCACAGGTCCCCAGGAGTAACTTCCGAGAGGGATACAGTGGCGAGTCTCTTAAGGTGCTCACGGAATCGAGTACCAATGGCAATCGAATATGATCGGTTCAAGGAGTGAATGTGTCTGATCACACTTTCCTGTACGGCAAGAGATACTGCGAGCTGCGATTGTGCAATCCAGTCAACCAGCGCACAAGCAAAGTCGGTGAGCTTATGCTTGTTATCGGAGTGGAGGCCGGAATGATACTGAGCACGAATGCGCTGAACCACCTTGGGAATGTCGTCTTCCTGTATTTTTCCAAAGAGCACCAAAACTTCATCGAGGGATCGAGGGCACGAGTAGGTGTATGGCAGGCTTGATGCCTTCGCCTCGCCATCGCTTGCCACAGGTCCTTCTTGTGTCTTTGCTTTGGTAGATGGATCTTTAAGGACAGCAAGGAACTCCTCGTCTTCGTCTTCCAGACCCATGGTATCGTCAATGTCGCTATCGGACTCTTCCGATCCGGATCCTTCGAGTTCGGAGCCACTTTCAACATCATCAAAAATGAAGTCGTCTTCCTCGTCCTCGAAACCTTCAGGTCGTCTGCCAGGTTTCTGGGCCAGGCCGAATTCTGCCGCGTCGTCCTGCTCCTCATCCTCTTCGTCCTCCTCCTCTTGCAAATCCTTTTTGTTGTCCTTAGATTCAGCATCGGAGTCCTCGTCGGCCTCGCCCCTCATTCGTTTTTGCCTTCGTTCTTCCAACTCTTTCAGCTGGTCCGCTTCTTCTTTAGCTTTCTCTTCCTCGGTCAAGGTTCGCGACGTAGGTTTGGCCTTCTGGTCAGAAAGCATCTGGCGTCTCCTTATGTCGTATTCCTTATCAACCTCTGCTCGAGATTTACCAGCTAGCAATGCAGCGCGTTCAGGATTAATACTGAAGTCGTCCCGTGGGGCTTCTTTCGGCGCATCTTTAGGGGGCGCAGAGGGAGGCTGATCCTTTTTGCTGATGTGACCCCTAAGGGCAGCGAGAATATCAGGTAAATCCTTGTCAAGCTCTTCTCGCAGCTCATCATCGTCCTCCTTCTGTTGCTGGCGCTCATACTTGTGCATTTTGGATTTGGCGATGACTTCCTTCATGACCTCCGCCTTACTCTTCTTCCGCTCTGGCTCGTCCTCCTTTGGCTCATCTGCATTGTCTTCCTCCTCATCGTCATCTCTCCTTCGTTTCCGCTGCAGGAAGCCATCGGAGTCGCCGACGCTATCCCCACTCACGCTTCCTGCATCGTAGTCCTCCTGTCCTCCCAGATCGAAATTCAGAGACTTGCCACCGTGCGTGAGCATGACCTCGTCCTCATCATCCTCAAGATCGAACACATTTCCCCTCTTCCTCTGCTGCTCCTGCTCGAAACGCGCCATCATGCGATCGTCCAGCGTCATTGAGGGATCGTTCTCGCCGATACGTCGATCCAATATGCCTCCAACCTTGTTGCGCTTGTTCATCTCCGGCAGCAGCGTCTTGCGCCTCGCCTCCTCGCCCTGGCTCTTCGTGACACCCGGCCGGCCCAGGACTTTGCTCGCATCTTCGGTTCGGCTGGTGGTGTATTCGAATTTCTTGGGGCGCGAGAGATGCTTGAAGTCGAATGGGTTGGCGGCCTCGCGGATGGCGGAGAGGGCGCTGGCTTTCTTTGCGCGGGCGTCGGCGCCGCTGTTCTTCTGGTTCTTCTTTTCCTTCTTGGACTTTTGGGGCCCGGTTATGCCTTGCTCGCGGAGAGACGCCTTGAGGCGTTTGAGCTGGGAGGGAGGCATTGCTGCCGAACTGTATGCTCGGAGTGAGCGAGGTGGAAAGGAAAAGGCGAGAGAGGAAAGGGAGTGTGAACGCTGAATTTGCTCTCTTTCGGTACGAGATCTACCAGAGGAAAATGAAGGGTCGTTGGAAATTTTAGCCAAGAGTTCGGAAGGCTCGCGCTCACCGCCTGCCTAACATCGACTAGCACTCCCGAGCCCGCATTTGCACCGCAAGACCTACGAGTACCATAGTTGACGTACTTCCGCCCTACCATTGCCATTCAATTTCACGATATCAGCCGCGCAAGGCTGCGGTGGTTACTTTGAGGAGAAGCACCGCAACAACACAACATGATCCACGACAATGCCGTCATTACCCACGGTAGATGATCGTTGGCTTTGGCTCGGTCTAGGTAAGTCATTATGCTATCCTCGCTCCGCAGCGCCCACCCATCAACGACCAGAGCCTCATTCAACATCACAACAACTAAAACCTCCCCACAGGAGTCTTCACCTTCGCAGCAGTCCACGCCGTATCCCACTGCCTCTCCACCATCGTGACCCTAACCGAAGTCACGCGCCCCTCCTACCTTAAACCCACGATCCCACCGCCCCGACGATCCCGCCCCGTGAAGGAAGACGCAATCAGTACGACCTCGCTGCAGATCCTCGCGACCTGCGACAACGTCGACATCCGCAAGTCCGCCACGAAGATCCTATGCGAGCGCTTCGCAGCCGGCCAGGGCTCCGAGAGGCGACTGCGCCGGGACCTGTGCAGCCTGAATCCCCTCGTAAAGAGGAGGGCGAAACTCGCGATCAAGCTGCTGAGGCAGCATAGAGTGACGGACGTAGGTGGACTCAATATCGAGCCTCCGCCGGTGCGACTGCCGCCGGTGCCACCACCACGTTTCCTGGTGTTGCCGACTGGAACCATCACGATGACGCTTAATGGGGCTACCTGGACGATCGGGAGACAGAGTGCGCATAGGGAGCCTAGGGTGCCTTGGTCGACCCGCATGCAACAACGTCACAGAGGCCAGGACGCTACGCAGCAAGAACGCGCGCTGAGGCGCCGCAGGAGAGAGGCGATGGTGATCAACGAGGGGGACCGTCCCGTTTCGCAGGGGGACGTGTGGATGCGCGACGATGCCGGGCTGATGCGTAGGGAGGGCGTGCAAAGGCGGCTCACGTTGCCTGCTGTGAATTCGCGGGGGCGAATTACCTCGAATTGGTCTACCGCGAGGGTGCGTCGTGCGGCGGATCGTGCGGCGAATCGTATAGTGGATCGTCGTGCGGCCGATCGTACAGCGGATCGTACAGCGGATCGTACAGCGGAGCGTCGTGCGGCGAATCGACGTACACTGCGTCGTAGACCGCGTAGAGAGGCAGCTGAGACGGAAGTGACCGCCAACTCGGGATTGTTGCCGAGCGAGATAATGCGCCAGCGAGAGAGGGAGGATACTCCCTCGCCTGAGTCCTCTACTCCTAATGTCTGAGATCCCTGTATCACCGCTCGTAATCACGAGACAGAATCAACACTTCGTAATAAGAAAGCGAGAAACACGAATCTACACAGGTCTAAAGGGCGGTCATCACAAGGAATTGTAACCTCACCCGCCTACTCCGAAACCAGATATGCCATCAACTCGAGTAGAGCCATTAGTCCTCTCCCTTATCTCTTAAGGAGACACAGATAATGAATTACGAAACACGAAATCACAAGAGAACACACCATTCACTCAATCCACTCCCCCGTAGAGAGAAGGTAGGACCAGTACAGTCCAACGAAAACAAAGCGAAGGGCATTGGACGAGCAAGGTTTCAAGCCCCCCTTTCTCAGGAGATTATAAACACTAGCAAAGAAACCTAAACCTCTATTGTAATATTCACGATATCGAATCAGCGGAATGAAACGAACGAATCATTTATCATTTCAAACACAGGAGGGCTTGTAATACAGGATGCAGGACGGGAATGAAGGAAGGACCGATGCATTCGGACTGGGAAGTGGGAAATTGACTTCTGGTGATCGTAAGGACAGCAGTAGCAGTATTAGTAGTGGTAGAAATACGATTCACGTATTCATTTCCAGTCACAGTCCCCTTCATAATCATAATCAATCATGGCGACCTTCAGCCTATCAATCCCCGTAATTCACATACACAAGAAGTAGGGGACGAAGAAGAAGAAGGTAGTTTTATAGTAGGTATGTATGGGCAGTGAGCGGGCGAGTCTGGCGTCTCCCCTCTCTCTCTGTGTGTGTGTATGAAGTAGGATCGTTACGACGTATATTAAAGCCCCCCCATCCGTCCTCCTCCCATCAATCAATCCGTTCGTTCCTTTTCCTCCCCACCACAATCTCCCGTCTTCGTCACCATCATACCTCCTGTACCTGTTCAAGATACTTCAAGCCTTCTTTTCTTACTGAGCCAGAACACTCCTCAACATGCTCACGAAGCCCGGGTGCAGCTTCGTGATCTCCTCGATGGGCGGTTTCCTCGGCTCGCCCGCGGTCCGGCGCAGCTTCTCCTGGGCCCGGGCCCTGCGCTTTCGCTCGGCTTGGATGGGGTCTGCGATCTCCTCGTCGTCCTCGTCGCTCTCGGACTCATCGTAATCGTAGTCGTCGTCGAGTTCTAGGTCTTGGAGGTCGAGCTAAGACGGGGAATGAATGTTAGTGGGGGAATTCTTGGTAGAAACAAAGGGAATTCATGGATGATGTAGCTTACCTCGTTAAGGCCGAAATCAGACGTCTTGAAGCCTCCTCCCATGGCACCAATCATGTCGGCTTGTTCGTCTCCCCCACTGCTGGCCATCTTCTGCCTGGTCTTATCCTGATGCCACTTCTTGCGCGCGTGTTGCCACTTGATGAGAGAGTTGATCTCCCGGATCGCCTTGGCCTTGTTGATCGTGTTCGAGTCCATACCACCCTGGAACAGAGCATTCATGTCGAGCTTGCCGCCACTGCTGGGTCCGTGGCGAAGGAATTCGAGGATACCCTCTAGCCAGCCCATGAGTTGGTCGAACAGTCCGTTGTCGTGGATGTGGACCTCGTGCACGAACTTGTAGAAGTTGTCCTCGTGCCGGGCGCAGAGATCGATGAACGCTTGTACGGTTTGGTTGGGGTCCGAGGAAATGTCTTGCCGTTGGCAAGCTTCGATCACGCGAATGGTGTCATCGACAAACATGGCAAAATCCGTGATACTGCCGTACACGTTCGCAGATTTGTATACTCTGACGAGGGGTTCGTAGAAAATGGTGAATAAGTCTCGGAAGAGTTGTAATGTAGTGGGCTGTGTGCACCGAATTAGTTGCCCTGTCCGGCGCAATCAAGTAAATGATGATTATACGTACCTCTTCGATGATCTGAAGCATCATGAGCTTATCTCTCTGCCTCATACAAAGCTTGAGGTATTGCTTCAAGTGAGCGAACAATTCTGCACCCTGTCGCAGCTCCGCATCGATCTGAATGGAGTGGTTAGTCTCTAGGCTTTTGCTGCTATAACTGCTGGATTTCCTGCTCAAACGACTGCGGCTCACATTTTCGACCGCGTTGTTCCAGGCGACGTATGCGTTGAACACCTTTCCGACTTGCTCGGAGCTGAGTTCAGGCTCGAAGTACTCGGAGCGGAGAATGGTAACTACAACATCAACGTTTTCCGCTGCGGCGTCCTGGCGAATTATCTCCTTAACATCCTCGTCGGCCTCTACAAAGGCCTTCAGTTTCGCGCAAAGTACATCGTCCTTGATCTTTGTGGAACCCAGTGTGTCGATTGATCGTTGGACGGAACGAACGCCGTCATTGATGGCCATGCCGAACATACGCTGTAATAGCGAGCGCGCGCCAAAGGGCTGTGCAAGGAATAAATCCAAGACTCCGCTCATGACCGCTGCAGGGTTTGCGATTCTGATAACGTTCTTGAGGACACCATAAGGTACGAGCGAATGGATGCGCTTTGCTTGGGCGAAAAGTTCAGGGGAATTGTCCTCTGCGAGGAACAGATGGTACAGAGTGGCAGCGACCTCTATTCGAAGCCACTCGGCGAACTTCTGATATTCCGGTTTCAGTTCTGCGATTGTGTTCTTTGCCCTGATCTCCTGGAAAAGGTGCGAAAGACCGTTGGCCTCGACAATCTCCCTCCTGAACTTTTCCATGTGGATATCGAGTTCGGCGGCGCGTTGCCTCGCCACTTCATAGAACTGCTTTTGCTCCTCCATGCGCTTCTCATCCATCTCTTTCCTTCGCTCGATATCTTCCATCTCCTCCTCATTGAGTTCGACCGGGTTCTTTGTCAGGAATTCTGACATCGCATTCGAATGTGCGATGGTCTCGTTCTGTAGGAAAGTTCGGAGGAATGCTCTGAGGGATACACGCTGTTCCTCGCGGTACAACATTCGTGGCTCGCGGAAGGCGATATTATCACTCGATGCGCGAGGAGACCGAGGTTTGCCGCCTACGGACGTGGTGGAGCTGTTTCGCTTGTGGCTACTGAAGATGTAGCTTCGCAGACCACCTCCACCGCTGCTCTCGTACGGGTCTGGTGCCGGGTCCTGGGTCGATGCGGACGAGATCGAACTGACATCATCGTCGTTATTAGTCGACAAAAGCGAGTCCTTCTTGTTCTTTCGGGGTAAAGGTGGTAGGACCTTCCCAGGTAACTCCAGTCGGATTCGTTTGTGCAGTTGGACGAAATCGGTGTAACGGCGACCGACGTAGGTATCTTCCTTTCCAGTTTGTTTCACGCGAATGAGGTATTCCTGAAAGGTGCATTAGTTATTCTGATGCCTCTAAAACATTGGGGGGTGGGGTTGATGCACATACCGCATGTGTGTGATACCTCAAGCGTTTCTTGATCGACGTAGTTCGTACACCAGCAACATTGATATCCCATCCATTAATGAAATGCCCGCTGGGTGTATTGATGTGTAGACCATTCTCATCGGCGCCTCGTTCGACAATCTCCATCTCAGCAAAGCGGATCCGTTCTTCATAGCCAGAAGCGGTAGGTATACCGGATACCATCATGAGTTCCACCAGCTTCTCGGCCTTCAACGCCAGTTTTCTCCTCTTAGTCTCTTCTAAGCGGTCGTCTGAAGATGATATGTGTTTATTTGCGAAGGATTCCAGGAACTAAAAAAGACATCGCAACTTGTCAGCACTTGGCGCCAGCTGCAGAATACGCGCCCGAGTATTCACAATGGGATGGACATACAGTCTGAAGCTTATCTTGCCAAAACTCCTTCTCTTTTGCTTTGTCTAGGAACGGAAAATTGCGAACATGATTTACGAATATGTAGCGAAGGATAGGGAGCTCTGAGTCCTCGGGAGCGACCTCGCCCGCATCGGAGCGGAATGGAGCGCCGAAGCGCTGCAGAGCAGTTGGAGAGGAGAGCTCTGCGATCTCGAACTTGGTTTGGTGGGATATGAGCTCGCGCTTGAGGTCTAGCAAGAAACTGTCAGTAGGTATGCGCTTGTTTGATGGTTGGGGTCATGGTCGCATACAATGCTCTTGCTTGCCGGTTAGGATGGAACCCTCGGGAGGGACCGACATAGTGGAGAACTTGGAGAGATTGGTCTCTGTCCGAACAGCATGCGGTCGTGAGGCCTGGTCCAGGGCAGAATTCTGCGCGCTGGAGGTATTTGTATTAGGGAGCGAAGGTGCGGGCGTCTTGTCCATTGTTGTGGGCTCTACGGATCCATTGAGCTTGAGGAGGGGTGGTTCGCCGTTGGCCATGATGACGAAAGGGAAGCTAGAGGAGGGACTGGGAGACTTGGAGCGCGAAGGAGAGGGGGAGTATAAGACTCAAATGAAGACACAGCACGCAAGCGGAAGGCCAGACCGCTGGGCAAGAAAAGAAAGGTCGGGTTGTCGCAGGTGTTTTTAGTTGTTTAGTTGTTCAGATTAGTTTATTATAAACACGGGCCGTCTCCGGCGGATGTTGAGGCGTAGTCTTGGAGAGAGGAATAATCAGAACGCGTGTTTATGACGATGGTGGGGCTGTGGCTGTTGCGCTGAGGCTCTACTGCATGGGTGCGAGCCTACGAGGTAGGGATACGGGTACGACGATTGATGATTGCGGTTACTGTAATTAACTTGTATAGACCGTGTAGGTAGCTGAAGGGTTTAATTGGGAAGTCGAAAATTAAGACTTGAAAAATGATGATCCGAATAAGCGTATACCCTGGGCGATTTCGTTGGATTCTAGGTAGGTAGCTACCTAGGTGGTAGTTCAAGCAATAATCGATCCAACAATCGATCCACACAACAAAGAAAGGTTGCAAAGCAAATTATAGGGTACGAAAAGGAAGAGTAGAGAAGAGTGGAGAAGAGATAGTTATTGCTATCTGCAAGACGTAGGTCAAGTAAATACTTGTACTAAGCATTGGGATATGACAGGTGCGCATGACACACTCTTGCTCTTCACATAAGAATTATACGATCATACCTACTTTGACTCTTGAACATGTATGTACCCTGTATACCTACCCAAGTACCTAGGTACCGTGGTCAATGACAGATATGATGACGCCGTAAAAGTTTGTATGGAAGACACGTTTCTTAGAGTATTTGTTCCTCTGATTCAGATGCCGCACAGCCAGGCAGTCTGACATGGCGACTAATTGATTGATTGATTGATTGAATACATGACTGAATGAGAGGATGAATCAATTCATGAATTCATGAATGAATAATGAATTGGAAGAGTGAATGCATGACCAAACTGGCTGACTGACGCACACGGATACCCAAGTGGAAACGCTAACAAAGTACGGAATACGTTACGAGCACTACGAAGACTACTAGCTGCGAGTTACATGCACACAAGCGTCCCAGCCTCACCCCAACATCGTCACCGGACATGGCGCAGGCCCTACCAAGGCCTCTAACAAAGGATAGGTCGGCAACCATCCATCTTGGAATGCTTTCGGAACTTCCTTGGAAACTGTAGACGAGATACGGAGAGTGGCTAGCATCCCCTGCGCCGAGCCAGCGAATCTGGGCCTAATTTTCAAACATGGGAAATCGAGAAAATACTGGGATGCATATCTAACTAACAATGTCCGAAATCCTGGTTCTTGCATTATTGTTGCTGTTGCTGTTTTGTTTCTGTTGATCCTCCTGCTGGTGTTCTTGTCCTGTTTTGAGATCTGGGGTTATTCTACTATGCCTATGTGGGAACGCACCGCCACATCGCCTGCCAAACTTTATTTTCTACCGCAACCTTTGAAGTATTACACGTATGCACTCCTCCATGCAGTCAATTGCAAAAATAAACATCAACTTCCTATGTCCTTTAGATAACGAATTGGGTACCTTTTCGATTATTTGTTTCTATAAGTACAGTGCCAGTGGTCCGCGTCTTTGCGAGAAGGCAAAGTCGCGCCCATCGGCCTCGTCCCCATCGGCCTCGCCCCCATCGGCCTCGATCGGGCTCGCGCCCATCGGGCTCGCGACTATCCGGCCTCACTCTCTGGTGGGACTTTGTGTCAATACAGTTGGAGTCAAACGACTCCATGCCATGTCCAATCAATCCCTTTTACAAATTCATGCCTCCCGAAACGCCAGACTCATACCCACGCACTACTTGAAACATCCTGCACCCATCTCTTCTCAGACTGACGATTCAGCTCTTTGGCTCTCGCCCCTATCAGTATCTCCCTTCTTTGCTCAGACTAATACTCCAGCTCTTTGCTCTCCCCATTGCCAACTGCATCCAGATCCTCGTAACTCTTGATCGACCGTCCTTGGGTGGACTGCACGGGGCCTGGTCCACCATCGCCGAAACGTGCACCACCTCCAGGCCTGCCACCGCGTGGAGGGGTCAGACGCCCATTGCCTCCATTGAAGCGTCCGTTGCGTCCGTCGCGCTGGTTCCTGTCATACGGTCCACTGCGACTGTTGAATCGGCCACCTCCACGGCGCATGGGTCCCGACTGATGCCTATCGTCCTGGCTGAAGTTGGGGTCCCAATTTCCACCAGCAATCGCAGGGTTGAAATATGGTGGTACATTGAAGCTGTTGGGCATATTGTTGCCACCCACATTGAAGGGCATGCTAGCAAGATTGAAGCCCCGGGGAGTGCCAGCAACGTGCTGATTGCCCATGGGGAAATGCCCATTGCTATTGGCATCGCTACGTGATGGAGCAATATGTGCAGGGTCAAGCACGTACGTATTCACCAGTAGGATCTGTGAGAACATGTTAGCTACTTCGCGTCGAGTTGCAATGGGTTGGGAAAGCTTACGTCATTACGCTTCTTGTCAAACCAGTCTGTATGGCGCTTCTCCACATGTTTCTTCCAGAAGTTCTCTCCCTTGAACAATTTCGTGCACTCCGGGACTTTACAGCGCCACTTAGACTCGTCCTCTTGCTTCACCCATTTCTTCATCTCGTCCTCGAGAGCTTCATCGATTGGCTTCCCTCCAAGCTTCTTAATATCAACGCTGTCTGGCTCAAGGAGTTGGAGGAGCTTGTCCTCGTATGTCTTGACCCAGTTGAAAGCGCGCTGGAGCTGCTGCTGGTTCTTTCCGGAAAGTTTGGGCTTCTTCTCTTCTTGGATTGGTTCCTCCGCATCGCCGTCGCCCGTTCCAGATGTCTCCTGTTTCTTGTAGGGGAAGGGTAGTCCGGCAGCCGTGGCGCGAGCCGTGGCCTTTGCGGCGGTGGTCAGACTTGCGCGCGGCCGGCGAAGATGGCCTCCCGCACACTTTCGGATCAACTCATGTACAGAGTCGCTTTCGAAAACGCAGAAGAAGCAGAAGTTATACACTCTTCGCAAGTACTCGATCAGAAGATCGAGCTTCTTCTTTTTTGCCAATAGCTCCTCGTCATCGACCTCATCCTCCAGCGCTCCCTCATCTTCATCGTCCATCATTTCGTCTTCTCCCTCTTCCAAGTCCTCGGGGTCTCTTTCCTTTTTGGGCGCTGAGGGAGCATTGGCTGGGGGCTGTAGCCAACCCTTGGAGCGAAGGTCCTCGACCCGCTGCTCGACCTTGGTCACACCATCGACATTCGAGAACTCCTCGTAACCATCCTTCAGATCATTGTCCATCTTGGCGACCAATCGCTCCGCCAACTGTAGGTCACGTTCGATCCTCTCTGGGGCGGAGAAAAGATCCCACAAGGCCTTTTTCCGGGGAGCTGAAGGAGATTCATGGATGCCAACATGGCACGTGAAATTACCACGTTCCTCGTCGATCACAGTCTTGCCATTCAATGCTTCGAGTGCCTTTTGCGCGGTGCTTAATGGGGTGCTTGATGAATCCGGCTTTTCGTCGATGGCACCGTCTTCGCCATCTTCACGTCCGTCGCCGCGATCGTCCACGATCATGGGCTCTTCATCACCAGGATGAAGGATGACCCATCCGATACGGTGACACTTCTTCAACGGGTTCGGGTCGCTCAGACTCAACCATTTGAAGCCGCCAGGACCCTCTCCCAAGTGTTCCTTTGCGAATTCTTCGACCTTGTCTCGGTTGACCGTAGGTGCAATTGTTTTGATCAGCAGAGTTGGCTGCAATGCCGCCTCATCGCGAAGCTCCCCACCCTTGCAAGGCAAGAGATCGCCCACGCCTAAGACCTCATTGGCAGCCGTTGTTTCGCCTTCTTCTTTCTCCACAACACCACCTGCACCATTGCTTTCATTTTTGTAGATTCCTTCCAAGGTGAACTCGTCGAAAACGCCCTCATCCAGTTGGCGCTCCCACTCCATGTAGATAGCATGGCGATACGGTTTGATCTTGGCTCGAAAGTTGGTTTGGTAGTCGGGATCATATCGTTCCTTGAACCACTCCTCGCCTTTATGCTTGTCGACAAAAGTCTTGGCCATTTGTACCTGAAGTTTCTCTTTGTATTCGTCATACGCGGCCTGGATGAGCTCCCGTTCCTTTCCCTTCTCTTCGCGAGCCTCGCGCTCGCCTTTGAGGCCTGGCTTTCGGCCTCCGTTCTTAGCGCGTTCTTTTTCGTCCTTTATGATCTGTTCCACGCGCCACCACTCGGCAAAATAGTTGAAGCCCACCTGGAACTCCATTACCATGGGGTTTTGCATAGGATTGACAGAGAATGTAGGCGCAAAGCTGTCTTGACCTGGTACGTAACGGTCAATGCCGGCTTGCACTGCTGGAGGAGACGAGCGGCGTCTGTGTAGAGCATCGCGACGGGAATCGTAGTCGCGTGTTCGGTCAGGCTGGTATCGGTCGATGTTCTGAGGTGATCGAGAGCGACCGCGTCCCTGTCTGGGCCGTCCGCCAGGACCTGTTTGCAACACTTTTGTCAGCTACTCAATGCAATAAAGTACTAATGGTGCGCGCTTGGTGTCCAGTAGAAATATGCGCCGAAGCGACAGCGGGGTAGTACTCCGCTATGTGGATGCGTAAGGCATCATATACAAACTACGATAACCACCGTGATAGGCTTAATGAATGCAGAAACTCACCAGGGGAGCGGCGCCTGTACGAATCGACCACCGGCCTGTCTTCGGATCTGTGTATTGTCAGCAGAGGCTCCAGCGGATGCATTGGTTTGCGCAAGCATACGGGTATGAATCCATGGTAAAGGCGAATGGCTTGATTAGGATGGAAAAGCAGGGGGCGGAGGGTGACCCGACTCTCGTGTGCGCAAGAGGACCAGAGTGTGGTGGTGAAGGTCCGTAGAATCAACTACGGGACACAAATCATCAATTTGCTAGCATGTGTGGTTTGGTTCGATCGCTGTAGGCCGATGCCAGACGGTTCGGAAATAGGATAATGGGAGTTTCCCCGGAATTGATAGCTGTTTGCCATTGCGGCTCGTGTTAGAACAGAGTGCCATATGGGTAGAAGGACGAAGACGAGGGAAGACAATGAGCGGGGTAAGGAGTGAGAAATAAAATGAACAAGAGACAGCGACGCTAGATAGAATGGATGCTATCGCGACAGCTGCTGGAGAATTGAAGGGAGGGAGGAGAGGAGGCGGAAGCTGAAAGGTAGAGCAGCGAGCATGCGCCGCGCGACAAGGGCAGGGTAAGCTATGGAGAAGACGGAGCAGGAAGCAAGTAATAGCTTTGCTAGGTGGACAAGAAGCGTGCACTCACGATGTGCTGGAGGAACTCCCGGCTGAAGAAAAGATAACAGCAGGTCCTATGGAATATGATGAGTTTAACTTGAGAAAGGAGTGAGCGTGAAGCAGGTGAGGTTGAGAGAGAGAGAGCGAGCGAGCGCGGTTGGGGAAGGGCGTGTCGGAGGAGGTATTGGAGTAACCCAGTCTGGACTAGCTTGAAAAGGGAGACGGGGCCAGCTCGGCATGTCGGGTGTTCCTTGTCTTCATCCCCGGGAACGTCGGTCACTTTTCGTATGGGAATAATGGGAGATATGGCTCAGGAACACGAACAGGATCAGGGTTAGGAAACAGTACTAAGAACAAGCAAAATGCTCGCTATGACTATCGTTTGCAAGAAATACAATTGAACACAGCTCCATCTCTACTGACTGTGTAGCATTTTTCCAATACCTAACCTACCTACATAGACTGACATATACCTGTTTCGTCTGGTACCTATGTATACATCCTCAGTAGCCTGTATGAAGAATCTAAGCCAATCACAGGGCCTCTAAATCGAGGCCCCACCTCAATTCCTACCTGTCTACTTACCCAGAAACACCCCATTATTCTCTCACATGAATACATGCCAGTACGGAAGTCTGGGAACAGGTGTTTGTGGCAAGTCAACGAACCGAGGCTTGATTGGTGGGTCGATCTACGTAAACATCGATGCACCGCTTCCATCACGATCCTCGTCGCGACTCCTACCTATATCCATCCATCCAGTATCCAGGCACCTAGTATAAAACTATATAACTGCTCAAATAAATCTCCTCGTCCACATCACACTCACTGTAAAGCCCCTCACCTCAACCATCACAATGTCCTCCTTCCCGCCAATCCCATATATCCCGTCCCTGACGCTACCGGCGTTCCTCTTTGAGACCCCGGCCGCTAGCATCTTGCTCCCCGTGCTATCTGGCGTCACCGTAGGCTATGCGATCAGCCCCTCAGACACGAAGAACATTTATCGCCGGCTGAAGCAGCCACCGCTGCATCCGCCTGCGTGGGTCTTCGGCCCCGTTTGGACTGCGCTCTATGCGACCATGGGATATACTGCCTACCGTGCCTGGACGACTGGAACCACTTCCCTGGACCTCGAAAAGTTCAAGCTTGCAAAGCAAGGCGCTACTCTTTATACCATTCAACTCGGCCTCAATCTCCTGTGGACACCTCTTTTCTTCGGGTTGCAACGCCCAATAGCGGCTACCGCGAATATTCTTGCCTTGGGAGGTGTGGTTGGCTCGCTGGCGTATGTTTGGGGTCAGGTTGACCCAGTCTGTGGCTATCTGCTTGCGCCGTACTTGGGATGGCTGAGCTTTGCTACTTATCTTTGCGTAAGTTGATACAATCTGATGTTTTGGTACAGCTTGTTGGCTAACAATTGATGTTTAGGCCGGATGCGGCTATCTTAATAACTGGAATTTCAGCCATGCTAAAGAAGAATAGATGATTGTTTGAGAAATAATAAAGGATCTTCAAAAAAAAGTACTTTTTGTGTCATCTTGAATTGAAATCCAATTCTGTGACAAGTAGATTAATTCATTAAAGCTAGATATTACACTCATCGAGCATTGTAGTCTATCATCTGTGTCTAAAATATGTCGTGCTCGTTGGCAAGCAAAACAGCAGCTGCAATCGCATTGATCAAAGCTCATCAAATATACGCAGTCGATCATCATCCACCAGGACTGACGGGGTTGGCGCAAACTTTGAACTTCTGGTTGGCCGACTCGATAATGGTACAGCGAGGGCCTGCTTCGCTGATTCTGGCATCCCTTCCATGATGTCAATTAGATTCTGCCTGGCTTCGAAATGCAGTGAAGGATGCGCATGGGGTCTTCGAGTAGGCTTCAATTGCTGGAAAAGTATAGCCACGACAATCATACAGAGCACCAGCACTGCTACGCCCCAGACTATACGGAGACGGCCTGCGCCAAAGTTAATAAGATACCGGTATCGCCACACGATGCATACATACGAGATATTTTGGCCTCTCCCTCGGCCTCAATTTTTGCGCGAGCCTCGACACGTTGCCTCGCACTTTCAAGCCGCTTCGTCAGTGCATCTGCTTTCTCCTTTCCTGCCTTAATCCGCTCTTCGAGGTCATTAACTTGTGACTTCTGTGTCTCGAAGTCGCCAAACGCTTCGAATTGTCCTTGTACATCATCGACCAGCTCTTTCGTATCTGTTTCCAGGTTTGCATGTAGTTCCTTCGTCATGCTGGATAGCTCCTGTAGGCTCCCTATTGTTTGTCGAAGCACGCCGACTTTCTCCAGAATAGAGTAGTATGTATCATCGAGGCGGCGGGACGACTTGAGTGACTGTTCGGAAGCGTCTTGAAACGCTGCACGTAGTTCTCTGTCCATCCGAGTCAATCTCCCATTGTAATCGACAATCCGTGCGTATCTTCCTTACCTTGCTCGTGCATGTGCCTTCTTGCGCTCTTTCTCTACGTCTTCACTGCGGACCACGACCTGCTGTGGCCGCTCCTGTGAGCCCTCCTCCCTGACCTCCAACTCCCTCGACGGATTCTCACCTCTCCCATCCGATCCGGAGCTATCCTTCCCCTTACTAGCCTGCTTCAACAAGTCGCCAAAGCTCGTAGGAGGCGTCAGCTGCGTGGCCGACTGCACGGTATCTTTGACATCCCGCGAGTGGTGGTGTCGACGGTGGTGATGGTGATGATGGTGGTGGTGCGGGTGGTGATGTAGGCCGTGGAGATGAGGCCGCCTGGATGAGGTGCGTGTGGTGGACGCTGCTGTTGCTGTCGCTGGGTCGGTGTTGACGCGCGGAGGTGACATCGGTTGAAAGATGTTTGGCCGAAAACTTTGCGTTCTGTTTGAACGCTCATTCGGCCGCGTCTTGTCCATAGTTACATACTGATTGTATGAGGTGGTTGTGCTGGTTGCGACCTTGTCGCGCCTAGAATGTATCTCGGAAGTAAGGGCACGAGCAAGGTCATCGTCATTGAGGAAGCGGACTTTCCTCTTATGGTTAGCGGGTTCCTCACTAGGGCTAGGTACCAATATGGTAGGATTTGGCGCGACAGATTCTGGTTAATCAATGGACAGACATCATGGCCATGTCTAGAAATCTTAATTGTTCTCACAATATGTGCTCTGGCCTCTAATGTAAGCTTTGCAGCATTTAGATTAATTATATAGTAATTTACACCTATTTGAAATCCATTGCAGTCCGTGGTTCTGATCTACCATCAGTCTTCAATGTCATCGTCACTCAAAGTCATTGTTGCCACATCTCTTGCGACTATCATGGACGTCGGAGATTTATGTTCAGTCTTCCGCAACCCCACCGTGTGACGTCTCCGCTTTTGTGGTGTAGTTGGCGCAGGAAGGTCGGTTGCCCATTGTTCATGCTCGTCAGAATCTCCATAATCATCCTCCTTTTCGTCACCGTACATAGCCGCACTACCGCCGAAAGTGACCAATTTCTCGATCTCTCGCATTCCCTTTGGTGGTGTTCTCGAGGTTGAAGTTGAGCCGCGCAAAATCAAGTATAAATATGGAAGACGCTCCAGCAGTGTTTCAAAACGAGCTGATCCTCCACTTCCAAGTAGAGTTGACAAGGGTGACGATTCATCGGTTGCGGTATTCCCACTGTTGCCGGCATGAAAGCCAGACGATTTCCAGGATTCTACACCGGCTGTACTAGAGCTGTCAAGATACTTCGGGACAGAGTCTGAGGACAAAAGATCATTACGTCGTATGCGAGAGACCCAAAGGTCCAGTAGTCCTCCAAGCTCTTCCTGCGTGCGCCATATACGAAGCGAATCCGGGTAATACATTGAGTGCGAATTCATTTTGAACACACTCGAACCCTTTCCCTTCATTACAGAAGTGCCAGATGGATTTGCAGCGCGCTTGACGGGAGATGGCAGGCTATACAACATACCAAGAACGCTGACTTGGAAACTCATCTCTTCCTGGCGCAAGCTATCCGAGCTCGACCCCTGGAAGTTCTGTTTCCCGAAGCCAGCTGTACTAAAACGATCGGGGGATAATAGATCTGCATCGGATAATGCCTCCATACACCCTTCGATCGAGTCCATGGTCTCCTCGCTATCTGCCCCAGTACAGGAAAGAGGGTAATTTTCGTGAAGGGCAGCAATAAAGGTATGAGTGTCAGTGCCGATTTCGTCAATCAAAGAATCTACATCAACCTCGGAACGTTTTGGTCGACGGCGTTCAGGGAACCAGGGAGGGGGTTGAGGAACTGGCAATTCGTTCGGAGCGTCTTGCACGCGTTTGTTATAGACGACTTTTCCCACGGCATGGAATATGCCTAGTGTACTTTCGCGTTGCGTTATCATCTCTAAAGACTCTTTTTCCATCTTGGTCAGAGGAATATTGGTGTTTCCCTTCTTCTTTGCAAATGTGATCTTCCCTCCCCAGCCATCATGTTCATCGCCTCTGACGCAGAGGAATTCTAAAGACGACACAGCACTACGAATGTCACCTAGATTCGAGAGTTGTTGAATGACCTGAGGCCCGACCGTTTTCTTCCTTCCGCTTTGACGGGCCTCTTTATTGACGGTCAAGGTCAATGCCTTGGTCATGATGGTAGTTGCAATTGAGTTGAACTCAATAACAGAAACTCCTTCGTGATTCAGAATCTCCGGGCCTAGTAAGCGGTGAGCTGTGAAGCTATCAGCTGCAGCCGTATTTGTTGATAAAAGAGTCTCAGATATGATCATGACCATGGGAGTGATCGAATGATCTTGTGGCGACTTTGCGTTCAAGAAGAATGAAGATGAAGGCGTAGTAGAAGCGAGAAAATTCAAAACTGCGGAGCGAAATGACTGAACGGCCGTGGATGCCCGTGCAAATGTGTTTGGAAACTCTTCGACCACAATCAAGTGATTTCGCCCGCTAGGTCTACTGGCTTGTTGCTTGGGCGGATTGGGCTGGGATTGGGACGAATCGACCATGGCAAGACTTCCGAAATTGCCTGTTCTTCCGACAAAATCCTCAAACTGTGCGGTAATAGATACAAACCCTTCGGTTGAAGCACTCGCACCTGCAGGGTTGCTCCATTCGTGTACGTCAATGCTAAGCTCTTTAGCAAGCAGCGACACGGTGGCCGTTTTCCCGGAACCCGCTGGCCCCTTCAGCAGCAGGAGTCTCTTACGGTGTTGACCACTGAACGTATCCAACAGCCATGCCCGCACGTCAGAAACCTTTCTCTTATGCACTGCCAACTCGTCTAGAGTTTGGGGGCCGTACTTCTCGTTCCATGGCCTGCTATCTACATCCAGCTGGCGGGCGTTCAATTGTGTCGAGGGAGTACTTTGTGAACCATTGTTGGTGCGGAGAAAGCGCGAGCTACCCTTTGCAGTAGTATCATTATTCACCACAGATGCTTCACGTTGTCTTTTCCGTACCGCTAGTGCTTTTGGTTGTCGCAGTTGTGGATCATCCTCTGAGGAGTCGAATATATCATCAATGTCCTCAAGAGATTCACCTTTCGAAATTTTCTCGGGGCTAGGCGATGGTTGTGCAATTTGGGACCGAGGGACATTACTAAAGAATGATGTTATAGGTTTATGGGTTGGTTTCGCCTTTTGAGGGGATTTCGTGGAGGAGCGTTGGTTCGAAGACGTCTGACGAGCTTTAGAAGCGTGGCCGCCCTGAGCCCGCGACCGAGGTCTTGCGACTTCAGAACTGTTCTGGGGTTCTGCGTAGGCAGGAGCCGTCAATGTGCCTCTTTTAGGGCGCTTCGGAGGCGGAGAATATGGCCCATCATCTTCATCGGATGATAGTACGACGGGCTTCTCACGAGCTGCCCGCGGCTTGCCCATGCCGCCTCGACTGTAGAGATAATTCGAGGCAATGGGTCATTCTTGAGTCCCCCGTCCTGTGTAAATGGTGAGCGTAGTGACCGGGGTTGAGGTCAATTGATTTAGAAAGTTGAAGGTTGAAGTCGGAATGGGGTTGTTCCGGGCGAGTCGCGACAAACGCGAAGTCACACGTTCGAGTGGGGGGAACGCGTGGAGAGATATCACGTGACAGGATGTGACTCGATCTTTTGGGGACATGATATGTGCCCCGGCTGCAGGGTACTTGTAATTAAATTAATCAAACCCTTCAGCCTCAAGGCAGACGAGCAAAAAAAAAAAAAGCCATTTTTATTGTCGTGCTTGGAGTTCTCCGCTTGGAATTTGCTATCCTCAGTGCATACTATTGCGAACTTCGCCTTTACGTATACCTTGCTACTTCCCTACTGCGGACTCTTCTTCATCATAACCGCCTCAGACTCTCAATATCTCCAACAAACCGAACCATAGCGGATTGTGATTATGATTATGGGTTACAAGCATGATATGTTGCCATAAGCGGATACTGCAAGGATGATGCGGTCCGTCACATACAATACGACCTACATACCCGCACCTCAGCCAAGCACTGCCAGCTCACCGAGTCCCCACACCTTGACTCCCATGCATTCACCGCAGTTCTATCACGGAGCAGCTGGCGCCACTTAAGAATCTCAAACCTGCACAGTACACAGTAAGACTCATCCGCCCATTTGGTCCATCGTTCTCCTCGCGGTAGGGATCATTGAAGCCTGCAACTGCACAGACATGCGGCTACTGGGGAACCTTACCAAAACCCTAGGTTGGGTCGCTCATTGCACCAACCGAACAATTCCACGCATACACACCAAATGCCTGTGCATAGTGGCCCAACGTCGATAATGCTCCTTCATAACATAACAATGAAGCTCTCTTTTGGTCACCTGAACGTCCTCGTTTCTACGATACGAGTGGGACCGAAGCAGGTTGTCAAGCTCGTGGCCAGCCATTTTGGCCTTTCTTTCCTCGATGCTCTTTGAGCTTCTGCTCATCGACTTCGTGGCTCGACAGGCGAAGAAGGCTGCATTGAAGGCCTGTCTCTCTGCCGTACACACATGCGCACTGATCTACCTTTTAAGCCTGGGAAAAAGGGCTCTAATTGGAATGCCGCACGCAGTATATTAGTCGCATGTGCCAACTCAGATCTCTGGCATCGTCCCATTGGGCAAGCTGTGACTTTAGTCCGTGTTGTTGTTATGCAGAGCCCTCCAAATCCTCCTGCTGCCAGCAAACTGTATATAGCCCCGTAGGCGCTTAGTGACGCCAACCTATCCATCTTCCATCCCATGTGCCACGCAAGCAAACCTGTCGCTTCACTTTCGATTCCCATATTAGGCCTTTTGTGAAAGCAGACACTCCATGCTCAGTAGCTCTCAATTTCTCCACCCCGCTGTGAGTTAGCAGGCATCATCGAGGCAGGATGGCAAAAAAGAAGAGCAAAAAGTCCCAGAAGCAGGCAGAAAAGCAAGCAGAATCTGTTACTGTTGCGGACACAAAACCAGAGCTTGAAGAGTTACCGTCGGTGCCAGAGGCCCCAGCGCTGGCCCCAGAACCGCCAGCACCACCAGCAGAGGACACCGCTCAGAACGAAGTTGCAGAACCACCTACATCGCCAAAGCTTCCAGATCCCGTAGATCCTCCGTTGGAAGAACCGCAACCCACTTCGGCCGTCAATGAACCCACATCTGTTGACAACGGTGCCCCTGCCGAGCAGGCAGATGCTGCTTCACCGCCAGAACAGGCGGAACCAAACGTTGCTGCCGAGGCCTGCCAGTCATCGAAGGATGCTTCATTCCCGGTCTCTGGGGCGGCCGCAGCGACAGCTGAAGCTGAATTGCTCGAATCAGAGTCGATAGGTCTTCTGAGTAACTCGACTCATGGCGATGCATCAGTCTCCACCGGGCCTGTCTCATCGGAAATCCCATCTGCAATCCAATCTGAGCTACTTGCAGAGGAGAAAGTAGAGTCCAATGCACACGTTACTGAACCAACTTCCTCGACTTCAACCCAAGCGTTGGAATCCGATCCGACACATTCAGAACCCGACAAGGTGGAACCAGCAACTGCCCCTGAACCGGAACCTGCGAGTTCAGATGCAACTGCCCCCGAGCCAGAGAAGCAACTAGAAGCCTTACCAACCAACTCTTCCGACGTTGCCGAAGCAGAGCCTAAAGCTGCTGTGAAGGATATCTCTGAGCCGACCGTTGCGGAACCAGGCACCTCATCTCTATCAGAACAGCCTGAGACAGTTCCAATTGAAGAGACAAGCCAACCCGCTACAGAGGAGCACATATCCAAACCCGAGCAAGAGTCCGAAGCAACCCTCGAGGACGCCCCTCAACCGCCTCAGGTAGACCCTCCCGATACGACTGTCGAACAGACGCTCGAAGTTGACTCCCAAACACCAATCGAACCGAAGCAAGAGGAGGCCTCTAAAGCGGATCCTGAAGAAGTGTCTCAAACGACACCTGAACAAAACCTGACTTCTGCAATTGAACAAGCACCAGAGCCGTCTCCCATAGTGACTGCCGAGCCTGTATCTACAGACACCCACGAAACCACTGAGGAAACTGATATATCTGTTCCGGACGCTCCCAAGGAACTACCAAAAGAAGCGCCGGTATCTGTCGCTGCAGCAGTACCGCAATCAAACCCCGAACGTTCGATTACACCTCCAGCGCCTGAAGAGGCACCAGAAGTCACATCAACGTTTGCAGAAGATATAGCACCGAGTCCGAAGAAGCAATCGTTGCCAGTGTCTGAAGAAGTGCCAAGACCACGTGAAGAAGTACAGACATCTTTATCGGAGCCTGCACAGGTACCAGCACCCGAGGCATCCCCAAAGACCGTCCCCGCTGCCGTACCCCATCCGGTCGCTGAGTCAGTATTGAACTCGTCACAGAGCTCTCTGCCATCTCCTGCTGACACAAGTGAGTTTGACCGGAAATCGGTCAGCTCAGAGCGACGTTCCAGAGCCGCCCTGGATTCAGCGGGTGTCAAACCGCCGAGGCCTGCGCCCTTTAGGGCAGAACAGTCGAGGCCTGGGTCTTCTCGCACATCAATCAGGTCTTCATCACCTCCACGGCCCGAGGCAGCGAAAGAAACAATTGAAGACAATAGGCCTCCCTGGGCGGCACCCACTCCTCCAGTTAGGAGAGCCCGTGCCAGACATATCTCCGCCTTTGATGACGAGGACGACGAGGACGACGACTCTGCGCTTATTCATCCACGTCTCAGGGGCGAACCACCTTCACGAGACCCCTTGAGGGGTCTGACCTATCCGCCATCACAAGCACCGCAACCTCGTGGCTTGTATGCATCTCGGGTCCCACAGCCACCGGAGCACTACTCGAACCAGAATCCCACGCATCCACCGCCACCTGGATATCATCCAAGGTATTATCCGCCACAGGCGCCTCCTTACTATCATAGTCATAATCCCAGCATGAGTCAGTCGGGCGGTTACTCAAACCACAGTCCCTATGGCCCACCTTCTCACGCATCATCTCCTTACCAAGAGTCATGGAGTCAATTCCCTCCGAATTATCCTCCCTATGGTAGTCCGCCGCCGGGTCAAAGGCATGATTCCCTGGCATCGAGAGAATATGCTCTGGCCCCTCACAGCATGGACAATGGTTCTGCCATCGATGACGACACTGGTGATCTCTTCGGCCGTATTGCTCAGGCTATTCCTGACCTTCATGTATTGCTTTCAAGGTATAAGGAGACACATGGTCAGCTTGGTGTCAGGGAAGAGTTATTGCGACGAGCGAGTGCTGAACAGCAAGAGAGACTGAAGAATAAGGATGACGAAATCCAACAATTGAAGGACAGAATTGCCAGCATAGAGAACAAACACTCCAACGAAGCAAGCCGCCTGCGTTTCGAGATTGGTAATCTAGAGGAGCAAGTCAAGGAGTTGAGAGAACAGCTTATGGAAATCGAAATCTACAAGAAGGAAGCTGAGGAGACAAGGGTCGCTCTCGAAGCCGCCAAACTTGCTTGGGAGACAAGGTACAAGGAGCTGGAACTAGCACATGCTGAACTGGAACGAGTCAGTACCGAGGAAAAGATCAAAACACAGAAAGACTTCGATGAATGGAAGACGACTTCAAACACGAAACATGATGCGGAAAAAATCGCCCTTGCTATCCAGTTTGATAAACGGCTGAAAGAGGCCGACGTTCTAGCTGAGAATCAAATGCAAGAAGCCACCGCCTCTTTCATAACTGAGAAGGATGAGTTGCGATCAGAACACTCCCGTCAGCAGCGTGATCGAGAGTCCAGCTTCGATCGCGTCCGTAAAGAGCTAGAAACTAAGCTGTCCACTGCCCAGAAAGACCGTGAAGAGGCTCTCAGGCACGAGAGAGAGAGCAGGGAAGTGTGGGAAATTGAGCGAGAGAATTTGAGCAAGGCGCATCAGGAAGATCGAGAGAGCCTTCAGAGGAGCTGGGATGAACAACGTGAACTCACGGAGGCAAAACACAAGAAAATGAAGGATGAGTCGGACAAGGCTTGGATCGAACTTCATGCCGATGCCAACAGGAAAGCAGAGGATGAGAGAGCAAAGGCTGAGTCGCTTGCCAAGCAATTGGAGGACCTGCAGAGGAAATATGACGAGCTCAAGGCGGAGAGCTCAAAGGAGAAAGATGTAATCAAGAGTGTGGCTGGCAATTTGGAACTAGAGAAGGCGAGGTTGGAAAGACTAATGGAGTGCTATGGGGATATAGCAGAGATCAAGAGCAAAGGCGACACGTACTAGTAAGTGTGTAAACTGGGAAATCAAACGCTTTGAGAGATTCATCATTCAAGCTGTTGATCGACCTGGGATTGTTCGTTATGTTTGTCATTTAGCACACTATTTCCCTCTTCAAATGCAATTGCCTTTTATCGCCCTTTCAATTCCTATCTGATTCGAAACCATGCTGATGAAAAGTCATGTCATAGCCTCGTCTCCTTCTCCCAATTGCAGAAGCAAATTCTAGATCTTGCAGATACTCACTTCAAGCATCTTCCGATCACTCCACCTCCTGGTGTTCTTGAAAACATTCCACCTGAGCTTCCCTCTTTCCTTGGGAACACTGATGCTGCGCGGTACGTTACTTTCAACCAAACTCCTATATTGTGATCGCCATTGTCACTGTACGAGAAATCTGATTTAATCTTTAGGCAATTACGTTCGGCATATGTTGCTCACACAGTATCTGCGATGGTAACATTCCGAGTCTTCGGACCCTTCTTGTTCAGCCTAGGCCGTCGTTATGACAAGGCTGACTCTCTGTTTCTCTCGATGAGTAACCACATTCGAGACAAGAGCACCCGGAAGGAGGCTATCTGGAGACAGCAAACGCTGCTTGCAGCTTTCACGAGTAGTGGAGCTAAACAGCGTATCAACACTGCCGCAGGCTCAGTAGTTGAAGAAATTGTCACCGCTGTGAAGTATTTTGCTGACCCTAGGGAAGAGGAGGCCATTAAGATAGCTGTTCGCAGGATCGTCAAACTCGCGGCAGAGACATGGCGTTTCGCTCGACTCGAACGTGAGATGATCACGGCAACGATGCCTGCAGTCTACGATCAAGACCACGAATTCGCCGGCCCAGACTACTGGTCAGCACATAAGACAGAAGACACACCAATTGCATCTCTTGCAGGGACAGCAGTACCAGATGAGCGACCGAAGTTGTTGCTGAGAATATTCCCGGTTATTCATCGCGAGCCGAAACACGAGAATCTTCGAGCGGCAGACGAGCCTCCCGATGAGGGATGCATCTATCATCATGGATTGGCTCTCTATGACGATGCGAAGGCGGTAGAGACGAGGAGGGAGGAGATCAAGCAAGCAGGTTTGCCTCCTGCCAACAATCCTTCACCGACCGCTGCTGATTTCCCGGAGCCTATAATCCCACCCCCCTGTCACCCGCCTCCACCTCCTCCAGTCGAGGCCGATGATGCTGCCTCTATCAAGTCACGAACCCCAACTGTCGTACCAGTGCCAACATCTCGCTCACGACCAGCTTCTCTACGCTCCGATCCCCCTTCTCACCCGCCTCCACCACCACCAGTCGAGGCCGATGATGCTGCCTCTGTCAAGTCACGAGCCCCAACTGTCGTACCAGTGCCAACTTCTCGCTCACGACCAGCTTCTATACGCTCCGAGTCACGTCCCAAATCCATTAAAGATGAACCCAGGCCTGAAAGTATGGTTCTGGGAAATTCTCCAATGGAAGCTTCGATGTCTGATCTGGCTTCGCCTTCGCCAGGTGCTCAAGCACACGGGTTTGACTTTGCATTGTCCGACATTCATATGGCGGAATACGCTAGATCTGGATCATCTAGGCCTGTGTCAATGCGGTCTGAGGCATCTGTGATGGAAGAGCCCAATACGGCACCAACGAGATCTCCCTACGTCCGACCACTCCCAGGGCCCATTCAATTCACAAAGCTAGATGACCCTTCAAATTCAGTACCCATCGAGAGTACACCGGCTGCATCGAAGGCCTCCTCGAGAAGGGCGAGCACCCATGCATCGTGCATATCCATTCCCCAGGCTCCCCCATCTCCATCCGCCAAAACCCATGATGACCCGCAACCGGAGTCTCCTACAAAGGAAATCCCCGAAGCTCCCCCAATCGCTCCCTCTACTGCATCTTCGAAAGTTCATTTACCTCCGGGACCAACAGAAAGCGCGGTAATTCCCGATACTCTGCCCCCACCGGTGACAGGAAGCCGGGCAGTACCTACAGAGAGCATCGTCACTCCCATGCCCACGAGACCTCCCCCCGATATACTGAGAGATGCTGTTCAGCCCGCTGGCCAAAGACCGCCTACACCTCCAGGATCACGTTCCGGCACACCACCACCCCAGGCACCCCCCTCTCCCCTTTTTGAAGCCGTGGATGAGATTGAGGCTCTGCAGCCACATCGTCGCCGTAAGTCATCTGCTTCTGCGCGCCGTGTCGCATCTTCACGAGCCTCCAACGAAGATCTCAAGAAGGATAAGCCAGACACTGCTCGTCGTATCAGCGGATACTCCATAAGCTCCAAGCCGAGCGTGGATGAAAAAAGCCTACGCAGCGAGCGGAGTGACAAGAGCATGAGAAGCGAGAGAAGCGAAAGAAGCGAGAGGAGTTCACACAGCCGGTACACTTGTGAAAGCCGTAGTGCCGCAGTCAAAGCCCTATATCCCAATTCGCCCCTTGCTGGAACGCCAATTGGACCCTCGCGATCCAATTCCGTCCGAAGCTCGAAGAAACAGCCTACTACATCTGGCGGCGGCACGTGGGACACAAGCTCTGTCTCACAAGAAACGCAGAACAACAACGATGAGCCTTAACCATAGCTACTATGCATCTCGACTTATGGTCTACGATAACCGTAGACTGCGTCTATGGTCTTCACATTTTCAAATTTTGTATTATTTCCTTGATGGTTCTTTTTTCTTTCTATCGATTTAGCGACATGGGCGACATACACATCGCAGGCGTTTATTTGATTCTTAGGAGTTGATAATATGGAGGACATAACGGCGCACGGAGACGAAGTCAGTGTAACCAACCTCATCGGTACTTGAGCATTAGCGAGGGCGCATCATCACACCCCAACATATGGTGGGAGTGGGAGTTTCTCCTTCCAAATCCTCTTTTTTTCCTTTTTCCTTTTTCCTTCCTTTCCTCATCTTTCCTGGTATAATGAAACGAAACGAAACGACATAATGAGTTTGTAAAGTAGTACGTTAGAGGTCGCCGGCATGGATGTGTTCGCATTCGCATAGCATAGTTTCTGCATGTGTCCGCTGCATTTTCTGGTGTTGTCAAGACGGACTTTGTTCGATTGACGAAGTCCCTAGCGAGCGAAGTAGAGACACTTCGAGGTAGTAATCAAGATTCCTCACACAATATGAGTTGAAAGACTGAATTGTTGTAGAGAATACGTTGACTCTTTGCTTAGTGCATGGAAGCTACTCCTATAGTGTGCACACGCCAAACATTTCAGACGAAGCAGCAGATCCTAAAGTTCATATGCGTTCCTACAATCAAAGCTCGAGATACTAATGACAAAACGTAGGCACCATCATTCGTGTACCACCAAAGTCCTCGGATCGTCCGGCCTATGGCAAGATGAACGATCATGAGGTTTTAATGATTGCAATTAGATAATCTACCTACATGTCAAATAGAACTGCGTAGAAGCTAGGTTTCCTACCTTAGCAAGTTTCGATCTCGACTGACAAGTTGGGCAGATTCTCTCTCCTATGCAGGCCATTGCAACCTGACCGGTCAAAGATTCAAAAGTTTCCATCTAGGGACTCCTATTCTACTCTCTCAATACACCATGGTTTGACACTATAGATTCCGCGGAGGCACGCAATTTGCTCGAAGCCGGATGGCCGATATAGATTGAACGAAGTTGTGACCACTCACTACAAGAGACCAGGTCATGAGAGCTATTGAGGGGAAAGAGGAACTAAAACAAGGTCAGAGAGCGATCGTACGATACCAATGCACGATGAAGTCGTCACCACAACGGTACGAACTACTCTCGAGGCAGACCATCTACAAGTGCTGAGGTTGAGTTGAATCTTACTGATGATGCAGCCCAATTTCGATTTCGATTTTACCCAGCCTTAGCCCTGCAATGCTGCATTGCCAATCTAACATGCACTGTCAGGTTAGCGAATCTTCCAATCACCATTGAAAGTCTCGTTACCGCCCCAACGGCAACATGGGGATTCGATTCGATTCCCTCCCGATCTTGTATGTTGGATCATAATTACCATGCAATATGCAATGCGGGTTCTCCGCCCACGAGGCTGGGATTGAAGAATGCGGGGGATCTGCACCAATATTGCCGATAAACTGTGCTGCAAGAATAGCTACACGACTGATCTCCAACGTGTTGGATCTTGAAAACTCGGTTCGACCGCTTCTCGTTGATTGCACTCGGTGGTCTAGTCCCGGAAGCTCGCCGTGATTGTCAGTGAGAAATTCGGAAGCGAATCACGACATGGACGATCTCCCAAACTCGGGTCAACGTCCAGTTCTGAAATATCTTGAATAGTCTGTATATCTAGTTGTTCAGTAGTGTATGAAAGATACTTTTAGATTAGTGATGCTACTATGTCTATGAGCAATACCGGTAGATCTCCACACGTGAAGTCCCGCAAGACAATAGCCGCTGGTTTACAAGGCTGTCAACTGTGCTCTAGGAAGAATCGCAAGGACATTGGTGGAGCCATGTAAGGCCATGCACGGGTCACATTTCATTTCTCGCGATTCATTATCACGATTCTGTGACTTCACTGGGTGTTGGTGGGGCCGATATGCCTTGGCAGTGAATTCGTTTAGAAGTGAAATGCAAATGTACATAATATTACGGAAGCTGCGCGGTAGATGCTGTTACTTGATTCGGATTTCCGTCTATTCCGATCAGGGGTGGTGTCCAGTGACAATCTGCTCTCCCTCTCTTTCCCAACTAAGGTTTCGAGGATAACTGACTGATCGGATGGATGTAATTCATAGAGTGACAGTTCTCTTCCACAAGCGAGCTCTTCACACGGTCGAAAGCGACGCTCGACCAGACATACATGATGTGAAGCCCATCGTAGGAGCCACTTAGCCAAAGTGCCAAGTCACCGACACGTACTTTTTCTCCGTGCTGGGGGCTACTTGTCCACGAGATCTAGAAATTGCATGCTGCACTATGATGCCATTGTACTTCATCGATACATTCTCCACCAGTTTTGCATGGAACCGAAGTGGCCTCGACGTGATGAGAATCTCACGAGACTACGAAATAGATTTGCTAGAGGAGAATTCCGTGTTCGAATCGATAATGTACTAGGACCATGATGCTTGCGTCTCTGGGTCAACGTGCATTTCATATGGAAGATCACAACAAATTCTGCATCTGGTCCATGGATCTAAGTGTAGAGATCAGTGAATCGCCTGGAGATCGAGGTTTGCCCCCTTTAGGCCTCAATCAAAAGACCAAAACATCGATTCGGTAAAAGCGTACGGCATCTTCAAGGTGAATAAACAGATGACTCTAGTGGTCTATATAAACCAGCTGATTCCTCGACGATGGAGCCCCTTATCGGCTCCCAGACTCGACACTTCAGCAACAAATCAAATTTTCAACACTTTCTAAGAACTCCTTAGTCTCCCTCCTCTCAATCAACATGAAGAGGTTCATCGCTATCACTTTCTTCGCCATCCTCGCAGCCGCCTCCCCAGTGGCATCGACTCCCCCCAAGGGCATCTCCGACGCAGACAAGGCCTGCGGCGACCAAGTCGTCTCCTGCTGCAACCCTACGAACAAGGAATCTAGCAGCGGTCTGATCTCTGCCATCGTCGGACCAATCCTCGCCAATGGCTGCGTTGGTGTCTCGGCCAATGCTTGTGAGTAACGAACCCCAGCCTTGATCGTAGAGAATGGGACAATAGGACTCACAATACGCTTTTCAGTGAACATCTTGAGCCCAATCATTGATACAGCTGGCATGTGCGGCTCCAACACGATCCAGTGCTGCTCTGGAAATAAGAACTCTGTGAGTTTCCATGGGATCCATACGAAACAATGTAGCATACCTGACGTGGTATTAGGGACTCATCGTTGTTGACCTCCAGTGCACTAGCTTGTAAGGGGGCGGCTGGGTCACTGATGTTAGGGAATAATCAGGGCACATGGTTGAGTTTGCCAGATATAGCCAGCCAGAGATAGTCAAATTAAACTTCTGGGGATGAACTACAGTTTCCAATGATGTGCTATTCAGATCCAGTGATGTTGTCCTCTAATTGATCCACTATGATTGGGTTGACATACAATCTCAGATTTGATCATACACGAATACTCTGGTAAGATTTTTAATGGTTATGATATGATGTTTTCTAGTATGATTGATTATAGACATGGTTCTAAATCCCGTCAGTACGCTCAGGGTATCCTAAACAGATTCGTTCATCAACGCCAGTGTGCACGAGCTCACGGCTCATGACAGGGCTATCAAACAAAATGAAATAAAAATGGTCTTCGTTACAGAGGTCGTCAGTCCTTTTCATAAGGGGACGAACCAAAAACAAAACAAACGAGAGTGATCCGCCATGTCATGCATGTAATATATACAGATATACAACGCTCAATTACTCCTCAGGTGTCGCGCTTCCTGGGGTGCTGAAATAGCTTTGGTCAATCCTGAGTATCCATTCAATTTTCTCCCTTTCAGCCTTTGCTCGAAAAAGGTAGGTGTTGCTCCGTGCAAAGACCGCCCAGACACAATCAGCCAACTTCTGGGGCGCGGTGCCATTTGAGCTATTGGTAAGCAGCCGCGCAATCTGTGGACTATGGTCGATCCTCGAATTGGAAAGATTGATTGCATTGAGCTCATCGCCTTCAGGGACCGAATATATGTGGAGGTAGGGTTTGCGCAATTCTACGTATCGACGCACCCAGCGTGTGTTGGAGGGATCTGGAGTGAGTAGATAACCGCCTTTCATGAGATTCGGATTTTTCGCAATGTACCGCACGGTTGCGGTAAGAGAGGGTGGTGGTACTGGTACTTCTTGCCCATCTGGACTGGGAGATGGTTGGCGAGCAAAAGCTGCCCCGTTGGCCGGTGGCTCCAGGTTTGTTGGATTAAGAATGACCTCCGCCGGGGCCTTTTTCGTTTTCCAAAGGGAGATCACACGAGTTAAAATATCCTTTTGACGATCATCAAGTGAGGAGATCGATGAAGATGCAGGGAACGTCGCGAGCGCTCGCGAGCTAAGAACTGAGCGTGCGGTCTCGATGTCGTTGATACGATGGCGACGTTTCATCGTCGAGATATAATCCCGAACAAGTGACACACCTCGGGGCGTCCAGCCGGAAAGGGCTTCTTCTCCATTGATGTAAGAATCTTTGGTATCCATACGCCACAGGTCAGTAGCTCGCTTCACACTGGTCGGCCTGATTGCAACAGAGAAGATGCCAACTGTAGAGTGAACAACGCGGGTAGAGTTCCAAAGCTGCATGAACATGCTCGTCTGACGAATATATGTTCGGCCTCGGATTTGCAGGTGAACGTCGAGGGAAAACACCATAGGCTCCGTCAATTTCGAAGACGTAACATTGAAGAGAAGAGAAGCCTGTACGCGGTATTTGTCTGGTGTTGCTCGATCCAAAAGCAATGAGCCATGCATACTTGAGTCCCACTGCCCAATGAAGGTAACATTTGTGGTACCATCGGCATTATTCTTGACTACGGGCGGAGAGACAAGCTTCACAGGAACCTCTTTGACTGGGGAATCAAGTGCCGGGGCATTGCCTGCAGCATCAAGAAGTCGGATACGGCCGACACGCAAAGCGGACACATTCTGCCATTGAAGTGTCTCGCCAGCTGTATGTGTAAGGTTGACGACAATGCGGCGCTGTAGTCCTTGATGCAGTTGGTATGCACCAGAGTCCACAGCATTGTTTTGGAGGACCTCAACCGGTTGATATGTACCGTCTTCCGAGATCTCATGTATTTGTATGCGAGAGAATATGTCATGTGTGTCCTCGGTGAAGTACTCAGACTCTGGAAGTCGTGCATTATGGCGCTTTTGCGTTGGTTTCGCAGCCGAGTCCCGCATATCGTCCCAGCTCAAAAGCTTGTCAAGATGCATGCTTGTTACCTTCGCAAAAATGGAAACACGCAAAAATGCCGTTCGTGGACTTGGGTAAGGCAAACTCATACTGTGGACACTTTCAAAGCGGACTGGACCTTCTTCGAAATCGCTGATCATCTGTGTTGTTGTTGCACCACCTTCGTCCGAGATACCAGGTAAGAAGAGCTGCCCATGTACTTGGCTACCTTCTCTCTCGGGGAAACCGACCAAATCGTGCATCACCACATTGAATTTGAGCGTTGTGGAAGGTGCCTCGGCTGACGAAGGTTCAAGGGCCAAACGAATTATGCCAATGACATTGGCGGTGTATGGTGAAATGACATCGAGACTGAAATCCTGCACTCTCGATTCGAAGACAGCAGCCAAAGGCACGTCGACATCGCCAATGCGAGAGAACTCAGGCATGCAAGGTTCGTTGAACGGGTTTTCGAGGCTGAAGTGTTGAAGGTATTCCGGTCTGTTCAGGTACTGGTGCATTTGGTGCATCAAACGGACACGGAAGCGCAACTTCTGTAGTGACCAAAGATGCACAACGTCGTTCTTGAAGTCGACCACCCGAACACCTACACACGGCTTTGGGGTATTTTCAAGGAACTCATCATCCTCCCCAGAAATACCGTTCAACACCAAGTCATAGGAGGAACCGAAACTATGACCTACATCGACGATGCAAAACTGAAAGACAACGTTTTTGTCTAGCTGTTGGCTCATGACCTGGGCTTCTTTGAGGATTGCGGCGTTTTGAAGAATCGTCTCCGCCATGGTAACATACTTCCGCTGTCTCCAATGCTGGAAGACCTTGCGTACAAGTTCAACTTGTTTCTCCGTCGGCTCAGCTGATCCGGACTCAATGGTTGAGGGTGGAGGGGACATTGGTTGGTGGCCGAGTTCTTCAAGATGACGATTGAACGCATCTTGTTGCTCCTGAAGCTGCTTCTGCATGGCTTCTTTTGCAGTGCGTAAGTTCTCCTCCATTTTTGCCTTCTCGACTTTTATCTCTTCAATTTCAACATTGGAGCTTTCCGCGGATTTCAATTTTGCTTGATAACCTTCTTTCTGTTTGTCGAGAATTTCCTGCATATCCTCCTTGGACTGCCTTAGGCGATCCTCTTCTTCTCCTGGTAGTGGCGTTGATGGCATCGTCAACATTGTGTCGAGAGAGAAATTATCGATTGTCCCAGTCGAGGCATATTTTTCTCGTACTGGATACGAGCTGACGGAGTCTGTGTCTTCTTCGTTCTCTGATAACAATCGACTTTCCGGGCGTGCTTTACGTGTCGCTCGCAGCCTCTGAAGGTCCTCGAAGAGCGCATCAAACTCATCATCTGGCAGAGCTGCAATCTTTTGATCAGTACCCAAAAGAGCAGTCACGGCCTCTCTTCTTGCAAAGCTCCAATCCGAATCTCTGCCAGGCCTTTGAAATGGCGCAGGTGACATAGCCCTTGGGCTATCTGAGTCAAACTCTGAATCTGCCCTACTGACAGTACTGAACGATCTGTCATGCCCAGGACGCGGGGAAGGTGAGCCCAGTTGACTTGCTGCTATAGAGTGGCGGAGCAAGCTGGACCCTACGACCTCTGCTCGTTCAGCCCTAGCCTCCTGGGGATTGTTGAACCGGAAAATATGGAAGTCGCCAAGGATGATACGGAAACCACTCCTCAGTCGTTTAGGTTTGTCGATGCGAATGCCATTCACCATGACACCAGCGTTGTCCCTAGGAATGACAGTGACAGCACCATCAACGTTCTCAAAGGTACAGTGATCGTCTAGGATCTGTGCTCCATTCAGCCTGATTTCTGCTGTTTGGTTCTCGGTATCGACGTTTCCGACGGTAGTTGTACCAGGCTTAAGATTATAGACCAAGCACTCTGCCAACAGAGGGTCGTCACTCAAGTTAACCAAATGGGGCATTTTCTTTGGTGTTGACAGTCCAACGAAACCTTTCTCAATACTGATACCCAATTCCTCAAGTGCAGCTTCTCGCTCTTTGTGAATTTCTTCCGTCTTCTGCAATTTCTCTTCCCAGGTTTGATTGAGGTCATTGTACAGTTTCTCCGATTGGTCCAGTTGTTCTACAATTTCTGCCTTTGAAACCTTCTTGACGGTTCCGTCAGGCTGCGCAATAGAAACGATTTGTTTCTCCAAGGGTGTATCTGGCGCGTACTGCTCCTCAACCATACCCGAGGAACCTCCACCACTAAGTTTTGAGCGGAGCTGTGCAAGTTCTTCTTTAAGCTCCCGAATCATACGAGCGTTGGGATCCTCGTTGACAACGGCGTGGTTCTTGATTCGTTTCGCCGAATCAGCATAACGTAAAGTGGAAAGAGTTTCTTCGAAATTAATGTCTGCGGGAGAAATTGCGGCAATCATAGCTGTTAAACTATTACCTCCCAGGGAGTCCTTCAGCAACCAGGTGAGGACAGAGTCACGGTATGGCACCTGAGCCTTCTTCTTTCCTGATGACATGTCGGCGAGCGCAGCAATAACACGACCTAGGGTAGACAGCGATCTGTTGATCTCTGCGCCCTCTTTCAGGCGTGCTCCTGTTGCACCAGTCGACTGCGCTCTCTCTGAACCTGCCAAATCCACCAAACTGATTTTCGCAACCTTCTCTCCGCTCATGCTGGTTTCGACATCGTGCCGCTTTTGGGTCAAAGTAAGCGTAAACACTGCGTGGGATCGAGATGATGTTTCGTTCATGTTTGTCGCCGCTACAGTACGGGCTTTGTTTCCTTCGTCCATCAAGTTCTCAATCTCAGAGAAAGATCTCACTACCAGCTTGGCTAAATCCTCGACATAAGGACCTGTCGACGGATGCTCTCGGACCCTAAGATTTCCTTTTGTCGATGGATTCAACAGGTCGCGTACGCGCTCGTTATAGATCTCCAGGTACGAAACTTCCACAGTACAACTCAAATTCTTGTCCGATTGCATTTCGGTTATCCTCTCGAACATGTTCTGGCAGATTTTTGGGATAACTCCTGCGTCTTCTCCATATCCCATCATTGAGTATGATTTTCCTGAACCAGTCTGTCCATATGCAAAGATACAGTTGTTGAACCCCAAGAATGCATTATCCAGTAGAGGCTTGCCGAGGTCAACAAATAAATCGTCTTGTCCGGCATAGTTGGGAGCTTTGCGATCGAATGACCAGTAGGATTTGTCAAACTTGAACGTTTTAGATCCTTCGGCTGCAGCTTTCGCGGCCTTTCCTTTGGTCTCAAAGTTGCTGGGCGGAGTAAGGACGGTCTGGTCGCCCTTCATTTGGACGATACATTGTGCCTTTCTATCGATTTCTAACTTGAGTCAGCATCTGCGGAGTGAAGGGTTGGTGCAATGCGCAAAGATGAGACCTGAGGGATATACACACCTCTCCCGTTGAACGGTCTGCACCGTACCACCACCTTGATATTTCCCCCTCCGGACGCCATGGTGAAAGCTTAGGGGCGATGGATTCGGGTTTGTTCGTGGATATGGGGAAGCGGTGGCCAAGGACGGTTCGGAATAGTTTCACTCGTCATGCGCCGAGGAGAAGCGCCTTCATGACATGGCACGTCGTGAGTACGGAATCGATGGGAGAGTCGGGAGTTAGGAGGCGTGGACGGGGAAATTGTTATTCGAGTCGCGGTCTGCGGCCAACTTCTAGAGATTACATACACATGCAGGCACGCACGTCCGCACGCGAATCCCGGAAGGTCTGTGTTTCTCCAGTTCACGTGCAACGGTCCCCGGTAAGCAGAACACGAGTCAGAGCCTGTCCTGTTTGCTTGGGTGTGGTAATAATGAGACTGCGTAGATAGCTTATGATTATTGGTGCAACACCCTTGAGGCTCGAGGTCAGGCTTGATTCCCTCGCCCTGCCCTGCCCTGTCCTGTCCTGTCAACCTGGACCCTGACAGGATGGAAACGGACTAGTCCATTTATAGTAGTATACCCCATCGTCATTTTCATGCCACCTACAACCGCTTTTGTGTACAGTCATATTTCTATACATACGACAAACGCAAGATTAACATCCTGTGAATACGCGCACCCGTCGCCATTCCTCCTTCCGTTCGATACACATGTCAGCCGACGAAATGTTCGCCCCCCCGGTCAATCGCGCCATGAAGGTGCTGGACCGATCGTTCTTCCACCGAATCGTCCCCACCTCCGCCGCCCGCATCTTCAACCCCAAGGATATATCCAAGTGCCGCACCGAGTTGGACAGAAGCCATGATACAATGAATATGAACCGTATCTCACCGATACGCTCGGATCCAAGCGAAGAAAGAGCACGAAGTGGCGGCAAGTGCATAGTCCTCAAGCCTGAAGTATTGCATAACGGTACGCAATGATCCCCACCTGATCCCTAGAAATAACTGGATTCTAACACATGGGGTAGATCCAAAAACATGGAGTCCAAAGCTTCAGGATCTGGAACGCGGCGGCACGCTGGGCGTAATTCCATTCCAACTTCATTTGGACTATGACTACTACACCTACTACGAGATCATGAACGCGATCATTCCACCAAAAGAGGAACACGAGCATGATGAACTTCCCACAGGATTTAGCCAGGCTGGGCATGTCGCGCATCTCAATCTTCGCGAGAAATATCTGCAGTATAAATATCTCATCGCTACCGTTCTCGCCGACAAGAACCCAACCGTGAAAACTGTCATCAATAAGCTCGATAACGTTGGTACCGAAAACGCATTTCGGACCTTCCAATACGAAGTGCTACACGGGCCAGATGATCTCAATGTCACCGTCCGCGAACAGGACTGCACCTTTGCCTTCGACTTCGCTAAGGTATACTGGAATAGTCGTTTACACACCGAGCACGAGCGTCTCTGCGCCATCTTCAATGAAGGCGATGCAATATGCGACGTCATGGCTGGTGTAGGCCCCTTCGCTATTCCTGCAGGGAAGAGAAAGTGCTTTGTGTACGCCAACGATCTCAATCCGGACAGTTTCAATAGCCTTGTCGATGCTGTACAAAAGAACAAAGTCGGAAACTACGTCCGTCCCTTCAATGGAGACGGGCACAAATTCATTCGTACAGCGACAGCAGACTTGCTCACTACAGAGCACAGCGTCCCAATATACCCGAAAGTGAAGACATCTCGAAGCGCACCAAAACCAAAGACTCGTCCTGAGCCATTGAAAACACTCGTTCAACCCCGAATCTTTGCGCACTACGTCATGAATCTCCCCGCCACGGCGATAACATTTTTACCATCATTCATTGGTCTATACTCGAACGTTCCCGGCGTTGCTGCAGAAGACATTCGCGAACTATTTGCGCCCGAGACAGGCATAAAATTGCCCATGATCCACGTGCACTGTTTCAGCACGAAGAGCGAGGACAACGTTGCCGAAACGAAGGAAATCTGCGAAGAAATTTCGAGACAGCTTAATTTCACAATCACCCCCGACATGCCTGATGTTGACGTCTATGATGTTAGGGATGTCGCACCTAAGAAGAGGATGTTCTGTGCAAGCTTCAGACTGCCAGAGGAGGTTGCCTTTCGGCAGCTATAGATCCAGGAAGACGGAGCCTGAAGAAGCATTTAGCTCGCGCATATTTTCTCGATCACTTAAAAGTCCTGCCTCTTTATGTATAGACCATTTACAAAGATACCCATAGAATCATTACTACTCTAACTATATTCTCCTTTCGATGATTCTTCCGTTCCATACAGTTTGTATAGACGATGCCAGATACATAGTAGACACCTGACAATTTACCAAACGGCTTGGCATCTGAACGTGAGCGTCGTGGGCGTATATAGAACCTACTCGGCTCTTTAGTCACGTACTTCCACACAAAATGCGTCTTCCCTAAGTGAGAAGTGCACCCACAAAGACTATACTGAGACCATCCTCTCGCCAGCGATGTACACCACAAATTCCGAACAACCAGCCACTTGGTGCGAAATCTGTAACCATAACACCGTCGAAACAACGTCCTCTAATCTGAGTATTCACTTCCAAGAGCTCGTCTCGCGAGTGCGTTTATTCTAGAAACGGTCAGTCTCTTTGCATCCTCAAGTTAGATGCCAAGAACTTACATGTCGAACTCCTTCATCTGGGAACTGAACTCCAAGCCGCTTCTCCAGGAATTCCCTCGTGCGGTACTTGAAACGAAACACTGCGTACGGATTCTGCAACGAGTCTTCATATTCAGGCCGGGAGATGCTCTGAATATATGGTACACCCTTTGGAGTGCGTGGCTCATCTTTAACTAAGAACGGGCTCTCTTCAACTGCGAAACCAGAGGCTCGTACTTCTTCTAAAGTGATATGGGGTAGACTCCAACTTGGCAGGCGATCGATGCTAGGCTGAGCTTTCCTGTGCTTCCGGTGGATTTTATGGGGTGCCATAGGGGGTGGAGGTCTCATCCATGGTGCGTAAGGGTTGCCTGTGTCTATCAACTGTACGTTGTGAGAAGTATCGTCAGTGCAATCCCATCCGTTTTCTGTGCTTGTCCATCTATCGGAGTTCGAATCCTTGTTGTCGCGTTTGTTCTTGGATGACTTGGAATCGCGGCTGCTCCGTTTATCTGCGCGGTGGCGATGGTCGGTTGTTGATTGCCATCCACTGGCAGAGGCGCCCATTTTGAGGGAATCATTGTCAACTCTCCAACCATTACCATTCCCAACATTGATCTGAGTAATATTGGATGCCCCGGAACTCCAGGTGTCTGCACCTGGAGTACTGTCCACCGTCGATTTCCAGTCACTGTGCTGTGCATTGACCCAGTCTGACGTGTCATCTGTCTTCTCGCCATGAAGGTTCTTGCCGCTGGCAGTCCATGATGATGTGCTCCAGTCACTGGTCCCAGGTACAGGTGTATCAGATGTAGCACCGGTTGCTTTCTCATCGAGCTCATTCCAACCATTGCCCTCGCCCCAGTCCTCGCTTCCATCATCGTCTTTCTTCTGATGTGCATTGTTCTTCTTTTTATTAACATCAATATCGCTTTTCCACGACCCAGGCATATCCCAACTTGCCACAGACCCCTTCAAGTCATCTTGCTGACCATGGACCGCCGACTTCTCACTACGCGCTTGAGAGGATGGGGTTTCCTTTTGCCAAGTGCCAGCGTCCGTGAATGACATTTTGTCCAACATCGAGTTTGTTGATGCAAAACGCTCCCAGATATCTTCAGGTATATCCTCCTGACTTGCTGCCATGTCCTTCCTGTTGCTTGGCGCAAAAGGAGGGGGCAGGAATCCGTAGCGGGCTTTGTTCTGGGCAGTATACCAGGGAGGTGGAGGGATCGGTCCTGTTATTGGAAACCAGGCGTTCCCCTGTCTGAGTCCGATGTCGAGACGCCCAGATACTGTTCGAGGTGCCTCCGGGTTTGCAAAAGATGCAAACGGACTGGTACCCCAGGTAACATCTGATGAGTCTACCGCAGAGACGGTAGTTCCACTATTGTCATTCGCTTTCCAGGTATCATTACTATCGGCAAACCAACCTCCGCTGGATGAAGACCCATCGGAGCCATCTTGACCCCATGAATCCGCCGATTGAGATGGGGACAGGGAAGAGCTTGTGTTTCCCCAACCATACTCATCCCTTTGCCCGGCCGCTTTTACAGTGGGTGAAGAACTATCTGTGACCCATCCTGATACGGATTTTGGGCGAATTGTCTTGTCACTTTCAGTGGCCCATGTGTCATCAGTGGCCCATGAATCTGTCGGTGCTTCACTCCATTTCGCCCAATCACCAGAGGTTGATGTGTGTCGCGTGCTCCATGGATCTTCCTGATGTATGTTCATTTCATTCATACCGTGCAAAATGTTGGGGTTGAAAGATTCGTACTGCAGGACTCCCGGGGTGCCCAGATAGACATTCCTTGGACCAAATGCTTCTCTGCAGGGTTGAACTGGCGAGTTCATGATCGTTACACCCGAAATTGGGTTTCGCTGTATGTAAGGAGGAGGCACTGGAAACCCTGTGGGAGCATAAGCATTATGGTAGTTGTTTGCTCGCTTCCTGTGAGACTTGCCAGCATCGTTAGCTGCCCTGGATTGTTTCTCCTTAGCTTCCCGAAGACCCTGCTTGTATGCATTCGAAACCACAGAGTTGAGCCACGCAGAATCAACTAGATTGTCCCTCGGTTTCATAGCTTTCGGTGTACGCTCATGGAAGAGCTCGGAGGTGGACTCGGCGCCATGGTGCGGAACCGGACCTGTTCCGTATTCGAATCCCGAACCTGGTATAACTCTTGTAGCTCCTGGCGGCGTTGCACTTTTGTACTTCCATGCGTTCTTCTCATCATCAGATGCCCAAGCATGTCTGTGGTCTCTGCTGTTCATAATGGGATTGACGGTCGGTAGCCCACAAAATCTCACGGCTTCGCCGGTTAGTCCACGAGTGTACGCGTTCTGGAGATCCTTTGCTCGTACGTGACTTCTGGGAGTATGTCGGTAAGCTTCTGGGTTTATATTACGTCCTGTCGGGGTCCAATCGCGGTCGTCATGGGCCAAACTGCTTGAAGGGGCATCTCGGCCATAGTAACGGTCACCAGCGCCATCAAGCCCCATGTTAGCCAATGGTAGGGAGGGTTTGCATCTCAATACAATCACCTCGATGCAGCCAGTGGTGCTCCCTTGGCCAGATTTACGAGCAGACGCATCAGCTTTATCGGCAAGTTCTTCGCAAAATCAGTAACATTCAACTAATGCAACGGGAAACCACTTACTCATATTCAACCCTGAGAAATTCCATTCCCGTGCCACCATCACACCGTCCTTTCCCTTGTCCTCTTTTTGGCGAAGACGGAATTCTGCCACAGCCCGGCGATTGCGACGCTTTTCATCTCTGGTAGGCTTCACAAGGTGTTGTTTGTTGCGGTTGCATTGGTAGATTCCATCGATAAAGACGTAAACAGCCAGTCCTTCGGAAACATACTCTTGACAAGTCAAGTGAATAGTGAAGGCACCAGGATCTAGGGGTAATGTAACATAGGTCTCGACAACACCGTCTCCGTAGGTGGTCATGTACTCAGGTAGATTGCGACCAGATGCGAGCTCTATGGCGCAATCGAGCGCCTTGAGAGAAGGCATTGCGACCTTCGACTCCCTGGGAAAGTGTCAGCAGTTGTGTCTTTAGCTTCAAGCAAAATCGTTCGCAAATCAAGGGTTGTTGGTAGGGTGGAGTAGGTGTGAGCCTGCGGTATAACTTGACTGTGCACGGATCCTTCAGTCAAGACGGAGAATGAGCTTTGTTTCGTCCCACTGGATGGCGTCTTTCTGCACGTTCCCGTTGATTCAGTATCTAGGCGCCTGATACAATTCAACAACGATTGCTGGCTGTGAACCAAGCCCAGTTGCTGTGGGAATGAGTCGTGCGCCTGATGCTTCGATCAATGCTTGGATGCTTGGAACAGGATAATCGACCTGACAAAAGTTAGCACTGTTGTTTGCTGCAAAAACGAGTCGGTCGACTGGAGCTGGGTGTGTGGAGCGTCTGCGTGGTCGTAAGTTGGGTCCACCTGAGCTATATATTTATATGTCGGATCTAGGTAAACAATAGGCGACCTAGCCATATCACTGCCACAACCACACGCGCATGAGTATCACTACATGAATTGCTTGGAACACAATAGAATATCGAGTTGTATTGTTTCGCTAATGATCCAGTTATTGTGGTTCAACGCCCCATGTGATTCTGAGATCTGGCAGGGCAGCTTCGCGTCCAAGTTGGCTATTTGGAATCCACCTTCACTTCGGCGCGCTCGCCACAACACTCCATTGTATGGTGTGGGCTGTTACACTGATCTTCACTAGATCACTACAACCTTACTGTGCCCCATCTTTTCATAGCCTTCCCACCATTTTGGTAGACTTGTCTCTCATACGCGTGTCACTAGGCGCGTTCGAATAGCTCAGAATGGACATGAAGAAGTCAAGTCAGAACCAAGTCGAGACACCGTACGTGCTCCCAGAACTCCGCCAACCTTAGTTTCACTAACGGTATCACGCAGCATCTTCGACTGGCCCGAAATTAAGGAGAACGACTATAATTGGGCAAGGTACCCTTCGACCAAGAAGCAAACCGCTGCAACGGCGCCGGATCCTCACCTGTCGGCTTCACAGCAGCTTCAGTGCCTCCACAAGAGTGTATCAGCAGTCATAAATGTCATTGCACCCAATGCGGGCAATGTGGTATCGATCATCGCGGAAGATCTAGCACGCGTATCCTGCGAATCGGCAAGAAATCTCCTACCCAAGGAGTAAGCAGGCCTTCGGATTTTTGCAGCTCTCGTGACTCTAAACAAATACAATAGTGACTGGGTCTATCCATACTTCGTTGTTGAGTCAGCATGCCAACAAATGCTGCTCGAGAAGATCAAGAAAGCGCGGATAGAGTACGCACATCAGCTGTATACGAAGGGAATGATTGACGTAGTTGTCTACTGGGACTGTCCCCCACTCGATCTGCAGATGGAAGGCCGAGATCATCCAATGAAGAGGGTGTTATATATGACTGAGGAGGAAGGACGCCTTCTCAGCAAGACAGTAAACTACTCTCCGCAATCTCGTTAAGACATGGCTACTGACAAATTGATAGTGGGACACTCACTACAAAGCCCTGGACTGGGATGTCATGCATGCGCCGTACACTGTCGTTTCCAGTACGGTGAAAGGAAGACAGCATCGTACCATTACGGACAAGGACGAGCATGGCTCTCCAAACGTTAAGTTGATCTATGAATCGTGTGAACCTTCTCGTAAAGGCGGTTTCTACACTTGCATTGATCTGACACTATATAAGCAAATGGTTCACCTCTCTGAAACATGCAGCGGCAGGATACAACTATCGGTTGTTGTTCCACCAAAGCAGATGTCTGTCGGACAACAAACTTACTGTAATGACTATTCCTCTTTTCTGGATACTGTGGACAATAGCATCAGGGAAGCCCAGGCAACGGAGGAGCAGGTACAACTCAAGTCGGGAGCAGAAAGAGAGCATGCACAACGCAGAGCAAGGACTTACTCGGCCGCACATCGTTGGACAGCAATGGATTTCCTTCCGCCGCACAACTTCTAAGAAGGGATGGAGGATATGGGGATTGGTTTTTGACACCGCATTGTGAATATTCACAGTGGAGAACTAGTTAATGGTTCAACTGTACTATATCCGCTTTGAGCGACTTTGTAATGTACGATGAACGCTTGTATATCAACTTTCCTGGAAATTCGATCTAGGATAGTCAAGTCTTCGCGTTAAGCCCTCCAACCCAGCTTTGATGCTTGAAAAGCAAATGCCTGGCATATTGATGAAAAGAGTTTCCTTACATCAATCAGGGGAATTATTGATGAGAAATACCTTCGATAGTTCTTATCAAAGATATTTCTGTCTAATAACTCCTCAGTCAATGATAATTGGCTGGAATGAACAACGGGTTAGATGCTGACATATAGACAGCCGAGACGACCAATGACATCAATCACGACTTCATTCAAGGTCACCTTGATCTTCTTACCACATCCGTTTCTCAGTGAGTGTTTCCCTCATCTTTGAAGTGCCCGGGATAGCCATCTCGTCGCAGACGATGGATGGTGATCTTCTTATTCTTCGCCAGCTTAGCGCTGAGCTTCCGCCCGCCTTGCTTGCTTTGTTGATACCCGCCATCTTGCTTTATTTGAGCTTGTATGCATTTGCGTGCAAACGCAGAGACATCTTTGTGATTCTGTCCGTCCCTACACTTTTGGGGTTTTGGATGAGTTCTAAGGTCGCGCCGGTGACGTGTGCTGCCCTACGTGCTCAATTGAACTTTATTGGTAGGTATATGGATTTCATCACTGCATACATTAAGAGTGAACTTATCATCTCCCCGGTTGTTGTGGTATGGTATCAAGTCCTATTGTTTGGACTCTTATGGGAGCATTGAGATGTAGTATCGGCAATTTCCCCATTCACACTCCATACGTATCAAGAGAGATATTGCAATAGTGCTAAAATCGCCAGTTGCTGTCTCTACCATGAAACTTCTCGACATTCACGCCTTATCCTGGACCAACTCCTTCCCATCATACACCGCAGGCACACCACCGTCTCCAGCTATCCTTGCTCTGATCCTGCTCACCGAGCTACGCTACGAATCCTTTACACCGAATCCGATCCGGCTCCCGTTTCTCCCCAGATACCCTTTTCCCACCTCTCTAGAGAAAAGACAGTTCTTCTACCTTGAGTTCAACCAGTATCTTATCCACCTAGCCCTCTTCATCCTCCTCCAATCCCTCCCACAGATCCTCCCCGTAAAGGCCCTGGGCGTTCTCTTCACCATCTGGCTAATCTGGACTACCATCCAACTTCTCGTCCGCTACCCAACATCGCCGCCTCTATTCGGCCCTCTCTACCTTATTGAAAGCCTCGCGACGTTCTGGACTGGAACCTGGCACAACGTCTTCGCCTCGCCGTGTTACAGCCTAGCGTACACGCCGACATTTTTCGTCCTGACGAAGTTGCGGGCGCCGCCTTGGATCTCGAGACCGGCGGCTGTCGTGGCGGCGTTTGCGTTCATGGCGGCGTTCCATATGTATGCGCTGGAGCCGCTTTTGACTCGTGAGGGGATCAGGAGGATTGGCTGGTTCTTCGTGGGGAATGGGATCCTGACTGTTGCCGAGACGGGGGTTTGGGGGAGGAAGAGACACTGGGTTAGGGCGCTGATGGCATGGATTGCGGAGTTGTCGTTGGCGAGCTGGACAGTGGCGGCGGCGGATCTTCCTGATGGTGCATTAAAGGCGAACTGGAGGGGATTGTGTGAATGGAAGAGGGATTAATATATTCATTGGGAAAGTGGATGATGACGTCTCGAGATATGGAAGGGTATAACAAAAATGCTAAATCAAAGATTATGCAAAACGCATCTTCTTAGAACGCCTGCGCAACAATGCTTTCGCTTCACATGCTTAAAACCATAACAAAGTAGCCTCCATTGCATTCGTTGAAACACAGAATTCTTGAACCCTCAGAGGTCATCATAAGACTGAACGAGCGTGCTGTACATGGAAGATCCATCGTTCTCTACGACTCCGCCTTCATGGTGCCACAAAGTGAACACGTCCACCACTGATTCTCCATGAAGGTGCCGCAATTCAGACAATTCCAGCCAATCCTTCCCCTGGCTGGTTCGAAAGGAGTTGCATCAGGCCCTCGCATACCAGAAGCTGGAGGTGGTTTGGGAAGGCTGGCAGGGTGATGTGACGGACCGTAACGTTTATGTTGTGGAATAGGTTGTGGGGGTTGCTCAAGACCACAAGCGTCACAGGCAAGGTACTCCAACGGGTTTAGCAGTGTGCACTGCGGACAAGCCCATCTATTAGGATCCGTCGATATAGGTGGTGGCGAGGGAGATGTTGCGGGAGGGGATGGTGGTAAGTCTTTGTTTCGGTAGTCTTCCTCTTCCTGGGATATCAGACGGGAGGTCGGCCGTGTATTTGATGCCGATCCCGACCTGGAAATATATCCTGAATTGTAATCGGTCACCAGTCGTGACAGTGGTCGAGGCAAATTCCCAGATGGCGTCGGCCCCTTCCATGCCCCGTTGTTGACGCTCGATGAACGATTTGGGTTTGCGGCATCGTCGAAAGAGAGACCATTTTCCGGGTCCCATGCCAGTCCACCTCCACCGTTTGGTGAGCATAATCTTGCCATTTCTTCCTCTTCCATCAGTTCCTGTAGGGCCTGGGCGATGGCTAGATCATTCGCATCGTCTTCCTCAGCTTTGGTTCTAAATCCGTCTTCTACTGCCTGATGGTTAAGCCTCCCAGCCTGGTCACTGCCGCTTGCACAACCATTGGTGATACTGTTCCTGCGTGTTGCCGCATCGGCGATAACCTGCCTCATATCCACACCTCCCGTGACATGTCCACCTCCTAGACGATGACCTCCATAATTTACATTTGTGGTCGCTCGTCTTTTTTCTGCTGCGACCCGGGCTTGACGCCGCATCTCATCCAGAGGAATGCGCCTACCACCCAGCTTGTTCCCTGCAGATAGAAAGCCTTCCCCAGTGTAGCCCTTGGCCATTAGTGACTGGTGCTCCTCACGAAGCTCATTCCATAGATTATTGAAGTTATGGTCATGAGGACCCCAGACAATGTGAGATAATTCATGCAACAGGGTATCTGTGACTTGCTCCATTGGCAAGAATTGCCTTGAATCATGGTGATAACGTAACCGGATCAGTATCCTCTCGGTTCTATTAATGTTGAGGCCTGTGAAGCATGTTAATGGCGACAAGGACCCACAATATCCATGTTCATTCCCTTACCCAGAAGTTGGGGTTCGTCGGGTAGGAACTCAGCCAGTGTACCGATCTTCCAGCCGCGCTTCCTCATTATTGGTTTCACTACAGAAGCAACCTTGCGCAGCATATGAAGCGCCTCTAGATCGCGGGGTAGGTGTTTGAGATGCTCATAGGCATCGAAATGTGCGTCGATCTCCCTCATGATGACGTTGGTTGTGAATATCACGCGCGGTTGTTAGCTAGGGGAAGGTTTCTTTTTAAGTGGTGTTTCTGGCCTTGCGCGCAGAGGCGGCGCGGCGAATGAATGTACAGAGGTGCAGCGGGGAGGGAGCTTGAATAACTGCATAAGTGTGAAGGCAATGGAACCCAGTAGAGAAAAAAAGGCGATTTCGGCAGAGGCAAATGCAGATAGAGACAAAGCAAGGTCAGAAGCAATGCCAGCCACGTCAGCTACACGGTTTGCCGCGTCAGTGATTACAGCGCGCGCGTTGAATAAGGTAGGTAGATATTGGTGAGATGAGGAGTAGAGCAGAGGAAAGTGGCTGCCGCGAGCCGGCAGCTCTTGTGCGTCGCGATCACTGCTTTTGTACGAGTAGGCAGAGTGAGGTGTGAGGTTATCAGCAGGTCAGCTCCACTTGCACTTCGTTCCACTGGAAGGGACGATGCTTAAGGTGGGATGTGGCGTTGATCTGGGCAAGTACGCCATCACGTGCGCCTATCTTTTGGCGGGACACGACCTATCTAGGTGACACTCTAGGTAGAGAGCTCGATCCTACGACAAATGTGGAGTTGATCAGAGATCTGCACATCCATCAACAACGATTGTTGATAGAGGCCGTCCCTCTTCATACCATAAATCAACTGCAGCCCCTCGAGGACATCTGTATTGCTCCGACAAACTTCCACTCTCCGCCTGCTCGTATCAGTGACCATGACGAGTGATGATCAGCATTTCTTAGATGTCGTGAGTCTGGCACCTCTGTCTCTGTTCCCCAGCCTCAGCTCATATCATTTCGCAGCTGGCAGCATACACTAGCGATATCAGAAAATTCACAGGAGATGTCTTCGACTCCACCGATCGACATTTCGCCTGGGTTGCTTCTCATGTCAAAAAGAGCCTCCCCCAAGGATGGCTTCCTGAAAGCGCCCGTCCTCCGCCTCCACCACCTCCCCCACACCAACTCACTGGTGTATACCTCGCTCGCCTACAAGACTGGATTTCTCGGCATCAAGCGCTGACCGCAGCATTTGTTGCTTTCTTCGCAACAGGAGGATTGCTATTGTGGAGGGAGAAAAAGAACCATAACAGGAAGCGGCGCGCAAGGAGGGCAAGTAATGGAGCTCGGAAGGAAGTCATAGGTATGATACGTTCCCTTGTTGTTCTCCTGGAAGAGTCCGACGGTCTCTCAGTATTTGTGTCTTTCGACATTCGTCGTATGTTGACCTCCTGGAGCTTGAGGTTTCGGAGCTATGACATCATACGTTCACGATGTCACGATGCGACAAATACTTACTTTCGCTGGAGCGGTGGTCATCGCATAAGAAGGCATGGCCTTTGGTAGGCCGGGCTAAACAGTCGATATCACTATCGCCATGTACTGCGGAGATTTTGAAACGTACTTCGAGGCTAACTGTCAACAGTGATCGCTGGCCCTCCAAACTCGCCTATTGTTAAATCAATGTCCCTAGATCTCGAGCGTCGAGGCTTCATCGTATACATTGTCTGTGCAGATATGGAGGAGGAACAACAGGTACACAACGAATCGAGGGCGGATGTTAGACCGTTGCATTTGGATGTGGTCGATGTTTTGGGAACGAAAGATGCCATGGACCGTTTCAACGACCTCTTACTTCGACCCCATGTGGCGTTCTCCGGCGCATCTCCCCACAACCTTCACTTCCGCGGTCTGATCCTTGTTCCTGACCTCATATATCCCTCTGGGCCCGTAGAAACCGTCTCACCTGAGCTTTGGTCCGATGCTTTGAATGCCAAAGTGCTCCATACGGTCGCCATCGCCCAGGCGTTTCTACCAACAATCTGTAGTTTCAAAGCGCGCGTACTCATGCTAACACCAAGTATCGTCTCGGCACTTCGGCCTCCATTCCACAGTGTGGAAACTGCGGTGGTCAGCGCGCTGGAAGGGTTCACAGCATCTCTAGGATCCGAGCTCGGCACCCTGGGCATTGATGTTTGTCAGTTCAAGTTGGGGACCTTTGACTGTAGTAATGTTGGTGCAAAGCAGCAGCTGCAACCAAGAGGTTCTCCAAACATTTACGCCTGGCCGTCTGCTGCGCGGCAATCATATGCCTCCAATTATGTCAACCAGAGTCGTGTGGCTCAGAGCAGAGGACTGTTCGGACAATCAGGATCCACGGGGAGCTCATTGCGAGAACTGAACAACGCAGTCTTTGATGCGCTCACTCAGAAAAAGCCGAGACGAACATGGCGGGTAGGTCGTGGAAGTGTGGCCTACGACATGGTGGGCAAGTGGGTTCCATCTGGCCTCGTCGGCTGGATGCTGGGAGTGCGAAGGGTATCCCTGGAGCAGGTTTCGGAGCCCAAATTGGAAGACAGCGTCCAGTCTTGGGAGCATGTGGGAGAGGCAGTTTGAGGGGTTCGTTTTGCGATTTGGAATTTTCGACGTTTCAACTCCACTCTTCACTGATCACGCGTATTGGTCGGAAACACTCGACACCGAGGCAGACTTACAGAAAACTTAATGGCCGTCTTTACCTCGCAAACACGCCGTTTGAAACCGTTTCTCTCACCACTCATATATTTATCAACTATCAACTATCAACTATCTCGGGACGGTATAGTTCGGTCCGAAGCGTCAACCGCGGCACACCGAAACCGCAATTTCCCACCCCATATATAAATGGCCAGGGTGACGACTCGACCTCGACAAGGGAACGTAAAATGACTAATTTACCCCAGCATGTGTTCAAATTTCAACTCGACGTCTTGTGTCCTGGCAGACGGGAACGGGACGGGTAAAGCAAAGGAGTCAAATCTTACAGAAATACGACCAGACTGTTGCCTTTGACGAAAGTTCAGCTCAAGGACGAACTGGGCGTTTACGGAGCGCTGTAGGCAAACGGCGTGTCACAACGCGAGGTCACAGAACGATATATTCACATATCACAAGAATCACGGCCAATTCTCTCGAGTTGTTCAATGTTGTTTGTACCTCCTCAAGGGCCCTGCATTTGGACCCCGAAAACCATTGATTGGACCAGAGTCCTTTGAGCAAATCATCTCATCTCACCGTACTCGCCTCTTTTATATTACTTCTACTATTACATTACGAATATTATTATTATTATTATAATTATCAAAACTTGAAATGAGTCTCAGCGTGGCGACATAATTTGTGCGCCCAATGTCCGTCCTGGTGTAACTGGGCACATGGATTGACAGACACAAATCTAGTTACGCAGGTAGTTACGCAGGTAATTACTTATTTCGTTCCACTCATTCGATATCAATCAATCAAATCAATGAGTCTTAACATTCAATCTTACCTCTCCTCTCATACGTTCCACAATATACCTACGTCGTGACAACAAAGAAGCCGCCGAATCAACACGATATCACGCGTACCTCTCTCCCCTTCCACGCCGCGGCAAGCAGGAGCGGATACATCCATCATGAGCGCATACGGCTTATGTTTTGGAGGCGTGACCATAAGCACTGGGGAGACAGACACGTTTGGGGGGTTTACCTGATGATGTGGGGTTTTGTGGAGTTTGGTTGTATGTAGTATGTATGCATGTAGGGTGGCTCTCAATAGTGTCATTTGCATATGCACTATGATGTATGTGCATACAGTGTACGGGAGTATGTGAGCAAGGCGAAATTTTGGGTTATTTTCTCCTCAAGTGAGTGCCTTATTCAGCGGGGTGATGTTGGTGATGGTGGCTGATGTGAGATGAGAGTCAAAAAGGTGGATGAGGGCGAGGCAAGCAGGCGGAGTGGATCGAAGTCCGGATTGTCCGTTACATTTGTGAACATGATACATGAGAATGGGTCAGTAAGCAGTGTCGATCGTTAGTTGGGATACAATTTGTGTTTGGGGAGTTGGGACAGCAATTGAAGCTTGCTTGTATGTTGCGACATCGCCAAGAGAGGGAAGGGGGAGACGATCCGGAGTTGAGGTTGTGGATGAATGTATGGTGCGGTGGGAAGTGTTCGAGAAGGATGGTGGAAGGATGATGGTTGTAAGCTTGTACTGTGTAAGATGTATGATCTTACAATCTTACACTGTAGAGGAGTTGTGTATGGTAGATTACGCTTATTAGTTGCAGATCCAATGACCGTGGGGAAGCTTGATGTGGTGGTAGTGTAGTTCTGTGTAGGTACACATTGATATACAGCAACGTGGATTGGTGGTGTGGTGTATTTGGGGATCATTTTACCAGTTGGTGGCCAACGAACTATGTTGGCAGGGGAATGAAATGATTGGACGGGCTACTTTTATGAGATGAGCCATGAATAGCAGCACAATTGGAGGCGCCACTACTCGGAGGCGATTGTGCGACTATTGTATTGGCTCGGTACGCCACACTCCCCCAAACGAAGACGAAGCACTAGCGGTTCTGCTCTGCTCTGCTCTAGCCCCTGGATTCGAAGAGGGCCTGGATGTATTTGCTTGTTCCTGTCTGTTTCCAAGTATTCGTAGCACAAGAAATCGTTCGTTTTATTGAATGATTGAACGATCGATTGATTGGTTGGTTGGTTGCTATATCGAGGGTTGGAGTCGGGAAGGACGATGCTGACGACGCCATAGACAACGAACAAAGGATAGTAATGGATTCTTTGTATCTGGGTAGTTACTTGTATCTACTTCGTACTTGGAATTGTAGATACGAGCAGGATGCACCATGCAGGTAACAGGACAAGTGTATTGATTCTTTGACAGATGCAGCTAGGAGGCCAGTGTCTGTTACTAAGTGGAGTGGGCAACGCAACGCATCGCGTTAAGGGATATCCCAACTGCGCACGCGATCAGTTTACCTACCTAGGTACACAGTAAAGGCTAATAAGAAAAAGAGAAGGAGATTTTGGGTTCACATTGGTCGGCTAGAACAAAATGATGATTAGGGAACGGAGTGTGACTAGTGTGTCCATTGAATGATGGGATGGGTTTCATAGATACAGTCGCCTCCCCCCACAATAATGGAAACTTGACACAGCCGATGGTGCAGGCAATTCCTAATGAGACAGACCCTGCAGTTGGTCTGTTCGGTCTGTAGACTACTGTCCTGTTTGATCTCTCTGTGAATCTGTGCCAGTACTAAGTAGTCAGTAATAATTAGCTACCTTCTAGGTAAATACAAGTTAAACTGTGTGCCTGCATCTGCATCTCCTTTCCCCCTTGGCAGGTGAATAGGGGAGATTGGCCCCAATCCCGAAAAGAACCCACCCCGTGGATCCACCACGACTGTACCGGCCAAGCAAACCCATCTCGTATTCTGTTATGTACACTCTCCGTAGTGTGTCGGATGTGGATGATTCTCTAGTTAATTACAAGTTAGTTACCTTCTGTGCTACGACGTGCTATTATTACTATGGTCCCGTCCACAGAGGCGAGCCCTGCCAGTCCCCGCGACCGTTGTCGAATCTGTGCTTTATGTATGTGAATGCGGATTGTCTCGTCGTGTTCAATTCGACCTGTCTAGTCCAGTCCAGTCTGGTCCTTATTAACTGTCTAATGAACTGTTCTGTCCATCTATTTTGAACTAGGTATTCACAGTTCACACACACGCGCATACGCATACGCATACGCAGTAGTAGTACGGTACGGAACCAGGGTAAAGGGTATTGGTAACAGGTACATGGGCAGCAGCACTCCGTACTCGTAGTCGCACCTTCCTCCTCCTACCCCATCGCCTATTCGTACCTTCCAACCCTACCAACCCAACCTATTACTCGCTATTACTCGTCCCCTACTCCGTCGTTTACTCTCCTTTCCCCTTCCCTTCCCTTCCCTACTCTTTCTTCCCTCCTCCTCTTCTCCTCTACCTCAACATCAACACCCGTCTCTCGCTCACTCACTCACTCAACTCACTCTCTGTGTTGCTCGTCGTTTCTCCAGGCCGCCGTTGCCTCGGATGCAAGCAAGGAAATAGAACAAGCAACCTGCCGCTCCTTCACTGTCGCTCCCAATCCAATTCACAAATCGCAACTCGACGTTTCGCGATCGCCATCCGCTACTGCTGCTGCGCCGTTGCACACAGCCCACATCCACCACCCCCAATCCCTCCAACGGGCGTCTGTTTGTTCCAGGCCAACATAACACCAACACCACCAATATCATCAATCACCCTACTACGCCCAGGTGCATAATCGATCCCTCTTACTTAACTAAACTTCCCCTCCTTCTCGCAAACCCGCGCATAATTCCTCGACTTTTGCCTCGGATTTTGGTCGTTTCACCCCTTCGCATGACGACACACCACCGAACCACCGACGTCCGACAAACCATCCCCAGACCCCTCCGGTGCTCAGATTAACATATTCAAACGTCGCCTCTGGTCCACCCGATTTAACTACCCTTCTTGAACATTTGCATCCTGCGCTCACCATGGTCAACCGTCCGGAGCGCCCCGATGCCCTCCAATTTCGCTCTCATTCTTTCGACCCGCCCTGCAATGCGAGTATGACCAGCCTTTCTTTGGGTGACCTTCCCAGCCCGCGTGCTGGTGAGGTACCACCAGCTCTGTCGCCGCTCGATGCGCTCGCGTTGCAAGGCCGTCTCCTTGCAAAGCGATTCGAACAGCAGAACAAGGCTGGTCGTCGCATTAGTCGTTTGGAACCGCTCACCATTCAGAATGAATTCGGGAATCGTACTGGATACTTTTCTTCCATGTCGAGCTCATCCGCCAACTCTCCCAACGATGAGCTGCCTCCGCTCAGTCCCCAGCCGCCCTCCAGCTCTCCCCGCGAGCAAGTATCAGATCGCCATAAATCCTTCTATCCACAGTTTGGAGGCCCCGAAGTTTCCTATGAGCCCCCGCTACCTTTTCGCAACAATCTGACTCCCATCGGCGAGGTGAAGCCGCAACAGCAGCAGCAGCCCCCGCGGGGCTACTTCGACATGCCTAGGTCCCAATCCCCAGAGATGGAAGAGCCGAAGATTGGCTTACAGGAAGCAACACCCACATCTCCTGCTATACCACCCCGCTCCGAATTGAGACCGGCGATGAACCAGGCGAATAAACAGCATTCGCAAGACTCTCTATCCTCTAGGCCACCGATGCAAGGCGGTCTTCACCCTCCTCGATCCCCAATGTCTTTGCGCGACAGGTCCCGAGGTCGCTCTCCAGGTGTTTCTCCCAGTATTAGATCTGTCCCTGGAGATAGCGGCGATGAGGTCGAAGATATGTCCCTGAATGGCTCATATGATTCTTTACAAGCGAGGAACCTCTCCCCAAGCTCTAGCCTGTCAAGAACTCATTCCCCATTTACACCCATGACCAATGCTGGCGGCATTCCTCGCTCTCCTTCTCTATCATCGGAATATTCCACTGGCGGCTCGCAACTGCCTCGTCCAGCTTTCAACTTCTCGAGGCCCAGGAGCAGCGTCAGCAAGCCCTCGCTGGATGTCCGTTCCACTAGCGACACCATCCCTTCGCGGCAGGCTTCTGATGAGAGTGCGATGATGAGGCCATCGATGGAGCAATCTTTCGAGCTCCCACGTCGCCAGAACTCTGGGGAGAGCGGTATCGGTAACTACGCCAACGATGTCGTTCACACTCCCGTCAGTATGACGAGCGAGGATTTCCGCAGGTCAACCGACTATTCGAATAACACTACATCCTACACCTACTCCAAGTTCAGCCTGCCCCGAGGCCGAAAGCTAGATCGACAGTCCATTGGGATTGAGGACTTCCTAAACAGCCAGATCAAATGGGATGATTCGTCTGCCAAGAAGGCAAATGCTCGCCCACCATCTCCCGAATCGCCGCCAAGATCCTTTGAACAAGAAAGAGCCCGCAATGCCTCCTTGGATCGTGCGGCACCTTCGCTGACCTCGAGCAACAGTACCATTCGTGCTAAAGCTGATGGCACAGCGGATGTGACTGCTCAAGAGCACTGTGACAAGGCTATTGAGCTGCACGAGGCAGGCGAGTTCATGAAATCTACCTATCACTTCCGCCTTGCGGCTCGCGCAGGCCTACCGGAAGCTATGTTCTGGTATGGACTGGCTTGCCGACATGGTTGGGGTATGCGAGAGAACAAATCAGAGGCAGTCCAGTGGCTACGCCGTGCTGTAGACTCCGGACACTTGGAGGTAGCAGACGACGAGGACCAGACCAAGCATGGCCAACCGACCGATTTCGTCAAGCGAAAGCAACATAGAGCACAATATGCTGTTGCGATCTACGAGCTCGGAAAGTGTTATATGAATGGTTGGGGTGCCGCTCAAGATAAGTCTCTGGCTCTACGCTGCTATGAGATCGCTGGAAACTGGGGCGATGCCGACGCGTTGGTTGAGGCAGGATACTGCTATGCTGAGGGTGTGGGTTGCAAGAAGGACATGAAGAAGGCTGCCAAGTTCTACCGTGCTGCCGAAGCCAAGGGCGTTAGCATGGTCGGCAACAGCTGGTAAGAATGAGATGAATGAAATTTCATAGACGACGCTAACACTGCTGCAGGATTCACAAGGAGAAATACAACGATGACGCCTCGACCGTGTCTGATTCGCGGTCTGTTCGCTCCGGGCGATCTGTCAAGAAGGATCATTCTGAGAAGAAGCCTCGTGATAAGAGTCGCACCCGTACCATCTTTGGGCGAAAGAAGAGCCATGCTCAGTAGCCCAAAAGTATTCCTTAACTCTGTAAATGTGTCCACGACAACGCGTCTTTACATATCCTTTTGGCGAAGGCGTCTTTGGTCTTTGCCGTTTCGGCTAGTCTCGTTTCTTTGGATTGCATATACCCAGTCTTTCCTTTCGATTCTCTTCACAATTTTCTCATGATACCTGCCCGGTGCACGGCTTGGCACCCTTTACTTGCCCACCTTGTCTTCGACAATAGCGTCAAAACATTTCTTCTGTTGTATTTTCCTTTGTCACTTCTTGCATTTACTTTCGACATTATTTTCGACACGGCTCGCTGTCTGCTCTGGAAGAAAAGCTGCCGATTGTGTATCCAAAGATTGCGTTTGCGAGTGCGCGCAGCTACTGTTTCCCTCTACATTCCCAATTACATTTCTAATGATAAATACCGGTGCAGTATGCCCGGGCTGGAGACAGGTCGCTGCAAGGGACAGGACCGTCTGTCTAATACGTAGGGTTCGGAGAGGTCTTGCGATGTATCAAGCGGAGTATGGAAACTTTCTTGTGTGTATAAGAGAGATAAAAGTGCATAAGGCCCCGAGAAATATAATCTTTTCCACAGGACATGACGTCTTCTTACAACCGTTGAATTCAAGTTGAAATAAGATGGCATCTGCAACGGACCCTTTTTCGTGTTGGTTGTCGTTCATTGATGTTTTCCTGGTACATGTATGTACATACGCGACGTACCTCGGTAAATGCTCAACCACCTGTGACGCCACTCATGACTCTCCAATCAACGGTATTGATATGCAACTTCCAACCAACATCCAAATCCTATTTCCTTCACAACAATTCCCAAACACCTCCCATCGAAAATAATAGACCATAAGATATTCTGTATTAGAAGTAAAAACAGAAAGAGATAGCCAGAGAGTGCAATTCCCATCTACAAAAAGCCCAATTCTCAACACCACCACCTCAACGCAACCATGTCCCGCACCCGGGAAACGCCCATAGTAATCGGCGTAGGCGACATCATCAACCGCTCCGTCTCGCCCGCCGACGCAAAGGAGCCCTCGCAACTGATCCACGAGGCCATTCTCGCCGCGCTGGAAGACGCCGTTTCTTCCACCACCACTTCCTCCCCTTCATCTTCTCGGCAAAAGCTCCAGTCAGCAATCGACAGCATCGACCTCGTGCGGACGTGGACGTGGCCGTATCCCGATCTTCCGGGAACCATCGCGGAGAAGCTCGCCGTGAAGCCGAAGTTCAAGACCTACTCTGACCATGGGGGTAACCAGCCGGGGAAGCTGTTCGACGAGGCAGCGAGGAGGATTGCGAGAGGGGAGGTTAGGGTTGCGGTTGTGGCGGGGGGTGAGGCGTTGGCGAGCTGTATGTGAACTTCTGGATTTTGTTTCTACCTTCCCTTGTCCTTGATGTTGTGATATATGGGATTATATATGGGCTTGCTAACGATGAGGGATTGTAGTGTCTGCATGTGCGGCTGCTGGGAAGCTTCCTCCGCCTGGTTGGAGCAAGCCTGCCGAGGAGGTGGACTCGGTGTTCAGTCCCACGAGCCGGGACCTTGGTGACAGTAAGTCGGTCGATATCAACTACCAAGCAATTCCTCTCCCCTTGCATACTTTGGGGTTGTGTGGAGTGTGCTCGCTGACTCTTCATGGACAGATCCCGGCGCAATCCACGACATAGGCGCGCCCATCCACGTCTACCCGCTATATGAAAACGCGTTCCGAGCCCACAGGGGCCAGAGCATCAAGGCGAACCACGAGGAGAGTAGCAAGCTGTACGCGGAGTTCGCAGCCGTGGCGGAGAAGCTCCCCTACGCATGGAACTACGGTAAAAAGGTCGACGAGAAGACCATCAGCACCGTGGGGAAGAAGAACCGGATGATCTGTTTCCCGTACCCCCTCCTCATGAACGCCTTCAACACCATCAACCTCGCCGGCGCCTGCATCCTCACCTCGACGACCTTCGCCCGCGCCCTCGGCATCCCCCAAAACCGCTGGGTCTACCCGCTCGCAGGGGCCGGCACAAAAGACAGCGACGGCTTCTGGCAGCGGCCCGACTTCCACAGCTCGCCCAGCATCTCTCTCTCCATCGACGCCGCGCTCCTCGCCGCCGGGACCGCAAAGGCGGAAATCGACCTCTTCGACATCTACTCCTGCTTCCCGATCGTGCCCAAGCTCGCAGCACAGCACCTCGGGATCCCTCTCCCCGGCGACACCACCGCCGCCAACGAGGCGCAGAGGAAGAGCCTCACGCTGCTGGGCGGCCTCACGAGCTTCGGCGGCGCGGGGAATAATTACAGTATGCACGCCCTCGCGGAGATGACGCGCGCGATCCGCGACGGGAAGGGCAAGAAGGGCCTCGTGCTTTGCAACGGCGGCGTGCTGAGCTACCAACACGTCGTCGTGTTGTCCAAGGAGGCGCGCGACGGGGGGTATCTCGAGGCGAATCCGCTCGAGGGGAAGGCGATTGCCGAGGGGCCGGCGTTGGCGAGTGATGCGGACGGGGAGGCGGTCGTTGAGGTACGTAAATCCATCATTGTCTTTTCTTTTTACTGTCGAGGGGTGTTTCAAAATGCTGACGAGGAACCTTCTTCCAGACTTATACGGTCGAGTTCAAGAGGGACGGGTCGCCGTTGCGCGGCCATGTCGTGGGAAGGCTGAAGAGCGACGGGAGGAGGTTTCTGGCTAATCACGGGGACGAGAGGACGTTGAGGGTGATGGCGGAAGGTGCGGTGGAGATTGTGGGGAAGAAGGGATGGGTGAAGCAGGATGCGGACCGGAAAGGGAGGGGACTGTTTGTGTTGGAGAATGTGGGTGCGAAGATGTAGAGAAGAAATGGATTCGATTCAATTCGTTGTGATGGATGGACACATGGAGAAGGAAGCTAGTCACTGCTGCTACCTACAGTACGCAGGACTGCCATACTTGTCGAAACGTTTCTTGTAGAATATGTCATTGCATGCATACAAGATCTAACAACTTCGCCCTGAATTTCATCTTAATATTCCATCATAGCACCCACCATTCTCCGCTGGTACTTATCCACGACCTCCTGACACCTGACGAGAACCCCGGCCGCCAGAGCCCTGAGCTTGTCGTCCTCATCCGTCCCAGCGCCCATGCGCTCAAAGACCAACCGGACCCATTCCTGCGTCTCAAGCAGTTCCTTGGCCTGGTCATTCGCTATGCGCTCGCGGTCCTCGCTCGTCTCCAAGATCATGAGAAACGCAAACAGCAGCGCACCCATGACGCTCTTGTCCTCGACTGCAAAGTTCCTGGCGAAGAGGAGCAGTTCCCAGAACTCGCGCGTCATCTGGGAGAGAGACATGGTGTTGGGGCCAGCCGCGTGTATGAGCAGGGCGAGGGTGCGGAGGAACGGGGCCAGCAGGTGAGTCGAAGTGTACAAGCTGCCGTCCGCGCTGGACGATGAGCGCACCGCGATCCACCACCGCCCGGTCAGCGGGAAGAAGAAGTTGTCTGCGACGAGGTGGGCGAGGGCGTTCGGTATCGGCTTGGAGCGTCGCTTTTCGACTTCCATCCGGGAGGAGAAGGTCCGGACTTTCAGGACGGAGGGCCCGGATAGGCGGTCTGCTGCATCGGCGGCCATCGGGGCGAGCATGCTTTTGGCCATGCTGGCAGTTATTCGTGATACTGGGTCTGCTTCTGAAGCATAGATCTTGTGGAGATGTGGTGCGAGCTCTTTGCTTGGGAAGGACGCTGCTGGGGGGATGAATTCTTCCGTAGAAGTATCTTTTAGTCCTGCGAGTTCCCGTGCTCCCAGGCCCATGGCGATGAGCATGGAAACTCGCTGAGTGATGGAGTAGTCGCCGGAGAAGAAGGATCGAGCGAGCCACTGCGCGACGGGTCCCGGCTTGGCGAGGAGAAGCGCGATAAGGGCTTGCTGGCGCTGCTGGCCGAATTTAGGAAGATCAAGATTATCGTTCAGACCAGTCAAAACGCTCGCCAGTTCTGTAATGTGGTCATCGACCTCGGTACCGAAATTTGCTTTACGTCGGATCAGGGCAGGAGCAGTAGCTAGGGCGAGCTCGTGACGCTCGTAATTCTCCTGGTCGCGAAGTCCAGCAAGTAGATCACGAATGTAGACGGGTGCTACCACTTTGTTTCGATTGATCTCTGTTGGATCCTCTGTATCGTCCTCCGGGTCGGAATCTGGCTTGTCGTAGGCGAGTAGATCATCATCGTCATCGGAGCCAGAATCATCCAAAATTTCAACAATTCTAGGAGTGGGTATCTCGGGTGCCCGAGGGTTCGATCGTGATTTGGAAGGTTTGCTGCGAATCTCTACTCCTGGCCCTTTCGCTTTCAGCGATGCTTTAGATATCTTTTCAGGGACTTGAAGGTCTGCCAACGAACCAAGCTCGTCATTGACTTGAACGAGTTGCTCAAACCATTGCTTTTCTATGGCCTCGTCGCCTTCGAGATCGAATTTAAGCTGTGCGGCAAGCTTATCCACAAGCTTTGAGATGACCGTACCGACGATCATTCCCAGTAAACGTGCCCGTGGTGACGAGGCAGCTATGCGATTGGATGTGCCCGAGATGTGATGGGTCGACTTGGCCATCATGGTGAGGAACATCGGCTGTGAGCGTTGTACGTACGAACACGCGACGAGAAGGTTTTGGGCGAGCGCTAAGCTGTTAGATCATATCAGGATGCGTGGATGACGGAGGACAGCATACCTTCTTGCTGCAATAAAGGGGTATGGTTGATGTAGAAGGCATCGCCGAATAACCGGAAACACTTCTCGAGTGCGTCATGTAGCTTATCTTGCGAAAAGGTCAGCTTGGACTTCTAGAGTGAACGTATCACAATACCTTCGTTGCGAGCCAAAGCCGCTATAACACTCCGTCGACCATCCAATGAGTCATCTAAGGTGTTCAGGGGAGATTGGGTGACCAGAGTCACGGTATGACCCTGCAACACCTCGTTCCGATCAATTAGTCCAGATATCAGTGATGCAGCGCCCGATATCTTGGGAGAAGATGGTAAAGGACCAGAACCCTTCTCGACGATGTTTGCGCTAAGATATTGTTTCGTCAGGCACTCAATGATTGCATTGAAGTATTTGCGCTGTTCATGTGCTTTCAGTGGCCGGAGATGCTTTTCGAAAGCCGCCGTGGAACGTTTGGTGATGATGCCATCTATGACTGGTTTTATAAGATGATCTAATGGAGTCAGCGAGTGAAACTTCGATGGGGCAATGGCTCCGTCATACCAAGATACCCAATCCCCAATGATTTAGCCAACATGTCAATTACAAGAGCGTCGACATCGTTAGAGCTATTCTCTAAGAGTATGGAAAGGTTGCGGCCCAACCAAAGTGAATACTCTCTGCCATTTCCTATCCAGGAGACCTTTTTGAGAGTGTGAGACTGCTTGATCACGTCTTCTGCTTCAGCTACAATGGATATCAATCTACCAGAAGCAACCTGCCCAACGTACTCTTTCCATATTAACCTCTCTTGGACCTTATTCGGTGCATATTTTCGAATATCCTCCCTCACAAGCAATGAAGTGCGTCCGCCTTCTATAGTCCGCTCTAGGACGTCAACTAGATCTCCAAGCTGCTCTGAAGACCCTCTGCTGCCATCATCGGGCTTCTTCTTGCGTGCATCTACTACTAGTGAGCGAAGCCTACTAAGTATAGCCCCAATGCCATTGCCATTTCTCAGGCATGTCAGGAGAGCATTTCTACTAGACGGAGTGGTCTTGATAGCTCCCCAAAAATCAGGAATGGTAGTCGTAACTATCGTATCAGCGATTTGGGCGGATTTAGGACTGGGAATCGCTAGATTCAGACCATTTGAATCGACGGCAAGGGCCAGGTGCTGTAATATGGCGTTTACTGTTTCGAAATCCGGTTGCTCCTTGAGGGCTATGGCGATATTCTTTGGGTTTCCTAGGTCAAGCTTGATAGTCTTGTTGGATCGGCGTGGGGCCGATTCTTGGAAGAGGATTCCAGGCTCTTTGGTTTGATTCACCTTGGTGGAAACTTCTGTGAGGAACCCTTCCATTTTGGAATTTCCATAATCGAAAAGTATAAATTACTGGGAATAGGAGGACTTGTAAATGGGTGCAAGGTGATGGATCCGGAATGGTATGGCAATGCTGTTTCAAAGAGCTGCTGACTGGATCGGTCGTTGGCGCCTTGGCATTGCCTAAACTACTTTGGAAGTGATGCCTACCAACAGCAAACAACCATCATCAGACCTTCTGTCATTCAAGATTGTGACTGATCACAACTTCACAATAAAGATGTCGAACGAAGCTGCGAACATTAGTGGCGAGTCACAGCGAGCAAGGTGGTAAGTTTTTTTATGTCTAGGAAACTTCATAGACTAACTTGTGCAGGAAGTACCTTGACCGCATCCTCTCCCGTCCTGGTCCATTCACGGACCCGGATTGGGAGCCCGGTGAGCCAGTCATCGAATCTCTCTCCCGGTCCAAGATCCTGTATTTCACCCACTTATGTTTGTAAATCTATGGTTTCGATGACTAACTAATTATAGGGTCATGTGAGTGTGGAAGTGGGTTCAACTCTCTGATTGATGCTAACGCGGCGAAGCGGGGCAGGAGGATTAGGATGTGAGATTCTCAAGAACCTAGCACTGTCAGGATTTAAAGACCTTCATGTCATTGATATGGACACTATCGATGTCTCGAACCTTAACCGCCAATTTCTATTCAGGCATGCAGATGTAGGAAAGCATAAGGCAGAGGTTGCTGCTAGGTTTGTCGAGAAGCGCGTGAAAGGCGTCAAGATCACACCATACTGTGGGAAGATTCAGGACAAAGACGAGGAATATTATATGCAGTTTGCTATGATAGTCTGTGGACTTGATAGCATTGAAGCCCGTCGTTGGATCAATGCAACGCTCGTGGGAATGGTGGATATGCAAAATCCAGATTCTTTAAAACCACTCATCGACGGCGGAACCGAGGGATTCAAAGGCCAAGCAAGGGTTATCTTCCCCACGATGACAAGCTGTATCGAGTGCCAGTTGGACATGCACGCACCACGAGCTGCGGTCCCTCTCTGCACACTGGCGACCATTCCTCGTCAACCGCAGCACTGTATTGAGTGGGCTCACATAATAGCATGGGAAGAAGAGCGTAAAGACATCACTCTCGACAACGACGATCCCGAGCATATTACCTGGCTCTATCAGAAGGCACTGAAACGCGCACAAGAGTTCGACATAAGTGGGGTCACCTACTCGATGACGCAAGGTGTTGTGAAAAACATCATTCCCGCAATTGCGTCTACGAACGCTATCGTCGCTGCCAGCTGCTGCAATGAAGCGTTCAAGATTGCCACGAACACCAACCCCTTCCTGGGCTTTCCGGAAACAGATAACTATATGATGTACACTGGAGACGAGAGTGTGTACACTTATACGTTCCAGCACATGAAGAAGCCAGATTGCCCGGTGTGTAGCGAGGAAAATCTTGCCAGACCCCTTCAAGTCGACTCGAGATCTTCGCTCCAAGAGTTTTTGGAGGGACTAGCTGAACGCCCCGAAGCGTACGTTTTTACGGCCTGTCATTGATTTCTAAACTAACTTATCCTACAGACAACTGAAGAAACCAAGCATCCGTAGCGAAGAGAAGTCTCTGTACTATCAGTTTCCACCAGATCTCGAGGAACAAACACGCGGAAACCTTTCCAAGAAACTCGCAGATCTGGTCTCCAACGGAGAAGAAGTTGCCATCACCGACCCAGCCTTCCCCCTCCAATTCAAGTATAAATTGATTTTCCAATAGTAATCTGCAAACGAGCAGTACTGGAGTGCTCGATGATGGATCAAGGGTGTACATTGACCAGGTGGAAATCACCGAACTTGGGCCTGGTGCATAAGCAAATGATCTTTGTACTAAGAAAGTAGAACAGAGAATGAGAGTCTCAGTAGACATCTCTATCACCTTGACGTTACCACTCTCCTTGTAGTGACGTAAAATATAGCATCTCTCACCATCAATCATAGCGCGTTGTAATCTGCGCTCCCATACCGACGAATGATTCACAAAAGACGATGCTATAAGCACTCTCCATAAACAGTGAGCAATTTGACTCTCAATCGCCATGCATGATTGCACTCGTAGCATCTCAGACTATATTGCATACTACACTTATATTTGATACAGAAGTTTATATACAGACTATTTCTAGAAGGACTGATGAGTTTATTTATGCTCCGTGCATCCCCACAATACCGAGCCTTTTGTCAATCTTGCTGGGCTCCTTCTTGAGTGGTGACTCGCCCTGGAAAAGCTTCTTTCCATTCTCAATTAGATCCAATGCTGCCTTGCTGTCCTTCGTATATTTTGGCTGGTATGGAGTACGATCCCATTCTTTCCTTTGCAACCTGAGCAAATGCTGGACCATTCCTTCTGGCAATAAGTCTTTATCGGCCTGATTTTCGGCATCCTCCTCCTCACTAGCGCTCTGTCTTAATTTTGGATCCCTTCTAGCTGGTCCTCCGGCTGGCTTTCGGTTCCCAGGTCGTAGTGGCCTTTGGCCAGCCGCAGCTTTGTTCCTTCCGTTCAGATTCGGTCCCTGAACACCAGTCTTGGGGGCGTTGCGCGTCAATCGGAGGTTCGCTGGAGCCTTAACCAATTTGCCGGGCGGTGGAGCTGTATTGCTGGTTCTTTTAATGAGAGGGCGGGTGGTATTTGGGCCATTGGAAGGGCTGCCTGTATCACGGCGACCAAGATTTGCTACTTGCGACGCAGCTGCGTTATTTCGTGATCGACGAGTTTGAGAGGGTTGTGAATTTTCTATTCGAATCGATTAGTCAGTCTTCAAACAATCATATAACTAGGCACCCGTTCGGTCTGGACATACTGGTGGTGGCACGAGGAGGTGTGGGCTTAGCAGAGCTCTCTTCGCACAAGTGTGCAGACTGATGAAAAGAGGCGCATTGGCAACCCGCTGCAACAATTGACCTTTGTGAAGATGAGCACCAGACTGTGCGAGCGGACGAGTATATGCGTTGCGACAACATGGCTGTGGTGGATGGTGTGTTGGCTTTTACACTCCCTCAGTATTGCAACTAAACTTTTGGTGATGTCTGAAGAACGTGTCTTGGCATCATGTGGAGTGGATCGTATGAAGCGAAGATCCCTGCAAATTACCTAACCGCCTTTGTTTACTATGAATCGTCGCCCTCACGCAAATAGACTATCGACTCACCCCGCATCATTTCACCCCCTTGCATCATTATAAAACACATGATCTCTTCTGAATAGGCGTTGAGGTGTAAAGACCATCAACCCAGTTTCTGAAGCCATACTTACTTTTATCTCTGAGTCCGCCACCTACCGTGTGTATTACCGCAGTCGGTCTGGTATCTCTGGAAGCTTTGTTCACGATGCTTCGCCGGCCAGCAACTACCATCGGCCTCACAGCTGCTGACATCGAGTTGTATGAGGCGAACAAACGCCGCAAGCTATGGGAACAACAGCAGCTTCAACAGACAGCGACCAACTCAGCTGAAGGCACCGAAAAGGGCAAAGAGAGAACTGCGGGCGGAGATCAAATGACGGCATCAAGGGAGAGAAACAAAAGAGATAGAATCATGGGTACTATTTCGGGAAGATGACGAGGCTGCTTGGATTCCCTAGATGGTTGCTATGCAGTCTAGGCTCTACCCTCTCCACCTCACGTGTCAGGACGAGGCAAAAGGCGTTGGTCAAAGTCCATCTGAATACTACGAACAGGGCAGTCTGGTGAGTCGTGTGCACCGCCACGTTCCTACTGGCAGATAACTAATGGGGGACAGTATCGTATACACCTTATGCCATTCTGTATTCGAATGTACAATCCCTTTTACCTTCCCAGGCATGATTCATCTATCTTGTCACTGTGCGTCCAGTTGCTAGCCACCACACAACCATGCCATGTATCAGGCATTGATTCATCAGCAACACTGTTTAGAGTTTCTCGAAACATACAGATGGGGTAAATGTAGCTAAGAATTACTGTAAAAGCATTGTATGCTTCATTCGTCGTAGTGCGCGTCGATGTCACCACAGTAGAAGTCTCTTTCACTCCGGAATGTGGCACCAATAGTCGGCACGTCACCCAGACAAGCAACGTATGGAATGTTGCCGTACCCTATCTTAATACCCCTCTTCATGATTGAAACTTGTCCAATTCGTGGTCTCTTTCCTCATGCTACATCCTTCTGAGCTTCATCAAAGATGATGCACCTTGTGGCGTGCAGTGTGCTACTGACTCACCTCGCGAAGGTGCAAGCTCAACAATATGAACTTATCCGATCTTACACACCAGAGAACTTTTTTGATGAGTTTGAGTTCTTCACGGTAAATCCGCTACCTATTGGTACTGAAACGTACATATCGTTGGCTAACCCACTGTAGGGCGCAGATCCCACTGGTGGGTTTGTGCAGTTCGTTCCCTATGAGACGGCTGCAGTCTCAGGCCTGGTAGACAATAGTTCCAATCAAATTCATCTCGGCGTCGATCATGTCAACAATTACGTTGCCGGCGGTTTAGGTCGACAAAGTGTGAGGGTCCAGAGCAAGATGGCCTTCACCGAAGGTTTATTTATTGCCGACCTTCTGCACATACCCACTGGTTGCGGTACATGGCCAGCATTTTGTAAGTTAGACCGCATATTATAATAGAACTCATGACTGACGTTAGCTGTTTAGGGACTGTTGGGCTAGGTGACTGGCCCACGGATGGTGAAATCGACATAGTCGAGAACGTCAACGATGCAACTTCGAATAATGCTGCTCTTCACGCAGCCGGAGACTGTGCAGTCAATCCTCTGAGCGGACAAACAGGTACATGGAAAAGTACAGATTGCAACATTGCGCATGACGGCAACCAGGGGTGCGGTACAAACTTTACTGAGCCCAATAACTACGGGCTAGACTTCAATGCCAATGGCGGCGGTGTATGTTCGAAAAGCCTCTACGATTCCACCGAGGTACTGACGAGCCTTTGTTTAGATATATGCCATGGAGTGGACCAAATCTTTTATCAACATTTGGTTCTTCCCACCAGAGAATATTCCGCAGTCGCTGAATTCAACATCTTTCATGTCTCCAGACATTCGACCAGACCCTGACACATTTGGACCACCAAGTGCATCGTTCTGGGGCCCATGCTCTGCTTCATTTGGTGACAAGTTCTTCAATCACTCCATCGTCTTCGATACCACATTTTGTGGTGGCTGGGCCGGTAATACTTTTGGAACTGGTGGTTCACAATGTCCACTCCTCGCTGGTGCGACTCCTCTCGAGAGCTGTGTAAATTACGTCGCGAACAGCCCCCAATCTTTTACCGATGCCTATTGGAGTATCCGAAGCCTCACCGTCTGGCAGAAGGTTCCGAATTTCGCACCGCAGTTCAATGCTAACTTTTCGAATCCGGCTTTTGGCGGTGATGCAGCATCCCCTTCGGCTGAAGTGTCTGAAGTACAACTTCCTGTTCCGCCCGGGCAAGGGGGCACGGCCATTTCTCCATTGACCGGAGGGATCCTCACTTCTGGTGAAGGACCAATCCAGATATTCCCTACCGTGCCAGATACAGGACTGGCTGATGGCGCTCTATTGGGAGATTCTGCACACATTGCGGCACCACCACCTCCGCAAGTATGGAATACAGAAGGTTCGGCTATTGCCGTACCTGCTCCTGTACCTTCGCCACCAACAACTGATGGCATAGTGACAGTTGACGATAGTACACCATCTGGACTGCAGTCTGTACCAGTTATTGCTTCACTATGGGATGTTTTGCAAGCCGACGCACAGGCACAGCTATTGGAGTTGGCTAAGCAGCTCGACGCTTCAGCTTCAGCTACCTCCGACACTCCACCAATTTTGCCTATCATTGAACAGGCTCCCGTCATAGCACCTGCTCCTTCGACCCAACTTGAGAGCACGACGCCTATCTCGAGCAGCCTTTTCGAGTCTACCAATCCAACATCTCCTTCTCAACAACTATCTACCATTGCAGCTCCTCTCACCGCTTCTGCCGTGGATGCTAGCACTGTTCTCGGTGATGTCTTTGGCCTTCTGGAACCCGCATCTCGAGATCAACTACTAGCCCTTGCATACGGACCGGGTCTAAGCACTCCAGAACGCACCCGAGTGCGTAGAGGCAGGCGCGAACCAGAGTGGTGCAATGATCAATACTACAAGCATAAGCCTACGGTTGGCTCTAAAGCCTGGCTCATCAAATTTGCCCGTCAATACTACATCTTCCTACAGCTTCTTCAGTCTGTGTCAGTTGAAGAAAGGAAACTCATAATCGGTTTTATCCTAGGCGATCTGGGCAATGTTAACTTTCGTGTGGATTGCGCCTGCGAAGGGAAAACATCTGTAGGATCACCAGCGTGGCTGCGAGACTTCGCACGAAACCTTCGCTCGTTTCAAGAACTTCTGTCAACTCTGTCTCCCCAAGATCAGGAGGAGGTCTCTAGATTCGTCTTGGGATACGTCCAAAATGGATCGCGTTATAAGAGGAGCATCAGTCTCACAGGCACGCTTGACTCTCGTTGGGATGGGTTAAGCGAGAGCACGAAAGAGAAATTGAGAAGTTTTGGTACACAGATCGAAGCTGTTATTTTAGAACACGAGAGTGATGAGAAGACAGACGATGAATATGTTCAATCACTTCTTGGTGCGGTTAAGGACCTTTATCGAGCTTCATCATTCAAGGAGAAGTTGCAGGTTCTATCGCTCATTACTGCTGCAGATGACCGAGCAAGACTACGAAATGCTTTCAAAGCGGCGGCTCTTAAAAAGCGTGATGATGAGGAGGATAGCTGGGACGATGTGGATGAGTTATGGACAGATTGGCTCGATGATCGTCTTGATAGATGGCGACACTACAAGAAGGGTCACTGGAATAACGATGACGATGACAATGACGAAGACGATGATTCTGATCCTTGGGGAAGATCGCGTGGTATCATGCGTGGACCTATCACGCAAGATAAACCGCAGCCTATCTCGAAACCAGAAACTTCACCAGAAGCCAAGAAGCCATCAGAGTCCAAACCAGTGGTCCCTCCGGCGATACAAGTGCTCCCACCACCGTCCAAACCAGAAGAACATCCAGCAGCTGGAAAAAATGCCACAGTAAATTCTGCAGCGTCACCTGCTCCAGCTCCTGTCACTGAGCCAGCAGCAGGACAAAATTCTGAGGCGGCGAATGGGTCACATGAGAAAACAGAGGACAAAGGGGGACCAAAAGAGGAAGAAGAACCAGAAGAAGAAGAACCCAGCCATCGACCTAATCATCGGCCTCATCGTCGACCTGGCCATCGGCCTGAACACCCGCCTGACGAAGAAGCAGAACGCAGGCCTCACAGAAGGCCCGGCCATCGCCATAAGGGGAAGGGAGCCAAACCCAAAGAGAGACCCAGCTACTTCGACCAGCTCGATGACGAGGATCAAGTACCACCAGGAGCCGCCTTCGAGGGCGTCGACACAGACTCCACGGCAGACTTTGCTGAGGTCGCCCACGCCGACGGTTACCCGTGGTCGAAAGGCCCCAAGAGGCCTGGCGACTCTGCTTTCGCCAAAACCCCTCAGTCCGCCAGCAAGAAGATCACTACTCAGTACAATGACCTCGCTCTCTGGGACTCACTTCCCAAGGGAGCGAAGGAGGGGATTCTAGATGCCCAAGCTGCTTCTCCGGACGATGAGTACTTCAACGATAAAGATCATTCCTGGAGACTCAAGCGGCGCCAGTGGGATGAGGGATCTGAGGGCAGTGGCTCCTCTGACAGAGAGCAATCTGGTGAAAGTGGGGGAGACTGGAGCGCGAGCGAGGACGAGGAAGAACCATCTTCAGAGGAGATTGTGGACAGTCTGAGGGCAGTGGCCCTGCAGCTTCAAGACATCATCGATAAGTATCTCAGCGTCGAGAGCATTCCAACTCACGCAGACGAGAATGCTAGTTCTGACAATGAAGAAGGCGGTGGCAGCTTTGGCGGTGGGTGGGATAGGAACGATCGTTTTGCAGATGAGCCACCAACGTGGAGAGCTGATGTCGATGATTGGAGTGGATCCAATCAAGAATTTTGGTGATCGATGGGACAAGCAGTGAAATGCTTCTGGTAAGCCTGGAATGTAACGGTCAATGTTTGTATGCTTTGCTTTTTTTCGCGCTCATGTTTTTAGTCTAGTAGTCATGATTGAACGAAACTGAATATCACTTCAAGTATTAGCAATGCAATGGAAAAAATTATTCTTTCCACCTCATCCCTGACAATGCATCGATTAGTCTACTGTGCAATAGTGTACATATAGCGGTGGCATGTGTCCTTTCCCCGCAGATTGACATTTTAATTGAGAAGTAATTGGGTATTATTCACATGTCTGGTGGGGCGATGGCCTATCGTAAATCCCACATGTCTGCGTAAAGAACAGACAGTGATTGTCGTTCATGGTCGCCGTCTACACCCTTCTCCTGCATGCAATTCCAACAGAATCCCAGTTACCAGATGCAACCGCGATTGGATCCAAACCCATGGGACCCGCGGGAAAAGAAAAGAAAAGACATGGAACCATTCGAACCTGGAAGGGTTCCTCCCATGCTTCTTCTCTCCCGTCTTGTGGCTTTTGGGTGGTAAGGCTGCACGCTATCTTTCCACTCTCATGTTGGAGCAAGCGCCAGATTAGGAAATGCGTCCCCGCGATTGTTTATATTCTATCTAGGGAGACGCGGGATCTCTAGCAAGGGGGTGCCACACAACCCATTGTCTTGTTAGGAAGGTCCAGAAAATCGCTCTTTTCACGCAGACGCTGCTGCTGCTCTACCTATGACCGTGTCGTGTATGTTGGATAACTAACCGGAAATCGTATGGGAATAAGTGTTCGCGAATGGTTGCATGGTCTTCTCGTCTCGTGCCGCGTCTGCGCGCTCCTTTGATGGTTCTCGGGCCGTGGTTTACCGTGCGGGTAGAAGCTGACATCTTTTTTGGGCGTCATGCAGTGTGTAGGTATGTAGGAAGGATCCCCTTTCCCACTTGGCAGTGTGCCTACCTCCGATTAAATTTCCCATGGTTTGCCTAATGCTGCGAACGACAGCGCGACATCTGAAATGGAACGTTATGACGGATAAGGCGTCGGTAACGTTGTATTTAGGTAAGGCAGCCAACGAGATCGAGTGTCTGCGTGGAAATTACTGTATAAGCACTTGATGTCATTTCACCGAGAATCTCCTGGCCGCTGTCTCGCCATGACTTTCGGTCCCGTTATTGTGTATGTCAAATAGGAGTTTGACATATGCTAAATTGATTTCTGGGGAATATTTCGTTGAGCAAATACAATTGGCCCACCAGTGACAATATAGTGGCTGCTTTTGCAAGTCTGCAGCTCAGTAGTGGACAGCCTAGAGAAAGAGCGGGAAAGTTGACGGCACGCATTCCTGGGGTACTTCTTGCATCTAGCTTATGCTCCTGAGTGTATCTTCTGGGTACCGAGGGTTCATTGACTTCTCCAGCCCAAGGCCGTGGATCAATAGCATCTGAACTGTCACTAACTAGTGACTTGCATCATTGCTCCACACTGTGGGCTCGCCATGTTGCGAAAGAGTGTGCACATCCTTCTCAATGAAGCTTGTGCACAAGATTAGAGTTTCCGAGACTGCCTCTTGATCACGACGAGAAGAGTCTGGATGGCCCTGGAGTGACGCATTGACTAGTACTGCATCAGCAGGAACTCCCGATCACTCATATTCAAATACTCGTAAAGTTTAAAGGCATAAATCTCCAAAGAAAAATTCTGGGGCAATATATTCCTACATGTGGCGAAGGATTATTACTGGGAATACTACCTATTTCCCTCTTAGTGGCCCCAGATTCCGATCCATCGTCGCTTGTAGGATCGGTCTAGATGGATTGCACATAGATTTGATGCTCACTGAAAAGATTCTGTGTGGTAATCGTGTGTTTGAAACATATGCAACATGTGAATGGCGACGGAGACAGGTCCTACGAACGGCACCTCACACACACTGTGTGAGAAGTTGAAGGTGACAAATCTGGTCAAGACAACCATCGAATGGCAGAGGCAGATTGGGTAGTCGTACGCACCATCCCCCACATACCGAAACGCTTTAGCAGTGACGGCCCTATTCATGTCAAACGGCTTCACAGTCTAGGGTGCCTTTGCGACAGTGTTGATGTTGGAACCATGCCCGTTATGCGATGGATGCAGAAAGGGCTTAAGCCTTCAGAGTGCTAATGCCGTCACAGATGTCGTCTTTGGCAGTTGTGGTAGTTTTCAACAATGAGCACGCGCTCTATGTGAACGGGTTTTGAGACAAGCGCGTATTGTTGGTTTGACACAAGCGACAGTCAATTTATTCCACTACTTCCATGGCGCGACGCTGAATAGCAGCAAAGGAACAAGGTTTCTACGAATGGTGTGTGTGGTTCTTTGATGTTTCACCTTGCTAGTTTGGTGAAGTACAATATGTACTTCTAGAAGTTGCGCGACCTAGCGGGGGAGCCGGGACGAAGCTGTTGAGAGCACGAGTGATTTGGTTTTCCAGATCCGAGTTGGTAGGCTTTTAGTTCACGAGCGCGTCAACGTGCGCGTCTGCAGCGTTATTCCCCTATCAATAGCACCGGTGATGCTAGTTCGGAGAGAAAGTCCAAAAGAGAACATATCGCCAGCACTAAGCGGGAGCCATACCCGTACGAGAGGGACGAAAGACTGGAGAAACAGATACTAATCATTAGTGCAATAATGGCGTGAATTCTGTTCCGCCACGACCGCTTCGCTTCTGAGGGAAAGGCCCAGCTTGGTGATGCAGGTACCAACACGACTCCGTAACAGAACCGTGTGCCTCGTAAAGACTGTAGATCCAGTCGGCGAGCAATCCATAGGTAGGTAGTAGAGTCGCGATCGATGGATGCTGGAAAATGTCGAGGAGCGGGGTGGTGCTTGCTGTATGTCTGGGGATAGGTGTGAACTGATTTGAATGGCAGATGGGTATTCATGCAATACGCATCGCTACCTGTAAATATCTCTTTGCTTGTGAAAAGATTTGAGTAATGGTGCGCTTCTGATACAGGAGCCTAGTCCTTGTGGGCTAATCGTAGGCGAAGTCAAGCACACGGTGGCGGATACACTCATGTATGATACCTAACTATCTATGTGGTGAATAATGAGGAGGCGCAGGTAGCATGGCAGTTACAGGGAATGTCAGTCTTGGGTACGAGTAGGACGGTGGCAGGGTGATGCCTCGTAGGGTCGAGGGGTCGAGGGTGGTGAGGGTTGAGGGTTTGTGGAAGACGGCGATGAGCGATGGCACCAAAGACGCGACATCGAATTAAGAGAAAATCGCGCTAGTCCATCTCAAGATTAGCGCACTTCCAAAAGTGAATTGTCAGACTCTTCGTTTTCTACGGTCCGAGTAGGCAGTCACTCAGACTCCTTGTCCTTTGCCCCTCGCTCGTCCATTCGCTCATCCCCCTCCAGTGCCCATCCATGCCATTTTGTTCGTTTCTGTCCTGCCATTGCCGGAACTCTTTTGGTCATGGCATTGATGGGCATGGGTTCCCATACCAAATTGAACCCGAGAGCCTAATACATGACATGGAGTGTGGTTGAACTCCAGCTGCTTTCGTACTGTGTACTTCCAGTTTCCACCCATTTCCAAAGTCCACCAGTATACGATATCGATAGAACGGCCACTGACGCCACTCGCTCCATTATTCCTTTTGTCAACGGGAACGCTTGCAGTTCGTATTGCCATTGCCTCTGTTCAATTCGTCGTTGCAGCGGGGGGCATACGCATCCGCACGACTGTTGATCGGGGCTTTTCCTGCATAGTGCTCTATGGATTGCGCTCCCGTGCCGGCCGAGACCGTCGCTCGTAACCAGTACTCTGTACACAGTACCTACATCTATCTTGTTGGATCTCGTCGTTGTGTCACTGTCACTTACACCAGGAGGTTGTGTACTCTCTGTACGATGTGTTGACAGCCTCGGTCTGCAGTTGAGGCACAGTATCAGCTTGGGTCGCCCTTTTCTCTGCCGTCGGCCGCCATCACTGAGATCACCCCTACCATTTTCGGTTATGCGAATTTTGTTCTGGGAACGGTGGAAGCTGTGAAGCGACCTGATTGGAAGTTTCATGCGGGCCCTGAGTAAAGCTGGGCACTCACCAACAGCCCCTCAAGTGTAAAGCCTCCACCACTCACAGGCTGGTATCAGACTATCAGCTACGTATCCCTTTGGACGCCGTAGACCAATGCCAGATGTGTTCCATTCACTTTTCTTTTCTGTACTTGTACTATCATCCCTACTGAGTACCACAGTACAACGAAGTATGCGATCATTCGATTCAGGATTTGTTCAGCTTTCGCCAGCACCCTATAGGCGTTCTTATCTCGATATGCGACGACCGAAATAACGCTGTATAGTTCCAAAAACTGTATCAGGCGGAGATCCAAGTGCCGAACACCTAGCATGAGTATGACGGAAGTTGGCTCGTCGCTTGCTGAATGCTGTTTCGAGTCCATGTTACGAGTATTTGACATCTTGGGCCACCACCTTTCCAGTGCAGTTCGCTTGCATTCGCTATGCACGCACTACCACCATGAGCAGCGCGCATCGTTGATATGTTATGGCATGGCTACGCGTCGAACCATTGAGGTCCCGAACAGGAGCTGTCGCGTGTGAAGACTGCCGCACATCCCATCCATTACATTCATGAGCTGGGTGTGTGCAACACAAAGAGGCGATTGGGCTGCTGTGCGCATCGAAGGCACGAGCTGCACTACCCAGTTACCAACTGTGGAGTACTGTTCGTGCCCCCTGTTGGGTGCTGCACCTTCGTCCTGTTCCTGGCCCCACGAATCCATGCCCCTTGGTCTAGCCCGCCACCATAGTAATCCCTACCTCCACCCTTGCCATGTTACCTGGGCCTTGGCCACAAGCGGGTACATTTTAGCCCAGCGGTGCTGCGTGCTGCGCGTATTGCATGGGTACTCAGTAGAGCCTGCGAACCTGCAGGGGCCTCTGGTGAAAGCTGTAAGATCGTCGCACTCACTGACTGACGACCACTGGCCTGGTGCACCAACCAGTAGTAGCCTTTCAAGACTTAGTTTCTCTCCTAGGCTTTACTACACCCCATGCCAGTCGGAGTAGGTTCCTGTACTTTATGGTGTTGTGTCCCGCTGCTCCACGTTCCCTCGCTTTGGATCTTGTGCTTTCATGAAATTCAGCCCTGTCGTTGGCCTCCATCTGATCGCCTTTGAACTGAGAGAGGACTGAGCCATCGCATTGCTTTCTCTGCTACAATTCATTCCTTAATACCATCCACATTCATTTTGAACTTTAATCTTGCCTTCGCGATAGCGGTTTCACCAACTGCTTCGGCTAGTATCACGACCATCCCTAGATCCATAGAACGCCGCCTATACAATCGAGCATACCTTTCTCTAGTTCTCTACCACGGATATCGTCAAGCCGGTCTACACACGTCAACCGTCGACCGTCGAGCTGTAAGATTATATACCGGACTCCAGAGATCAGCAACACAGAAAGTCTTTCCATGCCTGGCGCTCACAGCACTTGAACCGGTTTCAAGGCCAGTGTGGACCTAAACAATGTCGAACTCGTCGTTGGCCTCTCCTCTACGTGGGCTTTGCCCACCACCATTTTACGATGCAGCCATGTTCGGGCTTGATGGATGTATGTTGTACCCTTCCAGCTCCCTCGTTGACCATTTCGTTGACATGACCTAGTCGTTGCAGGACGATTCTGCGCGCCTGTCCCACAGATTCAGAAAGGCCTACAGTGCTGTTTGCCTTGTCCTGTAACGGACTTTCTGTATCCTCCAGGTTAGTGACGTAGCCTCGCATACTGATGTCGTTTCCTAACATTCCTCTAGAATTCAAAACGTGGTATCGGGTCGCAGAAGCCTTGAATGTTGCAGGTTTAATTCTCCTTGTCTTTCTTTTGATTTCTTTCCTATGTCTTCCCCCGGAGAAGACGAGGAGACATTATCTAAGCTACTGCTTGATCGTTGCTGCTATCATGATGGCGGTGAGTATGATACCTTCGATAGTTGGTTTGTTACGCATACTGACCTCAATACCAGCTCGGTTTCGTCATTCCCTTCGGGGCGAGACCCGAACAGTGCTACGATGAAATAACGCCCAACGACATGTTTTCCAGCTTGACCTGCGCGTTCTCCGGTGCCTTTCTCATTGCCGGAGGCCTCTCGATGGCTGTGTGGAGTAAGCTCTTCCCCCGTCATTCAAAGCGCTCTTCGACTCACAATACTTAGTCTTCATTCGCGCATTGTCAATGCATCTGCAGATTTGCTGGGACGTCATGCCCGGAAAGCAATTTTTCTATTGGTCTCAAGGATTGGGCTGGTCGGTCGCCGCAGCATTCTTCTGCGCCACCATCTCAGTCACTGGTGTCTCGTTCCGCTTTGGAGATGTCTGTCACGTCAACTCTGCAGAGTCCATGAAAGACTTCTGGGGGCCACTACTAGCAATTGCCGGGGCTGCCATGATTGTGCAATTGGCAACGTGAGTACTACAACACCACTGTGGTATGTATCTGCTAACATTTCTTAGGTTCGCATATTGTATCAAGGTATACATTAAGAACATGTGGAGCGACGATAAAACAGAAACCCAGAGCAGCGCTGGTCTCCCTTCATACACTACCAGTGTTCGTGCTCGTTCTGCACGAGCTGTCTACCGACGTGTCCGCAAAGTCGTCTGGCTTCAATGGCGTGGCATCACGATTGTCGTCTTCATTCTCGTCGACGTCATATTCTTCTCCGTTGTTTTCATCTGGCTCAACTCAGTGGAAACCTCCGCTACCGATGATATTTCAAAGGCAATGCCTTTCCTGTTATGCTTGATGAAAAACCCCCTAAAGCCTGACCCATGTCATGGACTCGGCCAGGAATTGTTCGTCAATCAATCCACCGTCATTGCTATTCTGATCATGCTTTCTGTAAGGCAACTCACTCTAGTCCTGGCAGCACAGACGCTAATACTTGTAACAGTTGGCTGGCATTCAATGCTTTATTCTTCTTTTCCGTTTCTCCATGTTCAAAGCATGGTGGACTCTTTTGCAGTCAAGGTTCAGCTCAAAACGCGAATTTGTCTCTTTAGACGCCAAACAGTACCCTGCCGACACTCACAATTATGAGCTTAATAAATTCGCACAAAGCCCCCTGAAGGCTCCGGAAAGTGCTCTCACCAGCCCCGATGGAGACTACAACCCGTATAGGCGGTCATTGACAGGGACACCGGATTATTTTGGAAAGGAAGTTCAGCGCGACTACAAGTCTCCGACCCTCAGTTTCTCGACACCACGAGCGCCATCACAAGCAGCGATGCATGTAGATTGGGATCCGCGGGCCACGCACGCAAGAGGAGGACTGGGACTGCACCCCATCGATGACGATTCGGACGACGGCATGAAGAACAAACTATGATTACCGATCTTGAGTACATGTTACGGATGACGTACATACAACAACGCTCAAATTCGGATTACCCAGGATTGACCGTCTCTCCCGGACTCGTCTCGCCACCAGTACCTCCCCACACCCAGGCCACGACTTGCGCTTTTCCTTTTCACTTATACCCGAGGCTCTAGCGAGTTCTCAAAAGTCTTTCATTTTCCAAGGTCGTCACAACGCCATCAAGGAGTCCCAAAGAAGAAGGGGCTAATCAGATGGGATACGGGTACCGGCATAGCAAAAAGAGCAAACTGGCGTTGGAGCATAGTTCCTTTTACTATTTGGCCGAGCATATTTACCAGGAAAAAGGTGCTGCTCGCTACTTTCATTTACTCGACCTAGAAAGCTGGAGACACTGTCCTAGCAGCTACATGCAATAATATCGAGCCGGCTATTAACCGCCTACGCACTTCAAAAGACATGCACTTTTTAAAACATGCAATCCTCCCAGCCCTATACCGACGTTTATGCAAGGCACGAACGCAGGGGCTGCATGTTATTCTCCTTTGTACGCTCAACGCTCTTTAGCAAGCATTTCATGTACGATACTTTTTACGGGGAAGGTATTCTCCCAGCACCCAATCAGCACGAGGTTGGCGAGTGTCTCTTCGAACCACGAAGCATGTACATACGCATCATAGGCAGCACACCACCCACCGGCAGAAGAGTAAGTCCCTTGGACATCATTCCAGACAACCCACGACTGGGGTCGCACGCTTCGCTTAGCTGTAAAAATTCCATTAGCCAATATATCAATACCAATACCAAACAAAAGAAATCAGATATTATAGTCACCATCATGATTGATATTGCAATTGCTCAAACCTTTCCCACGTCCCCATTTTTTGTTGGGATTCCTTGAGTGTGCTCCACCTAAGCCTTACCTACTTTTGCATATGCTTGCCTCTCCCAGGACCAGCGTACTTTGGATAAATGCATCCTTCAATATGGCACTTGGCAGGGCAGAACCACAGCATCACCAGTCAGATTATAGGGTGTGGAGCCCCAAGACCGGTCACCACGCTGTATCCCCACAAGCCAGCTGCCAGGCCAGGCCAGACAGGACAGGCCCGCAGGGGGCTGGGCGCGGAATCGGGTCGTTCGCACCCATGGGGGGGGCGTCAGCAAAGCAAAAGAGAGAGCGAGCGAGCAAAATTTCTTACACCCTCCCCCAGCAGTCAGCGCGGGAAGATCAGGTACAGTACGGGTATGAAGGTGAGCAGTAAGAGGACCACGGCCAATCATTCCCGAATGGAGGTGCGGAACACCGTTTTCCTTTTCAGATCGCCCATAGGCTGGCTGTCTTCTTCTGTCAATTGTCATCTTTTTTATTACTTCCACCCTTTTCAGCAAATGGATCGCGTCGTCGTCTATTACACTCAGAGCGAGTATTTTACACTTCCACTACCAACATCTCGCCATGTCTTTAGGGGGCATGCACCCGTTGCCCTGGGTGTTGGAACCGTACAGTAGCGCTATCACGTCACGTCAACAAAAGCAAGGGAATACGGCAAGTAGACTTCTAGAAGCAACGAGGGGGTTTGGTGGACGAGATGAAACACATACCTATGAGAGCGAGCACATTCTAAATCCGGTTCTATCGCCATGGGGTGCCTGATATATGGCCGGCATGTCGGGAAGCATCGCATGGCAGCATGTTGAGGGTTCGCTTGCGCGACAGGTGAACCGACTTCGGATCCACCCAGGAGGACCACGCCCTGTCCTTACAAGGAGACGCTACGAGTAATAATTACTGCGTCTGCGTCTCGAAGAGTCATGGCTTGGCTGTGAGGATTCCTCTCGCCGGAGATGGATCGGCTTTGGGATAGCTGGGGCAAGGCAAGGTTTGATAGGATGCTCGGCTAGGATACAATAGACCCATGCCCTCTTGAGTCTTCTCCCGTTACCGTTAATCGTCAAGGCATGATCATAACGCTCTCAAATATTGGGAAAGTGTGTACTGGTCCCCAGCCACACAGGACTGTGCACCGGATAATCGTTATAGAAAGTTTAAAGGAAATTTCGACTCGCCACAACATACTACTTGTACACTGGATGATTTCGCTGCCTCTCGTCAAAATTAGGGGCTGATGGCGGTTGCAAGAGGGTTCGGTTCGGTCAAAGATAGCGAGCATTAACATGTCAAATTATCGCAATCAGAACGTCCAAGCGATGAGGAGATGAAAGATGAACTACCATTTTCCCGCTGCTCAGGCCTGGGGTAGGCAAGTAGATAGCGTGATGGCCAGGTCTGCAAGCGACGACCATGCAATATCACAGGTTGGAAAGGAATGTCTCCGCATCCGCGCGCGCATCGTGCATGAAGCTTAACGCGATGCAATCGATGAAGCGCGTATCCGATGCAAAGAAATCACATATTCCCTCCGGACAGTAAGAAATATCTCTGTGGCTGCACAGGGCGAGCTGAATGCACCGTTTCTTCCCAAGCCAAGGTATATTGGCAACGGTGTGCTTCATGCACAGCGGAGAGAAATAGTCCTTTCTGTTTTCGAAGTGAATGTGGGCCGTTCAGTGTAGGTTGTCGCCCAGTGGGTATGTGTGTTTGTAATTGCCAATTATTCATACTCACTGCAGGGGTAATCGCATAGAAGGATTCCACAGTACTGTACGCCAAAATGTTTGAAAGAGTTGCGTTGGGAACGCTGGGATGTCAGGGAATACGGTAACGATGGACTGATCCTCGCCGCCTCGATAGTGTGTGTCCTGATTCAGTGTCTATCGAACGTGATGAATAGTACGGCTAATGTACCCGGACATCCTCAAAGAGTATTTGTCAAAGGACACGCCGTGCCGTAAACTTGCAGTATGTCCATCGACATGCTATCAAAACACGCCGGTGTTCTTATACGCCAGTTCAATGAGCCGTTGATGCGGTATCGATCGACTCTTGACCAGTTTGATTCATCTAACTCGGGCCGTTCATCGCAATTACCAAGCGCGCAGTAGAGCATGCTAGTTCTGTTCCTCGACATTTGTCGATCGGATCGGACGTGGAATGAGCTCATAGACTTATCTTGGGGGATGTTCTTGAGGAGCCAGTACAGTGAACAGCCACATCTGTCGCAAAACGCATCATGAATGTCGTAAAGTGCCAGCGTAAGGCGGATCGTATTGACCGGCTTACTATGTACCCCACCAACCCACCAGTCCGCTATCTTGCTTGATACACTTCGACTGTCTCTGTATCTTCTCCACGACAATCTGGATAATAATTGAAAAGCAGTTCGTCTATCGCGCAATCCGAATTCAGTGATTCAGGATCGTATACAGTCGGACGGCATCTCCGTGCGTGTGCTTATCTCTTGACCTGTATCTCTCGAAGCAAAGAATGGTGGCAATGGGCGGGGGTCCAGAAACTCCACAACGTAGCACCGGAGATGGCGAAGGGAGTCGCGATCTGTTGCTGGCTGTGCTACCATGGCCCGAATCAGAACCGCAGCATACCATAGCGAAGATCAAGGAAGACTTCCCAAACCTTGACGTTCATTACGTCCAGGACTATCTAAACAAAGCTGACAGAGGGAAGACAAATGTGCCTGAAGGTATGTAAGACGTTCGCATGGCTTATTTCAGCTCGCTTTGCACGACCATGACTGCATTCCTCTTATGCCTTGTCGTTCATATTGTGTCACTTACTTCTTTTGGCATCTAAACATTCTACTTTCCACACCAATCCGTTCTCTACAATAACATTGCTCACAACATTGCAGAACTCTACAAACGTGCGAAGTATCTTGCAACACTCAGTTGGCTCCCTCCCACTCCAGATGTAGTTCCCGACCTGAAATTCATTCAATTCTTCTCGGCGGGCTCAAATCATGTCGCAAACCATCCCATCTACACCGACTCCAAGATACCGTTGACCACGGCATCAGGAATCCATGGCCCGCAGATCGCCGAATGGGTCATCATGATGGATCTTGTCCACAGTCACAAGTATATTGACCTATATGAAGATCAGAAGAAGAAAGAGTGGTCTCAACCTAGAGGATTCGGGGTACGAGATGCAGTAGGAAAGACGGTCGGTGTTCTTGGTTATGGCAGCATTGGACGGCAAGGTATGTTTCTGATTTTTAATATCTCATTGCATGTGTTTCTCCCTTTGCCTTCTTCAATAAACGACTCGAACCGGTGTTCACATCGTGGCCTGGATCGTCATTGGACTGAACTTCGCCCGACGCTGTCAGACGGACCGATGGCCTCCATGGATGGAATGGAATGCCTCTGAGACATTCAGCTCTTGTCCGGGGGCACGACCTACTCCACAGTATCCCAAGGCATTGTTGGCCATAAATCTGTTACACATGGGCAATCCGATGAGGAACCTCGGCTTCCCCGTATTTGGGATGCGAATCCTGCGACCCAACTTGCAGGTGCTGGTCAGTCATCCGTGCCGCGACCTACGCCACGCGCCACGGATACGCAATAATCGCAAACGGCGCAGTACCCCAGGATCAAAATCCCCCAGGAATCCTTCTTCAAAGTTTAAAAACGCCTTCCCGCCCAGGCAACTGCTCGTCATTGGTCGAATGTTTTGATCTGGATATTCATTTTTCCATTTTGTAATCATTTACGGCGAAAGAAAACTATATTGAAGCTTTAAAGCTTCGACATGTGAATTAATCTCTGCCGTCTCCCGCTCTATACGAAAGTTCCCGTGTTTTCAACAAACTATTGATGCATCACGAAACTAACTTTTGTTTCTGCAGTGGCGCGCGTTGCCAAAGCCATGGGAAGCAATGTCATTGCGTTCACCGCTTCGCCCAGACGAACGCCCGAATCAAAGAAAGACAATGGATTCATTGTTCCCGGCACAGGCGACCCAGATGGTAGCATTCCCTCGGCGTGGTACAGCGGTCTAGACAAAGAGAGCCTTCACGAATTCCTCAAGCAAAGAGTTGATCTTTTGGTCCTTAGTGTGCCCTTGACAAAGGAGACGACGCACTTCATAGCTGCAGATGAATTTGCAATCCTCGAGGAATCCAATCCTCACGGCACCTTTATTGCCAACATTTCTCGAGGCGGCATTATCAACCAGCCAGATCTCATCAAAGCACTCGAAACCAAACAGATCCGAGGTGCAGCCCTCGACGTGACTGATCCTGAGCCCTTGCCCAAAGACGACCCATTGTGGGATGCACCCAATGTGCTCATCACGCCGCATATCAGTGGCAGTAGTGTCGCATACGCTGATCGGGCTTTCCAAGTATTGCATGAGAATCTGAGGAGGGATAGGGATGGAGTACCGCTATGCAACTTGATTGATCGGAAGAGAGGGTATTGACATATGCCAGCATCAATAAATTGAGCTGTACATAGATTAATCGATACGTACATCATCATGGCTCCATCAAGAAAACCGTGCCATTCGTTGTCATCGTCGTGCATTACGAGTTCTTGGGCAAGTGAACTAGTCTATTCGGGCTCTTGATCCTTCCATTTCTCTCGAACAGCAGCGACATCAATTCCGCACTCCTCCGCCCGCTTCAGGACAGCATGCGACTTCCCAACCACAGGTTTGTCTATCATCTTCCCCTCCAGCGTCCAGGCACCCCTCCCTGCCCTATCTGCTTTCTCATCTCCAATAGCCACCCTCGCCGCCCATTCCACCTCCGCCTTTCCCGGAGAAAAGGTCCTGTGACAAACCTCAATTTGACTTGGATGTATACATTGCTTTCCATTGAAGCCCAACCCCTTCCCATCCAGACACTCCTCTTCGAGAGTCTTGATGCCCTGTTCACCCTTGTAGGCCGTGCAGACCAGATCGACAGTCGACGGAAGTTCTGCAGCTCGCGCGGCAGTAGCGATAGCGCTCCTCGCATACAGAAACTCCTTGAGTGACGGTGTGCGCGTGAGAGACATATCCAAAGCGAAGTCTTCGGCCGCAAACACCAATCCGCTCAAGTACGGACTCGCTCTGCAGATCTCCGGTAGGTTCTGGATCGCCTTTGCGCTCTCGATGAGCGCAATGATACTAAGTGGTCTCTTTCCACCGCCCTGGGTATTCGAGGCGTGACGGTCTGGTAGTGTGTGTCGGATGACATCCGTCACGAAGTGCAAATCGGCCGCGCTCTGGCACTTTGGCAGCATGATGGCGTCGAGGTGCTCTCCCTTGAGGATCTCAGTGAGGTCGTCGAGGGCTAGGCCGCTGTCGACGCTGTTTATGCGAACACATGTCTCGCGGATGGTGGACGGGCGGGGTTGCGAGAGGATGTCCTTGAGGTTGTTGCGGGCTTCCACCTTCTTGCCCGGCGCTACGGAGTCTTCGAGATCGTATGTGACTGTGTCGACGGTCATTGACCGGGACTTCTCTAGCATGCGCTTTGAAGAGCTTGGGACTGCGTCATGGTGGTTAGTATGGCGTCCAACGTGGTATGGAGAGGTACGTCGTGTTTACCGTACATGAGCGCCCTGCGTATAATTGGCGCAGCCATCTCTACTACCTAGGATCTACGAAACTCCAATTGAGAATATACAGGGAGGCAGCTGTGTGGGTTGCTATCTTGAAGATATAATGTTCTTCTGTGGATTCGAACATTGTCGAATGTCATTAGACACCGTGATCCATATAACCGATGTAACCGGCAGAAGTAGTGGCGCCTTCGACATCAACGCGCGGGGAAGCTTTAGCTCAATTAGTCCCTGTAGACCATACACATCATAGTAAATTTGGTATTATTTGACTTTTATTTTTATGTCTTCAAGAATGAGAACTCCTCCGAGCTCATAGAATCGACCTGTTGATATTCGTCTTACCATCCGTATCGGACTGTACCTATTGTTCCGCGCACGGCCCGCAATTGCGTAGGCGTCCCTGAGATTCTGCCACGTGAACGTCAATCAGGACACCGCGTCGTCGTTCGGTCTATCAATCGGTCACCTCTCCCAAGCTTCAAGCTCCCAGCTTCAGCAGAACCCAACCACCACAATTCCAAACGATGGAAACCGCACAGCAGACACCAGGGCCCGGCTCGCTCAGCTGGAGACTTAGCAGCCATCCCATCACCTTGCTCACTTTCCTCGGTTTTCGCATATGTAAGTTGTCCGGCACGAATGAACCCGCATACCTCCAATGCGCATGTAGTTTTATATACACACATACTGACAGAAGTCTCGAACAGCAAGTCTACTAGTCTACCTCTTCGGCCTCCTCTTCACCAAGAACTTCGTCCTCATCTTCATCATCACGATCCTCCTCCTCGCGACCGACTTCTACTACCTCAAGAACATCGCAGGGCGGCGGCTCGTGGGACTGCGCTGGTGGAACGAGGTGGACACGGCGACGGGGGATTCGAGGTGGGTGTTTGAGAGCGCAGACCCGGAGACTAGGGACATCAATGCGACGGATAAGAGGTTCTTTTGGATTGCGCTCTATGCGCAGCCTGTGCTGTGGGTTGCGTTGGCCATTGTTGCGCTCGTCAGCTTGGAGTTCATTTGGTTGACGCTCGTCAGTAAGTGCACTCTTGCTTTTTTTGGGTTCTGTATTCGCGGGGGCTTCTCTTTTCGGTTGGGCTAGGTTGCGCCGCGATGCAGTTGTCGGTTTGACATGTTGAGGGCATTTCGGTCTGCGGAGATTCGGTTTGCTAACATTTGACATCAGTCATTGCCCTCGTCCTCACAATCACCAACACACTCGCCTTCTCCCGCTGTGATAAATTCAGCCAGGCTACGGGATTCGCTTCCGGTGCCTTCTACGGATCGGGACTGGCAAGGAATTTGGCCAGCGGCATGGTCAGCAGCTGGTTCAGGAGATGAACGATAGTCCCAGTTCAGGTGCAATGAACCGACGGGTCAAGAACCCTTCGTACAATTTTCAGGCTGCAAAGGGCTGTACGATTACAATTCGAGTTTACCACTGTTTGCAAGGTTTTTCGCAGGGTGGGATAGGCATTTAGACGGCAGATAGCCACTGGCGCACAGAAAAATCACATACATCGCTGTGATTAATCATTTTGACACACCTTCAAATGTTCGGCGAGACAATGGTTGTTGTTCAACGGCGGCAAAACATGCCACATATCTTTCCAGAAGAGGACATATGTATTCATACAAAATTACATGTTGGGTCATCTTCCCTTCCTGTTCTATACAGTGATCATAACACTTGCGTTCTTGTACCAGCTCAATAGTGGGTTCTCCCCGTTCTTGGTCTGCGTTTCTTCAATGTCGGCTCGGCCGGCCATGAAGTCTTCGTGTGAGTATGTGCGAGCAAATCTACCAGTGATGGCCGTATACATAGGCTCCATGACTTCGAAATCTGTCGGGAAGAGAATGTCGAAGTAGCCTTGGTGAACCTAAGCGAAAAACTTGTCAGATGTGATAAAAATAACGAGTCTTCGTGAACGCAAGAGGGGTATTTATATCTCAGATAGGAGCGAAAGACGTTTGAAATTTTGTTCTTCAGTGGTCCGTAGACCGTCAGATGAACTATGCTTAATTTTGGAAATCATCATGATAGGATGTTTTGCAAATAATGGAACGAGGTTATGACTTACTAGAGGCGTAGAGACAGGAATCATCTCTCTTTTGAACCTCGTCTGGACAACAGGCGCATTCAAACCCTCCACCGCATCGCTGAGCTTATGGAAATCGCTGGTGATGAGCTTGTGATTGGGAAACTTCTGATACAAAATGTAGAAAAACTGCATCAGCCTGGTGGGGATGTATTCCGGGGAGCTGAGTGTGCCTCGGAAAGGTAACAGCGAGCGCAGATTCTGCATCAGACGGGACCCCTGGAGCGGATGAGGATATGACTTGCACGCCGCATGGCGCCTTTCCAAAAATTGTTGGGCTAAAGGATCCAGATCGCGCGTGTAGTACTCGTAAAATTCACCTCGGGGGTCGATAACAACTCGCGACTGGTAAGGGTCGCCTGTTTCGATATCGTACTTCAGTGCATCATGCGCAAAGTTATCAAAGACTTCGAGCGCGAGGAAATAGCACGGAGAAGACACGTATTGATTCCAATCGAAAATTGACCGATTGATGATTTCCACTTTGTCAGAATGACCACGAGCATACGCCGACTGGCCAAGGCCTTGTTGTTGCAGGTTCGCCAATTGGTCGGAAATCTCGATAATCCTGTATTTTGTGCGCTCATACACCTCCGGATGCACGTCCCGAATGTAGTCGAGAATATTCAGCATCATCGTTCCGTTGCCAGCACCCATCTCGTAGATATTAAGATCATGATATGGGTAGCAATTGTACTTGTAATCCTCAACCAAGTATCGCGCAATAGCCTCGCCATAATATGGTGAAAATAGCTCGGTAGGTGTATGCCACAACTGTCTCAATTCATTCGGTTCTTGATAGTCAAGCGAGTCCTCAAAATCGGTGTAGCGCTTCCGGAGCAGTTGGAAAAATTCGTGCTCAGAGCCCATTGAATTGAAATCGAAGGGATCACCGGGTGAGAAAATGACTACTTGCTTTGAGAAGTAGCCGTAGTTGGGATTGTAGAGACTGTCTTGCAAGGTGTTAGCAGCTAGATCCCCATGCAGAATGTGCGGTGTGGCTAACCTTCGATGAAGTCTCGCATGAGCATCTTGACCCTCCGGGGCCGCTCTCTGCGTGATCTTAACATGTCCGCAGTCACAGTAGGATATCTGTCAAACTCCTCGGTCCGCTCATGGGGAAAGGCTCTATTCCTAGGTGTCCATCGACTCTCCCTTCTGGTTTCGCCCTCTCCGAGTCTTGAAGCCAACCCTCTGCGCTGACTAGGCGCATAACGTGCGGAGGTGGCATGAGGGACCAATGGTCTGCTTCCTCGAGCGAGACATCGTGATGCTCGATGTGTGAAGAGCTGACGGAAGAGCTGCGTGATGATGGGCGAGTCCATTGGTGGTCATCCTCCAACTAAGGATTGACGAGGATGAAGGAGGTTCCTGTGGAAGCACATGGCATGGTGGAGGTGCCGTCCAATTTGCGCCAAGCAATCGTCAAAGCTCCCCAGGGTCCACAACCGAGAACCGTATGAGGTAGTTTTATCAATCAACGACATGGTCCCAATTGGTGGCCTGTAAGAAGATGCCAGACAGGTCTCAGTACTACACTCTAGGAGCTTTCCTCCTGGGCGTGGTTCTGACCAGCGCCTGGACCCAGCAGTGGTCAAGCTCGCCGTCTCGTAAATCTCGAAATCGGCAAAGACCAAATGTCAAGGATCATGAGGGTTCGGCAGAGCACGATGGCATCAAAGAAGGAATAGAGGGATGCATTGGCAATACGCCATTGATCAAAATCAAATCACTTTCAGAAGCTACTGGGTGCGAAATTTTGGCGAAAGCTGAGGTTCGATATCAACGCTTGGAACGCATTTCGACCTTCAATGTCCTGACAGCCTGTAGTTTCTAAATGGAGCGGGTAACAGTCCAAAAGATAGAGTCGCCTTGAGTATCATTCAAATGGCCGAAGCCGATGGACTTTTAACGCCCCACTCCGGCGACACAGTCTACGAAGGTACCGTCGGTAGCACAGGCATCTCTTTAGCGGCCATATGTAGAGCGCGAGGTTACAAGGCACACATGTAAGGGAAACTACTCGTAGAATATAGAGGAAGACTAATCCTTCTCCAAGATGTATGCCTGATGATATGGCGATCGAAAAGTCTGATCTGCTTCTGAAACTGGGTGCAGAAGTCGAAAGAGTCCGACCGGCGCCGATTGTAGACCAGAAACAATTTGTCAATTTGGCACGCAGCAGAGCATTAGAGCATACTGCCGATCCCAACAAACGTGGCAGCGGTCTGTTTGCAGATCAGTTCGAAACAGAGGCTAATTGGAAAGCGCACTACGCCGGCACAGGCCCGGAGATATATGATCAGACTGATGGCAACCTCGATGCTTTCGTCAGCGGAGCAGGCACTGGCGGCACAATTTCAGGTGTTGCTCTGTTCCTTAAGGAAAAGCTGCCGGGTCTGAAGGTTGTCCTGGCTGACCCACCCGGCAGTGGCTTGTACAATCGTGTGAAATTCGGAGTCATGTTCAATACTAAAGAAAAAGAAGGCACACGCCGCAGGCATCAAGTGGATACCATTGTAGAAGGTATCGGTATCAACCGTGTCACTCAGAATTTCGAGGTCGGCAGGGAGCTGATCGACGATGCTGTCAAAGTAACAGACGATCAAGCAATCAAGATGGCGAGGTGGCTAGTAGAGCACGATGGGATATTCTGTGGCAGCAGTAGTGCTGTGAATTGTGAGTATCATGTTCTAAATCTGGTACCATATCATTGACTTGTAGAAGGTGTTGCAGCAACGACGCTGGCGAAGCAGCTCGGTCCTGGTCACCGCATTGTGACTTTGCTATGTGACAGTGGCGCGAGGCATTTGAGCAAATTCTGGGCCAATAAGGAAGTTGGTGGAAGCGAAGACGATGTGTCACTCGAGAGTGTTCTCCAACCGTAGAGTTTGGACTATGTCCCTTTGAAGATGTTTCGCACGGAGACCATATCCGCATGGAACAATCCATTGATTGCGGCGTCACCCCAGAAATGAACTCCATGGCACATTGAAGATTTCAACTTCCACAATACGAACTCGAAACTTCACCTTCATAGCGGAAAGACAACATCATTGTTTAATCTGGTTTCTAAATTTCTAACAGGACGGTCAAAGAACTTCAAATACCGCTTTGAAGCGCTTTGTGTGAAAATGATAGACATTGCCAGAGACAAAGGACCGCCATTATACAATAGGATTCTCCTATTTGCGTGCTTTGTGTGATTTCATTTTGAACATATAAACGACTCACTGTCGAGGCATTGCTTCCTTCCATGGGCACGTAAAATACATTCAAGAGCCGTGTCAATACCCAGCAGCGCCCTACACACCGACTCGCCATCGAATAGTTGTATATCAAACATTACAAAGACACCCTCTCAAACACGCGGATCATGTCTATAGCGAAAAGGAACCCACTCCTTGCGGAGAAAATCAAGCAGATGCGACTGAATATCGCTCCAATCGTACATATTTATACTGGCCAATGCCCTCCCGAATTCCCCTCAACGCTGCTGGAGTTATTCCTCCTTACTGAGGACGAGCTTGACTCTATGGCACATTTCTATGCGCAGATCTATCCCGACGAGACTACAAATTTATACCCCCAAGTTATGGACTTCAACCAACCGTACCTTTCTAGACCCACGGAAGGAGATGATCTACCTGACTCGTGCCGGATGACTTCGTACGAGAGACTGAGGGTCAAGATGAGGATCTTTGCGAGGTTTATCGGCATGCGAGGGGCAGAGACGCCGAGGTGGGAGTATGAACGACAGATGGATATCATAGTGGCTAGGATTGAGCATGAGGTCCAGGAAGAACAAAGGGCGATGTCCACGAAATCTTATCGCGGACTAACCATGTATCCATGAGATGTGGATCTGGAGGGCGTCTTAAAATGAAGTGTTCAGTCAGCTACAATCATCATCACAAAGCTAAAAGAAAAAAATGCATATGGCTACGCATATTTCAGCGAAGTTCTATCATATTAGATCAAACACTATATATACTACGAATTAAAAAGATTCCGAGATTGCTTACTTTATGAATGCTTAGCCTAGTGATAACATCAATTCCTTCCCATTGATTGATTATTGAAGCCATGATTTCTGACTTTGCCAACTTTTTCGTTAGTCTCAAGATATCTTTCCAAAACAGCAGAACATAGCTCGTTTTCGTTCTTCAGCTATCTATCTGTCTATGATGGAAACATTAGATATTGAAATGGCAGCAGACACAGTAAAAATGAAGTATAAGTCAGAATTTATCTCCTACCTCTCCCTCTTCAAGCATAGTTACTCTTCCTTTTTGGATTCGGTGGAGATATTCTTTCCTCAACGGTGTGTAGGCTCTGAAGTCTCTCTCGAGACAGACATATTTATGATATCTACGTCGTAGTGAGTAAGCAAGTAAGTAAGAAGGCCTGCCTGTATAATCTTATTCTCTCTCACGCACACATGAAGGAAAAGCTTTCCAAAGAAATAAAGAAGTGCAAGCCATCATTGTTGTTGGCCACTGTCATCTATCTAGTCAGCCTAGTTCCTTCCCTCTTTCCAGGTACCAATCCTGTTTTACCCTCATACGATTTCACGTGTCCAGTTCGTTTCTCATGCAAAAAGGAACAGAACCAGAAGCAAAAAAAAGAAAAAAAAGGTAAAAAAAATCGACATAGTCCTGGTGGGGTTCGAACCCACGGCATCCGCATAACCAGATGAAGGCCATAAGAATCTGACGAGTCTTATAAGAACGGCGCGCTACCACTGCGCCACAGGACTGTTTTCAGTCGACTGGACTTTAATCAAGTTTAGTCGTTTTTGCAAATCTGCTTCAATATGTACCCGGTTGTTATGAGCCTTTAGCGCTGTGTGTGCCACATTTGGTCACGAGCGAGGTGTGGAATGACTTTGGCGTATTTTTAGTAAAGTGAGTTTTCTTTGGTGCGACTTTCTCCTACACTAGCGTGTGGCTGATGGTCGGTATTGTGAGGGGTTGGGGATCTGACGTGCGATGTCCGCAGCTATAGCTCCAGCTCGGACTAGTCACACCTCCGCACCGCTTCCAACCTCCATTCTTCCAGACAGACCGTACTCTCTCTCCTACATCACTTCTATCCCCTTGGAGCTGAAGGTGTTTGCTTGGGATTCAATTCACCATATTTGATTTTCCTAAACTCTTCTTTTACATCAACTACTTGTCTCGGTAAGTGTGTACGTCTTTCCTGGCATTCCTAGATCAGCAAGGTACTCCGTCCCTACTACTTTCCACAACAAGCTTCCATTGGTCCAGTCTTTCCTTCTTTCTACTGTGCAATACGAAGTTGCCTTTCGAGCATGTCTATTCTCACTTGATACTGCGTATATTCGGCGGAATAAAGTCTATCACTTAATCTGTCTTCAAGTCAACCGGCATAAATTCTGTTGTAGATTCATGACCTACCCATTGCCACTTACTTTCGTTTCGAATTATTCTTACTTAGACACAAGCTTTCATTTTCCTTTGCAAGGTGAGAGACTAATAGGCAATTAGGGTGTCTTTATTGACAATTGGGAACCATTGCCAAACTCGACATGACTATTCGTGCAACCAAGTTCACTCCTGAGGTCCTCCTCAGTGCACCACGCCGTTCCCCTGGCTTGCCCAATTCGGATGGTTCAAAGATCTTGTACAGTGTCAGCACCTATTCCTTTAGCAAACACTCGAAAAAGTCCGAGATTCGCCTCTTGGATGTCGATAAGCAGGAAACCATAACGGTGACCTCCGACTCTGGAGCAGGGGACGTCAAATGGCTGGACGATGATTTGATCGTGGTTCTATTCTCTAAGGAGGATGGTACGACGAGCGTCACGGTTGGGAAACCAACCAACTTCAGTGATAGGTAAGCCAGAGCACATCTCAAAGAACGACATTTGTAACCTTGATTCCTTTCTACGCAAACTCCTGTTTTAACGCCATCATTCCAACAAGAATATGATACTGATTGTGCATACAGCAACTACACTGCTGGAACAATCGAAGGTCCGGTTGGGGATTTGAAAGTCATTAGCCTCGATAATGGCGATTATGCATTCGCTGTGAGCGGTAAAGCCGACCCCGATGGAAAGTTGGTCAATCCACAAAAGGCCAAGAAGCGGCATACGACCGGTCGCCTCTATAATTCCATGTTCGTGCGCCACTGGGACCACTACGTGACAGAGAACAAGAACAGCATCTGGCTGAGCAAGCTGGCCAAGGATGACAAAGGAAAGTTCAAACTCGGAAAAGTCAGAAATGCCCTTAAGAGCACCACGCTTGAGTCCCCAATCGATCCCTTTGGCGGCACAGACCATTTCGACATTGGTCCCATTGGTCTTGTATATACCTCGAAGGATCCTGAACTTGACCCAGCACTACACACGAAGACGAACATCTACCTACTATCAGCGAACGATTTCTGGGAAGACTCCACGTCTGAGGCTAGCAGCACACCGATCAAGATAAACATTGACGGATTCGAGGGCGCCAGTACAAACCCCGTGTTCTCCCCCAAGGGCACGTCTTTTGCTTTTCTGTCCATGAAGACGGACGGATATGAGTCGGACAAGAATCAGATTTTCATTGTCCCCGACGTGCAAAATCCATCATGGGTAATTCAAGCTCTACCTTCGAAAGATGGTAAGGGACTTTGGGATCGCAGTCCTTCTTCTATCATATGGAGTTACGATGGGAGTTCACCCTTGTACCTCTTAGCGGAGGACCATGGACGAGGATGTCTCTTTGCATCCAACTGGCAAGGGCCTGGGCTCACCGAACCAAAAATGGTCGTTAAGGGAGGAGCGATATCCGACGTTCGACCGCTGAAGAACGGTGAACTGTTCATCTCGTCATCTAGTCTGATCGACAGCAGCCTCTACTCAGTTCTCCCAGCAAATGGCCATGCAGGCGAACATGTTCTCAGCCTACCACATGATGATCAGCAGACCAACACTACCAGATATCTGTCTTCTCAGACGCGTAATGGATCCACATTCGGTCTCAAACGACGACAGATTGACGAGATCCACTGGCCCGGAGCAGCCGAGAACACATCCGTTCAGGCATGGGTGGTCAAACCAAGCGACTTCTCATCGGACAAGAAGTATCCCCTCGCATACCTCATCCACGGAGGCCCACAGGGCGCCTGGGAAGACAGTTGGAGCACAAGGTGGAATCCGGCCGTTTTCGCCGAGCAGGGCTATGTAGTCGTCACCCCAAACCCAACTGGCAGCACTGGTTTCGGACAGGATTTCACAGACGCGATCAAAGGACAATGGGGCGGGCTACCATACGAGGACCTAGTGAAGGGCTTCGACTGGATCAAAGAGAATCTCGATTTTGTGGACACGAACCGCGCCGTAGCACTCGGTGCGTCCTACGGAGGCTTCATGATGAACTGGATCCAAGGCCATCCGCTCGGTCGTAAGTTCAAGGCGCTTGTGACGCATGACGGCGTCTTCAGCATGACCGGCCAGCTCGCCTCCGAGGAACTCTACTTCCCCTTCCACGACTTCGAGAAGCCGCTCTGGCTCAATCGAGAGGGCTGGGACAAGTGGGATCCGTCCAAGTTCGTGGAGAACTGGTCCACGCCTCACTTGATCATCCATAGCGAGTTGGACTACCGGTTGACGATCTCCGAGGGCCTCGCCGCGTTCCACACGTTGCAGGCAAGGAACGTGGAGAGTCAGTTCCTCACGTTCCCTGACGAGAATCACTGGGTGCTGAAGCCGGAGAACTCGCTGCTCTGGCACCGCACTGTGCTGGATTTCATCAACGAGAAGGCGGGCTTGCCCAAGTATTCGGATACGATGACTGAGGAGGCAAAGGCTGCATTGGAATAAGCAAGCATACATAGTGTATACGTTTTGTCACTTGGTTATTTAGCATGAATCGAATCGCCCAGTTTGGTACCAAGAATGTGCATGTGTACTTATTGTGAGAAACGTCGTATAAAGAAGGCTGCTGTGTGCGTCTTTGCCAAAGGGTACAATTTCAATGGTGACTTGATACCATAATGCCTGACTTGATTCCAATACATATCGTTGACGCCAAAGCCACTATAAGGGTGTAAAAAAACATCATGCGTTCGTTCGCTAGGCGAAGATTATTCTTACATGAATACCGTCGCGATAGAAAAGAAGAAAAAAAGGTTAGAAAAAAAACATCGGCGCTGTCATTATTTTCAGTCATCCGAGCCATCCTCAGGTAATCCCTCCAACACTTCCTCAACGAGAGCGATCAACTCGTCGACATCCGGCCTCTCACTCGGCTCAACCTTCAAACACCTTCGCACAACCTCCTTAACGGGGTCACTGATAGCATCCTCCGTCGGCTGCGTCTGCTTTCCCCGCTGCGGTCCCTCGTCGGGGAACCTCCAGTCACCGCCCAACACACATATGCTCAAACTGCCACCAGTCTCGTCACTGCGTGCTTCGAACGGCGATTTCCCGACGAGACATGCGTATAATGTGCACCCGAGCGACCAGATGTCGACCTTGGTATCGATGACGGAACCCGTCTTCACGTCGAAGAGTTCGGGGGCTCGGTACGGCATTGTGCTGTGTTCGGCGGCCTGGTCCTGGACCTGGAGTGCGAGGGAGCGAGATGTGATCGGTGTTGGTGAGGGTGCAAGGGAGCCGAGATCCATGAGGATTGGAGTTTTGCCGTCGTCGGCGATCATAACGTTTCCTACGTCGTCGTTAGTTAAGTGCAAAGAATTGAGGAGAGATGATAAGGAACGTACCAGGCTTAATGTCACGATGCGCGTACGCGCGTTCACCACCAGGCGCAATGCCTTCCTGCGCACTTGTGACCTCAGAGTCCATGAGCGGCTCTGCTTCATGCTCTTCATCGTCGTCGTCGTCATCCCTGTGCCGCCGACCGGGACGCATCTCCATGGCCTCCGCGGCCTCCGCATCTGCCCTCGCAGCTTCTCTCCGCACTTTCTTCGCGTTGCTCTGGCTTGTAGCTCCGCCGGGGGGACCTTTCACTCTGTACTGATGCATGCTCTTCAATGCCTTGCAAACGCCCAGGAACAGCACCATCAATCTCCGCTCGGGGAACTTTGTGTGATTGACCAGGTTCGCATTGATCATGTCTTGTAGGTTTCCACGCCTGTAGTACGGGAGGAGGATGTACACGGTCTTGGCCTGGGGATCTGATTTATCGGATGCGACGGAATGGTCAAACGAGTGGATGATGTTCGGGTGTGGTGAGAAGAGCGAGTATGCTTCGACTTCCTTGAGCGCCTGCGACACGGATTCCTGGCCGAAGGGGCAGCGGATCTTCTTCAGGGCGAAAAGCTGCTGGTTTGCATTGTCCTGGACGAGGTATACGTAGGAGAAGCCACCCTATGAGCGTGATACTGTCAGTCGTGATATGGAGAAAGTCAATCTTGCCGTAGCTTACCTCGCCCAGCAGTCGCAAGATTTTGAAGCTCCGACTGTTGATCTTGAGTTGGGGAGTGCCCGGAAAGCACACCATGCAGTTGGTAAACGAGTAGACTACATCGAGGAAATATGAGCCTAATGATCCCATCTTTGCGACTGTTGTTGTTGTGATTGCTCAATGATGGAGCTAGACGTTTTGATGGTAGCTACAAAGAGCTTGCGAATGCTTGGTTGGTTGCGAATGTTATGGGCTCAGAAAAGATGATATGGCTTTCAGATGAGCACAAACAATTGTAATTGAGTGTAATAGCTGCGGATTGATTGTGATAAGAGGATGCGCAACTGCTCGGGAAAGCTGATGTGGTTCGTTCCAAGGAGCCAAGTTTGTGGCTGGTGCTTTGGGTCCACTCAGCCACCTTGTTACCTTGTTTGCATACGTAGGTCATCCAAAATAGGCGATACTCGGTCGTTAAGTGGAATTCAAGGAAATAAATTATGTCAACGTTGGGATTGATATGTATTTTTGGCTCTGCACTTAGTTAGATACACTGCCCGTTCAGAGGGCTGATTATTGAATATAAAGGCAAGAAATCTTCTTCAGAGTAGCCGCAATAATAATATCGCATTAAATGAAAGAAGAATAGTGGAGGCTATCGATGCCTCTACTAACAACGCCAATGCTCCGTCCCTGAATGCGCGCTCAAATGATGTTGGTTACACCGAGTAACAGTATACAGGTTGTCTATGCAAAAGTCATCTTGATCTCCTTCTCTTTTCCAAAGTCATCGTCGTCCTCGTCGGCCCAAGCATTGTAACTCGGTGCTGCATTTATATTAGGAGAAGTGGCAGCCGACCTTAGTTGCGGGCGCTCTGGCATAGCACCCCATGTAGATTTGTCGGCATCATGACTGGGAAACCTAGAACTGGAAGGCGGGTCCTTGAAGGAAGTTTCGAATGTCATCGTCATGCCTCCATCTTCGTACTCGTCATATTCGTCATAGCTCGTCTTCTTGGTCTGATCGTGAGCGCCGTTGCTGGAAAGATATTGGTTGCTTCCACTGCCACTGGCACCCGGTTGAGAGCCAATGCTATCGTTGAAACTTTTCGTCTCGCGCAGTGTCGAATATGGAGAGGGGCTTGTTGCCGCCATGTCTATCTTCATAGGTGGTAGTGTCGACTTGATCTCTTTGATCTCGATTCCTTCGGCAGAGAGCAGCGCAACTTCCTTTCGAAGTTCGTCAATGTCAAACATGACAGGATTTTCGCCAGGGGGCTTGTTCTCTGGAGCTGCTTGCGATTTCTCGTCGTATACCTCCCAGTCCTTCTTCTCGGCCTTCTTTTTCCGCCAGAAGCTGAATCCCTTCTTTTCCTGCTTCTTCTCCAATTCCCTCCTCGCCTCCTCGATCTCGCTGATAAGCTCCCGCTGCCTCTTTTCGTGGTTTTCTGGATCTGGATCTTCGATTTCGGTGAATTCGTCGCTTTCCACAATCCATCCCACTTCGCGCAGTAACTTTGGCATTGCTGCTCTGTATGCCATGTGTCCAGGCACATGCTCTGTAACATCAACATTCTCTATGCCGGGAACGTCAACACTTGCAAGACCAGCAACTCTCGAGATACCTCCTCCAGTGGCTCTGAACAAGTAGCCTGTACCAAAGTTAGAAGAAGCTGCATCATATGCGGCAGGTACTGACCTAAAATCCAATCATTCTTTGCGTAACCGTTCACAAATCGTCCAGGAACCAATGCTCTGGCGCGGATGTAGTCATCTTTCTTTGCGACAACAGGCGTTCCGAACATGTATACATTCTCGACAATACCGAATGCTCCTCGTTTCGCCAGCTCTTTGAGACAAGAATAGATGACCCTGGATCCCAAAGAGAAGCCAACCAGTGTTACGGGTCGTGTGCCTAGGTTGCGTTCGATGAGGGAGTCCGCAAGGATGAGTCCTGCCATGTCTGCTCGAGTTTGTGACACCGTCCAGGGATTGTCAATGAGGTAAGACAATTTCGTCAAGGCAACAGGCAATTGAATAGCACTCATAAGTGCAATGAGGATAGTGCTACCCAACACTTGTTGCAATCCTTGCGTCAAAGCCTGATGCTAAGTTAGCCATATCTCTACATGTGAGAACAGTTGATCACTGCCTTACCTCGGTTGCTAGGATATTGATAGTATCTCCCATACTCCGTAGCATTTCTGGTTCCCAAAGAACGGAGTAAATATCACCCATGATGGGATCGACTGTACTATATGGCAGTCGGACGTCATCAACCTTGCCGTTCATCCAACCTGCCAATGTAACGATCAGATTGACACGCTTGTTGTTATGCAAAGGCCGATATTCGAACGTTTGAACGGCTCCGGTTCGCCTATCGGCGGCTCTGACAGCAATGGTTCCTCCACTGAGGACACCCGTTGTCGTGATGATGGCGGCACCTCCTGCGCCAGCCAAGAAGGTACCAGTACCTCCTATACCGATGGTGCCAAATCCCAGGGCGAGACCTGTGCCGATGACGGGCGCAAGAATTCCAGCAGACAGGCCAATGACCAGACTACCGCCAACAGTTGCGAGACCCATCAGAGCAATTCGCTTATTGCGTGCACGCTTCCTCCGTGCCTCGATATGTTCATCTTCGTTCCAATTCTCTTTGGCTGCTTCTTCTTGCATCTCCAGAGCATCAGTGACTCGCTTTTCGAACCGGCATATCTCCAGCCAGTCAACGCTGAGGTATTTTCCTACTTGTTCCAGTAGTGTTCTTGAGCGAGCGTCATAAACCGAATCTGCAATGAGAACAAGGAAGAGATCACACAGCACGGTCCAACGAAGATCAATGTCAATGTTCTTAGTATCAGGCAACTGTGAAGGAGTTCGCACTGCTGGTAAATCTTCTCCCTCGTGCTCTTGGTATGGGGGCGGTGGAGGGGTTGCAATTGGATCCGGCGAATCGAGTGATAGTGCTGACTTGTTTTTCTCACGCAGAGAATCCAGTCGCGGAGAGGTTATGGAAGGCGATCTTGACCCTAGGTGCTCGACGCTCTTCTCCTTGTCGTTGATGGACTCAGGGCGTGGAGAGGACATCGATGGTGTGCCAGGAGAGAGTACGGACTCGGCTTCTTCCTCCCTTGCGGGATTCTTCACACGAGCGTTCTGCATAAGGGCAGGGGTAAGGTCGTCTGGTATGACACCGTGTTGTGAAAGCTGTTCGATCATGATCTGTTCCGAAGCATCGATGTCCATGTGAGAATAAAGTCGAACCATCATTTTTTGAGACCACATCATGGATGTCTCCTGGGATAGATCCAGCACCTTCTTCGCGCTCTTTGTGCGTTCGAGGTCGGTTATTTTCTTCTGCATTTCTACCATTGCAAGCCGCACTAAGCCGACATATGCAACACGCTGCCCTTCGGTAAGAAGCTCTTTGGTGGTCTGCATCTGAGATAACGGATCCCTCGCTGCCTCGTCATCGTCTTCATACAATGTGTTGTTTTTCTCTTTGAAAAGATAGGCCGTGTTGTCGTCCATACTGGTCTGGGATTCGACATCATCGTCCAGAGTGACACGAGTATATCCCTTTGCAGCGCCTCCCAGATTGCCATAGCCACTCATATCCTCCAATTCCTCTGCGTTCTCTCGTGCAATGAGCTTATTATCGTCATCGTACATATCATAGTGTGCGTATGCAGGCATGGTCTGCCAACCGCCGTCATCGTCTTCTTTTCCGGCTTCGTTCTCTTGTTTTGCGGGAACAAGCGGTTGGTGGGAAAAACCCGAGACACTATTCTCATTTCTTGAATGGGACTTGGAACCCTGAGCCGCGTCTTGCGATTGTACTGAAGCTTGCCCTTGGTGTCCAATTCCTGGGCTCTCCTCGGCTTCATTTTCTATTTTCTCCTTCTCTTGTGCTGTGTCCGGTGTATTCTGTTCACCAACGACTTTCTCCTCGGAGCCGGCAGCCTTCTCTTTCTCCTTCAAGTCAGCTACTTTCCCTTTCTCCTCAGAGCCAGCTACCTTCTCTTTCTCCTCCAAGCTTGCAACTTTCTGGTGAACCTCCGAGTCAGCAAGCTTCTCCTGAACCTCCGCACCAACGACCTTCTCCTTTCCCTTTTCCGGCAATTTTTCTGCAATTTCTGCCTCCACCTTCTTTTCCAGAATCTCAACCTTCTCCTTGACCGACCCCTTAGAAGAAGAAGCTACCGCATCCTGGAATTGTTCCTCCTCATCCGAATCGCTCTCTACCGGCGCCCTCGGGCGGGCTTTGCGAATAGGGAGTCCGAAATCGTCATACTCGACCTCCTGCTTGACTTCCTTGGGCGGCTGGCTACTCGTCGTGGGCGCTGTGGTATCTTTCGATTCTGCGATAGGGGGTTCGCCGGATACGGGCTCGTTGGGCATGGTGGAGCTCTCCTATGCGCATGGAGGGGGGAGCGAACGGACTACAAGGTGGTGTAGCCAGGCGGTGTGGGAGGTGCGCGGAGACAAGAAGAGCGCAGCGTGTTTCGAAACTTTTCTTGGGGCCAGAATGTCCTCTTCTTCTTATGTACATGGGGTTGTTTTCGTTCGTCACAGCATCCTTCGCAAAATCCGCAGGCGGGCAAGACAAAGGCGGTGCTGGGGGACTTGAGGAGGGAGGATTCCGCCCGCCAGTTGCTTTAGTCCGAGTACGTACGACCATACGAGTAGCATTGATCTCCGCAACCGACCCACGAAATGGTGCAGGCGGTCATCTGGCGGCCCGTGCACATATTTTTTCCAAACCGTCCCGCTGATGGCTGATGGCAGAAGTAATCCAACCTCCATTGATTGCGTTGTAATGCCAATTTCGTTTCTTTAGAGAACGACAACTGCAGAAATTAATTCTCGGGTCTTTGAGCCATTGTTCCTTCGACCTATCAATCGTATCGGGCCCCCGAACTGAGCGTACCTCGCATCTTGTCTGCATCGCAACCTCCAAAAACTTTGACACAGCGCCGGCACCATGAAGGGCAAGAGACTTAAGAAGTACCGCAAGGAGATGCGCCAGTATCAACTCAACTTCGGATTCCGCGAACCTTACCAGGCTCTCTGTGATTCGGAGGTCCTGGTAGACGCAGAGCGCATGCGCCTCGACTTTGCCGGCAGACTGAAAGGCGTACTGGGTGGAGAGGTGAAGATAATGGGTAGGTCCTCACAAACAGCCATGAATTTGTTGGCCTGAACTGACTCAAAGCTTCAGTCTCGCAGTGTTCCATGCGCCATCTCTACAATGCTAAGCAGAAGAACGAGGCATTGATCGCACACGCAAAGAACTTCGAGCGACGACGCTGCGGACATCACGAACTGGAAGAGCCATTGGACACACATGATTGCATTACTGAGTGTGTTGGTCCCTCGAACAAACATCGCTATGTCGTCGTCACGCAAGACCCGAAAACACGAGCCGCCATGCGACAAGTCCCTGGTGTTCCCATTGTATACATCGCGAAGAGCGTCATGATATTAGAACCGATGGCCGAAGCTACAGAAGATGCTCGAGAGCGGGAGGAGAAGGCTAAATTCAGGGCAGGTCTAAAGGGCCGCGGAAATGCGGATGCTGGACAGAAGAGAAAGCGAGATGATGATGAGGAGAGTGCTGGGCAACAGGACGAGTCTGCTGAGCGACAAAGTGGATCTTCTAGCCAACGCCAAAAGAAAAAGCGGGCGCGAGGCCCTAAACAACCGAACCCGTTGAGCATGAAGAAATCTGCGAAAAAGCAGCCTTCTCAGGCTGAACGTAAGACCACCACGAAGCCTAGTTCTGCCGATGGTCAAACGGAAGACTCGAAAGCCGACGGATCGGGTTCAAGGGGCGACGAGGGCGGAAAGCGCAAGAGGAAGAGGAAGCCCAAAACGCAGGGTCAAGGACAGGAAGATGGTGCCACTCCCGTCGAGGTGGATGCGAGTACATCATGAGAAATTTTCGATACCCTAGGGCAAGCCTTTTGGCTCTTATTCGTTCAGAATCAGCTTGCCCGTCGCATGCATGTAGAGAACTGTGAAAAAGTGTATGGCACGATACTCACACAAGGGCGCTGAGTTTTATAGCTAATGAAAAGCATGGAATCGGGTTTGCAGCTGTCCGGCTGCACTCAAACTTTCTTGCCCTGAGCAAGAAGATCCGATACCTTCGGTGGGAGAATCATGGTACTGCGATCATTCCTCTTTACGAATTCGACTATCGATTCCGCAATCTTCTCTGGTTGGTCTTCTTGGAGAAAGTGACCTGCTGTAGGGAAGACCTGAAGTTGGAATTTGCCTGTAACATATTAAAACATGGAATCCGGAAAAAGTAGTAAAGGGACGTTAGATATAGCGATATTTACCTTGCATTTGACCAATCATCAACTCCTTGTCCAATCGATCTGTGCCTGCGAGGAGGAGTAGCTTTGCACCCTTTCCACCGAGGAACTTAGATGACATGCCCGTGAACCAATTCTCCCAGTAGGCTTCAGTGGTACTCAAATCCGTCCTCCACGCCCAGCGACCCTCTGGCGTTTGTATGAGCAGACTGGGGACGCTAACCCTCGCAGACTGAGGATTCCGCAGCGTCCTCGAACGAATATGCCACTCGACAGCAGCTTCCAATGAAGGAAATGTTGTTGGTCTGGTAGCGAGGTACGCTTGCATATGCTTCAGAGCATCCATGGCCGAACCCTCCACTACATCCAACACTGCATAGCCGAGAAGCTTGCTACTAAGTTGGTTCTTGTTCGCAGCATGAGTCACTACAGCACCGCCTAGGCTGTGTCCTACGAGGACTATTCTAGGTAGTTCGGTCCAGCCAACCTTTGCTTGGGTGAGAGCCAGCATGTCGAAAAGGTCATTAGTCAAGGTGTCAATCGATAGATCGTTATCAATGGAACCGTCCTCTGCCCACACTACGCTCCCGTGATCTCTGGCCTCTACAGCGAGGATACCTGCATCAGGGAGACCTTTTCGAACCTCCTTTGCAAACAGCGCAAGGCTCATGGCGGAGCTACCAGCTCCATGGTGCAGTACGAGTAGCGGGGACTTGGCAGAGCTCGGGGGTGTCAGGTACACATGGAATTTGGCATGGCTCTGGGCTGCTGTGTCGGAAGTTTTGGCTACGGCCGGACGCTCGAGGTAAAATTCCTGAGCGAAGTAGTCGGACCAGTGAATTGCAGGAGCGGGTCGTTGCGAAGATGTAGGGATAACGGTGCCAGTGCTGGACATTGATGATGCTGACGAGGAATCGTCTTCATATTCTGGTTCTTCGCGGAGGGGAGCTTCGGGGGGCAGTGAAGCAAGTTTGTTCTTTGCAAAGCTTTTGGCGAAATCGGACATGATGGTGCAGGGTCAGGTAGAGCAGAGTAGGGAGGTGAAGTTTAATGGCTTTCGAAAGGACAATTAAATACGTTCCAGTAAGTGGTGTTTCTACCATGTAACAATGCTATGGTATCTAATCGGAGCTGGTGGGGGGAGGGGAACAAGGGAGTTGATTGGTCAGTTCAGTAGACATCCATTTGGTCCTCACCTCATGAGGTTGAATACCTTGTAGATCGATCTCAGTGAATACGAATGCATCAATGTCACCATGAAATTTTGGTGCTAGGACTACTTTTCCTAGGTACCTATTCATCCCATCACTAGGTCGATAACATACAAGTACAGCAGCGCTACGCGTCGTTAGGCATATGCATAAATGAATTATGATCGTGACCAGGATAGCAGAGCTTAAAGGACATAGACGACGCCGCCATGACGTCTAGACGATCTGTTTAGCGCCATTTCTATCAAATAGCTTCTGATCCCCTCCCCTCTACATCTTGACTTCTGTAAACCTGCTCTCTTCGTCTCTTTGATTTCAAACAATTTTTCTCTATCTCTTTTCTCTCTTAATTTCAAGCTTCAAGCCTACGTTGGTCGTCGTATTTTTTGTTCTACTCATGAATATCTCTATAACCTCTATCTAGACTGTTGTCCAAGGAATATTTACATACATAATACTTCAATACCAAATTAAAGGCCAAACTACAGAGTCACGAAGCTACTCAAAGCTGCGTGCTTCAGAGACAATCGAGCGCCATGTGGGGTCCACGGAAAGACCATCAACAGGATGGTGAAAACGAACGAGCGTCTCAGACCGATCGCGCCTCATCGAGAAGAAGTCATGATACTCATGAGCGACAGGAACCGAATGAGAGGACGAGGTTGCTTGAAAACCGGCCTCGACCTCCGAACTCTGATGGCTACCTAGACCCAGACGACCCAGCTGTAAGATTTCCAATTCACTGAGAGGGCCCATCATTCATCAGTGTTCTCGTCGACATGCAACAGATCTCCAGTGTACATTGATCGACTAACGTCTCCAAGGTATCACCGTACAATCTCTGGTCCGTCCGATTCCTTCGCTACTTCACAGTCCTCTTTCTAGTCGTCTCCTTCCTGTGGTGGGTGCTACTGCTGGTATCCCTCTTCGTATCTCCACCAGGAATGCACTCCCGCGGGTCCGGCTTCTTCGACTTCGCATTCACCTGTCTCACGATCGGAAACCTGCTGGTGGCAGTCATCTTCTTCGTCTCCCCCGCCAAAGCTCTACGAATCACGACATCCATCATCGCCGTCCTCCTCCTCATCGACATGATCATCATCCTCAGCGTGCCTCGACTCCGCCTCGAGGAAGGGTGGGTCGGCATCGCGTCAGTCGTCTGGGCCGTCGTCATCGCCTTCTGGTGCATCATCACCGACCGCGTCGTAGCCTGGGGCAAGCGGGAAGAAGAACAGCGGCTCACCGGCCGCCCAGAAACCCGCCGCACGCTCAAAGAATGGCTCGCCGTCCTCGTCGCCACGATCCTAACCGCCATATTCATCATCCTCGTCCTCCTCATGACCGCCACCCTCACGATGCGGGCCCAAGACGCCTCGCTCAAGATGTACGGCGAGCGGATCCTCGTCGACGGCGACAAATACTCCGTCCACCTCGCGTGCGTCGGTAACTCCACCGCCACCGACACCTTCGGCAACAAAGCCCCCACGATCCTCCTCGAGGCCGGCGAGACCCCCGCGGAATACGACTTCGAGCACTGGGCCTACGCCGCGTACCAGAACGGAACCATCTCGCGATACTGCTACTGGGACCGCCCTGGCTACGCCTGGTCCGACAACGCACCCTCCCCGCACTCCGCCGGCATGTCCGCAGACGCCCTTTCCGAAGCGCTCGCCAAGTCAGGCGAAGAGGGCCCGTGGATCCTCGTGGGCGCGGGCACCGGCAGCATCGTGAGCCGCATCTTCAGCAGTCGGCACCTGAAGCAGGTGGTCGGCATCATGCTGGTCGACGGGTGGCACGAGGATCTCCTCCACCGGATCGGGGAGCCGGGGCGCGGGTTCCTGCTCTGGGCCTGGGGCATCATCTCGCCGTTGGGGATCGAGCGGCTGGGCGGCGCGCTGTTCAAGGGCCGCACGAGCGCGGACCGCGTCTACGGGAAGTATGCGTACCAGGGTGGCAAGTTCATCAAGGCGCAGCTGCAGGAGAATCTCGTCGCGGACTCGCTGTCGAAGAACGAGGTCGTGTCCGCGAGGAACATACAGTCTGTGGATACGCCGCTCGCGATCGTCAGCTCGGGGATCAGGTGTCGCACTGATGGGGAGTGGGAGCGCAAGCAGAAGGATCTGTCGACGTTGACGGATAACCTTGTCGGCTGGGACGTCGTTAACAAGGCGCCGCATCAGGTGTGGCGGACGCTGGAGGGACGGACGGCGATGGAGAAGCGGCTGGGGGATTTGGTCAAGGCGGCGAGGAAGGTCAAGACGCCGCTTGATGTTGAGTGATTGTCGAGGGGATTTCGCGAAGTGATTGATCGATTGATTGATTGATTGATTGATGATTTTGATACCTGTTTTTCCCTTTTTGTCTTCTCATTTCTCTTTACCTATTCAGATCTACCAGCACATTCAAAACTTCTTCAGCAAGGCGCGCGTTACGGATAGGGAAGGGAAATCGTATCAACAGCAACAGACAAAGCAAGGCGTTGGTGGTAGGAATTCATTCCTAATTCTCCACACATACATACACAATATACGGCTTTTTGATACCCATTGTGAACTACCATAGTGAAAGCTCCCATTGAGGAAAAGGGGATAGTCGTGGCGTAAAGATCTCCCCCTCATCTTTCTCATGCCGGGAAAAGAAAACATATTGTCGAAGAATATCTCGTTGTGTATGGGGTCTTTAGGAAAACGAAACGAAACCATGGGAAGGCGAAGCTTAGGAGACGGGTAGATGGTGACAATGCGGACGTACGTATTACAGTTTCACATACGTAGGCCGTATGGGAAGTGATGGTTTTGAACTGGAAGGTCGGCAGACGTTGGTAACAGTGACGATGTTGATATACTCTTACAGTATGACATGACATGACATACATATACACACACATATATATACAAAACCCCCAATATGCAAATCGTCCTTCCTTCTTCCTCTCCATCCCTCCACAGCCCTCCCTCCACCCCCCCATACACACAAAGCGAGCCAAACCACAATCCTATCCCATGCTCTTCAAGAAATTCGCCTCCTTGATCCCTGCCCTCCGCTTATCCCTCATCGCCTTGGTGAGCTCCCCCCTCGCCTCCGCCGCCTCCACGTTGCCCGCCGTGCTGCCCTGCGCGTCGCCCGCGGGCAGGTCGATCGTCTGCTCGTAGATGGGGATCTTGGGGGCCAGCAGGTCCGGGTTCGCGAGTTGCTCCTTGCGGAGCCTTTTCGCCGCGAGTCGGCGCTGCTTTTTGGATTTCGCTGCGAGAGAAAGATAGACGTTAGTTTGGATTTTTCGTTCAATTGAATTGAGGGGGATGTTCAATGGGTGGGTAGGTGGAGGGGGGAGAAGAGGGAGAAGAGGGGACATACAAAACAGATCTCCCGCATTAACGCCGTCGCCCTTCCCGTCCTTCTTCTTCAAGATGTCCCACAGCCAGCTCGGGTACTCGGAGTCCTCGAGGGCGATCGGGTCGGACTTGTTCTTGAGGAAGTTGAGGCCCTTTAGGGGGGTCCCCGCGGGGATGCTGGACTTGACGAGCGGTTGTTGTTTCGACGCCGGCGCTGGGGGGTGGTCTTTCTTGGTGGTGGTGTCGGCGGAGAAGGGTTGCGCGGCGGAGGTCGATGTCGCGGCTGGTGGTGTGTGAGGAGAGGTCGGAGAGCCTTGTCGGGGTGCGGATTGCGTGGCTGCGTTGAGAGAGATGGGGGTTGCGTTGTTGCGGGTTGAGGTGGTGGTGAGAAAGCGTGGTGAGGTGGTGGAGGGTTTGAAGTGGCTGCGTGTCGACGCCCGGAGGAGGCAATTGCGACAGATCATTTTGTATGTGCGTGTCCTGGAGGTCCTGGAGATGTTGGGTGCGAGATCAATTGGTTGTTGTTGTCGTTGCTGTCGGAAGTGCTACTGTTACGCTCTGCTGCTGCTGCGAATCTCGAAAATGTTGTCGGCGAAAATTTCCACCGAAAACTGACCATCATGTTCTGGGGGAGCTCGACATCACGCACGAGCCATGGGCTGCTGTCGTCCATCCATCCGCCCACCATTCATACTGGACCCCGGTTCACATACACATACACACACGTTCGTCATAAGACTATAAATTAATATATTCCACCTCACACTCCCTTGATTTCCCTTGTCACCTCTGCGCCTGATAATATCACAAATCATGCTTGACTCAAACTCCACTCACCTCCCCTCAGCCTCCCCAAAACCACAAGTATCTACCTACATCTCCTCCATACCTTAATACTCAATGTTCCCACCTTCCCCCAAATACATCCTAGGTTCCAGTACTCCGTACATAACACAGTAACCTTCTATCGCACTAAACAACAAATCCCCAGCCCGAGTCATCTACCGACCAGTGACGCAAAAAAGAAAACCAATAGTTTCTCCCCTTGGCGGGCCGTGTGACACGGTGACAAGACGGACGATGATGGTTCGGTGCGATGCGATGGCGACGTGTGACGTTGCTGTTGCTCTTGTGTAACCTTGCACACGCGGGCGGTGGTGTCGGTCTGGCCGGGGAGGGTTGAAGTGTGAGTGCGAGTATGTGATTGTTGATGGGTTTGGTTACTTGCTTTCGTGCGTGTGTGTTCGATGGTGGTATGTTGAGTGTGTGAGGGGAGTTTGGGTGATGGGAGTTTGGGTGATGGGAGTTTGGGTGATGGGAGTGTGGTTTAGTAGTATAGAGAGGCGGAGAGGATGGGAGGGTTGGAGGGGACAGGGCTATGGGGATGATGCGATATCGCGCGGTCTCGATAGACAGTAAACTGCAGTCTTTAATGTTGAAGTCGATTAGAAGACATCATCTACACATATCTTGATCTGTTCAACCATTCACTTGATGCAAGGCTTCATTGTACTCGGAAGAAAGATCGATTTCATGCCTATTCCTCCCTCCTATGAAGCTCATCCCCATGCCATGAATGATCAAAAAATCATCAAACCTCCAGAATATGTTTCTTCAGTTCATGTACATACAAAGACAAAAAATCGTAAAATGATCGAACGGGTGTCTGGCGCTTCCTTTCTAGTGGGGAGATCGCCGTGACCCAGAAGGGATCTTTCTCTCCTTCGCTGGATGGATGCGCTGCCGATTTTCCCCTTTCCTCCTGTGTAACACCGAGGAACGCCAACAATCCAGCGGAAAAATGGAATCCGTATAAATGTATATAAAGGTGACAAGATTAAGTGGTTTGTAAACGAACGTAGAGAAAGGTAAAAGGTGTAGTAGTATATACAAAAAATTAGAACGACCGACTAGGGTACTTGGGAGCGCAATGTAAAAGTGAATGCAAGAGTGTAGTGGAGTGTGTAGACGAAACAACCAGCGCCGACGACATGCTGGGCGAGCCTCATATCCAGGCCAAGGGCACGACTGGAGCATAGGCGGTTCCGAACCTGTTGTTGAACAGCGGTCGGATCTCTGCGAGGTAGTCTGCAGCACAGTAGACGGCGAGATTCCTCTCACGGAGAACGGAAACGTCTGCCTCGTGCTCTGCGTCCCGGACGACGCCTCCAAACTCCTCAGCGACCTCGTTCAATTGCTCCAGCTCTTTTCCGAAGGGGTGCGGGTGCGATTCTTCCACGATGGGGGATCCGAACATCTCGAGCGATCCTCGTTGCTCGCGGGATGAGCGACTCGAGTGCTGGCTGGATCGAGGGATGCTTTGGAGAGACCGCTTCTGGGCGAGGCGCTCGTGGGCTCGCTTGCTATGTGATAGCGCCCTCTCGGGAATCGCGGGCACTGCAACCGACTCTTCCGCTTCACGAAGCTGCTGCAGGTTACCCGAGGACGCCGACCGTCGAGGAGCCTTGGACGAAGCGAAATAACCAGAGAGGTGGTTTGGTTTGGGTGAAGTCGGGGACATATCCACGGAGGAAGCGTCGGTCAAAGTGTCCCGCGAGGCATGTGAAGAAGAGCGCGAGCGGCCGCTAGCGGCGCTGTGGTCTGAGTCCTCGGCGGAATGAGTCGAAGAGGTCGAGGAAGAGGACGCATGCCTCAGAGTTGAAATGTCGGGAGCATTGTAGGAAAGCATGTTGGTTGTCGAGAGCAAAGCCACGGGCGAGGAGATTTTGGCTCGGTCGATTGGGGTGCCTGGTGTCTTGACGGACTGAGAACGGGTTGGAGTCGGGGCCTGTGTGGTGGGAGATGGCGAAGATGAAGATGCATCGACGGAACGCTTGATGCGCTTGGTGACGGCGCGGGCAAGAGACATTTTTGTTAGATATTAAATCGAGAACAGATTTCAATTTCTGTAAAAAGGCCAACTATACGGGTGGAGGGCCGGCAATCCTCTTGTGGTGGAAGTAAGGCTCCGGGATTGTAGGAATGCGGGGGGATGGGTCGCGGATAAATTGAGGATGAGGAGGGCAGGTGGGCGGGCGAGTGTGCGAGTGTGCGAGTGGTCAGGCAGAGAAACGAGGTGGGACCTGGAACCTTGAACCTATTACACCAACCAGAACGTGATGGACAGGGCACGTAGGAGGTGCGCGTGTCGCAAAGAGAGAGAGAACGTAAGGTGGGAAAGAAAGGTGATGAGTTACGAGGTAATGATAAGAGTTGAAGTGGCCTGGTAACGTTGCTTTCCGGGATGTCGCTTAGGTAGGTAAGTCTGCCGTCGGTGTACAACTCGGCTTTCGAAAAGATGGAGGCTCAGAGTCGGGCGGTTGCGCAAGCGCTGGCGTTGGGCGGTTGTCTATCGTGGTACGGAACTTTACCTGCCTGTGGGAAGGGAAGGGAAGGGAAGGGCGAAGTGGTGTGTACGGAGTAGTAGATGCAGGATGCTCACTCGGACAAGGCCAAAGGATCCGGTGGTCGCCGTAGGTTGGTGGATGAGATCTGTTGTCGTTTGTTGGATTTTCTTTCCTTTGCTACAATTGATTCCTTTGGTTGGTTGGTCGAACTCTTGTGCGCAAGTTTGCTTGCTAAGTATTGTCGGGTTTTTGACGTTCTAGTTTTTTTTTTTTACTTTATTTGTTCGATGTGGGCTGGCTCGCAGCGTGTGAAGAAGGATTGTGTGATTGTTTCGTGTTTCTTTCTTTTTCTCTTTTGTTTGTTTTGTTTGTGGATAAAGGAAGGTTTTGTTGGTATGAGTTGGTGTGTGTGTGTGTGTGTGTGTGTGAGTGTGTGTGTGAGTGGGAAAAGTAGAATCAGCCTATCAAAGTGCAAGGAGTGTGAGGGAGACCAGCCGTCGTAAGGAGCGGACAACCGGGTCGCAAAAGGGAACTGTCGTGAAGCCAAAAGTCCACGCAGGGCAAAAGAAAAGGAAGGGAGAGTGAGATGTTGGAGATCAACAGTGAAGAGCAAGAAGCAAGAAAGGGAAGAAAAAAGGGAACGGGCGATGATGAGTACAAAAACCCTTTGCAAGTTTCCCCCTTGGGTCTTTGGTTGGGGCGCCGGTTGATGGGTTTGCTGGATCGGTGGGCTCGTTAACGCTCGACGGGCTGGGGGCGGGAGACTGGATCAGGCACTGCACTGCACACACACACACAATACCAATGGAGAGTCTAATACAGTAACTGACTAGGTTGAGAGATTGCCAGGACGAACCAGGGTTGAACCTTCTGACTAGCATCACAGGAAGGTCTAGGATATCTCGTACAAAAAGGTACGAGTAACTAGGGGGGGATCTGGTCACGGCTAGTTATGGCTAGTTATGGCAGGTCTGGCAACAAATCTCAAGGGAAGAATCCACCAAAAAAGGTACCGGCAGTGGCCAAACCTGGGACATGGAGCCAATCAGAGGCCATGGTCTTCCACAGCTGGTCCATACTTGCGGCGTAGTCCCCATCATCCATCTATCCAACACTGACCCATCCACCCTCATTCGACCACTCAGCACTCATGAATCTACGACTCAACAGAGTCAACACATCCCAGAGTCAAAAACATTCACGAATCACGGCTCAAGGCCCTCACCCGCCGTTCTGGCCCAGCGCAAGTCGTCGTTGTCGTCGTGTGCTGAACTTTGAAGGCCAACACGCGGCGTGGTGAGTGAGCGTGGTGCAAACGTGGTTCGCCTTTGCTGGGGCCACCCAACCCATTCATCCCCATCACCCCCCCATCTCCCATCCTTTCATCAACTCCATCAACCTCCATCCACCTCCACCCTCGGCCCCTTGCCCACTTCTTTCCCTTCGCCTCCACGCCTCCGTTCCGCGCCGTCCTGCTCGTCGTTTCAACATTTTATTATCGCTCCATATCCTTCTGCTCGCCTTCCTCAGAGTGGCGTCATCTCCATCTGCCCTGCCTTCATCTCTACTCTATTCCCAAACATGCAAATCAAAAACAAATCAATAAAAAGGAACAATTATCCATCAAAGTGATGCAGGAACGAATTGATTAATTGATGCAGTGACGGTAACACAAGGCAATGAACTGGGAAAAGAATCAATTGAAACAAGAAACACCAACACTCATGCGCAGCCCATGACTACGACTACCTACTGTGTACAAGCCTACCAGTGCCTAATTCTCCGCCACGGCTGCAACTGCGATTCGCAGAGTCCCCAGGCAAAAGGAAACATGCACATAAGAATAGGCCCCGACCCGATAACCGCTCACACCAAAACACGACACCACGTCACCAAAGACGAATGAGTGCATGTGAATGATGCGTACAGTCAGCATCACAGGTTTGCGCTGCATCGACAACACGCCCGACTCACAATAGTCAAATGCGACGACTCAGTGAATCTATTCCAGTCCACAAGCCATAATCATGATCACGTTCTCCAGCTCCCAGCGCCAAATCCAGGCCCCTGAGTCGACGCATCTCCCATAATTTTATCCCGTACCTTGCAGCATGCATAAACCACCCCTGCCCTGCCCTGCCCTGCCCTGTCCTGTCTCGTTTTGTACCCATTCCCATTCGAAGCTCTGCACCCTGACTCTCTCCCTCCCGCGGCCCGCCCATTTTCGGTTAGTATCCCATGGCTATCAAACCGCTCCGCCTTGCATCAATCTGTTTCGAAACCAACCTAAAAATTGATCACGTCTCTCTCGCATCAGGAAATGGCAACTCTTCGCGCGTAGGTAACTTGTAGGCGACCTTATCGACTCACCAGCCGTCTGTGTCGTTCATTCGCGAGAGCGAAGAAACAAACTAGGCGAGGGAAACATGCACACGCATGCGCCGTACGCACCGTACCGTACCGTCTTACCATCTTCCCAACGCGAATAACATCTCCCTCCCAGCAAACGTTCTCGTACCGTGTAGGCACCGTAGAGCGCGAAACCAACTGACCCTAGCCTGGTGGCCGATCATCCGTATCCCCATGCACGGCAGTACTTGTACTTTTTTCATTCCTCAATACGAGAGTGTGATATAAAAGCTACTTTGAACCGCATGGCACACAGGCTACAGCACAGCCACCAACGCTGTCGCTTTTGCTTTTTGTTTGCTTTTGGGTTTCTGGGTTCGTGTCTTGTGACGGCGTAGGTGGGTGGAGAACGAGGGGAGAGGGGGGGGGGGGGTTGTGCTTTGATGTTTCTTGTTCGGGAAGATGATAACGACGACGACGACGATGTGGGAGTTGGGTGGCTATTCTCTCCAGTGCTTTGATATTTATAGAGAAATAGACTGTGAGTAGGTTAGAGTATATGGGTAGGTAGTTGAGCATGCTCATGAAACAGTGATGAGATGATACTATGAATATCGATGTTCTTAGTGACTAGAATATCTCTACCCCCGACCTGATGTGGTCTTGATATTGAGTGTTTATACCCCGTACAGATACACGACTATTACTCACACCAGATCATTCACTCACATGTACTATGTGTCTACATACAGTGTTTGTATCAGTAATTTTACCTTCGGCAGCTTCGCTGTGCCGTGTGGCATGCTGTAAATGCACGTATTATTCTATCATATGATATAAATCATGAACATACAAATAGACAAGTATCTAAGTAAGTAAATAAAAACTGCAGCATCTACCAGAAAACTCATCCATCTTGCCCACCATCCACACATATCAAACACCAAACCCACGTCATCGAATCCTTTCTTCCGTTTCGCGAAGGATCATCGACATCCGGAGTTTTCGGAGTGCTCATCCTCCCGAAACTGGCAGCGGACGATCTGTTTTGTTTTGTTCCCCGCTGTGCAATTTCTCCGATTTGCTAGCTGGTTTCAATTGCGAAGAGACATGGAAAACGTCCGATGGTTGTGACGTATATTTGTTGTGTTGGAGTGTGAGAGAGGAGGTGGGTTTGGTTTATGGAGGTTTGTGTGGGTATCTTTGGATTCTTTTTTGTGTCTCATGTGTTATCTTCTATTCAAAACGAAAAACACCAACGACCCAAAAGACTCGGGGGTTGCGTTTTCTTTTTGTTCGTCATTTGATCCCTCCTTCGCCTTTCTTCAAATTCAATTTTCGTGCCTTTCCGTGTCCATTACTCCTCCATAGACTCCCACCCATCGTGATCCCTCGCCGCCTCCTCCTCATCCTCCTCCCCCTCCTCAGAATCCGAGTCCGTATCCTCCTCCTCGAGCCCGACGAGCCTCTCCTTCGCACCCTCCTTCATCTTCGGCACCTTACTCGCGAACGCCGCGCGCACCGCCGCATTCGTACTCGTATCCCAAATCTGCACTGCGCCCTTGCTGCCCGCGACCGCAAGCCTGAACCCGACCTCCTTGTCCGGCGCGAACGTCGTCGAGAACACCTTCCCCACGCCCAGGTCCCGCGACACCACCATGCTGGGCCCGCTCGCCTGCACGTTCCACAGCTTCGTCTGCTTGTCGGTCGAGCCGGTCGCGATGAAGCCTGGGATCACGGGGTTGATGTCGAAGGACGAGATGGACTCGTCGTGGGCTTGCAGGATCCAGACGGGTTTGGTTGAAGAGGGGGTCGAGGGCGCGTTGCGCGCGTCGTGGTAGTGGATTATGCCGTTTTCGGTTGAGACCTGTGTTTTATCTGTTAGTATGTTGCATGTAGAGATTGGGGAACAGAGGACGTACGTAGAAGTAGTTTGAGTCGTGGGGATCCCATCGGATGGCTTCGATGTCGCTCTCGACGCCCCAGCGAGGTGCCTTCGCATCGGGAGCTCGCATGTCGGCGGCGACGACCGTCCTGTCGTAGCTGCCGCTGAGGAGGACGGTCGACTCGACTGGGTTCCAGGCAACGGAAGAGACCTTGTCTGTGTGGTATGCGTAGGATTTGGCGCACTTGGTGGTGTTGAGGTCCCAGAGCTTGATGGTCTGGTCTGCGGATGCGGAGGCGAGGAGGTTTCGGTGGTGGCGGTTGGAGGCGAGGGAGAGCACGGCGTCGACGTGGAAGTTGTCGTTGACCTTCTTCGACTTCTTCTTCTTCTTTTTCTTCTTCTCGGCGTCCTCGGCGTCCTCGGCGCCCTGACCCAGCACCGCGTCCGGATACATGCTGTCCACGACGTCCAGGTTCCAGATCTCAATGTCTGGGTCCATTGTGCCGACGGCCACGAAGTTGCCTCTCGCATCGCTGTCCCCGCTCGTCTTTCCGACGGGTACGTCTAGCCACTCCACGGCGAGGGGAATGGCTGGAAGCATGATGTCGTGATGAACGTAGAGATTGTCCGCCTCGTCTTCGTAGACGTATACCTCCAAGTGTGCCACTTCGTCTTCTATCCGTCCGGCTAGCACCAGGTTGTCCGTTGCCAGAATCTGAAGCTCCTCGCGCTCTTCCTCGTCCTCCTCTTCCTGAGCATCCGGCCCATCCATGGCGATGTAACCGTCGTCGTCTTCGTCGTTGCCGTCGTGGTAGATCAGGTTCTTGACGTTTCCGAACATGGCCATGGTGTCACCGCCCTCATCGTCATCGTCGTAGTGCTCCAAATCGTACTCTTTCAGGTCGTCATCGATTTCTCTGAAGTGATATTAGCTGACTGTCTCGAGGGACTCGAGCCCGTCTGGCGCATTGAATCGTACTCTGTGTCTTTCTCTTTAGATGAACCACCGGAAACACCACTCGATTTGCCCTTCGACTTCTTGTCTTCCTTTGCCTCTTCGAGCTCCTCCTTTGCGTCGTCGAGCTGCAGCTTTGCCAACTGCGCGATGCGCTCATATTCTCCCTCGTCGAATACATATTTCGTCGGGAAAGGTGCCGCAAAACCCCGCGGCACCCATGTAGTCGCCGTGATCATAGACATATTCGCAATTTGAAATTGGCTTATTGTCTCTGTCTAATCGACCGTGGAGGAGGAGAGAAAAAAAGCCCACACTACGTATGCGAACAAGGTCAAGAATTATTTTTTGGAGGCGGGTGGGGCAATTCCATGCCCTTTCCGCTCCATAGCGGCGGGCCCGAGCGTCACCTCAGATTTCCTCCGGACTATGAGTAGTTTATCCTGCTAGTCTCGCGCATCAACATTCGCAATTGAGCGGTCCAGCTGGACAGTAGAGAATCCCGCGTGAAGGATATCGCAACCATGGAGAGATATAACAGCCCCAAGCGGAGGAAGATCGACTCCGAACAGTTTTCCGTCGCTCCGCGCCCAAAGTCCCACAACAAGCTCCAGGCGTCGTCGGCGGCGTCGTCGCGAAGCGCATCCGCGAGACCCCATCAGCGCGCCTTCGAAGGGCCGGAGCCCATGGTCGATGACCTCGACGCGACCGCACTCGACCGCGATTGGTATGGCGGAGAAGAAAATGGACATACCTTCGGCGACGAATCACACAACCCTTTCGGCGGCGCCGATGACACTTGGGTCAACCAGCAACGGGAGGCTGCACTGGCGGAGAAGAAGAAGAATAGCCGGGCGAGCGCGAGGCAGGTCCAGAGGCAGAAGGATGCGGACGCCTGGGAGACGAATCGAATGCTGCAGTCCGGCGTGGCCCAGCGACGGACCTTCGAGAACGACTTCGACGACGATGAGGAGGGCACGCGCGTCCATATCCTGGTCCACGATTTGAAGCCGCCTTTTCTTGATGGGAAGAAGGTGTTCACGAAGCAGCTGGATCCCGTGCCGGCGGTGAGGGATCCCCAGAGCGACATGGCGGTCTTCAGTCGGAGAGGAAGCAAGGTCGTGAAGGACAAGAGGCAGCAGAAGGAGCGCCAGAAGCAGGCTCAGGAGGCGACTAACGTTGCTGGTACTGCGTTGGGTAATCTCATGGGTGTGAAAGAGGACGAAGGAGACAGCGCTGCACCTATACCCGGGGATGAGGACCACAAGGGAGGAAGTAAATTCGCCGAGCATCTCAAGTCTAGCGAAGGGCAGAGTGCCTTCAGTAGAAGCAAGTCACTTAGAGAACAACGCCAATATCTGCCAGCCTTTGCAGTACGAGAAGACCTGTTGCGAGTCATTCGAGATAACCAGGTCATCATCGTCGTTGGCCAGACTGGATCTGGAAAGACGACCCAATTGACCCAGTTCCTGTACGAGGACGGATACGCAAAACATGGGTTAATTGGTTGTACGCAGCCTAGACGTGTGGCCGCCATGAGTGTTGCTAAACGTGTCAGTGAAGAGATGGAAGTCAAGTTGGGGGGACTCGTTGGGTACGCTATCCGTTTCGAGGATTGTACGAGTAAGGAGACCTCCATCAAATACATGACGGACGGTGTCTTGCTTCGAGAATCTTTGGTAGAGCCTGATCTGGACAAGTACTCTTGCATTATCATGGATGAAGCCCATGAACGTGCTCTTAATACAGACGTGCTCATGGGTTTGATCAAGAAGGTCTTGGCTCGGAGAAGAGATCTCAAGCTCATCGTCACTTCCGCCACCATGAACGCAGACCGATTTTCAAGATTTTACGGCGGAGCACCTGAGTTTATCATTCCTGGACGTACATTTCCGGTCGATATACAGTATTCGAGGTCTCCATGCGAAGACTATGTCGACAGTGCGGTCAAGCAGGTTTTGGCAATCCACGTTTCCCAAGGTCCTGGCGATATTCTTGTCTTTATGACTGGTCAGGAAGATATCGAAATCACTTGCGAGCTCGTTGCAGAGCGGCTGAAGTTTCTTAATGACCCGCCCAAACTAAGCATCCTCCCTATCTACAGTCAGATGCCGGCTGATCTCCAGGCAAAGATTTTCGATCGAGCTGCACCAGGAGTTCGCAAGGTCATTGTCGCCACCAACATCGCAGAAACCAGTCTGACGGTGGACGGTATCATGTATGTTGTGGACTCAGGATTCTCGAAATTGAAGGTGTATAATCCGAAGATGGGTATGGACACGCTTCAGATTACACCAATCTCACAAGCCAATGCATCCCAAAGAGCTGGACGTGCAGGCCGCACGGGACCCGGAAAGTGTTTCCATCTGTATACCGAACGGGCATTTCGGGATGAATTCTACATACAAACGATACCTGAGATCCAAAGGACCAACCTCGCGAACACGGTTCTGTTGCTAAAATCTCTTGGTGTAAAGAATTTGCTTGACTTTGACTTCATGGATCCTCCGCCCCAGGACACCATCACTACATCTCTTTTCGATCTATGGGCATTGGGTGCTTTAGATCATATAGGAGATCTCACCGAATTGGGTAGAACAATGACCGCGTTTCCCATGGATCCTTCACTGGCCAAGCTCATCATCACATCGGTCGAGTACGAATGTAGCGAGGAGATGCTCACGATTGTATCCATGCTTTCGGTGCCAAGTGTGTTCTACCGGCCCAAAGAACGACAAGAAGAGTCAGACGCTGCGAGAGAGAAGTTTTTCGTCCCTGAATCGGACCATCTCACTCTACTCCACGTGTACACGCAGTGGAAAGTGAATGGATTTTCTGACGGCTGGTGCATCAGACATTTCCTCCACCCGAAAGCCCTACGCCGAGCAAAAGAGATCCGCGACCAGCTTCAAGACATTATGAAAATGCACAAAATGGCATTCACCAGCTGCGGAACCGATTGGGACATCATCAGAAAGTGCATCTGCTCCGGCTACTACCACCAGGCCGCAAAGGTCAAGGGCATCGGCGAATACATCAACCTCCGCACCAGCGTGACCGTGCAGCTTCATCCTACGAGTGCGCTCTACGGCCTCGGTTATCTCCCCGATTATGTTATCTACCACGAACTCATCTTGACCTCAAAGGAGTACATGTCCTGCGTCACCTCCGTAGATCCTCATTGGCTCGCCGATCTGGGCGCTGTCTTCTACTCGATCAAGGAGAAGGGGTACTCTGCGAGAGACAAGCGTGTCACAGAGATTGAATTCAACAAAAAAGCTGAGCTGGAGGCTAAGATGGCAGAAGCCAAAGCGAAGGAGGAGCAGAGGCTCGCAGATGAGGCTAATGGTCCTTTGGTAAAACGGTCTGTCGGCGGCGCCGGAGCAGCGAAAAAGGTTGCAGGCGACGGTGTTGTGAAAAGACCGGTGATTGGGAAAGGTCGAAGGAGATTCTAATGATCGCGGAAGGCCTGATTCACGTACATACTGGGCATGATCGAACAGACTGGATAACCTGTTCGTTCAACATAGAAGCTAGTAAATCGTGACAACTATTTCTAATCCTGAACGGCATATTTTTGTGAATGGGAAGGGTTCAAGAGTTCTCCAAATACGAAAACAACATTACAACTTATAAACCATTGAATTTACCATACGGAACACACAGTCGACAAAGTCGAAGGCGAGCGTAAATGTGTCCAGGTATAAGAGGAGTCCTGCTCGGCTACGGCTTTCCTGATCGACCGATAGAGCATGACGGGCCGCTTGCGCCGCACTACTGTATGCTTCTTGCGGAAGCACATGGGGCTAGGGATGATTCCATGGGTGCGGAATGCTCCTTCGCCTTTGGACATGTATACCGGCGTAGCTTGATGATAATTCGCATTTTATTTCTCATACTGAAAACAATCTTTTGGAAAGCCGATGGGCAGACAAAAGAGTGGTAGAGTGTTTCACGTGACACCCATTCTAGGCTTGGGCTCGTTTTACATGGCACTTCACACCTACCTCCGCAACATCGCATCTGCACGCATCCACCGCCATCTACAACTGTCGCACTTGATCCTCCAATTCTCACAATTCTAGAACGCCACTAAGCCCCAGACCTACCCTTAATCAACATTTCGGACCACGTTCGACGGAGTAACTGGTCGGCCGGCCCAAAATGCATTACCCCACGGCTTGCGCGAAACATCTAGAGTCAAAGGTGTAACATAGGAATGGCACTATGGTGGTGAACATTAAAGAGATGGATACTACATGATACCTTATCCGAACGCAACTTTGGCCTTTGCTACATACCCTTGTGCCGATATACCGCAACGTACCCCGCAAACTATTCTACATATCGAGGAGCATCGTTACAAGGAGTCATGGACAGTATGGAAAGATCATTAGCGATGGATAAGATTGAAAGAAATCTGTAGATATACATGGGATAGGCACTGAATGTTTGGCCGAAGCAAAGATCCGACGATTCGGGCCCCCAGTCTACGGTGGTCTTCATCAGAAGACCTATAATCTCTAGGCATCACGTTGGTTGACGGAGCCCCAGCGGTGCAACATATTCCAGACCGTGCCCTTAAAAACCGAGCATTTCATGCTTGTGGTCTCTCTTGCAGCTAAGGCCTATTTCACAAGCTAGGTGACGGTATTCGGTCATGACTGGGTGCCTACGCGAAACGATGCAATATCCCACGGGGCCCTTAGGTCTTTGAGCCATATGTCGGCACGATAGACTGCTCCGAACGAAGACTCAAGTGTCCAGCCAGCTGCATTGCCTAGAGGTAATGGATTTTGCAGCTGATAACCAATCCCTGTTCACTACGTTGATTTGATTCATCGTTGATACCCATCGTGATAGGAAAGGTCATGCCGATCACCAGTCGTCTCGCCATTTAGCATTAGAGCAAATCGGTCGTCCCTTCCTCGGAGATATATACTAGGGTTCAAAGCATCGAATGATGCTGGAAGTGGCTGTGATTATGGCACGCGATGTGCAGAAAGAGTATGGTGAAGGGATAGACGAAAGAGCTTGGCTTTGGTCAGATCTCGAACCAATATGTTGCGCGAACATGTTAGATGTACAAATGTAGAGTAAGTACCTAGCTGGTTCCTGAAACATCACGGCGATGTCAGTTCTAGGCTGGGTGCAGTGGCATCGTATTAGGATCATCTGAAGCTGACGTCACTATAGTAGTCCGAAATCGTATAACAATGAAATCAAGTTGAGCGCGGTCAGCGCAATCACATTACAAGTGGCCAAAACTTCCAATCACTCTTTGTCACTTCTTCAGGTCGTTTGAACTATACAAACTCGACCACGAAACCAGCCCAAGCATCGTGCGATTGCTTTGTCAACCCAACAAGGCCACCCTTTCCACACATTCATCATTCGAACTCGCTCACTAGCATTACAGAACATATCGATCCTCTACGCGACAAGTTGGACTGCTTCACCGTGTGACAGTGTTCAACCACTCTCAGTATCGAAGTCGTTGTGGCAGCGCAATTCTCTTTCAAGACGAACAAGGCTGAAGTGCTCTTTCACCGGTGGACAACGAAATTTCCACTGTCGCGTGTGGGGGTGAAAAAATTGCCGTCACCCGGTAGCAGGATTTGCACTCGTCGTACACGAAAAGCGAGAAGGCGAGAGGCGCGTCGCAAGGGGCGGAGTTCGAACTTCGGCAAACAACAAACGTCCCTATTACTCCTCCTCCCCGCGGGCCCAAGCTCATCTCATCGCGCTAGTGCACAACAAAAGAAGGAGGAATCACCAACCCACGATTGCGCATGCACTTCAACAAATATTCAAGAGCTGGAAATTTGTCGAGGAGGCTCTTTGTACGGTATAGAATCACCTCCAATACCAAAAATCGTATTTGGACCGTTGCTGACGCTGCGTTTGCTTGCCAGGCATATTCGCACGTGACCTTGAGCGAGCTTGGAGCTTGACCTGACTTTCCGATTCTCCAAGTTCCTCGTCCACTTTCCTCCCACACATACACAACGCCCAACCACCACCATCATCCCTCATCAATATCAGCAGCCTGTCATCAACTAGTTGCTCTCCCCATTGAAAACCGTTCGCGCGATTCAAGTATTCGCGCATATCCGCGTCCTTTACGCGTCTCCCCAGCCGTGTCACTCACACTCGTGGGCACGACCAGCGCAATGGCAGACGCGACCAATGCACCTCCTGCCGTCGATGCGACTAAAGTCGACGATGAGACGACACGTCCCGTCGACGCCCCTACTGAGCCGGTCGCCAGTGAGGCGAAACCTGAGGAGGGTGGTGACGTAGCCCCCGAGGCCGCGAGCGCTGAAGGTTTGTTAAAGACCTTCACATCTACTCCTAGAGGAAGCTGACTTTGCCATTATTCAGAGTCGAAGGAAGTCGCTCAGGACGACGCGCCCACCGAGAAGCCAACCTCTGACGCCAACGACGACGATACCAAGGCGGAGAACGACACAGGTGGGTCTCAGTCTTGCCGCAGCTTCTGCGTGATGGCACGCTACGCTGCATGCTGTTGATTGGGAGATACTGACGACGCGATAGTTGAAGACGTGGCCAGCACCCCGAACACAAAGAAGACTCCAAACGGCAACAGGCGCAAGTCAACAAGCAAAGCGTCAGGCGGCAACAAGAAGACGCCGGCAAAGAAGAAGGCCACCGTCACTCCTCGACTCGATGTCGAGCCTGGCGATGTTTTCTTCGTCGCCATGAAGGGCTTTCAACCTTGGCCAGTCATTGTCTGCGACGAGGAGATGCTGCCAGAGGCTCTTCTCAGCAAAAGACCTGTTAGCGCGAAACGAATTGATGGCACCTATCGCGAGGACTTCTTGGAAGGTGGAAAGAATGCTAAAGACCGTCGCTATCCCGTCATGTTCATGGGCTCAAACGAATTGTAAGTGTTGAATCCACCCGCCCCCTATCCCCTGCCACACTGCCACCTGCCACCCTACACATATACCAACATCTTTGTTAGTGCATGGCAAGTCAATACAGATCTCCAAGACCTCGACCTAGATGCAATCAAGAAGGATGTCGAAGCCGGCAATAGCCAAAAGAAGACCAAAGGGCTGTGGGAGGCATACCAGATCGCTGCAGAGGGTCATGACCTTTCTTGGTTCAAGGATGTCCTAGAGGGCCATGAGCAGGCTATGCAGCACGACGCCGATGAAAAGGAGGCTGCCGCTGCAGCGAAGAAAGAGAAAGAGGCCGCCAAGAAGGGCAAGCGTAAAAGTCTGGCCGCCGAAGACGTCGAGGAAGATATTGCCGAGGGCACAGCCTCTGCAAAGAAGGCTAAGCCTTCCAAGAAGCGCAAGAAGGACTCGGAGAGCGACGGTGAGCCAGAGAAGGTATGCTGATTCTGCTTCGTTGTTCATCTCACAAGACTTATCGTTCTAACAGGCAACAAAGACCCCGAAGACTACTAAGCTGAAGTTGAATGCGCCTAAAGACGCTTCGGCTGCGAAGCCTAAGAAGGAGACAAAGGCCAAAAAGACCAAGGCTAAAACCGGAAGTGAGGAGGCCGAAGCAGCGAAGCCTCAAGAGCCCCAGGAGACCGAAGCTGAGCGGTACGAGAAGCAGCAGAAGACTGGTAAGGCCCTCTATTCACCATCTGACGATTGTCCGTCTTATCTAACGTGCCCAGTTCTGTATCTTCGACACAAGCTCCAAAAGGGCTTCATCTCGCGTGAAAACCCACCCTCTGCAGATGAGATGCCACAGATGTCCAACTATATCAAGCAGCTTGAGGACACCGACGGAATTGCAGCTTCCATTATCAAGAAGACTAAGGTTCACAAAGTCCTTAAGGGCATCGTCAAGCTTGACTCGATTCCGCGAGAGGACGAATTCGAGTTCAAGAGGCGCTCTACTGAACTTCTTACTCGATGGGCAAAGGTTCTGTCAGCCGATACAGAAGCAGCGGAACCAGCATCAGTCACACCGGCAGCTCCAGCGACCAATGGTGTTAATAACCACCACAAGTCTGAAGAGGCTTCTAACAAGCCAGAGGAAGCCGAGAAGGAAGCTGAGGCATCGAGTAAAGCAGACGGCGATGGCGACATCGCCATGGCTGATGCTAAAGATGAAGCACCTGCAGTCGAGACTACCGAAGAGCCAACTACAGAGCCAGCTACCAAAGCTACCGAGGAGGTCGCCACTTCTTGATTTGTCGACAGAGGTAATAGTATTTTGTCTCCATCGAATTGGTGGACTCGATTTGTGACACTTCACAGACAATTCGATCTTTGAAGTCGGTTTTGATCTACAGGCTTTTTCATGGTACCGATCGCTCTCGACGCTGGGAGAAATTTTCACCAGGACAGGAAGCGAGAGTATCATTTTTCATTTTGGCAACGGTTCAATCTCTAGGGCCTATGGCGATTTGACAGGGTTCAGCAGGGTGGGTCACCAAGCCCGTCTGTGTCACTAGAATCCTTGGGAATACATGGGATCATTGACATAAAGGAACCTATTCTTTTTACTACGTGGAAGGTGGTAGTTTAAGTGGGGTATCGGTTCCAAAAGGCGCTTTTCTATAGCAATAAGACACAATTTGTCTTCGTCACTCGACTGTGCATTGTATTTCAGTCAATTTGTATAACAGAATCATTGAAACGGCATTTAACTACCATGTCCCGGCGTGTCATTGTACTAATTCCAAGTGTGCCGTGACATCAATGCAAGTAACCGTTTAAGTGCTTGTCGATTGCAGTGCTTTTGTGTAACAAGGTCACATTGTAGCAAAACCATTTCAACACATTGCAACTAAAGACTCTCCTGGAGAACCAGAGCATTCTCATGCCCAGCTACTCTGACAAACACCTTCATGCTCTCCAATAACTGCTCTTTTAGATCATGTCGTCTGTTGTTCTGGCCCGCAAACCCTCCATACGTAGCATTGAACTCGAAAGGTTGCAGCGCCTTCCATATACCATGGATCTTGTGAGGCGGCAACGGTATCATGTTCGGGTAGCTCCACATGAAGCTGTAGCTAGTAGTTCCGGGCAAACGATCCTTCTGGTAGTATGCAGACTGTGCGTTCGGACGTTAGCAGATGACATAGCGAAAGGAACCAAGTTCGACTTACGGGAACCACCATGATCGAATCTGCATGGAATAATTGACCTTCGTAATGCAGGATCAGACTTCCATCGAAGTGGCCTCCTACCACAATGGCAGTTACGCCCTCTACCTCCTTGATTGCGGTGGTCTTTTCGATGAGGATTCTCTGGTTCTTGTCATCCTTACGGTTCAACCACTGCTCGTCCGCCTTGCTCGTGTAGACAGGACACTGGAATACATTGGCCCATTCCAGATGCGTAGTGTAGAAGTGCGGATGGGATATCACAATCGCCTTGAGTCCTCCCTTCTCCTTGACAAACTTGATCGTTTCCTCGTCGAGGAAGGCAATGCAGTCCCAGAGGATATTTCCAGACGGAGTCTGAATCAAGATGGCTCGCTGGCCGATACCGAGCTGCTTGTTGGGAAAGGTGAGTGACGGCGATGGTCTCAAGGGATTGTATCCAGGGTCGTTTGGCGTGGTACTGATGAACCAGAGGTTGGGGTTCTTATCATCTCGTTGGAATTGATTCTTCTGCGTAGATTGGGCCTCTGAAAGGGTTGTCCAAGCTTGGCCTGATGCTGGGACGAATTGTCGTGGATCCTAGAGGTGATTGTGTTAGTGCTTTGGATACTGGTGGCTACGTCATGGTGTACTTACATCGCAGACGCGACAGTTTGGGGGAGCTTGAGATAGAGGAACGTCAAATTGTGTGCCGCAGGTCACACAGATTGCTAAATCACCGCTATCGAATTTCATGGTGAATTGTTCAGATAAATAGAGAGTATGTCCAAGTTTGTTATTATATATGTGTTATGCTGGAAGATCTGTAAACTGGAATTTATGTACATGAAGGTGGGGTTTACAACAGCTTCATATAGCTGAGCATTTGCTACGTTGTCGTGGCTGGGTCACTAGTCCTTAGCGACGGATGGTATAATGTACGATGTACAAAGACATATCCGACATACAGAAATGGCCAACCTTTGAATCCAGATCTCCAGAACGTATAATTGTTTCAAGTTGGTAATCAACCTCCGTAGTGCCTTAGTTCAGCATGCTAAAGGCGGGGAAAACCAAAGAGCCACCAACGACGTAAGATGCTTTCAAACCGCCAACCAGGAGCCAATAATCGTAGAAGAAAGATTTCTATAGAGTCATAAAGTCTATGCAAGAGAACCTTTGATTACCCAAACTTCTCCATTCGCTACTTTGTCTGCAATGCTAGCGACTTCGATGTTGGCGGGCTGGATCTGTGTTATATGGTAAGCCATCGTTCCTGAGTGGGTCATCAGCGACCGAGAAATTAGAACATACCACTTTCTTTCCATCCTTCTCCTCAAACCAGACTTCGTTACCCGCAAGAGTTTTGAGCTTCGCTCCTTCTTTCCAAGGGCTTTCTGGAACGATGTGTGACTCCACGAACCTCTTCAAATTCTTCGTCGCCCGATCTTGCCCATCGCCACCGTCGTATGCGTTGGTGCCAAATGTGTCATAATCTTTTGGATCTTCCCAAGGTTTCCGCTCTAAACTCTTCATTGATGCGTTATCTGGTGCAAGCACCGTGGCATTGTTAGAAGCATTATTTAGTCGCGCAGAAACAGAGTCGATGTCTCGGGTGAGGCCGCTGAAAATAGCTATATCCTGGGTCTTTCCAATGACATCGGAAATAATAACACCCGTAGACACCTGATCGTCTACCGGCGGCATGATCTGGTCTTCTAAGGCGGGAGACTGAAGAGGTATCTGTTCGCCGGGAATCCCGAAGTCCTTTCTTATCGAGCCTGGTGGAGGTGCCAAAGCGGAAGCAGTGGAAATTAAGCAGGCTGCTGCTGCCGTATAGGAGAGAATGAAGACCTGCCTCATACTGCTACCGGTTGTGTGAAGTTATATGGAGGTGAACGGTGGAATGAGCGATAGTGGGCGAGCCAGGGACGTCATCCGGGGTCCTGCCAAGACCGATTCGTGAACGTGATCGCGCGACTCTTCGCGTCGTTCCCTCTTTCACTTCTTTTTGTAGCCGCACCTTAAAATGTTACACCAACCTGCGCCGCGCGTTGAGCCATAGCATGCGATTCAACTATGAATCTGCCTACTGTAACAGCGGTATGTACTGATACCCATCCAATATGTGCTCAGGTATTGATGATTAGGCAGGCTGATCTTCGCGATTTTCACTCCAAACATTTCCCGCTGGCGCCAGTTCCGGAGCTTTTCAACGGTGGTTACGAGACACAACCCGAAGCCATAGAGGAATATTATGATGAAGAGGAAGACGATGGCTTAGGCTACTATGATGACGGTGTGAAGCGAACCTTGACGGATGAGCAAATTGCACTTTTCAGACACACAGAGATCCAAACGATCTTACGAGAGCGCCGCCGCAAGCTCGAATCAGAAGCGTCATCCCAAAGTGAAAACATCACGCAAGGTCCACACAGCCCAGAGGCTGGAGAGGTCGTCACCTCATCCCCGTCGTCGCCCAAGCCAGAGCTACCAGCCGGTACTCCGAATCAAGCTACTCCAGATAGCTCAGAGCCCCAGCAAGCGCAGCGTAAATGGACACAGACCAGTGCGAAGTCTAAGGAGAGACAAAAGCGCAAAAACAAGAAGCGGAAGCTCGCAGTCCAACAGCGCAAAAAGGATGATAGGAAAAGGATTCGCGAGAGTACTGCTACCTCGAACAGGGCCGATGATGAATCCAGTGACGAATGGGACCCTCGACGCCAGGCTACCGGGCCCGACGTGCAGAATGCTGTTAGCATTGAGCTCGACTACTGAGAATCACATAGGCGGTACGATTATACCGGAAACCATGGACTGTCAGCTGCGTGGGCGAGGGTTGTACAACCCAATATGATGGTCTCGTATTTGTTAATTTAGATCTCTGCTTGAATGAGGCAACGCGAAAGTAAGTTGAATTCCTAAGCTAATTTCCCTTTGTACCCTGATGAAAACCTTTTATCGTCATCCTTAGGCGGAGAATGTCAAAGACTTGAGCTTCTCACGAGGTTCGTCGGAGATGTTCATTGACGAGTTAAATAATCTTCTCTCTGATTGCACGCACATTATTGTTCTACTTCTTGTTTGGCTAAGTCAGATATACAATATGCTAACTTTATTGCCAAAGGTTCAGTCTCTTCTGGCACTTTCGAAAGATCATTAATTTCTGCTTCTACTGGGTAAAACCAACAAGCATAAAAGGCAGTATTGTGTGACAGTCTAGACATATGACAACAGTCTAAATCTATAGCTACACCCCACTCCATACGGCAGGTGGCTCGTGCGCTAGCGCGGGATGACCTGCATCATTGCGGGAAATTCTTTGATCGCGTAACCAACCTTCACTTGCACATCCACCATCATGGCTGCCGTCGATACTCAAACAACTTCGAAGCCTGCTGATGCAGAGAATGGCGCATTCAAATCATTATGGGCGGACAAATACCGTGGTGTAAGTTTGATACGGTCGAAGCTTGCGCAAACTCGCTAATGGATGTCGCAGGCTACGGTTGAGGATATGGACCCTCCACCCGCACTCTCCGTGAAGCCGACAGATCCTATTTCTTATGCTCTTATGAGCGGACTCGAGCGAGATTATACCCACCTCACCGTCATATCTCAGGAGAACCGAGCCTTGTTGGGCTACATTAGCATTCCTCGACTACAGCAATTGTTGAAGAACGGCACCGTCAAGGAGAACGATACAGTAGAAGCCGCCATGCAGAGATTCCGTAGGAAGGGCACGCGATACAAGGTTATCACGACAGAAACACCTCTGGAGGAACTGGAAGAGTTCTTCCATGGTGGGGTTGATGGCAGCGGACCTCAGGAGTTTGCGGTAGTTACGGACCCCAGCAGGAAGTTCGTTCTAGGTGTAGCGACCAAATCAGACTTGGAGGGCTTCGTAAAGAGGAGGGCGTGAGGCTGCCCATATCATACCAACCTACAGGATGCCTTTGCCAACATAACAACCCCTGTCTACCTCGATACTCCAGGATTCTTTTGAGCACCTAGACTTCGAGGAAAACATTGCTCCTTTTTCAGTCTGCTCAACCCGACTGATTGCAATGCGGAAACGCGAATCCGAGACATGGTGGATGGCTGTGTGCTCGTATTCAATAACCCAAACGAATGCTACAAAGCGAATACCAGCACTAAAGCACTTTTATAAATACCATACCTACTCCGAAGTGCAACAACTTTCTTTGCCCTAGATATAAAACTTTCTAGAGCAAATCAATAATCAATAATTCTAAGTACAGACTCCAAATTGGGGCATTTGCTTCTCCATCGTGACTTCCACCAAGGTGCTCTTAGCCCAGCCTTATGCGTCATTGGCTCGTTATTCATCAGCCCTACCACCTGGCCAACCCAGATCAACACCCCATTCCCCCCCGGCCCACATGAATCCAACAAACTCGTAAACCTCACATTCTTCAGGTCAGGCACGAAGGCGGTCGCCTTTCCCAGCGCATTTGCGCACACAATTTGTGAACCACGGTGCTCAACGACCCCCCTCGTATGAATTATACCTCCCCAACTCGCTGGAATGATATCACCTTTCCCACGCCTCCTCCTACGCTCACGCCTTCCCTCGACATCTTCGTCCTCGTCCTCGACATATCGTCCCACGCAGCGACTCTTCTTCCTACTCTCCACATCAAAGCGAAGCCTGCACTCCTCACGATGCCTCCGCCGCTCGAAGCAAGAGCCGCGCGCAGGCACCACGACCCCCGTACCCCCTAGCTACACGCCGCCGCCGCCCAAGTCCCCCTTCTACTTCGAGGCCGGGTACGCGCTGTATGCGAAGCGGCCGTCTCGACCCTTCCCGCCTCCTTTCCTCTCGCTGCCCTCGAGCAGCTTCTCCGAACCCCTCAGCACGCATAACCGTAGCCGCGACCGCCGGCCGTACGTCAACGGGGAGATGATCCGGGGCGTCACCAACGGGGACGACGCCGTGCTGGTGGCAGAAGCTTTCGTGGGTGCGAATGACGGTGTGGGCGCATGGGCGACGAAGGATAGGGGTCATGCTGCGTAGGTTTCTGCTTTTCTTCTGACTCCTCCCAAACCCCTCAAACCGATTATGGTCCTGTACCGCGGAGAGAAGGCGTTGTAATACGGGTACTGACATTATGCTGACTGCCGCTGCAGCCTCTGGTCGCGCCTCATACTGCACTTCTGGGCCCTCGAGATCGAACGTGCACAGTTCGGCCCGGACTCCGAACCAGACCCCGCCGCCTACCTGCAGGCAGCCTTCGAGCAGACCAAGGAGGCCACGTCCAAGCCGAACGAGTGGTACGGGACGACGACGACGTGCGGTGCGCTCCTCAGCGGAGAGAGCAAGCCGATCCTGTACGCCACGCAGCTGGGCGACTCGCAGATCCTGGTGGTGCGCCCGAGGACCAAGGAGGTGTTATATAAGACTGATGAGCAATGGCATTGGTTCGATTGCCCTAGGCAACTGGGCACGAATAGCCCGGATACGCCTACCGAGAACGCCGTGGTCGACCGCATAGAGATCGAGGAAGACGATGTTGTGCTGGCGATGACGGATGGGGTTGTGGACAATCTGTGGGAGCATGAGGTGGTGCAGAATGTTATGGACAGCATGGAGAAGTGGAAAGATGATCCGTCACGGATTAGTGCAGATAAGGAACCCGCGGAGACGACTTACGCAGAAGGAATGCGATACGTTGCCCAGCGGCTAGTCAATGCTGCAAGAGAAATCGCTGAAGATCCCTTCGCTGAGAGTCCTTATATGGAAAAGGCAATTGATGAAGGGTTGTCAATTGAAGGAGGTATGGTGAAAGTGATGATTTGGTATATTCGTGATACAAGTCTCTAACTCATTGCAGGCAAACTCGATGATATCAGTGTTGTCGCTGCACAGTGCAAACGACGGAAAGGTTGAGCCAGCCTCCATTTTTGGTTCAACGTGAGCCCTTGCCTGTTCGCACAAAAAAGCAATAGCCAAAGACAAGAAAAAGGCCGATAAAAAGCAAAAGGCCCAGGCCGAAACTCCGTCCAACTTCTCGCATACCCTTAAGCATGCCACAGAGACTGAAGTAAAGCACGGTAAGGTGTTCAATGCTTGTTCCACAAAGGTGTCTGTTCCATCATACCCATATTTCTCGGGGGCTTGCTCATCGAAAAAGAGAACTCTGTTCGACGTGATGCGAATCGAAAGGATTTGCTGAGAGTAAACAGTGTAGTCATTGTTCCAAAGACGAGGCTTAATCGATGCCCGCATTAGCCACTTACTAGGAATCGGAACCTTCTTGGCTGTGTGCAGATGCAGTGGGTGAGCGTGTGGCTTGTCGCTTTGCACGTCGCGATCTGCTTGGGGACCGAGAAAGGCTAGAACTTGCGCTACGTTTGCGCTTTGAGGTATCAGCTCTGGATCCACTGGAACTACGTTCAGAGGCGGAAGAAGGCCTGCGGCGTCTCCCATTCCTTCCTCGCTCAGCTTTTGGGGTTACCGACCGTGTTTGACTTCTGGATCGAGAACGTTCATATCGTCTGCGACGGGGAGGGGGGCTGTAGGAATCGGACCGCCTGGTTGATGGTGAGCTCGATCTATCTGAAGGGGTAATGGATCGGGTGTGATGTCTGCGCGACCTTCTCTCGCGACTTGGTGATCGGTATCTCTCCTTGCCCCCACGCTTGCGGCCTCGACGCTCGTGAGGAGACCTTGAGCGAGACGAAGAGTAGCGGCGGCGGCGGGGAGCTGGTGACCTAGAGCGGCTTGAAGACTGATCACGTCTGGACCGACGTGGTGGTGATGGTGGAGACAACGAATCTCGGGTGCCCCGACGGGGGGAACGACTCTCAGAGAGTGAACGACGGCGGCGTTGGCGTCGAGGCGAACGTGAGCGCGAACGCGAGCGCGCAGGTGAATCATCAGATGATAGAGAGCGATACCTCTCACGCGCACGACTGGGGATATAGAGGTCGCGGTCCCGGCGAGGCGGGGATGAACGCCTCCGTCTTCTAAAGATCTGTTAGCAGAGTTGACAAATGGTTGGAATGAGACTCACGGTGGTGAACGGGAACGACGACGTGGCGGTCCGCGATCAGAGTCTCGTCCTCGGAACGAGCGATCACCTCGGAATCCACCGCGACCATGGCCGCGCTCTGATCGTTCGTTGCGGTCTCGACGATCGCTCCTTTCGCTTTCACGGAAAGCGTTGACCATGTCTTCTTGCTCCTTCTCCTGGCGACGACGGTTTTCTGCGGCAGCCTTGGATGCCTGTAGAAAGTCTTAGTACATAGTCATCGATGAATTGATTGCCATGGCAAGCTTCACTCACCTGCTCTTGTTTCAATTCCAGCTTCTTCGCTTCCAACAGTTCCTTCGGAACGCCGTGCTTGTCCGACTGAGCACTCAACATGAGGCTCCAAAGCTCCTTGCAGAATGGAGCGCAGGCCTTTTCGAGGAACCCGTCGAGCTGGATTTGGATCTCCTTGATCCTTGGCTGTAACAAACAGTGTCAGTAAAAGAACACAAAACCCCAATTGAATTGGAGTGAAGGTGATTGGGAAAGTTCGTACATAGCGGTGCTGTTCAAGGAGATTGTATGTGGTCTCAATGACCACGTCGTCTTCGTCGCCGAGGATCTTCATGAGCTTCCCCGCGATCCACTTCTTCATCAGGTCCATGTTGACCTTCTCGCTATCGACCCGCAGGTCAAACTCAGGCGGAAACTTCGTCGCCTTTAGGCGCTTTTGGTCGACCGAAAGCGCCATGTTCCAAGGCTGTGCGACGCGTACGTGTAAACGCAGCGTCTAAACCTTGGATCTATACTGTGGGTTGACTTAGTTAGTGAGTGAAATGTGCCTGAGTTTGAGCTGTGTGGGAGGGCGAGAAAGTTGGAGCTGGTTGAGGGAAAGTGAAGTAAATGGAAGAGGATGGGGTTTAAAGATTGGGGGAGCTGCTCAAGTCGCGGGCTTGGCGCGGCGGCGGCACGTTAGTCCGCGCCCGTGAGCGCGCGCTCTGACATCACGGACGTCCGAGCACGCGACTTCTGAGTGGGGGGATTCAAAGTGAAGGTAGGGAAATAGACAATAACAACACTCAATGGTTTGCGGCAATTTCCGACAATCTTTTTCGGACGGAATTGAGTCATTCATTCTCTCTGCTGGCTATTATTGTTAAAGATGAGCACAAGGGATCTTAAGACTCGAAGGACATCTAATTGTACTATCACCATGAAATAGATCAACAATCAATAGAGTAGTATACGCAATAATTTGAGTTATTCATGATCACAACTCGAATCTCTAATTGCATATATAATCATCTCGAACTAAATGACCTCGACCAATCCATCTACTTCTAATCATATGCTTTGCTGCAACGTCCAATATCGTGTCTTACAAACCTCAGTACCAACAGACTTGACTCAACTCTGCATACACCCGAATCAAGGCATATAATCATAACCTCCCAATTCACAGAAGACCATGCCTGGCAGATTTCCCATCCCCATTGTACCCTTTACGTACTTCGTCGGCACGCGCCTTGTAGGTGTGTACGTAGGTCAAGTTTCCACCCCGCCTTTCCGCGGCGGATCGCGAATCTCAAGGATTCGTGCCCATAGCATGGGAGCTCCCTCATCCATCCTCGCACTCATGCATAACTTCCCTCACATCTCGAAAGCTTCGAATCCAAACCACATAGGCATCGTGGAAACATATAAATCGTCCTTCGCTCGTGCATTCATGGCCGTCAACCAGCCCGGACAGCCTTCCCGACTGCCGCCCTTGCCTCCTCAAGCCCGCTAGACAACTCTCCTCTCTTGTGCGCCTCTCGGAGGCGGTAGTGTAGCTCGACGAGGTCTTTCGCGCGCGTCAGGTCTGCGTCGTCGGCGGCGGCGTCAACGGTTCCTTTGGCCTCAGATGGGGCATGGTCGGGAGAAGGGCGCGCGGAGACGAGTGCGAGGGCTGCTTTCGGGTCCTGTATGGTTATGGTTATGGTAAGCTGTGTGTTGAGGATATGGTGTGAAGTTTATAAATGCGCAATGGTGGGGCAATGGTCATTTGGACGGGGATGGGACGTACGCAAACGCGGAGAGAGGTGATGTCGGAGAGGATTTCGGCGAGCTGCATGTGATCTTTGACTTGCACTTCTGAAGATTTCTTGTCGGGCATGTTGGCGGTTGGGCAGAATGAATGTTATGCAGTGAAGGGGAGGTTTGGTCAAGCTGTCATCAAGCTCATGTCGGGAATGTTTCCGACCATAAGGAGCTTGGACCCTTTTTGCAGTGTATCTGTCTGTATCCGGCCGCCGATGGTCGGTTCCGTGAATCGTCAAAATAGCCGGCTATAAACGGAGAAACAAGTGTCTTTCATTAACCTGAACAGCTGCAGTTCTCGTAGACATTTTGTAGCTTCTTCCAATTGGTAATTTGATATTCGAAATGCCTAGCATACAGTCAATTGCCCGCAGCTGCCGCAAGGTTACACCGCCTGTCCCTCTCTACAACTGGCCAATTAGCTAACGGTCGTACAGGTTATGTGCATTGGGCGCAACTATGCGTAATTCATTCCTCTGGGCTTTGCAGACCCCTTTGGACTATGCTGATACAAAAGTAGTGATCATATCACCGAGCTGAACAGTGCCCGTCCAAAACAGCCCTTCTTCTTCCTCAAGCCACCGAGCTCAATCCTCCTACCTGGTGCAGGCCCTATCCTTCGTCCCAAGGGGGTCAATGTCCACTATGAGGTTGAGCTTGCATTGGTCATTGGAAAGACTGTAAGAGATCTTCATCCTGAAGATACCAAAGGCGCGTTGGCCGCCATTCGAGGTTAGAATCTTGCCCAAGAAGCAAGACACGGGGCTGTGAACGAAGGTACTAAGATCAACAGGCTACCTTCTTGCGATTGACATGACTGCACGAAATGTACAAGACGAAGCGAAGAAGAAGGGCCTTCCTTGGTCCATCGCTAAGGGCTTCGACACGTTTCTTCCCGTCAGCAATTTCATTGAGCGGTCCCGCATTCCGGACCCACAAAACGCTCATCTCTGGCTGAGCGTCAATGGGGAGACAAAGCAATCCGACAACACAGAGCTTATGCTTTTCAGACTTCCAAGGCAACTGAGCGATATCAGCCGTGTCATGACTCTCGAAGAAGGCGACATTGTTCTCACTGGAACTCCGAAGGGTGTTGGTCCAGTGAAATCTGGGGATGTATTGAAAGCTGGGTTGAAAGTCGACGGTAAAGATATCGAGGAGGCCAACATAGAAGTTTCAGTTGCAGACCGTGAAGGGCCCTATGAGTTCAAAGAGACATAATTCATAGAGCGAATACAATTGCAATACGCCGATTCGCAAAATCCGCTGGATATCGATGATATATCATTGATGGAACCTGGTCGAAGTGCTTATACTAATTCCAGTTACTCAGGTCCCTTCGCACCCATTTACGCTTCAGAGGATGCCCTTCCGGAATTAGTACCGCGCTGGGGACTGCTGACATTCGCTTCTTTGCCATTGATTGAGTATTGCGTGGCACAGGTGAGGTACTCCGAAGCTGTTGGAAGCTTGAATGGATGGGTTGCCCTTTGGACACAGTCTTGGTTGCAACAGTGATTCCTTTGGCATTGAGTCGGTTCGAGTGTGGATCTTGCACAGGCACCTTCAGGACGACTACCAGGCTCGGTGCCGGAACACGATCACCCTTTCTGTTGCCCTGTGTTTTGGGGCGGTTTCGCTTTTGTGCTGGCTTTTTTGGTGAACACAGTCGTCTCTTTCTGCTAGTATTAGCAGGCTCTACTGTGGTTTGTCGATATGGTGCATCCAAGTCCGGAGTGTTATATCGACTAGATGGATGATGTGCTTGGCTAATAGGGAGTACCTGATTAATAGTGTGCTCCATCAATCTTTCTCGGCGTGTGCTTGGGAGGAGAGGACCTAGATTCGTGGCAACGTTCTCACTATATTCATTAGCAACCTTACAACCCGTTTTAAATGAGGGTAATCACCTAATAATACTTGAGGAAGACCAAGGGCTTGCTGGCACTTGGACCTGAGCGGCAGGTGTTTGAGTTCCACGTAGAGCAACACCTATGCTGTGATCTCCTAATGCGTCATCCACCTGCTGAGTTGGAGTATGGAGTGGATCTTCTGGCAGTTCAACTCGTCCAAGTTGCATCATCAAAGTTCTTTGAATATCCTCAAGTCTATCATTGACTGCCTTACGCTCGGTAGCTTCTTTCCTTTGCAGTCCTTCAATCGCATCTAAGCGACCCGAAAGAACGCGTACGTCAGCCGGGTCGTTCTTTTTGACGATCTTGTCATCACGTTGCTGGGATTCCCGAGTGAAAGCAGTCCGGAGCACTTCCATCTTGTCTAGAATCGTTTTGCTCTTGTTCGAAGACTGTCGGTATCCGATCTCGAAGTCATCTAACCGGGACTGGAGTGACACAACTATGTCTTGCAGTTTGTGTACGTGAGACAGTTCTTTCTCGATATCCTTGAATTGTGCAATCGCCTTATCTACTCCCGTCCGGGCCTCCTCGAGTGCAGAGATACGCTCCGTGACTTGTTGGAAGTTGCGTGCAAAGTCCTTGACGGCTTGGGCTGCAGCTTCAGCAGCCTTAGCTCGACTGTTAGATGCCTGTACTTGGGCTTCGGCGGTCTTCATTCGCTCGAGGAGGAAGGCATGCTCTCGTTTAATCTGCTTTGCCCATAGTAATGACGCAGGGTTAGAGAACGATACTGCTGGCTCGGAGGGACTGGCATTTTTGCTGGGTTTGGGAGCGGGTGATGCTCGAGGCATGTTGAAACTCAAAGGCTTTGCAATGTTGGGATTGAGATACTCAAAGAGTGTGTAAAAGAGCCGAAGAATCCGACTTAAGAGTGATGCAACTAATAAAGTCCAAACTTTTATCTGTGTGGGTTGATTGAGGATGGCGGGTTGGGAAGGTGCAACTTCCTTCCTACCTTGCTCGCTAGCAAACGCTATGTGACTAACACTCTCATTATGAGCAGGTTCCTCTATCCTCTATGCTAATGCAGGAGACAGAGTATCAATTGATTTAGTATTAAGGACCAATAGGTGCAAGCAGAAAGTAGTTGTATCACAGTTGAAAGTGTAAGTGATGTTGGAAGATGGGAATTTATATTTCTGATTCTTTCTACCTTTCTACAGACCGGCGTTTCGCTTCGGTCCTCTAGGAGCAGCCAGAACTTCGTCTCTCTTCATTATACGGACCTTTGTGTCCTTCTTCGCCCCATCCGGCTCACTTGTTGAGCCACCTTCACTCTCCTTAGCCCGCTCTGCGACACTCTTGTCGTAGGTAGTAGGGTCGATGCCCAAGATGCCACCGATATTGTTGCGATCGCCAGGGACCGAGAACTCGCGGAAAGCATATCGCCACTCATTGAGGAAGCTTCGAACGGCTTTCCCGACCTTATCCTTTCCATTCTTGGAATGGTGTCCCGTACCCGTGATGGCATAGACTGGACGAGAAGAGGAGCTGTGCTTTAGGAGGATACCTTCGAGGTATGAGACTGCTTCTTCGGGATGTAGGCCTAGACGACGTTAGAGGGGTCATACATAATCGAGAGACACAATCATGTGACTTACCATGGAGATCTACATAGAGCTCGCGAGCGTCTGGCCCAAGGTCTGTATTCCGTTCCTCATACAAGACACGAGCAGCCTCACGGTGAGCTTCGCGCATGAGGTTGTTTTCGCTTTGGCCACGAAGACTAAGAGCTTTGGCAGCACGGGAATCGCTTCGATTCCATGCTTGTGCGGCACTAATAGCAATTAGTATGAAAGTCACGCCAATATAGAGAGCTGCTTTACCTTTGCAAGAACTTGTTTCTCAGACTACCATGCTTGAAGGCTTCAGTACGAGCTTGCAAGTACGCTTTATTCGCAACATCGCCAGTCTCCAACCAGGGTATATGTTCAGGAGCAGGTATAGCTTGCGCGGCGGCACTGTTTTCGCGCGATCCAGTAAAGCTTTTGGTAGATTTGACACCCTTACGAATCTGTGCTGGACTTGGACTTGGGGACATGCGTACAACATCCGCCAAACTGTTTGGCGTGGTGGCTTCTTTGTTGTTGCCATGACCTCCGCGCTTGCCGTGATGTCTTTTCCCAGTCTTAGTACTAGCAGCGGTTCCCAGAGTTGGAAAAGCTTCATTGTCATCTACAGCGGGCACAGATGGTGTGGTAGATCGAGACTGAGGGCGGCTCACGTTCCTCGACGATGGGCGACTGCCACCGCCAGGTACGAACGTGGGATAAGGACTGAGGCCAGGGGGCGGATGCGTAGCTCCAGAAGTGAGCCCGTAGAGCTGCTCGAGAGAGGTGGGCTCTGCGTTCGAAAGTTGCGGCGTGTAGTGAGGCGAGCCAGAACCCTGAAGGGATGGGAATGCTTCGTAGTCCTGCATTTGGAAATGAGGAATGGCAGCGTGCACTGGAGGAGTCGATGCGTCTGAGATGACCATTCGAGCCATCAAGGCCGAAGGGTCATGGGAAAACAAACATGTTTCGCCCGCGAGACAGTTGCCGCTCATGTAGTATCTGAACGAAAAGGGTCAATACAATGTCCCGCATGTATAAAGGAAATTAAATGGCACTCACTTGCAGAGGGTTTTACTGGTATCATGGCTAAATCTGCAATCTGCTCTCGCGCAATGTCCGGTGGATAAGAAGTACTTGCACACGATGTTGCTCTTTGACTGCCCGGCTGGAGTAGCGGGTCTGAAAGCTGGGCTCATAGACTTGCCAACAAGATACGTGCCCTGTTCAGGTAACGAGGAAGCTAACTGTTGAGATTCGTAGGCTTGGGTGCCCATGAGAGCCAGGAGAGCAGCACTTAGATCATAGCCATTTGACTCGAGAGCCTTCTCGATCTCTTCATCGGGACGGTCGTCCCTCAGGATCGAGCGAAGCATGTCATATGGACCCATATCCATTGCCTGGGGCTGAACCCACTCGGCTGCAGCGCCATTAAGCGTCCCATCGCCGAGGAAAGAGGAAGACTCTGTGCTTCCGGAGTCATCGTTTACAAGCCAATCTACAGAATCGCTACCAAGGTCGCCATAGAGATCAGGGGCAGGGCTCACCCGCTCACTGAATTGGTATGCACTAAGGCTTGGGCTGTGAGGGATGTGTGGACTCGAGAAGGCAAGCCGTGGGGATGGGCGAGGAGAGGTGAAGGGAGACGCATTCGAAGACTTTGCTCGTGAGAAGCCAGGAGGAACTATGCCAAAGCCTGGCGGTGGATGTATGGTTCTGGGGGAGTGGTTCACAGGGGTCGGGGCGCGATTGGCCTGCCACGGAGCAGGCGAAGCTCGCCGTATTATGGTAGCACGGCTTGGTGGAGGAGAGGCAGAGCTATTGCCAGCATCGCGAAAGCGCCAGAGACAATCTAGGACGATGTTCTCCAAGGACTTGCCCGTGAGGCCAGTTTGGTTGCGCAACAGCTCCTCTAGCTTGTCCGTCTGTTCATCCTCCTCCAGCGACTCGTCCTGCAAGACCGGCAGGCAAGCTTCATAGACCTCGTCGGCGACCATCGTTCCTTCAGAGCATTGGTGATGTATGCTCTCGCAGAGGTTCTGAGATGAGGTATTCGCGTGTCCTGGTTCAGGGTTGAGGGAGGAAGCGGTCGGGGGCCCGGGGGGTTGGTCTGGGCTGGTTGTATTGGTATTAAGAGGCGCGGTTGGAGCTGAGGGAGAACGGGCGCGAAGGGGGGTGCGCAACAAAAGGCGAATGCAAAGACAAAAGAACAAGAGCAAAGCAGAGCAGAGCAGGAATAACAGAGAGAGAGAGGTCGCTAAAAGGCGCACCAGAGCCTCCGACGACGCAGCGCGAGGGCGTTGAGGAAATGAGGGACTTAGAAGGGTACGAGCGAACCCACGAGGGCTTGGCCTATATGATCCACAGCGATGAAGCTCCTTGACCGCCCAGCCTTATGTTCCGCCGCCGTGTAATATGTGGGGGGGAAGAGAGCCTGGAGGGAGGGAGGGAGGATGGTTGCCGTGGTTAGCTTTGTACTGTATCGAACCAGAAGGGATTATTTGCCCATTAGACTATTATTCTTCGGGTTGGAGGGGGCGTTTTAATGAGGTCTGTGGTACGAGTAGCACTGTATAGTCCCGGAAAGTCGACAAGTGCCCGAGTAGACTGTAGTAGAACAGAAAACGACCAAACGATGGTCTTGACTGTTGATGGTATCTATTATCACTGCTTTTATTTGCACAACCCCATGATCATCGCCATGTGCAGCCAGCCGCGCGTTTAGGTATTGCGTGGTAGCAAGATAGGATAGGATGGGGACATTCGGTGTTATACTGTGTAGTTACTGTAGGTAGGGAGACGTCGTGTTAGAGGTTATTAATAGGGAGTCGGAAACAAAAGTGGATAAGGTAAGCGTTGCAGGCGAGTAAGTAAGTCGATTTGTCTCGACAGGCTTGTTGGCCGTTCAAAGAAAGGAGGCGGAAGGAGGACGAGAGAAAGGACGGACAGGACCATAAGTGAGGCCGCCCACTCACTTTCGTTTGGTGAGGATGTGAATTGCTAGCCCTGATGGGTGAGATGAGGCAGTTATGAGGGAGGCAGAGAGGCATGCAAGCTGACCTGCCAGACTGCCAGTACACAAGGCATTAATTACTGGTGTCACAGAACCAAACAACATAATTATCTACTTCGTTAAGGGGCTATGTGTCAATTTGTTTGGTACATGGAATATCTACGGAGACTTGTGAATGAACATATATGACATTGAGGGCAGAATATTACAAATCCGGTAATATATATCCTCCTGTTCCGGTCAACAGTATGGACGTTGGAGAGTGCAAGAGTAAGATGACATTATCACAGCATCGCTGCTATAGTAGTCGAAGATCATAACCATTGAGATACCTGGTCTGCATGCAAGATTGTCTCGTCTCGGATGTGGCGGTGCGGGCATCGATCCAGTCCTCAGCTTTTAGTTAGACAGTACGGAGTAGGTGGTAGGTACTTAACGTTACTATGTATTCTACTAGCAGACATAGGTACTCACTTAGTGGTCAGTCAGCATCAGCGAGTACATCCCCGACACTTGTTACTACTGCAACTCGTACTGTCTCGATATCTCCCCCGAATAGACTTAACCGCTAACGGCTTTTGTTTCATTCTTGTCGATTTCTGGATAACCACTCTGCTTTCCAATTCCGAGCTTCCCCTCCATATATCCTCCTAATACATCCCAGCGTTGCCCGTTCCTCGAGCTCTCGCCCTTGTCGTCATACCCAGGCCGTCCCGCGCTGCTTCGCCCTCAATATACAAACACCACGGCGCCGTTCCGCTCCTCTCCAGCCTCGCGACATTACCATGCCTACCGATGACTACGATGCGCGCGCCCTCGCCCTCCCCATAGACGATGATTCCGACGACCTTGCCAACAGCCCTGCCTGGACCAGACGATCCGCCTCCTTCCGGCAACGAGGCAACTCCCTCTCCAGCAACCACCACCACGAACAGTCCTTCAGTCGGCGGGCATTAAAGAACGCCGGCAAGGCATATCGCCGCTTCGCAAGCGCGTACGATCGACTATCCACCACGAAGAAGGTCCTCGTCTCCATTACGGGACTCATCAGCCTCGTACTCTCCATATTATTCCTCGTCTACAATGAGCGCATCTTCAGCTCGCTCCTGCCTGTCGCAAAGAAGTGGAGAGATATTAGGTTCGGCTGGGTGATACTATGGGTCTTGATATTCACAGTATCATTTCCTCCATTGATTGGATACGCCAGCTTGATGACGATCGCTGGATTTGTTTACGGATTTCCCAATGGGTATGAGAAAACACCACTCCTCACATTACATCTTAGCATCATGGGAAAGTAAGCTCAAGCTGACATTCGCAAAACGCAGATGGTACATCGCAGCGACTGCCACCGTCGCCGGCAGCACCGCCGCCTTCATAGTGTCCCGCAGCGTCCTCAAGAACATGGTCCACCGCCTGATCGCAAACGACAAGCGGTTCGCGGCCCTCGCCCTGACCCTCAAGCATGACGGCCTCAAACTCCTCGTCATGATCCGCATGTGCCCGCTCCCCTACTCCCTCTCCAACGGCGCCGTCGCAACCTTCCCAACCGTCCACCCGGCCTCCTTCGCCGCCGCCACCGCAATCGTCACCCCGAAACTCATGCTCCACATCTTCATCGGCTCGCAGCTCAACAAGATCGCCGACAGCGGAGGCAAGATGGACCCGAAGACCAAGGCCATGAGCTACATCAGCATTGCGATCGGTGCGATCGCCGGCATCGCAACAGGCTGGTTCATGTACAAGAAGACGAACGAGAGGGCCCGGCAACTCGAAGCCGAAGAGCGCGCCGGCATCCGCAGGACCTCCATCGAGGACCTCGAGAACGAGTACGCAGACGACCCGGACGCCCTCGAGGCCGCGCAATCCCTCCGCCAGGACGAAGACGACATCAGTCTTCGCTCCGGGTGGGGCGGCGAGTACCACGATGAGCCTGCGGACGTGGACGACGCTCTCGAACTCCCGGACGACCCGTTCCGAGACGGAGACGGAGACGACGAAGAGCATGATGACCAAAGCCCCGGTCGTCAGTGATATGAAAATAGGGGAAGCGGAATTGTATTATTTTTTATTAAAGAACCATTGTAACGATAACATCTAGACGCTACGAAAGTCATCTTTTTTTGTCATTACTTTCTGGAGAGGGGGGAGGGAAAGGGGTTGACATAGACTCACTCCATGTTGGAGAATTCGACATGGCATTGGATAAAGATACATTAGTGTATGAATGCTAGACGCTCGAAATCATCACGATTACCACCAGTGTGGTAGCTTTGAACACGTCGTACCTGCCCGTCTTTTGCATGACCATGAATCCCGAAGTAGCAGAAGCCGCTGAAATGTATCGAATTCAAACGTAATTAAGCAGCCCTCCCCGTCAGAATAATGTTCCAACGTCCTACCATGTCTTTCTGCAGACCCCCCTCTGTAACCCCATCAAAGAGGTCGAAAGCACAATCAATCCACCTACTTCGTCTAGTCCCTCTCGTCTGATCCCTCTACATATTCCAGGTTACTACTTACCATACACAAACGAGGAAAACATTCAGACTATCTCATCGTCCATTTAAGGAAGATTATAAAAGGGTCTGGTTAGAAAAGCTAAAAGGTCACAGGCTAGCCGCTTGTTTCCTCGGAGGTAGTGATGGCCATTTTCAGAAAGGCAGAGGCAAGAAGGGAGAGTGAGTGTACGATTGAATGAGCTGTTCGCTGAGGTATGACTTGCATAAGGATCCTCTTGCATTTGCTGTCGAAGTCAACTTGAGTAGGTGGAGGTTAGGTCACGAACATCATCACGAAGTCAAATCGAACAGCCCAAGGATAAACATGAACAGAAAATTGAGGATTGGCATAAATACAGGCGCTGCTCACATCCTGCCGTAGCTGAACAAATGAAAAATGAAGTGCATATTCACGGCCGACTGAAGCCTTTTCAGGAACGCTTCCCAGAGAATTTTTGGTTCTTGTCGCACCCCACACCCTTTTTGGGGTTTGATATAAACCGTGCAGTACGCGAGGCAGGCATCGTAACCAGTTTTCAAAGAGACTTTCCATATTGAGACAGCTGATGGCGAGAAACGCATCTTCTATTATACATCTATTCTCCCAATCAGCGCATTTTCACCTCCGCCAGGAACCCTGAAGATGATGACCACCCATTCCTATACCAAACGTCTATAGGAAGGACTTGGTGAAGCTAGTGGCGACATCACGGAGCTTGCCCTCCAACTCCTTGCTGAGAGCACCTTCCCTCTCGATCTGAGCGAGGAGCTCAGACTCGTTGGATCGGAGGTGGGCAAGGAAGTCAGACTCCCACTGGAGGATCTTGGCGACGGGAACGTTGTCGAGGAGACCGTTGACACCAGCGAAGATCAAAGGAACCATCTCGTTGACGGCCATAGGAGCGTACTGCTTCTGCTTGAGGAGCTCGGTAAGACGCTCACCACGGTTGAGGGTCTGCTTGGTGGCAGCATCCAAATCGGAACCGAACTGGGCGAAGGCAGCGACCTCACGGTACTGGGCCAAGAAGAGCTTCAAGGAACCAGCGACCTGCTTCATGGCCTTGAGCTGGGCAGCGGATCCGACACGGGAGACGGAAAGACCGACGTTAATGGCGGGACGGATACCCTTGTAGAAAAGCTCGGCCTCCAAGAAGATCTGTCCGTCGGTGATGGAAATGACGTTGGTGGGAATGTAGGCAGACACATCACCACCCTGGGTCTCAATGACGGGGAGAGCGGTCAAAGAACCACCACCAAGCTTGGAGTTCATCTTGGCAGCACGCTCCAAGAGACGGGAGTGGAGGTAGAAAACGCTGATACCTATTAGCGATGTGCTGATTATACAGGCCATGTGTGAACTTACTCTCCGGGGTAGGCCTCACGACCAGGGGGACGACGGAGCAAGAGAGACATTTGACGGTAAGCAACAGCCTGCTTGGACAAATCGTCGTAGATGATGAGGGCGTGCTTTCCGTTGTCACGGAAGTGCTCAGCCATGGAGCAACCTGTGTGATATGTTAGTCGGGTTCATGATATATATGCTATGCTGAAAAGTGGTTGTGAAGTGCTTCACCAGGGTCAAATCGAACAAGATAATGGATTGTCAAGTAGGACCTGGGGGAAGACTCTCCAGATATGACATGTCCAGAGCCTCAATCGACCCTGACCATCATCACATCATGGAAAATCATCCATGAAACCCAACTGGGAAGGTAGGTTGTGGAGTGAGGCCAGATGTCACGTGGAATTTAGCGTGGCACTAGCGCTCAGCTCCTTACCACATGGTGGGCACGGGCCACTGGAACACGGAAAACTCGAAAAACGAGGTACTTAAAACATACCGGTGCTACGAAATGTTAGCTGGAGAACTCAAAAATAGGGGAATTGGGATGAAGTACAAAGGCGCGAGATATTGGAGCGGCGCTGCCTCAGAGGCGGTAGCAGCAACGATGATGGAGTACTTCATGGCATCGTTCTCCTCGAGGGTCTTGACGAGCTGGGCGACGGTGGAACGCTTCTGGCCAACGGCGACGTAGACGCAGTAGAGCTTCTTGGTCTCGTCGTTGGTGTTGTTCCATCGCTTCTGGTTGAGGATGGTGTCGAGAGCGACGGCAGTCTTTCCGGTCTGACGGTCACCGATGATCAACTCACGCTGGCCACGGCCGATGGGAACCATAGCATCGACAGACTTGAGACCGGTCTGGACGGGCTGGTTGACGGACTGACGGGGCAAGATACCGGGGGCCTTGACCTGAGCACGGCGCCTCTCGGTGGTCTTGATGGGACCCTTTCCATCGATGGGGTTACCGAGGGCATCGACAACACGTCCGAGGAGAGCCTCGCCGACGGGAACGTCGACCTGTGATAGATGTTAGTCTTGCAAGTGATGAAAGTGGGCATCTGAAGTGACGTACAATCTCGCCAGTACGCTTGACGGTCTCACCCTCCTTGACCAATCGATCGGAACCGAAGAGCACGATACCGACCTGGCCGGCCTCCAAGTTCATGCACATGCCCTTGACACCGGAGGCGAACCTAGGTGATGGTTAGCTTGGTGTTGTGTTCGGATTGTGAATGTCATCCACGTACTCGACGAGCTCCTCGGCCTGGACATTGCTCATTCCATGGACACGGGCAATACCGTCACTAGCAATCCTTCGTCAGCTTCCTGTCTCCATGTTGATGATGGAATCTCATCAATTGTGGTAGTTGTGATGGCATACCCGACGGAGAGAACACGTCCGGTCTCGGCAAGGCTGGTCTCCTCCTGGACACCACGGATTCTCTGCTCGAGGATGGAAGAGACCTCGGTAGGGGCGGCCTTCGCATCGGCGGCGTAGCATCGAACCTGCTTGGTGGTGTTGAAGGCGACGGGTGTGGCTCGGGTCTGTTGCGGGAAAAAGCTGTCAGTCTCGGCACAGCAAGAGAAGCTCCCTCTCGGACCAGCGCAACAGCATTCATCAACCCAACGAAGCTCAATCGCATGGCCAATGGCGATAGTAAACCGCAATTGAACTTGCAATTGATGCCGAGATGGGATATGGATGCAATTGCAGCTGGTTTCGATGGACCACTTACCGCAGCGATCCTGCCGGAGGCAGAGATTGCAGCAGCCCGGCGGCTGCTCTGGCGAAGCGCTCTAGCAAACATTCTGATGGTCCGAAGAAGCTATTCGGATAGCTCTGCGATCAATTGATATTGATGCAGGAGAAAGAGGGGAGATGGGTGGTGAAGGCGATGTCTAGGAGAGAGGCCTTGAGGGTGCCGGTTGAGGGAGCGAAGGAAAACAGGAAGGCACAGACCTTTTCCTTAGGTAAGCTCCCAAAGCCTAACTTCGCGGGCGAGCGCTAAATGCCCACACCAAGACATCAACTTTGACAAGTTATCGGTAATAAATGTTTAATCATTGAATCAATTCACTCTACTACTTATCAATTGCAATCGAATGGTGTCTACTATTTCCCGATTGCGGCAGCATTCCATTTGGACTCATATATAACAGCCATTCTTGTGGAAACAGCTTAAGAGAAGGTAGTGAAGCTCTCAACATTTCTTTCCATACATAACAACATGTCGGTGAATATGCTATTCAATGGCTCAAATACAGATGGTATCTATCTTGATCGATACTCTAAGCTAGGTTTTATGCTCTTGAAATACATGTGTAGGAAAAATTGCAGCATGGCTAAAACGAGATCATGATAAACTTGAACCATGTATTTAGATGATTGCATGAGATAGAAATAGAACCAGTACATATCCAGATGCATACAGTTGTATTTTCCTCTAGCCATAGCTTCAAACCATGTTGTATCGAGTACGCACGCCCGTCAAGCTAACATGATGCCACTCATCGAGTAGTGGAATGTGGAGAACTGGATCGAATACGACTTTCTGGAGGGGCTGCCTTTCAAATGTCCCCAACTTACTCAAGAGCTCGATATTATTAAAATAATAAAAGTACACATCTTTTGAGACATGACACAAGAGACTCCAAATTTGGTGCGTGAACAGTATGTGTATTTACTAGCTTCATAAATTCTCAGCAAAGCCAACAAATGATTACGGTACAGTAATGCCCCTACTCTACATCCATCTAATCCCTCTGACCCGGTTCAGAAACACGTTGCATTCTTGAACCTGCATTTCCCATGGACACGAATCTCCAGTCATTGCAACTGTGAAATCCGATGTGTCCAACCTATGTACGATGGTATAAAAACATGCTCTAGATCAACATCTCCCCTCCGTCTTATAAAGCCGCCTCTTGTCTCCTTACTACCATAGCACACTTGAAGCTACAAGCATACCTAGGCTCAGATGATCTTTCTCTTCCCATTGGAGCCGGTGTGGAAGCTACAAATCTTCCAGAATCGTTCGTATAAAAACCCTACGCCAACTCGAATCTTTTGCTTCGATGATGGCGTCGTGAATGTGGACAGAACTCAGCATTGGCCTGAAAAGTGCCGTTCCTTGCCCTATTTAGTGTTGAGTTTCTTGATCTCCTGCTCAACAGATTCATCAACACGACGCTTGAGATCCGGGCGGTATCCGAGGAAGAACAAGATTTCGAACCAGACAAAGAAAGGTGCAAGAAAAAGCGCCTGCACCAGATTGTCAAGGAGTGCAGGTGCTCTCTTCTCGAACTTTCCGTGACCGACAAATTGAGCAATCCAGCACACAAAGTTTATCCCCCCTGCCCAGTAGTTCGCCGAGGCTCCGTAAGTTGCGGTGAGGTGGTTGGCCCATGCAGTTCCTCCGATGATTATGGGCGCATAAAGGCCCCCTGCGACAGGCTCCATAAGGACATACAAAGTCGAATATAGCACGCCTCCAACAGTTGTGATGTTCAATGGGAGATTTGGTATTGAGAGCCACGGAGGGAGAGGTACCGAGGGTGTATTAGAGAGCTATAGTCCCATCAGCACAGTCGATCAAGCAGCCAGACAACACACTCACAAGAACAAAGAAGGTCAACATGATGACCGGCACACAGGCAATGTGTATGCCCACGTTGACCTTTTCAAGCGAACCTCATCAGCGAGAAACGATACGCATGCCGGATTTATCGGATACTTACAGCATTGTGGTGATATGCACCATACTATGGCAAAGTTAGAATACCGGGAACAGATAAGATAGCTTCCGTGAACTTACAAAGAGCAACTGCTTCTCCAGATTGAGGGACATGGTAGTTGATATGCGGCTTTTGAATAGCAAGACAAAGGGGTGGTAGATTACCAAAACAGAACCATTGAAGGCATGTCTTTAATATGATCTGGGGTAACAAAGCACAAACGCTGTCTCTAAGGGAAAGAAGTATCAAGGGCGAAGGGACAGCGCTGTGAAGGAAAGCGGACAAGAAATGTGACGTGTATCACGACGGTTGCTGTGCGATCTTACGCGGGTGTTGACGCTTCTTGTTGCACATGCTGGGGATCGGCAGTCGGCGACAATTTTACCGCAGTGGCCCGTGCCCAAGATCTCGTTCAAGGAGCCCTTTGAGCTCTCCGTGCTTTTGGAAATCTAGCACAGTCTCATCGCAACCTTAAAGACGTGACTCTCTAACTTCTGTGGCAGGGAGAGTCGGCGCTGGATAAACGAGTGAACTTTCGCTCCTCGCGACATCACTTCATCCTCACCATCCGAAACGCAAGAAACCGCAGCGACCAGGCGAACCATAACGAGCAATCGCGCGCGCAATCCCTCCCAGCTTTGTTTCGGTGGTCTTCGTCGGGGTGATTAAAGGAAATCATTCTCAGCTTTTTAGAGTCGCCCAGTCGTTCGCTATCAGGGCTTGCGCATTGAGGAGGAGGCAGGAGTTTGGAAAGTTCGTAGTAGCCTGGACACGCGCGAATCGCGTATATCAACCAAACGCTTTTGAGACAGGCTTCAGTGCCCGAACCTAGATTCGCCATGTTCTTTCTGAAAGAGCTCGAAAAGATTATTCAACTTCATCCTTCTTACTTCGGACCGCTTATTCGCTCCCATATCCACCGTGAATTGCTGACCAAAGAGGAGGGTTCAAACACTGGCAAATTCACGATCGTCTGCATCCTGGACAACTTCGACATCTCTGAGGGCCAAGTAATACCCGGGTCAGGCTCGGCAGAGTACACCGTACATTACAAGGCCATTGTATGGAGACCATATAAGGGGGAAGTGGTATGTCTCGCGGCGCAATTCGAAGCAAGTGCTTGACTCACATGTACCAGGTCGATGGCGTCGTTACCTCCGTCATAGGTTCTGGATTCTTCGTCGATTGTGGTTCACTGCAGGCATTTGTTGGCCGAGCCGTATGACCCCTGCTTTGCGCATACATTTTCAAGTGACTGACCGATATAGATGATTCCATCTGAGATCAACTTCGACTCGAACGCAACACCACCTCAGTGGACGGACAATGGTGATCAGGTCATAGAGAAGGGTGCCAACATACGCATCAAGATCAAGGGTCTCAGGACAGAGGTGGACAGGATGTATGCGATCGGAACTATCAAAGAGGTAACACCTAAACTACATGATGTATCGTGATCCATGCTAAAGCGATGTTTCTAGGATTACCTAGGCCCACTACAGTCGTAGGAGACTGAAGAGGGTTCGAGCACGGAGTAAGTCTTGTCCATTGGAGCAATGACAAATTTGAGCCATCATCGGTTCACACCATGGGAAAGCAAATGATATACCTCAAGTTCAATTGTCCCATGCAGCTAAAGCTGATTGGGGCCCCCAGAAACGAGCCAAACACATCTCGAAGGAGCGTTAGTGGCCCAGCCTCAGATTTATATGGGTTGGGTCAATCTTGAGTAACAGATTCTGGATTCAAATTCCCGGTTTGGGAAATCTTTGAGCTTTTTCTGCGTGAATCGCACAGAGCAAGACCCCACCGTTATGTCTTGTGGGTTTGGGGGCTTCGGGCTACAAGTAGGATGTTCTCTAATAGTTAAAGAGACCATGAATAAATTATACCAGCTTCCATTTACGGTTTTGAATAGAGACTTGTCTATTATTGAGAGGTACTTTCTTTGTTCTGGGAACAACAAGTCTGATGTATCTACCTTCACTAGGCAAAGCCAAGGTTGAAAAAGACAAAAAAAATGTAAATAGGATATTAAATGTCGAGATTAGGATTCTATAGGAAGTCTCCAATTTCTCTCTTCAATTTCGTTCCATCGTTGTCCAGAGTGCCTGGCGGGGAGCGTTTTGATTCCATTGATCGCTTGGACATATCTCGTTTTGGATCGGAGGCTTAAAGTGTCTCGCCACGACACCCAACCTTAACGCCGGGATCTACATCTCAAGCCAACACGAACGCGCCGGGCAACGAAAGTGGGATCCGAAAATCTCCCTGTTGTTTAATAGCTCTACAATGACCTGAATCTTCTGCGCCTGTTAGTTATTACCTTTCATTGCCACGATGCCACGCGAGCGCGCCATGAACGACGAGGAAAGGGAGCCTCTCACGCGGACCGGTGCCGCAGCGCGCAACTCAGAGGACGATTCAGAAGGGTCTATTTCCTCCATTTCGACCACTTCGCTTGTACTGGAGCACATAAACGATGATGCGGCAGCCAGCAGCGCACCTCGATCGAACCTGAACGAGAAGTATCGCGACGATGATAGCGGAGGCCGTAGCACCGATCGAGAGGCATTCGACGTCGAAGACGGGAAATATCCAGAGTTACAACCCGTGGATAAGAAGGCGCGCCGGCTGCTCTGGATTGTAGGGACAATATGCGTTGTCGGTTGGGCGCTTGCGCTCGCAACTTTCTTGATGGGTGGAAGTTATAAGCATGCATCTAGCCGTCCCCACGACCCGTTGGCAAGCTCCACCAAGGGCTCCGGGAAGAAAGTCACACTAGACAGTGTTCTTACGGGACAATGGTACCCATCTATGCAGAGCGTATCTTGGATTGCCGGACCGGATGGACAGGACGGTCTGCTGCTGGAAACAGGTGCCCCTGGATCCGATTATCTCGTTGTTGAAGATATCAGGAACAAAGGAAACGTGAAGGCAACGGGGAGCAAGACAGTCTTGATGAAGACATCGACCTTTTATGTGGGCGAAAAGTTCATCTACCCAAGCGAAGTCTGGCCTAGCAAAGACTTCAAGAAAGTCCTGGTTCTGTCCGAGAAACAGAGGAATTGGCGTCATTCTTATACCGGTCTATACTGGATATTTGATGTAGCGACCCAGAAAGCTCAGCCTTTGGACCCAGAGAACCCGGACCGTATCATTCAATTGGCGTCATGGTCCCCGCAATCAGATGCTATTGTTTTCACACGGGACAACAACATGTATCTCCGACGCTTGGACTCTGACCGTGTCGTCAAAATCACCCAAGACGGTGGTTCCGAACTTTTCTACGGCGTTCCTGACTGGGTGTACGAAGAGGAGGTCTTCCAGGGGAATAGCGCCACATGGTGGTCCGAAGATGGCGAATATATTGCGTTCTTGCGGACCGATGAATCGCATGTGCCGACCTTCCCAGTTCAGTACTTTATGTCCCGTCCTAGCGGTAACAAACCGAAGGAGGGCGAGGAAAACTATCCTGAGGTACGGGACATCAAATACCCTAAAGCCGGAGCACCTAACCCCATCGTAACTCTACAATTCTATGACGTTGCCAAAGGAGAGGTCTTCACCGTTGGCATCGAAGACGATTTCAAGGATGACGATCGTCTCATCACTGAGATAATTTGGGCAGGCAAGAGCAAACAGGTCCTGGTCCGAGAAACAAATCGCGAAAGCGATGTCCTTAAAGTCGTTCTAATGGATGTCACGACCCGTACTGGGAGGACTGTCAGAACAGAAGACGTCCAGGCACTCGATGGAGGCTGGTTTGAGGTCTCACAGAGGACCAAGTTTGTTCCTGCTGACCCATCCAACGGCCGTGATTATGATGGATATATCGACACCATCATTCATCAAGGATATGATCACATTGGCTACTTCACTCCACTGAACAGTTCCGAACCAGTTGTTCTCACTCAAGGTGAGTGGGAGGTCGTCGAAGCTCCTTCTGCTATAGATTTGAACAACAACCTGGTCTATTACATATCCACCGAACGCAGCTCCATCGAGAGGCACCCCTACGTCGTCAAACTTGATGGTACCGGGCGAAAAGAAGTCATCGAAAACAACAAGCCTGGTTACTATGGGGCCGACTTCTCAACCAGTGGTGGCTTTGCTCTGATCACCTACAAAGGGCCGGGTATTCCATGGCAGAAGATCGTTAGCACACCGTCCGCAAAAGACAAGTACGAGAAAGTCCTCGAAGAGAACAGAGACCTCGAGAGATTCGTCCGAGCACATGAGCTACCTATCCTCAACTATCAGGAAATCGAAATCGACGGCTTCAAACTCAATGTTTTGGAACGTCGACCGCCACATTTCAGCGAGAAGAAGAAGTATCCAGTACTTTTCTACCAGTACAGCGGGCCAGGTTCACAGACTGTGGACAAGAAGTTTACGGTTGACTTCCAATCGTATGTTGCGTCAAGCCTAGGGTACATCGTCGTAACAGTCGATGGCCGAGGCACCGGTTTCCTTGGTCGCAAACTTCGATGCATTACCAGGGGCAATATCGGATACTGGGAGGCTCATGACCAAATTGCCGTCGCAAAGCTATTCGCAAAGAAGAAATACGTCGATGAGGAGCGCATGGCGATCTGGGGCTGGAGCTACGGTGGATTCCAAACCCTCAAGACGCTTGAAACTGACCGCGGGGAGACATTCAAGTACGGCATGGCCGTCGCGCCTGTCACAGATTGGCGTTTCTACGATTCCATCTACACGGAGCGCTACATGCACACGCCGCAGAACAATGTCGAAGGTTATGATAACTCTACCATCAGCGATGTCGATGGCCTCTCGAAGAATGTACGCTTCCTAGTCATGCATGGCGTTGCAGACGACAATGTCCACATGCAGAATACGCTTACTTTGCTCGACAAACTCGACATGGGAAACATCGAAAACTATGATGTACATGTGTTCCCAGACTCCGACCATAGCATATATTTCCATAACGCTAACAGGATCGTCTATGACAGTAAGTAGTTCCCCTCACGTGCATTCGAGCTTGGTAACAAATGCTAATATGTGTTATTAGAATTAAGTTCATGGCTGATCAATGCATTCAATGGAGAGTGGCTGCGAATCGATAACGCAGTACCCAAAGCACAATCCGAAGGCAAAGATAAGAGGCGATGATATCAGGAAGTCATCGCATAGGCGTTTATGGACATGTATAGGCAATATTTAGGTTACATAGGCAATTTCGAAAAAATCATTTCAAGTTTACATCATCGTGGCCATGTACACTTGTGACTTACGCATGACCCGAATTGTGCCTCCTACACTGTACATGCTCTCTATTAATCTGCACTGATTGATCGCGCTTGAGCATTAATCATATTCTCACACAGAACCAGTTATCAATAGGAATTATTCTAGAAGATCATAACATCCATATATGGTTTCGTGATTCATATACTCAAAGTTTCGATGTATCAATCCGGCACACAACCTACAACTTGCTACCTGGCTCCCCGATAGTGTTCAAGAAAGCTTGATGCACATGCTCAGTCAAGTCGGCAGCCTGCAACGACCTTCCCTTCTCCTTGAAAGCCAATCTCGAGCACTCTCTCGTGACCGCACTGCCGCCATAGGCAGCAAGTGCCAACGTCTCGCTCCTGTCCATTTCACCTTCATGATCCCATATCTTGTCATGATATGCCTTTCTATAAGCTAGCAATGTGGCCAAACTTCCCGTCAGCGTGTCACCTTGTCCGCCACTCCTCTTGAGTCCACCTTCTCCGTCAGAGACAAGAGTGTGCTTTCCGTTTGAAATGTAGTCCTTCGCGCCCTTCTGAACAATAGTCACACCGCCGAACGCCTTCGCAAGCTTAGAGCACAATTCAGTAGGATCGCCCTCGTTGATATCAACACCCTTAGCCTTTGCCAATCGTCCAAACTCCACAACATTGGGCGTCAAGATACACTCCGTGCACCCATCGACGAGCTCCGGTCGAGTCTGCGCCAGGAACAATCCGTCGGCATCCAGGACGAACGGAATCCCCTGCTTCCTAGCCTCTTGAATCACCTGCGCGCAGGTGTCTTGCATGAGCTTGTCGCGGCCGAGACCAGGGCCGATGACAATGACATGCAGCCGGGAGAGCATGCCGACGACCTCCGAAGCCACGGATTCGACGGACTCGTTCTGCGCGAGGTTCTTCGATTGTCGCATGTAGGGGTGCACCATGAGGTTTGGAGAGTAGGTCTTGATGACCGCACCGGCTCCAGGCTCACATATCACGTGGGACTGTGGTGGAGGGTTAGATCAGTCGTGAGGATGTTCGGGTGGTGTTTGGTGGCGGGGGACAACAAACTCACCATGTCGCATCCGAGCTTCGCAGATGCCATTGCGGAGAAGTATGGTGCACCTGTGTAGTCTTCGCTGCCGCCGATGACAGCGACGCGGCCCAATTGACCTGGAGATTTGTTAATAGAGCTCTGGAATCTGGGCCTTGATGCTAACCTTTGTGGAAGCTCTCGAGCATAGGTGGTATGATTTTGTATACTTTGCCCAAGAGCTCTTTTCTCGACGCGGAAGCCATGTTGATCTCTTTTACTTATTTTGTGGCAATATAGAACGGAAAACCGCTAGATTTGATATAGCTCTGTGGAGTTGAGAGTGGAAAATATAGATTGGTGGTTTTTGTTCGTCCATATTTATGATAAAGCATTGAGTACTAAAACTAATGAGGTCATTCGCCAGTCATTCATTTTCTCCCCGCGGGACAGCCACCACACATCAAGAGGCAACTTGTTTAAGTTGTTCAAAGCCGTGTGTTCCTTCATGAATGCACGTATGTTGTAAATAATGAATGATTATCAGTGGCTTGGATTAAAATGCTACGAAAGTACTACTGATGTATACGACGGATAGGGGTCGCAATAAGAACCAGTCTATGCCATCCGGGAACTCCTGCAAATGCTGATGACATCCGCCATGTTGACGATGAATCACGTAGAAATAATTGACCTGTAGAACGCCTTTTTGGGTGAAGTAAACCAATATTACTTCACGCAAGTTGTTAATCCCCATCGTCCTCGATACCCAGCGCAGCTTTCTTGAGGTTGAGATCCGTCCGCAGCCTGTCGATCTTGGTCTTCAGTCTCTGCTTGTAAAGCACGTTGTTGATCGTGCTGTACTGGGATTGAGCGGTCTCGATTTCCTGTTCCAGTTCCTGGATCTCGGCCAGTTGTGTCTCACGACCAGCGAGCTCGGCGGCTGCTTCCGCATCGACTTCACCGTCATCACCAGTGTCTCCCTCGTCATCATCATCGTCGTCATCGTCATCATCTCCAGAGGTCGCTGCATTCGGACTCGGAGCACTGGACTCGACCGTAGGTATGGCATGGTCTCCAAGGGCGTGCATGGCAACGTCGTGGGCAGTCGCAGGCGTCCCTATGTCTACTTCGACTTCACCTCCCGCGCCTCCATCACCACCAAATAGGCCACTCATTTCGTCGTCTTCCTCTTCGAAGCCTGCTGCCAGCATCTGCTCCAAGTGGGCATTATCCACCTCGAGCTCTTCGCCGCCAGGTGTCTCCACGACATATTCGGGTGCATCGACCATATCATCATCTTCACCCTCCGCATCCTCGTCTGACGATTCGTCCTCCGAGGAGTCAGCCTTATCAGCATCGATGACTTGGAATTCTGCTCGTCCGCCTCCTTGGCTGACCTTGCGGTCCGTTTCCAGCAGGGCATTTACCTCAGCTTCAACTTGTTCAATTCGATGATAACTGACTCGTGGGCGGAAACGGCGCCTGCGAACATGGTGCATTGGCGGTGTCAAGCCATGTGGGTATTGATGAGACGAGGTATTGATGTCGCGAGGTATGTCAAACTTCTTAGCCTCTTCTTCACTCGTAACACGCCCCAAGACGAGCAGCATTTGGCACACGTCGGCTGTCTTAACCCAGTCCTTCTTATTCCAGCTCTTCATGGATTCCACCACGCAAGGTAGGTCTACCATACACGCTGCGTAAAGTCGCCCCTGTATCAAGACGGTAGCGCGTCGCCCTTCTCTGTCGAAGAACCTGAACTGTACGCCCGGTCCACCGTGAGACACACTCTTGCCAATCGTCTTCTCCTCGATCGCCTTTCTGAGGAGGTCGCAGTCGGGTCCAGGTTGCATGCGCAGTACGAACTGTGATTCTATAGCCGGATCTTCCTCTGCTTCGTCCGCCTCGCTGTCATAACCAACACCGGGGGGTCTATACGGCGGTTTCCCGTGCGCGCCTTTGAGTTTGATCAATGTAGTATTTGACTTCTGGATCGTGGGTTGGCCCCCCTTCATCTTGAGCTTGATCGTCGAGCCAGCACGAACAGGGGGTGCGATCTTCTTTGGCGCGGGTGCAGGCGCAGGCGCTGGAGCCTGGAGCTCCTCCTCCAGCTCGTCGTCTATGAGGGCCATCTCCAGGCTCTTCGCCGTTGGCTTAGGTTTGCGCTTCGCGACGGGCGATGTCTCTCGGTCTCCCTCCTCGAGCGGACGCTTCTTGGGCTTCGGCGCCGCTTTCGGCGCAGGCGGTATCACGTTCCCATTCTCGTCCAGTTTCGGCTTCTTCGTGTACTTGCGCTTCGGCTTGGGAGCCTCTGTAGATGGCGCATCTGTGGATGGGACCGCTGGTGGTGCTGCCGAAGCGGATGCTTGTGAGCCGAACTTGAACTTCAGCTTCGGTCCTGTAGCACTTGCAGGCGTGGGAACTGCTCCGGGGGCTTCGTTCGCAGGTGACGCTGCTGAGGGTGCGCCCTCTGGCGCGCCTTGAGGTTTCGTTGTGAGTTTAAGCTTCATCTTGAATTCGAAGTTTGTTGTATAGATAGATTTGGCGAGCGCGACGACTCGAGAGGCGCAGGTGAGGGTATCATCGGACGAACGGGTCGAATGGTGGGCGAGGCCCGTGAAAGTGAAGGTCGTCGATAAAAGGCAAATCACCTTGGACGTTGGGGGGATGAGGCTCAAAGCTCGGACGTGGTCTTGGCACTGGCGCGTGAATTGATCCTAACGTCCAAGCTCCGGTGCATAGGATTGTCATACACAGTTCTCCACGATCGAGACGTCCACACTGCAATCGCACGATGCGCTGCTATCTACCGACATAACAAGCAAGCGTACACCAGGACCTCTGCCCGCCAACCCAGGAGACTAGCCGCCAGCATGTCCGCCTCCGCAAACGAGCTCTTCACCACGCTGTTACGGCCTGCGGTACTCCACATCCTGCGCGCCGCAGGCTTCCACAGTGCGAAGCCCTCAGTTATCGACACGGTCGTCGACCTGACAGCGCGCTACCTTTTCCTTCTCGCCTCCCGGTCCGCGTACAATGCGTATTCGAACCATAACGACCACACGCCAGATGTCACGGATGTTCGCATGGCGATGCAGGACTGTGGCGTCCTCGTGCCGACCTTGACGGGGGCAGAAGAGCTATGGAGAGAGATCCTTCGCAAACCCTTGGAGGACTACGACGACGAGACCGGCGCGCGTGCGAAGGAAATCAAGCGGAGAGACGCTGAGGACACGGCCGACATTGCGGACTTTATCGACTGGGTAAAGGGTGATTACAATAAGGAGATCAGCCGAATTGCAGGCACTCTGAAGGCTCCTCCGACGGCTACAGAAACACTGGATGCCGAGGAGTTGGAGGACTACTTGAACAGTGAGTTTGTCCTGCTTGGATGGGAGGGCTGAACACAGGCTGATCATAATCATATAGCTCTGATGAAGAAACACAGTAAGACTGGAGTCGAATCCCGTTTCCAGGGCACCGTGCTAGGGCATTCAGCAGACCCCAAGCCCATCAAAGTAGAAGGCGGACCAGCCGACTCCATCCAAGAGTGGTGTCTGAAGACGCGAGAAAGATCAGCCAAGACAGCCAAAGAGCTGCAAGAAAAGCAGGACCAAGCGAACGCCAGGAAGGACTCCGAAGACGTGAGGATGGAAGATTAGTGAACACATGGAACTGGCCGTGTTCCTCTTTTTGTGGTTTTTGAAGTTTGAGCATAGCGTTGGCGTTTTTACCTGGTGATCATCCTCTTTATATCCCCACTTTGTGGAAAAGGACCAGGAAGTATATAATCATCCACACCTCTTGAGGCACGAACACTCAACAATGGAATCTCGCATTCGGAATAGCGTTCATGATATTGGTTTCAATGGTGTATAATTTACATATATTGGTATAGGAAAGTCCCTACCGCATCCCATCACTGATAGCTTCGATGTCTAGACGACGGGTCGCCAAAAGCAATCCCTCCCATCTCCCCTTCATTCAAGAGGATCCCGTACTATGATACCCATCCTACGGGACCGGATTCGCAGGCCCTCCCTGCTGTCCCAAATCACCGCCGTCCACTGCGCCCCGCGCCCTCTGCTGCTTGATAGCCTCCCTCGCCTCCGCCTGCTCAGCTTTCTTCCTACAAACCAAAGGCGTCAGTAAAGAATTCACTCTCTCCCACTCACCAATACACAAACCCCTCCATCAACAACCTAAAACCCAAGAGAGGGTGAACGTAGGGTATAACTCACCGATCAAGGTCCGCCACAAAATCCGGCTGCTCGCCCCCTCCCCCCAAGTTCCCCCCCAGCCCGCCTCGTCCCGCAACCGCATCCGCGACCCTGCCCTCCCCCGGTGCCGCCATCTGCTCCCCATCCAGCTCGCGATGCCTGCCGACGTCCTCGTCGCTCAGGCCCTTCGCCTCCTCGCCCGGTCCCGCGCCGCGGACGCCCCGGCCCAGCGACGAGGGCGTCGCGTCGTCTGTGGAGGAGGACTGCGTTGGGGGGATGCGCTGGTCGATTGCGTGGCCGGAGGGAGGGTGGGACGATGCGGTGTGGGATTCGGAGGCGGTTTTGGAGACGGGGTTGCTGGGGGTTGTGTAGGCTTGGTTGAGGGTTGGTTGGGAGGGCGCGGTGGGGTTGAGGTCGGACATTTTGCGTGTGATTGTGTGTGGTTTCGTGTCGTTCTGGTGGATTCGAGGTTCCCGTGGGAGGATGTGTAGGTTGTAGTATTCTTATACTTCTAGGGATGTTCTCGGTCGTGCAATGGTAGTTAGATGATGTCTCTCTTCTATCAAGTCTCCGCAAAATGTGACCTAACAATCTCGGAGTCTTTTTCTATGACGGTAAAGGCTATAATCATAGGATGAGTTTTCAATTTCGAATTGAGGTAGATACTAAACGTTTATGTTTTGAGGTACGTAGAAAACGAAATGGGCAAATTAATTCACATGCGCAAACATGACGTAGTGTGGGGTACCGACTCTATGGAATCATGACCGTCATAGAGGATCCCATCAGACCGTCCCACGCCAAAAGGAAAACTAAGAGTCTATTTATTGTCTTTAACAATAACGGGATTTTGAATGTTAGTCATGATCATTTGTAGGTCGTATCTTGCACTGACATTCTGATTCACGTAAATCTAGTAGTGAGTCCTAAGGTGATGGTGATGATAGAGAAAACAACATAACATGAACGAATGCAAAAGCTTCACATACTTTCAACACATTGATTACCCCCCCTCTTTACGCAAACAAAAAGATTAACTCTGAATAATAAAAATAAAATAAAATCCCATTATCTCAAAATACACCCATTATCCTCCCTTGAAATCCTCCCGTCGAACATAAACAAATATACTTGAACAGTAACTCAAGTTATGGCCATATAACAACGTACTTCGTCCAAAACGAAACCAGGTTTTTCATCAAATCCAGAGTAAGAAGCTTTACAAAATGAGAAATTGCGTAGACTGTTACCATTATATTTCGTGTAAAAGTATGTTGGTATATTCACCAACACATACACTGCGCACGACAGAATACTACAAAGCTGTAGACGACGGGTAGTGATGCGAATGTATCACGACTCACTCGTATCATGAACACGGTATGCCATCATAGGGTCACATCACTCCGATTACCGCATTCTCATATATCCCCTTTCATCGGACATCTGCGATCTAAATCAATTCACACCCCTCGAACCCCGACGACTTGGAACACATTTCTTGCACTGGGTATCCCATCCATCTGTCACGCATATATATACCCATACACTCTTATTCATCACTCACACAGATCAACAAAACATAATAAACATCACCAACCAAGTGGCAGAAAACGTATATCAAGTTTGTTGTATATTCAATCCCACCCACCATCCCACCCCACGATCCCTCCCTTCTAAGGTAAGAAACGGGAAGAAAGGCTTTATACAGGTAGGTCGTATGCAAGCATGCTATCGGAAAAAAGCGAACGATGAAATATCGTGGTTTCAAAAACAAGGTGTGTGTGTTTGTCCGAAACGCCGCCCGTTATGCCCGCCCGTACTGTGTAAGGAAGAAAAAAAGGACCACAAACCTCCGCTGCGAAAAAAACTCAATGCAGGAAGAAAAAACTCCTTTCTCTTTGCTGAAGCATGAAAACAAAAAGATTAGTGAAGCAGGGTTCTCGAAGACGAGGTCTATTCATAGAGTCATTGCCCATGTTGTTGTATGTGGTCGTAAGCAAGCATCGTGCATCGGATGCGGGTAGCTGCTTCCCTTCCCTCCCATCGTAACACGTCTACCGGAACCTCGCATATGCGTGACGACGCTTCGGAAGCAGATGGGCGAAGTATAACTTCATACCCGGACTCCGCTGCCGCCGCTCCACCTGAACCTCCTGAGTCCCATACCGGCCTTTCCGAGACCCGAAGCAGCCTCTTTCCCACACCTCCCCGCCTCGCCGCCAGCAGCGCCCAGCTGTCCCATGGCCTCCGCGTGGCCCGTCTCTTTGCCGACGACGTACCCGGCTGAGAAGCTCAGGGCACTCACGAGAACCACGACGCCAGCGCTCACGACCCAGGTGAGCAGCGTGGGACTGATCTCCTCGACCATAGGGCCTGCCTTCCGGACCTTCTTGGTAGCTCGACGGTCCTTGCTGCTGCTTCTTGCTGGCGGTGGGGGACTGGCCTTGCGTTTCGGGTTGTCGGAGGGACTGGAGCTGATGGTTCGTGGGGACGGCGCTGATGGAGAGGAACAGGGGGAATCGCGATGACTGCTCGCTTCTTCTGTGACTCCTCCCCCCAGTGCTACCGACTCTGGCACAAGTCGTAAGGAGGTGGGGTCTACGCGGGTGGATTGGTTGGTCGTGGCGGTTCGTGACTGGCCTGGCTTGGGCAGGCCCCGCACAGCTGCAGCAGCAGAAAGGAGGGTCGACAGGCTGGCTCGCAGTGCCTCGTCGTGCTCTGGCATGTAATGTGGAGACACGGCGTTGAAGGGAGAGTGTTGGGGGTAGGAGTGACGTTGCGAAGACGGTCGAGCAGACGGCCTTCGTGGGGCATATGTTGTCCCGGAATCCTCGCGAACGGCTGGCACCGACGCGGGGTGTGAGAAGGCGTTGGGTCGGGGAGCAAACTGTCTCCTGGTTGATCTAGGATAGTTCACGGCCGTGGCATTCTCGTCGTCGTCCTCATCCTCTCGCTCGGACATGGTTTCGGAAGACGCGACTGAGTATGGGCTTCGAGATGGACGACGTACTTCATTCTGCAGAGGCGAGGGCCCGATACCCTCCGTGGAAGATGTCATTACCCGGTCCGACTCGCTTTCACTCTCGTCGTATTCCTCCTGACTGCTGGCGCCGCCAGTGTTTGTAGCACGGTAGCCGGTGCCTACCACGAACTGACCTGCAGCCTGGGTGCGCCGCCTCCGTCTGTGCTGGTTTGAATCGTGCTGGACCCTTAATCCTGTGGTGATGATCTCTTCGTTTGCGGAGGAAAGCGAGGACGAGGAGGGTCTTGAGCCTATTTCGATCCATGACTCTATTGGAACATGATATAATACGTTAGTATGGTTGATGATATCGAAGAACAACAGACACAGAACGGGTGACGTATGTGATCAGGCAGAAGGCATTCCGAAGACAAGTATAATTTGTGATATGATATATATTGAGAAGATACATACCTTCCGAGTGTTGACGTCTTGAGGTAGAGTTAGGGGATGTCTGCTGCATGGCGGAGTTGGGTGATCGAGCGTCGTCGTCCATGTTCCTGCTCTGGTCAGTCGGCGGGACCGGGAAAGAGTCCTGGGGTTGCATCGCGTTTCTATGTCGCTGTTGACACGGCAGGAGTTGTCGAAGTGGTGAACGAGAGAAGCGGTGTCTATAAAACTATAACAAGCGTTCACAGTCTGCCTGAGCGGTTATGGTCACTGGAATGATGGAGATAAAGAGGTCAAGTGGAGGTCCGACTTCGGTTCTTTGTTTGGAGTGCTTTGGATTAGGGAGTGATGATAGCGGTGGGGTATCAAAGGGGTGTCTGTGTCCGTTGGTAGCTGAACCGTGGAGAGAGTCGTCGCAAGTATGTATGAAACTCTTTGAGAGAGTAAGCGATGTTTGCGCCTCCAAGATTAGGGAGTGTTTAAGATGTAGACGACTATGGTATACTGATATGGAGTGATAGTGATACAGTGACGACGGTATATCGGGAGGTCACAGGTGGATACACGGGGTGGATAACCTGGATGGACTGCCAACTTAAGGCTGGCGTGCGGGAAGTTGGCTGGGGCTGGATGCGTCGGGGGGAGGAGGGCCACGCACGGCCGCGAATCAAGGCTTAGTCTACAGTCAACCACAGTGAGTGACATGTGGCGGTCGGGCAGCGCGCTACGACTGACTACCTACTTGTTAGGTACCTATACTTGCATCTCCTCCTCAGGTGTGACGCTTTCTTGGTACAAGTGGGTAGATACTCGTACTATTAACTATTCGGGACGGACGTGGGGTGGTGGGCGAAGAGGATCCAGTAAGGAAGATGTCCGAACAATAAGAGGAGCAAGACGAGGAAGGAAAGGGAGAAAGGACAAAGATGAAATGGAAGGCCGGAAGGGAGAGAGAGTGAGGATAGATTGGAATAAGGCTAACTGATACTCGTAGTAATGGTGAGACAATGTGGAGGAAAGGTAAGGAGTAAGAAAGTAGTAGGTGTCAGGCGCAGTCAATGATGACTTTGCCCTGGTGATGGTGATGATGTATGTATGAATGTACCTAACGTATAAGGGCACGGGACTTCGTGACGTTGGTTGAGTGTACTCGTAGGTAACCATGTACCGAGACATGCAGTTACATACAGTATAAGAGACTCTACAGTAGTATATCAGTATTCTGTAGATAATGATAATGGAACATGTAACTATGTACTTCCTGTTGTACACTATACACTGTATGCTATATGTGATATGATTTCCTATCCTGTAGTGTCGTGTAGTCTCATCAACCTTCCACCCCCTCGAATCCTCTTGATATTAAAGACCATCCACATTCAACTTCCATTATTCCACGACAGCCTAGATGATTGACTCCTCGTACTCACAAGTCACAAGTCACAAGTCCCTTTGAAGCAAAAAGCCCCGTGTCCCCTCCCCCTCATACACTCCACCCACCCACCAATCATGCATCCGAGTGTCCACCTGCTCATCTGCATTGCTCACCTGCCACGCCACGCCACCACAGATCTACCCAATGACGTGAAGTCGTTCAGCAGCTAAGTATCCCTCCTCCTTATTTTCTCAGATCGGTTTTCTTTGAGTCTATTCGACTTGTACATTTATTGTTTTCATATTAAGAGATATGGGCTCCAAGTTGTGCTGGTAGTTGTTTTAAAAGTACACAGTCGTCAGTCACGTATTCGGTATGACTGACCGACGGACCACACCTATGCACTTCACCGTAGATTAGCGGATCTGAGAACTACCCAAACTAGCTAGTATGCATGTGAGTAAGACGGAGCATATATTGCACCATCTCGATACTAAATGCTAGCTACCTACCTAGGTAGTCAAAAGGAACATGCACGGGAATCCATCTCGGGTCTCGGGAAACACTTTCTAAACCAAGAAAAAAGAATAATAGGATTCATACTTTAGTAGCGATTATTTGGGGGGAGTGAGTTTCTCTATAGCTTCTACAGATCGGAAAAGGCCGTGTAAAACAACACCTCTCTCTCCAGCGGGAGGAAAAGAAAAGAAGGAAGATAGATAGGGTGGATAGATAAAAACAGAAAAAGCATCTCCAATTTCCATCCATCGTCCCATGACAGAAAGTTCTCCCGCTCCTTGGGCCATCACTCTTTTCCGTCTTCTACTTCATGGGACGTATTGAGGTGGCGAGCACAAACGAACAAACAATCAATCAAACAACTCCAACGCCAAGATGCAACAATACCCTCTTTACTTTGAACATTATTGCTTCTCGTAAGATGATGTAATGCCAAAGATCTGGAAAATAAAAAAAAGCAATCCCCCTGACAAAACACAGTCTAGCAATTCTCTCCTCTGCCGACTGACCGTGGGAACTACCGACAACCACACCGTACCATACCATTTGGATGGAATTGGGGAAAAGGTTGGGAAAAATGCAGAAAAAACTTGCCATGTACCCCAAAACTGGATTCGAGAAGACGACAACGATGGAGAAGAGCAAGAGGAAATGAAGAGAGAAAGGTTGACAGAAGAAGGATAGCCAAAGTATCCCACGTACAACAAGCTGACTGGTCCCAAATGCGGGCGGAGCGAAAACAAAACAACATGCGCCTCCCACGTAGGTCGAGTGCGTCAGATATGATACAGGCATCCGTGCTGGAAAGCATTAAGGGAAAAGGTTCGTCCTGGACCGGTGCCGTTGGGTATTGGAAAAACAATGTTTGGAATGAAAACCCTCGAGGCGATCGAATGGGCGACTGACAAATACTGAAAGGGTCATCTCATGGTGGGGAAAGAAAATGTCGTGACGAGGCGAGGTGGCTGTCCGCAACAGCGTTACCACTTCTTATTCCTCTTCTCATTCTTTTCGCCCTTGCCCTTTCCATCCTTGTTCTCCTTCTCCTTCTTCTTTTCCTTTTCCTTCTTCTTGCTCTTCATTGCTTTGAATGAATCACTGATCCCGTCTTTGAACTTCTCCCAGGGGTTTCGGTTGAGCCTGTTGCTCAATTGACGATAGTTGTACATCTCGGCCCAGCAGTCACGTCCCCACTCACATCCAGCCATGTTGACGAGGAAGTCGCGGTCTCGTTCCTGGTAGTGGATCTTCGGGTCGTCTCCTTTGTCTCCGCAAGCTCCTGGAGGGAAGCTGTTGACCTTGCGCTGGTGGATGAATGCGACGTGGGATCGAATCCATGGCTGGTTGGTGTACATGTACTCCAATGCATCTTGTTCCTTGTGCTCCCATTCCATGTGCTTTTGTTCATAGCCAACGGGATCCCACCAGATGTCTAGTAGACGATCCGTCCAGATGCTCCGGCGAACGAAGAAAGAGCCCAGGTTGAAGCCGCCGCAGTCTTGTGGCACGATCAAATTTATAGAGTCGCTTCGTCCATCACCAACGGGAGAGAGGCTCTCTGGGTCCAGGTATGGGTCCGTCGGGGGGTGAGAGATGTTGAGAGGGTTGTAGTGGTTGATGTCCCGGTACGTGATGTCCTTCAGATTATTGAAGATGTGCTTTTGCAGGGAGTATCCGGGCTCCATGATGAAGGTGTTCGTATCCAACCACCAGAACCTATGCATTGGTTAGTAGGGGCAATTGGATGTGAGTTGGCGCAATACGAACCATTCGGCATGCGGGTACTTGCGCATGGCATTCTTGATAGTGTCCACCTTCTCCCAGCTCTCCCTCCACTCGTGAGCATAGCGCTTCTTCGTGCTCATATCAACAATCTCCAAATCATATCCCCATCGCTGAGTGTACTTCTTCTTGTTCTTCACACTGTCTCTCTCAATTGCCCACTCTCGGGGTCCCTTCCACTCCATCACACCACCACCCTGATTGGCGGCGAGGATGATTACGAATTTGTTTCCGCCGCCGAAGATGGATGATCTCCTAAATATGCGATGCAAAGCTATCACGGAGGGGTCAGCAACAGACTCGAAATCTGCAATTGCTGGGCGGCGATGAACTTACGTGTAACATAGAAAAGTATTATGCTGACCACTACCAGCAGCACCAATCCAACTGAGCGTCTCAGACGCCACAGGTTCCGTCCGATCCTGTTCAGAATCTGCAATGCCGGGTGTCCTTTGTGGTGCCCCCGGCTCATCTTCTCCTTCTCGGCGCTATGGCTGAAGGGCAAGCTGGTAGAAATTTTCCGGAAGTGCTTTCCAAAGAAGCCCTGGTTCCGGGGTGTGAATGCGGCGTATCCCTTCACTTCTGCGCTCCTCGCCTGGGCTGAGGCCCAAGTTACGTTGTGTGCTCCCCCATTGCCGTAGGGACTCGCCCGTCCGCTCGAATCGTACGGGGTGCTGAGGCCGGGACTCGACCAACCGCCAGGTCGGGGAGATGGTGTTCGAGACATGTCGTTCTGAATGCCCGGAGTGCCTGGTATTGTAGATAGGCCTGGTGTGCCTGGAATAGTAGCGAGACCCTCCCCCAAACTGCCGCCAGCTACGCCGCTGGTGGTTCCGAATCGAGATCGCGAATTGGTGTTATCGGGGAGATTGAGAGAAGGAGGTACGTTTCTCGCGGCGGACGATCGCCTCCGACGATGGCCAGCGGTGGCGGTGAAAGAAGCCGGTGAAGCCAGGGTGACGGAGGTTTATTCTGATAGAGAAAGGAATGAAGGGGGTTCGTCTGGAGACTCGTGTCAAGGGCGTGGCTTGTGATGGATGCCAAGGAAAACGACAGGGCTGGATTGGGGGAAGGAGAGCGGCGGGCGTGCAAGGAATTGAGCCTTCAATATGTATATCTCAGTCGCACCGCAGACCCAAGCAAGGCTTCTCGACGGCGGACTGAGTGCTGCGATTAAAAAAGGCCAGCTGGCCGGGGAAAGGGTGATGCGATTGAAACTCGTCGAGCGAGGGCGGCGGCGTGAAGGTTGCACTGAGGCGGAAAGGAGAATTCGAGGGAGTAGCTGGTGGAACGTAGAAAGTTACGGAGAATAAATGCGGGACCATACACTGCACTTTTGTAGAGTAACAAGTAGCTTACTGACTGCGGGTGTCCGCACCGTCAGCGAGGGAGACCGTAGACGGCGATTTTTTGCTTGAAGTCTTGGAACTCCGTGGCCCCGTTGTTGAAAATGGTAGATGTGTAGGTAGATCAAATTTCAAGCAGGACTCAGGAGGTTTTCCATCTTTGAAGGGCAAAAGGGAAGGGAAGGGGGGGAGGATCTTCTCCTTCGACCATCACAATTAGGACTGGCGATTGAAATTATCACTACCGTGTCCATACTGGATTGAACTTTTTTGACCCAACCGAGCATCTTGGCGAACGCGATTAGGAAATCTAAAAAGGATCTTATTAAGTACGGAGTCGTTAATAGTTCATTCGCCATCTTCTTCTCCTCCCCTAGTTAACTACTTGTATCTAGCATCTCCGATACGAATGGCTAGGGACAACGACATCCGATTGATTCTTGATATCTTCTTGAGCCAATACCATCCCTCCGATTTCCTTTTCATTCGTTTTTTATCTTCTTAACACAGTATCTTCTTCTAACCTTTTATACAAACCAATCCTGCAAGTAATGATTATCCGCTCCCTTTCGCATACAGGGTCTTGACTCGTGCCACTCTCCCTCAGCTGCTTACCCTGCGCGCGGATGCCCACCCACAGTCATACACACAAATTACAATTGCAATCCTACTCCATACAGAGATTACATTTCGATCAAGGTCCCCAGCTGTATAGAGCCAATGACGAGGCCAGCCTCGAGGAACAGGTCAGATGGGCGCAATGGGAATCAGATAGTAGCGGCGGACGCCTCGCGCGAGACCTGCAGGGGCCCGCCCGCTATCTCACTAGAATCAAGAGAGAATGCCGTAGTGTACCAAAACTCCTACACATTGATTCCTAACCCCCTATCTAGATATTCCATTCATCATCAATTGAAGATTGAACACGGTAAAATGGCTACTCTTTGCCAACTACCATTTGAGACAGAGACCGAAGCGAGATCCAACTTGTCATGTGCCTCTCGCCACCCGTGCACCATGTCTTAACTGTTGGCTTTGCGTCCTGTCCCCTCCCTGCCTATCATGTGTACCTCCCCGTATTCAACTCTGTAGCATGGTCTGGAACCGAAAGCAAGAGACGACTATCCTACCAATCAGAACCTCGAATCTGCTTCTACACCAGCCTTGGTCCCGCTGTAGATATACAAAGTCGGTCGCGAGGGGACAGATTTCTAAGACAAGAAAGGTCCAATGGATACACAGTGTAGGAAAGGGGGACGAGGGACGATTGCCTTCTTTGATGATAATTACTCCACACGCACCCAGTCAGACATTGCAAACCAATGTTCACAGGACGAGTAGTCTGGACGTTTCACTGTATAAAGAATTTGTGGTTCGCTAAAGGTTGTTGTTCTGTTAAGCCCGCCCTGACAGTCACTTGTACCGTGTCAAAGCGTATTCCTGCATTGAATCTGAAGGTGTATAGCTGATTGTTTATCGCATCGTACGGCACAGAGCTGATGTTATATAGCCCCAAGAAATTAAGGCATTTAAGATTACACCATAGCATGCCTATCTCGCTGCGGAGGTGGTCGCAGGAATGGCCCGCCGCACTTCCTTCTTCCTCCTCTGGCCGGGGTGCGAGAGCAGAAAGCAGAAGTCGGCGTTTCTTTGTACGCCCAATAGATATGATATGATTATGCTGTGCGATTGAACATGAAATCGAGGTTCCTTGCTGGACAACTTGGATCGATTGTTGAGACATGCAACGACTACTTCGTGCAGTATAACTTCTTCACCTTGCGCTCTCAGCATTTCTGTGTAGAGTGATGTAGACTTGCCCCTTCAGAGTCAGTCTTCGCTATAATCTTGTAGGCCCCTTTCCAAAGTCCTCAATGCACATATCCTGTGGACTTCCAACATGTCCTGACAGCAAACCCACCGCCCTCGTCCTCATGCATCATTTACCGCCTCAATTATCCCATCTCCCCACCCCAACATGCCCCAAACGGAACCCAAGCATCATAACCGTTCGCGCCCCGACCCGTACATACATGCATATCTACCACGTCGTCGGAGGCAAACATGCCATCGACGTACAATTACCCATGTGACCACGATTGCACTCACTCACCTGCACCCATTTTGCCCCCCGAGCGCCAGATCGCACACCCGTCTTCCTCCTCCCCTGCGAATCGACCTCCGCAAACCACAACCATTGGATGGGGGAGCTTCGCAACGCATGACCCGGAAACGGTCCAGCAGGGCATGCTCAGGAACGCAAGCTTGGCGGGCGCTTAACGACCTCTTCGTTGGTTGGACGGAGCCCTTCAGGCTTCAACATTCTCTCCGCACGTACCCTCACAACTTGCTTTTCTCTTCCATTCGTCGGCGCTGGCAAATACGTCTGCTAGTTCGGATGTCGTACATGTGGACGGCTAGCGAATCGACGGGCGGTTATGAGCCTCAATGGCGCCCGCTACGACCTTTGGTACCTTTTCTCCCGGACGCGTCGACGACCAATCAGCGGGGCGATGCGGCGCTTTCGTACAGCATTCGTAGGTCCTGTCGTCCGTGAGAGGACTGTCTGTCTACACAGTGCGTTTGAATTGGGCCGGGCGGTTCTAGCAAATTAAAGGCTGGAGCTGCAGACTCGTACAAGGCGGCGCTATATGCAAGCAAGATACAAGGTTTGGGGTCAATAGAAGTCGTGGAATGGTTGGGGACTTGGAGTCGCGTGTGTTGTCGACTTGTATCTACTCGTCTTTTCCGACTTTTTCGTCGTCTTCTGTCTTCCACTCACACGTTCCTTCTTCTTCACTTACTACTGCATCGTTTTGCTGCCTTGCTATTCAGAGGGGGTTTGTTTCTTCTTATTGTTATTGTATTCGTCCGTTATTATAGTCGCTCGCCCCATTTGGGTTTCCAAACCCAGCAACAATAGAACAAACACAAACCGTCACAGACAGTCATTGTTTCAGCCACAGCCAATCAACGTCGCCGCCTGCGTAGAACAATGCATTGTTCATGAGGGCCTACATACATTACATTCAGAGTGCTCCCGAGATCTCAAAAGATTCCCCCCGTTCAAGTTCTTTTTTCCTTTTTTCCTTTCATTCAGAGCCACTGGGGTAGAAAGAGCGAAGATTTGCAAGTAATATCGAGAGAACAAAGAAAGAGAAGAAGAAGCGATTGCAGCAGCCATGAGCAACGCCTACGCTGGCTCGTTTGGCCAAACTCACACTGATGCCTACCACGAATCACAACCATACAACAACAACACTTACGCTCAGTCCGACACGACGACGCTAGAGAACGTCAGATATGAAGGAGACGCCCAGATCGCCGCTCGCAGGGCCATGTCGAAACGCAACTCACGATCATACTCCGCCCGGGTCGCCCGCGTGAAGTCGTGGAAGAAGAAGGAGAGGCTCATGGGGAAGCCGGCGAAACCTACCATCGACACGAGCTTCACGAGGCACAAGGGGATGGTGCCCCGTCAGATGTACCCGCAGGAGAGCCATGTTGTCAGCAGGGGTAGCTCAGTGTCGAAGCACAACTTCCTCGGGCTGGGGAGGTCGTCGACGAGGATGAGGGGACTGGGCATTATGAAGGGGACGCCGCAGCCGGAAGTGCCTCGCGAGGATGTTGCTCATAAGGACATCGAGCATAAGGGTGTGGAAGCTCTGGCACCCGCCGAACAGACGTGGACTGAGATCTCGCCGTCAGACCGACCCATTCCAATCGGTATCTCCATCCCGTCCGATAGCATCGCGGACTTCAGTCCATACCAGTCGACTCGCCTGAGATCGGCAAGTGATGCCACCTTGGTCACACCCAGCATCATCGTCACGCCTGCGGCTGCTATGAAGTCGGTGTGGTCACCTGACACTGAGTCGGAGTACACCCCCAGTGTCTACTCTCGAGCTACCTTTAACCCATCTACGATGTCGAACGTTCCACCGGTCCCAGCGATCCCAGCAGATGTCTCGAAATCGGCAGTCTGGAAGCCTGGCAATGATGCCAGTCAGATGAACGGCCAGCAGTTTCCATCTCGTCCCAGGCACGACACACTCGACTCTGCAGGCACTGCCTTCGAGGATGATGAGTCTCCGGTGAGGCCAAAGGAGCGGATAACCTCCACAGCTACCGTTTTCGAAGAAGACGAGATCCCACTCCGCTCGAAGGAGATGCGGTCGCACGCACTGTCTATCGACACTGCGTCAGTGGTCCCGACACCCAGGAGATCGCAAGGATGGTGGAACTTCATCACAACGCCATTTGAATTCACCCGTGCAAACTCGACGTGGACACAGAACGGACGACATGCCGACCAAACGCCTGATATCCCCATGATGCCCCAGCAGATGAACCGAGCGGTAGATTCGCCATCGACCCCTTCGACGTATATCTGGTCGGCCACAGAGAAGAGCCCGTCTGATGACGGTAGATCGCTCAACATGACGATCGCTTTGTCGACAGCACTCGCCAACCAGTATAGCAACGAGAAGTCGTCGTTTGGCGATGTTGGTAACAACAAAGGCTTGTCTGATTCGTTCCAACCCACCAACCAGACCAGAGCGAACGAAAGGGCCTTCAATGCCAGCGAACCAGTCAAGACGTCTGGTGATGAAGATCGTCAACAACAATCGAAAGCAATTGCTCACGATGACACGAATGTGACTTCGCCTCTGTCCGCCATGTCTGCGTCTCCCGTTATAGGCACTGCGGCGATTGGTACCGTTCTCAATGCCCGACAGATCCAAGAGCCACCGCAGCAGTACCAGGCTTTCCCACCTCCACCGCCCATCACCATTCACATCGAGATGCATGATAGGACCCGCGAGGGAGGCGTTGAGACGTCAAATGCCAACTCACAGCGGACGATTGCTCCAGCCTTTGAGTCATCAAATTCAAATGCATCGTCCAACGCACCGACACAAACCATTACATATTTCCCACCTCCACCGCCAGCTCGATCGCCCCAGCATACACCACCACCGCAGATTTACGGCATGGTCGGTACACAACGTAGCAGCCCTGCTCCTATATCACAACCACCACCGGAATTCCTGCCACCACCTCGCGTTGCGTATAGTGCTCACAATACCTCTGACAACCACAACAGCCGATCGAGCACGCCCGTATCGGAGGACGTCAAACTCAAGAAGCAGAAGCCGAAGAAGCATAGGAAGGTCTTCAACCTGATGGAGTGGCTGCCCTGGAAGAAGCGAGCGGACAGCGACAAGGACCCGAAAGCGGAGAAGAAGAGCAATCGACGCCGGAAGTTGTGTTTGGGCTGCTGCTGCTGCATCATCATCCTCATTCTTCTCGCCATCATCATTCCCATCATCGTGGTTGTGGTAGGCCGGAACTCGAACCACAATAATAACAATAATAACAACAACAACGGCAACGGTAACGGCAACTCGGATAATGCACCAGAAGCTGCGCCGCTACAGCCAGGGCAGTGGATGAATCTGACGGGCTACCCACCGATACCTACGGGAATCTCCACGATATCTCAGCCCGAAGCTGTGGACGCTGAAAAGGGATGTGTAGCTACGTCCACGATCTGGAGCTGTGCTATCCCTAAGGATGATCAGAAGACCGACAGCCGCAACAAGCCAGACCAGCCGAACCTCAAGATCGAAATCACATTCGAAAACGGCACGGTTCGTGATCCCTCGAAGACGCTTCCAGCCCGTAGAGCCGTCAACCCTGTATCAGCAGGTGCCCTTGTCCGATCAAGGTTCTTAAACAGTAGGGCAGAGGCCTCAGCCGTTCCAGCTCCTCCAAGCACTGCAGACTACAATTTCCTTGGAAACACCACGGACGCGAACCAGCAGCCCTTCGAGGGCGAGGAGACTCCCTTCTTCGTCACTCTCCTGAACCCGGACTCTCAGAAAGCCCAGTCACGCCGCCTTGCTCTTCGCGCCGACAGCGACCCAGCCTCCAACATCACCAGCGGCATCCCCGATCCCTCACTGGACCCAGACGGCACCGCCGCAGCCGCAAATCTCTTCCCGACCGCCTCGCACCAACCGCTCCGACTCTTCAACCGCGGCAAGCCTGACGAACACTACGGCTACTTCGTCTACTACGACCGCTCCATCTTCCTGAAGGACATCTCGCGGAACTTCACCAACGGCGGCAACCCGGCCGACGTGGACGGCGGGTCTCGCAAGGACGCCGCCACCCTGCGCTGCACATGGTCCCAGACGCGGTTCCTCGTGCAGATCTGGACACGCAGCCAGGCTTCCAAGCCTCTGCTGCGCTCAGGCAGCGGCGAGTCTACGGATCCGCTCATCAGGCCGGGCACGTTCCCGTATCCAGTCACGGTGATGCTGGACCGCCACGGCGGGAGGGCGGACAAGAAGATGGTGTATTGCTACAAGATGGAGAAGGACGGGACGATCGTGAACAAGGAGGAGAACAAGAGCTTCGTGCTCGAGGACCGGAGGTTCGGTGGCACGCTTGTCAATCCTGCGCGAGGCATCTCGCAGAACGTCCAGGGGCCTGTGGATGGCGGGACGGGAGGGTGCGCGTGCAAGTGGCAGAATTGGAGTACTGCTTGAGATGGCGGATCCGTCGATGCGGTCATCGTCGTCAATCTATCGTCAGATTCGGTGGCATCGCTTCTGGTTTTATCATTACCACCATTATTTGGTTTTCCTTTGTTTCAGACATTCTTCATGCAGAGTAAGCATATGTGCATATGGGCGGCGTCTCTCGGTTGCATTGGTACTGGATTCCCCGTCACGGGAAAGATGGAAAAAAAGAGAAACAGGTCATGATACGGCCAACACACGGTCAAGGGACCGATCATTGTATAAAAACGATCACATTCGATAAAGGGATCGAAGGACCACTGGATGATCCAACGATTCGATACCCGTATATTCTTTTACTGGATTTGAGGTAGAATGAGGAATAGTAATTAAAGTTAGATAGTAATAATGAGAGAGAAAGCTTGCGAACAATAACGGCTTGGATTTTCTGATCTTGTGATGAGCATTACCATTGGCGGCGGGTTTGTCTGTGTACTGCGTTCCTAGGTACACACATGTAAATGAGGAGTCGCCTATTAGGACAGTCAGTAGTGGTCCGCAAGGAACCGATCGTTGGCTATGAAAGTCTTTGGCGCGAGCTTGCTTGCTTGCCGACGCAGCGATGTATGTTTACGAATGTAGATGTCCCGAAGGGTTTACGATAACTTATTTGAGACGGTTGACCCTCGGTATACTATGGTCACGCTCGACATTTCCAGACAGCGGGAGCCGTTGGTGCTAGGAAGACTGGCGAAGTGTGTGGGGTACATGGGTGGAAAGAAGTCTGGTTGAGCAGTAATGTAGCCGGGTTGATTTATGAGTTATGAATGGGGAATTGTGCCGGTGTGGGATAGTTGCAGGATGCAATATTATGCATAGATATGGTACGGTGCTGCGAACGGCATTGCCGTTGAGTGGTAGTGGGAGTAGTGGTGGTACGTAAGTGTTAGGAATGATGATGTGTCTCGGTAATTATTGATTGAGCTGAGAGATGGAGATTGGTATGGGATGAGGTTCAGCATAGCGTATGGGAGTCAGTGGTCCGTAGTCAGTCAGTAGTGGTGATGTGTAATATGATGTGTGATTGAAAGAGCGTTGTCGTTGCGATGGACAATAATGGACGATGGACGATGGTGGATGGATGGTCGGAGGCGGCCTTGAAGGCGCCGGGTCCCGACTTGGCTAGACTAGTGCTAGCGCCCAGAGTGGCAAGGGTCGGGCAGTGGCGGCATTAGCGGAGGAATCTTCACTCGCGCAGAGTCTGGCTCTTCTGGCCACAGAGATGGAGTCGTGCCTACACGTGGGTGTCATCTTCCATTCTCATTGGCTCATCTGAACCTCATCTTCTCAACACCAAAAAAGAAAGATACGACGTCCCAACCTGCAAGCAACGACGGGGATCTTCACATTGGAGATTATTCCCTTCTGCTAATTCCTTCCGGCCCTTTTGCCAATGCACCTCCGCCTAGGGCCACGGAATCGAAGAACAGTGCCCTCTCGGCTGTCTTGTCTCCTTGAGCAAGCACTGCCATACAGGAGCTTGGGAAGCTTGTCCAGTCCTCTTGATCTCCGTCCTCTCCTTGGCGTGCGTCAGTTCTAACGTCCTCTACTGTAATGTGAGGCTGGAGAGAGGCTCTATTGATAGCTCGTGCAAAAAGATGGAGGATCAGATACCCCCCCTCAAAAGGCTTGCGGGATTGTTAGCGAGGGTAGCATGATCTGCATATGCATCTCAACATCAGCCAACGACAATTTAATGTGTCAGTCCAGATCTGTTTACATTGCAGAGAAAATGGGGTCTAGGGGCGTGGGACCGTACTTATTTTTTCATGGTTCAGGGCTGGTTTTTGATCGCGTGCCCTCCTTCCCTACTCGGAGTGGGGACAACGCCTGCACTTACTTACACACCACACTACTGTGTACGCACCTACACACCAAGACTATGGCTATGGTATGGATATGGGATGTTCTACGCTTTTATGGCCTGTTGGCTGTGAGTGCCGCGGTTCCAAAGAAAATCAATACCCCAGGGCCCAGGAGCAACCCACCATTCGAACTAGAAACATTTTTCTTTGCCGCTCCCTCTACTAGGTACTAGGTACTACTCTCTGGGCGCCCGCTATAAAGCTGTATTTCCATCCTGATAACCTTTTGCTTCCATCGGCCACCTCCCTCGACCGAGCCTGGTGCAAGAATTCTTGCCCGCTCTCTTTCTTCGCCGAACCTCCCATCCGCCAATTCGTTATTCTCCAATTGGCAATTGCACATCTCTTCTTGTCCCCATTAAGCATTGCTGTCCTTCCAGCAATTGTCCGTGTCGACATAGTCCCAATCTCGGAACAGGGCGGAATCATTCATAGCAATCCAAGATCATCTCTAATCCACAAACTCCGTTGCTCTCCCAGCCACTCAGGGTCCTTTGCGCGCACCACGTTCTTCCTCCTCGCCTTCTTGCTGGCGCTCGTCAACCACCGACCACAACGGGTTCCGAGCTTCATCGACGTCATCAGGCGCAACATTCTCAACCTCCCATCGATTTTATCTTCAGCCCTGCAGAAATAAGCCTGCGCAATAAAAAGCTTAAGTAGTCTTCCAAGGAAGATCTTTCTCGGCCAACTCACTCGCGACCAATTCTTCCTCTTCTTTGGCAGGTGGAATTCGAGGACTTCCGGCACAGTCGCAATGGACGAAGATTCGATCAGAGATTATGGCGCTGCCGCGCCCCATGGTCCTAATATGCCCGGCCATCATGCCCATCCTATGGATATCCGACATGATATGAGCGCCAACGAGGCTAGTGTCTTCCACAGCATTCTTCATCCGGATGATATCTACGACGAGAATGGCACCTACTGGGCTGACCTCCCAGTGGGAAAGCGCCTCAAATTCGTTACTAGCGTCGACGCTCAAGAGGCCAAGGACGAGGCCAAATCGATCTGGGTGATGTTCAAGAATGATCCTCTCAGCCCCGTCGGTTACTACCTGAAGAACATGGTGGTTCCTGGTGCTGGTCTTCTTCTCGAAGGGTAATTCTTGATTCCTCACTCTTCTTCATGTTCTCTTTCTGACTCGTTGTAGTTACGTGCTTTTCTCCATCGGCAATATTCGACCTCTGCTGCAGGCTGCTTTCCCAAGCTGCTGGAAGACTCACGAAACCTGTGATGAGACCTGGACCCAGGCCATCGACTACCTCGAGATCGTGGGTATCATTGTCGGTATGTATCAGCTCACCAGCACCACGCACATGTCGAAACGGCGCTAATATCCTCCAGGTCAAATTCTCGTTGGTGTCATCGGTGACTGGCTTGGTCGACGCTGGGGTTTGATCCAGGACGCAGTCATCATGTTTGTCGGTTTGCTCATGCTCACTGCCGCTTGGGGTGTCACCCAGAACGGCTGGGTCATTTGCTACGTCTGGTCTCTCTTCTTCTACGGCATTGGTGTCGGAGGAGAATATCCCATGACAGCCACCTCTGGTATGGAGAACGCCGTCGGCTCCGGAAAGGTTTCTACCAAGGACGATCGTCTCCACCGTGGCCGCAAGGTCACCAGTGCCTTCTTGATGCAGGGTTGGGGTCAGTTTATCAACCAGGTTCTCCTCATCGTGCTGCTTCTCATCTTCCACCATGGAAGCGGAAACCCACCCTACTCCAAGGTCGCCGCTCAGTGGACCTACCGTATCAGTTTCGCCGTTCCCGCCGTCGGCACCCTCTGGCTCGTCTACTTCCGTTACTACAAGATGCAATCTGCTAGCAAGCAGCTCATGATTTCGAAGAAGCAGTCCAAGGTCACCGGATACGACACCAAATCTCTTAAGCTTACCCTCACTTACTTCGGCCCACGCCTTCTGGCCACGGCTGGTGCCTGGTTCGCCAACGACGTCTTCTTCTACGGCAACAAGCTTTTCCAGAACCAGTTCATTGCCGTTCTCACCCCCAACAACAAGTCCGTTATGGTCGGCTGGTTGTACAACCTCATCAACGTCGGTGTCTCCCTCGTCGGATACTACCTAGCATCCTTCCTCATCGACAACAAACTGTACGGACGCAAGTGGATGATGATTGTCGGCTTCATGGCCGATTTCGTTCTTTTCGTCGTGCCTGCCTTCGCTTACAAGTTCTTTACCAGCCCGGAACATATCCATGCTTTCCAGGCCATGTACTTCTTGTCTTCCTTCTTCAATCAATTCGGACCCAACAGTGTTACCTTCCTCGTCGCCGCCGAGGTCTTCCCTACTCCCATCCGCGCCACAGCGCACGGTTTCTCTGCCGCTGTTGGAAAGCTTGGCGCTCTCCTCGCTGCTGTTCTCTACAAGTAAGTTTAGTCCTCAGAAAGAAGGGTGGTTCAAAAACAGAATACTGACAGGTCTTCAGCTACATTGACACTCAAATGAAATTCTACGTCGTCCCCTGGTTCGGACTCGCTGGCGCCATCCTCACCTGGCTCTTTTTGCCCGACACCACCGGCTTGGACCTCAAGGAGCAAGAGCGCCGCTGGGCTTTCATCCGCGCGGGCCGCGAGGACGAATACCACGGCATCGCCATCCACCCCAAGCATCTCTCCGTGTGGGAGCGCTTCCGCGGCGTCGGCAAGAACTACGACGCAAAGCTCGACTACGAGGCCAAGATCGCAGAGATGCGGGCCGAGTGGGTGGCAGCCCAGGAGAGCAAGTTCAGCGAGAAGACCGAGGGCTTCGAGGAGGCTCCCGAGGGATTCGAGCCCAGCGTGCACAACTTCTTCGCCCGCACACACAAGCACTCCAACAAGAACGCCAACGGCGCGAACGGCAGCGGAGGCGTCCTCGAGCCCAAGACCATTCCGGATGGCGAGGACGGAAGCAGCACGTCCGACAGCCACTCGAAGACTCTCAACGAGAAATGAGAGAGAGAGTAACATATTCGCTACGCCGATGAGAATGGAGGAGTGTAGCAAAAGTTTCAGGTTTCTTTTTTAGCGAGCAAAGACTGGTTTTATGAAAGGTCTCAATTTTCCCTTTTTTACGATAATTAGACAGATACCCGTGCCATAGGCAAGCAGGAGGCAGTCGGGCACTGCAGAAGTAGCATAGCAGAGACATGGCAATGCATCATCATCATCATCATCATCATCATCACCACCACCATTACAATCGTCGCCTTCATTCCCCCCATTTCTCGCAACGTGATTATAGTGAGAAAACAGGAAAAGTCAAGTACCACAATCTCCAAAGCAAACTAAATAAAGAAAAGCATCCCAAGTCCATGGGACAACCACTCATGGCCATGTTAAATAAAAGCTACCACTCACGATCAGCGGGAGGCTCCCCATATAGGCTCAACGAGTTTGATTCAGGAAATGGGAATTGAGGAGAGGGGCAGGGGGAGTGTTGTCTACTGCCATCGTGAGGTTGCATGTCTAATTGATGCGGGGGGAAACCACGGATCGTGAGGGATCCGTGCCGTACCATACCATATTATGTAGAAGAGGGTATCGTGATTTATGTTATCATGACTTCGGCTTCTTTGTTTCAGTAGGACTTGGGAGATCATGGGGGATAGCAATGGGAAGGAAATGGAATTGTCACGATCTAGATATCAATCATGTATTAATGTTTATGTACGGAGCATGTATTTTGACAAAGTCCATTCTCATCTTTGTCCTCCGTATATGAGCGCATGTCGCCGCCATTCAATGATATACATTGAGACCACGAGGAGACTACAGCCTTCCAATGCTATCTCACTGTTTCTCTACCCTTCCCCTTCATGGATAGTCAACCATGACTGGACCCTTTCGCAACGGCGCGGTACGGATCGAAGCGAAGCTTACCTTCTCGTAGCTAGTAACGTCTTCCCTACGCATTCGGGATTGGCTGGTCCGGCCTTGCATATAAGTCCCTTTCCTTCCCTTCCTTCGTTCGTTCGTTGCTACGGTACCTAGGCGCAGGTATACACACCGTTGGGACGGACGAAGTGCAAAGGTACATAATGCAGTCGTCATCGATGCATTGTTTGGTGTTTCGAGTTTGAGTTTGTGGTAACATAGCATGTTCCCCACATGTTTTTGCTGTGTTGCGAGGGGAGACGTTCGGAATGGGAAGAAAGGGAGGGAGGCGTAATTTACGGGAGGCGAAGCTGGCGATCGGCAAAGCGGGCAAGCAAACGAAAGAACGAAAGAAACGCCACGGGAATGAGGTGGATGATCGTTTCTTCTTCTTCTGTGATTGCTCTATTTTGTTCCTATTCATAGATTGTCGGGGAGGTGGCGGACGGACAGACGGTGGGCTGCAGCATATCAAGGCACGGGAGCTAGAGAATCGCAGGACCAGCGAAAATAATTGTCCGAATCGCTCGATCTGCGATCCTGAAATCGTTCGTGACGAGGGTAGGGTAGGTCGTCGCTAGGCGGGCCTGGCCTGGCCTGGGGTTGTATGCAGCGCAGCCAGCATGCATGCATACATGGATTAATCAGGTACTGTGCTGTTCCGCGTAGATTGTCGACATTGTCAACTGTCTACATACATGCACCAGTTACAGATAGTCATCGCCCTGGCAAAAATCGAGAGAAGTTGGAATAAATCGACCGCCCTTGGTCTCTCGACAAAAAACAATCCATGTTTTCCGTTTGTTAGATGCATGCAGATACTGTACCTGTACGACCAGGCACGGGAAAAGGTGTCACTTGGTCACAACGTAACTTTTCTCTGATTGGGTTTCACAAAAGGACTGGTGCATTTGTGTGTCCAGCCAGCAATCGAACCGACCGGTCCAAACGCACGCCAATGTGGTACGACCCAACGTACGTTTGTTTCGAAAAAGACAAACCGTGCGGTAGGTACCTAGGTATGAGCGAGGGTGGCGTGTACGGCGGTTGCATGGAGATTGGTGACTGCAGGTGGTCGTGCAAAGGGAGATATGTGGAAGTGAAGTGAAGCACAGAGATCCGTCTTCTGTGCACTGGTTAGATCTTGGGACATGCTCAAACAGACAGTGCTCGCTCCCACACGCCACCCGCACACACATTGATTGTCAAGAGGCGAAAATGATGTAAAACATGGAGTGTCCTAGTTGTAGTAAACATAGAACGTGATGGAGGATCAACATGGTGTTCTCGCCTGTGCCTTGGCTGAATGCTTGTTGTTGTTTTATCCATACATATCCATATCCTTGTTTGGGCTTCAATTCATCCATCCATGCATCCATCTATTCAAACATCCACCCACCCGCCTTGCTGGTATCAACTAGCAACGCGGAGACGAGTGGCGATCAGGATCGGGATGTGTCCTTGACTTCACAATTAACTAGTTAGTGTGCACATACGGAGTACATTCATTCACTCATTTGGCTCGCACTGGCCGCAATCCGAGCCGGGCCTCCCTTTCTGTAGCTTTGCTTGGTAGCCAGAGAAATGCTCTGCTCCCCCCCAGGCAACCCTCACTCACTCACTTGACACTCACTTGACGCTCATACACTCAATCACTCACTCACTAGCCACCTAGCCACCTAGCCACCTAGCTTCCTAGCACACTTAAGTACATTTGCATTTCTGGCCTTTATATCTCTTCCCCTCCTCTCTTCCTCTCTCTCTCTCTCTTCTTCTTCTCTCCACCCGCACTCTATCCAACTTCAATTACCTATCAGTCGATCCTCAATCTTTCGTCTGCTAATAGTGTGCTCGTCGTTCACTCGCTCCTACGACCAGTCATATCCATATCATTCTTCTACGGTACATATCCTGCCTTTACTTTACTTTACCCTAACAACAACACCACCCACAACCTTCAACCTTCTCTACCTAAACAAAACAACAACCCATTCTTTCAACATGCGTTACTTCGCTTTGATCACCATCGCCGCTCTCGGTGTCCAGGCCGTTCCTCAATGGTCTGTCCAGCCCATCACCCAGATCTCCGACGGTCAGATCCAAGCTCCTCCAGCAACCTCTGTTCCCGTGGTGGTCTCCTCTGCTCCTCCGTTTGAGCCCTCTGTTCCGGTCGTCCCATCGGTCCCGGTTGAGCCCTCCAAGCCAGCTTCACCTTCGGTGCCTGTCGCGCCTTCGGTGCCAGTGGTCCCGTCAGTGCCAGTCGTGCCATCTGTTCCAGTCGGTAAGTGAAAGATATCTACACTACTAATCGCTAAATGCGCTACACGTTACTGACATACGCACCCAGTCCCGTCTGTCCCCGTTGAGACTCCACCAGTGGTTCCATCCGTCCCCATTGCTCCTCCTCCGGTGGTCTCTTCCATCGTCCCCGTTGTGCCTTCAGTCCCGGCCAATACTTCGGTCCCAGCAACCTCTGCCGCGCCGTCGTTCCCCAACTCGTCGGTTCCCGTGACCACGGCCGCGAAGTCCACTCCAGCTAAGAGCTTGGCTCCGTCTACCTCTGCACCAGCTGAGGCCACAGGCGCTGCCGCTCTCAATATGGTCTCCTTCGGCGGCATCGCCTTGGCCGTTGCTGGCCTCGTCCTCTAGACGAACTCCGCGATTGCGGTCATTCTCGGTAAGTTTCTCCAGTCAAAACATCTGGTCGAACAATCACTCATACATTCGACACAGGTTTATACCCTTTTTGGCTTCACTGATCACGGTGTGATCGGTAGTGACGGCAGGATGGGGGCTTTTTTAATTCAGGGTCAAACGGGTGGATAGGCGGCGTCAGGTACACACAACTACACACAAAACCTTTGTTTCCCCCTTTCCAGACTTTTTTGTTTCTAGTCATGCTCATTCACCTCTCTAATGTCATACACACGAAACACACGATTCCGGATTGCAAAATGGCATGATTGAAAAATAAGGTCACAAACTGTATAGATAGTAATAATACCAAACACACACACACACACACATCCAAAACAAAACCAGCCAAAATGCGAAATGCGAGCGAATTGAGAGATTTGGTTCAAAGGCCGCCGCGTGCGCAACAAACACGCTCCTGACAGGAACAGGTCTCTCTCCTCCTTCTCTCCCTTGATACCCACCTGCGTGTGACTCATTCTTTGAATCGAGGGGCCAACGCGTTCCGCGTTACACGAGGGGTGTTGTCCCAATAATTTGCACTTGCTGGAATGCATCTGAATCGGGGCTCGAGCGATCCGCGATCGTACGTACCCGTACCAGTACCCAAACGCGGCTATTTTTCAAACGAAATTTTTTACGACTGCTCGCCACCCACATGAACAGTAAACAGTAAACACTCACTCCCGGAAGGGTGGGGTGAGAAGATGATGTTGGATTTACGTTTTGCGAAAGATGTCTTTGATATGCAGGAACGAAAGGGGAACTCTCGCGTGTAGTCGCTTAGTTTGCTGGCTGGGTGAGACGAGCGGGCCAATCATGTGCGTGCGTGGGCGTGGACCATTCCACGCCACAGTGAGTGATCTCAGACCCCTTGAGTGTAAGGAGACGACAGATATAGGGAGTGGTTTGTACGCAAGTACGGAGGGTTGATCACGACTGGGGAGTTGATTAGATTTTCGAGATGGAAGATTTGGGATACGTAGCAGCTGTAGTATGCCACTGTTACTATGCATTATCAACATATTCTTCTTACAAGTCTAACTTAGGTATTCCAAGATATAAATTTCAATCGAAGGGAAGTGCTTTCCCAGTTCAACAAAGTATGTAAATGTCACATTCACACGTGCTACTGAGTTCGTCTGTGCCATCATGCTAGATTTAAAACCACTTTCTGTGCAGACAAGGTACGGTATTTATATCTATCGCTTCGATTGTTGAAACGCTTCCATATGGCAAGAGTAACAACAATAAGCTTCTCGTTTATATATATTCACGTGAGTAGAGAAGGAACCCATCTTAAGGAGACTACACGTTGTAGTGTCAGTGTTTTTGTATCTTTGTCCTATGGTTCCACTTCCACTTCCACTGCCACTTCTTACTCCACCATTAGCCCTGGGAGAGAGATTGATAGTTGATACACATTCGTCGTCATTACTTCCTCTCTCCACAGTACAATTTACGAGTATGATAACAGAGAGAAGAAGAATCCAGGTTTAGTACACAATCGTTGCCATCTCATCTATATACCGTATAAAGTATGCAATTGGGTTGACGTTCATGTGATTGAATGGAAGGTAAGTTCTTTCTCATACCATCTACACATATCTCTCTATCTCAGTGTTTTACAATCCAAACCAGAAACCCACAAACGCAAGTACAACCCCACCGAATCAACACTACTCATAAGCCCTCCCCCCAAACTCAATCCCCAACTCCCTCACCGTATCCCAACAATGCCCCAGCACGACCTTCGCCCCCGTCCTCCTCTTCAACCCCTTAATCATCTGATGGCTCCGCACCCACGCATCGTGATCCCTCGCCAACCACCCCTGCGGCAAATCCTGCTCAAAGTTCTCCTTGACATGATACTGGTCGCTCGTGAACACCCACGTGCCGGACTCCCTCAAGTTAAGCTGCAAGATACTCAGCCCGGGGGTGTGGCCGGGGGAATGGTGGATGTTTATCCCCGCCGCGAGCTCGAGGAACGACCCGTGGAAGGGCACCCAGTTGATGTCGAAGGTGAGGTAGTGGGGGAGGTAGACGCCGAGGTCGGAGCGCGTGGCGACGGCGTAGAAGGCGTGCTTGAGCTCGAGTTCGTGCACGTGGACGGGGATCCCCGTGTTGCGGAAGGGGGTAAGACCCCCAGCGTGGTCGAGGTGCAGGTGTCCGATTATCACCATCTTGATGTCGGTTATGGAGTTGCCCGTCGAGGCGATCTGTGCGGCGAGGTCCATGGTGGGAGTGTAGTCGACCCGCGTGAAGACGTCGTTGACTTGCGGGCCGACGACTTCCGGGTAGTCGGCGCCGGCGCCCGTTTCGTAGAGTATGAGGCCTTCGGTTGGGTGCGAGATGAGGTACGCGAGCATGATGAGTTTGCGGCGGAGGTTCGTGGGGTTGGGGTTCGAGAGGGAGGAGGTGTTGCCCTGTTTGGGGTTGTGTTGGTCATGGTCTTTGGTTTTGATATAGGGTTGGTTTCGTTCTTGGGGTTGGATGGTTGGATAGGGTGTGAATGGGTAAGGGATGTTGGGTTGAATTTACAGCGCGTTTGAGCCATCCTTCATCGCATTCGAGGTTCCCAAGGTGGAGAAACTGGAGATCGGGTCAGTCTATTCCAATGCCCTCTCGACAGTGACTCATGTAGGTGTGAATTGGGGCTGCCAGACCCATAGCTTGGTTCCCTGTACTTCAATGAGCTTTGGACTTTGTGACGATCAATTTGGATTTCACCTCTGGAGCTTGGTTTATCAGATCTATTGATGTTGCCATACTGTCTGTATATCTCGATTCCTCTTCTACGGATTTGAAATGAACGCGCGCGATGGTTACTCGCAACTGTTTCAAACTACAATCGCATTATAATCCCAGTGCGGACCACTCCGGGGGGGAACGTCCTTATAGTTCGGCAATCCGTCCAGCGGATGGTTCTTGTCCTAAGTTCGAATTCCGTGGGAAACGACCATGTAATAATATACGAATGTTACCAACCGTGGACTATAGCTCTTGTTGTGCCCCACACCACTGCATGACCAATCCACATGATGGAATAAGACCCCATTGATCCGAGTCTTCCAAATGGGCAGTTACAAATGCTTGTTTTGGGGTAATGATATTTTGCGAGATGTTGGAGAGAATGAGGGGTACTTTCGATGAGCCGTCGCGGGGCAAATCATGGGGAAATGACGAATGCATACGGAACCTTCGAGGTGGGGCAGGTATAGCGCTCTCGGTGCACTTAAGTAGAGTTCACACCACAACATATGAACAGATTCTGGTGATTGATAAAGTCAACTATTATGGGAGAATATAAATTGCTTCTTTTGAGATCAGAGTAAATTTCAAATGGAGCACATGTTTGAGAGATTCCGTAGTGAGAACTTCTGGATCTCACACTAGTAGTTGGCATGCAGTATCTGCCCTACAATCGAAGATTACCGATCTTCTACGGAGCTCGTAGGGTCATAGGTACCGCTCGGTACCGATGAATGATTGCAAAGTTCATACATCATGACGCTACTGGAAGACTATGCGAATTTGGGCCAGCTGAACAACCAATCCTGTTCTCTCACATTTCACATGAGAAAGCATAGCTCAGGGTCCAGCCATCCGCAGGTGACTGACTTACAACTATGGTTCCGCGACTTGCCTTACGAGGTATAATGGCAAGCACTCTCTTTGTTCATTTTCCGTTAACATCACGATGGACGTCAACAAAAGAGCAAAGGAAAAAGTGCCAATACACAACGACACCATGGCCCATCAAGCACCAACTCACGTCAAACACGACTCGTTCTTCGAGGATATGTTGGTAGATGCCAACAAGGAAGCTGCGGACGGGACAGGCTCGCTGAACAGCTCACCAGCTGCATCTGCAGGACTGGATGAATGCAGCGACATTATCAGCCGACTCGAGTCCCTCAGCTTGGACGAAGACCGAACACCTCGAGTAATGAGTCCAGACGTGTCTTCTCTTAATATCTCTTCCTCTTGTGCATCCTCCTCATTCCGGCTGATTCCCAGGAGATGCAGCGGGAATCAGCAGCCACCGCAAAGGCCAAGGTTGATGAGAAAAGCAGCCACAACTCCTCCAGAAATGTTGAAGATGCTATCGTCAGCGCCCCGACCGCCGAGAAGAGCAATCAGCGCAAGATTTACCAGACCGGACTTGCCTCTCGAGGATGGAGTGCATTGTAGTCTAGAACTGAGATCTCAGCACCCTAAGGAATCTCAATTTGGGACCTCCGTAGCCAAGTCAGCCATCAAGTCGCGCAAGAGCAAGGCTAGGTCGTTGGAAGGAGTCGGCTCCCACTACCAAGGTAGTCCTCGGAAACAAATGCCAAGTGCACAGCTGCAAAGGTACGAAGTGATATCAACCGAACCTGATGCACGATGTGTTGAGGGTGCCTCGGAAAGTACGCCCGTCAAGGCGATTCCACAATCGATTCAGGTAGAAGGCCTAGAAACGGGTTTGGCAGACTCCAGGAAGAGAGGTTTACCGGATGTACCTACCTCTGGGACAGAAACGCCTCGCGAGCTCTACGGTTTGCCAATGAAGAGACCCAGGCCGAGTCCCGCATCGCCTGGTGTCGGCCTGGGGAGGCGTAAGGTCTTGAGGCCAGCCAAGAGCAACAGGGAAAAGCCCCCTATCGTGCCTTTGGTTTCTCATGGTCAACCTCGAGGTCGTTTCGGACGCCGATCACTGCCGAGATTGTCGGAGCGAGATGTCTATTTGCCAGGACCCATCCGGCTCAATAATGGCGTCTTTACTTCTTCTCTATCCCTGATATCCAGTTTGGATCTCTTGGCAGGCCAAGAAGAACGCGACGACGTGCAGAGCAGAGCCGATGTGAGCATGTCAGACGAGACGGCCGAGTATTTTCAAGGGATGTGCGCCTGCAGGCCGGTGGGCGCGGATGAACTGGATAGGTTCTGGGAGCAGGAGGACCAGGACGATGAAGCAGAGGAAGACTCGGAACCTGTTACGACGCCTTCAACGCATGGTCCCGATTGGAAGGCGCGGGTGCGGCTTGGACTGGAGGAGCCAACGTCACCACCAAAGAGACCAAACAGTGTGGCACGAGTGAGTTCGACCAGTCGCCAGCTCAGCCGGCAAGGCAGGTTGGTGACGACGACTCCACCAAACGCCCGGCAGATGGTCAAGCTACGGCGCATTCTACGACCCGCAACATGGAGTTTGTAGGCTACCTTGGGGCTTGTACTGTACTCCGTATAATGGTTTCAATAGTCACATCGTAGAACATTTACAAATAGTCAATATGTAATAGCTGTCGAATGTGGACAAGGACCTTTCAGACATTGATAATTTCGATAATTCGACCATTCGACCATTTGGACAATTTCGGTGGGAGATCGGCGGCGATAACTCTACTCTGTTGTGCTAGAGGGAGATTACCGACACGTGCGGCCGTGGTGGTCTGTGAGGTAATGGAATATGGAGTGATGAGATTGCCTACACCGGATGGTAGGGTGCTCCTTGCGGCGTAGTGGATATGGCATCGTGTACAAAATGAACAAGTCGGAGGTTAGTAATTCGCAGATCATGATGACCTCTCTGAGGTTAGATCCAAACGCGATTCATGAGGACGATTTTGTGGATGCATGGTATCGCACCCTATCCTGCATGCTCGTACGAAACGAGTAGTCCAAGACGTTTGAAGAAATTCGCGTTTGATTGATTGACAAATTAATTGATTGAAGGGAATTGCTGCGGTAGGTGGTGGTTGTTACAAGGGCATGCTCGAACTTCCGTATCTGGCAGGTTTGGATTCAGCCCACCGGGAGGTCTGAGCTGTGTAACGGCAGATGCGATGCAATACGAGAACGGGTAAGCTGAGTGAGGTCATTCACCGGTGAAAATGTTGAGAGGACGAGGGTGGATGATGGAGAGACGGAACAGAGGAGCTGGAACGGTAAAGTCGCAGCAGAAAAAGAAAAGAAAAGAAGTAGGAAGGAACAGTGTGGGAGGGTTGCGATAGGACTGAAGAAGCCGGCATGTCGCATGATGAGCCACAGAGCAGGCCAAGGCTAACTAAGAGGGCGTTGAAAGAGAAAGAGTTGGAAGTTGATTGTATCAAGTTGAGGATGGAACAGTTCGGAGTAGACTCTGTCAACAATAGACAACCAGTATTTTGTAGAGGGGTAGAGAGTACTGAGTGATCCGTAGAGAGTGGACACTATTGGTAGTAAACATTATAGTGTGCTCTGTACTCTGTAGATACAGTAGACAGAAGACAGTAGCTACGAGTACATTGGCATCGTCGATAGTGTAGAGTGTAGGTAGACTGCAGACTCTGTAGAGCGTACTCGGGGTACGGAGTAGCGTGATGATTGATGTAACTGTTTGTTACTGCAAAAGTAGGTAGGAAGCAAAAGTGAGGCATCGAATGGGAAGAAGCCTGTCCCGAGTAGGTATTACGAGGTACTGTTTATGGCGTAGCAGTTAAGTTAGCTACAAGCAGTTAGTATACATGGATGGGATTGGATGAGGAATGGATGGGTGGCCCTGTGTGCTTCCCAGTCGCTCCTGCCTGTTACTGTTTGCTTTTGATTTGCTTTTGGTCGCTCTTGCCCATGTCTTCGATCCTCAACCCCCAGTCAGTCGTCGCTTCCTTCCCTGTCCCCTGTCAACTTGTCAATTGTGCCTTCCCTTCCCAAGCTCCCTTCTCATCCCGTAAACCTACTCGTACCCGCAATGGACACCACCAGCCAATCAGAGATGGCCAACACATCCCATCCACCACCATCAAGCATCCCTCCCGTACTCGTAACTCATCGTCCTCCATCGTCCTCCACCCACCACAACCACCAGATGCCAGTGACCAAGCCCACCTCACCCACTCACCCACATCCAACATCCCACCCATTCCCATACCCATACACGACTCGCGTCCCGTCATCTCCTCCCTGCTAAAAGCCCATCATCTCTCCACCACTCTCTTATCCCCCTCTTCTTCCTCTCCCTCTCCTCTACTTCACAGGATTCATTCCATCCCATCCACAGCCCCATTCTTCAAACCCTTTTACTTCACAGTACATACACCAGTACTCACTATTTGCTTCATTTCTCCATCCAAACAACACAACTCCACCGTACCCGTAAGTACCACCACCATGCACATCAATGACCCATCTACTCATCTTCCCATCGATTCAAATCCATCCATCCATGACTCCATTCACTCCATCCAGCGATCCCCTCGTGTTGATCATGCCGTCTAATCATCCTACAGATTGTTCATCCCGATTCCCCTTACTTAGCATCACCAACACTACAAGTTACAAACGTCCACTACCGCCATGGACGACTTCAAAAACATGGACTACTTCCAAATGCTCGAGCACGCCAAACAGGATTACTTGCGACGCAACGCACACCTCACTGAGGACCAAAAGCAACAGCAATGGCAAGACCTTTCAGCAGATCTGCTGCCAGGAAATGGACTCAACTTCTCCACTCCACACGTCCCCCGCTCCATGCCACCCATGCCCTACGGCACACCAGCTGCACCAGCAACGACATCACATTTCAGCAGAAGCGTCTATTCGGTACGGATTCCGCCTCTCTTTTTTGGTTGATCGTTTCCCCCTCCAATCGCCCATCTCTAACCGGCCCTAGGACCCCATCGACGTTTGCAACCCAATGGATCGCACAGTTTCCGCTCCCCTGCCAGTCTCCATGGGACGGTCACCATCCTCTCACGGCAACTTGGACAACGTCCTCCGCCGAACAGCATCCGCCATGTCTCCAAATACACGACAATCCGACCAGCTCATGAGTGACTACACTCTCACCTCTAACATCAACGCAGCCTCAAACCCTTTCCCGCTATCAAAGACAACTGACTGCGTCGAGTATTCTCTCGACGAATACTGCTCAATCCGCAACCCCCAACAGCAGCAGCAGCTGTCACCATACCCCTCCCCCCAGTCCTTCTCCCCCTTCACAGATCAATCTCAACTGATGACAAACATGCAGTGGAGCCCAGCAATGACTGATGGCTCCATATCGCCGGGTCCTTCGTCTGGAATGCTCACCCCAGCTACTATGTCAGATAGTAACATGGGTGGGCACGACGGCACGAACCCGCAATATCTCGATACTTTTTCTATGTTGCGTGTTCGTTCAGACTCTTCCAATATCTTGCCTATCCTCCCAGAGGATGGTTCTCAATTTCCTTTCTTTGATTCTAGTTCGAATTACGGCGCATGTGCCGATAATTCTCCTGTTTTCTTTCCTTTCACTCCTTCGAGTGAAAGCTTTCCTTCTGCACATTACGGTTCAAGTGTCCCGGCACTTGAATCAATTGGGGAACACAGTGACCTGGCGGAGGATATGAGGAGGTCTGTGTCAGCTCGTAGCGACAACAACGGAAGCTTCGCTTCGTCGTCGTCCACTAAATCCCGCTATCTTCAGCGGGACGACGAGATCAAGGCAAACGCCTCTCGCAAGATCGCCCCCAGGGTGATCGAGCAAGGCAAGCCGGCATCTACTCCATCAAAAATTCAGATGGGGTCCGTCACTACATCATCGGACCGTGTGTCCAAGAACGTTGCTGCCATCACTAAACAGTCATCATCTTACACCCGACCCAAGCATCCCAAGATGGTGTGCTCATCGTGCCCTGGGCAGCCCGAGTTCAGAGGCACGCATGAACTCGAAAGACACATCGCTCGCAAGCACAACAAGTCAAGAAAAGCTTTCATCTGTATTGACACTTCGTCCGACAAGAAGTTCCTTGCCAACTGTAAACAATGTCGTAACGGCAAGGTCTACGGGGCTGACTATAATGCGGCCGCACATTTGAGGCGCAAGCATTTCTACCCTCGCCCTCGAGGATTGAAGGGCAAGCCGACCGAGAAGAGAGGTGGAATCGGCGGCGGTGATGACCCTCCAATGGATGTATTGAGGAAGCACTGGATCAGAGAGATCGAGGTTGAAGGACGTGAGACAGCCACCTTGGCGGCTGACTCGACGCCCAACAACGCCCTCCAGACTTCCGACTACGAGACTGCAGATGCATCATACTCGTCAGACTCTTCAATGGGTACGGCCATCAACTCGGGTGCCAACGCATCGTTCAGCGCGATGATGCACTCTACATCCTTCAACGACCCGAGCATCCTGACCAACGACATGTTTGAGTTTGACGCTTATGAGCGTTCGACACGGGGATGAACTAACCACGCATGTGCCTTTCTTCTTTTCTCTTCTCTTCTTCGTTGTACTTAGTTTAGTTTCATGGCGTTGGGTTTGCATACGGCTGCATGTCCGAATCGTTTTCACTTATAGTGGCGAGGACTTCATCTATTTTGGCGTTGCGGGCTCGCTTGAAGCAAGCGGGAGGGGGAACCTGCTTGGTTACGATATTATGAGCGATGTGCATTGGATTTCGATTTATTGAGTTTAAGATTTGGCCTTTACTCTGACGTCGCCAATTTCTCTGACGACGCGTATCTTTTACTTTTACTTTTTCTTCTTCTTCTTTTCTTCTTCTTGGTACTGCCATTGTTAATTTGGTACCACCTTATTGTATGTAATCACGTTGCTAGCTCTCCTCAGGCCGGCTTCTCTAGCTATGATATCATCGCTAGAATCCAAAACAAAACGTTCACAGTACACTCTCAAGCCTTTCATGCCTGGCCGTCATTAAAGTGTTCCCTGTCATGTGAAGGGAGACTCAATTGGTAATTCTGAACGATCACCAAAAGCGAGCTGAACAACGCTCTTGTTGCTACCACCCACAAAGTGTTTTCCCCCTGAACCGTCAAGCCTAACAAAAGGCTAGAGATAACAAAGGGATCTTTCATTTCTTGTATGATTGTCTTTCAAGATAGGTCATGGCCACTTCTTCAATCACTGACCACTGATCAATTATAGAGAGTAAGACAGTGAAAGATCAGTCACAAAAAAACTCAAGTGAAAAAAGAGAGCCAGAGCTTCGTTGCAATGAATTTTTCACCACAGATACCACTGAACTGTACAATTTGGCATCCTGTTTCCTTTCACTTTGCTAGTCATCGAACTTTGTCGATTCGTTGTAACTTTCCAGAAGTGAATCACACGGTGTAGGCCACAATCACTGGTAGTAGCATATAAACCTTCCCCCACACATAGACACATAAATCAAAAGAGCAAAAACAACTCCAAACCAAGATATTAAACCACAGCCTTCCCATAATCCTATCCTCAAATAAACCCGCCATACACACACACACCAACCCACCAACCCACCACCCCACAAGCAAAACACAAAACAAACCGAAAAACCAAAAAGAAGCAAGAAGCAACAATGCCATCAACAATCCCCGCCAACCACCGCCCCTCCCTCTACCTCGACCAAAACGGCAACATCATCGAGAAGCAGAAGATCCACCGCCGCCGCATGAGCCCCTCCGCCGACATCTACGACGTCCGCGATACCTACGACGACAAGCACCCTTTGCGTGTCGTGCGGCGGAAGGAGGAGTGGGGGGATCATCCGGACCGTGCTGCTTCGAGTTCGAGTTCGAGTTCGACGTCGAGTTCGGGTTCGACTAGGTTGTTGGGTTGGGGCTTGGAGGAGACGGGCGAGGAGAAGACGACCGAGGGTGAACAGGAAAATAAAGAAGAGGATGAGGATGAGGATGGCGGTATCAAGGCCAGCGTAAGGCGCTTCTGGGACTGGTACCAGGACTGGTGTTCGAGCCCGTGGTATTGGGTGTTTATCTTGGTGTCGTTGTTCGTGATCACTGCTGCGATTAAGAATCAAAATCGTGGAGGTATAAGGATCATTGGGAACTTTGAGCCGAGGGTGGGGCGTGGTTGGTATGATGAGGTTGAGGAGATGCGCAGGCGGCGAGAGGAGGAGGATAGGTTGTGGTGGGAGGAGGAGGAGGAGGAGTTGCGTAGGTGGGAGCAGAGGGAGATGTCGTGGAGGGACATTCAGGCGGCGAATGAAGAGTGGGCGATTATGCTCTTGGCTGAGCTCCTCGGGAAGGTTGAGGTTGAGGTTGAGACGGGCGAGGTTAAGGCGGGTGAGGTCGAAGTGACTGAGCTCGAGGAAGTTGAAGTTGAGGGGGTTGAGTTGAAACATTGAGTTGGATGATTTGGTACGTGTGGTATAGAGTTAGTCCCGTCTTTCTTTTAGAGTCGCGGTTTGATTTTAGGAGTTTCTTTCGTCAGACTTATATCATATATGGAGTTGGGCAAGTCGAATGTAGAAATAGATGTTTAGGCGGATGTATATGTGGATTTCATTCGATCAGTTTACAGTGTCTGAACACTACCTATTCGTCTATCCCGTATCAACATGCTTACATGTAAAGTCCTGTCTGCATAGCTTTTAAAAATATTTGTTAATAGGTGTAAACGGCCATGACTGGCCTGAAAAGCATTTTGAGCAAATCTTTGATCACCGAGGTTACTTTCTGTGTCTCGATCTGGTCAGTGTACGAGACGGATGTGATTTCCACCTCGTCGAAGTAGAGGGAGGGCATCTTTAGAACATGAGGAGAGGAAAGTGTTAGATAGAAGAGGTAAAGGCGAAGTCGTGACGGTTCGGTTCATGTGCATTCTTTCCCTTCCTTATCTTTACTCTCTTCTTTGATTTAGGGCTGTTTATGAGTTGGTAGAATGAACAAAATTAATGAGTGAGTGTTGCGTTGTCTTCTTGAAAAGAACAATAGCGATTCTCTGTTCCTGTTCTTCAAGGCAAAAAGAAGAAGGTTTATTAGTTACCTACCAAATTGGTCATTGTGATAAAGATGTAGCAATGTGAGTGGTTTGATTGTCGTCTAGAGTGGAGGATAAGCATTTCATTGGGCAGGTACTTACGTGGGCAGTTTCTTAAGTGGTCAATTCCAAGTTGGAGAAGGGACGGAAGGTCTGATAAGCGCCAGTTTCTTCTTTGATTCAAATTGATTCTTCTTGTAGATGATATCCGTTGACAGTGGAAATGGAGCCAGCTTAATACACATAGCGTACGTACGTCTGGCCGTCTGCCCCGAGAAAGAAAGAAAACTAAGTAATGCATGCGTTTGAATGAGATCCAATCCAATCCCGCTTCGTCTTTCGCCCGCAGCACGCATCGTACAGAATGATGGTGAAAACGTGAACCCTTCTTAACGCCGTGAAATGGCCATCTCTTGTGCCTGTACCAATGCCCGTAACAGTAATTGTACCTCCACCGAAAGTTCCTGGGTATTGCTCATTATATCCAAGATTAAGGATTGATTCCTCGGTAATCGACATCCGGATGGTCTGAAATCATTTGTTGTGCCAGACCAGCGTGCGGAATGAGTCCCAATGGTCCGATTGTACATAACTAGAGCAATTGTCAGTTTTGAATCTTGCGAATCCGTCGTATATGGATTGAACAATCCAAGCGCAAAAACAAGGCAAGGAAAGAAACTCACATGTAGCTCATACTACTCCTCAAACTCGACTGCACCGTCTCGGGATGCCACCTGAAGATGTACATGACGGCCGCCCAGCTAAGACTGGCGAAAGCAGGCCATCCGTTGCGCATCACCTCCCGCCTAAGCTCCTCGTTGGGAATCAATCCCAGACCTCCGCCTCCGCCTTCTATCCTGCCCACGTGCTTGGGCTGCACGGCGATCTTGGCGAGCGCCAGACACACTCGGGCGAAGACGTAGATGACGATCTGCTGAGAGACCGAGTTGTGGATGTCGCGGCCGAAGACGGTGTACCCGCCGACGAGACCCGCGAGGAAGGAATCGTAGTGTCGCTCCTTGCCGGTCGGCGACGTGTGTCGGAGGAATATCATGGATGTCTTGTAGACGAGCGCGAACAAGCCGAGGTTGCGGGCGTGCTGTTTTGTCGCTTTGAAGACGAGCCATGCCTTGGAGCGTAATCTAGAATGTGGTAGAGTTATGTCAGTCTTGGTTCGAATTCGTCATCGCATCTATCATATACCGTCGAGGAATGTAGGAAGGGGGTTTACGTACGAGCCCGAGCGGAAGAGGAAGATCATACTGGAGACACAGATGTTAGCTATGCATGCCCATTGTGAGATGTAAAGGTATGGATCGTTGTATACGTACACCAGCGCGTGCGGGAATCGCACTTTCGAACCGTACACGATGCCATTCCGAACGCCTTTCACGAGCGTCAAGATATCGTGGTATTGAGGGTCAAGCACGATCTTGTCGAGCGCCGCCTACTCTAGTTAATACACAGCTTCGAAGCGTACATGGGGCAGTGTGTCTTCGAACCTCGAGCGCCTTCAGCCGATCCATTGTCTGTTGATGTGTGTGCTTGTGCGTGTATCTCCTCTAGAGGTAACTGACAGGAAGCTCGGTAGCTTGAGCCTCGGCCCTTGCAATTGGTGACGAACGAAGCGGGCGCGCGCAAGGGAACTTTCGGCGGAGCGGACTGGACGGAGGAAATGGGATCCTTTCAGATCAGTTGGAGGAGGTAAGGATTGGAAAGACTACATCAGAGGTCAAACATGAGGACTGTGTGGGAGTGGTTGCCCGCATCTGAAAGGCGGATGGATAGTAGTGGTAGCTAGTCGCCAGTGGCCGGTCGATGCGAATGACATTTGATCCTCGGCACGTCTCGCTCTCTTTCCCTCTGAGTTCTGGGGCTGCGACGCTGCGTCACTTGCGCCCGCACCCCGGTTGCCGATTTCCCCACACGCATCGCTGATTGGCCAGCCTCGCCCGCAGGGATCTGACTGACTCTACGAGGTAGGCTTCCCGCATCCTTCTCGATCTCTAAACAATCGATCCAAACTTGTTACAATATGACATGTGAAAAAAGACTGGATAAATTGGGTCAAGGTTTTGTTTGAGCCTCTCTTCACGTGAATGTGCAATGCTACCAGTGTACTACCCCATGTTTATACTCTGAATTATACCTGCAAATGTATGTGAATGATGGCAGTTATTTTCCCCAAAAGATAAAGCAATAAAACCTGTAGGGGAACAATGACAAAAGAAACCGAATGTCTATACTACTATATGATCGAAATACTCCGAACCTTCCTTTCCTGGTATCATCTGCTTTGAATATCTGTATAATTAATAATGCTCGTCAATCAATGTTCGTTTGGACGTTGAGATCCATGAACTCGCTCATAACGCCGACTATGCTCATGATCCATGTTCGCCTTAGGTGTCCCATCCCGTGTATGTATCCAGTGCCAATGTATCATCTCTATACATGGTTCATATATCGCACTCAACTATTGCTCACTCAGCATGACTTCCCTCGGGCCACCGCTTCTTCAGCTCTTCATAGATTGTGAATATGAATGCAGAGCTCGGAACGGAACGGGCCACAGTGATGCCACATCCACGATACATGCCCTTCAAGCCATGCTGTCGCCAGATCGCACGCCCAACTGTACTGAACGTCGATTTGGCGCCCCCTATCGGCTTGACATCTTCGGTCTGCATGCGGGACTTGATCGTGTCGGCGGGGAAGAAGAGGAAGTTATAGGAGACACCAGCTGCAGCGCCGGCAACCAATCGTTGCGCCACCGTGAGATCGTCCTCTCCTTCCTTTTGGCCTGGCCGATGGTTGTATTTCTTGAAGGTGAGCTTGACGCCCTCATAACCACCAAACCAGGCCACACCTCCACCGGTCTCTCGAATCAGCGTTCCTAATTGGCCGTGCCAATATCCCATGAACCCCTGATGCCGATAGATGGAAGCAATTATACTCGTGATCCCAGGCTTATGACGAGTCCCGACGGTGGTCTCCAAAGGGACCTGCATCTTGCATTTGACGAGCTCAATGGGCGTCAGGAATAACGAGGTGAAGGCGCCGGCGACCGCACCACAGAATAGAAGGCCGGAATAGGGTAGGTCTTTTTCGGGATGCGTTCGCAAATCGGGGTAGATGCCTGCCGCTCGAATGGCATCTTGGGTTACGCGGTACTAGTCCACGAGTAAGTATCAAGGAGAAAAATGGCGCTTCTGTTGGGTGTCGAAAAAGACTCACGCTAAAGAAGAGACATGCGTTTTCCACCGCAGCACCGACAAGCGGAGCGCTGATGCCTCTGTATATTCCCAGAAATCCATCTTGCTGCAGCGACTTCTTGAAGCAATCCAGTGGCCCGGTATATCGAAGCGGGAGGTGGTCCGGTTGCGATTGCAAGCGCACCTTGACGGTGTCGAACGGATACTCAATGTATTTCCCCACGACACCAGCCAATGATCCACAGACGACGTCTTTCAGAGCTTCCTGACCCTGGTTGTGTACCACCTCGACGGCTTTGTGCTCGTCCATCTTGACGATATCGACCAGCTTTCCTCCGCTCTCCACCACCGTTGTTGGGCTCTTTGTAAGTTCCATGGATTCGCTGTCTGTGATACGTGTGTGTGTTGGAGAGTAAGACTGAGGGTTTACGGCGTCATGGGATTACTGGTCTGGGTTGGTCCTGCGTCCTTTATACAGCCATGGTGGGTGGAGAGGGAGAAGACGGTTACTCGAGGAGGGATGGCTGCATGTGTGTGTGTGGAGATGGAAGAGATTAGATGGGACGTGAGGTGTATATGTACAAGGGCTACGTCGGACAAGAAAACCTGCTAGGTATGGATTGGGGCAGAAGGACTCCCGCAAAACGGCGAGCGGGAGTGAAGTGGAGGTGGTGATCCGTAGCGTGCAGGCGCACCGAAGAGAAAGACGCAATCGGGCGTGGAGGCTTTGCTCAACAGGGCCAAATGCAAGTACAGAGTTTTTTTAGCCGGAAGGGAAATGCACCTTGTCTGACGTCGGGTTGATCGTTACGAAAAGAGAGACCGGGTGTAAATCACAGCTGGAGTGCTTGTGTTGGTGAGTGATTGTCGTGGAGGTGCATGAGTACGAACGGGTAATAATACTATGTGACTAGATGGTTGGAGAGTGGATAAAAATGCTATGTCGTCGATTTACCATCTGGATCTTATCAGATCAGATTAGATGGAGGGACATCGTCGAGTTTGGCGACGATGAATAGACTTCCCCCCTTCCCGCCTCCAAGCCCTTTTTTCTTCCTTTCTTTTTTCTCCTTTAATGCACTCACTCCCCTCTTTTTACCTAATCAAACCAGTCTAGCGAATTGCATCAGCACACACAGGCAAATCCAAGCGGGGGGCAGACAGTTTGAACGGAACCGATCTGAATAGGTCTAGCCCACAAGGTCCGATATCGATAGTAGGCTTTGGCGGTATCGGTCCATCTTCGGCTCTTCTTTTTTTCTCCATTCCTCAGACCCTGTGCCCTCTGTCTGGTCGACTTCAAGAAGTTTAACATTCGCATCGTCACCGTTGCGCCATGTCTGAACTCGTGGAAAACCAGGCACCTTCCAGTGAGGGAGTGTCTGCCGTCAAGGGTATCCGTAAAAATGGTAAGTTACATCCCAACGTTTGAACACCCTGGTGCCGACTACGCACAACTGTCCTCCTACAACGTTCCACACACCCACTCACAATCTTTTCGTGTAGGAAAACAGTGGCACGATACCAAGAAAGCGTTCCGACCCCGGTCGAACCAGACCTCGTTCGCGAAGCGCACCGAGGAGCGCAAAGCTCTTGCTGCTGTGAAGGCAAAGGAGAAGGAAATGAAGGATGAGAAGGAAGCCGAGCGACAGGTAAGGATATAAATATTTGAAGGGAAAAGGAAATGGCACAGTTTCTAACGGGATCACTAGCGACGAATTGAAGCACTGCGCACGAAGAGAGCTGCAAAGGCCGAGCGAGAACGATACCAGAAGATGGAGGAGAAGATGCACAAGAAGCGCGTGGAGCGCCTGAAGAGGAGGGAGAAGCGCAACAAGCTGCTCAGTTCGTAGATTGGCGCATGTTGCAGACGTTGAGTTTTTGAATATTTTGGCATCGATTACGACCGTTCCAAGACGAGGAATTCCAACATTACTAGGGATATGATACTTCCCTACACGACGACCTGTGGAATTGCTTTCGAAAGCATGTATGCACATTCTTCGACCGCGAGAGATCTATCGAGCGTGGAGTAGATACTGTCGACCATGTGCCGACCGTGTCGCGGAACGTTGTATGAAAAGCAAGAACCATGCGGTCACTTTCAAAACGGTCCCAAATCAAAAGTTAGAATTGGCATTATCAGGATGCGTCTAGAGATTAGGAGCATTGCCAGGAGTATGAGCAAACATATTAGATACCAGCTACGAGCACACTCAATGAATCAGAACAAACAATATCATCACCAACAGCCATGCAAATCAGACTCTCAAAGTCGAAGTCGCACGCTTCCCTGCACATACCTAATTTTGAACTCATAGACACACTCTGAGTTAAGTCGCCAGATGAGAGTGCACAATCGAGAACGTGAACTTCAAAAATAGCAAGACATATCATGCGCCTGTGGACGGAGTTCCGGTCACAGGCGGATAGAATACGAAGTCCAACCAACTGGTGATGCGGCTGCCGCGAAGAAGATAACGACGACAATATGACCACCCGGTATTTGGGTATCGTAACGTGTCCCGGATAGATCTCGCATGACATTTTGATCCCAATTGAATTCCCAGAACACGCATGGTGACGCTTTGCATTTGCTTCGTACATTCAAGAGTATCCCGTTTGTTTGTCGGGCGCTGCCGTGCCAGCGTCGCGAATCTCCGCGAGTTGCACGGAGTGTTGTTCATGCATGATGCACCATGAAATCTTGATAGTAAAGAGAAGGAAACAGCGTGTGTTGTTACGTGGACAGAGAGATACGGTGTGAGTGGACTGTGGCCGCCAAAACATCACGATCACGATCACGTCGCGCCACTACTTGCATCGCGTCACATCCTACGCAGACAAGTTGTAGATACGGTGAACACTGAACACACTATTCGTAGCTGTTGAGACCATGGACTTTGTCTTCGCCACCCGCTGTACAAATTTGGACACAATAGCGCGCATATGTGGCAGCCACTTCTATCTTCGGGAATAGTAGATATCTGTGGCTACCTCCCTGTCTCCCATTCTGGAGCATCTGAAGCGAAAGAGGGAGAGGAATAGTAAAATAGACCCGAGACTCGATCGATGGAGGAAGTTGGAACGAACACGGTTATGGTTACGGCCACAGTCGCCAATTGTGTATTTTCCTTTTCAGCCGCAAACCAGTAGTTAAAGTGGCTCGGTGGTCTGTGAGGTGAAAAGGTACGGAGGACATACGAATACTGTGTAGGTAAAAGCATGTACCCACAAAAAGCACCCGAGAGCCAAGCTATTCTAGAATAACGAGAGGTTCGCGAATGCGATTACGATGCAACATCTACCGATCGTTTTGGAAAAGAAAATACAGTTTTGAGGTCATGGGTTCCCTTGAGATGATTGTTGGCGAAGAGGTGCGTGGGAGAAAGGGAACGAAAAAGTAAAAGGCGAATAAATCAATCGAATAACATAATTAGGAGATTAAACACCTCAAGTGGGGAAAGAGGAAGGAAAAAGAAAGGGAAAGGTAACAATGAACATGTGAAACCATTCGGGGGGATCTGGGTAGATGCGACGACAACGAAGGTACGGTGCGGTGTAGACAGTCAGAAGACACAATCTGGATATCTGCTACTGAATGAAATGGACACGCGACACGCGACAGCAGCAAGTACGGAGTAGAGCGATAAGCACAGCTACACAGCTACACAGCTACTCCAGTTATCTATCAAGAAACCAGGCACTCCGTAATGAGCGAATAAAATGAAACCTCAAAGTATGACAATGCTTCCCGGCCGGTTGAAAACGGGAGAGATGAAGTCGTGTAACCCTTTTCTTCTTACAAGTTACACAATACCTGCGTAGATACGTATGTGCGCAGCGGGCGAGGAGTCAGATTTCATATTGGGGATATATCCAATTCCAGGGTTTTTGAGGCAATTATTTTGCTACAAGGGCTACTCCTGAGATATAGACGAGCGGAGGGGCCTGTTACTGGCTCATGACCCTGGATGGCTGGACACATTTCTGGGATCTTGAATCTTGGGGTTGTGAATCGTGTGCAATTGACGAGGATGCATTTGTCGGCGGCATCGAAGTTGTAGTTGGGCACAAACCGCATCGACATCGCCAGATCACGTACTCCGTACTCCCGCCGTACACATACCATGATTCAGTTCCATTCAAGCTCAGGTGTACTACTATACGCCTCAGCTTCCGTTGGCCCCTCCCATCCCCTACTTACTATTCACTGGCTTGATCGATTACCTTACTTGAACTTACCTATGCTTTGGGCTTCAGCTGTGGAGAGCTGCATTTGTCGAAGCTTGCGAGTGAGTTCATGATAGGAACCCGACGAGTTGGGACGTGGGACGTGGAGAGGGATGTGGGCAATCAAGCGACAGAAAGATGGAATCAGGAATGACGAGTATGGGTGATACTATCACTCATACATTCATGACGCCGAGGAATGAATAAAATGGAGCATTGGAGAGTGAACGAGTCTGTAATTAGTTGTCATCACTGGTAGGATTGCCCCATTGTAGATCCTCCAGGCCGTTGATCGATTATCACCATAGTGAGTAAGGTAAGGAAAGGTCTCTAGACTCCAGCTGTTGAACGTTCTCCATACTCTGGATTCTGCAGTCTGCACTCCATATTTTGAATCTCCAACATTCAACTCCACACACACAAACAAAAATCCATACATAGTTGATAGATGCTCCTCCGCGTCTCCTCCGTTGAGCTCCGCCAGTCTTCCCAGGGACCCATGGATCGAGTCTCCGCCTCCACGCGGCGCATTACTATTGTTGCTTGAACTGTTTTTTTCCTCGCCTGAGGAGACGAGAAGACTAGAACGAGGAGACTAGGTGACTAGTAAGTATTATGGCGCCGCTGACTGGTAGGCGTAGAGTGTTTCGTTGTGGGTCTTTTCCAGCTGTTCCTTTTTTCTTAACCTTGTCTCTTGTGTGTATGCGCATCTCCAGCTGTTCCAATCCGGTTCAAGGTGTTCACTACCTCATTACTATTACTTACTATTGATGTCCGATTGTCATACTTACTGTGGAGATTCTGTGGTGGCCACAATTGTCCAGACCACCCGCGACAACACCAACCAACGCTTATCGGGATGCACGGCGTTGATTCCAGTCCATTGAATGTTCTCAACAACAGCAATCACTTTCATGTTCCTGTCGGACCTGTCATGATTCTTATCTTTTCTTTTCCAAATCCTGACTTCGAACCCGTGCCCATTCATCCATCCAAGATTGTACAAATTCTCCTTGTTTCATAACAGATTGCGTTTTTACTCTCATCAAAGCGCAGGCTGACGACAGTGTTCTCAATCTAATTAGCCCAACCACTACTAATAATTATAGAATCCGTGCCTCCATCCATCCATCCATCCATCCATCCCTCCCTGGACGGAGTCGTCTTGACCGCAGCGTGTGCCCGGCCGTGGATTTTCGTGATCCTTGTCTGGTCTCAACACGACAGGGCCAGGAGACGAACCACACGGTGGACAGGCTGGAGTGCTGGACAGCGCCAGGAGAGACGAACCAGGACGAGACAGGACAGGACAGGAAAACAGAAAAGGCACCACCTCAGCCCAGATCGCCCATACGAACATTTAGGCCACGCCACACACACCGCTGTTAACCTTGTTGGCCTTGGTCACCCTGTACCTTTCTCATCATTACTGATGATACGCAACTCCTCAAAAGTCCACTTCCACCGCGCCGAACCTGCATTAACTCATTCCCTTACACTGTACACTGTACACCTTAATTCACACTTCCGTTGTACCGCTCGACCGCTGCTGTCTGTACATCCCGTAGTGCAAGCTACTATTACGACTACCTCCACGACCATTGTTAGATGCTTTGACTAGGTGCTTAAGCTATTCTGTACCTTCTGTCCGTCATCCCAACCCTCAACACACACACGCCCTCCTCCGCCTGCTCCTCCGCCTCCTTCGCGACCACGACCACGACCACGACCACGACCACGACCTCTTCCTGCAATATCCAAATCGCATCCCGAGGGACCTAATTCTGGAACGCTACCTTAAACCCTTTTCAGCTCGTGGTAATTGACTACTGTCGTTTCGAAAAGTGGGCCTCGACATCCCCCTGCCCTTATTCATACATACGTCACTTAGAGTCTGTCAACTCCTTACGATACGGTGCTGTCCGAAAATTCTCCACGACGTGATATCTTCAGATTTCACATGAAGGTGCCTTTCCGGGAACATAACGCTTTTCGGCGGATTTCACAAGCAAGATAATCATACCGTTGTGCCTAGGTGTTGGCTGCAACTTCCTTCAATTGGACCAACCTCGATCATTGTGAGTCCTGCACACATGCACGCGCCGCGCCGTCGCAATCAAACAAGCAGCTTCTGATAACTTTCACAGGATAGATCTATAGCCGTCCCGAAATATTCACACGCGACTCACCATCCAAGCCTTCCCCGAGCCCGTCATCCTCCTCAATTGACGCCATCTCCCCGCCGCCGGCTCCGCATAGCATACACCGATTTGGTTTGAAGCATTTCAGAGCACGTTTTACAGCCATAAGAATTGGACCAGCGGAGCACACCCAGGGACCAAATTTCCAATTAGAGCTCCTGAATTGCTCCGATTTTGGGGAAACGGGCGTGTAGGCAACCCGTCTTTCTCCTACTGCGTACATTTTCGCTACACCAAAAAAGGACCTCCGGTTTCTCCCGACCGCCTCTTCCCCGCATTTTGGCGTGCATCCGCAAGCCTAACCCTTTCGTCCAACCAGACTTGCGCTTATACTAGTCGACTTTCACTGCTGCATCTCTCCCCGGGTTTGTCGATCAAATAGTGTGACTCTTTATTCTTTAATCACTACTGGGGTTCACATATGGCACAAGCATTTCCCTTCTAAGTAAGAAAAAGAATAAGTGTTTTTGGCCATCTATTGCCCGTCATGTCGTCCGCTCCGCCCCGACGCTTCAAGGTGGAGCCCATTGAGACTACCACCATGTCTTCCAAGGATCGAAAGTCTTCACCGGATGCTGCAGATAAACCAACAAGACCTCCCCGTAAATTTGCACCACAGCCCGTGGAGACTTCAACCAGGACAGTCCGCAAATTTGCACCAGAACCTATCGAGACCACCAAGCGGGCAGTCCGGAAGTTTGCTCCCCAACCCATAGAGACGACTACTCGGAGTTCTCGAGCGAAGCCTACTTCGCCATTGAAAAGCCCTGGAGCCTCGAGGGACAAATTCGCCCATGATTGGGAAGCCGAGACGGCTGTAAAGAAAGAAAAACGTTCACCCCGCAAGTTCACTCCTCAATTGATCGAGACAGCGCAGCGATCTCGAAGAACAGGCGATAAAGGGCCTGTGATCCCCCCTTCACATAAGACGGAAATTATCGGTGACGCTGGGGACGGAGCCTTCAAAAGGAACCGGCGAGCATCACCGCCGAACGCCACACCGATAAGCATACATCAAAACCCCCTCTTCCTTGAAATCCAACGAGCCACATCACCGAACATGATGCGTCGACCAAGCTCGTTCTCGAGCATGCGTTCACAACATTCGTTCAGAGTGCCGGATCTGGAACCAATCGAGTCCTCCGAGTCAGAGGAGTCGACGCCGCCTTCCCCAGCAACATCCCCATCAAATTCCGACCATTCGTACATGTACACCGAAGCCACCCGCATGCGAGAGAGTGTGGATGAGCGATTCTCGGGCTACCTCCTTGAACTGGCCGCAAAGGCCGCAGAGGCTCAACTCCAAGAACAAGCAATGGCTGCTTTCGCAAACAACGATCATCATGAACCTGTCGATCACTTCATCGATCACGAATCTGAGGGTTCGGGCTCGTCGATGGATAAGTACGCCACAGAGGCTGTAAGGAGGCGAGATTCATCATGGTCCGAAGTCAACTATGACATGTTAGCCATGAGAAAGCATCGAGAAGAGCAGCAACAAAAAGAGCAAGAGTCGCCTAAGGGTGTCATAGATGATGGTAGACCTGATCCCACCAAGTACAATCCTTTCGGCAGAAACGTTGCGGCTCCCGAAACCAAGGATGCGGAGATGGATGGGATGCGCAAGAGCGCACGACCTCCTATGCTCGGTAGCGACATTCGCTTTCCACGATGCGAGTCACCAGAGCCATCACGATTCGACCCCACCCAAGGCTGCGACGCTGTCAAGATAACAATGTGCTATCTTGCCGAGCAAAGTCAACAAGCCGAGAAAGGGGAAGGACTATGGTGTGGTGGAAGTAACAAATCAAATGAAAGCGCCACCCCATCACTGTACTCCAACAACCCCAGTCGCCAACCGAGTCGGAGCAGCAACAATGGCCACGGCAGTAACCCAGGGGGGTTGTGGGGTGGATGCTGTGTGAACTCTGGAAACACGCCTCCACGAGGGCCTACTGGCATCCTCACACCCGCCGTTGAGATCAGCAACCCGTTCTCGCCGTGCCCTACTCCCCAAATGAGTTTACTCCCCCCGACCCCACCAGCCTCCCAGACCGACTTCGCCTGCATCGACGACAAACTTGCAACGGAAGCCGCCATCGACGAAGACTTTGGCGATAACTTCGTGACGCAAGTCTACAACTACCTGTCCCTGGGCTACCCCTCCATCGCCCGCATGTTCGACGAGGAGCTATCAAAGATTTCGCACATCCCCGTGTCAGAGCTCCGGCAAGACGACCACCTCGCAACCTCCCGCGGATACATCCGCCTCGGCGAGGACGGAAACCTCACCGATTCCGACATCACAGAGGAGACGTGTTCGCGCTGGCGAGCCCTGCGCGTCTACGTCCGGGAATGGGCGAGGCAGCATCCGAAGATGGCGAGCGACCAGCTTCTCGGCGGAATGGGCACCGCGGTCCGAAAGGGAAGTTGGGCTGTATGAGCGAGCGAGCGAGCGAGCATACGATCGAACACCTGTTTACATCATCATCATCATATTCATCATTACCAATCATCATCAAGCGATAACGACCTTTCTATTATATAATCGGCATAAATTTGGGCGACTTTTTTTCTGTATTCTTTCCCGAGCAATCTTGTTGTTTCATTCAGTTTCATGGGGAAAGCAGCATCTGTTGTGTCTTTGCTTGCTTCGGTGGCACTTGAAGTACCAGCACGAGCACAACATCGGCGTAAATATCCAACTGGTGGGTGGTGGCGGAATGGGAATTTTTTGTTGAAATGGGTCCCCACGGGTGACTCAATGATAGGGAAGGGGAAAGGGAATGAAGAACCAGAAACGACACTTTCCTTTTTCCGTTTCCGAACAATTGTATTTATGAAAGTATAATACCACATCTTGAATCAAAGGATCTATCAATTCATACGCTCTCTTCATATATACACCGTGCACATTGTGTCTTATAAATATAGTGGCAGTGGCAGTGTAAGGGAAAGTTGTCTCTCTTCCATCAGTGATGCTCCTAAATAGTTTGATCCCCACCTCCCCAGCCTGTATCCATGACTCGATGAATCAACACTTGTCAGTACACCTTTTTCAAACATTTGACCAGTCACTTCCCCTCACTTCTTCCTTCAAGGTCAATCAACAAATAGTGGATTAAAGAAACCTCAGAGCGGAGCAGAGGAGAAAAGAGTTTCATTATTATGGTAAGCTTTATCTATTTCTGTTGCAGTTGTTGCTTTTCTCCGTCGAGAAGAAGGGAAGAAGGGTAATAGGGTTAAAAGGTGAAGGAAGAAAAGAAGAGAAGGTAACAAAAGAGAGACATGGGTATGAGTGATGGAAGGGAATGGTAGCAGGGCTGGGCTGACCTGGCAGCGAGAGCATGATGGTGATGGGTATTGAAAGATGAATTGATGGAAAGGGGGGAGAGAGAACAGAAAAGGATGGAGAGGGAGAGATTTTTGGTATTGTGTTAAGTATATATATGAAATGGGAGAAGGAGCTTTGTGCCAGTCTGCAGTACTCGCTCTCCTTTTTCCCCTTCTCCTTTCTCCTCCCTTGAAATTGCCATTGTCTGCCTGCGTCGTGATGATTTCATTGTGGCGATTGAGTCTATGTGTTGGTTGGTTCGTTGGTTGAATGCATGTGGGTAATGTTGAATCGCTTGGACTTTTTCCTCCTTCTGCCACATCGTCTGGGAATAATGGATATTTGTTTATTGAATTTTTATATTGAAAAGCAACACCTCGACGCCAACTCTATCACACAATGTCAGCATACACATCTCCCCATACCAACAAATAAAAATCACACTCACCCTCTTCACATCGGAAACGGGCTCTGCGTCGGTATGCTCATCCCAAACGTGCACGGCAGCTGGTACAGCGCGCGCAGCAATCCCCGCTTCACCTTGAACGCGATCCTCCTCGTCCGCTTGTACGTGCGGCTCCTCTTGTGTCGCGCGTACCGCTGCTTCAGCGTGCTGCGGCGCTTCTCGTTGGGTAGGCTCAGGCGCTTGTAGGCGCTTCGTCGGAGGATTGGGCGACACATTGTGGGGTTGAAGGAGAGGGACATGGTGATAGTGGATTGGATGGGAATGTTATGTTCCGATTTGGTTCGATTCGATCCGTTAGAAGGTAGGCGAGACAGAAAGATGGAGGGCCGATGGATAGGAGAGATGTGATTGATAGATACAAATTGATATCTCTTCAGTTCTGTGTATTGCGCAGGACTTCTTTTGTTGCTTCTTTCAAATCGTATCGAAGCTCAGTCACATGGATCTCTCTTCCATTTCTTCCTTCTCTTTTCTTCTCTTTCTGTTTTTCCCTCCAAACGGTCGTTCCGAGCTACATGTTATATACAGCAAGTCAAACTATCGGACGGTAGCATTTTAGTATGCCCCCCTCCCCGCTCCTTACCTTCGTCGGTCGCACTCATATGGGCACGAGAACACCCCATCCGTCGGATTGGGTGCAGTTGATCTCCGTGTTGCAGTAATCGCCGGGGGGAGGGGGGGAAGGGTGGTGATAGGTGGTGGTGGTTGCTCATCTTACCGGTCGGCCATGTAGGTGTCGGTAGATATCGTCCGTGCAGTACAACCATCGATCGTCGGCGTGCAGATGTGTATGCACGCCAAACTACTTTCAGATCATGGATTTTGCAATATTTCTTCAGGCGGGGTATTGAAATTTATTGATATACCGAGTCTGTTAATACTCACGCTGTCGCGCACGGTATCTTTTGCGTTGTAAATGGAGATGACGTGGGGAAGGAAATTGGCGATAGGCATGTAAATGGTGGTGATGGGCACACTGCATAAGACATACATTTTGCGACCTATCAGACGAGATTGCCTCGGAGCCAGCTACTCCAGATCAGCAAGCAAGCAGGCGTTGCACAACCGACCGAAAGGAGGAAGCCTTACATTACTTGCATACTCGCCCAGTATCATCTCCCTCTACCAATCGACTACGACTTGTGCTTCGAACATTGTATCAATCCATCCACCAAACGTGTAGTTAAGGCATGCAACAGAAAGTCAGTACGGCGTTATCGGCTCCCCGGCTTACCAGCTCGCCAGGATTCCGCTGTTGTACGGAGCCTTACAGCGCCGTTTCGATCATCAGCATTGCATGTGCGAGATCTCGACATCTACAATCTCACCCACCAACCAACCAGATAAACCACAATTCGACCTACGGGGCGGACACATCTGTAGACTAAACCACTAATCCTCAATCTCTCAAACTGACCAACGGCCCACGGACTTTATTTCCCTTCGACAGCATCGAATTTAAACTAAATGGAGGAAAACGACCAATGGTCAACGATCCTTGCGTTCGGCATTGGGACATCGAGAGACATCCCGATGCTTGGCTTCTCTCTGTCTCTCTTCCCCGATGGTGCTCGGTCGCAACTAGACTCAACTCGACTCGTCGGACAGTGTTTTGCCGTCCTAGTAGACTATAGTTCTGGAGGATGCGGAAGCTTGTCGTCTTGTAGGAGCTAGGTGTGCTAGATATATGTTTTTTTACTAGGTATACCACAAGGCTTGCGCGTCGTTCGATTTGCGATGGAACGTACGTATGTACGTGGAATCACGGAGGGATTTGATGAGAAGGAAATGAAAATTTAAGATTGTAAACCAGCAGTTGATGGCAGATGCGAATAGTAAAGGGTATCATTCATGCTAAAAGAAAAGGTCACGCTGTGGCTGCTACTGGTACGGTAGCGCGAGCGTTTGGTCTATCGTAGATATGTCTATAAGGGTTCAAATATCTGGCGAAACTGTAATGAGATCATGCTCCGTCCTTCTCCGCGCCGTTATGGGTGTGATTGTGTAGGAAATCCTCGACCCATTCCTCGATGTGATCGGCCTTGTGAGTGAGCCACTCCCAGAAGGATTCGCTGCTTGGAGTAGCCGACGGTGGTGGAGGTGCTGGAGAGGAGGACGTCGTGGTGACTTCTTGATGGATGGAGGAGAAAGTGTCCTCGAGGCCTGAAGCCGAAGCTATCAAGCTTGAGAAAGACGTCATTGTCGCTGTGGTGAAATAGCTTGATGCTTCGACGGGGTCGACTGGCGTCTCATTATGTGAAGCCTCGGGATCGTCGTGTAGACCGACCGGCTTCAATGGAAGACGTAGGGTGCCATTGTTTGGTGCGGGAGTGATGCCGATAGAGTCGCAGACGATGTTGTAGAGTTCGATGTTCTCTGCGAAGTCGTTAGTAATGAACGTTGTGATCAGCTGAATCAAAGGTCACTTACGGAATGGTTCCATCCGACTATTTGGCGTGTGGGGGAATGCGGGGCCACGAGCGACGAATATGGCTCTCATCAGTGGGTGCTCATGGTTATACCCATGCAGGCCACGGGGATGGTAGACATCGCCGTTCTCCTTGCCCTTCTCTACGTCAAAATCGTCCTTGGTCACGATTGCCCAGCCAGTCTTAGGAACAATCCAAAGTGGAGCGATGCGCTCATTGTTCGAGAAGTGGTATTTCTCTGGCATATCCTTGTCCTTCAGATAAACCTCGATATTGGGATTGTCCTTGGCCTTTGCCAACAGGTCTTGGTGGATTCTTTCTAGATCCTCCATCTTCTTCGGCCTAAGCCCATATAGCGGCCAGCCATCGATGTGCTCTATCTCCTCAACGTTTACCAAATCTTCGAGCTGGATTAGTCGCGTAACATCTGTGGTCGCCATGCCATGGTCGGAGACTATGACCACGTTTACAATGTTCGTCAGGTTACGGGATTCAAGGCCTGAAAGAAGCGAGCCCAGCATAGCGTCGACCTCCTGGATGGTTGCGCGAATTTCTGTACTGTTCGGGCCGTATTTGTGTCCATCCGCATCTACATTCGGGACATATGCAGCGATAAATTGGGGTCGTGGTTCGTCCGCCTTAACGGATGGATCCATCGGGCCGGGCACATCTAGAAGACCTAGCATACGATCCACCTTTCTCGAGAGCACTTCGGACCCGTTGTACTTGTCAATGTAGGATATGTCCATGTTGGCAATGTGCGCCTCCGAGCCGGGCCACATGTGAACTGCTGTCGGAACTTCTTGTCGTTCCGCAGTCACCCAGAGCGGCTCGCCTCCCCACCAAAAGGGCTGTAGGCTTCGGTCAGGGTCAGTGTAGTAGAATTCCTTCTTCAGAGAGGGATCCCAGAAGCTATTCCCAACAACTCCGTGCGCCTCGGGGTATAATCCAGTCGCCATGGTATAGTGATTAGGAAAAGTGACGCTCGGAAAGCTGGGCATCATGTACTTTGGTGAAATGCCATTCGCAACGAATTTATTGAGAGTGGGTGTGAGTCCGCGATATAGGAAATCGGCACGGAATCCATCTAGTGATATCAATATGGTGGTCGGAGCGAAGAGCGAGGTTCCGTTGGAAACCATAACTGGAGGCGGTCGTGTCTTTTTCGAGCCCGATAATCGGTAGGCAGAGACGAGTAGTACCACAAAAAGTACAGCTATACTGAGGTATATGCATAATCGTCTAAAAACTCTTGATCGCTTTGCCTATCAGAAGTCTTGTTAGTTTTGGAGTGGCACTGGGCTGGGCTTGCGCATGCCTTTCTCTGTGTAGTAGTCGTGCGTAGTCTCTGTTCGTCTGATTCGGACGAATGCCTTGAGAAACTCGGTGATGAACCGCCAATCCCTTCTTCCATTTCGTACATGAGCGCGCTTGATTCTTCGTTGTGCACCTTCTTACTGCGTCGTATTCCATCGGTGCTGCTGTTCTTCGCATTTCGTCGCCCGATTTTAACACCTTTCTTGCCAAAGAAACCCGTCTTGCTCTCTTGTGATATCAAGAGTCTTTCCCTCTCATCTTCCGACTCTAGTATATCATGATCCCCTTCCGATACCTCCGAAGAGGGCCTTCCATTTTTATAACCTTCGTCGTCGGAAGCGTCGCATAGGGTACGTTCATCCACGCTATAGGTGTCAGACCCTCGATTCTTCGTGGCATCAATATCCGTTGACATGTTGATGGGCCCGTCGCGAAGCTCACATTACAGAGCTCGAGTCCGTGGGTTGTTGAGGCTCGAGAAATGTTCGTCTCCAGAATGTATATGTGGAATGCGGACTGCCGCTTGGCATCTGATGTTTCAGCTGGACCCTGGTCGTTGGCATTGGCGCCGATCAGTACCAATCCTCCGAACTCACCAAAAATAGCAGATCGCCTTCCGCGCCTTAACCATGTGTTCCATGGTAGAAAACCTCATCCTCGAGGACAATGCATATTTGTGCTAATTATGAGGGTATTATTGCTCTTTAGATATATCGTATGATGATGTCTTCCCCAGCGTCCAACCACGATGACCGAGTATGAACCAATTCTCCACCACTGCAAGACCACAATGAAAGCCAAATGTGCTCAGCACATTCGCCCCAACAGTATAATGATATTCTACCTAGAGAGTTTGGAGCAGCATTCCTATGCATGCTAACGCCCCAGCCCAATCTTCCTTGACGTATATGCTCGGATGTACGACGCCAAAATTGGTATTGGGTGTCCAATGGCCATTCTGAACACTCGACTAGCCAATGACCCCTTTCATCATTGGTAAGATTTCTCGTGATCTTGGATGGCTTGAAACGTCCTTCATGTTTCTTCTTGACATTGCTTAGATATGCAGTAATCTGTGATGGTAGACTATTGGGAGCGTTGATCGAGATTTCTGGAAAAGGTGCATAGACCTCGGTGGGGATCGAATTGAAATTGAATGATCTTGATGTTGCTGCTGTGTGAGCAACCTCAACATAATCAAAGTTCTCGCCTTGTTCGGGGGCAAAGATTTCTTTCAAGCCATTCGAATCAAGAGTGCCGCCGCAGTTGGGAGAATCTTCCTCTGAGGGCGGAGATTGGGAACTTTTCCGTTGTACTGAATCATCCTCAGATATTTCATCTTCAGCAGAAGAAAGCTGCCCATCCAACTGGCTCTCCAAAGCTGCAGCTGCAAGTTGAGAATCTTCAATGTATCCAATTTCATGACTTCCAATAAAAGTTGAATCGACATGCGCCTCGCTTTGAGATTTCTTCATTGATCCATCCGATATGCCTTTCCATCCGGTCTGATTTCGCTCTGGTTGCTCGATTCCAAAAGTGAGCTGCGTACAGTCTATCGTAGAGGGAAATGAATGTTGAGCAATATGGAGTTCTCGATTTCGAGCTCCACCATCCGGTTGAGCATCTATATCCGCTGAAGACACCCATGACAGACTCAGTGAATCCGTAAGAGCTTGGGCGGGGCCAGGTGTGGTAGATATAGTATTAGAAAACTCTGGACCGAGAAGTTCCTGGGTTTGACCTCTCGTATCGCTATTTTGGACGGGAAGTTCAAATGGTTCAAAGTCGTAATAGGCCTTGGCTAGGTTGCGGAACAGTTCATCATTTCGTCGGGTTGCTGGGGTGGAGACGTGCACTAGTATCTCGTCCATGACCGTTCGTTGAGTAAGGATCTGGACTCTCTAAACTTGCCATTTTATATTTATGAAAGTCTAAAAACCACTGAACTTTGGCTGTATAGCATGTAGACAGCAAAAGGACCAAAGAGGTCGTCTAGCACTGGCATCGAAGGTTGGACTTGTATCCTCGTCGTGCGCTAACCCCAACACGGTATAGCATCATTTTCCCGCACCCCAAAAGTTCGACTTCGTTCGAAATTGCCCCACGATGGTATAAGTTTACTCGCACACACCCGCGACACCGCTTCTCACATAACAGCTATGGCTCCGGCTTCGCTTTCGGATCTCATCGCTGCGCTTCCCAGCAATGATGGCTGGGGACCACCAGTGTCGAATGAGACTATGCTCGATGGTGTCCCATTCGCACCATACTCCAAAGCCGACAAACTCGGGCGCATGGCAGACTGGACCGAAGGCAAGGATCGTGATAGGCAAGGACGCCAGCAGTATGGTCGAAACTACAGAGGTATGTGGGGATAACTCAATCTCTGCGAAATACAATCCTAACTTGACCCCACAGACCAGCAAGCATATGGCGCAAACCAACAGACCAACCCCTTCGCCATTCAGGCGGCCGAGGAGGAGGCTTCCTTCTCCGTTGTAGACAACACCCGAACTTCAGCAAGGACCCGAGGATTCGGAAGAGGAGGCGGCACCGTTTTCCGTGGCCGAGGACAGCGGGGTGGACAGACACAGCGGGGCGGACGCGGAGGTACTTTCCAAAAGGTTGGAGGACGCGGTCAGCAATACGATAACCGTGGTGGACGAGGTGGAAGGGGCGGAAGGCGATTTGGTTGGAGGGACGACAAGCCCCAGCGCAATAGGGATGCTTCGGTGCAAGTCAAGCCAGACTGGAATGTCCTTGAAGAGATTGACTTCGCTCGTCTCAGCAAGCTCAACCTTGACACTGGTGCAGGCGAGGATATTGACGATTACGGATTCCTCTACTACTACGACAGGAGCTACGACAAGCAACCCGGTGCGAAGACCTCGGAGCGGAAACTCAACGTACTGGAGCGCGCTGCCTACAATGTTACTACATCTAGCGATCCCGTTATCCAGGAGCTTGCCGAGAAGGATGAAGCCACAATCTTTGCGACCGACAACATTCTCTCGATGCTGATGTGTGCCACCAAGTCTGTTTACTCGTGGGATCTGGTCATTTCAAGGAGAGGCAACAAAGTGTTCATCGACAAGCGCGACAGCTCCAACTTGGATATGGTCACTGTGAACGAGAACGCCACGGATGCCCCACTAGAGATCTCAGAAGGCAACAAGGACTCCATCAACAGCCCAGGAGCCTTGATGTTGGAGGCTACACACATTAACAATGTGTTTCCTCTACAAGTTGTTCAGGAGTCAAAGACCTCCAAATTGGATATGTCCCATGAGCATCCCTTCTACAATGAAGATGTGGAGACCGACCCGCCTGCTTCGAAGGCTTACAGGTACCGCCGTTTCGATCTGTCTTTGGACCGCGACGACGAGCCTCTGCATTTGATCGTGCGAACCGAATTGGACGCCGTTGTCAAGAACAACATCAATGGAGAGGACCAATACATGACCATCAAGGCTCTCAACGAGTTCGACAACAAGGCACAAGGATCCGGCGGTGCCTTGGACTGGCGAACGAAGTTGGCAAGCCAGAGGGGTGCTGTCTTGGCCACTGAAATGAAGAACAACAGTTGCAAGTTGGCTAGGTGGGCAGTGCAGAGCATTCTTGCAAAGGCTGATACCATGAAGCTTGGGTAAGTTCTTTTCCTTTCACCATTCAAATATCTATCAGTAATTTCTAACCGCATCGCAGATTCGTCTCCCGTACCAACCCGAAGAACAACAACGACCACGTCGTCCTTGGTGTTCTAACCAACAAGCCTCGTGACTTCGCCAACCAGATGGCATTGAACCTCAACAACGGATGGGGTATTGTTCGCACTATTGTCGACATGTGCCTGAAGATGGATGAGGGTAAATACGTGTTGGTGAAGGACCCCAACAAGCCCATGCTTCGTCTCTATTCCGTTCCCGAGAACACTTTCGAGGAGGAGGTTGAGATGAGCCAGGTGGCTGAGGAAGATGCCGATGAGTAAATCAAAAGGAGCAAGAGGTCATAATATGCAATGGTAGAGGTTTCTTTCTTATCATGCATTTTGATCATGCATCGTGGTATAGGAAAAGCATGAAATTATAACGAGTCTCTTGTAATGCATGTCTAACGATATGATGCTTGGGAATGGTTTAAGGTTGAAAGCCACTATTAAAGGGAGGCTCGGTACTCGTAGATAGAATCCAATATGTTTGCCAATCTATTCGAACCATGTCTGGCATCTGCATCACTCGGCATGTGTAGCACTCTTCCTCCAGTGCGACTCCAAGAATTAGTCTCCTTCATCTTATTTTGTCATTCGCAAATTGCAAGTTATGTGGCTAATGTGAAATTGTATTTCATAAGCGCTCCGTCTCTACATAAGCCGAGTGATCATACATTTCTGATATATATATATAGTACATCCGCGAAGCTACAATTGCTCAATGGCATGGAACTCGGCCTCTAACGTAATGTAGAAGCTCATTGTGTCTTCAATGATTTTTCATACTCATCTAGGCTCTTGACCTTGACCTCGGATATCTTCAAGACAGTGTAACGATGCTTGCTCTTCACCGTCCTGACGTGCCTTTGCCTCCGCTTTGTCTTTTCGATGAACCGCATTGGCTCGCTCTCAACACCGACCACTGTGGCGCGACATGTGAACAATCGGTCGTCAAGGTAGAAGGTCTTTTTGACAGCGTCCCTTGTTCCTCTTTGGGGCTCCGGGGCCTTCAATGTGTAGTCTCTTGAGCCAATGTGGGTTGCCCGATTCAACCGTAGGATATCTCCTGGGCCAACGTTGGGCATCAGGAAAGGTAACCGAACTTCATCTCCCTCCGTAATCAGGTATGGATGTCCGTGGATGTGGATTGTGAGGTAGTGTGAAGACTGGGAGTGTAGAAGTGGGAGGAGTCTTTGAATGGAAGGTGTGAGGCCAGTGCTCGTGATGTCTTCGCGCGCGTTTGGTGTTGGTTTGATCGATGACGAAGGAGGAATCGACGTGTTGACAGACGCCTGATTTTGAATTTTCTCCTTGAGATCCTTAGAGATATGCTGTCCGGATTGAACGAGTTGGTCGGGGACGTTGCCGGTTTCGAGACTGTGGGATACGGTGGTGATGGATGCACGCATTGGGAGAAGGAAAGTCGGAGGGAGAGCACATCGCGTCTCGAGGATCGAGCGCCGGAGCGATTGAGCAAACATTTTGAATATGTGATATGGTGCAATGCTGCGTTGCGGCCTCGTCGTTTTTTGTGAGTTTCCTAGAAAGATGAAGTTTGAACGTGCCACTAGTGCACAGACACTAGAAATCTTGGCGCATGGGGGAATCCAATATTTTTTTGCCGCTGGCTTAGACTTCATCAATACCTGCAAAAGTTACAAAATCAGTCGCAAGTATGCCTCAGAACGAGTATATCGAGCGGTGGACGAGTAAGTGCTTTGCGATCTATTTTGCGTTCATCTGTATACTAATTATGCGCCAGAACTCCACGGCAAGCGCCTCGACCACGACGAACGGAAACGCAAGCGCGAAGCCCGAGAAGGTCACAATGCCAGTTACAAGGCGCAGAACTTGCGCGGTCTGAGGGCTAAGCAGTATGTCAATGTTTATGACATTGAGGAGGAACTATACTAACAGCAGTCAGGTATGCTGAGAAGAGAAGGAAGGAGAAGATTCAGATGAAGAAGCAGATCCGCCAGAAGGAGGAGTCGAAGGTTAAGGGCAATGAAGCGGCGGAACCCTCTTCGGAGCCTCTGCCGCAGTATCTGCTTGACCGATCGGACCAGAAGTCTGCAAAGGCTTTGAGTTCGCAGATCAAACAAAAAAGGCAGGAGAAGGCAGCGAGGTTTTCTGTGCCTCTGCCCAAGGTCAAGGGTATTACAGAAGAGGAGATGTTCTCCGTAGTCAAGGTGCGTGTTTTCACCATTGGTACATGAGCCTCATACTGACAACTTTCAGACCGGAAAGAAGACTGCGAAGAAGAGCTGGAAGCGAATGATCGTATGTATACTCGCCATTACATGATAAAGACGTCCCACTAACTGTTTCTGAAGACCAAGCCGACTTTCGTTGGTCCCGGTTTCACTCGACGACCTGTTAAATAGTGAGTGAATACGCAGGAGTTGTCCATCAATTCACTAACGCAACCACAGCGAGCGCTTCATTCGCCCCATGGGTCTCCGTTATAAGAAGGCCAATGTCACACATGTATGGCACAAAACAAACTACACCTCAAGCAATACTAATAATGAATAGCCTGAACTCAACGTGACTGTACAATTGCCAATCATTAGCGTAAAGAAGAACCCCCAGAACCCCCTCTACACGCAATTAGGCGTCTTGACTCGTAAGTTTCCCACCAGCTCGTTGTCTTTATGTAGCATCTGCTAAACCACATTTAGGCGGTACTATCATTGAGGTCAACGTTTCCGAACTCGGTCTGGTAACAGCAGGTGGAAAGGTTGTTTGGGGTCGTTATGCACAAGTTACCAATAACCCCGAGAACGATGGCTGTCTCAACGCTGTTCTGCTCGTGTAATTTGACAGGACCAGTAAAAAAGCACTTGCATAAAGACCGGCGTTGTGGCGATTTCACACTTCATTGGGCGTTACGATACGATGATATCTTGCGTGCTCTTGCACAAGTTGAACTGGAAATATGGATGTGGGATATATAGTTAGCTGAATGCTATACCCTAAATAGGGACCATTGCCAGCCTCAGAGTTCCAGTTACGATGCAAGGTTTATTCTTGTGAATTGCACTTGTTGAGATGAAAGTGGAAAATCCTCTGTTGGCTGACAGGAGTGCACTGTCTGAGTGGCTGGGGTGAACGCCATTGGGAGTCCTCATATTAGAGGGGAATCCCTTGCTTATAGGAACTTCATACATTCATGAAGCGTTCTTGCGCAAATATAGATACGTCACTAGGCAGTAGAGGGACCATTTTGAATGTGAACAGACTGCTTTTTAGGTCCACGTTGACCGCACTGTCAGGATATATACAAGAAGCACCTCCAACTTCATTAAACAAAGAATAGCACTGAAGCGCCATGTGCAACCAATTCGCTGCGAAACGCCGGGCTTTTCCAAGAACCACCCACTAATCCAAGGGTATTAAAAAACTCAAACTGAAGAAGGAAATGCTAACCGAATAAGATCATGGAATCCACTCGATCAACGTCGTGGTCGTTAGAATGAAAAGAATTTCCAACAGTGGAGGATAATTAAACCAAAACCAGAACTTGGTGCTACCGGCTTAGAGGCGCCACTTGTTGTTCATTGCCCAGTAACTGTCGTATTTTCACGTAGAATTGATGGGGATACGCCTCGATCTCTGCGTCTGTTGGAGGTTCTTTGCTCGTATCGCGGAAACGTTTCGCAACATTCTGGATGATCTGTCCAAGAAGAGCTTCTGGAATACGCAAATCATTCCCGTCGTCTGAAGGAGGCATGGATGCATTCTCTGGGTATAGGAAGGGATCTTGTTCGCCAAGTAGTTGCGGAATTGTTGGTCGATCGGCAGGGTTTCGTTGGAGACATTGACTCAGAGTATGCTTCAGCCCAGCAGGAACCCTGACATCGCCAATGCCAAAATCTGGATATTCGATATTATAGCTCCTGTCGATAATTTTGAAGACGCGGGCCATCTGATTGGCGATGTGGGCGAATGGTGGTTTGCCGTAGACCATTTGGTACAGGATGCAGCCTAAACTCCAGACGTCACTCGGCTTCCCCAACTTCATCATCTTCGCTGCGCTTCCAGAACCAAGCTGACCCCTCGTCCCAGAATTGGTATCTTCTAAGCTCTCAGGAGACATATAATTGGGCGTTCCCACGTGAGAGTCGCGGTGTACGTTCACAGTGTTGTCAATATCGATAGCGTTTGCGATGCCGAAATCGATTAGCTTTAAACGTCCGCGTACGAGCAGAAAGTTTGCAGGTTTGAGATCAGAGTGGACTATGTCATGGTCGTGTACAGCTTGTACACACTCAAGCATCTCTTTCCAATAGTAGCGTGTGAAACTCATGTCCAACCTGGCGTCTTCAGAATCAAGTTTCATACGAATCACATGTGCTAAATCGGACTCTCCAAGTTCCATGAGCTACAAGGGTTCGTTAGCATTGTGTAAATCTAACATTTTTGCGACTTCAACAGGTTGCAGAACACCGAAGAAGACATCGGATAAGTGGCACTCACTACGCTCAAGATTTGCCGCGACTCGTCCACCTCCCAGTCATACAATTGCACCACTCTTTCAACGTTATTCAGCTTTCGCAGGAGATCGATTTCTCCCTTGTACCCACGAACAGCGGACTCGTCTTGGTCCTCCAACTTGACTCGTTTCAAGGCTAATTGCTTGTAATTCTCAGCCATAACTCGATACACCGCCGAGCTTCCACCTCTTCCAATGCGATCCATCTGCGAGTAATGCTTTCCGTTTACAGAGAAAACACTTCTCTTCTTTCTTTCTCGTGTCTTCGTTGTTGCTGCCCCGGCGGCAGCAGTGGCAGTCTCTAAAACGGACATCTTGGGAGGCGGTGGAGGTGGTGCGGGTCTATGAGGTGTATTCGTACTTTTAGGTTGTAGGGGGGCAGGTCTTTCAGGTTTCTCATCTGCCCCTCGATTTCCGGCATTCCTCTCGATAGGTGAACGTGGCTGCAGAGGTTGGCGCGGGCTTATATCGGCAACCTTCATAATTGAATCGGGTACTTTTTGATCCACTGCCTTCATCACCGACATTGGAAGGTTCTCTTGATCCCGGGATGGAGGATGGTCTTCCTCACTCTGTGGTGTTCGTCTCAGTCTCCTCATGGGTGCTCCCCTCAGTGGAACCCGTTTTATCCTTAAGCTCGGGGCGGGCGTGACAGTATCCTGCACAGGGGTATTTGAGCCTGACCCATTCCTTGATATTCGAAGCTTTGGTCTGCGTCCTGCGGCCTTCTCGGGGGAGTTGACCTCGTTCTGCGCCAGTAGAGCCGTCGTCAAAGCGCTGAGCTTCATTGGTTGCGGGATCTCGTCATCGGAGCTATCTCCTATATCGATGTTCTGCATCATAGGTGCATTTGCAGCAAAACCATGCGATTGACCCAGGGCAGAAAGTGGAGAATCTCTTCGGTGCATAGGTCGGATCATCGACGACGAGCGCATACGGCCGACGCCATTGTATCCTACGGGCGTCGGGGATGCTGTCGCCATTGCGCGCTCTGTGACTGGTCGCGCGATTTCCCTTTGGATCGTACCAGGAGACGAAGTTTTTTCAACTAGATTTCTCAAGTTGATGCGATATAAGGGAAGACTGCTCGAGACAACAATCGCGGTTTGCTGGGATCCGGTCGCGCAAAAGGCGGTTATAATATGTGCTAGCGTTAGCAAACGTGTTGTAACGAATGTCGGCTATGTCCAAACATAAGGTGCGAATTAGTTGCTAGCTGTGATCGTAGTGATGCTGTAGTTGTGGTCGGTGAATGCTGTCGAGTGAAAGGGCGCGTGCGGATCTGAAGTTCGCGTGGCCCTGGTTGCCTAGCAACCGATGTAAACATGGGGATCGTTCTAAATCCTCACACTTGACCACTATTGTACACGATCACTATCGAGTCGAGACTAGTACCAATTCTCGCATAATAGTTAAAAAAAATCATGTTGGGAAGGGATTGAGATCGACATGTTGTCTTATTGCTGCATGGATTCATTCGAGACATATTTGCAGACAATCCCAAGTACCTACATATGAATCCATCTTCAATGAATGAAGTGATTTATATGTAGATTACAGTAACCTTTCAGCGATGGTCCGAAACAACTCTTGTAAAACCGCCTCCCACATATTTCTAAAAAAGATGATTTAAAAAAAAAATGAAACACCTCCAACTCCACCAATGCAAAATAGTGATGTATGCAAATCGTCCCACAGCACCAATCAATACGCTTAACTATCTTCAATGACGACTGCAATCACAACTGCAATATCGTCTGGTTTTCCTCCGTGCCAATTCTCTCCTGGATAATATTTCTGCACTTCCCTCGCAAATGGGCCATCTCGTCTAGTATCAAGCCCCGTGTCTTTCGCTTCTTTGGCGATTGCAATCGCAAGCCTAGCTTGAAGTGATGATCTGTCCGCCCTCTGGCCTGTTCTGGCTTGAGTAAGTTGTGTAAGCGTTTCTCCCACCTCCATGACTCCATTATTCTCTTTCCACGCACCCAACTCGACCATGTTTCGACTGACGATGCTGAGCGCGTCCTGTGGGCTCAAATTGTCCCAAACACCATCAGTAGCAAAGACCAATATATCACCATGCCGCACTTGATGGTGGGAAATATCTGACTCTTTAGGCAAATCCGAAAGGGTGCTCGGCCCCCCAAAAACAGCCATCTGAACAAGCATACGATGGGGGGTTTTAGAAAGCTGGAATGGCGTATTAAAAGCGTGGGTCTGGGGTTGGGTGAAGTGCCGCACTGCATTCAACCCAAGGTGCATGAAACCAGAATCGCCCAAGTTGGCCACTTCCACGCTGCCATTGGGTTCTGCGACGGCGATACACGCCGTGCTTCCGCCGCCGATAATGCTGTCATCGCTAATGACTTCATCATAACCAGTCTGAAGTAAGTCTTTCGGGTGTAGTGAACTTCCTTTTGACCCTTGAGGCCATGCCCTGGCATTGCAACTCATGTATTCGCACAATCCATGCGAAAAATCAGCAGGATCGAGACCCGAATCCATCCATCCGCCAACTCCGTCTGCGACACCAAAAGCTGTAGCTCCCGTGGTTCCGATCTGGCTGTAGAAAAAAGCGTCTTGTCCACTCTTCGCCCGATCTCGTTTCTTCTTACTTTGCTTGCATTCTCGGAGGCTCAAGCGGTTCTCGATGTTTTCGAACAACTCGTTTGTGTACACGTTCGATTTCGCGTTGAAGCGATCGCCTTTGGCAGCATATGCAGCGGCGACCTGATAAGAGAACTGCGGTGTATTCTTCCAGCAAAGGGGGGCCGAGTGGAACAATCTAGCTCCTGCAATATTCACGCATATGTCTTTGTTGATAGAACAGACCGCCGGAGAAAAGGGGTTTCGTTGGACTGGTAATCGAGTACTTCTGGCTGAGGCGGTGGATGCGAATGTGGACACGGACAACCCTAGAAGCAGGAGGCCACTCCTCCTAGACTTCGGTACGCTCCATGCACTGGCAATCAATGACATGGCCGTAGCCAGAACCTTGTGCGGGAGACAATGAGTTAGCAATGGCCGAGTTAGACAATCGTGAGAAGACGATCGCTGGGATTGATCATAGCGACGGAGATTTCGTACCTGTGTCAAAAGCGGAATGAAGTAACAGAATCTTTCCGACCAGGGAGATTCACGGCGCACCATTGGCGTCATGGCACTAGCAACTATCTGGGGTATAACTGTTGTCAATCAACTTTAAGCACAAACAAATACAATGCAAGTAACACAAACAGACCTTATGAAGCAGTAATCCGAATACTGCCTCAGAAGATATGACACATCTACCAAATCAGCATCTCCGGCCCCAAACCCCAGCATTGCAGCTGCGTTTCATCCCGGTCTCCAGCCCTATCGGATTAACCTCGGACCGACCCCAAATTCTAGGTAGCTCATCCAAACAACTCTTAACATGACGTTCCTCGTGCAATCTATCGCGAGAGCCAAAAAGCCACGATGAGTACGCATCCTTCTAGGCAGGCATACGTGGAGGAAGATGGAGAGGTAAGGCACTGTTGTTCATTTGTTTGCTCAGTTGGGGATGCGCTCCCAGAGAACAAAAGTTTTAATCCCATGCTAGAGTGGTGCAGCATGTGAATTCTAGCTGACTGGACTTTTGCAATAGGGCGACGCAATGGAGGGCATTGACCTTGCCAACGTTCGTGAGTATTGGTTCCTAGCCTTAAAGTCGTGCTTCACTAATGAAACCAGCTATCGATCGCGATCACTTCATGCCCAGCGCCGCTCCTGGATTGGCAAATGAGAAAGCGTCCGAAATACTCTCTCAATTTGACCGCAAACGAAGAGCTGCGCAGCTGATAGTTCCTACCGCCGATCGTGATGTGAAAGCCAAACTCCGCGCGCATGGTGAACCGATAACGTTATTCGGAGAGGGCCCATCTGACCGGCGTGATCGTTTGCGCGCCTTCCTTGCGGATCAAGCTGAAGCCGCCGGTGATGACCAAGATGTTGCGATGCAAGATGCAGATACAGGCACCGATGAGCAGGAAGAGGAATTCTATACACAGGGTTCCGAACTCCTACTTAATGCAAGAAGGCACATGGCAACCTATTCGCTGCCTCGTGCGAAAGAGCGAGTCGCATTTCAGAGGCAGGAAGCTACTATACCACTCAAAACACACATCGAGTTCCGCAACCAAATCAAAGCACACATACAGGACATTGATCTGTACGGTTCACAAACTTCGGACAGGCCTGTGGGGATTGTGCGATTCTCCCCTAATGGCCAGTACGTTGCTTGTGGAAACTGGGGCGGAAAGCTACAGCTGCTCGAAGTCCCAAACCTGCAAGTGAAGAAGTCGTACCGTGGAGGACATAAGGACCGAACCTCTGGTATCGATTGGGTACCAGGAGCGACCCTCCCAGACAGTGGAATATCATCCTCAGATATCAACTTCGCATCCGGAGGCGGAGGGGGCAAAATCAACCTCTGGTCCTTGGATTCCGATACACCTTTAGGTACTTTGTCAGGTCACAGTGAGCGCGTATGCAAGATCGCTTTCCATCCTTCTGGGCGCTATCTTGCTTCTGCTTCTGATGACACCACCTGGCGTTTATGGGACGTACAAACCATGCAAGAGTTATTAATTCAAGAGGGACATTCGAAAGAGGTACACACTGTAAGCTTCAACACTGATGGTTCCCTGGTAGCGAGCGCAGGATTGGACAGCATTGGGCGTGTCTGGGACATTCGCAGTGGACGTGTTATTTTCATGATGGAAAGCCACATTAAGCCAATCTACGGACTAGATTGGAGTACAGATGGCTTCCGTCTTCTCTCTGGTTCTGGAGATGGCTTCATGAGGTGTTGGGATGTTCGAGCCATGCGAGAAACAAATGCCATCGCCGCAAATACCGGCGGTGTAACTGATCTACGATGGTTCAAAGGTAGTGATGGACCTGCGAGCGGTCAAACACTCTCGCAGAACGAAGCTGGCGAATACAGACCGAAAAAGGCTTCTACCCTTGTGGTATCTTCTGGTTTCGATTCCAACATCAAAGTTTTCTCCGCTGACGACTGGGCGCTTTGCAAAACGTTGAAAGGGCATACTGGAGCAGTCCTCAGTACGGATATTTCAAGAGATGCCGCCTGGATCGTCAGTGGTGGCAAAGACCGGACGATTAAGCTGTGGTCAAGAGACGACCAGGAGGGAATTTGAAATATTTACACCGAGCCTCCACGATATCCGCATACACATGGTATATCTGGTCACACTCCCGAAAATCACATTTCCACGTTTTACTAGGATTTCTCGTCGATGAGAGGTAGCAGCTTCCCGCTGGTATGTCTCTCAGCTGCTGTTAAAGGCAGGATGGACAAAAAGATGACACGATAATTGAGAGCAACTTCGCCATTTCTTGGAGAGGAGAAGGAAGTTGGTGCGGCGCAACACGAGTGATATACCCATGGGAAAGACAATTTCAACTTTGTTCGCTCAAGATTTTATACATGATTCACCTGTGCCGAAACCATTGTGGACGAAAAGATTGCTCCAAATCTTGTTCTATTACTTAGGGAAAGAGTCGGACTTAATTGAACCCTGACTATGCAGCGTTAATTCATCAGGACATGCACTCATCTGCAAATTCGTTGAGACCAGCAATACGTCGATAACGGGCGACTACTGCACTCATCGAGCCAGAGCGCTCACCGAACCGCGTTTCGCCCGAAGTCACTGTACTGGGAACACACTACCATTGAATGCCACATAGCAAAGCTTGATCTAGAGCATCAAGGTCAGAGGCCGAATAACCCCTCTTCGCTCATTCATACGATTGTCACGCATTCACCGTGTCATGGTGATGAGCTCCGGATCATCTGTTGTGTGTATGCTTCAGCCACAGATATCTCGCGCTATTGCCACGAGATTGCACCAGCCCCAGATTACATGAGACAAAGCATGCGACTATCCTTTCATTGCTCCTAGGGCAGACTATTGTCCTGTCGGTGTGTCTCAAGCTAACGCTCACAGTAAGGGGTAGCGTGCGTCTTTACATTTCTGTCGAAATGTCTAGAAACTGGACAAATCTCTATCTCACCGCAAATTCTAAGTTGACAAATTGAATTCTTCAAAGGAACATATCTGATCTCAATGTTTGATCTAATGTTCGATCTCATAGATCGTCTAAGCCCTAAGGTACAAATCTCAAGTCGTCGGCCTCTGGCGACCCTTCACCGCTATACCCTGACGCACGCGGGATCCACCTTCCAACAGTACTGGAAGCAGGATAGCCGGCCGGGAGCTACAGTAGTATCCTGTAGATGCTCCGTACATATGGTAGTCATCGCTGGTTAATGCTTGGTGATTTGACGCTTGTCCGAACATTTGCTTTGACTCATAGCAAGAAAAAAACTGCACTGTGGTGCCAAGCCTTCAATTGTGATTTTGATGCAAATATCTTCCACTAGGAATTGATCCCTTCAGTCCAAGCTCCGGCAAAGGGCTCCACCTACCTTACAGACACAATGGGCACGTTGAAGATTGCATCCTCTGCGGATGCCGGGTGCACCAAGGTATCCCCAGCCATTCAGTGAGGGCGCCTCGCCTTTGTCGCAGCCACACCTTTCCAAGAGTGGACAAATGTAACTTCGCCTTGCGATTGGGCTCCGAGGCAGTGATTACCCTCGTCGGTATGAGGTCCGGTCAAAGGGCATCTACTGTCTCAACCAGAGGGCTTATGAAGCCTTTAAACAATTTGAGTGGACTGAAAGTGCCCGCTAGCGCCAGGATCTGGAAGGCCTATCTACAACATACGACGCGCAACTGTGCGAGAGAAGATCAGCAGCACTCTGTAAAGTCGATCCAGACCAAAGCAGGCGCCTTCTGCATGCCGGCTCGAGCACCGGCCGCCTGAGACTTCAGAAAATAGCAGTATGGCTGAGTCCTAATTTTCAAGTGGAAGCACAGTGCAACGCGAACACAAAAAACATTAATGTGGGAGGCATGGTCTTATTCGCTGCTTGGGGCGTTACACCATGTTGAGCGGCGCGTACAAACAAAGACGAAGAAAACAAAGCTCTGGCCGAGACAGCACCGATTGCGATAATCAGAGACGAGGCTTGTTTGTACTGTCATTTTAGAAACTAAAGCTGTCAGGGTAAGGCCTGGCAGATGTCTCCTTACGATGGCAGGGAAGTTGGGAGTGCGTAAGGACAAGATCTAGCGAATGGCATAGATTGGGAAAAGCTGACAAGATGATCCCTCATGCTGGTACGAGAATTTCTGGATGTTGATTGTGGGACAAGGGCTGTACTGTGGCTGTTGTGTTGCTGGGTTGCTGGGGTTGCTACAAGACGAAGACGGTACCTTACACCAGCCTATACTCATGAGAATACTGAGAATAGCACAGAGCAAGGTCAAAGCGAGGAGACACAGGGAAGGGGAGGTGTGGTTTTCTCTCTCTCTTTCTTGATGGGCGGTGAAATGACTCGTGGTCACGCGAAAAAGTCGGAACATTTCCACCGATGACACAATGATGGAGTACCAAGAGCAACGACTGAGAGGGTCGACCCTGCGAGCACAGGGACAGGGCGAACGAAGTGGGAAGTTGGAAGAAAGAGTCGCCTGACAGTCGCAAAGGAGGCCGTCATCGCGATGGGATGGGCTCAGGGTTGCAAGTGACAGGATTCCTGACAGCCAACCTCGTCACCAGCCTCAGTGACTTCTTGTTCAGTGCAAGATGTATTTGGAAATGTACTGTCGGGAGGGAGGTGTACTCCCTACTAAGCGCCCCCTCTATCTCCGCAACGTGCTTGCCGGGCTTTGCGACTTGATAATCCCATAGCACGTCCACATGTATACAGAGACATTTCGGAAATGGTAAAGAGACTGCTGAATACGGAGTCTGTTGCCAGTTTTCTTGCAGCATTCGGCCAAGTACGCTGCACAGAGAGACAGTGCAGTGCAGTTACCCACTTACCCACGCACCTAAGTCCTTCGGCCGGATCCTAGCTATGGAAAAGGGCCGAGCCGCAGGCTCTTAGAGAAGAAAAAGAATTGCACCAACACCGGGCTCCCGCTGCCGTACCATACAATGGAATATGGGAATGGCCCTAGGTACCAAATCCGTATAGAGAGCCCACTCTGCTCGTGGAGACGTGCGTGCCAGGGCGCCGGAAAGCGTGAATCAGCGCACCAGGCCCAGACAACGAGTGAATGGCAGCATCAGTACAGACAGGCAGACAGACAGACAGCCAGCCATGTAAGAGATACGATACAATCAGAGTCGGGGAAAGCGGTGCGCGCCCGCGTTGGGAGACAGACGGCAAGGAAGAGCCACCACGACGCCAACGCAAACAAGTCCACCCACACCACACCCCCTCCACCACCACCATGATGACCCCCCCGACAGACAGACAAGACAGACAGACAGGAGGGAGAGGAGAATTACAGAGTGATGAGTGGTGCAGGCATTGCCATCCAATCGATTGTGCAGTAGTCTGCCAATGCATGATATCCTGGCACAAGGTCCAGGGCAACGAATGAGAAAATCGATCTGATCCGTCGTCCGGCACACGCTGCCTTTCCTTCTTTTCCTTATCAATACCCTGCTCTGCCCCCCTCCCGCCGCCTCTTTTCTTCCCCCTCCCCACTCAGACTCACAACCATCTCCCTGCTATACAAAGTACGCCGTCTACTCTTGTGACGCGTACAGTATACCCTCAAGAGCAAAGTCTTGCCTTCGATCGTTTTCTGCCTGGACGTGGATTGAGAATCGACTGTCCTTGCTACTTTTGGCCGCACTCTTCGCCGATTATTTGGTATTATTTGGTATTGTTTCCCTTCCAACGTTGCGGGGAAAATCGCTGCCACTACTGCTATTACCGAATCGGGCTCGTCCACACCGCCTGTTGCTCAGTAGTAGTACATCTACCTGCTTGAGCCCACCACCCACTTACTTCCAACAATACCACCAGTACCCACACACACACACACATCCCATGGATTTCCATCGTCCTTCGTCGACATTGAGCTCTGTGGACAGAAAACCATCCTCTGCTTTCTCCTTCGACGACGGCACTGCATTGGATGCTAACATCTTGGACACCCCCACCATGATGTCCCCTACAACAAGCACCCAGGGAATCTTCTCCCCTGATACTTCTCTATGGGACGACGCTACCTTTGGTCAATTCGTTGATCGGACAGCCACCAGCTCTGTCGTGAATCACAATGGGAACAATCCGTTCTTCACTGAGCAGAGCAACAACCCCTTCGCCCGCCTGCCTGCCAACCAAGCCGCTACATACGGCCAGCAGTCATGGACCGTAGAGGACAACTCGGGATCCAGAACCCCTACTGCAACGAAGCCCATGAACCCATTTGGTCCTGGAAACTTCGACTCTTCAGCCTCCACATTCGTTCCTCAGCCCTCCCAGCTGCCATATCATGGTCTACCGATGCAGGCCAACGTAAGACCAAGCTCTGTCTTTCCCCCGAATGTTCCGGAACGACCGTTGTCTCCCCACACCAACTCCGAGTGGATGGCATTCAACCAGCAAGAGATGGATGCTCGCCCTGGTCCCAAACGCATGAGACCCAGCTCTCCCCCGAGATCTTTCTCCCCTCGTCGTGACGGAGGTATCAGGAAGAAGAACGCCAGGTTCGACATCCCTGCCGAACGGAACTTGATGAACATCGACCAGCTCATCGCCAACTGCTCCAACGAGGACGATATGAAGGAACTCAAGCAACAGAAACGACTGCTCCGCAACAGACAGGCCGCGTACGTACCTCCATTTGGTCCTGGTTCTTCCTCATTTGGTTGCTACCGTCCATTTGGTTCATTCCCTATCCTCCGTTTCATGCTAACAGTTGCACAGGCTTGACTCTCGTCAGCGTAAGAAGAAGCACACCGAAGAGCTTGAAGAAGAGAAGAAGACTTGGACCGACAAGCTCTGCCAGCTCCAGGAAGACTTCCAACGTCTTGAGCTTGAGTACAACTCCATCGTTCAGGAGAAGGAGGCTTGGTACCATGAACGTCACGAGATGAGCCAAATGATGAACCAGCTTCAGTTCGATAAAGAAGAGCTCGTCCGTTCTCACACCCTCGAGTCTGGTGAGCTGCGAAAGAAGATCTCCGTCTTGACTGAGAGACTCGAATGCTCCAGCACCGCCATGTCCGTCGCGCCCAGCTCTGCCTTCACTGACTTCGGCATGGACAACCTCAACATGGGCAACAACGACTGGGATAACTACATCTTCGTCGACGATTGCTTCGATCCTGACCAGAACAACGCAGCACAGCAGCCGCAGGAACAGGCCCTCGTTGTCGCTCCACGAACCAAGGATGCCGACGAGAAGTCCGGCGCTTCCGGCCTGTTGCTTATGCTGTTGCTCTGTGGCGCATTTGTTGCAAGCAAGTCCACTGGCTCCACTGCCCCACCCATCCCCCGTATGCCTGATGAAGTTCGTGCCGCCTCAGCCACTGTTCTCGACAGTATTTTCAAAGATGCTGGTGTCGCTCCGACTCTCGCCGAACACGGTGTCGTCGCTAGCCATGTCTCGGGCGTCGAGCCTGCTCCCTCTGGCATCAACTGGATGAAGTCTACGCTTTCTGGCTCCGAGTTGGCAGGAATTTCTGGTTCTACCTTGGATCAACTGCATGCTCAGCTCTCTGGCCCGACAAAGGACCAGGAGAACGAGCAGCTGTTCTCGCTCACTCCCGCCCAGTACAACAGTGTCAACTCGATGGACTTTTCGCGTACACGATACAGCATTGCCAGCGATGACTTCAGTGACCCCCTGTCTCCCGGTTCCCAACCTTCCCACCGTCGCAACCTCGCTGAAACCTTGGCTGCCATGCGTGAGCAGAGTAAGGGATCAAGTGCCGCCGACATCTACACTCGAAGCCTTCTCTGGGACAAGATCGCACCTGAGGTTGTTCACGAGTTCAAGCGCATTGTTGAGGAGAGCGCTGCTTCTTCTCGCCCCGGCACCTCGGACGGCAATGTTGCCAAAGCTGAAAGTGTTGGCTAAATGACCACGCCACAGCATTCTGACCCGTTTTCTCCTTCTATTTTCTTATTCTTTTCTCATTTACAGCGAGCATTATCTAGCATACTCTTCTTTCCCTTGCAAGGGGTCCCTTTCTTGGGAAGTTTTACTTTGCATAATGGGTCGGACAACCGTCATTTTCGCTTTCAACGCTCACACGAGCATCGCATCCGCCATATTTTCGATTCAAACATTTAACATACTTATATGCATCAACGGCGGCTTGTATTTGTTCTTTGTGTTGCTGATGGATTGCACACTCATCACGCACTGTTTCTCAATTATTCTTTCACGCTCCAATACCAGGCGGCAAAATGGCTAAATGGTCATCGCACGCACTGGATTGTTGCTTATTATTCCCTTTGTCTGATCTCCTATTATCAAGCGAATTTGGCACAGAAAGGTTGTATGGCTTTCAATTTGTTCATAGCGTAGCGTAGCGAGCGTGTCTCTTTTTTTTCCTTTGTCCTGCGATTCTTACGACCGACACGGCGAATCGATTCACGAAGCAAATAGTTGGATGGAAACATATGTTGCAATGATTTTGTAAATGACGGCATGATCTTGAAGATAAAGTTTCTCTAGTACCTATTGGTCCTTATCTTGATGGTTTGAAGAGACGGATTCTTTTTGGAAACCTAGGGCAGTGGCAGTTGACAGAGCATGGTTTTCCCCTTTCCTTTCAAAGCGATATTTTATGAAGAGATGTTTGTCCAAGGGTTGCGATCACCCGAACTGATACATGCAGGTAGCCTTGTGCACCTCCTTTTTGTTCTTCTTTCTTCACGTTTGGTTTCTTCGCCAGATTGCGAACAGGACCCGTCGTCCGCGGCTTTTTCTTCCCTTCTACAGAGATACCAGACTTGATTGGACCTACCTTTTTTCTTTCTATTTTGTTGGCGTTCGCGTCGAACGAGGATGAGGAGATGACCGTAACAAGGCAGCTATTCCTATCAATCAAAACGTTCCACCGCGACTTGCTCTTCCCACTGTTTACATCACTGTTTGCCACTTTGCCATGATCTAGAATCTACATTTGCATGGGAGACCGTCTCCAGACCCTCCACTTAGGATTGCCGACCGACGACTTGGACCAACGAAAGTCTGTGACGGTGTTGTTCCATACAAGCCTGGTATTCACGCTTCAGAATATTCACACCCCACGCTTCGTGCGTCGTTCGCGTAGCTATGGGTACTGAATCGCAAGCAAGCAACCCCCAGATTTTGTGCCCTTGCAATCCAGTTGCATTTGCATATCATGCACCCCATTCTTTTTGCACGCATTGTGTGCATCCGCATCAAGACTCCGCTGCACATCACTGACCTGAATTTGTTTGCTTTCTTTTTAACAGCACAAAAGAGGCCCCATCATCATGTACCCCACGCTGCCCGCTGTACGCACGACTCGACCCGCAGAGACAGACACTCTGGATCTGACCTGCGTGGAGGACTCGCAGCAGAGCAACGAACCAGTCGTACGGCAGAGGAGGAACAGTAAAGACGTACCCCAGATGTCGTACTCCCTCAACCCGTCGTCCTGTCCCTTCAACCCCCATCCCCAATCCCATCCCAAGTCCCGAGATTGGACTCCCCGTTTCCGACCGAGACCTATGGGGATTCCTGCCCGCTACGCCGTCTGCCAAACCCACATATCTTGCTTCTCAGCCCGTTGGCGTTGGCTGCGGTGCAACTCGGGTGCGCAGCGCAGCTCCAGAATGGTGGGTGGCTTGGACATTACTGGCCTGACATTGACTCTGCTTTGACTGGCACCCACACGCAAATCGTCTCATCTTGCCCTGGGCCCATCCATCATACGAGCGGGAAATCAGAAAAGCCCACCCTCGCAAGCGATTTCTTTCCCCCCCCCCTTCCTCACCCACGACTGACGGCACATTCGTCACCACTCAGCCCCTGCTCCGTAGACTACCCGCCGACATATGATCCCGAAATCGCGATCGTGACTGTCTGCCCGCACGGCAGTAGGGATCATTCATTATTTCTCCCTAGTCCCGCCCTATGAGCAGGTTTATTTTGGAGTTTTATTTTGCGTACCATCATGTGCGAGGGACTACTGAAACATGCTAGATACTAGTATTGAACGCCGTGCAGGATCAAGTCGCTCGTGCCGTATGATTGATTATTTATTCCATGTAAGTAAGATCTTCGAAAGTAAACGCGATGTAGTGTAGTGGGGAAAAGGCTGAGCGGCTGGGCTGGGGCTGGACTGGGCCTTCCTTTGGGGTGGATCAGATCCTTTACTGACTGACATTTCGGAGTGGGGATCTTTTGATCGTCGTCTTCGTCTTCGTCTTCTTCTTTTTTAGGTTTGTCTCGCACCACCACCTTGTTTCGGTAGGGTTTATGGTAGATAAAGATACCGAATGAGATTTCACGTATTTCGTATTTTCACTTTTATTATCGTTATCACTGCTGTTATTATTATCATCTGTTAGTTATTCACATTAGGCACACATTAGGCACATAACTGATCTGCGTGTTTAACATTGAAAGAACGTGCACACACCTAAACGAAAGACTTTGAGGGTGTGGAGGACCACATCAGGCGAGGGCGTACATACACACACACACACACACACACACACACACATTCACAAGCACAAGCACAAACAACACCCACCCACACTGCTCACACAGTTCCGAGAGATTCACCGATGAACGTTGGAATTAAAGTGTGACAGCTGACACCAGCATAACGTACATGATAGCAATTCGACAATCTGGTAGGGCATGGTTACAACGAGATCAATAATAACAACATCGTCCCGCGATTTTAGTCTCTTTCGAAGGTGGCACGGTATGGGGCAAGACAAGGCTATTGCTAGCAATACACAGTAAAGTGCCTCCTTCCTATACTGCCTACAACAACTGCCAGTACGAGTACTATTGCCACCACCCTCGCTCTCAGATTGCCCGTTTAAGAATTCTACCCGAACGATTGCGTAGAGAATATGTTCCAGATGACCCAGAGACCCCGCCACTGCTGTATCCACCGGTAGAGGGGAAAGTGACAACGGCCGTCAGCCGGGTCGCGCCATCAGAGGGGTATGGAAAGAAACAAACAGGGTATGGAAAAGCAGGATCTAGCTAACTGCAAGATATGTGATGCAATAAGATTATACAGAACGATAAACCCCCCCGCGGCAAAACAGGTAAAATTGCAGAAACAAATCGACTGGCAGCGGATGCAACGGGACAAGGCATTTAGAGTGCGGGGGGAGAAGTTGATGCTGGTTTCGAGTGAGCGTTGCTCGACTTGGCGACCTCTATTTGGGGTTGTATTTGTCCTTCCAGATCCTACAATAAGATATCGTCAGCACGTGCTCCATTACTATAATCCGACTCGTTGTGCAAATATCGAAGAGACTGATCCGGGATTGCCGTGCAGTTGAGTCGAGTGGATGCCATGTAAGGTAGGCAGCCTTCCCCTCCATCGGCTTGACTTGTTGTTTTTGTTGTTCGTTCATCATGATAGCACCTGTGGATGGAATTCAAAAGCCATTCATGCATCCGCTTTTGACGACACCAAGTGTTGGACAGGCCAATGTGACACTCCATCACGAGTGCCCCTACTCTGTCGTCGCTTAGGTCCGTCATCGGCATCCACACGCTTTGCTTCCGCTTATTGAATCTGGAACCGAAGCCAGCGACAGCACGCCACGTGTATGCGCAAATAGGACAGTCCCAACGTGCCGGGTCCTAGCGAAAGCGAATGATATGTCGTACCCTGGGCCAGCTCTAGAATGGGTATAGCGAGACGTCCATGGATGGAGAGAAAGATGTGACCGTGGGGGGTGGACGTCTGCGGGAATGAGGAATGTGACAGGGCCCAAACCACAGCGGAGAGGCCCGCTTAGATTCCGCACGGCTGAGGTGCAGGGGTCCTTTCGAGATGGAGAAGGCGTGTCCAATCAATTTGCCAAGGCGGATAGTTTTCGAAACCATAAAGTGAGAGGCTTGCTCCCAATCGGGAACGGTCATGGCGACGCTTGGTGGTGCTGTATTTCCATTATTCCATCCACATCCCGAGCATTCGGCTGTTCTCTCATGAGAGCCCAAAGGGCGTGCTCAATATCTCCAAGCACGACCTTTTAGCAGAGATTAAGCAAGAAAGCGTGACGGGACCTTGCGGGAACGAGTAATTCCGATCCCGTCAATGACCGGGAACCCGCCAGCGTAACGGTGCTGTCATGGAAGGATGCATTGGCGGCCATCGCGGATTGGTTTTACTCCTGCTTTGGCGATCCATACAATGATCTCGATGGATAACGGATGTGTTGACCGGGTAGGGAACGATAACGAAATGGTACTTACCATGTGTTACCTAGTTGTTTATTGCCCTTTTCCTCAGAGAGTCGAAGAAACTGAGCCGCTTTGAACTGTCAAAGTGTCAGATACATTAGCCGTGTGTTTTCAGTGATGCCCAAGAAGTGAGGCTTGAGAATTTGGGATATCTGTGTCCCGGTGGTGTTCCGTGTGATTGGCAGAAGAATCACGATGCTTACTTGCACCATAATTCGACCGTGCCGCATCGTACGCAACAATACCAAAGCTGATCGGTGTCGAACTGCTCGACGCTCTCCCACTTCAAATCCACGGACGGACAACACAGAGGCTGGTTTTGACTAACCTTGTCTTTCTTACATCCGAAGCCTTCAAGATAGCACCAGGCTACTTCGTTCATAGCATCAGTGTCACCTAGATTAGCTGCCGTCTCGTAGTATTGCTTTGCGGCCACCGGATCTTTCTTGATGCCCCAACCATTCCTGTCACCAGCATGTCAATGGTCAGGTTTCTGTTGAGGGTTCCCAATACTCACCGGAAGCAATTAGCCAGCTCGTACATGGCGAGTACCAGCTCGCCTTTTGCTGCTCCCCCCTTCTTCATACCCGCTGACAGTGCAAGTGCCTCTATGTTAGCACTATTGGAAGCTGCAAGATTGAGATATGTGACGGCCTGTTCGAGGTTCTTTTCACAACCCCAGCCATGCCTATTCAATGTCAGCCTCACGTGTTGTTGACAACATGATCCAGGCGTACGACGCGAGGAAAATGTACTATCGCGGCCTTTTTTTCATGGTAACCTTCAATGGATCCAAGGAAAAGATCATGACCTTCCCCTCAAAACAAAGGTATAGCACATGAACGATATATTTCAGGCACCAGAGATAATGTGAACGTACCGCAGAGCAAGCCCGTAAAGGACTTGACTGAGAGCATTATTCTCTCCATTCGGGTCTGCCAGTTTCGCAAAGAGCTTAGTCGATGCTTCAAGATTTCCAGACTCATGTAGTCGTATTGCCTCCTGTATGTTTGTATCTCCTGAAGGTTCGCTAATGCTTCGACTCCTCGCTCGTTGTGACGTTGCATTTCCACCCTCGTGCACCGGCGTCGTGCTCCCACTTTGGCTCAAAACGCTTCCTTGCACCATAATGGTTGCTCTTTTTTCCCACTTGGCCTCGTCATCCTCGTTGCGCGCAACACCCTCGTTTACGGCAGGCAGGTTCCCTGGGACGTTCACCGAGCTCGAAGATCTACTTCGACGGAAGCCCGAGAGCATGTTGTCCCCCTTCCCGCGATGCTCGTCCCCCCCGCTCTGTGTCTGGGATGCATTGCTTGACCTCCTGAACCTCCCAAAAGATTTGTGCGAGTCTGGCGAAAGCAATGGCTGCTGGCGCGTCGGGTCGCCAGGGTAATTCGGTGGCTCGATGCGCTCCTGAGTATTGGTCGTCGTGCGCATAAACGTAAACTCTGGAACATCGGGAGATAAAGGAGGTCCAGAATGGTCACTTGAAGCAGTGCCTTCAGTCTTGATTTTGTCTCTCTTCTTCAATAGGTCTCGAAGAGGCATCGTGGTCAGAGTTTGGTGTTGCGCGTCGCTTGGTGGGGCGCGGGAGTCGTGTGGTTATACCGATACGGCAAAGGGGCAATGGCGGCTGGTGACTCTGTTTGCAGGAGTCACTGGATTCTGAGTGTCGTCCTATATCGTCGGAAACTCTTCGAAATGATGTTAAAGTACATTGGCGGCTGACCGAAAGATGTAGGTGGTCGCATCATGAGGTACCGTAGGTAGGCGATGGCCAAGCACAGCCTGCCTCAGCTTCTCAGCCTCCATCGGCTTGATTATTTAAAGATCTTTGACATGCCTGCAAGAAATGCTACAACAAAGGCGAGTTTGCTTTATGGTCAGTCTAATTCCTAATATTAATATACTAGCTTCGAACTTATACTATTTGTTTTCAGTGCTATATATTAATTTGTTTGAGTGCTATGTCTAAGGCACAAATACATCGACAGCTGTTGAACTGGCCTTTCCCTTCTCAGCGCAGAAGTAATTCATACTGCCAACACCAAAGACGTCCCTCAACATACATAATTATTTCAAATATAATTTCTCTTCCACGATGCTGGTCCATCACGTAATCATTATGTTCCCGAAGTGCGTGGCAATCCTTTTTTATGTCTTTCTTTCATTGACTATTACATCTTTCTCCTGATTCTGGGCTATGTATTCTATCATCGAGACTGGTTGTGAACATATCCCAATCGAGTCGCTGAAGGACTTGAAAACACAAAGATAGAACCTTATGAACGGGGTAGGATATCCAATGGCTATCATGCCGGAGGAAGGAACGCTATGCGCTATGAACTTATGTGAGACAGTCTGAGAGATAGGTTTTCCTTGACAGTGTTTCTTTCTCAAATCTACAATGCCATTCGGAACAGACCCAAATGCCAGAAGATTCCAACACGATTATTCGGATTGTTTGCTCACGAGAGGAAAAAAAGCCAGGGATACCGCGTTGCTATCTAGTTGGAAAGCGCGAAACAAATCCTCACATGAAGGGTTATCGTGATGTTTCAACAAAGGAGGTTCGCACGATTCTGGAGAATAGGAACAAGTATCTTGATACGTGTAAATTCACTTGATATTTAGAATGATGATACTATTGCCCCGTGTCCAGTCTATGATAATCTGGTCTATGATAGTCTATGATAATGTATATTCTATAGGTACCTGTCTATGAAATGATCACACCCAACTCCGAGTCTCGAAAAATTCTCGGAATCTCTTCATTCATTGCCCTTGTTGAGATTTTCCGGGGCCATGAGTCTGCCCCCGTTATGATCCCTGACATATTTCTTGATTTGCGCTCGAATTTCAACAGCTTGCTGTTTCTTTTCCGGCTCCAACATCCACCAATAGCCAGTATCTGCATTCCAACGAGCAGGCCAGTAGTCAACCTGATTGCGATAATGGTGATCTCCGTCACCAAGAATTCGGTTCACATCACCTTTACTCCCTACCCAGAAATCTCCTATGAGCTTCACAGTCTTTGGTGCTTTGAGTGAAAACTTGGCACCTCTATGGCCTCCAATTCTCACCGTGTCCTTTTTATCGAGGACATTGAATATCGAAAATGGTACAGCGTCATAATTCCGTGCCTCTAACTCCGCAAAGCGTCCCTTGTATCGCTTTGCGAAACTACAACGTGAAATTCTAATTAGCACAAACGTCTCATCTGCGTAGAGAGAATTACGAGAAGGGAACTTACTGAAAGACGTGATCAATGAGGAGCTTAGTGGCATCCACAGATCTGCCTGAAGTAGAGTGATCCACTAAGAGAAATCTGTTTATAATCAGACCATCAGCAACTTGGTGGCTGTCGTCCTCTTGTGTTACAAGGAACTTTGGACGAAGATAACGAGCGTAATATTCCGTCAGGTGGGCTCCTTTCGTGCCCCAGTCATTTCCAGGTAATTTACCATAGCCTTCAGGATCGTTTTCACGATCACTGAATTGCTCATATCTCCTCGCTTTACTCATAGGAATTGCCCCCATTCGCGGGTGGTTAAAGCAGTAATTCATATAACTGAACACAATTAGCCTGTTGTACATTTCGGCTTTGATCCATCATCCAAGAATCCCCCCCCCCAAAGTTCACTTACCTGCCACTGTTACCGACAAAAAGGACAAAGTCTCGAGGACGCAGTCTTGTCACAATCGCGTCACAAATTTCTTTAAGGAGCCTAAGTTGCGGCTCTTCAAACAATGTGGCACGCTTCTCAACCTCTCTCTTCTCGCTTTTTGGCGGCGGTTTTGCGCTTTTTGGCGGCGGTTTTGCGCCTTTGAGTGGAGGTAACTTTTTGAACCCGATCAACCGATTGTATGTCTTGCTATCCACATCGTCATAACTGAGCAATTTCTTCTAAGGGGGGCTTTTCTTCCATCTGAGTACGTTATTAGATGCCATTTCAACCAATCGTTCACGCAAAGAACGTACAGATGCCGGGGGCATCGCTCTGGTGTTCCACCGAGTTATGTTCCATCGAATTGTGTTCCATCGGAGTGGCATGAACCACATTTAAAAAGACAATGACTATGGTCAAGAGACCAGACTTTCGATTGACCATTACGATAGATATGCCAAATAGTTTGAAGAAGGTTGATTTGTCAGTGTGATATTGCACTGAGCTGGATAGAGCATACTTCCTATTCAGCATGAGGATGTGGTCTTTATAAACACTGCATACCGCCTCGTTCCACCTATATATAAAGAAGAAACAATCTGGCTACAAGAAACAAAGCAATGAATGTGACATGAACGCAAGGATAGACCTATGTCGTCGGCACACACTTTCGCCCGTTATGATGAGACAGCATAGCAGTAAAGCGAGTACAGGGTATGTTGAGATTTGGACACATACAGATTGAGGGTATCAGTACCGGACTTTTGGAATTTGGAAGAATGGCGCATCTGAGAGTCGGCTGTGAAGGCATAATCCTTCGTGGTACCGATGGGAGTAGAACAAGTGAACAGATTGACAAATCGAACAGATTATAGTGTATACAAGGTTGATGTAAGAACATCCAAGAGGGCTTTTGTGGTATATCGATGGATACATCCACTGATAGGGTGTCGGGACCGTCATGGAAACTTCGCAGATTGCACTCACTCGGGCGAAAGTGTGTGGCGTTAGGTCGTCCGAAACATGCTAGGACTTCTATCGTGCTTGTCGGGTGAATATCAGATGCCTTTGGCTTTCAAATGGTGCAGTTATCAAACTGGTGCACCCAATAAATTGGTATGGACGTGCTGTTTTGATGCCGGCGACAACCTAACAGTTGATGTATATAACATGGCATATCGTGTTGAACAGCAAGCGAATATGAAGATAACCAGAAATGCCGTTCCTATACAGACAACATGCGTGCCACTTGCCAATGAAATTCACCTTCTTCCTCACATATGCCGCAGCTGCAGGGTTGTGGTTGTGTTCGCATCTCTCGTACGTCCATCGGAATGGGGCGTTCAGCGGCTATTGTAGCCTTCGCCGACATTTCATTCGATGGTATGTGGAAGCGAGTCCGCTCCGGAGAAGGTGTGTAACTATCCGTCCTATTCGTGAAGATTAGGGTGTGGGATGTACTCCGTCGGGTTTTCATTGTGAACTTCCTTTGTATTAATATTGCCATAGTGCCTTCGGATGTATGTAGGTTCTATGATCGATTTTATGCTGTCTCAACTAGTGTTCAAAAATGTCTTCAGACCTATAATGTAGTGCACTGTATGATCAGCCATCAGGGTTTTTCCTTGCTGACTGAGTGATATGGGAATAATTTATGTATTTGAAGTGATTGAACCTAGACGTACGTACGGAGGACCTACCAAATCGGAAAAGTCCATCATGAATCAAGGATCGAAAGGGACAAAATCATCCTGCTGCGTCAGCGCATGAGCATGTTCGTCCTCTGAATCCGGCGTTGTAGAGGTAGATTTGTTAGTCGGGCTATTTGGTGCTGATGGCGATTCAGCGCCGGACAGGTTTGCTCCAGCAGCCTTTCGCAATCGCCCGGCATGGACGACGTGATTGAGCCGGCAATTATTCTGATGACAAGAACCTTTATTAGTGTAATCAGGGCATTCTCCCAAGGCGTGGCGATTTGTGCATTGGGCACCTTTGTCACAAAAACCCAAGCGTGCAAAATCCTCGCAAAGCGGTGCAGCAGCATTGACGTGCACATGGGCGTACGGACAGTCATCTTTGTTGCAACTGTCATTCTGGAAGTGTATACAGTGTGGGGATCGGTTCGCAGACGGATTATGCGAGAGTGGACACGCCTCGCCGCTAGGACATTGACCTTTGAAAAGGAATGGCTTGCAAATGGCTGTCTTGTCGGGATCGTGAATGTGCGGACAACGGTTGCGCTTACACACACCTACCCTGTTGTTAGTTGATCCAAAGGAGGGGAATGAACTAGAAAGAATTTGGACCCGTAAGCCTTCTAAAGATACCTGTTGCTGTGAATGCGGGGCATGGGGTTTGGGGGGAGTTCTGTGCTTCTACGGCCTTTTGCGTGACGACCGGCCTCGCTACGGTGCTTGACTCTGCAGTGAAGTTGGCGGAAGCATTGTTGAACTTGGGTGGAAAAGTCTGGTATGGCTGATATCCGTAATATCCTCGACCTCGCCCCCGGCCACGAGCTCGCGTAGCGCCCCGATATCCTCCACGCTGTGCGCGCTGTTCCTGCTCTCTTCGTAGACGTGCGTTGATACCTATCATGGAACTATGAGTAGATGAATCTGCGAGAAGGGCATTTTACGGACTTGACCACTCTGCAATGGCGATAGTTCGCTCCTCTGGAGTGAGCGCGCGGATCTGTTCCTCTGTCAAAATTTGCCTCGGCGGCAGTGCCATATTGAATATCTGAGAAAGATCTCCCTCCGAAATGGGTAGAAGAGTGCGGTATGGGTTGGGCCGAATGCGAAGCTGAGAGTTGTGGAGGTGAAGGCGGTCGGAGGGGCGAGGTTATAAAGGTACGTCAATGGGACCAAAGCGCCAAGCCGCTAAATTGCCGCCGCATTGAAGTACCAAAGCTAAATAAGGCATATTTGTCTCACTACTGGCATGCAATTTGATGGAAGGTAATGGATAGAGATAGTAGCTTTCAGTGCTCCATTTGAATATTATTAAAAAAATCACATCGTTACCGATTGATTGCACTCTAGGCAGCGTTTGAGGTCTTCAGCAACAGCTGTCCGAGGGGGTTGAAATCAGACGTTTCCGACGTATATATCCTTTTCGGAATCTCGTACTCTACCACAGGTTCCTTCTTCAATTCTCTTGAAAGCTCCGTTTCGATAAGCTGCATCTTGTTAGATTGATACTCATGGGATAGGCTAGTAGTGGAATACTTACGGCATTGTATGAATGATCTAGGAAATCCTCCAGATTGTACGAGCGTTTCGTGAACTGCTCAGAGATGATCTTTGCCAGTGTGGCCACATTGGGATGGTAGTGCGACTGCAGTGTCTCAATCTCCCACAGGCTTGACTCAATTGCGCCAGATAACATGGGGTCCACCTCGTCCATATCGAAAGGGTCATCCATGCCTTCTTCTTCGATCTCTTCCCTCAACTCACGCTCTCGAATTTCTCGGTGAATCATGAATGTACAAACAGGGTGCCGTCTGAACATGTTGTATATCCAAGGTATGACTGCTACTATACCAGCAGGCGGGCTATGGAGTGCTAGTCGGGAAAAGCGCTTGATGAAACTTGCCACCAGCGCGGCTGGTAAATGTGTTGATGCCATGAATGTGTCCAGAAGGCGAAAGAAGCGGGACCTGTACTTTGAGTGTAAGAGGTTCTCGTCCAGCAAGGAATAAAGCTTCTGATAGAACATTGGGTAGTCCAGATTCTTCTCAGATATGAGGTAGTAAAGGCCTGACAAAGCCAGCAATGAAGTCCCACCACCAACATCGTAAGAGTCTGTGAGGAAGTCCATCAAAAGCTCCGGTTGTCGGAACAAAGGCGCAATTCGATGTGGGAAGACATTTAGTATGGCTTTCCGCTGCTCCTTGGTCATGCCTGATCGTAGTGCTGCAAGCCACGCGTTTTGTGCGCTTTCCCTATATGTAGATAATGCCTGAGACCCTGCCCCTAATTGCTTAGGCGAAACCGCGTAGAAGTTCTGCAGGTCGTCCTTGGATGTGGGTATATTCTCCATTGTCATAAGGATCGAGAGAGCGTTGGTTGATACAAGGGTCTCGAAATGCTCTGGGAGTTCGATTTCAAACGTGGATCTATGTTGTAAGCGCATGGACGGGTACTGTGAGCGAATGTACTTACTTGATGATCTGAAATGTGAAGAATCGAATGTCATCGTACGGTTTGAAGTACTTTTCCACGAACTCTTCACGGATTGTGTCATCCCCTGGAAGGTATAGTACGGTCTCCACCAGCCTAGACAATGAGCCATGCTTCCAATTATAATCTTTCTGTGTTTGCGCCTCCTGCTTCAACAGGCGCATCAGCAGTGTCAAAGCAGCCGACTGCGTTGCCGCGATTCCACTCTTAAGAAACTGTTCTATAAGTGCTTCCGTATACTCTCGATATCTTTCCTTCAGCCATTGCACAATGACGACTTCCGACTCTGCCATTCCTTTGCTTTTGACCATGTCGCCTGTGGAAAGTAATCTTGAGAAAACTCGACATAATGCGACGGCTGCCAGAATCGCAGAGTCATTTTCCGTGTCGTGGTTTCGTACTGACTGAATCAGAGTCGCAATGTTGTTGTAATGCCGGCGAGATTCAAGAATTTGCGACTCGAGCTGGAGGATAACGGTTTGAGGATCTTCAACCTCTTCACTGGAGGACGTTCGCCTGGTCTTCGTTTTTGTTTGGACACGGTCGGACTTCTTCGATTCGCGCTTCCTCTTCTTTCCCAACGAGCTGACAGTATCGGTTTTCGCCATCTATAAAACCGAGCGTAGCTGAATCAAGTATTGTGAGTGTGATCGCCGTCGTTATACTCAGGGAACTTTTTTTTTGTACAGGGCGGTTGAACTTCGGCTAGCACGGTTTTGCCAAGATCGCAGCACTCCGAACTGCAAAGCTCGACGACTTCATCCTCAACCTCAACCCTCTCCACTCTCATCTGCAGCAATGGCTTCTCGTCTCGCTAGGAGCACGCTTGGTATGTGGAAGCACGCTGATGAAATATTGATGCCATTGACCCGCGTACTCACTCTCAACAGGCGCCGCCCGCCTTCGCCCTGCGCTTCCTCTCCGAACCGTCCCAGCATTCACCACCCCCATTACTCCGGCCCGCTATGCTTCCAACGTCCCCTCTGAGGACCCTCAGAAGCAGGCTCGTTCTCTCGTCGACTCGATCCCCGGTAACAGCTATGTCACCAAGGCCGCCACCGTCTCCGCTGGAGCTGGTCTGACTGCTGCCGCCATCAGCAACGAGCTCTACGTTGTCAACGAGGAATCCATCGTCGCCATCAGTTTGTTGACCATTTTCTGGGCTGTCGGCAAATACGCTGGTCCAGCTTGGTCCAGCTACGCCAAGCAGCAGTGCGACAAGGTCGCCGACATCCTCAACTCTGCCAGGGCGGACCACACTACTGCCGTTAAGCAGCGAATTGAGAGCGTCCAGGAGCTCGGCGGTGTCATTGACATCACCAAGACCCTTTTCGAGGTCTCTAAGGTGAGATTTGGATATGTGTGGAGATGAAGAGCATCTCCGCTGGTCCGGCACATCACTTATGCGATGAATAGGAAACCGCCAAGCTCGAGGCTCAGGCTTATGAGTTGGAGCAGAAGACCGCCATTGCCCACGAGGCTAAGGCTGTTTTGGACTCCTGGGTCCGCTACGAGGGCCAGGTCAAGCAGAGGCAGCAGCGCGAGCTTGCTGAGTCGATCATCGCCAAGATCGAGAAGGAGCTTGAGAACCCCAAGACCCTCAAGCAGATCCTCGACCAGAGCGTTGCCGACGTTGAGAGTATGTTCCCCTGTATATCTAGCCAATAAGGCATAAGCTTACATTTCATAGGAATTGTTCAACAGAAGGCATAAGCGTCCTCAATTCTCCTATCAGAGTAAACTCAATGTGACATAAAAACTGTGCAATAGTCAAATGATCCAATAGATTACCCTTAGGCTTTGGACATGGCCTCATTCCTATCATCTGAACGTGTACCACAGTTTGAATATGTTCATAATACAGAAAATACACCATCGGCAGAGAGGAATTTATGCAACAGGCCTCGCAAGCTATCATAGGTGACGAATCATCTGTGATGTAGGATGAAGAAAATCGAAGACTGCTTTGCGGACTACTAATGGAGGGGAATTATTTTCGAAGGGTACAGTCATTACATTCATCATAAGCCAACGGATGACGCATTTACATCAGTCCTCTGGACTCCCACCGTTCCTATACTTCCACAATCGTGAGTAGTCTTTAACTTTGAGCTTTTTCTGGAACGTTTCTGCATCTCCATGACGAGAAGTCACCTTTTGTGACAGAGCGTTGGGATCCTCGACGATGGCACCAATTCCACCCTTACCCCCGTTCAGAATTGAGTCCATCAGACCGTCCTTCGCCTTGTCTTCCGCCCCCTCGCTCGTCACAGTAATTTCGCTATCCATGAAATCGTTCTGGTCCAGCACGCGTTTGTTCTCGTCAAGAACAAACAAAACATTCAGGTAGTGCTGATTGAGCAAGTGTCCCATTCCCGAGCGGATAAAGACCCGGCCTTCATAACGATTACGGATCTGTGAGAAATTCAGAACTCCCCATCGGGAAACAAAGTCGCCGTCATGGGCATAATGCTCGATGTGCCTGACAGCATTTCTTGGTGTGGAGTTCGAAAAGCCGTTCTCCTCGACGGAACTTCGTCGTGGGTTATTAAAATGATTGGCAGCAGAGGCGAAGGTATAAATCTCTAACTTCTGAAGCATGTCATGTGCCACTGTGGTCATGTCAGTATACTATGAGGCTATGGGGAGAAACCCCGTGGTACTTACGCTCGGCGTACAGCCAATCCATCATCAAACTTCCCTGAATGCCACCTTGACTATGGAATATGACTATGACTTTATCATATTTCTCATCCAGTATGCTTTGCTTTATCAAAGCATATGAATGGCGGACATCGAAAGTCGAATAACAGAAATTCCTTTCTATGATGCATTGGATGAGATCGAAAATAACTCCGTACCTATTAGATTCGTTCAAGATTAGCTACTATTTTCAAAAAAAAAAAGTGCGGTAACAGCCGTAAAGCAGACTCTTATTGGTCTTCTTGCGTCTTGCTCGAGGAAGCCAATCTACTTGCGTTGGATTATGGACACCCGTCACTGGACGGCGAAAGGTCATTGCCAAACGATCTAGGTTTCCCTGGAACCAATGCTTTCTGATATCAAGTTAGTACCCCAAAGTTAGATGCGTGGTCCCCAGCACGTACCCCACCGAGACGCCATTCATATAAATCCAACGCTCCTTGCTGTGTTGGTCTTCATTCAACCCGATGGTGGATCTGTGAATAGTATCTCTTCCATTCAGGATTCGAGACGTTGCAAATGTGACCACCGCAATAACGGCCACATAAAGGATATCAGTCGCCAGTGGAAAGAATATAAGGAGTGGCAACGAGATCAGGAACGCAAATTGGAGAATAATAAGAAACCCATGGAGAGCAAGACACAATACATTCGGCACAGAGAAGGGGTATAGTTCATCGAGTTCTCGGCAGTTCCACTGCGTGAATGGGAACAATATGCCGAACAATGACCACCGACATCGCCAGAAGAGTAATATGTCGTGCCAACAAAGGCGAAGGGGATTGCTGGTATACGGTATTGGGGAGTATTTGAATGTGTCTGATTTCAATGGAAGAATTTCTACACCCATTTTGGCTGAGAAGAACAGGCAATGGTATTGCAGGATTGAGGGTGAGATATAGAAGGCTCGGGGAAATATAAGTAACCACCACAACTCAGTGACGTCTGGTGCCTTTACATGTGATGTGGTGGCTTATTCTCAACCCATGGCAGATATGAGCCACAGCTGAAAGGCGGCATCAAAGATGAGGCACGTACATCCAATAGCCTTGAGCGGGGACTCTAGCCGGCTGAAATTGCTTTGTTCAGCCTCATGAACCGCGAAGTTAATGAAACGGTTGCGGTACAACACTAAGATTATGTGATATGTACAGAGCACACAAGTGAGAGCAAATAGGTTGTTATCTGCAGCCTTCAGGCTGAACCAACGGTGCGGTTACACAACATCCCACACGGCCAAGACTATCTTCAAGGCAACGGAGCTGATGGAGACCAAGTGACAAAACAATGAAAGCTTTTCAATCTTTCCATAATGGACGTTCCGGACTCTTGATAAGGGAGATCTCACAATTTAGATGCCCTTCCCACTTCAAATAAGGAACTAATCTTCTCTGCCCATCCGTTGGCTGCCTCTTCAGAAATTGCGCTTGCATCATAGCTAACACCGAATCCAACGATTCCGTCATAGTCCGTAGAGCTTCCAACTAGAAACTCATTATCTCTTGCTCTGACACCCATCCGTAGATTAAGGTAGTCTGCGCCAAAATCCTTACCCTTCACCCGCCCTACGTCGTCTAAATCGTGAACCCCTGACTTGAAATAGCTGGCAGTAGAGCCTACGGAGCTGACTCCACAGGTAGCACCCACCAGCCCAGTAGGTTTGTACTGCCCTTGAGGGTTGATACCAGTTTTCCGGTGAGGAGCGAGCTTATCTTCGAAGCGTTCAATGGCTGCGATATATCCAGTCGCTAGTAGCCGACTAGGAGAGTGCGAATCGAAACACGAACCTTTACCGGCAGACTTTAATCTCTTCTGATACACACGTAGTTCGCGGTTTGCATGCTTGGCTATCAACCGGAAACGGCCTTCGAAGGGCAGTGAAGAAGAGAGAAAGGGCATAGTTATACCCTCGCTAAAGGCCAACATACATGAATCGGCCGGCGTGGTGAACCCAAAGAACGCGCGAGGGTTCAAGGGAAAAGATGCGACGAAAGGCTTTCGCTCCGAGTCTGCGATATCCGGGTATCGTTGCTCATGGATTTCCATCATGGAAATTCCAGCAAGAGCAAAGCAACCAGCGCCGACACTGACTTTTATCGACCGACACAAATCGATGAGACGAATTGACGCTTCTTTGGATAGAACGGCGTTGACATGGCCAGAATTCATTGGTGGTCTCCTCCCTTCTGAGTAGTCGAATAGTTGGTCGAACGTAGGAGGGAACTCAACAGCCTTGGATAAACGCTGTTCTCTTCTGAGTGGATTCACCATTTGAGGCGGGGTGCCTTTGCTGATGTATCTTAATATCCTCATGATCGCCCAGAACCATCTTTGCCGAGCCTTGTTGCCAGCAACAGGTGGGTAAAGATCTTCCTGTGCAGGCGGTAATCGAGATGCTATACTCTCGGGATATCGAAATGATTCAATCTCCTGCTTGATGGCTTCAGCAGGAAGATTGAGTATGCGAATGAAGTTTGAGAACCAGTTATATGCACTGAGACCATCGGATGTTTGGTGGGCGATGATGATCAGGAACCGGAGTTTGTAGTTGCCGTTTGGCAATCGAGTGAGCGGAAGTACATGTAGCCGTGAAAGGCATTTGGATGGATCCACGATTCTTCCGACGTTTAGACAATGTTTGTACAGCTCAGCGTCGTCTACTGTTTCGTACACATCTTCGACCCAAACGATTGACTTCAAGGTTTCTTCAAGGACGTCGTCTATGCTATCATGAAGCCCCACCACGAATTTACGATGGCCACTTTGTTCATTCTCGTGCACCCAACTCTGAAGCATAACATGCTGGAGACGTAAGTTTGCCCATGCTAAGGCAATTCGATGTCGAAACTGTTCCTGGGAGAGATCATGCCGGATTTGCAAGGTGAATAGGGCATTCATATCTGCGCGACCGCCAAAGTCGGTTCCATCCGCGTCAAAAGAAGACTCTACCAGACCAATAGGTCGAGAATATACTTTTCGCCCGTCCAAGGTCGCAGTATGCCAGGCATGGTAGTTCGATGCGTATTTGGAAAGCCAGTGGGCTTGTCCGAGATCTTGCTCATTGTTGGTCATGTTGCCTTTGGACAATGGGTGGTCGAACACCACGAAACGGTCAGTAAAAGGAAATGTATTCTTATTTAATCAACAAAGCATCATTTGATTCCTCTCAATCGATGGTATCTCTCTTCAGCCATGAATTATACGTGGTTGCAAAGGAGTTGCAGTCAGAATCATTTGATGGGCTAACGAAAACTAAACCAATTCAGGGAATGAATCCGAGCCATGGATTCCCGACGCAGTCAGGCAGCCGTTACAGAAATGGAATTGTGCATAAGTTTGGAGTCATATTATCGGTCCTCGACCTTCGGGGGATCGGCGTGTCAGGTCACGCTTTACTTAACCTGTCCTTGTAAATTGTCACAATGTAGGCAACATGACTTCACCAAGCACACTTGAGACCCGGTATCAATTTTGATCGTTGGCACATAACCACATGGCGAGTGAGAGTCTTCTCTCATGCAGAAAATGGTATCTAGTGTACAGTGCTCTCCGCACATGACGACGCTTGCTCTAAAATGTCTTTCGCCAATGTTCACCCTCTACATGGAGGGATTTGCACTCTCGCCGAGGGTTGTGAGATTGTCATTCACGGTCTTCGAATTGGCGTGGAGTCATTTGTGATATACTTAAGCCAGAGATTTGTTGGCTCAGTGCACCATCATTCGCGAAGCATAGAAGTCCTAAAAACGGCGTGTTAGCAAAAGGATCAAAGGCAGAGCTCAAAATCGGTATGCATACAGGATGCTCGTGCTGGATCATTGTCGTGACTTTCTCAACTTCTTCAGCGAGACCCTGCACGTTAGCATCCCATTTCCGCAGCTCCCTCCCAGATATTCTCTCGGCGTGCCCAGTCTTCCTTTCTCCACTACCTTCTCCTTCGAAGAAGATCAGTCTATCGATCTGATCGATGTATCCTGCTAGACGGCCCTGTTCGAACATTTTGGATGCATAATCTTCCGCCCTTTCGGCGCTTGTATTCAGCAGTTCCCCAAGCTGGTCAAAGCCAATGTTGTTGTAGAGCTTCGAAGCTCCAAGGAGGTTATGCTCGAGGATAGCCTTGTCAAGCACCGTTGAACCGTCGGATGTTTTAGCGAGATGATGCGGTTGTAACTTGTCGGCAAACGCCTTGATCTCTTCCGGTTTAAGGATGCGATCGAAGAAGATCTTTTCCAAGATCGGGAAATCCTCCACCTGGCCGGCACGTTCGTCCTTGTACAATCTGGCCAGCATCTTTCCCCGTTGAGGCCCAGCTGGAGCAAGAACTGCGCATACTATGGCAGCTGACAAAGCCTGCAAGCGTTCCTCCTCATCCACTATGGACTCTAAACTCATGGTGTAGTAGGCCTGAGCAGCGTCCAAGAAGGAACGTTGAGCATCGTATATCCGGGCCTGGCTGAGCTGGAACATCAACTTCGTCGACTTGTCGGTAACATTATGGATGACGCTCTTCACCTTGTTTAGAGCTCCGAACGCTGCAGTTGTGTCGTCTTCCTCAATATAGCACCGAACAATTCGAATCCAAATCTTTGCCTTGTCGTCGTCTGAGAGAGATTTCTGTGTTGACTCCAGCGAAATCTTGGATAGAGTTTGCGCCGACTTCACAAACTCCTCTTGTTGCTCATAGGCATCTGCTAGAGTCTCCTTGATCTTGGTATCCTGCTCTTCGTATTGTGCACCCTTCGGCGCAAGCAATTGTATAAGCCTGTCGCCGACCTCCACCTTGGTGTCCAAATCTTCTACCTTGCTGTAATGTTCGACGAGGTTCGATACGAGGGGCCTGAGTACCACTACACCGAGATTGTCGTCTAGCAGTGTTGTGGCATACGCGATGAGGTCTGCGGCAAGGTTGTCGGCGGGGCTCTTAGATGTAATGCCTTGCAGAAGTGAATTGTACTGTGTAGGCTTGTCCGAGACACTTGCAGCTTCGATGCTCTGCAAAGCAGAGCGGACCTCAGCAGATACCATGGTTGAAGTTGTTTTCAGTCGCAGTCGTAGAGTGGTGCTGTTTGTTTGGAGGTGAAGTGGGGAGCTCAAGGAAGCATTCGAGATGCGTTAGGGAGAATGCAGCTTAGTCAAGGAGGATCTGAGAGGTGGTTGGTTGCTCAAATAGATGATGATGTTCAAAGTTTCTTATAGCTTCATGCCTACTTACTATTGTAGCGGGTTAATTGTTGTTCGAGGCAAGAATCCGTTGGTCGTTCATTGAGCCCACCATGCCCGCCTGCCTAATGGTCAGCTAGGTCGTTATCGATTAGAGGTCTGTCTTGGCGCGTATTGCTGCGGACTGACATAATCCCTGTCGCAGTTCATTCATTCAACCCTTCAAACTACCGCTCACTTACATCCTTTCTTTCACCCTCGACACATCCACGCCAAATCGACCCGTCGCACATCAGAATCACGTCCGTTTCCCATAAGACTTCACAAGGCGCCCGTTTGCACCATCCGCCATCGAAGGCGCTATCCCTTCCCAACATGAACGGCATCAAACCCGACCCAGACATCAAGGCAGACCCCGATGCTATAACGCCCTCTGGTAGTGGCTACATGGACGATGATTTCTACGAGGACACAGGCGAACTCTCTCTACCTCCCAAGGGCTCAAACAAGGACGTATGGGTGACGCGCATACCGAAATGGCTCTACGAGGCGGTATCGAAATGGTCAGATCACGCTGAGGGCAAGGACGACGACCAGATCGTCATTGGTGAAGTTCTCGCGATGCAGGACGAGGCGCGACGGGGAATCAGCAAGACGCAACCCATGCGCTTGTTCCTGAACGAGAAATGGCAGGCGAAGAAGCAGCTCCCGCAGGCCTTCGAGATCAAGATGACGGACAGCAAGGACGCGGTGCTCGGAAACACCTACATCTTCACTGAAAAGGACCTCCCCGGCTACAAACCCAGTGTCACCGGCGGCAACAGGCAGGGCGGCGCAGGTGGACACCACGGCATACAGGACCCGCAGGCTAAGGTCTTCAAACGTAGCAAGTACAAGAAGGCCATCCCCAAGCAGACCGCGCTGCTCGGAACCGCCACCCGCGAATACAATGCCAGCCCACTGAACACACCCGAGTTCGCCAAGTTCAACAAAGCGCGCACGATGGCCGCGATCCAGGGTCGGGAAAGCAAGGTCAACATCGTGGACAACCTGCACGACCACACCGCAAGCCAGGACGTGCAGAAGATGTTCAACTCGTTCATTAAGTCCACGGCAAAGCAAAAGACACAGCTCAACAAGGCCGCACGTATTCCACGCAACGACCTCATCGATCTCCTCCACTCGTGCTTCGACGAGTATGCTTACTGGCCGATGAAGCAGCTCAAGGCCAAGACAAAGCAGCCCGAGGCATACCTCAAGGAGGTCCTCAGCGAGATCGCCGACCTCGTCAAGGCCGGCTCGTTCGCCAGCTGCTGGCGCAGAAACCCAATCTACAACAAGACCGCCGAGCACGACGGCCTGCCCCCAGACACCGTCGACCCAGACGACGACGAGGAAATGGAGGATGTGGTCTAGCAGCACTTCACACCTCTAGAAGAACCAGAAGAAGGCCCCCAGATGACCCCTCCTACCTTAGGGTGCTCCCCACAATAAAGTCGGTAATCGCCACTGTATCATTCCCGTACAGGGGGGCAGCCCAAACCGACCTCATCTTCTCTCAGGCTTGTTCCCATTGCACAGCCTTGTGTTTGCTCTTTCCGCTTCTTTTTACTCCGTAAAAGAAATCCCCAACATACATTTTTACCGCCACATCCATCATTCCCAAACGTGGCACAAGCATTAGCGAGGCGTTCTTCTGTTTTTTTGTTTTGTTTTTGTTTTCTTTCCACTTCGGCAGGTGGGCTTGTGGGAAGCCAGAGAGAGTTTATAGGTCCACTTTCCGGCGGCTTATCGACCGCTTGATTGAATAGTCTATCGAGCGGACCGGGCGGGGAATGGGCGGATGGGACACTGCAATAACAGCAGTTGTGTATATAATAAGAATTGACCAATTGTAAAAAGCACGTCGATATCCATGTAACTTGATATGGCAAAGTGAAGCTAATGTTGACTACTGGGGTAGGGCACTCATTTGTTCATCTGTTTCCCACGTGTATAATGCAGTAGAACGAAGGCTACAGCAAGAGGAGAAGGAAAAGTCACAGTCACAACATAGAAGTAACATAACATTATGGATTATATTTCTTGGATTTGGATAAACGAATAGATTAACTGAGTAGACTTCAGAACTATCCGTCCGTCCGTCCATGCTTCGTTTTCCCGTACTTCGTGTCTGTCTAATAAGAATCGATTGTAAACGCTTTAAGCCCACCCCTTTTTCTGGACCTAATTCATTGGAAAGGAGGAAACCCCTCTCTCAAGGGTAAAGAATAAAGAAAGAGGAAAGAACGCCCAATAAGACTCCCTTTTTTGTGCCCTGCTTTGTATGTATGCGTGTTTTAGAAAGTGTAAGCTGCAGCGGCTGCTGCTGCTCCATCATGCATTCGTGAAAAATCAAAGAAGAATAAAGAAGAATAAGATGCAGTCAAACGGACGGATCTCAAGAAAGGCCGTTTCCGTTGGCGGCGAGGGCGCCGTTCTTGCTGACCTTGGGACCGACGACGGCCTTCTCGAGGGCCTGGAGGACGTCCGCCTTGAGGTCCTCCTCGTCCTCGATACCGCAGCTGACGCGGACGAGGTCGTCGAACACGCCTGCGATCTCGCGCTGCTCGCGGGGGATGCCGGCGTGGGTCATGGCGCCGGGGACCTCGACGAGGGATTCAACGCCACCGAGGGACTCGGCGAGCGTGAAGATCTTGGTCTCCTGGCAGAAGCGCTCGGCGGCTTCGTGGCCACCGCGGATGCGGAAGGAGAGCATGCCGCCGCCCATGCCGTTGCGGTGCTGCTTCTGGGCGATGTGGTAGAATGGCGAGGAGGGGAGGCCTGGGTAGTTGACGGCGATGACGTGGGGGGAGTTCTCGAGGGCCTCGGCAATGGAGGTTGCGTTCTTGGTGGCCTCGCGGGCGCGGAGGTGGAGGGTCTTGAGACCGCGGTGGGCGAGCCAGCTGTCGAATGCTGATGGCACGGCACCAATGGCGTTCTGGAGGAAGGTGAGACGCTCGTGGAGGCTCTCAGAGTTGTATGCTGCGGCTCCCATGACAACATCGGAGTGGCCGTTGATGTACTTGGTCACGGAGTGAACGACGATGTCTGCGCCATGGTCGAGCGGGTTCTGGACATAGGGAGAGAGGAAGGTGTTGTCGACCACGACGAGGATTCCATGCTGGTGAGCGATGCTGGCAACCTTTCGGATGTCGACCAGGGAGAGAGTTGGGTTGGAAGGAGACTCGATCCAGATCAATTTGGTCTCGGGGCGGATGAGCTCTGAGATGTCGATCTCAATGGTGGGAGTGAAGGTGACCTTGACATTGTGAGAAGCAGCAACCTTGGTGAAGTAACGGTGGGTTCCTCCATAGACATCTGATACAGAGACGACGTGTGATCCTGCGGCGAGAGACTGGAGAATATTTGCGGTGGTTGCGGAGCCGGAACTGAAAGCAAGGGCGAATCTGGCGTGCTCGAGAGCAGCAATTGCGCGCTCGAAGTTATCTCTACAATGAGCATTAGCATGCGATCCTTGATCTATATGGGAATGTATAGCTAACCTGTTGGGGTTGGAAGAACGCGAGTACTCGTATACGCCAACGGGCTTTCCGACGCTGGTCTGAGCGAAGGTAGTGGAGAGCGAGATCTGAAAGATTGCAATGTCAGAGATGCAAACAATAGACAAACCAGGAAACTGAATTGACATACAGGCTCAATGACAGCGCCAGTGACGGGATCGTGAGGGCTGCCGGCATGGACTGCCAAAGTTCCGAATCTGTGAACCGGCGATGGTGCGCGAGGCGGGGTCTCAATGGGGTGCTCGGCGAGAGTCATGGTGAATGATGTTTTTGCTTTCGCAGCACAATTCCCAGATATGTGAGTGATGTAGCGGTAGTAAGAGGACGGGAAGTCCGTGAGAAGGTAGTCGAAGTAGTGGAGGAATTGGTGAACGCAAGAAGGTGGGCTGTTTCAATCAGAATATATGGAGGATCGAGTGTTGACGTCGGTAGAGGATAATTATATTTTTATTTTAGCGTCAGTTATCGGCGAGCGGAGTTCAGCGAGTCTTTGTCTCCGAGGTACCTTCCAGACAACCGTAGTCCTCGTAGTCTCGTAATAGTAATTAATTAGAATGGTATGGTATGGGAAAGTGGATGGTGCAATAGCGGCGAGATTGAACGTGCTGCTAGGCCGATGTATAGCGGCCGAGAAGTCCTTGCCTTTTAACTTTTAACGCATTCCTTGGATTGTTAGTCTGACAAAGATGGGAACGAAGAAGGTTCTACATTCGTATTCGGTGTGAATAATCCGAATTGATGAGAAATACATATACTCAATTACAATAATGTGTAGGTGGCTGTAGGCTTAGAAACGGAAGGGTCTCAGAGGCGCATGCATGACCACCCCTCCATGACGCACAGAGCCCATGCTTATGATTGTTCGAAGTATTCCGTTTGGCCACAGCTAACATTCTGTGTAGCTAATTGATGAATCTGTATGGTGGATTGCGGATTGTGGATGCTCATTCAAGATCCCACCTGCACTGTCATGTGTCAGATCCTTGAGGATTGTAACAATAGAGACGGTTGGAAAAGAAGGTGGTGTACATCCCGTTCGGGTTTAACGCGGATGGCGCCACTAAAATTTCCGATCAGCCGGCTTGATTGGTCCGCCTTGTCACGGCCTATCGTCTATCCGTCATGGGTTTGTTCCTTTAAGCCGATTGTCCGACCCATCTCCATCACGTTCACGACTATATTTGTGTACCTAAGGTAGAGTACCTGGGCATTTGTACACAATAATTATAGTTACTTGTCTACTCCGTACTCCGCACTCAAACTTACTTTCACCGATCAACACTCCGACTTCAGTTTGTCTTGAAGCTTTTGTAGACATATACCACTTAATATACGTGCAGTTCTTAGTGCCTTGCAGTTCGGCACGACACATCAATATCCTGGTGACCAAGCCTGTCTTTCCCTACTCATTCCTCCCCTCCCCCTCACACTACTGTGCTATGCGTCAGAGATGGACGCATAACCTGATCAAGAAGGTCCCCTACTGGCCTTGTTAGGAACCCAACTCATGTCCATGTCTTTCGATGATAAATCCGTTTTGATTACGTATCATCGTCGTCCTTCCCCTCCATCTTTACATCCACCATACTAACCTTTCGTCCCATCCATCTTCATCTCCATCTCTTCGACATATCTCCTCGCCTCCTCGCCTCCTCGCCTTCAAATCCAAAAGCGAGCCGTACGATCTCATATGTAAGCTCCGTAGAGGTTCCCCAGAACCCCCAAGCTTCTCTAGGATCGCGTATATTCTCGAAGCAGGCCCTTGCAATCCATCTGCAATAGAAGGAATGACTGGTCTCCCTTTTCGTGCTAGGCTTTGTTCTGCATCTTGAAACTTTTGCTGATACAGCTTCTGTGCTGCGGTTTGTCGCGAAACATTGCGGAAAGCTATGTGATCCGGGTCCTGAAGTATCTCTTGGATACTGTCGTCAGAGGAAATGAGAGGAAACGGCACAAGACAGTAGCATTCGAGGTTAGTAGACATGATATTGGAAAGAGGACGATGACAACAGGCCGCATACTTGGGAAATGATTAACCTGCACAGGTGCCGTTTGCGCAAACTCCCAATCGATGATGGCTAAAAAATTGAAGTCATCATCGACGAGAATGTTCTGGGTTCCCATATCCATATGATTAAGATGGAAAGATGACATCCGGTCCTTGAATAACTCAGTATTAAACACGATGTCGCAGAAAATGAAAGCGCCCAAGACGCAAAATCTATCCGATTCACCGAGTTCACCGGCCTCGGAAATATCTTTGCGAGCAGATGTGTATCTGGCCTCTCCAACGGCTGCAAAATACTGCTGGGAGGTTGCGAAAGGACCCCCAGACGAGAAGTTCTCTGCTACAGCAGCAGCAAGAGGACCAATTGTCGGCACGTCTTGTCCATCTGTGGGAAAGTGTGAGATGGAACCAATTTGAGCGAAGGAGAACGTGGCTAGCTCGGCCTGGATGGACGTCCAACGAGCTATAATATGCTCTTGAGTATTCACCTATTTTGTAGGGAAGAAATATAATACAAGAGTAGTAGTGTAAAGGAGATTACAACACTCACGGGAAGGTCACAGATATCAAACTTCACGTCTTGCAATGTATTCCCGTAGAACCCCTCAATCAGCATATAGCATGCCCCAACCTCGACCGCTTGCTGCGATCCTGGCGGCTCGTAGGCATACAATTTAGGCGCAGGAATTGTCGTGACATTGCTCTGGAGGAACTTCATGGTTGCTACTTCGCACTGGATAGCATATAGTTCTGAAGCGTCAGTCGTATTTTCATTGCTATCTGGATGCCGAGGTAGTCGAGCGCGAGCTATAATCAAACTATGGTCGTCAAGAACAAACTCGAAGCAACACCAGTATTGTCCGGCGGAGAACGGCTCGCTCATGGTTGCTGCCTTTCCGGAGACTCGTTCGACGTGCTCCAGAAGCGCTGCTTTGTGGATTGTTGACATGAATTGTTCTAGTCGTTGCTTCATGCCATTGTAATCCCATCCCTCGAATGACTTCCAGCGTGCACTTGGTGGCGTCTTGAATGCAACAGTCATCTCGCGATGCTGTATTGAAGGGCGAAGGAGTTCTTCAGGGCAGAAAGCATATGTAAAGTGTGTTACGGTTAGGTGATTAGGTGCACGAGCTTGCCTCACATCTGCATCATTAGTATTGTAGGCCAATAAGAGCACGTTGATGTACTACATGTACAGGAGTGCCTAATATAGCTATGCTTCTATTGTGTATCTATTGTATGGCGTATATCTACGACGCCCTTCCTCTATTCTACAACACTATTTGTGCGAGCCCTGGTCTCCTTGATGGTGTCCTCATTCCTGCTCTTGAGTTTCGTCCATCCGCTTACTCCCTTCTTCCTTTCTTCCGCTTTGATCCCCTCCGTCCCGTCATCCGTCTGCGCATATCCGATCCGGGTACTCGCTGCCGTGAGGAAGCTTCGCCCATCGTCTAACCCCGCGCCATCTCGCCGCTTATCTCCAATCACGACAGGGTCCTCGGCAATGAGATTCTCCATATCTTGCCATTCCTTCTGGTTTACCACATCCCATTCCTGAGCTTGCTGTTCGGCGAAGAGGAATGCTTTCAGCTCATCCGTGACCTTCGTCGGGGTCAGTTTCCAACCCGCTAGGTATTGCACGTTTTCCGCATTGTTCAGGAACGTATGCGCCGTCGCGTGCGACATCTCTCCAAAGCCAGCCGTAGCTCTCGCAGGTGGGCTTCGTGAACCAGGCTTCCCCGCGACGATGTCCTTGTCGAGCGGGTTTTCAGGCCCGGGAGACGCCCTGGTCTCTTGAAGGACAAGCAAGCGATGGAGATTCCGACCAATGGGACAGACGTCTTCCCAGGTATCGAAGCTATCTTTCAGTCCTTGGGCGCGACACAGCCAAGCAATGTTGTATGCTAGTAATGAAACTCCCTCTATGAAAAGAGAATAGGCCTGCGGATCTTCAGCAGACAAGTGGGGCAAAGGTCTATCGATGAACAGAGTACGAGGTTTTGGGAGTGGGGCTCGAGATTCAAGAGTTTTGGATGCTTCCGGACTGGCAGTAGATGAATGTGACGGGGTGGAGCCTGGAAAGGCAACTTTCTTGCCCAAGTAGGAGGCAGACGGTCGAAATATGGTGGGTTGGGGATAATCAGTGTGAGGAACCGTGATCTCGGCGGGGAGGCGCACTCCAAGGTAGCCTGCTACACGAACTAACAGAAGGGCAACGGTGCATAATGAAGCCGACAGGCTATCAGAGGGAGCGTCTTTGTACAGTCAGTGCAAGCAGAAAATCGGAGAGCAGTGGGTGTCTTACCATGTATGTATCTGAGATCGTATATCCGCAGCCGTGTTCCGGGGCCGATATTGAACACTTCCCGAATGCTTCCATCCTTTGACCTTCGTCGGGTCATCTTAAGACCAGCCAGTTTTGCAGCCATGCTGCAAAGGTAAAGTCGCATTTCTATGGTCTCATGGTGCACTTTGTCGGACTTATAGTCTATCCTCCTGACATTTTGCTGCACCTTGTCCAGTTCATTTGCTCGGCGAGAGTCGATGCCATACGATACGGACGAGTAGTCGGACTTCCGCTGTGCGATAACACTTCGCTTAGCCTGCAACTGCTTTCTTGTTTCCTCCATTTGATTTCGTAGGAGCGTGGCCTGGTTCGAAATAAGCGACAAGCGTTCTTGTATCTCTACTGTCTCAGCTTTCGTCCGTTGAAGGTCCAGATTCCGCGTAGATTCATATCGATCCACGAGAAAGCCACCTTTGGAGTCTGCCATGGAGACATGCTGAAAGGCTTTGTCCTTCGACCCTTCTATCACAGCTTGTACATGTTTTCCAACGGCGTCGCGCGTTATTAAGGCTTTCGCGAGTTCGATGCGGGGAACCTCGATGGCGCTTCGGGCGCAAGTGATGCAGTGTAGGGAAACGTCCCCAGATTTTCCGCAGATATCACACTCCATATTATATATTGACAGCCTAGGTGACGTGTCCCAGTGATCCGAGAAGTTGTGATACAAAGCGGTGAGGGAGCATGGTGAGGTTCAGCTTCAAGGGCTGGGTGTTCATAGCATAGCATCTATGACTCCATTGAAGGGAGTGGCGCTTGGCAGTGAATGCGATACGGTGATTCTCCAGTAGTGAATAGATGCGAACAGTGACTGTACTTTTTCAAGGGTGAGAGGATCGTGGAAGTGATGTTGTAGCAGTGTGTTATTTGTTCAACAGATGATGAATCGTCGGCAGGTCAGGCACCGAGCCATCTGACGTACTGTGCTGCAGGCGACCGGCTCCGGAAAAGGTCTAGTGCGGGCATGTGGGATTCGCTCTATCTGGAAGAAACACAACAACAAAACACCAGCAACTACTGCGCATGTCGTTGCTACTCGTGAAGACAGTATGTAGAGTACATAATTTTGACTATTCGAATGATCACATCTCAGCAAGTAAACAAATCTTCACCTTAATGTAAATTCTAATATGTAGATCTCCAGAACATGCCCTCACTACGCGGTTTGCTAAGCACTGACCACCCCGAACAGCGATAGCTCTTGGTGTATAGTAGTCGTCCCTTCCAACGCAACCCTTTCACTCATCACAAACGTGGACTGCAAACGAAGTCTTTTCCTGGCACGATGGAAGCCAGCCATGAAGGCTCAGAAGCTGAGCCCTTTGGTGGTGTCCACCATGATCAGGTACTCCAACGATCGCACAGTTCAACAGGGACAGAAGTATCAACAAGTGTCCAACAAATTGGCGAGCCAGAGAAACCAGTGGACGAGAATGATGGAGATCTGAGCGAGACCGAGTTCGATTCGGATCCTGCCAACCAACTAGATCCCTTCGATTGGGGAGACCTTGCTTCCCGATATCATGCCACCATCAAGGAGTGCGAGAGTAATGAAGCAAAGCTAATGGAAGAATGGGATGCCCTCATGAATGTAACAACACATCCTTCACACATTCTGGAACCTTGGTACTTATCATGAGGATAGTTCTTTCGAGTGTGGTCAGAGTCAGGGCAGGCTCAGGAGACGAGCCGGACGTTTTCCCGGTCGGTTGTCTCACTATATTTGATAGGAATTACGGCTTACCCATTTCCAGCATACGTACTCGCATGGCGCATGTGCAGCATTCAGAGGAGCGCCTTGAACAGACCAGACAACATTGTGAGTGCCCATGTCTTATCGCTAAAAATGTTTTGTTTCCTTTCGCTTCGGAACAGATCCCGTATTCCCTCATGAATTCGGAACACCATCCCTTGACTGACTTTCTCACAGATGTGAGCGTGGTGGAGGCATTCGAGAGTGCGCTCAAGCTACTCAAGGGTTTCAACGGTTGATAATGATTCGACTAGAAGCCTTCTCCCTCGCTCGCAATCTTCACTCAATGGCTCCAGTAAGTGGAGAAACTGCGGCACCGAAACGTGGAGCCGAATTGATTGAATTGCAGCATGTTGGTCCGCATATGGGGGCGCGTCCCCTCATTTCTCATATGCATTCATTGTTGCGATGTATAATCTTGTAGGAATGGACCAGACTAGCTTCCGCTCTGTGTGGGTCGGACTACTTTTGTCTTCACACATGGACAGAGGAAGATAGACGGGGCTATGTTTGCAGTGTGGAGACTGCGTATCCAGCTGTTAAGAAACAACATGGAATTGTACTCGTATGCTTACCTCCACCTACTTGCATCGGAACACGCGCATTATTGCCTTGCGAAATTCTGCAGGGTATGGATCCGATTCTTGCAAGCGATGGAAGGGAAGATACGGAGAACACAGTTTTACTAGCCACTATCCACAGGAGGCTCCGAGGGAAATCCTTCCGGACAGTCTCAAATTTGAAGTTTGACGTCTCTTGTAACTTGTTTGTTTGTAATACTGATGGCCTAGTCCTCTAAGTACGAGATCAGGGACGCTAGATGGCTAACCTAGATCTGGTCTCATGACGTAGGCGCGGTAGGCTAGGTGGCAGTGGGTGGCTACCTAGGTGGGCCATCCTCGGTAGGTCACGGTCGGAATACACGCCGCACGATCACTCCCAGAGTCCCCACCGTCCTTGTAACGCAACCACAACGAATATAATACTCGTTTTGGTATTATAGGTTGTCGTGATTTTCATCGGCAATGGGAATGCTCGAGTCAGGGAGTTCGAAAACATCAACCCTGAATTAGCGCATCTGGTATTGCTGTGCTGGGGTGTCTCCGAGGCGTTGGAGAATTCTGCTGCAGGCTTATCAGATGGAAAGACAGAAAAGGAAAGGTAATGGGAGGGGCGTCCTGCTGCAGGCCCTGGCCAGGCGGTCATCTTTTGTCAGTCGCTCAGTTACGAGTAGTTAGCCCGTCAACGTAGGCCGACCTGTCGTGCTGAAAACGGGGTCAAGAATCAAGATGGAGCAATGCGATAGGGCAAAGATGTCTATTCAGAAGGGTTATGTCGCATCGTTGTATCTCAGATGACAGCCTTTGTAGATTCAATGGACACATGTCTAGGTACCTAAGATACCTAGGTATCTATAATACTCGAGAACAATCGTGCACATGCGTAAGAAATGTCTTGTACGATTAATAATACCGATAAAACAGTGACGGAAATGTACGAGTATGAGAAGTATTCTCCGTATTGTGTGCTCTGTGGTCAATGGTGTTTGGGGCCGGTCGGTCTGGGTTTTTCGTGCTTGCAAATCCAGAGGTGGAACTGAGGGACTAGCAGATAGCCTAGAGTGATTTGTTGGTGATGTACGGAGTACATTTGTGTACTTACGAGGAACAAGGTTACTATGGGATACTGTTAGGTACACGGGTGGCAATAGTAGGTTTCTGTAGTACAGCAAAGGTACTCATAGGTAGCCGATGGTTTACGTTTCTCTTGCGTGCTCCCCCCCTGTGAATGACCCTGTATCGCCCGGCCAGGACATTCTATTCTGTCATTTGAAAGCGCGCTTTCCTTCCACTACTTTCTTCAAACTAGCAAACCCACCCTCAAAAGGCCAATTTAATCCGACGTCGTCTCCGAATCTTCACCTCACCATCGCCGAGCAGCTTCTATTTTGTAATTGCTTGCTCAATTGCCTTCCATCCTCTTTGTCATCCCGTCACTCCTCTATCCACCTCGCCTCCTCTCGTCTCTTGCGCTCATCCTTCAACCCCTCCATATACTCCCGCTCGGCCGTTCCCAAAAAGTGACCTTCACCCACGTCCAAAGAAAACTATTTCATCCCACTTTCTACACCCACACACATACCCAGACCTACACATAACCCGCACGCGACGAACGATACCGCCAAAGTGTTCGCCTCAACCTTCCGACGAGCTACCTCCTCACGATTCCTCTCCCTGTTCTCGCTGCCGGTCGCCGTCGCAGCTTCCTCCTCCCACCGCACTACACCAACCGCGGGGCTTTCACCTACATCGAGCCCGGCTTCAACCCTCGCAACAAGTTCGCGGAGGATGCATTCACGGGTAGTCAGTAAGTTACAGTCTCTGGTTTATGTATTCTCGAGCCTAGCTAATCATCTAAATAGTCATCGGGTAAGTTCCAACACATTACCGTTTTCCTTCGCAACGAAATACAGTCTGGTTCTCCTTGGTTGCGTACAGCGCTCAACACTTGTTGGTGGCAGGCAACTCTTTCGCGTGTTGCGTGGAGTGTCAATTACTGTTGCACGCGCCAGCCATGTATAGTGCGGCACTGTATGACCGGGAGTGGGAGACGGGATAATCGTCTGCCGCCAGATAATTGCCGATGTGAGAGTGTCGATCATGGAACAACTTACTGACGTACCTGGACAGCTCTGGGCCAGCAGGTCACACCGCAGCGATATATGCTGCCAGGGCCGACCTCAAGCGTGAGTTTTCATGTCCAAATAATACCAATTGCACTAGTCTAACAAAATTGCAGCTGTTCTCTATGAGGGTTTCCTTGCCCTTGGCATCGCAGCAGGTGGTCAATTGACGACTACCGATGAAGTCGAGAACTTTCCCGGCTTCACTCACATCCAGGGACAGAAGTTGATGGTATGTCTGCTGTAGTCGATGATCTTAAACTTGTACTAAAGTACGATCAGGAACAAATGCGCGAGCAATCTGAGGCTTGCGGAACCGAAATCATCTCTCAAACAGTCGCAAAGGTCGACCTGAAATCCCGACCATTCAAGTACTGGTTGCACCCCATGGGCGACGATGAGGAAATCGAGGAGGAGGAGCACACCGCAGACTCGTTGATCATTGCGACCGGCGCCAAAGCTCGACGACTCGATCTTCCTGGAGAGGAGAAGTTCTGGGGCAACGGTGTCTCCGCTTGCGCTGTCTGTGATGGTTCTCTCCCAATGTTCAAGGAGCAGCCTCTAGTTGTCATCGGTGGTGGTGATTCCGCTGTAGAAGAGGCCCTCTACCTGACAAAGAAGGCCAAGAAGGTCACTGTCCTCGTCCGAAGGGATAAGCTGCGAGCCAGCAGGACCAACGCCCGCCGCCTCGCGAACCACCCCAAGATTGAGATCATGTACAACACCAGCCCTTCGGAGATCAAGGGAGAGGAGAAGAAGAACGGCCTCATGACACATCTAGTCATCAAGAACAATGTCACAAAAGAGGAGCAGACTATCGAGGCAAAGGGCTTGTTCTATGCCGTGGGCCACGACCCCGCAACGTCCCTCTTCAAGGGTCAGCTTGACATGGACGAGGACGGTTACCTCATCACCGAGCCTGGCCGAGGCCTCACCAGCGTCGAGGGTGTTTTCGCTGCTGGCGATGTCCAGGATAAGCGATATAGACAGGCGATTACCAGCGCAGGTTAGTACTACCCTATTTCACCATTGTTGGCACGTCGAATTTCCATTTACTGATGTACGTTGCAGGATCTGGCTGTGTCGCAGCTCTCGAGGCCGAGAAATTCCTCGCCGAGGAGGACGACCACGTCGAGAACGGATTGGAAACCGAGAACCAGGCCGAGAAGTCACAGACCAATGGCGTCGTTCCCGAGTACCGCTCCAACCCTCTCCTATAAATTAACCCCACCTCACCACTGGCGTTTCCGTGAATGAATCAACATCGCGCATAGACGTTAGGAAACTCCCACATCTCCTCAAATTCTCAACACACCTAGCGACTTTGTTTATTTGGCATTGGGCTCGGTACATCCCTGCATATCAACTTGCGATCTTTTACACGCCATCGAAGGGGCTCTCCCCTAAGGCTTTGCATCTGTCTTACGGATTTTTCTCTCTCTTTCCAGGATCGAACAAAGTAGTATTTCCTCTCAGCCGCACGCCATAAACATGACGGGATAGATCAGAGCTGGGGAATCATTGCAAATGGTACTCCGGTTGTTTTGGCTAGAGCCTCCGGTACTGGCTCGCCGCATGGCATATTATATAGATTTTGAGCGTGGTTTAAATGTAGAAGGCTTGAACGGATGGACTAGATATTGCACAATGAGTTTTTGGGATCATGCCATTGTTGATTCGGCCTAGACTACCGTTATGAATTCTCACCACATTATGTTCCTGGTTCTTATATACGCTTCCAGATTAATATCAGTGACATAAAAATATCGTTATTACTGTTTTTGTTCAAAGCATGCATACCAAGTAGGCTACGTACAGTGATTGGCCTTACGCCACTTGGTCAGGATCCGTACCGGGCTGTTTCCTTAGATTGGCAGTCCCGTACAGAAGACCTTGGATGGCTTTCAAATCGACCTCCCCGGCTAATCCAGCCGCGCCCACGGCGGTGGAGAGCTGTTTTGTCAAGAAACCTGCAGCTGTGTCTAGAGTCGAATCTGCCTGCCACTGTCCGTCTGGTCCGGAAGTAAATGTCGGAATAGCTTGGTCGTCCTGCTTGACGGGTCAGTAGTTTATTCTCCAATCCAGGGATTTTCTCAGTGGAAACGAGAAGTGAACATACCTTCTGCTCGCGCGGGTCCTTCAGGGAACCTGGCTTGTGTACATAATCCACCGAGGCCACAGCGACGCATGAATCCGGTGATTGCTGGATGACAGTGACATCGATAGCGTTGCCGTTCAACGGTATAGCCTGTTCGTGCTTTTTCCCCGCCTCGTCAAAGCCGAAGTGGAAGATCGCAGGAACACCTTCGCACGTCACGAGGATCTCGTCCCTTTGTGCATCACTGCGTGGTACATTCCAAATGCCCGTCACTGCCACCTTGAACCCTTCTTCGTTTGCAGGTACGATGCTCGATAGCTCAGCTTGGGACTTCAAGAACCGAAGCACGGCATCCCTGACATCGATGGTCGTCAAAAGGCGATAATTGAGCCAATCCCAGACAAACAACTGCGCATCACCACCTCCAGACACGAGCCTTCCCGACGAAACAAGACACAGCCTGTTGACAAACTCCTCATGGCCATGACAAAAACCCTCAATGATATGAGCCTGCGGTGGGGCCCTCGAGACACGGACATGTTCGTCCCGGTCAGACGTAACGATGTAGCCTCTTCCGTTGACGTTTGCGTAGACGATGTCTGTTAGCATTGACACGTGACCGAGTAGCAGCTCGTGCTTGAACTTGAGCGGCTCTTTGGATTTGCGCTGCCCGAGGCTGGCTTGTCGGATTTGCTCCTCGAGTACTTTGCGGTTGCGGCCTGAGTGGACGGTTAGGACGCTGGCGGAGGGCTTGAATTCTACCGGGGTTTCGGGTTGCTCTGCTGTTGAGGTGGTTGGTGGAACTTCTTGGTCCTGGACGCCGTCGTCTGGGGACATGAGGAGCGGTAAGGCGTAGACGTCGCCGAACTTGTCGGCGCATAAGATTGTCGAGTCGTCTGATGTTAAGGTGATGGCACAGGGTCGTCTAGCCATGGGTCTGTTGGATGAATGTGAGTACATGTAGAGATGATGAGAATTGAGGATCCGGACCTTTGACTCAGCTGGTGGATGCGGTAGTCGGAATCTATATGGAAGACACGGACGCATTTGTCTTCTCCGGTTATGGCGACGATATATTGCTGGTCATTGGACAGGGCGAGACATGAGAAATTGGACTTGTTGCTGTTGCTGTCATTGGTGTTGGTTGGGGTTAGTTTTATGCGTTTTCCAGGTCTTTCTTCATCTTCGGCTGGTGCCTCAGTTTCCTGGTGGAGAGTTAGTTTTGATTCGCAATTGATATAAAGGAATTGGGACTTTTATGGGATTGACCTCACTTTTGATGCTTCCTCTTCTGCAGGCCATGTTGAGCCCTGTCCGCTTGAGGACTCAACTACAACAAGTCGTGATCCGCTCGCACCAATGAGAAGGGTTTCTTCTTTTCCTTTTACAGAGCGCCTATAAGCCTTCAGGCATTGAAATGGTAGAGCCATGTTCATATGTCGTTATGATGCGCATGCAGGGATCTGTAGTGGTAAAATCTCAAGACTTGAAGAAGTTGATGACCTAAAGCGTCTTAGCGCATTGTCGCTTGCGGGAGCAGGGACCACACATAGCAAAATCCAACTTCACACTTTTCGCAACTCCTTGAACTTTTCACTCAATTAACACAACAACAATAGAACAAGTCCTTAAATATCCTATTTTCTCAAATCCGAAGAAATGGGGGGCAAATCCGAGAACAAGGCCGTCTACTTCGAGAAGCTCGCTGAGCTCCTCAAGGAATACAAGTCCATCTTCATCGTTGGTGTCGACAATGTCTCCTCCCAGCAGATGCACGAGATCCGTCAGTCCCTCCGTGGTGAGGGTGTCGTTCTCATGGGAAAGAACACCATGGTCCGCCGTGCTTTGAAGGGATTCCTCAGCGACTTCCCCGAGTACGAGCGCCTTCTTCCCCACGTCAAGGGTGAGTTTTCTTCTTCAACGCGACGCATTTGCACAATGTACTGATGGAGATGTAGGCAACGTCGGTTTCGTCTTCACCAACTCCGACTTGAAGGAGATCCGTGACAAGATCCTCGCCAACCGTGTCGCTGCTCCCGCTCGTGCCGGTGCTCTCGCTCCCGCTGACGTCTGGGTCCCCGCTGGAAACACGTAAGGAACTCCCTGGTTGCTGTATATCGAAGGACAATTACTGACAATAGGCGCAGTGGTATGGAACCCGGAAAGACCTCTTTCTTCCAGGCTCTCGGTGTCCCCACCAAGATTGCCCGTGGTACCATTGAAATCACCAGCGACCTCAAGCTTATTGAGGGTGGCAGCAAGGTCGGTGCTTCCGAGGCCACTCTTCTTAACTTGTTGAACATCTCTCCCTTCACCTACGGTATGGGTATCTCCCAGATCTACGACAATGGACAGACCTTCGACGCCTCCGTCTTGGACATTGAGGAGTCCCAGCTTCTCAAGGCTTTCTCCTCTGCCATCACCACCATTGCCAGCATCTCCCTTGCCATTGGCTACCCCACCCTTCCCTCCGTCATGCACTCCGTTGTCAACAGCTACAAGAACATCATCTCCGTTGCTCTTGAGACCGACTACGAGTGGGAGGAGATTGCCGAGCTCAAGGACCGCATTGCCAACCCCGACAAGTACGCCGCTGCTGCTCCCGCTGCTGGTGGCGCCGCTGCCGGCGGTGATGCCCCCGCCGCTGCTGAGGCCGCTAAGGAGGAGGAGGATGAGGAGTCCGAGGATGATGACATGGGCTTCGGTCTTTTCGACTAAGCGTCTCAAAAATGGCTCCACTCTGGAATGCGATAGCTTCCAGGTGTACCAAACAGTTGTCGGCTTATGTCTTAATGATATAGAACTGTCAACGAGAAACACGAAAAAATACGAAAATGACCACAACAACGTTCTCTCGTATATTGTATGTTTTGTATGTGATGCTAACCTAGCAATCATACACTTCAAACATTCCCAAAAGGTAAGCTACATCTCTACTTTTGATCTCATTCGCTATGATTATTCGTTTTTAACACTGAGTCCTTCAATGAGGACAACCCACGCAACAACTTTAACCTTTGTATGAGCACTATCGAGATTTACTGCCTTGTCTACAAAATCTTCTTATGGATAGCGAGCTAATTGCTTTCTCTAGTATCTTTATTGCGGTCCATCTATCGCTAAATTTCCTGCCTTTGCAAAGTCAATCCTGATCCAGAACATGTTCCAGGCTGCTCGACCCCCAAGACTCTTGCAAACTGCCTCACTCTGCACATTCCCAATATAGACATCTGCATGTGACCATGCCTTGCCCTGCTCATCAACCGCCAACTCTGGCGCATACTCGCGGATGATCTTAGCAGCCACTGCCTTCGCAAGTCCCATTCCCCTATACTCAGGCTCAGTGTGAAGTGTCGTCAGTGAACCATCCAAGCCCAAGAACGTCCATGCAACAGGGAGATCTGTCTCCTCCACAAACACCCCCACGCTCTTTAACGAGAGCAGTGTCCGCGTTGTGCGAGGTATACTCGTCCGCGACTGCACAGTTGGTATATCCTTCTCCCTTATCTCTCCCCACCTCAAACCCTTAGGTAGATCTCTCATCTGCGGCAAATCGCCAATGTTGAAAATGAACTTATTCAATTCTGCGTCTTTACCCGGGAACTCTGGCCTCACCAATCCGTACTCGTGGCATAACCGCACCACTTTCTTGTGGCATGCACCGAGCGTGACGACGGGACCCATGAGCAGATGTCGCATATACATGCCAGGAGAAGGCGTGTACCTTACACCAGGCCCTGACTCCGGATGCTCCTTCTCATGCTGTTTAGCCAGCTCGAGCGCCGGCAAGTTCTCCGGGTGAAGTGGTGGTTCAGGCAGCGTGGACATGTGATCGAATAGCGACAACACCGCCTGCTTACACGTCTTGCACAATTCATCTTTTTCCACCCCGTTCTCAGCCGTCGAATTGTGATCTGGCATCTCCCCGCTAGAAAACATCCAAAGCTCGGTTTCAGGGCGCATAGAGCGGTCCAGATATGCGACCGCCCAGCACGGCGGCACGGGGCCATCGTGAGCGAATGTGGCCAGTATGTGAGCGTCTGGCGTGCGGTTCTCGTGCTTCGTCCTGTAGACGAGGTCGACGCTGTATGGTAGAGCTTTTTTGAGTGTGCTTTGTAGAAGGGGAGATTCGGCGGGGTGGCTGTAGACCTTGAACCCCATCTTGAATAGTAGTCTTAGCCTGTCTGGCGGGAGATGTCGTGAATTCGTGGGGAAAAAAATCAAATTATTTCAAAGTTAATCATTTTCAATGGGATATTGTACTTAAATGAATGAACAAAATGTTGCTCAGGAAAACGAAAGTTTTGCTTAGTGAGTCAGGGTACGATGCAGAACACGATGCTCACCTTCGGTTTTCTGACCTTCCTAATTGAGAATAGGCGTCATTGCAATGTAGTGTTGCTTATTTCGCGGTGTTGGAGTGATCTTTTATTCCGAAGCATCTTCTTTGGTGTCATTATTTGGAACACATATTTGAGATCGAGTCATAGTCCCTATTGCATTTGCGAGGAGCGAGGAGAATACAAGTAACTATTCTACTACCTTGAGTGAGAGATAGATTACAAGACTATAGTTTTACACTCTAGCATATGGTCTTGTGCCTTTGGTTGAAGATTGATTCTGGATTCCACCTTTATAGTTCTCATATATAGCTTTGAGGTACACTATACTGTGTACGAACACTGCTCGAGGAGATGCCCGCATCGTATATTCGTTCCAGCAACGCTCTGTTTGCAATGTGTATCCTCTCGGATCTCGGCACATAATGGTATGTCATGAACCGTTTAAGGCACTGATGTGTATGGTGATTCATCATCTTCATCCAAAGACGAAGCCAAAAGTGTGTCCGCTTCCGGTGCGGCTCAACCAATCCATTCCGGACGCCATCGGAATTATTAGATCTGAGGCTTCAAGACAAGAACGGAAGTCATGGTCGTCTCGACATAGTCTGGCGTGATAGGTAATACCTGTTCCCCCGAGAAGGGTCTATTCATTCCATGGTCCAACTAGCCCGTTCCTACCGCTTGGGGAGCATATGCGATTTTATCATGGGAAACCTTGAATCCGGTCACCATTGGAAATTGGAAATGTCCTCATCATCACTGGTCAAGCATGATCATTTGGCAACTATGTTTCTCAATGGTACATCTAATGACGGGGTTGAGCGCATCGTATGTAGTTTGAAAGTTGAGTCATCTTGAAAACAAACATACATGATGCTCTGCTCTAGATACCTGTCCAGAAATACTAAATTGCCTTGACAGTCTTCATTTCATGCTACTTCAACATTGCCACAAGCTGTCTAGAATTGTAAATTGGTCATGTAGCAGCGAGGTCGCATTGTCGGACAGCCTCCTGCGCTGGATCCCCGCATGCCGTCGCCCTGTTGCGCTAGTCTACCACTTTCACTTCACTGAGGATAATTCTGTCCATGCTTTCGAGTACTACAACAAAGCTTGACTCCCTTGATAGCCTATCGAAATTCGATGCTCAAAGCTTAGCTTCTTGACAATTCCGGGAACGATCCATTGAATCCATGGCTTCCCATTCTCATGTCCCTATGTCTCTGCCACGACCCCACAAAGACCCTCATAGATATCACCCTGGCCCATTTAATTAGTGTCAAGGAGTACCATACTTTAACATGACTGTTCCTATAATTTCTCTGCTTGCATGGCCATTTCTTTTGATTCTAGAAAGTATTGGCACCAGAGTTGGATGGTCTATCGTGTCGAGGCCGTCCTCCGGAATGGGAACTAGGCGGAGACACGTCCCGATGCATAATGTTGTGCTGCACCCACGTCGCACAAAGGCATCATCCAGAACAAACTGGCGATGTCCGATTGATAGAGTTTTTCGTAGTCGTAATCATGCTAGGCCCCCCTGGTCCAATGTCAGTCCGCTTGCGCATGTCATCTATAAGTCTTCCCCGCCATGCCCTGCTCTTCTGACTTTTGCAATCTTTGAAAGCTTTTGTATAACCACTGTCACTATATACATTGATTCACGATGGCAGACACATCCGACGTACATGGTATGATTAATAGGGCACTTTGGATCCCCATTGTAGCCTTCGTATTCCTTTTTTGCAAGGTGAGTACAATGTTTCTCATGTACATCAACGTCACCACTCTGACCCCCTGTAGTTCGCATACACAGGCCTGACATGCCCAACACGACATCTACCAGGACCATGGTACACTCGCTTCACTCATCTTCACCTCAAGCGAGCAGTAGTGACCGGCCAACGAGTCTTTTACATCGACGACCTGCACCAGAAATATGGTCCAATCGTGAGGCTGTCGCCAAACGAGGTCGGCATCGCCGATCTCCAGGGCTTCAGAGAGATCCACAAGATTGGTACTAAGTATCTCAAGTCCTCGTGGTACCAACGCCTAGTGAATTTCCCAAAAGCGGGTTCCTTCACCATGATTGACCCTCGCCAGCATGGGCCCAGGAGAAAGCTCTTGTCGAGGTCGTTCAGCAGGTCGTATCTTGTTGAGAATTGGGAGCAGGTCGTGAGAGACAAGGCGCATCTCGCTATTAAGAAGATCAAAGCGGCTGCAAGCCAGGACAAGGCGGATGTGTTCAACTGGTGGATGCTGCTAGCCAGTGATATCAGTGCTCATCTTGCGTTTGGCGAGAGCTTTGGTATGGTTGAGATGGGCCATGTAAGTTGATGGATGAATAGATGAGAATTTTCTTTACGTTACTTTCAAGGTCTGACTGATGTGTTCATACAGGAAAATCAATTCGTCCGAGTCCTAAAGAAACTGACTATGGGTGCGGGGATTGCGGTTGAGATGCCCATCCTACGTTTGCTACGCTTTGTTCCGATACCCGCAGTACAGGAGATGTTCAACGCCTACGAATTCATTTTGAAGGGTGCTGACCGCGCAGTAACTATAGCTAGGTCGCGCACTGGCGAAGCAAATGTCTTCGCCAAAGTCATTGAAGACAGTGAGAAAGAGGGTGACGGTCATATTGACGACATGGACGTCCGCATTGAAGCCATGAACGTCATCATTGCCGGGACAGACACTACGGGCGTCACTCTTACTTATCTGACTTGGGCCGTCCTCCAGCGTCCCGAGCTGCAGGCGGCTTTGGAGGCCGAGGTCGGACAGTTAAAGGAAGGATTTACTGAGAACGATCTCATCGCTCTGCCACTCCTGAATGCAGTGATAGAAGAAACTCTTCGACTCTACGGCGCCGCTCCCAGCAGTCTCCCTCGTGTCGTACCGCAAGGAGGAGCAAAACTAGCTGGCAAATTCGTCCCTCAGGGCGTCACCGTTTCCACACAAGCATACACCTTCCATCGAGACCCCAAGATCTGGAGCTCTCCTTTAACGTAAGTCCAACATCACACATACCCTCTCACAGTCGCTATCTTTATCTAACACCCTCTTCTCGTAGTTTCGACCCTGAACGCTGGATCACGACACCTTCCAAGCCAGCCGAAGCCCTCACGCCAGATGCCAAAACGGCATTCCACCCCTTCGGCGCCGGATCCCGCTCTTGCATCGGTATCCACCTGGCGAGGATGGAGCTGAGGTACGCGGTGGCGTTCTTCTTCCGCGAGTGCGCAGGGATTAAGCTGTGCGAGTCGGTCACGCCAGAGAGCATGGAGTTTGAGAATTTCTTCTTGATTGCTCCTAGGGCTCATCGGTGTGAGATTACCTTGAAGTGATTAGGAGGGATTTGATTTGCTTTCATGCTGAGAGGAATGAAGGAAGACATCCGCATTCATGGAAATGGGGACTTGAAGCCCACCAACAATAACGTGTATCCGAGCAGATGAAGTAATTAATTTTTTCATACCTGATCAATTAGCCGTGCAACAAAGTTGATTGTATAATGCTTTTTTTGACAAGGTAGTGACTCGTGAAGGATTTTATATTACAATTATTCTATTAAGAAAGATACATCGAAACAATTGCTTTTGTATCACCTGCCCACGCGCATCTCTGCCTTTGCAAAGTTGCAAAGAGCACGTAGGAAGACCTGGTAATTGACGCCTTTGTTGTCAGGTACATGGAAGATCTCGGTCAACCGCAATTGCCAAGGTGGGTACCCCTTGAGCTGCACCACCGGGCTGAAGAGTATCAAGAGCTCTGGATCTGTGGAGACAGCCTCACGTAGCTCCGCGTCGATCAAGTTTGTGTCGATCTGGTCTGGCCGTAAAGTTCCGCTCTGTGCCATATCTGACAATGTCTTTGTAAGGTCGACCATGGTATCCCTTCCATCCTCAGCAGAAAGTAGGAGAACAGTCAGATGTTGTCGTTCGTCCTTCGTTTCGGTGGGATCGGGGGATGTTGCACGAGATGGTGGTGTTAAAGGTGGAGAGTACGATCGGATGTGAGGAGCGCGGACAGATAGGGTGGGTTTGCGGCGGGGCCCAAAGAAGGCTTCAAGCTCTCCTGAAATAGCAGAGTGGGTTTGTTGTATGTAGTTCTTGAGTTTTCCTAGTGCCAATTAGCATAGTGACCGAGCTGGATCTGATATCGTCAACGTACCTGTACGTTCGTACACACTCAGGAAAGGAATGCCGGCAGAAGCAGTCCACGCTGCAACTTCACGGAGGTTCTTCACAAGTCCTTCCAGACCAGCGTCGCCTTGATCATCGTCGCCCTCATGGTAGTCCAGGACGACGCTCAAATGATGGGGCAACTTGTTCAAATGCTTGACGTCGCGCTGTATGAACTCAGGCGTCCGGTGGTGATGCCATATGTAGGAGCTAACTTTACTCTTGACATGGCGCCAGCTACGACGAAATCGAAAGAAGACGGAGAAGATGAAGGATATCACAGCATGTATAAGGACATGAAGGGTGTGTTTTATGAGTCGCGAGCTTCTTTTTTGTTGTTTCTGCTTCTGTGCCTTTGGGCTTCCCTTGGTGGATTCGGGCTCTGGTGGGAGGAACGGCTTGAGCATCTGCTCACGCTCCTTTGGTGACAGTGGCCTCCCATCCAGATTCCCTCTCCGGAAAGCGATCTGCTCCCTGGAAGTGACGCCCGTTGCGGCCATGATACAGGCTACAATTGTGCCTAACGCGTGAAGGTGTCGATGGATGAAATGTTGGATGTGTTTGAAGTACTCAAGATGGTGTTGCAGAGGTGGCGGAACAGCAATTGGTGCTGGGGATGGCGTTTTTAAGTTGGTTGAGAGTGTAAGTTAAGGTAAGGACAGGATACGTCAATTTCAAGGTTGAGGCTGGTGCCAGGAGGAGCGTGGCGTTTTCCCACCAAAACAGGGCCGTAAGAGCCGCCAAGTAGCACGGCTAAGCCTCACATGGGAGGGGTGCGACGCGCAATACCTCGGTGGCAGTGATTCGAAAGTAGATAATAGCAAGTAACTACTGTAGTAGAGACTTGGATTGAAATGCAAGAGTCTATCTTTGTATTGGTTGTAGGTTGATGTGTATATCTAAGAAAATAATAGAATGCGACCAGGGTTGTGGTTGCTATAATGCAAGTCCACGCGGGGCGCCACACCTCAGTGGACGTTACGAGTTGACCCCATACTCGAACATTGTTGATCGTATACAATTTCACACAACACAACCGAAACATTCAGAACGATTGCGTCTCCCCTTCTCGACCGCTTCAGACACACTCTTTTGACTGGCCTCTATCCACGTCACTCTTCCCACAACGCCAGGCTACGCAGCTTCCCGCTCCTCCCATACCGCGGCCCAAACCTCCGCATCGTTGCTCTGAACAAGAGCCTCATGCTCTGGGGGGTAGATAGCTAGTGACAATGTCGCGCCCCAGTGCCGACTCGGCGTCCTTGCTCTCATATCAAACGTCACGCACTGCTTCAGCTCGTGGAACCGTATTCACGCTAGACACCTTCTCTGTGAGCCGACGAATACCCCCTTGAAGACACCTTCTAACCCACCCGAAAGAGCAAAGACTTTATTATCAAAGACTTTGTGGAGTCCCTTTCCGACAGTGCCGTATCTGCCTCTCGCAAATCAGGGCCGGCGTCTGCGCACCACCAAGCTTTCGACCCCAAACCATTAATCCGCACATTCGAACATGCGCTGTCACGATTGAATCTTCTCTCGGAGGAGCTTGGAGAACGCGAAAACGAGCTATCTGGAGCTGTCAGACGCGCCGAAGCTCAGCACAATGGCAACGTAGAATCACTGGGAAGCAAGTTGGACCAGGCTATCGAGCGGTTCCAGCGACTGGACAGTTCCCTGAATGGAGATCCGAACGACGACCGCGGTCCCGACGCCGGAGGAAACGTGGCTGTGAGAATTGGAGAGAGACTCGAAGAGCTTGATCGTCAGCGGAAGAGAGCAGAAGATGCTTTGTTCTTGATCAAGTGTTGGCAGGAGGTCAGCGAACGGGGGGATCTCTCGACACTTGAAGACATGCGAAGAATGGGCAATGAACAGAGCATAGTCCGCTGCGCGCATATTGCGCGACAGCTTCTCAAGTTGAGTGCTCGGCTGGATCCAGAAGGCACATCTCATGTCAACGGAAATGGCGGCCCGGTCCAAAATGGCACGAAGAGAAGAACCACGGCAATCCAATCAAGACATCCTACACGCGAGGTTATTGAAAAGTTTCTAGAAAACCTGGAGCAAGATCTTTTGAAGCAGTTCGACGATTTCTACAGGCGGCCAAATTACGATGGCATGCGGGACTGCGCCATTGCGCTACGTGACTTCAACGACGGAGCGAGTGTGATCGCGACCTATGTTAACCAACATTCCTTCTTCATAGATCGCAACCAGCTGATAACAGAAGAGGTCAGCGGCGATGCCGAGACTTGGGACCGCCTTCAAGATCCTGACTCTGAACCGCCAGGCGTAGAACCCAGTCTACAATCACTTATAGACGAGGTCCGCATAGTGGTGCAGGAAGAATCATCCATCATCAAGCGGGCGTTTCCCTACTATGACGAAGTTCTCATTCGGTTTTTACAGCGAATATTCCAACAGTCGATTCAGCAGCGGCTAGAGATGGTTCTAGGGAAAGCAAACGAATTATCATCACTTGCTTTCTTGCGATCCTTGCAAGCCTCCAGAAGCTATGTCACAGCGCTCGTTGATGATCTGAAGGCGCATGGTCTTACAGAACACCCGGAACCAGTAACGTCTCAGATTGCAGCAACTCTCGATCAGCAGCTTGAGGATCTCTTTGTCCCTTACTTCGTCGGATCATCGTATATCGAGCGTGAGAAGAAGAATCTGGAAGAGCTTTACTCTTCTTTGCTTCTCAAGTTTACCATTTACCATGCACGTCGACGCAAAGTCCCTACTACCTATTTCGCATCTCTTGCCCAGCGAGGCAAAGAGCTCGCTGCCTCTGCCCGTGATGCGTACATGGATCGCTTGGACAACACTGATATGACCGCTTCCCAGAAGGCTATGCTTCTCCGAATCGCTGGCGTGAAGGAAGACAATGCCGATAAAAAGGAGATTGAAGTTAGTGACGAGGATGGCAAACTTTCATTGCCAAATGCGAAGCGCATGTTGAAATGGCTGGCAGAAGGTGTAGGTCGTGGGTTAGAACTCTCGCCTGGTAACGAGACGCCGAAGGACGTCCAAAACCTGCTGAACCTTCTTCTCACTCATATGGGTGAAATCTACCTAGAGACTGCCCTGGACGCGTAGGTCTCTTCTACTATTGCTCTCAAAAATGGATACTAACATCTGCCTCAGTGCTTCCGACCACGCTTTATCACAAGAAAACTCAAAGACACCCCCTGATCTCACACATCTGCCCTCTCTGCATACTCTCACAACCATGCTACATCTCCTACAGCAAACTACAACAACGATACTACTTCCCCTATGCACTCCGAATCTGACCATTAGGCGAGAGATCGAGAAGTCAACATCGACCACCCTTACCACATTAGAATCAAAACTCTCCAACATTCTCAATTTGAGTCTGACCGCCACCCTAAACTGGGTAGCAAAGTGTCTCGCCCAGCAGAAGAAGCAAGACTTCAGGCCCAAAGACGACGAGGACATGAGTTTTCTGGGCAGCGAGACACAGGCCTGCCAAAGCGTGTGCTCATTTCTCTCTCGAGTTGCCCAGCAAAGCACAGGGGCCCTTAGCGGAAGGAACCTCCACCTTTTCCTCGCAGAGCTCGCAAGGGGCGTCCGAGCTCTCGTGCTGGCGCACATGCTCAAATTCACAATCAGCCTTACTGGTGGTCTAGTGGTGACGAGGGATATGGCCAAGTATGCAGAGGTTGTCAGAGGGTGGCCTACAGGAGAGGAGTTGGAGCCTGGGGCTATGGATGTGTTGGGTGAGGTTGCAACTCTGTTCGTCATTGGGTCCGAGGCGTTGAAGGATAGATTAAGAGGTGCGGGCGCTGAAGTGCAAGAGTTGAAGAATTTCATTGCACGGAGGGAGGACGCTGGTAGCGTTGGCGTCCAGGCTGCACTCAGTAGCTTGTAGTTTCTCGGGAGATATACAAAAGATATGAATCAAACTTCATTGGTATCAATTCAATACAATAACATATCATGCGTGTGAGAAAATATACTTGGGTATGGGATATGTAGTAGAGGGATGTTCATATCATAGAGGTAAAGCGAGACGGCAATGTCACATAAGTAACCAAGTAAGGAAATGATATCTTGTGAATCAATGATGTAGTCAATTCAATCTACATCCAGTTCTTCATGCCCGCACTTGCGGTTCCTGCGCTTTCACATAAACAAAGCGCAAAATTCGGGTGAAAGTGGTATGGCACGCATTCTTTTTTGTTGTATGCACCTAACACCCATATTCATTTGTAGGTCATGAAGTACATTTTCTCCGCCCCAAAGAACCCATGCAACCGAGGACCCAGAGCAATTACTTGAGAGGAATGAAACGGGAAGAGTGAGTGGCACCGATACCCGGCCTTCCGTGCTTGACGGGCTTGCTGTAGGATTGTTAGTGAACTTATCCTTCTTCGTGGCGTGGCTTTTGGAAACGTACTATGAGATGGAGAATTCAGCAAGGTAGTGGCCAACCATTTCAGGCTTGATCTCAACCTGGTTGAACTCCTTTCCGGAGTAGATACCGACAACGCTGCCGATCATCTCGGGGACGACAATCATGTCACGGAGGTGGGTCTTGACGAGGTCGGGCTTCTCGTTGGGCTTGGCCTCCTGCTTGGCCTTGCGGAGCTTCTTGATGAGGCCCATGGGCTTGCGCTTAAGACCACGGTTGAACCGACGGCGGGCACGGGCGTGGACAAGATCACGGAGCTCTTCAGATGAGAGGTCGAGGAGCCTGGACATATCCTGTCAGCATTTTGATGTCTTTGTGGCATGTGTGCAGTCGAAGCGATTGCTCTTATTCTTCTTCTGTCGGGGCAACAACGTACTGGTCAAGGTCGACTCCTCGGTAAGAGAACTTGCGGAAGGCTCTCTTCTTCTTGAGCTCTGCAGGTAAATCGTCAGTTCGTGGTTCCCAACATGGTCATTTCGTTGCGTAATTGCCACAGCAGTATCAGGCCGGTCGTCTTGGAATTTTGTTCGACATATCTGACGGGTCTTGGGGTATGCGCGTAGGAATCGATGGATGGGGGATCGTATCAAGGGAATGTATGCGTACCGGCAGCCTCCTCGGCGTTCTGGATTGAGAGTCAGTAAATTGTGCCAAAAAGACAGCATACAAGTATACATACGTAGTTCTCGTCAGCCATGATTGCGATTTGTCGAAGTAGCTGGACAGATGACTTCGATGAGTTCGCGGGGTCGGGTTGGTTTGTCGGTTGTCGAAGTTGAGGTTGACTGTGGGAATTCAGATTTACTGTAGAGCTAAGCGAGATTTTGGAGGTTAGCGCGCCAAGACCCCTGCAGAGGGATTGGCGATTGGTCTCAACCACGTCGCAATTATTATAGATTATGACATAGAATTCTACATAGTGGAAGAAAATTATGTTGTAGTTTTGTTTCTCAAGAATAGCAAAGGTCGTGGTGATTAGTGCATCAGTTTTTTGTTCACATTAGTTCAATCTCGGCACATGCAGAACGGTACAAAAGCGAATATTGAGAGAGTATGGCTTTGATTCAAAGTAACTATGGTTGCATGATGCGCTTCAGCTATCTGCAAATAGAATTGTCGTGGTTCCTTGACTGCTCGCTCGACTTCTCCCAAATGTTCATTCCCATGCCGCATGATTTCATAACTCTAACATGCCGTAGGATACCGTTTTTTTGTCTATGCCCAGAAACGATGCGCTTAGTCGAAGAGACCGAAGCCCATGTCCTCGTCAGACTCCTCCTTCTCCTCCTCCTTGGCCTCCTCAGCAGCGGCCTCAGCAGGAGCAGCACCACCGGCAGCGGCGGCACCACCAGCGGCGGCACCAGCACCACCAGAGGGAACGGAAGCGAGCTTCTCGGAACCGGAGGCGATCAACTATTCAGGTCGTTAGTAAGATGGCCCAATTTACACTGAAATTTTTTCGTGGTATTTAATATCGTACCTCGTTGATGTCCTTGCCCTCGAGCTCAGAGATGAGCTTGTCGAGACGGTCAGAGTCGGCCTCAATGCCAACGGACTCAAGGACAGCCTGTGGAAATGTTAGTGAAAATCCAAATTCCACTATTCTTATGCGTTTTACCTTGACATCGGCGGCAGAGGGGGAGGTGTTTCCACCAAGGCCGAGGAGGAGGTAAGCAGCGAGGAGCTTCATTTTGAATGTGGTTTTGTTGAAGAAGGTGAAGTGAACAGGAGCACAATCGATTTAACCTGCTGGGAGTTAGCGAATGCGCGGTACAATGAGATAGATAAACAGGCACATACCGTCTGGCCGGAGACTGAAGCTTCAAGTTCTGAGTGCGGTTTTGAAGGTTAGAGAAGAAACAATTCCACTCGGCAACGTTGGAATAATGGTTGTGGGCGCGAAATTGGCTAGTCCTCTTGCGGCATAGCCCACTACCACCAGAATCAGGCCTTGGCAAATGGCCATGTTTCCAACGCCACTCTTTCCACCAAGTTCCTCCATTCACACCATAAAGCCAACAAACTTCTCGCCTCACATAAGAGGGTTGCGCCCTTCTTCTGTGCTTCCTCGCGCCCTTTAGTATTCTTCTGCGATCACTAGTCTTTTCGAAAGCATGTTAGATCGCTGCTACACACGTCCCGACCGGTCACACTGAGTCAAACTGATAAGTCACAATGAGTGTGAGTCACCTCTTTCAACATCTCCCGCATTTCAAACCGATGTATCTGGAATTCTGGAAATCTAGTTGTTGGCGGAATAGGCATCAGTATATGTCTTTTGAGTCCACGTTTTCTTGGATGCTCCAAAGTCAACACATTCGTCTTTTGAGGCATGCCCGGGGACTTACGGGTGTATGGATAAGTGAGTACTGACCTGATGTGTAGTTACTGAACAATCTTCTCTCGTCTATTGATCCGGCTGCCGCTGGGCAGATTTCTACCTCGACCACAAGGCAGACGCCCGCGGCACCATCACCGAAGCCAAATCCCCGACCAGCCGCTCGCCCAGCACAGAACGGCAGCATCGGAGGAGCGCAGGCAGGAGCGCTCAAGCGGAAAGCTGATGGCCAGCCAGATGGAGGACAGATAAAGGTACAGCGTAAAGAAGGGCCTGCGCAGCCTGTCCGACCAAATCCAGCAACGCGACCCGTGTCATATTCCGATGCAGCAAAAGCGAAACCAACCCCTCCTACAGGTGCCGTTCCCTATCGGGGTACCGCTGGAATCGGGGCGTCAAATGCGCCAAAGCCGGCCAACGTAGTTCCAAAGAGGCCGGCACCCGTCAATACCACCCAGACCGTTACCACGAAACCTTTATCGCAAGCTCCTAAAACGCCCACTTCATCCACAGCATCCACTCCTACGGCCACTGCTGGGGGTGCTCAACGCCCCGTCGCGAAGAAAGGATATGCGGCGATGTTAGCACAGGCAAAACAAAAAGAACAAACGAAACCGCCTACTGCTCCCGTACGTCATGAACCGACCAAGATCCTGACTAAGAAGGAACGCGAAGCACTCCGTGCTGCAGCTAAAGGGAAGCAACCCGGACCCGCAAACCAGAAGGCAGGGCCGAAAGGTGCCGATGCGAAGCAAACAGATGTGAAGAACAAACCTCAGGAAAAAGGAAAATCTGTCGGATATCAAGGAACTGCTCGCCCTATGAAGAAGCCGATTGAGGTTGGTTACAAAGGAACGGCCAAACCTGCTAGCGCCACACCAGGACCCAGTGGGAAAGCAGGGGCCATGCCAACGACCAAGGCCAAACAGACTCAACAATCGAAACGGTACGACGGATATGCTAATTGGTCTGACCTTGACGACATGGAAGATGATGAAGAAGACTACGACTCAGGAGAGGATCTGTCAGACATGGAAGGTGGCATATGGGATGTGGAGGACGAAGAGCAGCTTGCTCTCAAGGCTGCCAGGAAGGAAGATGCTGAAGCACTCGCCGAGGAAAACGAGCACAGGCGTCAGAAAGAGGAACGCAAACGGAAATTAGCTGCAATGGCGAAGGCGGCTGCTGGGAGAAGGAAATTTTAATCCAAATCAGATTACAGGCGTCTGCTTTTCTTGGAGTTATCGGCATCTGTTCGTCCAAGACCACAGCATTCTGGGAGTTCGTTTATATCATACTTGCATTTCTATGGAGCCAGGAGAGCATGAAGGGGGCGAAGTTCTTGTTCGAAGGAGGCTTCACACTCCTTGGTAGTTAATGGTATCACTTATCAAAGTATATGAGGTACCTATCATTGTATTCGGTTAGGATGGGTGGCGGGTATTTTTATAATTCAAGATTAGCATTTGGTATTACTCGTAATGGCGATAGGATGCATGTCCACGCGGCATTTATCGTATCTGTCCCAGTTCTCGATTGTGAATACTGTGGCACGAATATCCAACTAACCCTTCCCACGCAAGCACCAACAGACTTTCTATCGGCCTTGGGGCACGTGTGAGACATTTAACAGCGCTGTCATTCATGGCCAGCGAGACTACGCTGTCACCAATATGGTTGTCTTCACCATCGACATTCACAATCATGTGAATGTATGTTTGTCTGTGAGTAATTCACCACACTTCCAGTACGAGGTTGACTTGAGCGGTCGCATAAAACGACGCCCAGAGCAACGATACTTCTCGAACTTCTCAGTACGTCTCCTACTAACGATCCAAATCGACTTAATCCTTGCCTTCTCACAGTGCTCATATTCGGACGTACTCCGCCAAGGCAATGCCGACATTCACACGAGGGTCACTACCAGCAGAAAGACAAGAGTTGCCCACGAGATATCAAAGATGGGAACCGCACCATGACCGCAATCACGGAGATACGGAGAGTGGTTTTGAAAGCCCGTGCTTAGATCATATCATTGTCTCAGATAACAATAGCTTCGTAGATACTTTGGAGAGGGAGAACAGAGTCTGGCATAGGATAAAGCTTAGGCTACCAATACGCCCCAAATCCGCTTTTGCAAAAGCCTTCCCTTACCACCCACTCATGTCGCCGAAGAACTCTATTAGCTCTTCTTCGCAATGGGGAATCGAGACAGACCCGAGGTCCGGAGCATACAAGGCATCAAGCCCCAACATCAAGGGTCGAGAAGTGAATGGCGTAGAACAAGACGTTGATCACACCGAGCGCAGTCAGGAGAGCATCGAGGCTATTACATCTTCAAGGCCGAAACACGGTCCACTGATCCATTTACCTATTGCGACTTTGAACAGTAATGATAGAGGAAGCCCTGATACAACATACTGGAATAATATCTACTCTCTTGATGAGGATGCAGCGTCTCATACCTCATCCATGACAGCACACCAGGAATCAGACCCCTCAAAGACCACAGCCCAAAGGAGGAGATCGATAGGAAATGATTCCGATGATTCTCAAGAAAGCTGCGTAATGTGCAGGGAGAACAACGAACGTCGCAGAAATCAAAGGTTCGCTTCTGGTCTACCAAACGCCCACGAAGCATCAAGGACCCAACTCAAAGACGATGGTGTAACGGACGTCTCCGTGGACGATATTGCCCCTCCTTTGTCACCCACATCATACGATGCCTTACTGGAAAGTTACAGAGGCACCATAGTCATCCAGGTAAACCTGATCCGTGATCTCCACAAATCGCTTGACAAATACCGCGAGCGGGTCTCCGACCTCGAGCAACATGCAATTCCAAGATATTTAGAGTGGGCCGAGAACTCACGGGTTTCGAATGAGCGTTTGAGCAAAGATATTGTAGACCTGAGAGATAAGAATGCACGGCTGAGGGCTGCCCTTGTCTTCAGTAATCAGGTGATCGCTGGCTGCGTGAAAAGAGAATGGGCGATTTGGAAGAGTGCTCAGAAATTGATGCAGCCAGAGGAGAGAAAGGGGCTGAAGGATCTGGCGAGACGTGTCTTTCGACGACCAGATAGGTATGAGTCTGACCTCGACAACTCGGATTACACCACTGACACAGAGAGGCGCGGCACAAACCACTCTCAGCAGAGAGCCGAGATGGAATTAGACATTGCTGGGCACCAACCAAATATGGCTGAAGTAGGTAGGCTTATTGCATCCTGCAAGCGAAGCATTGAGATCTTGCAGGAAGATATCGATGGTATGTTGGAGCTGGTCAAGGGCGCAAAAGGCAATTAGCTAGGCACGGCGCATATGGATGCAAGGCTCAAGCAGAGTAAACTTGTCGTCAAGGGCGTCGAAGATACACAATTGTAAAGTAGATGATCTCAATTTCACTCAAACCACCAGTTTAATTGATGGATGTCTGATGGTCATCTTTACCCTTCACTGCCATTATGAGCGATCATAAACGTGCACGCGTTCCGTAAGAACAAAATGGATCCTCCCAATCGGGTCGAAATACTGAAGAAGGCAGGGACTGGCATTGAAGACATTAACATTCATCATCTTCTCTCATGTGTTGTTCCTATATAGTGCGGACAAAGTCCCACCAGACCAGATATACGTGCATCATCCTACTCTTACAGACATGCGAGGCAAAGTGGGGAATGCAAGAAACAACCCTAGCCTTCTAAACTATAATACAAATCCCTCGTCGCTTAATTGAATACCGGTTAGTGCGATAAGTCTGGACATATGGTACTTGCTACACCCATCCTTTTGTGAAAGCTCCCAGCACTTTTGGGGAAATGGCACGCAGGCGCTTCAAGATTTCCAACTGCTAGAAGGTATGCAAAAACTGTTTCTCAAGCCGAGTACTTCATCGACTGTTGTCCTTGTCGGATTGGGATTCGCCTGAAGCGCCATTCCTTTGGGGTGATTGCCTCGTTGACTTGCTATAATCGACTCGCAGCGTCCTGCCATAGATGGTCTTCTCAGCAAGAAACTCCTTGGCAGCAGTCGCGCTTGCGACATCGAGGAAATCAGCGTGGGAGAAGCCTCTGGGCACGCCGGTGCGTCGATCGATTGCAACACGAACCTCCGTGACGTTACGAATGTCACGGAAGAGTTCATTGAGATCTTTGTCGGTCATTTCAAATGACATGTTTCCAATGAACAAGGTCTTGGTAGGGTCAGCTGGCCTTGCCTGCCCGCCCCTGCGAACTTCTCTCGGTTTGTGGTATTGGACAACCAGATTTCGTCCCTCGAAAACTTGCATGTCGAGGTTCTGTATAGCCATATCGGCATCAGCAACCTTCTTGTAGGTAACATGAGCAAATCTTATGCGGCGTTAGTAATTGCGTCTAATCAGAACGGAATGTCATGACATACCCTCTGCTAATTCCTCGGTTGTCACGGGCGATCGCAAGACTTTCGATTTCGCCAAACTTAGAGAACACATTCTGGATTTGTTCCTCGCCCACCTCATAATAGAGGTTTCCCACGTAGATAACATTACTAGGCTCGGCAGGTGCACTAGGTTCGCGGAGTGGGAATCGAGATCTTCTAGTCGAGCGTTGAGCTGTCTGAGCCGCTGCCGCCAGCGCATCCGCACCGACAGTAGCAGAAGCATTTGTCGGCGGGGCTTCTGCAGCTGCTTGCACCGGAGTCAGATTCTCCTCGATTGGTGCCTCTGCAGCGGTCTGCGCAAATGCTTCGGGTGCCTCAGACTGAGCAGTAGCATTTGATATCGATTCGGTTGTTATCTTGGTGGCATCATCGCTGGCAAATCTCCTTTGAAATGCTGGAATGATTCGGGTGTAAGCGTGGAGTTTGAGAGAAGCTGGTGTGATAGCAGCAACTGATCGTGGTTGAGTGAAAATCGCCTTCGAGGACACTGCGCGAGCGGCGGTTCGGCGTAGAAGGTACCTATAATACAATATTAGCAACTTCAAAATAGGCACTGGCAACACATCGAATCTTACATGATGAATGCTGGCACAGAGTACAATTAATACGATATAATGGGGTCTTGTGTTTACGACTGCGGGATGGCAGTCACAGAAAATCATCAAAATCTTTGGTACCAGACTACAATCATATGGTCCGTGCATTATCACGAGACTAGTACTTTTCAACGACATCCCCATTTCAACTCTGGCCTTTCTAAATTGTGTAGGCATATGGGAAGGAATTATTGTGTCGGTAATTATGTGTGTTCATGCCTGCAATTTCATGCGTTGATTTTGTGGGAGCTGGCTATCGGTCATCAATTGAAACAGGTCTTGGGGTGATCGTAACACAAAAAACGGTGAGGCAGCGCCTAGACAGCAGTATCACAAATGTGATTTTGGACCTTGTGTGTGAATGACATGCATATCGGTTTCTCTTCGGTTTCATGGGGCGAACATAATGAATTGTTTGTGGGGTCATGTGCCAAGTGTCGAAGGATCACATATGGGTATGGATTCGAGGTGGAGAATCTATGAACGGCGAAGTAAAACAATCGCGGAGAAGCAGGGCTTGCTGGGGATAGAAATCTCACCAAAGCACTTTGCTATCACCTGCCAGAACCTGTGGCGAATGAGGTACCACAACGCTGATCGGAGTTTTGACTCGCTGCTGCGGGTGCTTCCGCGATGCAAAGCCGTTGATCAGAATAGACCTTGGTGTGCTTTAGATGACGAGATCTGGGGTAGTACAGTCGTGTAGTGTTAATAATCCATTGCCAGCTAACTAGCGGGCGACAACGATACTCGTGGGGTCTAATTGCTCAGGGATAGTCAACATGTCTAACATATGGAAAGGTACTGTCACAAACATCCGACTAGATGCCTGAAGATCATGTGGATTTCTCGTGCGAAAGAGTCTGGATGTATACATACATTGTACATTCACGACCCTATGGGGGAATGGGCAGGGCTGAGCGAGAAGGCAACCGACCCCACGTGGGCCAAATTATATTTATATCCCATTCCAACCTGGAATTCATCGGTACGATCAACATCTTAGATTTCAAGATCTCCATTGGATAACAATGATTTGGAATCGAGAAATGCGCCTTAAGGGCTATGAAAAGTCCCTGAAACACCTTCATCTCGTCATCAAACCAACCGCTGGTATACTACTGTGCACATTTCGCTGTTTCTTTTCTATTGAGTTGAGCCGACGAACCAAATTGTTGTGAGATCGTTTATGATGTCGGCTTGACAGATGACCATTCTGCTTTGGGTGATAGATTGCCACCCTGAGTTTCGACTGCATGCCACCAAAACCCGGTGCGTGGCATTGTAACGCAGTGATGACTGTACTCCAGATCGCTTCAGTGTCTCTGGTGATTTCTGTTGCTTGATTGAATGGCTGGCCGTATTGTAATGATTGGGATTGGTGCAGTAGAACCGTACACTATGGTTGCTCGAAAATTGATATATTAGGGCTTTATCGTGTATAAGGTTTACTGTTCACCAAATGATAACTCTCACAAAGAGAATTTCTCATATGATGCCAATGACACAAGTTATCTTAATAGATGTCAAAGCATATCGGAAAAATAGAGTTTCGAGGGGAACCATGGTCTGATGCTGCGTGGTTAGGCAACAAGACGATCGGCAGGATATCCTTTTGGGGCGAGCTGAATTGATCAAGAGAAATTGCGGGTAGATTACCTTATGCCACATGTGTGCTATCGGCCAGTCAAGTTCACTGATATGACGGTTTACAGTTGTATCTACCGAGCAATAATTATAGATCTGTTCGCTTCGGCAGTCTAGATACACGACACGCGGGGTTGGAATACCAGAGCAACTGGCATGCAGAAAGACAGATGTCATCGGTGTGATACCATCGCTGACTGAGGTCTTTGGCAAGATGAATAGCCAATCAGCACGGGTCCCGCTTGTGAAGGAATTAAGATGCAGTATGTAATTCGGCTGTAGTTGGCCCTTAATAAATCCAGCCCGGGGGCCGCAGCTGCTAGTATGTCTAGAACTGATCGTTTCAACCACGATTGAATTGTTCCATGAGCCCGGCTGTGATGTACTCTAATCGGTAGATCCTGCCCGTCAAGATTGCATCCGCGAGGAATCTGGATATGAAAGTGCACTCGTGGCCAGGAAGCTTGGCACTGTACAATTCGACTTGTGTGCTTCAATATATTGCTGACCACCAGTGAGATGTTACGCAATGAAAGAAAGGTGTGCCAGTGACAAGGCAGACCTTCGGGGGTTAAGACCTAGGTACGACCGGAGATAGTTGTCGAAGAAGAGCAAGTATGCTCATGTTCGATCGAGGCGTTACTACTTGCAAAGCATACTGAAGTCTGGAGCTATTAGGGACGTACTTTACGGCGTATTAGGTTTATCGCAGAGATTCGTGGTAGTGTTCTGATGGGGTAAGTTAGCAAAGAACTGGTGGTCCACGCTCTTGTGTCTCCCGCTCTCACTGCCGCACAACGTTTGGTCACCGACCCGGCCTGACCCTTACATTAGAGACGTCCTGGTATGTTCTCACTGATAATTAATAGGTTGATTCATGTCTGTAGTCATGGAGATCGTGGCGCATGCAGATTTTTGCTGATCGTAGTTAGACGATTTGGCATGGGGCCAGTCACACATAGCCCCCACACCGCGTCGTCGGACTTCACCCGTTCCTGGACTTGTGTACCGTAGTTTGTAACGTCTTTCAGTCCAATTGAGTTCCAGATAATCATGTTTCTTTGGGGCTCGTAATGAAGGATGGCGTGGGCCATGCGATTCAACACTGAGCGTCACATCGACTCCGTCGGCGGATAAGGCTGCAATATCCTAGCGAAGAACATGTGCATCACGACGCCAGGGTGATATGTCTTGTTTGGCTTGACGGCTCATTTTGGTCTCGGACTTGTTGGCATGTCAATGCTTCACGATATCTTCCACACGGTCGTCTGGTAACTTAGCGTTGGTATCTTTTCACGGCCAGTGATTACGCCGTAGGCCTACTGGAATGGGAAGAGGGACAGTAGTCACTATCCCTGTCGTTACAATGCCGAAAGCATGCGGAATGGATGACAGCTACGCCTCAATGAAAATCGTGCGAGTGCGTATCGATAGGTGTGAGGCCTGCAATTGAAGCCTAGAGACAAAAGAGTGCCTCGAAGTGGCTCAGGCAGACCCTGGACCTGGATTGTGCTCCCGTGTATCGTTCGAGCTTTTCTGAATGTTGACGTTTCTCTGTCCCTGAGACATTGAGTTTGTCCATGAGTCCATCATGGGGCCGTACGGCTCCAACATAAATACTGACAGGAAACCAGGAAGTCTGAATGTTGAACAAACGCACTCGATCAACACCACTATCACCACTTCACTGCTCATCTCTTTCTCGCTATCACCAGAAATTTCGGTCTAAATATCGAATACTCCAAATCGACAACATGTCTCGCACCGAGCCTACGAAGCGATCTTCCGCCTCTCAAACGGTAGTAGCAGAATCAAATCCTATAGGATGTATGGACCCACATTTGGCTAATATCAAATAGGGTCAAACCAACACGACGAGTTCTCAGCAACAGCAATCAAACGGCACTCATGCCAACCAGCCCACTTCACCACTTGCTCGTTGGCTGCATGAGAAGCCGCATGAAGGGCCGTGGCATACAGAGCAGCTTCGAAGTGATCAGCACCACGGAGGATCCTCTGGTGGGAACAGGCAGAATTGAGCGAGTATGGGATTGGACGTTGACAATGAACGTCTGAATGGTCCAGGCACTCGGCAAATCGAGAATGTTACGCTTGGATAGGAGGCAGTTGTATGTGCAAGAGATGTGTACTATATGTGTCGTTATAGTAGATGTGTAGCAGGTTCCTGAATAGACATCTGTAGAGGTTGGCAATGTATACTTGATTGAGTCATGATAGCCAGTGTTTGGACAGTGACATGACCAAAGGAAGAGGGGGGAGTTCGAGACCCTGATGTGATTGATAAGAAGATGGATGATATATAAACAAAATCTGTACCTACCTGAACTAGTTCTTACCGTACATGCGGTAATCACAAGTGCAGGATGTATGTATTTATCGGTTCGGAGGGGATCCCGTGGACTCCCCTGATGAGGCTGAACATGGGAAGAAGTTACGCAGTATTGTACAAGTAGAAGTAGGCCATGGCCGTGAAAGATGTCATATGCAGTTAGTGGAGAGAGGCAAGAGGTTTTGCGGATCCGCCGTCTTTACTCTAAGTGGGTCGCTATCGGCAGTGGTCGCGTTTCTGCCCGAACGCCAATGGGGATTGGGCAATTCAATCCGAGGCAACTTTTCCGCTCTTCAAACAAGCTCCAACAAAAGTCTGCATTCTTTTCACTTATCCAAGGCTGGTACTTCAATAATTACAAAACATTTTTATTTCTTTTCAGAAACGTGCCATGTGGGTTCAGTGGCGGTGATACTTTATTAGTTCTTCTTCCCCGCAGCTCGTGCCAGTCTCAGTTCCCAGTGCCTCCACCGCGGTCAACTAATCACTACAACTACATCCATCAACCTCCCCCTTGACGGCCTTTTCCCTCTCATGATGCGTCGCCGCCATGATTACAGAAGGTAGTGCCATCCCCCCAATGGTTCAGGGGAAATCAATGACTTCGCCACCATCGAACAAAGGCAAAGAGACTGCAACTCCATCTATCGCCTCTAAGATCGCTCGCTCTGCTTCCGGTCTCGCAAAGGGAGCCGTGGGAAGCTCCGACGTATCGGGAGCATCACATGCCTTAGACCTGAACTCCAAATCTTTCAATGGATCTTCCTCGCGGGCCGCAAACCACTGGCTTCAGGACATCCCTTCTCATGTTGCGACTCCAAGTGCGAGTGGCCAAAGTGGTTCCTCCTACCAAAGTTTTCGGTCAAGTCCAGTACGGGAACCCGATGATCGCGCCATCAATGAATTTCTGAATGGGTCGCCGGAGAGCCTGAGCTTTGAACTCGACCATTTTGAACCTCTTGAAGAACGAGACGTGAACGATTCTCTTCCTTGGATGTTCCCTGAGCCTGGCGCCTCATCCACAGATCAAGATGTCCAAAATGTTCACACTGGAGACCAATCAGAAAACGACCAAGCATTGCGAACAATGCACACCCCATACGAGGAGAACGAAATCCAGGATGACCAAGAGATTGAAGAATTTTGGCATACTCACGTATCTGCAAAATTGGGAGAATCTCACAATGAGCAAAACACAACCGACACACACGAAGCCGCATGGGCAGAAAATATCTCTCTCATGCGGCTCAACATGATCCTCGGACATGTGACAGAGAAGAGTTCACTGATCTCGGCACGGGATTTCGCGTCTGGCTTGATACATCAGGAACCGGTATCAGCCCATCACGTGGCCATCGACCACATCCACAAAATACAACAGGAACATATACAAGCCATTGAAGCGCAAGAGTTCCGTTCACAAACTTCGAAAAATATCTCTTCAAACCAAGTCGTTGACCAAACGAGCTCACGGATACAATCAACTCACGTATCTCATGCAAAGAACGTCAATCAAGTAGCTAGCCCAGAGAATGTGCCATCGGAACCTGAGTTCCACTGCGCACGAGCCGTCTGTCGTGAGGTATGTTAATATTGATGTCTCATACTTTGTTTTCTCTCACTAATGCCATCATATTAGCGCTTCAAGGATCCCGCAGCTATCCGCCCATATCCAGGCGCACGCTGGGGCTACAAATGTCCCCATGACGATTGCACCGCTCAATTCCAAACATACAACAAATGGACCGTGCACATCTCACAACCTCATCATCGATAAATGTAAGAGATAGAAGAAGAGAAGAGAATGGCCGAAATCGTACATATTGTTTTTCCACCGATTGTTGAGCCGTGAGCCTTCGGAATGCTTCGGAAGCATGGAGGTGTTGTGTTTCAAACGGCACAGGAGGGAACACCCATATTGGGAAAGCTGCATGATCGGGTGTGCAACGTCAGGAGAACGACAAACGCCGAACAAGTCCGCCTGCTCCGGCCAAAGTCTCTTTTCAAGGAAGTTAATATTACAGCATAGCATAGCGTTTATAGGCATGGTCAAATGTACGATATAGTAGCAGACTGTTGAAGATGAAATGTATATATTTAGAAGCTTCGCAGCATTATCAAAGATCTTTCAGTCCCAATTTCACATTGTTTGTACTCTTGATCGATATGTTAAGATGCTTCGCACTTGACGTCCAATCTGGCGATGCACACATTTCGTCCATTACTACTTGGCAAAAAATCATACAAGATGGAGATTAGTGGTGGGTTGGGCAGCCAGTATGGGGCATGTTAATCCGGGTATCACGACGATGGCCCAATCTTTCCCAATCCAAAAAACCCCAGTCAACACCCAGAACTAAGTATTTGAAATCCCGTGCTCCCCAGAAGTTTTATCATAGACTGGCCACGAGCTATGGCATCCTGTCCCTGTTCGAGCAGCTATCGTACTTGCAGTGTTCCGTTCCACTAGGCCGACGAAGTAATGTTGAGTCCGATCTTCGCTAGGGCTGGGCCAACGTCCAGTTCAACGTTGACTGTGTTGCCTTGGATGGCAGCCTCGAAATAATCGAGGTGTTCGCCATTTGCGACACTTGAATTGCCCTTGATTGCGATGGGAACAATGCCGTTCTTGTACTTGCTCCTGATTGCGGAAATGACCCTGAGCTGTTGAATCTTGCTTTGCATAGGGTAGCTATTATTTCCGGGCTTCAACACAAGTGCCGGAAGGAGGGATGTTCCAATGTCTTGGTCGTCAATGGAAAGGTTCATGGTCACATCACCAAGATCGATGGTGAGCACAGATGGGTTGGGGATGTGGACGTTTCCGACCATGTTGGAGCCATCCTCCAGAACAGCATCTTGACGTAGGATCTCAACGTCGGAAATGGAAAGGCCTTGCAATTTGTTCAAACCTGATATTGTCAGTCCGGTGAAATACTATTCATAGTACTCGTACGTACCTTTCATGGTGATCTTTTTATGGTAATCAACAGAAATGGGCTGTAGTCCGGACTGGCGGATCTTGGTCTTTCCGTTCATGTAAACATCGAAGGACTCACTGCCCATCACAGCTTTGTTGTACTCGACGAAGTTGTTCTTATCAGCGAAGCCGAGTTGCTGATCGACAACGATTTCGGTTTCAGCCTCCGCCTTGGTTTCGGGTACTGGAAGAACGATGAAAGGGTTCTTTCCTTCCTCGTCCAAGGACAGCCTGCCTTCGAACGCCTCAATCGTTGGGTGGAAGCTGCTTCCACTCTTTGCAAGACTCACGAGCTTGAGGTGGATGCCGTTGGGAGTCGGGCTACTGACGTCCTGCGACGTGACCTCGAGCGTCGAAGCGTTGAGATCGTGTTGTGCTTTCTTTGGTATACCGACGTATATTCTTCGGTCGATTAGAGCGTGCTGTGTATGTATGATCACAACTACTTACATTGGAACAACGACTACTACGACGATAACGCCAATAACAAGCAAGTCTGTGCTATTATCAGTTTCCGTAAGAGGAGGAATAGTTGATGAAGACTTACCACACCACCAGAACTTTCGACAGTGATTCTTGACTCTTCCACCTGCACCCGGTTTTGGGCCTGGAGGATACAGTGTGTTGATGATACCTCCCTTTTTACGAGGCACCGCCTCGTTTGCATACCCATTGTGCGCCACCTCTTCAGTGCGTTGACTGTTCTTGTCCTCCATCTTAACGATTTCGAGTCTCACAACTTGGATCTGAGAGAAAAAGAAAAGGATGGAAAAGGAAAGGTGAGGAGGAAAGATTCAATGTTTGCACGGCGGTGTCTGTGCGAGTATAAGAGTGGATGCTCCGGGGTGTGGAGCTCATTATGAATGTAAATATCTGGAGAATGAGCACATGCGCGCCTGGAAGCGAATCATCCTTGTCGCGCCTTTACTATATGGGTGGTTAAGCCGAAGGATAGAGAGCAGATCGCTCGGAGGCTCGAAAAGAGATGAAGTGGCAATAGGGATATGCTGGAGTGTAGCGAATCATAATCATTTAGTTGTAGCTGGATACGGAAGGCGTCCGAACCGCTACCCTGTCCTACATCCCTGAACTACTGAAGCCGAGGTATGGCTTAGGGAATAAATATGAAGCACATGCTTCTCATGAAATTCTCTCTTGCGGCTGACACCGTTGTGTGTAGATTGCTTGCTGGGAGCTCTTGACTGGCTGCATGATCGAACAAGTCAAGAGTCTAAGCAGGGTGTTGCTCTCTCCCCATTTGATGCTATTGCTGGGGGGGCGTACTAGCCGCCACCACATGCTGTCTTGTCTTCTGAAAGAAAGGGCAGGATTCAATATGTCCAGCAAAAAAGGCCACCAGTTCGGCGGCATCGATCCCCAGAATGCGCGGCTGGGGCGCGGAGTGAATGCTCGCTTAGGCTTAGCTATTTAGCGGCTGTGGGGAAGTTAGGATCATTCTGGGGGAGCAACGCCGGCTGACGACCCGTATGCAGCAGAATCCCCTCTTGATCCTGCAGGCACATTCGTGGTGATTTGAAGCTAATACGGGATGTACGAGCTGATAAAGCTGTGCCTCAATAGCTCGAAGCTTTTTACTCCTCTTTTCACATGACATCAAAGAGGTGATCATAACTTCCGATAGCAACGATATCGTGAGAAAAATAGCTCTTCACGCTGTCGATCAAGTATCAGAATGGGCCCTGCCCCAGTCCGCGATCAATCATGGTCATTATGATAGATACCGTCAGGATTCTTCAGGAATAGCGCGTTGTTCGGTCGCGCATTGCAGCATTTCATCGCATTCGATTGCATGTGAATGTCCGAAGTGACGATCAATCGTTGAGGCCAACGATTGGCATCGTGAGTGATCTTGTGACGGTTCCAGGCTAGACGCCCAGTAATCAAATAGGACTCTTACAGGCAAAACGCCACCAACTTACCTTTTACGTTTGTCGTCGTTCTCAAATAAGACCTCGACTGCTCAATCGATTGATCCAAGCCTTGGACTTGATATTTGGAGGAACTTTCACAAGGGAGCAGACTCCAAGCGATGAAGACGAATATTTACGCAAAAGCTTGGGAGGACAAATGATGCCTTGGCCGAAGGTAGGGTATCCTACTCGTAACAATTTCAGGGGAACATGGGGTTCCTGGGGATGGTCGGGTCTGGGGAAAACGAGATTAGCGGCAGCACGAACCAAACGCATACAAATCTGCCAAGGTGCGCTAGCTTCTGAGAGTGGATCCTTGAAAGCTTCACCTCAACAGCAATCACCAAAATCCCATATCTTGACTTCGCAATCAACGAATGCACCTCTTCGATTTGCCGCCAAAATTACAAATTTCAGAACGGAGCCTTCATATACCCGTGTCCTGAATATCAACAGTCGACTGACCTATCATCGGCCCTTCTCGATACGCCTAACAACCTGCTCGGTAGTTTTACCTGACAACAAACAACAAGATGGCGGATTCGGAATCTGAGGAGGACTACATGAATATGATCATCGAGGAAAAGCCAAAACAAGAAACCTCGATCCAACGCGCTGCGCGACTGCGAAAAGAGGTATGTTCACACTTGTTAAACATTTAGTATCTCGTTGTTGATCGAGGCTACAGCGCGAAGAGAGAGGTCGACCCAAACCAAAAGCGGAACTTCAGGCCGAGCAGGAAGCTGCAACAAGGGAAAGACTCGAAACAGCTTTACCATCTACGAACAAAGGATTCAAAATGATGGAGAAGATGGGGTTTAAACAGGGCAGCACACTTGGAAAATCCAAGGATGCAAGAAAAGAACCGATCGGAATACAAACCAAGGACGATAGGTCTGGCATAGGTCTTGAGTCTGAGAAGAAAAGGAAATTCAGAGAGCAAGCAGAAGAAGTACTCAGCCGGGCCAAACGCTCCAAGGAAGACGAGGGCGATTGGCGCGAAATGCAGAGGCAGAAGCAAAAAGAGGGCAGACGGATGAAGGATTTGGCAAATGCACAAAGAACCGCTGAGCGACTAGAGGATGTAGATTTCGAGAGTAAAGATCCGACAAAAGTCCCGCTTAAAAGCATCAACGTGCTTTGGCGTGGCCTCAACCGTCAGCGATTGGAAAAGTTGCGCGAGAAACGGGAGAAGATCCAGCTTACAAATAGCCTCACTTCAAGACTACCGACACTCGCAGCTGAGAATGATGATGAGGACAATGATTACAAGATAGCATTCGGTAGCGCTGCAGAGTCTTCATTCGTCGACGACGACCTGGACGATGGAGACGAGGAGTTCGAAGAGTTCGAAGCGCTGCCTGTTGAAGATCGACTTCAAAAGGTTGCCGATTTTCTGCGTGAAAAACATCGATATTGCGTATGGTGCGGAGACCAATACCCTGATGTGGCCATGGAAGGCTGTCCGGGCTCTACTGAGTCAGCCCATGACGACTGAGCCATCAGCAATCGCCAATTTATTGAGTAAGAACATGCATCATTCTTGCTACCTGAAGGCAATCATAGTACTTCAAGTGGCCGCCATGCTTTCATATGCTCCCCACTAACCTCTCAGGTTATAAGTCTTGCTCGACCATTAATGGCAAGTATTCGTGGAAGAGATGCGGGTAGATTGTCTATCAATATTGACAAGCAACGAGACGAGTCTCTTGCGGATCACGTTAGGTTCTGTGATTGCTTATCTGCAGTCGTAAACAGATATTATGCTGAGAGCAGTACACTCATCCTCTTGCAATTGCAGTAGATCAGGCCTTATGGAAATGTAAGATAGTTTAGTTAATGAAGGGTTAAAGCACATACTACCCTGAGCCCGAGGGACCATAAAGCTTACGGAATATCCATGAATTCAGAAGAGAATAATGCTAGTATTGTGGTGGCTCTTAATAAATTCGAGATTCAGATCTGGTTCAATAATGAACCTGGAAGATTGGCTGGGTGAGGCGCTTTGACCAATTCGCGACGTCCTGTGATCGCGCGCTTAACCGTCGCGTACCTTCAAACCCCCTAAATGAGGATCTCTATCAAAGGCTCAACTCTAACGTCATAATGGAGATTGAGCATCAAAGATGTTACATCTACTCTCCAGCAGAGGAGAGTGATCGTCCCGCAAAACGCCAGCGTACAGGCCAGTCGAGTCCCGATGCCGCATTGTCCAAGAGACTCCAGACTTTTCGGCAGCTTTGGCAGAAGCAAGAGAGTCTTGTCCAGGTAGGGAACTTCATGAAAGGGAAAGCACCAAATACTAATTGTGTAAGGCAACCCTCGAAGAGGCAGATTCAGCAACCCAAAGGAACATCATCGATTTCATCTCTGCATCAAAAGATGATGCGCTAGATCACCGAGCAATTCCAGCTGGGCTCATTGTTGCAGGGCCAAGCATCGCCTCTCACGGTCCGTTCTTTGAACGACTGGGTCGGAGAATCGAAAAGGAAACACGTAGTTCTTACTTAGTGTTGACTTCAGGCGAAAGCCCTAATTTGAAAACGCTTTTGAAAAACCTTATCAAGAAGGCTACGTCACGAGCCGAAAACGAAGACGAAGACGAGGAAAGTGGCCGACCAACTTCTACCAGGAATGGACCCAAGATCCTTGATTTTGACCTAGCGCATTTGCACGATTGGCAAGAGAAGAACCAGGCCAGCAATATTATTGTTGCAATCCAAGATAGTGAAGCTTTCGATGCCGTTGTTTTGGTTGAATTGATCGAGCTCCTATAGTACGTTTGGATTTCTATACCTTGGGACCAGCTAACATTTGGATAGCTCGTGGTCAGACCGCATACCATTTATATTGCTCTTTGGTATCGCTACTTCGGCAGAGAGCTTTGAAGATCGTCTCTCCGCCAAATTACCTCGTTATTTAGATGGGCAAAAGTTTGATGTCACGCAATCTGATGAGATCATTGAAAGGTTGTTCGCTGCGACTATTGCCGGTTACGATACGCCCCTTCGTATGGGATCTAACCTGTGTCGCCGCATTCTCGATAGACAGAAAGATCATGTACAAAACGTACAAGAATTTTCAAACGGTCTGAAATACGCGTACATGTCTCATTTATACGCTTCCCCCCCAAGCATATTCTTGAGCGAGGAGCTACCCTTTGCTCAGGTGCCGCCTAGTGCCCTTGAGGCAGTACGAATCGTACCCTCTTTTAGACGGTGAGTAGGCCCGAGATCTCAATCATTTCGAAGCTGATGGGCGAAGATGGGTGGAGTTACTTCTCAAGGATCGCAAGACCCAGGAAGTCCGCGACCTTCTGGATTCAGATGAACACTTGTTCAATAGAACCCAAGAACATGTCAAAGCGGGCCAAAAGAAACTGAACGCCATAAGCGATGCAATCCGAATTGTATCGAGCATCCGAGACTCTCTTCAGATGTCACCAAGGGTGACACTCGCTTCACTATGGATTAGAGCTGCGAATGGTGAATTAATTGACTCGCCTCTTCTCCGCGAAACTATGCTATCTGCTAAAAAGGTATCCTCCGACAAGATCGGCCGAATACTGGCCTCGTTGGCTACGCTTTCTAGCCAAGGGAGATGCCCGATTGATATGGCATTCTACGAGCAAGGCTTTGCACAACTGATCAGCAACAACACCGATTCTACACCGCTCCGGACCCAACACGATGTCCGCAACGAAAGCCTGCGAACCACTGTCGTGGCACAGAAAGTTCTACTGAGCAAGCATAAGGCAGCCCTGTCTGAACAAGATAGGGCATATTCGGATCTTGTAGGAAAGTTCAACGACGAGCTGGAGCAGTACTTGAAACAAACTTTGATTGACCCCCGAGAGATGTTCCTCTCCGAGATCCTGCTGTACGATCTCAAATCCCCACATACTGAAGTCTTCCAACCAAAGCCGCGTTTCGCAATTGAACGCGCGCTTGCCTCGCCGCACGACTATCTTGGTTGCGAGTGCTGTGGAGGTGATGCAGCGCTCTCGGCCACCCAGCCGCCTACGTCCATCCTGTACCAGCTGTACCTGGAATCCGGATCGTTGATCAATGTCAGTGATCTTTGGCAAGCGTTCAATGCCATTGTTGGGGGTGGAGAAGAGGACGAGGAGCGCGAGGTCCATACAAAGTCAGCAACCCCCTTTCCAGCATATTAAACCTGTCCCACTAACCCATACACAGAGCTCTATTCCAGCGCGGGCTGGCGGAGTTAAAACATCTCGGAATGGTGAGATCCAGCAGGAAGAAGACGGACCATGTCGCGAAGATGATGTGGAAGGGGTTGTAAATACAAGGTATCATATCCAATACACGATCAATCGCATCGAACAACTAGGGGGAATTTTTCAATATCACTTCGGCGGCGCAGTATCACACAACGTGCCACAATTCTTGCAGGTCCTCGCCTCCGTGTCTGCCTTGAAGTTGTTGACCGCCTCCTTGATCTGCGTGCCCAAGTCCGTGCAATGGAACGCCGCCTCATGCACCTTCTCCCCGCAGTTCTGACAGTACCACCTGAGTCTATCCAGGCTCTCCTCCGGCCTGTGTTGCTCCAGTACGATACCGACCGTGTCCTTGAATCTCACGGGGTTGTGCGGGGTGTTGGGTGGCAGGAGGAACATGTCGCCCTCATGGATGTGGATGTCGCGGAACTGGCCCTCGTCGACAATCTTTAATAGCATGGAGCCCTTGTATTGGTAGAACCATTCTGCAGTCTCGTTGATATGGTAGTCGGTGCGTTCGTTGGGGCCGCCGACGATCATGACGGTTACATCCTTGTCGTATACGCAGTAGTTGTTAATCGGCGGTTGGAGCATGTGTGAGTTTTCAGAGATCCTGTACATTAGAGTTAGTACGGAAAAGACATGTCCGTGGGACTTCTCAAAACTTAACGCGTACCATTTCGAAATATTCAGCGGACTTGCCAGAAGTCGCATGTGAGATGTGCTTGTAAACAACCGTTGCGATGCACGTTGCGGAGGTTGCAATGAAGCTCTCGTGCGCAAAGACTGCTGCACGAGGCGCGCGGTTGGGGCGAATGTGCGCATTGTGAATGTCATCTTCGCCAGAGCATATCAATTCCAAAGAGACCAGCTCGCTACGTATACAGGATTCTAAAGCGAATTGATAGTTATGATGTGACGTTGGCAAAAGAAGCCGAAGCGCCCGACGGCCGCGGTTTCTGGAGAATGGATAGCCCCACGTGAGTCCGCCCCGCGCGTCGTCGTACTCTCCGGGAAGCTGTGTGTCCGTGCTGATGCGACACCGACACGACAGCTACGGTGGTGCTGTTGTAATAGAGCTGAGGACAGCAACACAGCAACTCTCACAAACCTCGCTTTGCATTTACGACTTTCGACTATGGATCACTCTCATATGGATCATGGAGGCATGGATCACGGTGGTCATGGAGGCCACGATATGCCTGGTATGGGCGGTGGACACAAGTGCAACATGAACGTATGTAGCTCCCTCGTTGTACTCGGTATCCTAAGCTATAGCTAACAACTTACTGCTTTGTAGATGCTTTTCACTTGGGATACTAAGGATCTCTGCATTGTTTTCCACGGCTGGCATATCGATGGGACCGCGTCCCTCATCTTCTCCCTCCTTGCGATCGTTCTGATGACCGCCGGATATGAAGCCGTCCGCGAGCTCTCGAGACGATACGATCTATATGCGAAGAGTCTTTCCGAGGGTAGAAGGAGCGGGGATGATCTGACCAGTGAGTCTTCATTTCTTATACATTCAATTAGGGCAGGATCGCGCCTCATGTTGCTTTGCCAAACTTGAGCTGTTGAAGGAACACCGAGCGTGAGCCGCGCGGAAGCTTCAACGTTCAGGAACACACTGGTAGAGCGACTTGGGGACAGTACCAGTCTGTTGTTTTCTTTTTCCCCTTTCCTTACATGTTCATCTTGCTGGAATGAACGCTGAGTCGTGCTGCGCAATGTGAAGACGACGCGACTGAATCAAGCTCATTGCTCAACCCAGGGAGACTCACAGGCAGGCCGAGCGAGCAGCAGACAAAGATCATCAAGGCTATTTTGTATGCGGTCCAAGTGTTTTACTCGTTCTTTATCATGTGAGTACCTTCCCAGGGCGAAGTCCGCCGGATGTCTAGAGGAAGTTGTTGACATTTGAAGGCTGCTGTTCATGACGTATAACGGTTGGGTTATGTTTGCCGTTGCGGTTGGCGCTTTCGTAGGCTATCTGCTGTTCAGCAATTCGTCCCCTACCAAAACAGCTGCCTGTCATTGATTTGATAAAGATATTTTGTGTTGCAAAGCTTTGCTAGTAAGCGAATGAAGATCTTTGGAAGTCGCAAGCGTTGGTCATCAGAAATGGATATGGTAGTCTGAGGAGCGATGTTCTTGGTGTTGTTGCGCGTGGCCGTGAACGAACTAGATGATGAAACGAATGGCAAACAATACGAAGATAGTTCAGTGGTAATCATATATCTTCGCTGGACGACGTCTAGTCTGTGTCTATTTAACTTTAATGTGAATTCTAACCAGTTGCTGCATCTCTAGATGTTCTCCCGGGCTATTCTAAACTCCACTGCAAGAGCTCTAGCGTCAGGTTCGGCAGACAATGGCCCGAGGATAACGGCATCTTGAAATCTCTCTTATTTTGGTTGAGAAAACAAATCCAAAGAATATTTGAACGTCGCTTGATTAATGACCGAGACGATACAGCAAATGACTCAAATTGCTTTTGCGGTGACCGTATAATGGGCGTATTGAACAGGATGTGTTGGGTACGGTAATTCTAGTAGCCGTCCATAGCCAGGACTCGGCGCCACTTTCCATTAGGGGAAGTGCGCGTTGGAGTTGGCCGATGATGGGGGCAGGGGAAGTTCGAGCGACATTGGTTAAGAAAATGTTATGATTATTGTATGGGGTTGGGTTTGCCAGACATCTTATGTGGAGCAAAGTTGGTAATAGACAGAATGAGGTAGGTAGATCGAGCACGCGCGCTGTCAGGTGCGTTCACATGTCAATTGGAAGTCAGATATTGTTCTCTTAGTGTTTTTTGGGGGGGGAAGGCGATTCTCCCCCGGATTTTGGAGGGCAGCCAGTAACTCGGCCTTCGCTCCGGAGGCTCAGCCTGGCGTTGGCCCAGCATGTCCGCATGACGGCGACGAGCATTTCACATGCGGCGTGAGACCGTCAGACGTCCGTGTAGCGCCGCCAACCTACCAGCGTCATTTAGGATTGGCTTGAGGTGGGCCGGTGCATGGTTATTGACCGTGGGTAAGGATAAAAAAAAACAAGGAGGTCGGTCGTACGTTCACAAGATCAAACACCAACATTTGATTGTGGTAACTCTTCTCTCGGTCCATTCCCAAGTGCTGAACTTCAGAAGTGATCCCATTCGCTGGAGCAACCGATCGTTCGTGGACTAGCGTCATTTGTATGGGCCGAGGCATTTGCTTAGAGTGAACTGACTCTGTGCTCATTGTCGCGGAGTAAGAGCAGCCAGCAAGCATAGTACGAGTAGTACATCACCATTCTCCGCCATCCTTTCTCCACGCTACTTAACTCCCCCAGACGCCCTTTCACCCGTCGCCACGCATTCCTTCTTTTTTCTTCATCTCTACTCTCCCCCATCTATCCCTTGCCCTATCCTAAGATACCCCAATACCCTCCTCATCACGTCCACCAACCACCAACATGGCACAACAGAAGGTCATTGTTGTCGGCGCTGGCCGTAAGTCTTTCCATCTACCCCGGATCATGTCAACGGCTTTTCGGCTAACTCTCATATTCAGTCTCCGGTTTGAGCGCTGCTCACACTATCTACCTTAACGGTGGTAACGTTCTGTTGCTTGACAAGAACAGTGCGTATATGCCTTTCCTTGTATTCGTTGCCAATGCGAGTCGGCTAATCGTCAATAGACTTCATGGGAGGCAACTCCACCAAGGCCACATCCGGTATCAACGGTGCCCTCACAAGAACTCAAGTCGACCACAAGATTCAAGACAGCGTCAAGCAATTCTACGATGATACCCTCAAATCTGCACGAGACAAGGCTCGCCCAGATCTCATCAAGGTCCTCACATACAAGTCCGCCGCTGCCGTCGAGTGGCTGCAGGATGTCTTCAACCTTGATTTGACCCTCGTCTCGCGGTTAGGGTAAGTCGATTCGCCTTCAAATTCGCAAATGCGCATCATGTACTGACTGGCCATAGTGGACACTCCTTCCCCCGAACCCACCGTGGTCACGATGCCAAGTTCCCCGGAATGGCCATCACCTACGCTCTGATGCAAAGATATGAGGAATTGGCCGAGTCCGAGCCAGACCGTGTCCAGCTCATCAAGAAGGCCAAGGTCACCAAGGTCAACACCGAGGGCAATGTTGCTACTGGTGTCACATACGTCTTTAATGGCGAGGAAGTCACCGTGGAAGGCCCAGTCATCCTTGCGACCGGTGGCTATGCTGCTGATTTCACAGAGGACTCTCTGTTGAAGAAGCACAGGCCAGACACCTTTGATCTTTCCACCACCAACGGCTCTCACGCCACTGGTGATGGACACAAGATCTTGATGTCCATCGGCGCCCAGGGTATCGACATGGACAAGGTCCAAGTGCATCCCACTGGTCTTGTAGACCCCAAGGATCCCACAGCCAAGACCAAGTTTTTGGCCGCCGAAGGTAAGGCATACCCGATTTCTTTCATCTGCAGCAAATCAACTAACGTTCACTAGCTCTCCGTGGTGAGGGTGGTATCCTTCTGAACAACAAGGGTCAGCGGTTCTGCGATGATCTCGGTCACCGTGATTATGTCTCTGGAAAGATGTGGGAAGAGAAGGAGAAGGGCCAGTGGCCCATCCGACTTGTTCTCAACTCAAAGGCCTCCAACGTTCTCGACTTCCACACAAGGCATTACTCTGGTCGTGGCTTGATGAAGAAGATGACCGGCAAGGAGCTTGCTAAGGAGATTGGCATCAAGCCCGAGGATCTCCAGGCTGAGTTCAAGAGCTACAACGCCATTGCCAAGGGCGAGAAGAAGGACATCTGGGGCAAGAAATACTTCCACAACCTTCCTTTCGACATCGATGACACCTTCCACGTTGCCCACATGGAGCCCGTTCTTCACTTTACCATGGGTGGTATCGAGATCAACGACCAGGCACAGGTTTTGAACGCCGACGGCAAGCCTTTCGAGGGTCTGTTCGTCTGCGGTGAGCTTGCCGGTGGTGTCCACGGTGCTAACCGTCTTGGCGGTTCCTCCCTCCTCGGCTGCGTCGTCTATGGACGTGTTGCAGGTGACTCCTCATCGAAGTACCTCTTCCAGAAGGCTTTGAACAACGCAGGTGGTTCCGCGGTTTCTCGTCTTGGCCAGATCTCCCTCCACATCGATCCCTCGCAGCCAGGCAAGGTTTCCGTAGAATGGGGCAGCGGGGTCGTTTCTTCATCCGGAGGTGAGTCGAAAGTCGCACAACAATCCCAGCAGTCAGCTGCTCCAGTTTTGAAAAAGGACGCGGACTCATCAGACCCCGGAAAGGTATCCAAGCCGAATGAGCCAAAGAAATTCAGCGTTCCCGAGAAGGAGTACACCTTGGAGGAGGTCGCAAAGCACAACAAGAAGGACGACCTGTGGATTGCAGTGAAGGGTGTCGTCATGGATCTGTCGCAGTGGACAGATGAGCACCCAGGTGGCCCTCAAGCTCTTTTCAGCCACATGGGACGGGATGCGACGGAGGAGTTTGAGATGTTGCACGATGACGAAGTGATTCCCAAGTATGCGCCGGAGATCGTTATCGGCAGGGTGAAGGGACAGGAGGTGACATTGGAATACTGAAGTTGATAGACGATTTGATTTATGTACATGTACTTGTAGCCTGTTCTACCGAATGAATTTCAAAAGAATTAAACATCCTTCTTGTTTTAAGTGTCTGGCTTTGTGTACCAATATTAATTGTATATTGAAAAGGGCGACTGTGTCCTGGAGACATTCTTGAGCATGTTTGCATTGCACACAATTGCCCTTTCCGACTGACGAGGCACCTTCGCCTAATGGCCTGACCCCGGTCTAGCCTACCCCCCAAACCCCGGTCGCATCGCATGTAATGTGGGTGCCCCCTTTGAACATTACGCAACGTCTATTCGGTCTGGCCAGCGAAGTACACGACAACTGGCTTCGAAAAATGCTGTGCAAGCTTCTGTTACGACAATCACTCGGACGATGACCGCTTACGACGATTATGGGATGCCCGTCGGAGCATACTCTGGGTCGGAGAGCCTCACCCACCAAGCATATCGAGTCACCCGCGCATTCCTCATGTACAAGATCAAACCTATTGTGGACACAAGATGGAGGGATTTTAGTAGAAGGCCGTGGCACTTGAGATCTCTGCTGAGCTTGGGGAGGATATTGATTGTCATATGGTTTGTCACATTATACTGGGGAGAGCGCTCCGCATACACCGGACATGTTGATTCATGTCGATGGGAGAACTGGGAGAACTGGGTATGGAAAGCCAATTGTACACCCTCCCATGGCGCGCCTACTGACTGTTACGCAGGGAAGCAATGCGAACCCTCATAGACTTATGTTCGTCGCCGACCCTCAACTTGTCGATCCACATACCTACCCTGGCCGACCATGGCCCCTCAATACGCTCACCGTGAAGTTCACCGATCAGTACATGCGCCGAACGTATTCACAATTGCAAACCGTACTGTACCCTGACACTGTGTTCATGTTGGGTGATCTATTCGACGGAGGAAGAGAATGGTCCACGCGTACAAGCCAGAGCCCGGAGAAGCAGTACAGAAAGTACGGTACTGGCTTCTGGTTACGAGAGTACGATCGTTTTGGGAAGATATTCTTCGGCCACTGGCGCGATGGGGGTTTGCTGCCTAGGCCTGGACAGCCGGGAAGAAAGATCATTAGCAGTTTGCCGGGCAATCACGACCTGGGGTTTGGGAAGGGAATCCAGACCAGCGTACGGAAACGTTTCAATGCGTATTTCGGAGACGGAAATCGGATCGATGTCATTGCGAATCACACGTTCGTGTCATTGGACAGCGTGTCGTTGAGTGCGATGGGACAGGAAAATGCAGATGCTATGAAGGACTTATGGGAACCTTCTGCCAAATTTCTGGAGGGCGTGAAGAAGCAAAAGCAACGGCTGGTCCAGGAAGAGCTTCGAACACAGCAAGGCTTGACAAGGAATTTACCCTTTCAACATGGGATTATCGAAGCGAGTGGTCTGGCCAGCGCCCAATTACCCAAGTTCAACGACACGGTTGCTGAGTTCCCTACTGTTTTGTTAAGCCATGTCCCTCTGTACAGGGCCCCGGGTACTCCCTGCGGACCTCAAAGGGAACATTGGCCGCCGACTCCGCCGCCAAAGGGCCAGACCGAGCCGTTGGAGAACGACGACCGCAACGCGATCTCTGTGAGTGGAGGTTATCAGTATCAGAATGTGTTGCACCGCGATATCACAAAAGACGTGGCCGACCAAGTTGGTAGCATTCAATACGCATTCTCCGGCGACGACCACGACTACTGCGAGGTGGTACACCGAGGTTACGCCTCAGGCGGTGGAGGAATCAGAGAGATAACTGTGAAGTCGATATCATGGGCAATGGGTGTACGGCACCCAGGTGTTGTGCTGGCAAGCCTGTGGAACCCTGTTGACGAGCTTGGAAATCCGCTGGAGACAAATGAGCGGACGCTGCAGACGCACCTCTGTCTGCTTCCCGATCAGCTGGGTACTTTCATTCGTTATGCCACACTGTTCGGCCTCACGGTGCTCACATTGAGTATTCGAGCCGCTTTGGTCGCTGCAGGAATAATCACTGCGAAAAGTCAGCCCGCAAGAGATCCTCTACTTCCTGTTACCGAGAAGTCCTCTTCGGCGGAGAACGAGAAAGCCTCGAGTTCTCCCTATCCGACAGAGCCCACACACGAACCCAACAGCTCCAACTCCTCGTCCACCTCCGACCGCGGCAATCTCCAAGTCCGCAATGCAAACACTCGAGCGCGCGACGGGAGTCCCACTCATGGATACGGCCTTCCAACAACACCAGGGAAGTATACATACCCCTTAGTCCAACATGCGGGTTATTTCGGATCTTCCGACGACGAAGAGTCGAATCGAAAACCTGACAAACCATGGGGGACGTCGGGTGCAAAGAGAAGGGTCCCTCCAAAGAAGGGTGCCGCCCTGTTCGCGCATGAGTTTTTGCATAGCATTTTCAAGGTTGGTGGTGTGGTGTTCATTTGGTATTTCTGGCTTATATGGAAATGGTAAACATCCGTATGGATTCTTAAAAACGTGTATTATTCGCTACGCAATGTAAGATCAGCAAGGAGTACAGCATTGGAACCATCAATTGTGTGTTCTGAGACAAAAATAGAGATTTTGCAAGTCAATTCTACCCGCATCGTGTGTCGATCAGGTTCGTTGTCGTGTGCGTGTGATAACCACCACATGGCCACCCCCGCCCCCACCACCAAGCTTCCCCGAGCTCTCGGAAGTCCGCAAGCTTGCCATTCCGAACATCTATCACTCACGACACTACAAAGCTCAATCACAACTACACCTATCTCCGCCTCGAGGGATGTTCCCAACACATTGAACACGAAACGAATGCCTCGCCAATAACCCAGTACCTCCTTTCGCAAGAACCCCAAACTCATCCACACCTTACCTATCTCTTCAAAACAACCATTTAGACAATAGAAACAACCTCACTTAACACCACACCATGGCCCCCTCACCACCACCACCAAGCCAACCCAGCACCGACGACGCCCTCCTCGCCCGCCTAAACGCCCTCAAGAAATCAAGCGTATCCCTCGACACAACCCCCGCACTCTCCGGCACCACACCTTCATCACCACCACAACCACCGTCGTCACAAACCAACGACCTCGCAGCCCGCTTTGCGCGCCTCGGATCCGCGAGTCCCAGCGCCACACCACCGCCCTCTTCAAACAGGCGCGCAGACATAGCAAGTGGACCGCCGACCATAGCGCCCGGCGCATCGAGCTACCTCGAAGGCGTCGCGGAGGGCATTGGTAGCAGCAGTGGCGGGGACGTCGAGTTCAACGAGGAAGACGAGAAGAGTCTCGAGGAGCTTCTTGCGGAACTTGAGATTGGGAGCGGGGGTGGTAATGATGAGTCTACACAGGGTGGGAGTGGGAATGACAGGCCGAGTTGGGATGTCGATGATGGGGAGGAGAGGGATGTGAAGAGTTTGGTTAGGGATATCAGGTCGATATTACCTGATGTTCGGAGGATGAGGGAGGAAGGAACGCAAGAGGTGCGGGAGAGAAAGGGCAAGGTAGAAGGGAAAGGGGAGGGATTGACGGATTGGGAGAACGTGGAGTTTGATGTTGGGGGGAAGGGCGTCAAGGGTGCTGGGGAGCGCAGCGAGGATCATGAGGATGACGATGAGAATGGCGATGGAGATGAGCAGGAAGACGGTAAGAAGAAGTCCGAAGACGAAGAAGCAAACGACGTGATAGCGCGCGTGATGGCCGAACTCGCCATCGCGAAGAAATACGACAACCTCGACGACCCATCTCCTCCCAGCAACGACAATGACGATGAGGAACCCTCCAACCCTCCCACATCCACCAAACCACCAACATCACAATCTCCACCCAAAAACCAACAAGCAGAAGGAAACGACTCCTCCCCCTCCTCCTCAGGAAACACCCCCCTCACCCTCCCCTCCGCCCCAACAACAACCCTCCCCCGCGACTCCCTCACGCAGACCCAATCCCTCGAAGACGCCCTAACCGCCCGCTTCGCCTCGCTCTCCCCATCCCCCCACTCCAACGACCTCACCCTCCCGTCCGCGCCCTCCTTCTCCCCCGCCAAGAAGCCCCCGAAAGTCACCGCGAAGTTCACAGACGAGGAGATCGAGTCCTGGTGCGTCATCTGCAACGACGACGCGACGCTCAAGTGCCTCGGCTGCGACGGCGACTTGTACTGTCGGAACTGCTGGATGGAAGGGCATAGGAGCGAAGGCGCCGGGTATGAGGAGAGGAGGCATAGGGCGGTGGTTTATAGTAAGGATGGGGAGGGCGGCGGCGGGGAGAGGAAGCAGAGGGTTGCTGCGGCGGGTTGAGATGTCGTTGGACTCTTTCGATAGTGGAAATAGCCCCGAGTCCCCGGGGGTATAATTTAATGCAATCAATCGGATTGACAAACCATTCAATTAAGTCTCTACCACGAGACCAATGAAGAAAACGTGCTCTTGTCCGTAGAAAGACACTCGTACTGCACCAACAAAGCATCCATCCATCAATCATTCACCGATACCAATCGCTAGTACCCGTGCATCACTCGAGTCCTTTTGATGTTTGCCGCACACCGCCAGGTACCGCTCTAACGACTTCCAAGAATAACTACCTAAAACAGTGGGGTCTGCACGCGCGCCTAGTAGTTAAGTGCTACAGCCACCACTGCTAGTCGTAAGTAGGTAGGTACTTGTATGATTAGTTCTAGGAAGAGAAATGGAAGAGGTTTCGAGTGGGACGGATTCTGGAAGGTATGGCGTGGGGAGATAAGGGCTCTGACAATCTAGTTTTCTCAGCTTCTTTTTTTTCGCTGGAGGTAGGTTGTTCGAGCACGAGGTAATCATAACCAATGCATATCGATGCTCAATTGCCTGGAATGTTAGGTGTCCCTATCCTAATTCTGCTTCCCATTGCTATGTGTTTCAAGTTTGGAATGATTGCAAAGATCGATGGTCATAATGGTTGGAATAATAGAAATCTTTAGTTTCATTGGCTGGCTTTATCTCATTATATGTAAAGGTATAAAAAGGGAATCTCACGCTCGGGTTTTATAACAAGTGGGAAAAGAGAGACTACACATTGAACAGAGAGGCGCCTCACATGACCTCGCACTTTTTGGGCAATCCACAGGGACCCTCGTCGTCCTTCTCGGACGTCTTCTCCTGGGGACCGGATGCCTCTGTCTTCTTCGCGGCGGCGGGTGCTGCTGCTGCGGAGGAGGTGTCTTGTGTAGTGGCTCCCTCTGTGGCCTGCTTGTCCTGCGCACCATCATGTAGTCACGCGAAGGAGACCTTGGAGACTTGGGAGTAGAAGCCCTTGCCCTGGAGCTCGGCGATCTCGAGCTCGAGAGCGGTGGGCTGGCGGGACCCGTCGCCGGCGGCGAAGGTACCGGCACCCCATGGGGATCCACCGTGGATCTCGGTCAAGTTGGCGAGCTGGGCTGTGATTGACAGTTAATAATTGATCCTCTCTAAAGAGATTGTGTGAAGCTAGAACATACCGAAGGTGTTCTTGTATCCGAGAGGAACGTAGATGATGCCGTGGTGGGCAAGGGTGGACATGGCGGCGATGGCAGTGGACTCCTGGCCACCACCCATGGTGCCGGTGGAGATGAAGACACCAGCGTACTTGCCCCAGTAGGAGCCGTTGGCCCACTGCTTGCCGGTCTTGTCCCAGAAGGTCTTCCACTGGGCGGGGAAGTTACCGTAGCGGGTGGGGATACCGAAGAGGAAAGCATCGTACTCCTCGAGGATGGAGGGGTTGTCGAGGACCTTGACATCAGCGTCCTTTGCGGGTGCGTGCATCTTGGCGAGGACATCCTCGGAGAGGGTCTCGGGGATCCTGAGGGATGTTGTTAGACAACAGGGTACGGAAGATGTGGATTTGGACCAATTGCAATGGACGAGGAAGAGCAATTGGTCGGAATGGTATCAATATACTTACTGGTAGAGGTCGACGCTACCACCGGCAGCCTCAATACCCTTCTTCTCAGCCAAGGCCTGTGATAGCAAAGTCAGCATGAAACGTCTTAACACTTGAAGCGTAAGAGGGGAATGTAGGTAACATTGGCGTTGAGCGGGGTAGCTTGAACCACCGGACCCCTGGGGATGGGACGGTATGCATGTATGGGTGTAATAGATGGGAGGAGGGGAGCTTCCAAGACGGATGTTGAAGGGACCAGGACGTACCAATTGCTTGATGTGGCCGTACATCGAGTAGTAGACGATAGCGATTCTGGGAGCCATGGCTACGGATTGTTGATTTTGGGGGATTGGTTGTGGTAGGAGAGTGAATTGGTGGATTGAGGATGTGGAATGGTCAGGACAATGAGACGGCGAGGATGAGCCTTTTAAACCACATCATGACAGGGTGGAAGGAGGAAGGACAAGCGGTAAACCATGACCATGAGCAGTAAACAGCGGTAATCTTGTTGAGTGGATCGAAATAGCTACCCAGGTGGGCCGAATGGTGTGGAAGGGGGCCATACCGGTAGTCCTGCATGCGTCCATTGTCGAGCAGAATGCAGAGCTACTATGGTTTACTGTATGGCTACTGTACAGTGTATGGCTGCTATGGTATAGCTGGCATAGCTGGCATAGCTGGGTAGAGTAAGAGTAGGTGGAGTAACACTACAGAGTGCAAGGCTGGCTTACATACCTAGTCCCCAATGCGGTTTAGTCCCACCTTTTGTCACCATTGGTAAGAACTCACAAATCCAAATGGTATCGTCCCATCCCATCATCACCAATCTTCACCAATCTTCACCAACCCTCACCATCAATATCGTGTCCCCACGTTGGTGAGGTTGAATAAGCATCTTCCATCTTACCTAGGTAGGTTCTCTCCCCTTTCCCTCCCGGATCTTCCAACATCCCATTCCGAGGATTGGTCAGTCTCGCTCCCTCGCGCCTTCAATCCGTCTCCAGTAGTCTACCCTGCTGCTCTGACGACGGCCAAGACTACTACAACGTGCAACGGCTACCTCGTACTCCGTATCTTTCTGTCTTTCTTTATTTATAAGTGATTATATTCTTCTTCTACGTCTTCCATACGAGATATTCGGCGCAGGTACGACATTCCTGAAGACGACCTTAACTCTTATTTACGACCTATACCACGTCCACATCCCACCTCAGAGAAAAGAACCTTCCCACTCTCCTCCTCCTCATTCCCACTTCCTCACACCTCACACAGCTTAGCTCCCCTCCAAAACACGCTTACACCTCCCAACTCACTGCTTACAAAAGCATTTCGCAGCCAACGGATCTGTGTACCTGCCTCGCCGCTTGCCCCCTTCGGGCCAAACACCCAGCTCGTCGCATCGATCGGCTGCATATCTCCCGCGGGGCAATCCGCCTATTCTTTTCTTCCCTTTCGTCCCCCCCCCCCTTGCCAGTTCTGCAGCTCTCTGCTTCCTCAGCCCATGCACTTCGATTCCTGCGGGTAGGAAACTCAATTGGATTTGGTGCAGGACCAATTGGGATGGGAATGGATCTAGCTAGGTAGTCGTCGACATATGTGTGTGTCTATAATTAATACCAAACGCGCCTGCGACGCAATCGCTCCTTAAGCCCAGCGCTACGTTTTCAACGCAGTAGTTGCTGGTCTTTAGACTTCAACGGCTCAGTCCTCTTCCTCCCTCACTATTTACCACCATGAGCGTCGTCTTCGCAGTGCGACCGGGAGACGAGGAGGCTTGCTGTTGCTAATTGGCTACGCGTGTGGTACCGCAGTGACATACCTACTTTTGATGTTGTCGTCCAAAGCGTGCCTGTGTGTGTGTGCTGATAGCTGAGCTACTTACATGAAGCGGGGCTCCGAACGATGAGGCCATCTGATTACTTACTCGTGGCCTAGGGCAGCTCCACACGCAGCACAACGACACGCGCAACGCAGCACAACGACACGCGCAACGCAGCGCAACACACGCGTTACTGCTGTGCCTGTTCGTTGTTGGTTTGTTGATCAATAATCACTAGTAAACAAACACTGACCATATCACTAGCCGTACAGACGCAGGATTGAGGCGGAACATGGAGATACTGATGTGAATTAGGTATTGATTTGATTGATTGTTTGAATGCTAGCTGCTGCAAAAAATGCCAGTGTCATAATCGAGTTTGCTATGGAAATCTCAAACCATGCCATTGAAACCCGGGTATTCATCCGCCGAAAAAGGAGAAGAAAAAGAAGAAGAAGAAGAAGAAGAAGAAGGTGAGAGAAATCGCTGAAGATGATGATGCAATGCCAATGTTTTGTTTCGGGGGGTTGGGTATCTTTTGTACGTTTTCCTCCGAATTCCAGAATAACTTTTTTTGGTGATTGTTCAAATGCCACGTGAATAAGAAAATCGTGGCAGCTAAAGGCCAGTGGGGTGATCCGATGCCAGGGCCGCCCCCAACGCTTATGCAGTTCGTAATGATATCATCATGAAAGAGTAAAGGTCGTAATACAAAATAGGCTGGATGAATGGTAGAAGAAGGCCATGGCAGTCGCGCGGTACTACCGATGCCTCGTGGTTCAGGTTGAGATCGAAAGCCAGTTTCGTCGCACGCCTGTCAGGAATTCGGCCTCATCAATGCGTTGGAAAGGTCCCTCCTCCTCCTTCTCGTAGAGACCGGTGGATCCGAACGGTCCTTTTCCGCTGGCACTTAGTGTCTGCGGCCAGGCACCCTCGGAAGCGACCTGCGCTAGAGCAAAGTCGCCATGAACAGAATTGAATGAGGGCTCGAAGATGCAGTCGGCGAAGAAAAGTTCGACATAGAGTTCGCGGGGAATGACGCTCTCGGCACGTCGGCGGATCAAGCTGCGTGCTTGTCGGAGCAATTGCTGGAGACCGTCGGTGGCTTCCTGCGTGGATCGACCGTGTTCGTGTCCGCAAAGATGCAGAGCTCGCACCTGGAGGTCGCCGTTGAACCTGACGTTCTCATCCGAAAATAGGTCGGCGCAAACAGATGGGAGCGAGATAGAGAGCGTCTCGAGTCTCGGGCAGCTGCGAAGTACCTCGCACAGGTGTTCGTTCTCGCTCGGGGATCCGGGGTGGGGATGCCAGAAGCCGTCCTGGGAACGAGGGCTGTGCTCGAGCACGCGGAGGGTGTTTCGCGATGCCTTGACGACGGCCATGACGCCATCGATGGAGATGGTCGAGATGCAGGTGAGGTGGAACTCTTCCAGTCGGTTGGCGGTGCGTGCGATGGCGAACAGGTCGTTATCGGTGATTGGCATAAAGTTTGTATCGCCAAAAATCTTCAAGCGGCGAAGTTGACCGAAGTTGACCGACTGGAAGGGCTGCATATCGATTCGGTTCTGAGCGTCGGATGCTTGTTGGGCAGTAGGGTCGACGGACAAAAGCTCGAGAGACTCCAACGGCTTTCCGTTGCCGAGAAGCAGGGTCCGCCAGGACTGGGCATCCATGTGGCGGACGGCAGTCCATGGGATGGAGAGGGAAACGAGATTCTTGCAATTCTTGAGGGCTTCGAAGACGAGAGCATCGGTTTCGGCCGTATAGAAACCATGGAACCACATACGCTTGATCTTAGAAGCGACCTCGGGATACTCATTGAAGGTCCGGACGGTGTGCTTGAGAGAAGCAAATGGGTCGCGGTAAACGGCAGTACCAGTTGGTCGGTCAATCAATTCGTAGAGAGGGTAGTTCTCGCGGCGGTTGGAGAGTTCCGCCCAACGCTAGTTCCTGGTTAGCATTCTTCAAGTTTTCTCGGGTGGCGAATGACTCCTTACCTCTCCACCCTTCCAGCGGCGGATGTAGACGTCCTTGAGAGCGTACCCCAGAGACCATTCGTGCCATTTCCAACATACGAGACGGAGGGCGGAGGTGGCATCCCACTTGAGCATCTCCGGGGGGACAGGTCCTCGAACATATCGGGTCAAGGTCGCACGCTGGAGAGGAAGGGGAGCCTGGCTTAGACCGAAGGTGTAGGTTGGGCCATCTCGTATATTGGCTTTGGCAGTCTCTTCGAGGATCTTTGCAAGGACTTCGTAGGGGAAATCGTTGAGTTGCATTGAATTGATAGCTGAGGGTTAGAAGGTGGAGCTGAGATGATGTAGTAGATGGTGTCAATTGGGTGGTAGTAGGTGGAGCGATGAGCTCCGTCGAGGTGTATGACGAATCGTGGAGTGAATGTTGGTGTTGGTGATGGTGATGGTGACGGTGATGGTGTGAAGAGTCAAGGTGTTGTCGAGTTGAACGTGGATGTGTGTGGTAGGACTGGAGTGATATGTATGGGTCGGTGGCGATATGGGGTGAGTCAAAGTCGTCAAGGTCTTGGAATGGGTGATGAGGTCAGAGGAGTAGGGAAGGGGGAGTGAATGGATATATATATATTGGGATGTGTGTGGTGAGAGTGAGAGTGAGTGAGAGTGTGTGTGGAAGATATATATCTAAATGAGGAAGGCACCCTTCTCCACTTCTTCACCAAAATTTGCAAACAAAGGCGGATCCCAAAATGATACGATGGAACTAGTTCGGTCATTTCCCCAGAACCCAAGCAATGTTCTAACGGAGATGCGAGACGAGAGGATGGTCCAGGTGCTAGAGAGCGGAGCCCGGTGGAGAACTACGAGTTACCTAGAGAGAGAAGCATGGACTAAAAATGTGCAAAAAATGGTCATGCTGATGGTGATGGAAGGAGGATGGCGAGTTACGTTACAGCGAGGTTGTGGAAGTGGCTGTTGTACATCCGGGTACCTGTATGGACCGGGATGAAGTAATAGTAATGGGAATTGGGACTACAAGACTACGAGTATGGTAATAATGAATCAAAGGTACTGGTTTGGGTATGGTATGGTACGATCCGGGACCGGGAAGTAAGGTCACTTGGACAATCGCGATTTGAATTGTAAGGCGAATGTTGAGTACTACACAGTACACAGTACAGAGTAAGAGTCAATCAACGGTGTTAGTTACTGTAGTTAATGGAATAGTTAATAATAGTGGAAAAGGGAAAAGGGAAAAGGGAAAAGAGGAAAAGAAGGTTATGTCGGGAAATACGTGTGCCAAGCTGCGGCGGGAAGACACCCGAGGCGAGCCATGGCCGAACAGTCTCCTAGCAGTCCTTGCACAGGCGTGACAGACCATCCAATGCCTAAACGCCGTCTGACTTGGTGTCAAAGCCAGACGGGTCACATGGTACATTTCTTCAATTCTTTGAGGGTAATGGAAAGCTGTTTTTGACACATCGATTCCTCCTTTCTCCTCTCCAACACTCCAAACTCCGACTTCATGCTGCTTCCTGCTCCCTTCCTTGTCCCTCGTGCTCCATCTCCTTCCAGCCCACTGGTCCATCGTTTTACCCTTTCACCCTCTACTACGGAAGTACTGTGCCTCTTACTTTCTCTTGTTCCCCTTACCGACCTTGACTGGACTGGGGGCTACTAATCGTACTACTGGGGCTGTCGTTATTAGCTGACTTGCAGCTCACAGGGAAAAGTCTGCCTGCCAGTGCCAGTGCCAGTGCCAATGCCAATCCAATTCACCACCTACCACCTACCACCTCACCACCTGGCCATGACCATGGCCATGGCCATCCATTACTCTATTCTATCCTCCTCTCGTCCACCGTAACCGCTGTTGCTTGTCCGCGGCATCCAATAGTGCTTGCCTTCTTGGACTGACTGGCTGGCGTATCGTGTTGGCTTGGCTTGAATTGGATTCGTTCCTTGCTCGTCCCGGATTGCGAAGATGCTCCATCATCTTCCTCATCGCTCACATCAATTTCCACCCACACCACGCGCACCAACCACCATAGTCTCTAAACCTCTTGTCTTCATTGTGTCTCGTCTTGCCATGCCTCGTCTGATCCGGACAGTCCTAAATGAACCAACCTCCATGTGGCTTACCCCAGATATGTGCACTACTCAGGATAATTCTACCACCAACAACTTTCGCACGCACTTCTCACGCATGCAACGATTGGAATTGTGCAACATCAACTGTAGGAGAATCGCAATTCTTCCATCATCTTCAACGTCATCGTCATCATAATCGCCATCACTCTTTGTCTTGTGGTGTCCGTGGCATTGGCACGCTTGCTTCTCACGTCGGGGTCTCACCATATGCGCCTGGTCCTCGGAAATTGAGCATCGTGAGACTGGTACGATGGCGCGACTCGTCGCCATCATTACCTTACAACCCCTCACACCTTTACGCCTGCTCTACCCTTACCCATCCCAGCAGCGACATGGCGAAGGATGTATTTTGTCTGGCACTCGTTTCTTGAATCCTGACCGATCTTTGGCTGCGGGGATATTACGTACTACGGAGAGATGCCTCCTTATGCCATCCCATACGAGCATAGAAAGATGGATATAAATTGTGTGCTGCATGTGCCGTTGCTCCTTGAGTACACAAGTATACATGCACCTGTATACGACAATGACTTTTGTGATACTTACAATTCGATAGGGCACGAGTCCGGGAGCAGTCCCGACTCTTTGCGGTCCTGGACCCGAATTGATGGTTCCGGTCTTGATTTCATCATCGACTACCACCGTTGCGTGACAAACCCCCATTATTGGTGTTGCGAGCACAAGCAGCATCAACGCTGCCAACGACTCAGCAGAGACATGCCTAAAGCAAAAGTCCATTCCCGTAGTCCCCTTCTCCGCAGTCCTTCTCCGCAAGCGGGCGTTGTTAACCATCTGCATGAGACTGGGATGGTCAGCTATTCTGTTACGTTTTGAAACTTCTTCCCCGCCATGTAAGATGCAACAACAAACAAAAGCGACTTCTCTAAACGCTTCTACACGCCAGTCTTTATGCGATGCATCGCGGGAACTACTTTAGCCCATGCGCGAGGAGAGTCGCGCCGTACTGGTCTGGTCCACGTTGCTCGATGAAGCAGGAGCCGCCATGCAAATGACTTAGGCCTATTCCCCTGTGCCGATATTACATTACGACATAGTTGTTCTGGCATTGGTTTCCCGAGCGGCGAACTGGGCTTCGAGAAAAGAGCAAGTTGCAGCCTGAGGGATAACGGGTGCTGATTGATCGATGGATTGATTGCCCGCATGGCAAACATGGCAGCACATCGCATCATATTGAGCAATGTGGCCCTGCAGAACTGCGGGATCCAATCATGGTTCAGGTGGCCTCTCGGGATGCTTGGAAGGGTACCTGATGGGCAGGATCTGTATTTGGGGTCCGGTGCACATCAAAGCTGTTTCCACCTTGCACAGTGCTGAGTGCTGTGTGCACATTGCTCGCCCTTGGTTTCCATGACCTAAGAAAAAAGGGCCCTACCCCGCAAAGATCGGGGGGATCACGAACCCGTACAGATGGTCCGCATCTAGTACGGCTCCCGCTAATCCCTTTGCGGACTAATCCTGCAACTCACGCCAAAGCCGGTAGGAAATGTCGGAGCCGCCTTTTTCTTTTTCCTTCGCTGGAGTACGAGCAGAGCCAGTCACAAACAATAACAGGCCAAATTGGTGATAAAGTACCTAGTCGAGCTACGGGGCACCGAACTTCAAGAGATCGAGGTCACTCGGCATGGCACGTACCTTTTTTTGCTGAGCTGAGCCACCCCTGGCTGGCTGGCCACTTGGTCTCCTTCCCCGGCTATTCTCGCTTCAACATATTTCGTACCAGTCCAGCAACGCCAACGTCAACTAACCTTGGCTTACTTTTCATAAGTCACGAGTCCATCACCATATGACCACGTCGTCTGCTTTTGATGCACTGGCCAACAACACCAGGAGAAGACCAGCTACTGGTGGTGACATGCTCTATTCAGCTTCGCCTCCGTAGTCACCGAGTATCGTGAGGTCTTGGCTATGGTGTGCTTTGCCTTCCACGTCCGACTCATCCGCCGGATTTCACGGAGTCAGTCCCATGAGCACTCCTCAGCCGTGCTAGAACCGAGCGACAGGCGAAATGCAGTCATAACCATTTCCTCCGAGAAATGGACACAACGCAATTGCGACACTTGCATCATTGTCGTGAATGAACACAAATAATCTTTCCATTCGTACCGTCGTGTTCCTCTCGCCTTGCCCATCATTGGTTTCGTCCATCGTTCACAAATTTTTTCAAGCCGCTTCCGACGGAAGTACACGTAACACCAACCACTACCCACCCATGCCATCATCTTAGTAGCATTCCCTTCCAACTACTGTACCTTTTTTTTTCTTACTGCACGCAAACGCGATCCTATTATTAAACCAAACGTTGCCTAAGAAGAAAAACTGCGAGCTAAAACCACCTGGCCTGGGTGGAGTAGCATCGCTTCTAATTTTTTTCGGACTTTAGCAGCAATTTCAAAGGATCTCACGGGACCAACGGGGGGGAATTCGATTATGACAAACCGAATCCGATCTGAAATAATACTTCTTCCTCGAAAAGGAAGCGAGGAAGTAAGAAATAATGCGACGTCCCTAGGACTGCGGGCACGTTTAGACGTTCGGGCGGCCCCGATTCCGCGAGGAGGTTGTTGTCTAGACCGTAGGGTACGAGTTAGGTACGTACCGAAGTTGGTAGAGATGCAACACCACAGAGACAAACCACCTTCTTTTTTCGACTTGGATACTCATCATTTGTACAAATTGGCTGCGTACTATTCGTTGCGATGGAATATGTGTGCACACACCGCTACCTGTTGAGGTAACACCCACTTCTTTTTTTCTTTTCCTTTTCTTCTGCGTGTAGAACTCGTTCATGGTATGTAAATCTACGATAGAAGTAGACGTGGTGAAGAACGTAGCAACCTCCACTATAATACCAAAAAGGTAAATGTCCAGGTAGCCCTAATCTACAAGTACCGTTATACACACACCCTTTCCTGCAACGTATTCCCCAATTGCCTAATTTACTACATCCACATGTGAACGACTCCTTATCAAAACAAAGTATCACAACCTACCCGCGACGGAAGCATATCTTTCATTACACGAAAGATATGCAACCGCCGCTATCATTTAGACATGTAGACGTGTGACAACTGTATCCCGTAAACCTAGATCTCCAAGAAGCACAAGTGTCCAACGTCTCACGAGCGGGACGTGATCAGGCTAGCTACACAAAGCCCCCCAGAGAAGACTTCGATGAAGATAGAGATTGAAGATCACGCAGGTAGTCGTGGGGTCGAGGGCATGCAACCAAGAAGGAGAGGGGGGAACAAATCACGGAAGGCACATTACACAAGCACATAGTAAGACATCGGAGTGGTTGCAGCGTTGCAGACTATTTTCTCTTTTAAAAAATGGGTGTAATAATACTAGTAGGGGTATCTTAAGGATTCTAAAACTCCGTTTGGAAGACCTGGGTGTGAATAGATGTTGCACGCGCGGTGTAGATGGCTCTCTCGTGTCCCCTAAATATCCTCCTCAATATCCAATCTCCCACTCCAATCATGAGCCGAATGCAGTCGATCCTATCTTGACCGCTGAACCTTCAGACTCTCTACGTTGTTGGCGTACGCGAGCAGGCACTTGCAACATGTGAGCGTGTACTTGCAGGCGCGGGTCCACAGCTCCTCCTTGTTCATCGCCAGTTTGATGCTCTGGTCGTGGATTTTGTCCTTCTTGATCTCGTACGGCATCTTGATGGCGCCTAGGCCGGGGCTGCCGTGCGCAGCGGGGGCCGGGGAGTTCTCTACGAACTCGCCGAGCTGGCGGAGGCATTCGAGGAATGCGACCATGGCTGTGTCGAACTTTCGGTGGAGGAAGCCGAAGTTGATGGGGAAGTCGCCCGAGGAGTAGAGCTCGAGTCTTTGTCGGGTGACGGCTGCGCCGGTTTGCGTGGAGGTGGCGCCGCTGCGGTCATTGCTTGTGCCTTTGGTTTCGAGCTTCAGGATGGTTGAGTTGGAGCCCATGGGGCAGAGCTCGTAGCCTTCGAATTTGAAACCCAGGCGATCGGCAAGCGTCGCGACTAGGAGACAAGTTTGGCCCCATGCTGCGTTGATCTCGGGCCAGTCGACGTATGGTGATGGCAAACGACCGAGACGTAGTCCGTTGATCGTGGCGAAGTGATTGTCATGGGTGATGTTGAAGGTATCATTGTATACGCTTCGTCGTTGGAGCTGTGTTAGTATTTGTGCATCGTGAGCGTGCTTGGTCGTCAGCGCATCACGTTCGTTTTGAAAGCTAGACAGCTCTGTAGCAAACTTGTTCCTGTTCCGCCAGAAGAGAGCTTCCTCTTTGTCAAGTTCTCGTGCTTCTGCCTCTAACGCAGCCATCTGGGAATCCAGCTCCGCCTTCTCGGCTTCCATCTTTTCAAGATTGGCAATCGCTTCCGCCTCGCTCTTTTTCGCCGCTTTCAGTTGGGATTCTGCTGTCTTGATCTCTTCTGCGCTGGGTACGTCGGTATTCGCACGACGCAAGTAATCCACATATGCGTCACGCTCGCGGGTAGCAACAGTGAGACGTTTCTGCAAGCCATCCACAAGCAGTTCTGTACACTCCACGCAGATCGGGTGATCGATATCGGAGCGAGCGGAGAGGATTTCGAACATGCGGTTGGTCGTTTCCATTCCGTCAGACATCTTGCCTGCTGATGAAGCTCCCGAAGTCCCTATTGCGCTGGCACGTCTTGTAGTTTCCGTCCCGTTCGACTCTCCTTCCTCCGGCACGGGCTGGCGTTCGGGACTGCGGACACTTCCTGTTGAGGGCGGTGGCGTATCCAACATTGATTCAGACATATGCACATTGACGAAGGACATTGCAGGGTTATGTCCTCCATGTTGACTGAAGCGCGGAGAGGGAACGTTGCGTTTGAAGGTCGGATTTCTTGCATTCTGTATGGCAGCATCGTAGGTTTGATGGCGAGCGGAGGGATAGGCCGGGCGTGACTGGCGAGTGGAGCTGGAAGCAGACTGCTGCTGGCCAGGTACGGTAGAGTCTATGTAAGTTAGAATGAGCAGTATAAGTTTTACGGATGAGTTATATATACCTGTAAGGAGCTTGAATGCGGCGGGGTTGAGTTGGTCAACGGAGGCATCGATGTCGATAGGGACGCGGCATTTCTGGCAAAACAGCTTTGATGCTGTTGTTTTATCGTTAGCCATGATGTATGATACTGAATGTCTTCATTCCAACGGTGAAGGAAACTGTGCTGCAGTACGGCGAGTTATTCAGTATCTAGGTAGGTAGTTATGACATCCAGGTAGTGGGTTTGGTGAAGCGCACGGACCACATGCATGCAACAAGCATGACCGGGTTGATGCTCGTGGTTCGGAGGTGTCGCGGGGAAGCTGCACCCGAGTCGCGTCCCAACCTCTTTCGCGTCTAATTGATATTATTATTGAGAACTGCTCTGAGAAACAACCCCTCCACCATTGCGAACCACACCACATCGCATCTACCCGACGACTCATCTTGCCCGACCTCTGGGCTTCCTCCCAGTATGGAGCCTCTTGCGAAACGCTTGCGCCGCCACAGTTCCCTCGAAGTCGACGAGAGTAACCCTGACTATGTTCGCGAGAAGCGCAAAGCCGAGGCGAGGCTCAAGAGCCAGTTTGAGAGCATTTTTGCGAAATACGAGAACATGCCGGAGTCTATGAGTGATGAGATAGACATGCAAACAGGCACGATTGTTGTGGATAGGGGGCATCTTAGGAGTTTAGAGAACAATGCGAAGGGTTGGAGAGCGGCGCAATTTCTGGATGACCTACTCCCTGGAGATTCCGAACAGGGGGAAAGCATCATTGAGGATTCTGAGGATGAATTGGCACCCCCGATATCTGCGAAGACCCCAAAAGCCAACAACGCTCGCAAAGAGAACGAAAGCCATGAAGTTGCGGAAACAGACCCCACAGAGACAGATACTTCGGCTCGAATCACGGAAAATACAACACCGTCTATATCGAATCAATCCACGCAGATACCGACCTCGGTCAATCCTTTTCAAGCCCTACCTTTCGCTCAATTTCCACAAACACCCTTGATTCAAAATGCCCAAAATACCTTTCTCGCAGGCCTCAACCAAGTAATTTCACAAGCCGTTTCGCAATACACATCCCACGCCCTTTCCAACTACTTTAAAGACCCTACCGCTACCGCTTCCGCAGCCGTTCAATCTACTGTAACGCCTGCTACTGAGCCCACTTGGTGGTTTCCATCCCTTCCAAACCGGGCGCCGCAACGTGAGCTGCCCAGGTCCAGCCCGATCATTGCTGTTACAGAGACTCGTAAACGACGAGAGGGATTCTCTAGGACCACACAGACTGGAACACTAAAGCGCCGGTCGCATCCGCCTGTAGAAGTCCATGAGGCATCCAAGGATACAGTCAACAGGGTGGAGGCCAGACAAGATGAGAGCGAACAATCAACCACACCCGTGGACACCAACTTAGAAGACTTTGATCGTACCCCAAAGCAGGCTAAGAAAGGGAACTATCGCTTGTATAAGTTTACCGACGCCGATGACGGTTATATTGCTAGGCAAAAGGAGCTCAATCAATCTTGGGCCCGGATCCAGATGGGGCGACCTTCATTTCAATGCCTTCCTCTCTGGTATATCCAACAACATTACTACAAAGTTATCAAACACAAGAAACCTACGACCTCTTCGAATGCATGGGATGATACTATGGATTCCCATTTGGTCCAAGAGCCGGTAGATGAACCGGATGATCAACTACCGCAACTTAATGTGAAGCAACACCAACTTCTCACGCCAAATTCTGTCCAGCAGGCTGAAGTCCACATACACAGCGCCATACACTCTGGCGAAGGGGATACCAGTAGACACGCGACCCTGGACGATGAAGTCATGGATCAAGAGGACTTGGAATTGCTATCATTAGCGAACAACAGCCCACCACCGGAGAACTTCGAAATTGAAGACATCGAATTGGCCCCTGATGAAATTGTACTTCCTTCGATTGAGTTGGAAGCGTTGATGAACGATGATCATGATGAAACAACGTCGTCTATTATTGCGTTCGAGGCGCAAGCTCAAATCCTTAATGAAGCCCTGATAGATCCAAATGGCAAGGACGACTTGGCCGCCGACGATATGGCTACAGATCAACGACTCCCATCGGAAGTGATATTGGACGACGGTGTCCAGCCACCCAATGACGGAACACCGGTTGCTTTGAACGACCTTGATCATCACGAGGTCGAATCCTCGCCTATACGATCAAACGCATGCGAAGGTTGCGGGAAATCCTTCCGAAGCCTGGTCATGTTGCAGAGGCACAAAAAGAAGCACAGCAAATGCTGCAGAGACGTAGGTCCAGCGCGAAACGGAATCGACGGCCTGGAACTACTTCCTCTCGAAACAGACAAACCAGATGAACTAGATGCACCTCACACACCGATCGTTAAACGCGAACCCCTATCACCCGGCTCATCTTCCATTTTCGCTGGACATTTGTTCAGTACACCCAAATCTGCACCTCAATCCGTGCGCAAGTCATCAGAGAAGAAGTCGTCAGCAAAGTTGGGGACTGCCGAAAGACTCAAGATCCGGCAGTCATGGGCAAAGGCTGGGCGGAAATCTGGCGTACGGCCCCAGCGTAGCTTCCAAGTCTTACAGAAAAGGAAGTATCGGGAGGAAACAGACGAACAGGACGAACTAGCATAATGTGGAGATCGCTTCTTCCAATGTTGCCCTGGTAGAGCTGCAATTCTTCATTACATAGCGAATTAAATACCCAATTTTGCGAGTACATACTGGTCAATTGATGAACATCGACACAAATCTGTCAGCTATTAACACAGAATAACATAATGGAGAAAAGTAATGACAATCATTCGCTACCTACACATATATAAAACCCATGGTAAACCCGACCCTGAAACCACTTCCACTCAACTCGACTAGTCCCCGCCTGAAACATTTCAGCGAAGAGGGAAGATTTGGAAATGGCATTTCTTAGATACTCCACATACACACACAGAAACCAGACTAGACATATGATAAAAAAAGTGAAACTTATATACAGGTACCGAGAACTCCCTCATGTCAGGCGAATCACATCCCAGTATACTTGTAATTTGTTTTGTCTTCCCGCACAATCTCCTATCCGTTCCGTTTAACCTTTCACATCATCCCATAACTTCTAACCTGAATCCGCTTTCCTTACTGATAATTTCGAAGTTGAATGGGACGGTCGACGGGTTTAGCTTGGATCCATATCTTACAATGGCCTGCCACCGACGAAGTCGCTCCACGAGCGGACCTCGCTGGGGATGCCCTCGGCGAGAGGAAGCTTCTCGCTCATACACTGTGCGAAGAGGACAGCGGTCTAAAAAGCAATTAGTCATTATACTTTGATCATTCAACGCATGGTAGATATCTTACCTTAGGCTCCATGAAGAGCGGGACGCCGAAGTCCACAGCATTCCTGCGCATAACGTAGTCCTCATCCAAGAGGCCGTTGGCCCTGAACTTGGCCAAGTTGAAGCATCCACGGATGTCGTATTTCTCGAAGACTTCGCGGAGAGCCCTCTTGTCTTCCTTGGGGAACTCAATGACGTCGACTGAGATTCCCTCGGTCTTCTCGAGCAAATTCTTGATGTCCTTGTTGGCGGCGAAGAACTTGTAGCCGAGTGGCTGAACGTATTTGGCGATCTGGACGAGAGCCTGGGAGTTGACGTCACCGCCGAAGAGGAGACCCTCACCGGGCTGGGGAAGGCGGAAGTTCATGGTGGACTGGACGGAAGTCCAGTATGCGTCAACGAGATCCTTGCCGAAGCAGGCCATCTCACCAGTGGAAGCCATCTCCACACCGAGGAAAGGATCAGCACCAGCCAACCTGGTCCAGGAGAACTGGGGAACCTTGGTGGCGAGGTAATCCCTCTTCTCAGCCATGAGATCAACGGGCTCGGGAACATCACGGCCAACAAGAGCCTTGGTGGCAACGTCGATGAAGTTGGTTCCGAGGACCTTGCTGACGAAGGGGAAGGAGCGAGAGGCACGGAGATTGCACTCGATGACCTTGAGCGCGGGCTCGCCTCCCTCGGGATCATCTGCCTTGATGATCTGCATGTTGAAGGGACCGGTGATGTTCCAGGCCTTGGCGACCTTCTCTGCGATGGTCTTCACCCTCTCCTTGATGCTCTCGTCGAGAGAGTGGGGAGGGAGAACGAGAGTGGCATCTCCAGAGTGGACACCAGCATTCTCAACGTGCTCGCTGACGGCGTGAACAAGCAGGTTACCGTTAGAAGCAACACCATCGCAGTCAATCTCCTGGGCACCCTCAATGTATTGGGTGATGACGACAGGGTGGTCGGGTGACACATCAGAAGCAGCAGTGAGCTTCTCCTTGAGTTCGTCCTCACCGCGGATGACGGTCATGGCGGCACCAGAAAGGACGTAAGAGGGTCGGACGAGGACTGGGTAACCAACGGATCGAGCGAATTTCTGAGCTTCCTCGTAGGAGGTAAGCTCCTTCCAGGCTGGCTGGTCCACACCAATCGAGTCGAGGATGGAAGAGAACTTGTGACGATCCTCGGCCTTGTCGATATCCTGGGGATCGGTTCCGAGGACCTTGGCCTTTCCAGATTCCTGGAGCTTGAGAGCGATGTTCTGGGGCAGTTGACCTCCGACGGACACGACGACTCCGCTGGCGGTCTCGAGCTCGTAGATGTCCATAACTCGCTCGTAGCTGAGCTCTTCGAAGTAGAGTTTGTCGGCAACATCGAAGTCAGTGCTGTACGTCTCGGGGTTGTCTACACATAAGTCAGTAAAGTTCAAAATGATCAGTACCTCAAATCTTCGGCCAGCGGCGGAAGCTTGAAGATGGACATACACTATAAACAAGTTAGCAAATTGACAATATCAACAACTCATAGAGACATCAATCTTACGTTGATCATTACGGTCTTCTTTCCGAGCTTGTTCAGGGACATGGTGGCATTGACCGCACACCAATCGAACTCGACTGAGCTTCCAATTCGGTACACACCGCTTCCGAGGACCAAGACACCATGGTCATCGAAAGTGACATCGTGGGAGGAAGCATTGTAGGTAGTCTGGCGCAATTTATTAGCGATTTGAACAGGTGACAGTGCACTATCAAGTACGATCCAAGAAGAATGCGCGAATGGGCTGTGTTCGGGATCGATGCGCAAATAACGCAGCCACCCACGAAGCCCAAATCAAACCCTGGGGTACTTCAAGGAATATTGAAGAGAAAAAATTAAAACACTGAAGTATGGTGTGGTTCCATTGAGTGGTGTGTGAGTGCTTGGCGCCCACCCACTCACACAGTGTGCCCACATCGACCACCAAAAGATCGTGAAAGTTGTCCAAAAATTTGAAGAAGTAGAAAATAGGGAATGGAAATGAAACTCACGTAAAGATAATTGGTCTAGAAATCAATTAGCAGAGTTTCAAAAATAGGGCTGGATGTACTCACTTCGGCCGGGAACTCAGCAGCAAGAGTATCAATTCGCTTCACCCATGGCCTGATACCGAAGCTCTTCCTGCGAGCGCGGACTTCGTCTTCGGTGCTGTTGACGGCCTTTGCGATCTGTTTGTCAGAGAAACCGAGCTTCTTAGCCTTGAGAATGATCTCCTTCTTTAATCCGAAAAGGCTGCCAATCTCTTCAAGCTCATGTGTGCAGTCAACAATGTTCTGTAGCTTGTGGAGGAACCACTTGTCGATCTTGGTGAGATCGTGAACCTTGTCAACAGAGTATCCCTCGTGGAACATAGCCTGGCCAACAGCGAGCCATCGGCGATCGGTTGGGTTCCTGAGTGTGTCGTCCAAATCCTCGAACTTATCGCCCTGGAAACCCAAGAACTTGGGGTCGACCTGTCGGCAAGCTTTCTGGAAAGACTCCTCAAAGGTCCTTCCGATGGCCATAACCTCACCAACAGACTTCATGGAACTGCCAATGTCGCGCTTGACATTTTGGAACTTGCTAAGATCCCATCGAGGCATCTTGGTAACGACGTAATCCAAACTGGGCTCGAAATTGGCGGTAGTGGTCTTGGTGACAGCATTTGGAAGCTCGGGCAGAGTGTGTCCAAGACCAATCTTCGCAGCGGTATACGCAAGAGGGTATCCAGTAGCCTTGGATGCCAAAGCGGAAGAACGGGAGAGACGGGCGTTGACCTCAATGACCCTGTAGTCAAGACCATCAGGCTGGAGCGCATATTGGACGTTGCACTCTCCAACAACACCCAAATGACGAACAATCTTGATCGAGGCAGAACGAAGCATGTGGTATTCCTCGTCGCTGAATGTCTGACTGGGAGATACGACAATACTGTCACCAGTGTGGACACCAAGAGGGTCGAAGTTCTCCATGTTGCAGACAGTAATGCAGTTGTCAGCAGCGTCACGGACGACCTCGTACTCAGCCTCCTTCCAGCCCTTGAGAGACTTCTCAACCAGGATTTGGGGCGAAAGGGTCAGGGACCGAGCGGCCAAGTTCTTGAGTTCTTCGGGGTTGTTTGCGAAACCGGAACCGAGACCACCAAGGGCATATGCAGCACGCACAATGATGGGGTATCCGACCTTCTCAGCAGCATCGAGAGCTTCGTCGAGAGAAGAAACGGCGATAGACTTGGCAATTGGAATGTCGATCTCATCCAGAGCGCGGGCAAAAAGATCACGGTCCTCGCTGGTCTCGAGGGTCTTGACGCTGGTTCCCAACACTTTCACGTTGTACTTCTCGAAGAGGCCCAGTCTGTTCATGTTCACACCCAAATTCAGGGCAGTCTGTCCACCGAAGCTGAGGAAGATGCCATCGGGCTTCTCCTTCTGGATAACATATTCGACGTATTGAGGGGTTACGGGTAGATAGTAGATTTCGTCGGCAAGCACGTGCGAGGTTTGGATGGTTGCAATGTTGGGGTTGATAAGGACAGATTTAACACCAGCCTCTTTCAAGGCTTTCAGAGCTTGCGAGCCTACCCAATATATCAATATCGGAGTCATTTTCTTTCAACAAAGTGGAGAAATGCGAATCTTACCAGAGTAGTCAAACTCTCCCGCCTGTCCAATGCTGAGACCACCACTACCAATGACTAGCACTTTCTTGACATCTACAAGGTCCTTAGCAGTGGGCACGGCGCCACTGTTCATGTATGCTTTTGCATCTGGCGCCTCTTGAGTCTTATTCAAGGACGCAGAGATCTTTGTGAAAGCTCGAAGCTGGCGATAAGCAGCTGGTGACTCATGGCTACTTCGCAGCGCAGCAATCGGCTTTACGGCTCGCGATGTGAAATGCCTGGACGCGATCGAGGGAGCAACAGAACGAAGCTGTCCCGTAAGTGCCGGCGCGCGACGTGCCAGACGCCCGCAGAGAGCCATATCTAATGGTCTGAAAGCCTAAGAGCTTTACGAACTCGAAAGGGCAGCAATCGTTGAGGGCGATTGTAGGCGTCTGGCGGCGGGCTGAAGGGCCAAAGATGGAATGAGGGGAGCAATTGGAGACTTGCTGAAGCTGGAGACGAGTAGATCAAGTATAAGAGTGACTGTCGAGAAAATTATTGACTCTATCGCGGGGCGCGGTGAAGCTGCACCTCCGGCTGGACAACTTTTCGATTGGCCAATGGCAGAGCAGCCGATCTTCGCTTGGGAGTGCTGGCTTGGGTCTGGCGTCGATGATAACACACCTAAAGCGCACACCGCCCGCTAATTGCAAGATCTACACAGATCTGTGAACAGTCATACCTGGCATTGGGCAAACATCAACAATGGCCAGGAGAAATGGTACGATTCCTGCCATTACTATAGTATTACTATGTTATAACTACGATTCGTGGGGAGATTCCCGTGATATCAGCATTGTTTTGCAATGCCCTCAATATCATATACAGTTCGGTGGCCTCTCCCACCAAGAGATTATCCATTCAATAATCGTGGCTATCATCGGGAACCCGACCGATGACCGGCGAGTCACAAAAAAAACTATCTCCCACAAGAAATTTCTGTGCCTGTTTTCTCCACGCAATGCGAACTGCGCCGTTGCATCATTGGCGTCCCAGTTCGGTAGATCCTCTAGTAGTTTAGCCGTTTGTGTCATTTCCCATGGGTGCTCCTCAAACTTCATGACCAAATTCAGATAATAATAAGAGTGGGGACAATGATTGGCAAAGTTTTTTGAGTAATGCATGACTCCTAACTTTATCACTATTGTTGATTGCAACGCTGGGTATGCCCTCCTCTATGCTCCTTTCTTGAGCTTATCTGCAGCATTGTGTCTGCTCTTGTATTCTCGTGGACTCTCTGGTGCTTTTGCACTTTCTCCACGCAGCCTTCCTAGCAAAGAGGGCTTCGACCACATGCCGACATGATTTGCTTTTGCTTTTTGTTCGGCATCCCGATAGATCTGCTCCGACTTTCCAAATTCAGATCCTGTCTTTGCTTCATAGACAGTCGCCAATCCTTGTTTCAGCATCTCCAATCCAACGTCCTTTTGGACGAACCATTTCCTGATAAACACTTGCGCCACCACTCTGCCGTATTGATCACGTCTGTAGATATAGGCTCGAACTCGTCGATTGTGAATATACTGGGTTAACCAGTCATATGCCTCTTTGGAAAATGGCTGCGCTTCTCGACCCCAGTGCGCTAGCTCTGGTGCGTCAACTCCTGCGATGCGGATGTGTATCTATATAGTCACGTTAGCATCCGCATGCGAAACAATTCAATGAATATGTCACAACGTGCATCTATTCAGCTATGATCAAAAACTTACGGTTTTATTGGTCAAACCTTCCCTCGTGGTAGGTACCCTTTTCCAGGGGAGCCAACCCCAACCACTCAACCGTCCACCTGGCGTGTGGAAGAGACGGAAATTATCTGCATCTCCAACTGAACTGACTTGGCCGAACAAGCTTCGTCGACGAAAGTAATCCGGTTTGATATGATTGACGCTTGGAATGCGTCTCAAATATGATTTGTAGATACGCAATGCGGAGAGAGATGTCACCGTGAAGACGATCGAGGGAACGAGGGCCCCCGGTCCCGTGAACGTATCCCAAGACCACTTCGACGTGTCAAGTAAATCGGCCCACGAGGACGGCTCGGACCGTGTCTTGTCATTGTCGTCGCCAGACCAGGGCCATCGCATTGTTGGTGCTGCAAATGGCAGTGTTGTTTTGAGGTGTCAACGATGTCGCAACGCGGGCGGTGTAAACTTCTCCACGTTCTCCAGTCGTTTGGAGCGCACAGACGACGTCATGCAATCACGTGGGGTCGTGACTATGTAAAACTGCAGAAATCCTATGACCAGCTGGATTAAATATTGAGTTTATAATCAAACAGGTCCTTGATATTCAGAATAGCCAACGTTTCTAAAGCTTGGTGGCTCGGATCTCGTTTTTTGCGCAACGTATCGGCACGTACATACATACATTAGAAGCTACGGGCACCTAAGTACCTTGTAGATAAAAGAGCCAATATAGTCATCTATGTACCCAAAGGCATGCAGTCTCTGGCTTGCAACCAACGTCATGGAAATATGTTCAGCCTCCGAAAGCTTCCTGATACGAAATGACTATCTGAAGAGATATTGCCCATGAGCCCGACGTTCCCAATGTCTATAGATTCCCCCTGTATCCCATTCTAATCCACGTATTACATCGTACTATGTATATATTTCGAGGATGATAAGATGGATATCTATTGTGTGGTCGTTACATGTTGTGAAATCTGAAAGCTGCATAACAGTACGATTTCTGATGGAATCTGCAATTACGACGAGGTTGGTGATTGCGAACGTCTCGCATCCTAATGGTCATCAGTCAGGATTTCAAACAGATTGAAATCAAGGGTTTGATACTTACGGGATCCGTGAGATATGTTCGTATCCTACTATCTAACTCTCTTCGCCTGCTGTTACATCCGTTGAAGAAGTAGCAGGCAATCTCCATTGGTGGACCAGGTATGTCATGATGGCTTCATAATAAACCGCTTTCACGCAGAATTAGTTCGGTTAGTGTATACAATGAAGGATAAGTGTTGCAAGAGACCCTAAGGATGCAACAAATACGAAGCTAGAGCATATCCTGCTCTTGCGACATGGTGCTGAGAGTCCAGTCGCGGAGGCCGCTGAGTGCCGGTTGAGAACAGTTCCGAGGTGCAGGTTTTGATTTTTGACAAGATACACACTGCTCCAATCACCATGACCAATTTTTGGAATGGAAAATGCCCCGGCGTGCGTTTGATTGAATCATGGCCAGACAACATAGGACGATGGAGGTTGACGGTTAGGGTGGCACGAGCCATCGGATGTGTCGAATCTGGTATAGTAAGTTTCTGCCCTCAGACTTCGACAGATCTTGAGGGGCGCACCCGATTGCTCAACCATCACGACATCAGCCATCAGAAATCAGAACGTCTTATGCTTCAAAGCATTGAGGTCGGACCTTCCTTTATGCCAAATGTATTGATATAGAGGCGGGTGGCCTGTTTCATTTTCTACTATTTCTTTGCGCGCCTGCGCAAGGTGGATGGTCTATGCCAATCGAGGAAGATCGCCATCTATCTCCATCATGTACTCAACGCTTGCTGCCGCCAACGATGCCGACGCGCTCGACGATAGCCCGTTCTTGTTCGATCAGGCGCACGATGATATTCTGTCGATGTCTCACGATGCGCATCTGAAGACTTCAGGTGGTCCTCACGCGATATCCATGCCGGGGCTTAGTAACATGATCTATGGACAATATAGCGAATCTACACCATCTTCGGTTCACTTCGGAGACGCTCATGAGGCGTCAGAAGCAAGTGCTAGAGAGGATCGAGATGGATCTTTGTCTAGTGAATTCGCAATTGGGCAAGAACATAACCATGTACCTTCCCCATTGCATTATCAGCAACCCTCCCTGAACTCGTATCCGAACGGAAAGCCAGTAAAGATCGAATCATCCAAAAACATCATTGCAACATCTCTTCCGAATGTGCATGTCAATGGCGCTGTTAGTTCTGATGATACACGGCCATCACATTTGAGCAACGGCAATGTAACTGAGAAAAGCTCATTGAATCAAATATCAGCCACCTCTAGCGCTGCGCCGCCACCGAAGTCAACGGCGGAAAAGATAGTCAATCCCGCGAAGACAAAATCCTCAGATTTCAAGGCGAATGCATCGATACCGCCGGCGATGTCGTGGGAAGAGTTCGCTCGACAATCAATACTTGCGGCACAGAGCTCACGATTGAACCCTTTCTCCCTGCATCCAGAGGAATACAAACTTCTCAGAAATCATATCACCATTCCGCAAGTTACCATCTATCTCAATATCAGGAATGCAATTTTAAGACTGTGGACACGAAATCCTCTTGTGTATGTCAGTCTGGAGGAAGCTGCGGGCTGCGCGAGAGAGAAACGCTATTTTGATCTTGCGAAGATCGCCTACCTTTGGCTGATGAGAAATGGCTATATAAACTTTGGCTGTGTCGAGGTGCCCAAAATCGTGAATAGCACCCCACGGAATAAGGCAAAGGCGCAGCGGACTATTGTGGTTGTTGGAGCAGGCATGTCTGGCCTGGGATGCGCCCGACACCTGGAAGCACTATTCGCACAGCTGGGCGACCAGTGGACAAATGCCGGTGAACGACCGCCAAGAGTCATCATTCTCGAAGCTCGACCTCGGGTCGGTGGTCGCGTGTACTCACATCCTCTACATGGCCAAAAGTCGGATGTAATACCCAGAGGGCACAGATGCACTGCTGAAATGGGAGCTCAAATCATCACAGGCTTTGAGCATGGCAATCCCTTGAATGCTATCATTCGAGGACAGCTCGGAATTCCCTATCACGGTTTGCGCGACAACACGGTTCTGTACGATCACGATGGATCCATTGTAAATCGGGGCCAAGATATGCGGGTAGAGAAACTGTACAATGACGTTTTAGAACGAGCGAGCGTATACCGCAAGAGGCCAGAGAGCTATCGCACAGTAGAGGGAGATCGCAATCTCATACTGATCGGACGAGATCCCAGCGATAGCGGCGGGCCGACTATTGCTTCATTAGAAAAGTCGAACACGCCTCTACCAGTTGATGTCAACACGAAGGCATCAACGACAGAGGAGAAGCCGTCCGCTGGAGTAGAAAACATCGGAGGAAGAGCATACCAACTCGTGGCAGGCTACAATCCCAACAACACAGCTGTCAAATCAGCGATAAGAATGGGCTGGCAGGCTCTTCCCAATGTGCAGGTTGGTCAGACTCTGGATCTCTATGGAGCTGCAAATTCGTACATATACCCGACGCTTGGGAAAACCATGGATGACGGCATCAAACAGTACCAAAAACTCATCAACTTGAGACCAAAGGACCTGCGTCTCTTGAACTGGCACCATGCGAACCTTGAGTATGCAAATGCAGCGAGCGTGAATCAGCTCAGCCTCAGCGGCTGGGATCAGGACATTGGAAATGAGTTTGAGGGAGAACACACAGAAATAATTGGAGGTTATCAACAAGTGCCCCGCGGGCTGTGGCAATGTCCAGAAAGAATGGATGTAAGGTTCAAGTCCCCAATCAAGTCAGTGCATTACGATGCCCAGGAGCAACGAGTTGGGAAAGCAGTGAGAGTGGAGTGTGCCAATGGTGAGACCATAGAGGCAGACCGCGTGGTGCTTACCACGCCCCTTGGTGTATTGAAATCTGGCTCGATCAACTTCCAGCCTCCACTGCCTGACTGGAAACAAGGTGTTATCGAGCGCATGGGTTTCGGTCTGCTCAACAAGGTGCGTTTTAAGTGAAGAAATGATGCACTGCAAAGGCTAACAAATCACCAGGTCATTCTTGTTTATGAAAAGCCATTTTGGGAGCCGGAGCGTGATATGTTCGGGCTACTCAATGACTCAGAGCAACCCGAGAGCCTCAATCCTGAGGATTACGCTTCAGGTCGAGGTCGTTTCTACCTTTTCTGGAATCGGATCAAAACGAGTGGAAGGCCAATGCTCGTTGCACTCATGGCAGGAGAAGCCGCACACTATGCAGAAGCCAACTCTGATGAAGATCTCGTTAGGGAGGTTACCGAGCGGTTGACCAGAATATTTGCGCCTGATGCAGTGCCGGCCCCGGTAGAGACCATCGTGACCCGGTGGCGGAGAGATCCTTACACATGCGGCAGCTATTCATATGTTGCGGCGGAAACACAAGCTGGCGATTATGATGTCATGGCCAAACCCCATGGGCCCCTACATTTTGCTGGTGAAGCGACTTGTGGCACGCATCCGGCCACCGTCCATGGCGCTTATCTGTCGGGACTTCGAGCCGCAGCAGAAGTGGTGGAAGCCATGATCGGCCCCATCCAGGTTCCAAGCCCGCTTATAGAGAAGAAGATCAAAGCAGAACATTCAGTGACTACACCGGACTGGAAACCGAAAGAGACACCTGCATCGGCTCGTGGGACACCCAACCATCTGAATGGCACAGGGGCTAGATCTCGCGACGAGGATTATGAGGCATCTATCATTGGCGCTATTGTTAGCGAGCTGGGCGATCGGCCTGTGAAGCCTGGCCGCGGAGGAGTGAACCCATTTCTCTTGTTTACCAAGGACCACTGGCACACGTGCAAGAAGCAATGCGACGAGAGACGACAGAGGTCGACCAAGGATGCAAACGCAAAGGCATCCAAGACGGAGATTCGCACTGCCCTGGGGTTGAAATGGCGGACTGCCGACCCAGAGATCAAGAAGCCTTATCTCGACCAGACGCAGACGGCCAAAGAGGATGCGATAGCGAACGCAGCGCTGTTTAATGAGCGGGTAGCGGCATACGACCGCGAGGCCTCGCGGATTCGAAATGAGTACATCCACGACCACCCCGCCACCGAGGGCATCAACGAAGATCTGATGACGATTGGTCGATCATCTATGGAAAATCGAGACCAGCGCCTTCGGAGGATCTAATCCCTATACGATACCCCTTTCCTTTTCTCTTCGGCTCGGTCATGAGGATGATGCACGATATTCCCTGCATGTCCTGGCGCAAACGTCGACATTCGATGGCGTTGCATTTTCTCTTTCCTTTCTCGCCTCCCTCTTCATGGCCATGTATTAGTAGTAGCAATCGCTGTAGTAAGTGTGTACCACCGAGCAGAGAGTGGAGGTCTCAATGGCATGGGCCATTGGCATTACGACGAAAGATGCCGGGTAATGGGTTACAGCGACAGTGGTGACTTGCCATTTATTCTACCTTTCTTTTTCTGCGAAATTCTTATTGCGGTTATTATGAGACGGTAATACAATGCAAATCCCTCCCGTAGATGTACCTGACGGGATAGACGCGGCGGGCGATGGCAGGCAGGTTAGGTTCAAAGTTCGCAAAAAATGGAAATTGTATCATTATTTCTACAGACGGCAGTAGGCAGGTAGGGGTGGTCAATATACGTTTGAGTTTGAAGAGTATTCGTCATGTCAAGTGTCTCATGGAAATGTGGTGTTTCTCTTTTCCTGTGTAGAGGGCATCGTAGAGTGTATACGATTGTCGTGCTGAACTCACTCCTACTTGCCTTTTAAAAACATTTATAGGACTGTAGTTATTAGGAGATAGTACGCTAAAATGACAATATGTTCATATACACATATCACTCTGGACAGCTATTGAACACCATTTCGTTTGACATGGCATGGCACAACACGTTACTTCTATATCTATGTATCTATATACCTAGGTAGATATTTAAACTCTAGGACCACCACCAAGCTCCCCAACATCACTTCCACCTACCCACGAATGCACAACACGCAATCGATCAACCGGTAAATTACCCGAAGCGGATAAAGATCGACGAGCAACGACTGCACCCCTACCGAGCACGCAAAGGGTCTAACTAACTACTGGTTACGTTATTGCGTGCATGACATGACAGTACATACATATAAGACGGCACGGTAAGAGTAAGATAAGGTACAGTGCGGTACTCGCACGAACATCTCCACGATGGGATCGCTGGAGAGCAGAGAGCAGAGAGCTATGGAGATAGATGCGCTGAACGTGAGCGAGCGAGGTCGGAGGAATAGGCACCGTACCGTACCGTACTTTGCTCTGGGCTGAAGTGTACCTTACCACATCCCAACATGTAAAGAAAGCTTGGTGGGAAAGTCCCTTAGGCCCACGAGCGATAGGCTAAATGTTGCCATGTGCGCGCTGCTTGCTGGTACTGGATGCTGGGAAACCACCCATCCACCGCTGGCCGGTAGGGTAACTACGAGTGCTACTGGCTGGTATTGGGTGGTTGCTGGCAGGTGGCAGGGCAGGGCAGGCACCACACGCGGCCGCCGCCCCATGGTTATGGGTTGCGGGTTTATCTTGGACCAACAAACTCGTGGGCCTGCCTGCCCTCCCCCAAGTTTTGGGGATTCTAGAACCGCCACGCGAGTTGCTGGTGGGTGCACTATTTATTGCGTTTTCTGGGTTTGCTGAGATACCTGGGTTGGTTATTTTCGGTTTTCCCTTCTGCTGACGTATTGGGGAGAGGTGATTGTGCCATGGTGAGTTCGGTCGAAGATATATCTGGGGAAACTGAATGATGACTGATTGATAAAGGAAGAAAGGAAGAAAGGAAGAGTAGAGAGAAAGAGGGGAACGCCGTTCGAAGGAAGGACGTTGGATGGGGGGGAGGGAAATAAATTAACGCTCCAATAATCGACGCATTCAAGCGCCGCCCGGGTCCCTGGTCCCCCGCCCGTGCCTGACCTCTACAACTAAGCGGGGAGCTTTTTAAGAGTCGTGAAGTTGAGAGCAGAAGAAAGAAAAGGACGAGAAAAGCTTGTGGGATTCGGTGGAAAGGCTTGACTGACGGGGGGCTTTTTGCGCTTGTGTTGGGTTTGGCAAATGGTGTATGCAATGCACATACATACTCCGTACAAGTAAGGCGTAAGGTGAAGATGTGGTGGTGGTGGTGGTGGTGGTGGTGGTGTGTATGTAGGCGTCGCATGGTCTTGTGTTTCTTGAGATGCAAGCACGCGCATGATGGACAGACTACCCTCTGGCATTATACCGAAGATTACTCCATCTTCTATAGTTAGGTGGTTAGTTACCCCATACAGGTCTGTCATTCTTGCCGCCACACATGCACAGTAACGCAACGCAACGCATCGCATCGCATCGATTCGCATCGAACCGCACCGCATCGAACGCGGCACAGGTCTTGAGGGAACGATGCGGAGGGAGAGGGAAGAAACTCCGGTTCCAGCGCCACCCCGGGACTGCGGCGCGGTGTCTTTTTTATGTTTGTTAGTGGTTTGATCGAATGATGGAGGATTAAGCAAGCAAAAAAAGGATGGACTGTGGTAAAATTAGGGATTTATGGTGTTTGGTTTATTTTTGACTTTGCAAGTGCTGCAATGGCTCTATTACCGGCTTAGAGGGTTTGGGGGTTGAATGATGCGGGGAAACGAGACACTGGGCTGGGGTTGATGTTGGTTGTCGGTGGTGATTAGTGACGTGAAGGGCAGTGATGGGCGGTGATGGGCGGTGATGGGCGGTGATGGGCAGCTGTTGATCGGCTGCAACCGAGAGTTGGTACACACTACACCGTGGAGTACCTACTCATCTCGTCAATAAACAATCAACTACGGAGTACCTTTATGTACAAGTAGAAGATGAATGCAATATTGCGGTATGATAGCTACCCTGTACTGGTTATTAGGGTAGAGTGCACAGTGGCCGTACCTGGGAATGGTAGGCAGTTGGTCCATGGTACCTTGTAGTAAGTCGTCACTATCCCAGGATGACGGTCAGGTTCGGCCGTTAGTGCGAGTGCGAGTGCGAGTGCCAGGACCACTGCCAGTCACCAGTGCCACCACCTCGCGTTCCTCCACTTGTACCGAATTCCCCCATCTTTCCATGCTTCTTCTACGCCGCCTCACATCCAACTCACCGTGCCACCCATCCATCCCATCGCATATACTTGTACTACATATATACGGAGTACATATATACACAACTACATAACTTCAATACACCTTGTTGGTTGGTTGGTTGGTTGGTTCTTCTCCAGTCCGAGCACTTGTTTGCTTCATTTGCATTCCTTCACTGCATCTTCACCAAACCCGCTTGACTGGTCTGGCCGGGGCCTGGTCGTGCTTCGGCGGTATTAACCCCAAGTTCTGGTGCCAACCGAGATCGAACCGACTTTCTCGCGCGCCTATACCCTCTCGGACCTGCCTGTGGATACTCTAGATAGTTACCATTGTGCCATTCCATTATACCATGACTGCTGTGTGTACTGTACTCGTATGTCACATACGTACAAGTCGCACTGTATTGCCTGTACATCACTCACTTGCACTTTCACTGGATATACAGATGCCTTAAGACACACATACACAAACACACATACACCCTTTCAATGACTACGCCCTACCCACTACACCCAAAACACCTCCACTAACACCTTTAAACATTGGACACTAACACTATCTCCCCCCATCGGTACCTGCCCTCGTACTTACCCACCTACCTACTACGAACTACCGCTACCACTACCACCAACTGCTTCCTTCCTTCCTCCGCCGCCTTCACCTACCTTCTTCGTCCGTCGCACTCTTCCTGTGCCTCATCTCCTCAACTCTTCCTCTTCTTCTTGTTCTTCGTCTTCTTCTCTTCTCTCTTCTCCACCACCCATGCTCAGCGATATCATCATCATCCTACCGTTTCAACCGTTGTTGGCGTCCTGCCAATCCTTCGTCCCTGTCTGCGCCAACACCCATACCCACGCCCGCCTCCCCAGCCGTCTTCGCGCCGCTTAAGTACGAATGCTTGTCTATCTCCGGGCCTCATCTGTTCATCGCTTCTCCCCACTCTAGCATTCTTCCCTCCTCTCCTCTCTCTCCTGCCCGTCCGTCCTCCCATCTCCTCCTCTTCTCCGGCCATGACTTCATTCTTCGGTAGATTCAAAGGGAACGCTGTAGGTCTTCTCCCGCCATCTGCTCCCATGCCCACGCCTCGCCGTGTCACAATGGCTAATCCATGCACAACAGGGTCCAGCGAGTCCAGCTTCCAGCGCTCCCCCAGTCAAGAAAGATCCAAACGCCCCACAGCCCACGCCTCTCGAGAAACTCCTCACCGACGCTGGTCCTTTGCGCGCAGATGGCAGCGACAAATTCTTTGGTTACGAGAATGTGAGTTTCCCAATCCCTCCCTCCCAATGGCCGTCGGTCTCCTTCTTGCCTACCCCTAGCTCTCAAGCATCTCTCAACTAACTTGTTACCAACCAAATAGTTCGGCAGTACATGGTAATTCAGAACGCGCCTCGCCCCATCATTACCTCGTCGCTCACATCTATCTAGTTACTGCAATTCCATAGTACAATGTCTATACTACTCAGTCCCGTTCAGGGAACAGGTCATCAACTTCCCTTCGCGATCCCCACCCGAAGCCCTCGAACGACCTGCCAACGCTCCGTTACCTCGCCTCGATACCGACATCGCACCCGCCACAAATGGTCAGAACTCGGCCCTCTCACCCAAGGGCAGAAACTCCATGTCGGCGCCCAGCGCTCCCGCCGGTCGAAAGCCATCGTTGACGCCCGTGAACCCTATGGGTGGACCGCCACCCACCAAGCCCGAGGATAACAAGGATTCCCCAGAGTACAAGAAGAAGGCAGCCATGGCGGCAGGTCCCATCCTTGATATGAACTACGAGAACTCCAGTGCATACGGAATGCCCGAGTCCCTGTTCACATCGCTGAAGGACATCTTCGAGGCCGTCATCGCCCACCGTTCGCGCATTGGCGTGGTGAGCCCCAACAAGTTCTTGGAGATTCTACGAAGGGACAACGAGATGTTTAGGACCCCAATGCACCAGGACGCCCACGAGTTCCTCAACCTCCTGTTGAACGAGGTGGTCGATAACGTCGAGAAATTCTCCAAAGCAGAACAGAGCCGGATAACGGAAGTAGATGGCACCGAAGCGAACGGCACGACGGTAACAAATGGAGTCACGCATCCTGACAAGACATCAGCCGGAGCCCTGAGCAACATTGGCTGGGTCCACGATCTCTTCGAGGGCACTTTGACTTCCGAAACGAGATGTCTCACTTGCGAAAAGACGTCACAGAGGGACGAAGTGTTCCTCGATCTCTCAGTCGACCTAGATCAGCATTCGTCTGTGACGAGCTGTCTGCGAAAGTTCTCCGAGGAGGAAATGCTCTGCGAGCGCAACAAGTTCCATTGCGACAATTGTGGAGGACTGCAAGAAGCTGAGAAGAGGATGAAGATTAAACGATTGCCGAGGATTCTGGCATTGCACCTGAAACGTTTCAAATACACCGAGGACCTGCAGCGATTACAAAAGCTTTTTCACCGGGTTGTATATCCTTATTATCTGCGCTTGTTTAACACCACCGACGACGCCGAAGACCCCGATAGACTGTATGAACTTTACGCCGTAGTCGTTCACATTGGAGGTGGGCCTTACCACGGCCATTATGTCTCCATCATCAAGACCCAAGATCGAGGCTGGCTCCTTTTCGACGACGAAATGGTGGAGCCCGTGGACAAGGCCTACGTGCGCAACTTCTTCGGCGGAGAGAACGTCCTTGCTTGCGCTTATGTTTTGTTCTATCAAGAGACCACATTCGAGGCGATGCAGAAGGAGCAGGAGGCCGAGAACCTTGCCGCCGCAAAGCAAGCAACAGAGGCCGAGCAGGAGGCCGTACCAGTAGCAGCACCCAAGGCGAACGGCACAGCAAACGGCCATCCTTTGCAGCATGCCACTACACCGACACCGGAGGTCGATGAGCAACTGCCAAAGTTGAACCATGCAGCCACCGCACCGCCGCTTCCAACGACACCCCACTATCCATTAGAGAGCGTCCCTACGAGCATACCTCAATTGAACAACAGGAAGAGCGCCGCGGCAATGAAGAAGGAGAAAGCAAAGGAAGAGAAAGAAAGAAAGGCTGCCGAGAAAGAACTCGAGAAGCAGCAGAAGCTAAAGAGAAAGGAGCTTGAGACACAGAGGCGCGAGAATTATAAACGGCAAGAAGACGAGCTCAAACAAGCACTTGCGGCAAGTAAATCCACTGCAAAAGCAGACGAGGAGAAGAGGCGGCGAGAAGGGGGTTCTGACGAGGGGGATAAAGAAGACAAGGAGGCGCTGAAGGAGAAGGAGAATGGATCATTCGGCAAGACTAGCCTGAGTCGCTTCAGACACAGTAGCATGAGCATACGGCACAAACCGAAGTTCTGGTCTGGAAATCACAAGCACGAAGATTCGGAGCACGAAACTCCTTCGACACCAGGTACAGACGTCGATGAGAAGCCCGAAAAGTCGAAGAATCGTTTCAGCATCGGGCGCAAGAAGTCTACATTCCATCTCTGATCAACGGTTGATCCGAGGTTTCTTTCCATCTATCGGAGTATGGCAGGTTCACGAAGGTGTCCATTGTTTTGAGCCCAGCATCTCTTACTTTTGCACTGTTGCAACTCTGTACATTGGCGCAACACTTGTCTATACATTCGTCATTCATAGGAGAAAGAATTGGGCGAGACCAATTCGAGTTATTATTCTATTGCCTGCGATACCTGGCGGTGGTTTCAGCGACACAGTGACCTTTGCGTCGCGACGAAAATTACGGGAGCAGGGGAAGGAAAAGCGGCGGCAAACATGAATTCCGTCTCGATCATGTGCGGCGTATTATTGTGTTGAAGGCGATTGAGCAGTCTTTCTGAACCTGCAGCAAGAGTGCAAGTGTAGTAGTAATAGCTACTATGTACACAGACTTACGCGTAACTCTCCCCGGGGAGGCGGTTTCGCCCTTCATAGGGCCAACAACAGGTTCAGGTCAAATACAAGCCGTACTGTACATATATACCAATGACCCTTGATGTCTGTACCTTGATGTCCGTATCGTGATGATAATCACAGGTTGTTTCCACTTACTGTTGTCTAACTTGACGATGTGTGCGTGCAAACGTACTATCTATCAATATAAACTCAAATCTCAATCTTCTCACTTCAAACCCTACCCATAGCTGGACATATTTATTTACCTCGGGATGACTATGGTATCAGTGTAATCACACTTTACTACAAGGTATATTTGATAGGAAGTTGGATTCTAATTTTTTTCCCCCTTCTAGATTCATTAATAATAACTACAAAAGTAAATTATAATTTCATCAGAGAGCTAAAACAGAAGAACCCTAACTTAATATAGCATATTATAATCATCATACTAAACATCTTTGAAAATTAACCTAGGAAGAGCAATTTGCTATGTCATGTAGTATTGCTTCTGGTTTATAATTTATTTGTTTATTTGGTTTGTTTTGTTCGATTAGGGGTGAGGTCTGAGGGATAAGGTACAAACTATGAAAAGACAGAAGAAGATTTTAACTCAACTTCATGATGGAGGGAAAGGCTTTTCAGATGAGTGGAGTAGTAGATATATTGGGTGAAATTCACATTCTACGAGAAAGTAAGTACTCTGTCTGTCTAGAACTTAGATGGATTGTGGGGGTTTAAGGTTGAGGGTAGGGGAAAAGGGGGGGGGGGGGGAGTGAGGATTTGTTGTAAGTGTAGAGTGCGAGCGGTAGACTTTGTCATAAGTGTTGAGTATGATATAGGGTATGAATGAAAGCCACGATGAACGTGGGGGTTGTGGTGCTTTGGGGGATGTAGTAGCTCTGTCTATGGGATGGATCAGGGGGAGGGAGCTAGAGACTGGTGAGAGGGAGATTCATGCATGTAGATGGTGAATGGCGGTACTGAATGGGGTAATATGTCCTGTGTGGAGATTTGGACTGGAGTCGAGACGTGGGTTTGGGATCTTGGTTATGGATGAGATGTAGTTTGGGGGTTAATATGATTTTGGGGTGATATAATGTCAACTTGGGTTTGTTAATCATGGTGATATGGTGGGTCAGAATGGGGTTCTCAGTTTGTTCATTGGTAGTATATTGTTTTAATTGCCTTGGGTGTTTTTTCTGGCGTAGCGATTTCGTACTATTACATGTGTCGCTGATTCCGTCCTTTTATACCGCAAATCACTTGGATACGCCGGTTGAACATGCGAATCGTAGTGATGCCAGGGAAAGTACTGCCGCATCGTCATATGCCACTATATGGGTTGAGATCGGACAACGCTATGCAGGATGCGAATGGTTTTTGTATGTGAAAAGTGGTATCAATCGTTCCTCCTCGTCTACTGATTTAATTCCTGGGTTGGCGTGACTTGCTCTGTTTTAGAAAGCATCTTCCCAGTGACCGGTGGAGCGTAGTAAACGTCGATCCGTTCCGGTGGCTTTGTCAACATGTATATCTCTACCACACTCTTTCGAGGGCCGGGGAGAAGCGCTGGGAGCTCCCATTTCCCTAGCAGGATTTTGCGTATAGAATAAGCCTTGGCTCATCCGAGGACCAGAAGGTAGATGATCATGAGCGTGTTGATTAACATCAAGGGTACTGTTTGTCCCATGTTAGCGTTCCATTCCATTCCAGTATCAGCGGTCGGTTCCTCTTGAAACGATTGTTGTCCTCCTCAGCCAGTCCCGTCTCCTGGATATATCTTTCCCGGAAGTATGCGTATAGATATGGAGTGACTTACTCCTCATGAGCGTCCTCACGCTCGAAATCATATTGACCAATTTCGCCTTTATCGAGTCGTTGTCGCGGGGGGCGCCGAAACCCTGCTGGTCTGCGGAAGAGGAAGAGGTCATCCCGATGCGGGCGAGAAAGCGGTCCTCGGACAGGACTGCCACCGCATTGATGAGGAGAATCGTGACTAGGAAAGTAGCGGGTTAGTTGAGTACTGCGGCGTCCACACTCCAGGCATCATTCATTCTGCATGCACCTAGGACATGGCGGTGATTTTTAATTCTTGGGAGAATGGATAAGGGGAAGAGGAGGAGATATCGGAAGGATTTGAGGAAAGTATGTGAATGGTGAGAGCCAAATGGTGGATTGCGGTCTTGAAGCTTGAATGCTTGATATCCGAAACAAAACATTCGGACGGATGCTCATTTGAGTGGGATCGAAGGGCGGGAACTGCACTCACCATAGAAGAGGCTGCCGAGACCGAAGAACAGCATCTTAGAACGGGTCGAGAGGTCTCGAGAGCGAAAGGTGGTTGTGGGGTAGTGTATCGCGTTGACACTTGATTGATTGATGTTGGCTAGCAAGCTGGAATTGGCCGCCCGCTGCAGTGGCCGGATATCACGTGACCGATGAAGTGAGCTATCCGCGCGGACGGTTGCCACGGGATGGAGTGGTTCCTCCCCCAAGCCTCAAGGTGATGGCGCATGCTTATGCAGCCGAGCTAAGGTCCTTGGTGGCCACTGACAAAGAAATACTATGGCTGAAGAAATAATCCATTGATAATGTAATTCAACTTGTCTTGAGTATGTTTCAATCGATTTTGTGAACACACTGGCGCAGAACAAAGGTATCATTGCTGGTGGATGGCATGGGGTGGGAGATAAGCAGATCCAGACTTCTATGGAGGATCATGGCCGACTTGGAACATGTCAGGAACAGGATATGATTTGCGCACGAGTCGGATGGTCTTTAAAGAACCAGCAAGACAGCCAGATGTTTCCACGCGATAGTTGTCCGTTCTAGGCAAGTATCACGAGGGACTGGTCTCAGTAAAGAGTTGTATAATTCCAAGGCAGAGGTACGTGTAGCGCTGATAGGTACCCGATGGTGAATCCATGCAGACATGCAGACAGGGTGGAACTCATCGGAATCGCAGTTCGACAAAGGTGCTGCTGGCCTAGAAGCTGTCTTACTCGCGATGCGGACCCCCGACATGTATCGGAGTCCTATTGGCATGTCGTCAAGTAGATGTTTTGCCGGTGTAATAATACTGTCTCTCCTTTGCAGCATCCAGATGCATCTCTCACCCGAGGATACGTTTTGGGACATGTTCTCCGATCGGTTTCCAATCGTTCATTATCCTATGCTTGAGTACCTAGGCAGTGCAAGGTAGCCATGCGACGGAAAAAAGGCACAAGGGATGTAATGGGTATCGTGCATGCAGGTATACTGCCGGCTGCGTCGAAGGATGATGAGTGGGCGAATTGGTGGGGTGCGGCGACGGCTCCAGCGCCGTCGTATGGACTATGGAATGTGTAGCGATATGAAGTGAAGAGAGTTGAGGTTGATGGAAGACTGGGGGCAGTTGGCGCAATGGAATCTTCCAATAGACGTCATCTGCGGGCCCACCACAAGCAACTACAGAGTAACTACAAGGAATTGCAGAGAGACCACAATTGACTACGACTGACTACGACTGACCACAAGTGACCACAAGTGACCACACCACACGCACATCAATCAACAGTAAGCAACATGGCATTTCTTGGGGGCTTGCCTCAACTACCTTTAGTTTCCACAGCCAGGATACTACTGGAAGATCCTTTTGGATAGTAATGGAGAATAGGGCAGAAGGAATAATAATATAATCAAGGAAAGTGACCAACCACTGATCAGAGCTATCCAACTCTAATAAAAGAATACTGTTGATTCTACCACTTTTGCATCATACGCACAGTATTACTCATTCTAACCATCATGTAACTAGTTAGCTATTACCTTTAATGCCCGATTCCGACTGCAGGAAGAAAAGAGGGGAGACCCTGGCAAGCATACTCGTAGGTACTCCACCGTGTATGCACATGTTAAAGCTTGTTGGAAGGATTGTATTTTTTTTGTACGTTGTACTTGCTACTATTACGGAATACTGAGATCTTTATTATTCAATGTCTTGCTTCTTTTCTTCTCCCTCGTCCTAATCTCTTGCAAGTTCGACTCCAGTCATCCGTCCTCGGATTCAATTCCGTATCAAAGTCAACCTGAAAGAGAGGACTAACAGTTCACTTTGAAGGTGGGCTGTTGCCATTCGATTGATAGGTCTTGTTCGGAGTACCTTGAAGGTGTCTCTAAGGTGTCTCTACCTCTTCTGCCTTGTACACTGCGCTGTGCAGCATGTACCTAGGTGGTTAAGGCCTGCCGCCACAGTCATCTTGTCTTACCCTTCCTCGGTCTAGAACCCAATCGCGATCGTCGCTCTGCCCCGATCCAGACTAACGACAAGCACTGCACTCAATAACACTACCCGATTCTACTCTACCTACCTCTCTCGCTCTTCTCTCTTCACTTCTACCGTCTTCCCCTCACCCTCCCTGCGATCGCGAAAGAAAGAAGAGGAAGAGAAGGAACAAGAAGAAAAGAAAAACGCCCTCCTTCGCCTCGCGACTCTCTAATCCTCTCGAAGTAACAATATTTCTCCATCCACCCCGCGCTCCCGACCCAATCAACGCCTCTTATCCCCGCGATTCGTCCTGAGCTTCCCACCCTAATGCTCACCACATCGCCCTCGCTTGACGTTCATGTTGTGGTATAGCTGGACCTCCTGTTCTTGTTGGGCACCTGGGCCGAGTAAGAAAGCATCTGGAAGGGTGTCTGCGCTACGGTGAACAACTGCGACGTTCCTCCCCATCGACTTACCGACCTACTCACCGATCTTCCTATCCATTCACACACAATGTCTACAGTAGAGACACAGTTCCCCGGGCGACTCAACATGGCCGAAGGCGAAGGCGTGGAAAGCGGATATTTTAATCTGCGCAATCGGTCAGCGCATTCACCAGGCTCCATTCGAAGTACAGACTCGATGTCTCTACATCTATCCCCACCACCGTCCGATACCTTGGCCGCCCTCACAGCTATGCAGTACTTGCCCGTACCTTTGCTGGTCTTGTCATCAGAAAAGACTGTCACCATTGCCAACGAGGCTATGGGTCGCTTGCTTGGAATTGATTTCGAAAGCATTGCAGAAGACGAAATGACCATCTCAGAGTACCTCCATGGCAAGACCATGGGCGAGCTGGGTATCGACGTACTCTCAAACGGCTCGCCTATTCTGGTCTCCTGGGAGGTTCGTTCTACTTTGCCCGAGGAATAACTACAATATCGTACTAACGTCATTCTAGGAATTCCTCAATTCCGTACTCGATGACGCATCAGTCGAAGTAGATGTAAATGAACAGGCAGAGATTACGCCGACCATTAGTGGAGGGAGCACACCTACAGCAACGACCGCAATGGAAACTTGGGACGTTATCCAGAAACCAGCCCTGCCTCGATTGAGCAGCACGAACTTGGCGAAAGCCACTGTTCGCGACATATCGGTCGATGTTGTTATCCCACCCCTCAATCGTGATACGCCAGCGAGAGGCCCGAATGCATACTTTCAAGACGCTCAAACAGCGAATATGATAATTTCTATTTGGAGTATTGAAGACATCCAATACTACACTATGACCTTCACAAGTGCTTCGGCAGGACATCGCCCAGCATCACGGCCCTCTAGTCGAATCGTGACTAGGCAGAGTACTAGCTTCCACGTGGGCAAGTCTCGCGGATCGACTTCCAGTTCTTCATCTGGCCGTAAATCGGGTACTGGCTCCAATCCCACTTCAAAAGCCGTGACACCGACATTGCAACAACCCGAATTCCCCCCTCGTGGCCCGCCTTCCAAGGCCAAGTTCGACTTGACTGCGTCAGCATCCATTTTCCAAAAAGCAACCCAATTAAAGGATGCTATCCTCAACTCAATCAACATGCCCGCATATGGTAGGTACCTATTCTTGTAGTCGACAATGTGGCAACTAACGGTTGGACAGCTATGTGGAAAGACGAAGGTTTTGGGATTCCCAACAAGGCTCTGCTACGCCTACTGCCCAAGGACGGCAAGTATTCGGCAGGCGATCAGCGTGCGTTCCTCAGGCAGTATACTTTATACACAGAAGATTTCAGTCGTGAGCTAAGCCTAGATGAATTCCCCATCATCGAACTTTGCCGTACACGAAAGCCATTTGAGAGCCGGAAGGTAGGCATGATCAACCCCAACTCCGGAGCGCAAATTGTCTATGATGTGGTTGGCGAGTTGGTACTTCAGGAAGAGACTGGCGATTTCTTAGGAGGCATCGTGGTCTTTAGGGATGTTACAGAGTATACCAAGAAGATCGCTGCCCAGATCGAGGAGAATGAGCGACAGTTCGAGTACATAGCAAACTTCATGCCGCCAATGGTGTGGACTACGACCCCGGATGGCCAGCACGACTGGTTTTCGCAAAGATGGTACGATTACACGGGACTCACGCCCAAGGATTCCTTGGGCGAAGGGTGGCGATTACCATTTCATCCGGACGATATGACGAGCACTGCTCACAGATGGCAACACTCCCTGGACACTGGTGATGAATATACAACTGAGTATCGATGCCAACGTCATGATGGTGAATGGAGATGGATGCTTGGGCGAGCGGTACCCTTCTACGACGATGACGGTAACATCGTGAAATGGTTTGGTACATGCACGGATATCCACGACCTTGTTCAGGCCCGGCAGGAGGCACGACAGAACAGAGAACGGCTTCTCAAGGTGATCGAACATGCGAAAGTAACGCTCTGGGCCGTGGACAAGCAATGCAACCTCAGCTTTATGGAAGGAGACATGGTTTGGAAAGATGGGGAATCCAACGAAAAGGCAATCGGGCAAAACATTTTCATAACCAATCCGGCACTGGAAAGATGGAGGAGACCGATAAACCACATATTGAAAGGCAACACTCAGGATGAAATAATCGAGCGATACGTACAAGAGAATCGATACTACCGAACCCGCCTTGTACCCATGTGGAAATCATCGCGACATGGCGACTCGCAAGGAGAATGTGTCATCGACGGCGTGATTGGAGTTTCGATGGATGTCACGGAGATTATGGAACGAGAAAATCAACTCAAGGAGCAAGAGAAGGAGAATTCAATACTGTTGGCCAATGCTGCAGCAGCGAAAGAGGCATCGAGGATGAAGTCACAGTTCTTGGCCAACATGTCCCACGAGATTCGAACCCCTATTGCTGGAGTGATTGGTATGAGCGAGCTCTTGTTGGACATGAACCTGGATGAAGAACAGCAGGATTGTGCCGAGAATATCCAACGGTCGGCGAACGGATTACTCACCGTTATAAACGACATTCTTGACTTTTCAAAGGTGGAATCAGGGAGGTTGGATGTCGAAGAGGTGCAGTTTAGTCTGTCGGTTGTGCTTCGAGACGTCAACCAGATGATGTATGTGAACTCCTGGGAGAAACCCAGAGCCCCTGTCTTGCTCTTTGCTGGATTTTTGATGCACGGTAACGACAGAAGATGCACTCACTCTGTCATCTGATCGAACATTTGACAGAGTGAATGCATTCGAAAGAGGCTCGTATCGCACTTTAAGCAAATGGTTACTGACTACAACCCCAGGTCTTTCGCGGCGTCGAGAAAGAACATTGCTTATGAAAGCTACGTCGAACCTATAGTCGAACAAGATCTGAGGGTAATGGGCGATCCTGGAAGACTTCGACAGATTCTCACCAATGTCTTGACCAATAGTATCAAATTCACATCAGAAGGCAAGGTCCAGCTTACCGTATCCATCACCAACGAAACCGACGACATAGTCACAATACGCTTCGTTGTCGAAGATACTGGTATTGGAATCGAAGAGGAAGTCCGCAAGAGACTGTTCCAGCCTTTCAGCCAGGCAGACTCATCCACGGCCCGCAGGTTTGGTGGCACAGGCTTAGGCTTGACGATCAGCAAGAATGTATGTGCAACATGCTGTCTAATTCATGACCGCTATCTGCCTAATGGTATCCAATCCACGCTCTTTTGCTAACTATTTTATGTAGCTTGTTCAGCTCATGCGCGGAGACATCGGTCTCGAATCGAAGCTTGGACATGGAACCACTGCAACATTCTGGATTCCCTTCAACAAAGCTCCTTACCAGGACGATGGTTCACCGTTGATCAACCTAGATTCCATCCCGGATCGCCTGCAGTCTGACATGTCCGTATCTTGCGGAAGTTCTGAAGATCACGGCATGCCACCAGTTACTCCCAAACTGTATAATGGGGTTACTAGGCAAGCACGTTCTCGTCTGGAACCGAAGTCACAATATGTGAACCACGCTATTCCTGACAATCTGATGAACCTTTCCGAAGAAGAAAGGAAGAGTATACACGTTCTGGTCGTTGAAGACAAGTAGGTCTACCCGAAGACATGTTTCTTTTCTAAATCGGATTGCATACTAACATGATTGGTACAGTCCAATTAATCAACAGATCGCGCTCAAAACCATCAAGAAACTGCATTTTTCCGTGAGCGCAGTATGGAACGGACAAGAGGCCTTGGATTATCTAATGGAGGAGCCGTCTCCCATGCACCCCCGGCCCCATATCATCTTGATGGATGTACAGGTACGAGCATGAGAAAGTGTTTCTTTGCATGGAATGTTTGCTAATCGATCAACTTGCAGATGCCAATACGAGACGGCTACAGCGCGACCCATGCCATCAGGACAGAAGCCCCTTTCTCTACGCTACCCGAAGTCAAGAATGTTCCCATCGTTGCGATGACGGCCTCGGCCATTCAGGGTGACAAGGAGAAGTGTCAACGGGCTGGTATGGATGTGAGTAACAAGCGACGAGTACCCAGTTTTCGTCAACCCTGCAACTTCGTATGGGCTCCCAGGCCCAAGGAGTGTAGGTGATGTTGATACTGCTGGGAAATACCATGTACGCTGTGCAGTACTAACGATGGTTCACAGGACTACCTAGCGAAGCCGGTAAAGGGGAAACTGCTCGAGAAGATGTTGATAAAGTGGGCGATCGAGGGCAAACGGAAGATGGCCAAGTCAGCACCAGCGAATGAAGAAACAGAGTGTTTCGACGCACGGACCCCAAGCACGACTACACCTCCAGCACTGTCCAACGCTAGCGAGCCTGCCAAAGCCTCTTCCAGCGATCGACAGCAGATCGGCCAGGCTTCGGTCGAGCCTGAAACAACGGCGCATTCTCCAGCGCTGACGGCTGAGCTTGACCGCCTGCACTTTGAGAGCGATACCGCCTTGGCCAAATCCTCCGAGACGAACGGGGACCGTGTCCTGCGGCGAATCCACGCCGAGGAAATGGCCTCCAGCCTACGCGATGACAAACTGCTGGCTTGTAGCGGGGACCCGCAAATACACCGCCATAACAGCCATGCCAGCACTCTCCAAGACGCGGGGACCCATGCGTTGACCAAGGAGAACATACAGAGACTCACGCACGAACAAGACTTGGATCCCACCCTCCCTCGAACATCCAGAGAGTATCAGGCAGATGGTCAGAGTTGGAGTGTAGGCAAAGAGCCCCGCAACCGGAGCGTGTACACCAAACAGGAAGGAGACGCTGCGTCAGACCGACCTTCGCTGACAGACGCACGTTTGTGGAAGAGTGAGAGAACGGTCGTTCCGGCGAGGTCTTCTTCATGGTGGAAGAAAGGACTGCACCATGCTGATGATTGAGGCAACCATTCACGGAATCCAGAGGAACATGGGAATCCGGCATGGTCCAGTCACAATGTGCGCCACAACATTACCGTTACTGTCATCTGCCATCAGGTATTGGCTTTACGGTACATGCACACTCTATCGCAAGCTATCGACCCGCTGTAAGACGAGACTGGTAGCTTCAACCAAGGCGAAAGCAAGTCGACCCAATGTAGACATGTCGCAGACCTACATCGTACTGTGATGTGATAATGCGGCTCCGATTTGGGATGCTCAAGGAATGCATTGACCAGTGGGGACGGGTACAGGTCGGCGATTAGCAGCCTCACTCCATTGGCACGGTCATCCTAGGATTATTCAGTTTACCCTTACCCAATAAGGTCAAGGCTACATATACCATGCTGCGAGCAAGGCACAAATAGGGGCACTCGAGATGGCCATGCTAGAAGCCGTATCTATTCTGCAACTTGGGACGACGTGCTTGCGGATTCCAAAAAGAATTGTCGTACCTTGTTGGACAGGTCATGAATGCACCTGGTACACCCTAGTTCCGGGGGTGCATCTGCACTCCCACCCTCTGGATCATTGGTCCAATCAGAGAAGCTTATGATTCGACATCGAAATAAACTCAGCAACTCGATGTCTCGTGCATTGGCACGGCGACCGACCGAATATCGCCGAATCAAAATATTCTACGCGGGAGCACATCAATTGCGGGCTGTACATATCAAGGAGCCAATATAGTTATTCGCCGTAGTGGGAATATTGGAATCCCATAGTCTACAAGTGCTGAAGTTGGCAAAGCCCCAACGGTGCGGGGGGTTTATGTGGTGCTTGCTTCCCCTCTCTGGATGGGAGGGGGTGAGTAAGATGTATTTGAGATCGACCATCGCGCATGTCTTATGGATTAGGTAGGGGGGTGCACCATAACACATGCATGTGATTTGCACGCCTGTCCCAACTTGTTGGCTTGCAGGGTACCAGCAGTGGCCGAAAGTAGTAATGTAACAATCTTAACGTTGATGATCTTTCTGGATACCGTCCTCGATTCGTACATGGTGTCTGGACAAAGCTTTGATATCTTTTCATCTTCCTCTCCGCCCTAACTGCACGTGGCCACGAAGGAAAGTTAGCCCGTACATATTGGGACTCATCTTGGATATTCGGATATCATATGATTCATACCATAGTACATACGCACGGGAACTCGACACCTAGGGCCATCGAGACGGCTGCACGTGGCCACGGGAGGAGGAGAGCTAGCCCCCCGTCCATATTAGGACTCATTTTGGATATTTGGATTCTCACGATAGGATCAAGTCATGCTCACCGGACAATGTATCCGCAGGGCAATGTGTCAACATAGTGTCACACACCATCTCTCTCAACTTGACACATGGGTCGGCCTCCTATCCATCATCCCCCACGTATGTAGTTACATACAATGAGGTTTAGCCTATTGCACGCAATATCAAAAATTTTCCAAACTTCCCTCACGCTGTCAAATTCCCCAAGCTACCAACCACCAGTCCAGATGAAGCGTAACCCAACCGTTCGTCCAGCCTTCCTCCCGTGACTCCCCCGGTCGAGCGACCTGTCAAGTAGTTACAAACAAGCACGATATAGTTTACTGTGAATGAATTCGCCGACCACTATTACCGCTATTCAATTATTGCAAAACGGCCCATACTATGTACATACTACGTACATAGTATGTACCTGAGCTAGCCGTCGCCAAGGGGTTCCTTTTCAGATCTGAAATTATCAAAATCCGAGATAAGCTAAATTCCACACGGCTTGGATAGTAACTCGTCTTCTTGAGTTTTGTTTCCGTTTCCTAATTTGCTCGACCGGGGAATTTGAAGCCTAGCCGTTTTCTGTTTGCGTTCCATCTTCACGCTTGCTAGCCCTGTTGTTTTCGTAGTAAGAGTCTGGACACTAAGTCAATGGGTTGTTGAAGAAGTGAAAAGGGGTCAGCGGATAGAGAAGGAAGGGGAGGAAGGCGTGATCGTATCATAGTGTGTAGTTGATCAGGTGAGATGTTGGAATTTTCCCTTGTTCAAGACCTTTCCCAATCGAAAGGAAATGAGTCGGCCTTTGTTCATGGGAGTAAAATTGAACTGAGGCTTTTGTCTGGTGAATGTATTGGTATGTTTGGTTGTTTGTGACCAGTCAATGAGTAATGAAATCATATCAAAATATCAACACTAGCAATGAAGAAGTTTATCTGATGAATCGATAAAGAGTCCTAGTAGTTTCACAACACATGGAGGAGAATCCACACGAAATCGCATTTTTGATTCCTTTATTGCGATCACTATGTTGGAGCATATTACTCGATTATCAGGTGGATCCATAGTAGAGCATCACTAACTACCCTGCCTCCTCTACCAGCACTCAGGAACGCGAGTGTCCAGATCGCATCTATCTGCCAAGAAAGATCAAACCATCTCCTATCCCATCCCATCCCATCATATCCCACCAGCATGGCGAGGGGCGGAGGGGGGACGTCTGTGTGTCCCAGCGGAGAGAACGGTATGGACATGCATATCCCTTGTTGTCCTTGTCTCCTTGTCCAAGATTTGCGAAAGGGGAAATCCAAGAATCCGTCAAGGTAGAGAAGATTGTGGAATCTACGGTTTCCTTCGCGATTAGGGATTCTTCATCATTTTCGATGCTGAATCCGCCATATTCGTCTTTCCACCCTCCTCGCCGCGAAGGGAAGCAAGAGAGAGAAGAGAGTGTCTAGAGGTGGCGAAAGAGGGGAGGGGATGCCAGAGAGGTGGGAAGAGTGGAGAGGGGGGTGGAGATGATGGTGTCTGCAGATCGCAAGATAGTGTATGCTCCCAAGATGTTAGGGAAACTAAGACGTTTCCTTGTACTTTCTTGCTTCCCTTTTTCTTTTTTTGTGGGTAGCTGTGGGTATGCTGCCGCGCGTCTCTGCAATCTTGTGGGAGATGAGATGTTAGTTTGGTAGTGTGGTGCATGCGGTGCTGGATAGGGAAATGATGTGAATGCATGTATTGGAGTTGATGTTGGTTGTTTTGATAGTGTATCATTGGTTTGTATGTTGGGAGTTGGTTGAGGTGTGCGGACTTGTATGAATGGGAAATCGAGTACATAGAGTTCAATTTTTAATAATTATAAATTTTCTGGGATTGTGATGCGAATCAATAATTAGTTTGACATAGATTGGTACGCTCTTTGATCTAGTTTTCAAGGTTGTCTTATTATATTGATTGTTTGGTATGTTCAATTTACATAGAACATAGGGTTTTGACGTGATGTGGTGCAAGGTAAACAACAAGACTTTGAAAACAACAGTCTCCACAATTCAATAAAACCTGCAACTTCACAGCATTCTCGACCAGTGGTCCAATTGCTATCTTGATGCATCTGCACATGTAGAGTACATGCATGATTGTGCGTGTAGCGGACCTTGGTTGTTCTTCTTTCTTGCTTGAACGTAGTGTCGATCTACCTACCATGTTTCTTCTTTCAACATGCCTACCACCCATTTGGTGGTGTGGAGTAGATGAGACTAATGCAACCATAAGAGATCTAATCTAGCAACCATGCGGGATATTGGAATATCGCGCTATCATTCTTTCAAGTTGTTGTATATTGAATATTTCTTTCATTGCCTTTTGGGTGCCATGAATTATTGACAAGTTAGATCTCCCAATGGTCCGCCGGAGGGGTCGAGAGTCACGAGATGAGACTCGAGGGCTGTGCGCGATATTGCGTGGATGGGCTGCATGTCGCGGGAATAAGAAAATAAAGGGTCTTCTTGCCTCCAACCGAATGCAATCTTCTGGTTGGACGGAAGGACAGAGGAGGACGGGGAAGGAAAAGAGTGAAGCGGAAGGGTACGGGGTGGCGCGATGCACAAGCACCGTGCCTAATTGCACGGCACTCTGCAGAATACCGAAATCAAAGACCACCAGCGCCCAACGCCGCCAGTAGGTCAGATGCAAATCAATGATTCGAAAGGAGAGTCGTCTGTCTTGGAAGGCGGGAGAGGGGAGGGGTAGGGGGAGGATTTACCATTGGCCTCTTTGCTCAAGGTACTTGATCGGGCTTAGATGGACAGCAGAAGATTATGTATGGTGCAATTCACGCGAACACTCGACTTGGTCACTAGTGCTGCTGCCGATGCAATGCAATGACAACCTACGAGGACTTGCTAGTATATTTCCTATACTTGAATTTGGCCTTAGATCTTTGAAGACATATTGAAGAAAAAGAAAGGAAAAAACAAAGAGAGTTTGGGAGCTTGAAAAACGACTTCGCTGTGAGTTGCTAGATCCCCCCCACAGCTAATCAAGTTCGACTTATGCCAGATCAGAACAGAGTTTAGCCGTTTGGGCTAGTCTAGCGGTGATGGGTCGTGCTTTTCGTGGCTTTTGAACGGGTACACAGTTACTTGTACAAGTAAGTTTTTGTGGGTGTGTGGTGATTGTGGTTGGCTTGTGGGTGTGTACACACACACATGTAGACTATGCAGGGTCTTGATGTGCAGGTCGCCGAGATACATCTCCCAGGTTTTTCGCTCTAACCCATAGAGATGAAAGTAAGAGTCGAGCGATTAGTGGCGGATACACTGCACGCCGTACGCCTACCTACTTCCCATGCCTGATGGGAGGAGGGGTACCGTCCCGCATGCCTGCATGCGTGCGCAACATTTGGTTCCCGGAGGACGGGCGGTGGCTGTTTGGAGGTGAGAATTTCTATCATGTGCTGTGAGAATATACCCATGGGCACCGCTGTGCACCGCTGTATACTGCTGTGATGTGCAAGGCTTGCAGGCCGCAGGACCCTGAGATTGTTGAACTGCGCCGACTTGCTGTGTTTGTTCCTTGTTGATTTTGTGGGCGGGCGTGAGATGCGGGCCGCAGTTCAAGTTGGCTGAGGGGCAAATATTGGGGTAAGTACGAGTTTGAAAAGAGGGGGACTTGTGATTAGGTGGTGTGGTGTGTCTGTGTGCGTTGCATCTGCACTGGTGGTTGGAATAGAGCATACACAGGATGAGTAAGTCGCAGCTTATTGGAGAGGGATACCCATTGATACTGCAAGCCTCAAGGCGGGTCAGTGGCAATGGTAGTCCAACGTCGTCCTGTGTGTGGTGGTGCAGTGCCTGTGCAAGCACCGCCATTGTTTGCTATTTGCTACCACTAACATGACAAGTATCTACCGACAATAAAACTTGCATAATCACACCGGACGATGAAGAATGGATCAGTATTGGCCAACTAAGAAGCATGAATTCTCCAAGAGATACGACAGGAAAGGTTGACGAGACCTAGCAAGTATTGTGTAGAGACAGACTCGTGTGAAGATGTGAGTAATTAAGGTTAAAGCTATATGGGACTAGTTCGGGCTCTAAATGCCCACTTGGCACTGTGTCTGCAGCGGTGTATTTCTACAAGTAACAGTAGTCGTGCTGTGCAAGATGGTGGCGATGGAAGCAAATTGATTACTCGTGGTGCACCGCCGTCATTGGTAGCCTGGCGGGAGATAATTAGATAGTGGCAGAGAAGAAGGGCCGGTTGGCGTGCGGAATTCCCCATGCAGAATGTAACAATGTGGTTGACGCCACGAGGCAGTGAATGAGGCAGAAATACATCCGGCGCGATAGCTTCGGGCGATGATATCGCGGAGCTGCGGGCTAGTTAGTTGGAATAGCCATGTGAGCCATGAGCTACCAGCTATCATCATAGGTACAATTTAGTTGGTTGGAGTATGACGACAGACACAGCAGATGGGAACGAAGACCAGCGAGAATAGAAACTGCACTATTACCACTGGTACGAGGATGTAGCGTTGGTCAGTTTGAATTGTCTGAGTTTACTTGTACCGGGGTATAGATGCTTGTACATAAGTGCTCCGGAACTTTGGAAGGAATGGTTACGAGGAGGACTACAAGGGGAGGTTGAATCTTATGACGAAACAGGCGCAGACGTGAAGGAATGAACGAGAATAGGCAACTATTGAGGTTCACGATTATCCTCATAATGTGAATGATTGTCCGTACATACTCATGTTGTGAGGGTACAGGTAGATGATGCTGGTGATGATGACGATGAAGGATACCAGAAGCAGGGGAGATGGGGTGGAAAAGCGTGTGATTGGTTGAGATCTAGATCAATCAAATCAACCACATCATATGCACGGTTGCTCTCCCGACAGAACGGTTCTCCAACTCCACTTATTATGCAGCTAGCAGGACAAGTAGGGGTCTGGTCTTACTTGATTGGTCCACAATCCACCACCAGCCCCATCAAACACTCGCCGCTGTTAGACATGACGACATACAAGCAAGTCTCTTCCTCTGCACAGGTAGTGAGTGTCTCTCTTCCACTATTCTCTTCGACATATTATTGACAACGAAGCATGAACGAATTCACATCCGTCACGGCATTATCTATTCAATCTTGCCGTAACACTCCCGATTCAGAGCCCTCTTGCCACCCTACGAGATACCTCGTAATCTATACCTACTGATACCACAACCCGTCATCATCGTCATCATCGTCATCTCGTCATCCCTTCACCCCGTCACCTCTCTCAATGAAGTATGCCATTCCTAATCAATAAACCCGTGTCACACCTCGCTCCGGCTTGGCTCCTTTCATCCTCCCATTAAATCATTCCATCAAACATCAGACACGAACATCGTCGTCATAATTACTTATTCCCATGCGACCTATGCCATCCAATCCATATTCACGATACTCGTATTTCATCATCATCATCATCATTATTGCCGAAAACCCTCATACTTCGTACTACATGTGTACAAATTCGGCTTTCCAATCCTTTCCCATGCATGTGCGAGGTACGAATACACGACACCTCGTATGTACGGAGTACTTGTGATCGTACAGAGAGGTTCATACTGTACAGAGTACCGAGGTAGTTACCCATTCACGAGTCGTGAGTGGTGCGCCGTGACTGGACTAGCGTCTACCTGCAGAGCTTTGCCATTTTATTTCCATCCTCATGAAGGTACTCATTTGCATCATTCATGTCGCTGCTAATTGAAAAAGATGCCCAACTAGTTCTCTTGTGCATTCTACCGTAGTACGGAGTACTACATACATACGAGCATTAAAGATCCATATTGACATTGCCCCTAGTCCCCTAGGTCTGTCGGGCGTTAGATGACTCGCAAGACCAAGATGTCTACCGTAGCCTACCTCCCCACCTTGGTCGCCTTGGTGTAATACTACGAGTAATAAGCCTGTAACCTAACCAACTGCACAGAGAGGTAAACAACGCTAGGGCCGAATAAATATACATTATGTGAATGAATGGGTGGGGGAGCGGAATCTTGACTGCGCAGCCAAGCAAGCACAACGTCAATTGGCTCTGCGGTGGGCGGAAACAAAAGCGCTCGTTCCTCTACACATACGCCCACCAGTCACGGTTGACTATTCAACAACCAGGAACGCCATGGCCCACCACCGCCATCATCGCAGCCCACTTCGTTACTCGTCTCGCGGCCTGTAGGCTGTCGCCCCTCGTCCTATCTCTAGCCAACCAAGCACATCGATTTAGGACTAATTGTCAGGTAACAACAATCCGCTTCACTTGCACACTTTATGTATTGCTGCCGCAACAAGCTACGTATATCCAACTATCGAAGAAACCAAGCTTGTCCGTAAAGAGGACTCTTTACGGGTTGTTGTTGATGTTGTTCACCGAAGTGCTGAGGGTCCACGACTCCACATGTCGGAAAATGAACATGTGCCTTCTTACCCTTTCTCAGATCCGTTATGGCCTACTGTGTACGAGCCGTTGCTTTCTGCGTAGCCCGATGCCCATAGCTCAGGACCGACGTGAACTGGCACTCTGGTTAAGCTCATGTAGCTGTTCGAAAAGGAATGTGGACGGCGATCAAACGCTTGACCATTGCTTGAAGGCGCCGCACTACGCTCAGAGCTTCCCTCTCAGGGCCAGGGCGGCGCTCAGGGACTTGCTCTCACAGGAGCTTGGATAGGCGCAGAGTGCGCCTATGCTGAACAGCATCCGGATCATCCAGGGCTCAGGGGAGAGGCTAATTTCAATTTGGGCTGCCGCAGCTCATCAAACACGGGGGTCCGAGGGTTCGACGGGTCCCAAGACCAGATCTCATTTCAAAAAAGATGTTCAACTACGAGAGAGGCGGCCGCTGAGACAAGGGCTTGACAGTTGATGGCGACTTACGCAATTCGCGGGGAGAACTTTTGACGCGGCCCGATTGCCCCTCTCTCTCCTCCCCCCTCCGAGTTGGAAGCACAATTATCCAACTCTCGGAGCGGAGTCTCAAGTCTCTCTCAAGACTCGAGAGAGTAGCAATGTGGCCTTGCCGCCCGCTCCCCGAAGATGCAGAAACAGAAACAAGCGATCGATTAGAGAAAATCGGAGGAAAATCTCCCATGTTTGCGGAGAATTATTTGCCTCCCATTGCGTGGCCCGTTGTCCTGTGCTGTCGCGTGTGTTTCTCATCTCATGTTGGGTGTTGTTTCTGGTAGCGCATGCTGGCAGCAGAGTGGTGGCAAATGGTACAATTCCATGTACCCCAGAGGGTATGGTCGGGTTTTTTATTTTGCTATTTTTCTGTGGTTGCAACAAACGTTGGGCTATTATGCAGAAAAAACGACGAGTCACGACGGGAATGGATTAAGGCGGACACTGGCTGAATTGGCCCGTATCGAGCAACACAGCAGCAAGCAGAGAGCAGTAAGCATTCGCCTGGCATGTCAACAATAACAGAGCAGACAGGAAGCGGAGGGGGAGAAAGAGAGGGTGCCCAAGCCAGTGCCAACGCCAAAGTCAACGCGAGCCAGAGAGTCAGAGGAAGAAGCGGCGGTAATGCCACTCAAGCCGGAGAATAAAGGCCAAATTGATGGGCCCCCCTGTCCCTCCCCCTTTAGCAGCGCATAGCGTATTTCGGACAGTATTTCAGATTGCTATCCTAACTACTCGGGTTAGCTCCCACCACTTAATACGGGTTTCAGAGAAGGCCAAGCGGCCTGAAGAGGAAGAATGACGGCTGAGTGAGTTGGCCATGCCGTGTTTGGTTTCGCCAGCTTCAGCAGGGACTTGACCATGCTAGTGAGCGGCCTGCTACTGGCGGCATGCCAAAAGGAAAAAAAAGAAAACCGAGCATAACCAACTGGCAAAAGCTCCTCCCGCTCTGCTCTCCACCACGCCGTCATTCTGCTGCGCGCGTCCGTGCCCTCCACCATCCTCCCGGCGAGCAAAGCCAGTAGAGAGACAGAGGAGATGGCGCTTGCTGCTAGGCTTGCCGTCCCTGTCTATCTTGGTTGTCTGTGGTGCTAATTGTTTTGTAGCAACTGCAACGTAAGTGTAGTTGTACCCTCCCTCCTTTTCTGACTGGTGTGCCTCGCTGGCACTCTCCGCAATGGCGCCGGAACAGTTCCCTCCCGTGATGTTGAGACATTACTGGTGGAGGCAACGGGTGTGCGCCCGGCGTTGGCTAACAGAATAGCAATCTACGGTGCGAGGCATCGAGTATCAACATGAGCACAGGCACAACTCTGCACTGCGGGGCCCTCTCCTGTGCGGCGTTGGATGATGTTGTGGAAGATAGATACTGTATTTGGCTGTAACGGCATTGCTTTGACTTCTTTGTCGTTGTTTGTTGCTGAGCTAGCTATCGAAGACTAAATTCCCGGTGGTCAAGACTCAAGAGAGATCAAGGATCGTTGAACGGATAGTGGACAAAGGGCAGAGAGCAGGAGAATGGACAAGGGAGAACGGGCCCCGCGTCACAGCGAGCACGGCGCGCAATGTTTACTGTACGCAGTATGTAGTTACATGTCCATTCATTACATGTATGTACAAGTGCGTACTGTAAGTATACCTTTACAGAGCTGCGTACATACTGGTAGGGTACTTGGCTTGGAGAGAGATGGGTACGATTAATCAACCAGTGATGGGATGGTCAACAGGGGGTGAAGAACAAGTGGACAGCAAGCAGCCATCAGAACACAGACATGTAAAAAACACAGACGGCAGGCATGTCTGTGTTCGTCTTTGAGGGAAAAAGAGACACAGAGAGAGAGAGACTGTGTGTGTGAGTGTGTGTGTGCGTGCACGCACACTCCATCCCCAATCCCATGCCATGCTACCTATGCCAGCATCCAGCAGCCAGCAGCCAGCAGCAGCCATGCCTGCCATGCCATCCTCTAATCCCATCCCCACATGCACACCAATCCCTTTCTTCTCCTCCTCCCCCCTCCCTAGCCTCCTTAGTCTCCCTAGCCCCCCTAGTCCCCTAATCCTCTACCCTAATACCACACCAACTAGGCCTCTAAACTACGTAGCCTAACGTAGGTAAAGCCGTGAAAGGGCCTAAAGCAGCCTCGAGAAAGAACTCACACTCACACTTCCCCCCCCCAGTCAGTTACGGTACAGTGGTTAGTGGCCCCCTTGTACGGTGTAGGCTGTAGGCACTTGTAGGCCCTAGTAGCGGCACCTTGAATGCCATACCCTGTAATCCTCCTGCACGTACTCGTAGCTGCACTGGTGCGTAAAGTTGTTGTCCGGGGGGTTATTTTTCTTCGTGATGATGATAGTGGTGGTAATAATGGTGGTATGTAGTCCGTTAATGTCGTGGAGGAGGTGGTGGTTGGTGGTGATGATGGTGGTAATGGTGGTGGCGGCGGCGCTTGAGCCCATCCATCCCATCCCACCCACATCCCATCCCACCCACATCCCATCCCATCATCCTAATCCCATCTCATCCCATCCCCATCCACCTACCTACACTGTCAGTACCCTACCCTACCTTACCCTACCTCCCCCCTCCCTCCCACACCAGTGACCGCACCCCCCCCCCATCCCAATTCCATCCTGCTTTTTGGCCCTTTTCCCTTTGAGTCTTGGCTTTCCAGCCTATGATGAATGTCCCTGTGCAGTTCGAAAGACGTAAACCAAGCACGCGAATTTAACAATCAGTCCTCCCCAATTGATGTCTGCCGATCAACACTCTCTGTCTCTCTAAATGCTCACTCAATTCAAAACTCCATATCATTACTACAATTCCGCCATCAGCACATCGATACTTGATTGATACTCGTTCATCCTCCCATCATTACCTCTTTGCTCTAATTGTCCCTCTCCTCGGCCAGTAAACGTTGTTACTGCCCTCCTCCGGTTCCATACCATACCAAATCCTGCATCTTGGAATCCACAACGTCCACGCAACACTTCATCCATATCAAAGTACACGCAACACCTTCCCACATAATTACTCTTTACTATCCGACCAACGATCTGTGCCCGTTGGTAGGACTGTTTCTCCACATTGTGCGTTCGACTTGAAACGCTCAAGCACACCAACCACTCCGTCATCTGCAAAACCCACAGGGCCCGAAAAGCTCCCATCTCTCTGGCCCATCGCCACGGCTCCTGGTTAGCACTGGCCTAGCGATCGGCATCCCGAGCTGTCTATCATTACTCCTCCCGGAAGGCCTTAGGACGGGTGTTCCCAGTGTCAGACTCAAGTTCAAAAGGCCCGCAGATCCCACGTCCGACTTGCTTGTGATCGTCTGTCCCCACGTTTTCAAACTCTCGAACCATCACCGGTTTCACTTGTCAGGATACCGTAGAGCTATAGTTTGTTCTTGAACACTCATAGCGTGTTACTGTCCTCCCTTTTGTTTGCTGTTACTCCCTCGACACATCCTCCCATCTTGTCCATCATCACCATCAAAAGGGAGTCCTTGTCCTATCCACCTATCCTCTCAAACCACCACTCGTCCTCCGTTATGGCAATGGCAGTCGATAATCGTCAAAATTCCCATATCAACGCTATGGGATACGATCCGTTGCGTTACCAGCAACCGCACTTCACCAACCCGTGGGTGTCGGCTACTGGTGCAACCTCGCAGCCTCAACTTTACCCTACCTCGATCGCACCCAACACTACCGCTGGACTGGAGGCTCATCCCACCAGCCAGCCCCAGCAAGTGCAGCGACCGACCAGCATTGCTCTCCCCTATCATGGCCTTGCAGTGACGGCACCTCCGCTTGGAACAGGTATTATCCTCCCGGATGGAGCACTAGCAACAGAAAACTTACTTGATACGTCCCAAGATCTCTTGTCACGGAGTTACACGAGCGGATACTCTACCTCTGCTGCTACCAATAACACTACGTATGCTCCCACCTCGGCTCCTTATTCTCAGATGGATTATACCACAAGCACACGAAGCCCATATGCATATCAGCAGGACTCTTCCCGTCGCTCCTCCCACCCGTCAGTACCCTCAACCGCGTTCTATGAAAGCGTCGATTCGCAAAGGCAACGCCAGAGTTCATTAGTTGACTTCAGCAGAATGGGACAACAGCACCCGCAGAGAAATAGCTTCAGCGATGCTCTCGATGCCAGCCGTGGCATGGTTTCCTTGAGCCAGTCGGACATCACTCCAAGGAACATCTACGGCAATGGTTCGAGCCGCAGCTCCACCGATTCGTATGGCTTCCCGTCTGCCCACTCCGCCCACTCTTCCATCTCCTCTGCAAGCTACAATGCTTCCAACTACTACGGGGGCGAGGGCTCCGTGACCGACTACAGCTCCGCGTCCGAGTCCGTCGATTTGTCCAATCCCCGAACGCTTCCCCGCCCAAATGCGCTCATGGGCGCAAACATTCCTCCAGCACCTCAGTCGATGATGGGCCAGTTCAGCTCCAAGGTTTCCTCCAGTTCCCAGAAGAAGCACAAGTGCAAGATCTGCGACAAGCGTTTCACTCGCCCAAGTTCATTACAGACTCACATGTACAGCCATACGGGAGAGAAGCGTACGTCACCTCATTCACAAAACCACCATTCGAGTATGTACTAATTTCTGTGTAGCATTTGCTTGTGAGGAACCAGGCTGTGGCCGCCACTTCTCCGTTGTGTCCAACTTGCGACGACACCGCAAGGTGCACAAGGGTGAAGGTCAAGACCACCCGTCACCCGACGACGCATGAAGCGCCGATCTCCGCTGAGCAATTTCCTCATTTCGGTTACAGTTACGACCATGGTTCCTGGCGATCTCCGTCATTCTATTTCGTCCACCGATCTCCTGCTCATTTGATGTGTGCGTTTGAGATATCCACTGTCGCGTTTTTTCGCTGCACAGCAAGTTCTGGTTGCCTATGCTAGACCGGGAACTCTTGACACGAATCTTCTTCTATCAGTCGCTGCTCGGGATTTATTTTGGCGATATCAATAGGCCCCTCTCTGCGTCGAGGGGCTTCCGTGGGCGTTCTTCCGGAGTTTTTGATCGTTGGTTGTTTTTGTTCACGCGAGTACCCCCTTTCCCCGAACGAGTTCTCCTCGTTCGCCTGTATCATCACGCGTTTGGTTGCCATGTCGTTGTTTTTTTGTTTCCGCGTCTCACACCTTCAGCAATTCTCCCCGGCCCCAGTGGCCCTCTCCAACATCGGAGTACGAACGTTCGCTATACCCTTTAATATTTTAGACTCTCTTTAGCAGCCTCATCGGATAAATTACGAGGATACTGGGCTGCATGACACTTGTATAGTAGTCGGTTTGGAGGCGCACAGTTCTGTTTCTATTCTTTATCATATCGGAAAGTCATGATGGCAGCCTCTTGCACCGGGGTCAAGGGGGGCTTATTCATTGCAGGGTGGGGATTCCTTCTGTTGTCTCACGGCTGTCGTAGGCAAACACTACGAGGCGATTCCACACCCAAACTATGATATCAGATCTCACGAAATATTAGAGGACCAAATATATCCAGATATCCAAAACACTCGTGTCTACATCCATCCACTCATCTATCATTGCTAGCATCGCATCGTTTCAGCCGGATATTGCTGTCTATTTCCGACCAAGTTAACCGCTACAGAACCGACGACACGGCAGAGACATTGGCTTTGATGCGCCTCGACATCATGGTAGCATCCACAACATCACTTGACCCATTCAGAGCCGCTTTGCTGCAAGGGTTAGGCGCGATTGGTTAGTTTGCCCATTAACAAGATGTGATGCGGAACGCGGTGTCAGCACAAGGGTGGAAGGCCTACACTAAAGAGAAAGGCCAACGAAATCAACGCTTTGCTATCTGCCGTGCGCTTGAGTGACGACGACTGGTTGAGCAAGCACCAGGGGGTGGACGGGGCTGACGGGGCTTTACCGATGAACCCCTGTTGTGTATGATCTCATCGTGCGCTAGCGTTGGACCCCTACTTTCCACTCTTACCTCCACCACATCCATCATTCGAGCATCCTCACCTACCTACGGTCCTACGGTCCTACACATTACGACAATAATGAATGCCATGCATTGAACACGTATGAAGTTATCATGCATACGATTTACTAGTAAACAAGACATATTACACAACCACCGATACCCGCGACACCTTGTGCTCCCGTAGTACCTGGTGCAAATGATAGATTTACGAGTATGAGGGAACCAACGATGAAACGATCACCACTCATCCTATCATTCACCGTTCAATCCCAGCCCGATCCTAGCATCGGATGTCATACCTTACACACTCCAATGCTCGCTGAATAACTATCTCTGCCCCTCGGCGGGCGCAGGGCATGGAATCCCATTGACCAGATATCTTAATTTGCATATTGTCTTTGCCTCTTCATATCAATCGACCAACCAATCTGTCCCTCATCATCAACCTACTGCCGTCTCACCATACGGCGGTTGGTTTTGCCCGACCTTCGGGCATCCTTCCCAAAACCCTATTTTCGTATGTGGTGGCTTTGACGAAACCCTTTTTTCGCCCCTCAGCATGTTAGAAACAGCCCGCAATTCGCAATCTGCTTCCTTCGACTCTTGGAACAGGGGTTATTAGGACGGGCGGAGCGGGCTGTGAGATGGGTGGTTTACCTACTCTCAGGTGGGCCTAACGCTGGCCGAAATGCGCGCATGTGCAATCCAACGAAAGTCGTCGCACGTAAGCGAGTTATCATCCTAGCCTGGCGCAACGGCCTCGCGCTGTTCTGCTGCGATACTGCCCTTCCCATCCACCTCCACCTTGACCGCTGCTTTGATCCGCTGAACGATGGTTGGCGGACACGGACGTGGCAGCAGCGGAGTGCATTACTGTACGAGTACATTACCACCTCCAGCGGACAGCGGACAGCGGACTCTTTCCCTCATAAATGAAATACCGCAAGAAGCATGGTCGCGCCGATGTCGTCCTGCACACTCTACTCACCTTCTGTACAAAATACGCAGCTAGACGAAGCACTCCGTAAACTGCGAGTGCAGAATACGATGCCGCATCGGCCACGGCGGCAACTCCAACACGCAACCCACATCGTTTAAACGAAGAGTACGGCATGCCCGTCGAGGCAGTAATAGCAGCATCAAAAGGACACGCACGCGAGCTCTGTGCATATTTGCCACTGCTCGTAATGCCCGAGGACCGTTTTCCTCAGGCCGCAATATCCAGATTGTTTCACGCTGCGTTGTATACTTTCAGCCTCAACGTATTGGTTGATTGATTGATTGATCGATCGATCACCCTGCCCTGCATATGTGCTAGACAATCTCACAACTGCGTTCCCGATTACTTCTTTGAGGAAGCTGCATATAAGACGACCTTGATCCCGTGATGCGTGGCCGGCGACAGACTGTTTCCACAGCTATCTACTCATTCTACAGCTCGTGATCATCGGAAGTTAACATTCACAAATCCGTAGGCTATTTCATTTATCACTTATAATCTCGCAGCTCAAGGCTACCCGCTGGGCAGTCAACTGTGCCGTCTGCTTTTGCTACGACATAATCGCATGAATTCTGTCTACGCAACTAGCGATAGCTACAGTAGTCTACCTACAATGCTTGCAAATAACGCGGGAGGACAGTACTAATGCGTTGGCAGTACTACGCCCACAGGGCTTATTAATCCTCCCTTCAATCCTCATCTTCGATTGCCTCTACATGGGTGTATCTTCTGATTGAATAACTGCAGACTTTTTCCTTCACGTATTTCCTCTTGCGGACTAGTCCCTTCCTTCTGAAGAGACAAACGTCGTGACCATGCCCAAAAATTCACGGATGCGAAGTTGGTGTCACTTGCAGATTGCTCCCCAAACCCCATCCCCCAATCCTTCCATCCCATCTCTTCACCCCTGTCGATTGTGGAAGAAATGCGATATCAGGCCATGCGCTCTGCATATTTGTATAGATGTACCTACTCCGTACGGACTGCTGTAGGTGTACACGCAATTAGGTAGGGGCGGCTGGCTTGCTTGCAGAGTACAACTTTCTTTCTCATGTTATCTCGATCCTTGCTACCTCGTATGTTCGCTTCAACTTTCCTTCCTTTCGGTTCTTATTCTTCTCCGGGTCTTGGTTTACATCTTCTGTACGGAGTAGTTACATTGATCAGTAGTATTTTCTCGCTTGTTAACGGACTTTGAAGAAAACGACCCAACACCATCGGACCTCACCCTTCCAATCTATTATACGAGGAAAAAACAATGAAAACGGAAAGTAAAGAGAGAGTGAAAAAAAAACAAGAAGCACACGAACATGTCGTTTCTCCCCCCTAGATACCACATATTTTCAATTTCCGTGTCGTAAACAAGGGTAACCGAACGACAGACCAATCTCCCAATTCTTCCAATTCGATTCGTTCCATGCAATGCATGTCCGGGCTGGGATGATATCGCATGCATACACATACACGCATGCACGTTAGACAATCAATTTTTTTTTCTTTCTTTCCTTCGTTTGTCTGTCTCAGATTGACAACGTGGGGATATTGGATTTAATTTTTTCTTCTGCTCCTTTGGTTCTCGGTCTTTTTCTTCTTCCATCTCCTGCATGTATGCACATGTACATACGCAATTGCAGTAACACACCCTCCACCCTTGAACGTTTCGTATCCCCCCCATCCCCCCATCCCCCCGGTCTCAAACGAAAGATGTGTTCTCTCAAACGTCTAAGAACGTATCAATACTACTCGCCCATTCTCTTTCGAGTCTCGCAGTCGCCGGCCCCTACCACGAAAGATTTATTAATCACGATGTTCTGGAAGGAAAAATGCCCAGACGGAGATTGATTCGACGTTCATGCAGAGGAAAGAAAGGAAGTTACGTTGAAGTGGTATGGAGTACTCGTACGACTAGATTACACTGACCCTTACGGCCTACACCAATCATCGCTGCACAGAAGCATATATAGGTGATAACTACAGATGTGTATATATCGTATGGTGCGTTATGCCGATCGCCTTCTCCGTCTGGTAAGCAACCGTACAGGATGGGAGACGGCTCGTTGGGTCGAAGAGACAGACGTGCGAGGCGAGATTGCGTGTTATCACTGTCATTATTACCATTGCCATTATCTTCATAGGTTCTTGTCACCAAGGAATGATGGGATGGGAGTGGTCGGATGTATGGTTCGTTGTTTGACAGGGAACGTCCGGGGGTGGGAATTCCTCAAGAATGGGGGCGGTGGTAGGATTTCATCTAATTGTTAGTGCGATTCCTTCATGTCTTTCGGATCTTCGATCGAAGATTTCCAAAGCCTGAGGAAGAGTGGGTAACGTACGGCGTACTGTACACTGTAGTACACCCAAGAGGACATCATCCCACGGGCGGCTATGGCGTCAACTCTATTCATGCAGTAGATTTTCCTTCGAAATTTGATCATGCGAGTTCTTATTTCTTTCTCCATAGTGAAATATCCAGGGTAAGAAGCACGTACATACACAATCAGTACACCATGCCATGCCATGACATGCCGTGCCATAGTACAGAAGCGGCTAAGCTTCAAGGATCTCTATGACATTCAAGCATCACCAACGTTTGAAGAGCCACTCCGGGAGACATATTTAGTGCGTGTTGATTGCATTATACCTAGATGGATAGTAAGAGCAGGTTGCCTTGAAAGGATGACTCTCATGCTCTTGCTTTTCGCTGCAGCCTCGGTCGGGCTCACGATCTCCCGCAGCGACATATTCCATGTGATGAGACGTACACCGTATTTCTCATCCTTCAGAGTATCTGAGATTGTGTCCGCCCTGCATTCCTCTCCAATCATTTTAAAGGCGTTCATGCGGAGAGATGACCCGATGTGTTGCCAAGTTTCCGAACCGCTCTCTCAGCATGTAATCAAGTCGCCCCATAAATGATCGTGCACCCAAATCCTCGCTCACAACGCGAAACCGGACGTCGAACCCATCGAGGAAGGTATTGCCAGTGAGATACCGACAAAAAGGTACCGCTGTGAAGGCTCTACCACTAATTTCGTTGCATCCTTTCAGATGACCTTTCGGTTAGCAATCCACTGTTAGTGTGCAGAAGTGATCGTCCATCATGCCCACAAATTACCGCCCACATGATTCATGGAGTTCTCTCGTTGGCTTTGGGTTGGACAATGGGCTACCCCACAATGTCGCCTTGCGCACACTTGAACACCTTACAAGTGTGCTCCCGTGGTCGCCTCGCTGCAAGCTCCAGAAAGGACGCGTAATGGCTCCATTCTCTTGATGCATTCCGTGCTCCGTATCCGGTAGGCGACGATACAGTATGGCCCTTTGCATCGTATCCTCTAATAACCTACCCACACGCTCGACACAACTGCGCTGCTACTACCTCAAGCCACAGCGGACTACGAATGGCGAAATGATGAAGGATCCAGGCTGATCAGCCTTTCCGTCTTAGATCCTCCACGACCGCGCATCAATCCAAGAAATTACCATCGAACAGGAGTGGGTCTATGGCAAAAGGTGTATGATATATCGCTCCCGCGGACGCAAGGGATCTCGATTTGCTTCATCAATCTCGCCCGTAGGTAATCTTGCCTCGCTTTGTCGGCTTGCTGTCTGTATCTTCATCGTCTGTGGCCTTTTTCTTTTTACTCGCTCCTCCGTTCTTGTTCGCTCCGTTTTGTGAAGGCTGGCTCGATTCGCGAGTGGGGAACGAAGAGGTTGGGGTCGCAGCATGGGAAGGTGTGGTCGTGTTTGAGCCTGGAGTCGAAGCTTCCTACGTTGGCGCGTTAGTCACTGCCCTGCACTGCGTTGCTTTCGCCGTCCTCGAAATCTACGTGGATAGCGTGTTGGTCTCCTACCCTCATGAAGCTTGTTGAGCTCCGACTGAATATTCTGTCCGCATCGCTAATTGTGCCCTTACGGCGCGTGGCTGTACCAGCACCGCCTGCGGTGGTCGTAGTGGATGCTCCCTTGATATAGTTATCGAAACCCTTGATAATGTTTCCAGCAGTTGTCTCCTCCAGGTACGATGATTCATTGCGGAGGATATTTTCTTCGAGTTGAGCCTGTGACTGGTTAATCCATATGCACATTTAATAGTTGAAGCTTGACACGTACAAGGTTGTTATCGATCAGTCGTTTCTTCTGCAACGCTTCCCTTAAGTCGCGTCGAAGTCGTTCATAGTAGGGCATACCGCGCGACACATCCGATACATTCGCGGCTCCTGCAGGCGGCGCATTTTCCGCCATGTTGAGTTATCAATGAATCGAGAGTGTATGTAGATGCTTGGAGGGTGGTAGGGACGAGACAAAGTTGTTGAATATTGGTTTTTGCTCTCGTTGTTTCAATCGTGGATGTTTCAGTGAGCTGGTCCTGCCTTCCCCAGATGAAGTTCCACGCTAGCGTGGTCTTGGCACATTCGAGCCGCTTCCAGCCAGAGAAAGAGCAACTAATTCGTTTGCCTGATCGCAACCGCACATCCTCTTTTAACAAGAGTCATCGCATCTCCTGAAGCTCTCAACCTGTTCGAAAATCACACACGGTCTCAAGTAATCCTTCACATCTGGAGGCGATAACACAACCAGCGGCAAATACCCTCTGCGCGTGACACGAACGTCAATATGGACGCGAAAGAAGTGGAGCTCCGAGGCAAAGCCATCACAAAGGCCATGAACGCCAACGAACCTAGTTCCTCCCTGATAAATCTTCTCACCGACCTTCGAAACAACCTCAAACCGACTGAAGAGTTGCTACGACAGACGAAAATCGGCGTGCAAGTGAATAGACTACGGACGCATAAAGACCCAAGCGTAGCCAAAGTCGCTGGTGAGCTAGTCTCGAGGTGGAGGGATGAAGTGAACAAACAGAAGAGAAAGGGAGCACCAGGAAAGGTTGCTCAGGCTTCAAATGGGAGTGCATCTCCTGCGCCTACGCCTGCGTCTGGAACCGCGTCACCTGCGCCAAGTAAGAAAAAACACGATGTCGACCCAGCCAGTCGCAGCCATAAGACCGATAAGGTAGACTTGAAGATCACGGGAGACGACAGTCGTGACGCATGCATACGCTTGATGTATGACGGCTTGGCCTTCATGAGCGAGGACCGTGAGTCAACCATGTCCCTTTCGATGTTCTGACAACCGCTAATGAATGTTATAGTCCCTGAAGACATTATCGTAGTCGCAAAAGCTGTCGAATCTGCCGCATTTGCCAACGCTGGAGGAATGAATACAGACTATCGGACCAAAATGCGCTCCCTTTTTCAGAATTTCAAGAACAAGTCCAACGATGACCTCCGGAAAAGGGTACGATCTGGTGATATTGCACCCAAGCGTCTGGTCGTTATGTCGCACGAAGAACTGAAATCCGCGGATCGACGTAAGGAGGACGAACGTCTTCAGAAAGAGAATATGAACGAAGCCATGGTTGCTCAGGTTGAGAAGAGTATTTCTAAGGATTTCCAGTGTGGAAGGTGCAAGAAGAGGATGGTCAGCTACAGTCAGGCGCAGACTAGAAGTGCTGATGAACCGATGACGACTTTCTGCGAATGTACGAATTGTGGCCACCGATGGAAATTCTCCTGATGTTCTACGTTGGAGAGCATTCCCGGCATGCGTTTCTCGTATGCTTGCGTTAGTTCTGTATCCGTTTTTTTTTTTTTGAGAATTTTCTATTTTCAATGGTGAGCGGGAGGCGTTTGTAAAAGGGGCATTGAAGGGCGCATATTATGATGGACCCCGTGAGGTTTGTGGAAGTGAGGATAATACACCACCCCGACCACAGCAGGCCATCCTTCCCGCACCGGGGCCATGAAAATTGGGAGTGTGAATTTTAGGAATTATTTTAATCCAGAGAAGCTTAGCCTTGGAAAAATTCCAGTGATTTCAGTGCTATCATGCCAGTATGGTCGAATCGCAAAAGGTGAACGAATTGAATATTCGCATCATCATTAACAGATGTCCTAAGGGATAGACTGTCTGGTTGTTGCGGTCAAGTAGTTTTAGCATACACAGTAACTCTGTACAACTTTCCTATGGTAGAGGTAAACCGAATATTGTACTCACAAATCATCAGCTGTTCGAAAAGAAGGATGATGCTTCTCTATGCCGCAATGAATATGCTGTAAATTACTTTGACGTAGATTCCATATCTCTTCTTATGTGCAGAAACAGACCTAAGATAAGATGTGGTGGGAGAAGAACTTTTTTGTGATAAGGACATATCGATACGGACGAAGGTATATGAAGGATATTGCTTAAAAAAGAACTGATCATTTGAACCCTGACACCGTATAATCAAAATGATTGACCTCCTATTATGCAACGTCTACAAAGGCCCTTTTCACTCCACTCTTCTCGCGTTCCGCTTCCACTCTTTCCACATCTTCTATACGGACGATGCCTGCTTCATCAACCCTCTCACCAACAAATCTGACAGCTGCAACATTGAAGCCGATGAGATCCTTCATACTGCTCAGCATTGCTCGCAAGTCAGCTCTCATGCCTTCTAATATCCCTTTGAGCTCCCTGCTTGCTACAATTTGCTTCTGGTGTGTTTTAAGCATAAAGAAGAGAACACGGCATGTCAAAGTCACATTCCACTGTCGTTGTACCCATATACTTATGAAAGTAAACAACGAAGGAAGAGCAGAGAATGGAAGGACGAGGAGAGCGTCATGAAGCTGAGCAGCTGGAATCTTGGCAAGAACATTGAGGACGTGACGCTCTGCGCTGATGTTGCCCAGTGCAAGGAAAAGAGGATTGCGCTGTGGAGGGGCTATATTCGGGTTTGACTTTTTCTTTTGCTCCCACTCACGCACAAGCTCAAGATCTTCGAGGCCAAGTTCAAGAGCTTCTGCTATGCGCTCTCCTGCTGTAAGCGTGGATATTGTTTGCTTAGAGGCGGCGCCGGCCTCGGCCGGCTCGCCATCCAATTGTGTCTCGTCTTCGAGAGAATTCGCAAGGTTGCTTTCGTAGAGTTCTTCGAGTTCTCGTTCGCGTTCTTCTTCAAGGAAAATAGGCTCGTCGGTCTTTGTCCAGATCCGAATGCTCTTGTCATGTGACGCAGAAACTATAAAGTCTCCTGTACGTGCTACAGTCATAGCCCAGATCTCGCCATGGTGGCCCTTGAACCTTTGGATCTGTTCGAACTTGTCTCCATCCCAGCTCTTGATCATCTTGTCTTTGCTTGCACTGAAGAAAATGTGTTTCTCGTCTTGTTCGACCGGGTGCGGAATAAATGCGATTTGCATGATGCTGTCTTCGTGGCCAAATAACGCTTTGTGACAATCTCCAAAATCGAGACCCCAAATTCTGACATTTTTGTCCGCACTACAAGTCGCGATGAGCTTGCTGTCACTCGATATAGACATGTTGAGGACAGGGAGTTTGTGGCCATAAAGATTGAGGAACAGCTTTAGTGAGTCAACAAAGAACACTTTGACAGTGTTGTCCAACGTCGAAACAGCGAGTAACCGAGCATCAGGAGAAAATTGGATGCTCAAGACATCCTCGGTAACTTTTAAAGCGCGTGATTGTACAAGCTTGAGGCGAGGAGTGGTACGTTTAGTTCCAGGAATTTCTTCCTGTGCGATCTCAAAGTTCCAGAATTTAACAGATTTGTCCGCGCTTCCTGTTGCCACGGACTTTCCATCTGGATGAACCTGTAGAGTCCAGATAGCGCCCTCGTGTGCATCGATCCTATCAAGGAGTGACGAAGCAGCGATGTCGTAGAGCTCAAGGTCGCCTTCCTTTGTTCCTACTAGCACGATCTTATCACCGGGAAGGAAAGCACAGCAAAGCGCATAACCACATTCCAATGTCCTTAGGCAGCTCTGCGTTCGAATATTCCAGATCTTGAGGCCACCACTAGAGGCAGAGGCCAGCATTCGGTCGTCTGAGCTGAGGGCCAATGCTCGCACATCGTTCCTATGTCCAGAGAGTTCCACAGAAAAGGTTCGGGTATACTCTGGTGCCTCATCATTTTTCGATTTTCCAGCATGGGGAACGTCATACATATCGATAAGATTGTTGGTGGTTCCGACGAGTAATCGCAACTTCTTCCCTCGCGCTTGGACCCAAGATGTGGATCTGACTTTTCCAGCTGTTCGTACGGTCACATAGGGTACTATGACTTCTCCAATCTCTGCATCGGCGATCGTTGTCTTCTCCTCGGCAGCGTCAACATCTTGCGTGATATCACCGTTGCTTTCTTGCTTGGCTTTCTCTCGCTTCCTTCTGCGCTTCCTTGCTAAGCTCTTTTGAACTTCGCCTTCGGATCTTATTCTCCAAATTTCCACAGCCTTCTCAGAGCCGTGAACGGCGATATAGTCCCCCTTTGGATGGAAATATATCCCCAGTGTCCTGTCCTTATGTTGACGATATAGCGTTCCACGTTGATGGAGTATATGATAATCTGCCCCATCACCAATTGTGGAGCTTGCTCGTCTGAGGCCTTCCAAGTCGATGGACCATATCTTCAATTCACCATCGTTTCCAGCCGTCATACATCCGGAACCGTCTTCAGAGACACCCAAAGACCAGCATTCTCCATTCGTTTGTGCGATATGCGTTTCTATGCAGTGCTGTGTGTTCACATCCCAGATCTTTATCAGGGCATCCTTGCTCGTAGAAAGCAAGAACGCCTGATCGGATTGTGAGTCCGGTTGCACTTCCTCCGAATCATTGTCCTCGGTGGGTTTTATGGTATCTAGAAATCGCAATCCAGTAATTTGTCCTTTGTGACCACGAAGCTTGAAAAGGCCGACCTCAGATACTAAGTCCCAGATCACAATATCAGTGTCTCTTGATCCACTAGCTAATCGAACGCCTGACTTGTCGAAGACAAGTGTTGTGACTGCAGTTTTGTGTCCGTTGAAGCTTATTATGACTGTTGCGGTCCTGGAGTCCCAGATTCGGATGCTTCCATCGGCATAGCCAACGGCGAAAACATCTGGGTCTACTTCGCTCCGGGTAATGACTGTTACTTCTTCGGTACACGAAGAGTCTCGCCACCGGCTTATGAGTTCTCCTTTCTTCACATCCCAGCATAACACCTCTTCGTTGGCTGCGGAATAGGCTCGACCAGAACCGGCAGAACGGCTCGTTCCAGATTGTGTAGGGCCTTCGGGTGACCAAACGATATTACAGGATCCGGAAGCGACGATTCCAAAGGCATCCGTCTGCTCGTATTTACTGCGATTGTCAGCTTCATTAGTCGCTGGTCGAGGATATTCTTACTTGTAAGACCTGACCATGATGAGGCCTTAGGGGGGCGAGAATCAGGGTGACAGCACAATGAAAGTTCGCAAACGTATTATACACAGTATGCGACCGTTATTTCCTTCTCTGTGTATGGCTAAAATTGCGCACGGCTTGCGACCGATGTGTTGAAACTTTCTTGAAGCTGCCCGAACTTTTTTTGAGATGTCGGAGAAACTAACCCCACAAATTCCAGCCACATCAGCGCCACACTTCCTACTCGTGCCTGCTGGAGGTAACGACGCACATCACCTCCAACACCTCCGGCCGCACCACAAACCAGCTCTCGGCAGCATCCCCGCAATTGCCAGATACCACACATTGCTTGATACAATCATGCTTCTTCTTGACTACCAGAATGTGCTCATTGAGTCTCTGCTCAAAGAGCGCTTTGCAGGGTACGTCTCTACCCCGCAGGCTACCATACATAGTATAAGAGCTTACAACTTACAGAGGAGCACCGGTCTCGATCGATCAAGTAGTATCCGACTTTGACGGTGTCACTTTCCACATTTCCACACCAGAAGTGAAGACGAAGATCGTTGTCTCGATATCAGTCAAGTGCTTTGCGGAGCTAGTCCAGCATGGCGCTCAGGCAGTCCTTGAGCGGGAATACGGCCCATACATCATCGCACCAGAAAGTGGTTATGATTTCTCGGTCCAGGTGGATTTGGAGAATCTACCTGAAGAACAAGGTGCGTAAAATTGGCATGCGATATAGGACCTCTACTGAGTCGACGAATAGATGCCAAGGATGATTTAATCAAACGCATATCTCTATTGAAGCGCAACGCCATGGCAGCACCCTTCGAGCAGGCATTCGACGAGTTCCAACAACTACAAGAGGAAGCTTCCAAATACACATCTGAATCTGCACCACAAGGCGTGAAGGAAGGCGGTGAAGTGCGCGCGATCCACTACCGTGAGGAGGAAGCTATCTACATCAAGGCGAGCCATGATCGAGTGACTGTGATCTTCTCAACCGTGTTCCGGGAAGAGACGGACAGGATTTTTGGAAAGGTTTTCTTGCAGGTAGGGATACAAAATCACAGGCTGCGTATGTCATGGCTGATAGAGGTCGATATAGGAATTCGTTGATGCCCGACGACGAGCCATACAGAATGCACCCCAGGTACTCTTCCGCAACGATCCTCCGCTGGAGCTTGAGGGAATTCCCGGCATCAACAATTCTGGTTCCGGAGAGATTGGCTACATCACATTTGGTACGTCGGACTTTTGCTATCCTGCATCTTCAAACTAACACCGGCAGTTCTCTTTCCCCGTCACCTGTCAAACCAGAGGAGAGCCGAAGTAATCTCACACATCCAAACATTCCGCGATTACTTCCACTATCATATCAAGGCTTCTAAAGCGTACATTCACTCGAGAATGCGCAAGCGGACAGCTGATTTCCTTCAAGGTATTATCTCTTCTCGCGGAAGATCACGAACCGTACTAATCAAGTCCAAGTTTTGCGAAGAGCAAGGCCCGAAAGCGAGGAGAAGGAACGTAAGACAGCCAGTGGCAGAACTTTCAAAGTACAATCATAGAACATTTGGAAAGAATTGCTTAGTACAAGCCAACGATGGGATTGAATGGCGACGTTTAGGAGCAACCCGGAGTCGCCGTGCACCTCAATTTACACAACGCGGCATCCAACAAATAGGGATTCATTCAGACGGTAGCGCACGAATGTTAAACAATGCGGATCTGCTACACAGATCTCGACTAGAATTCATAAATAACATACTTTTATCATTGTTTCCTTCACACATTCGCAAGCAGTTGCTCAGTGCTTAACCACTTTGTTGTCGATATCACGTGTGAAAGTGCACGGATCAACGTCGGACCTTTCTGCGATCTTTAAACACAACCTCGAACAAGTAAACACGAATTGGGGGGAAACACTCATTTGCGTTCTGGTCTCAGATACTGCTTAGTTCTTGGAAGCAGAGTGACAACACAATGGCAGAAGCGTCGAAACCAAAGTACGATAGCCTCCCAGGCATCGACACCGCGCCCGATGTGTACGAAACCCCCGAGCTTGACAACGACACCTCCACCATTCAAGCTTCCACTGCCGTTTCCGACTCCGATGCTGGCGACTCGGAAGAGGATGAGGAGTCTACTATCCGACATCGACACCTACAGACAGACGAAGCTCGCAGTCGCTTTCAGCCCTCGAGAATCGACGCTCGTGGGGTTGACTTCTCCGATAACATCAGCGCACAACGTCGTTCATATCGCACATCTACTCGGGGAGCCCGGCGGCGTGGTGAAATCTTGGGGGAGGATAGTGATGACGAGAAGGAGTCTTTTTCACGGAAACTTCTACGTCTAAAGAGGGAACTTCATGAGTTGGAAGAGGAGTATGAAGACAGAGTTCAGTCTGGTGATAAAACACAGGTTGAAGAGAAGGATCCCAAGGAGATAATGGAATTGATTAGCGAGAAGGTGGACTATATATATGCAATGCGGAAAGGAGGCGTTCGTGGCGCGGAACCCATACTAGAAAGGACGATTGAGAAGTACAACAAGTATCCACCGTTCGAGCCATCTCAAAGGCTGACCAAAGCCATTGAAAACCAACCACCTCTTCCTGGAAGTCAAGTGCAGAGGTCGCAGCTCGAATTTGTGCTGAACCAGGCTGCGGATTTTGATACAAGGTTATCGAAATTAGAAGCCTCTTTGGGTCTCGACGGTAATTCCATGCCGGACACTGGCGAGAATGCTCCGTTCCCGCTATATACAACCCTGGAAAAGCTGGAACAAACCGTCACTGCGATTTCAGACGCATCAACTACCAATCTAGAAATAGCCGCACAGAATGTCAGGAAGCTCATCACTGAAGCGGACACTCTCAAACAGAGCAAGCAGGATTCCTTACAATACGAAGGCGCAGCGTCACCGCCACCCAACGGAAAGCCAATAGATGCAAAGTCGCGCGCAGATACGGACCAGGATGCAAAGATAAATGCCCTGTACGGTACCCTTCCGTCTATAGACAAGCTGTCACCCATGCTACCTATCGTTTTGGAACGGCTTCGAACACTTCGTCTTGTTCATACTGCTGCATGGCAGGCTGATGAAGTGTTGACGGAGCTAGAGAATCGGCAGTCGAAGCAGGAGGATGAGATCCAGAAATGGGCAACTTCACTGGAAAACGTGGAGAAGGATGTCAAAGAATGTGAACAGAGCTTGCAGCAAAATATGAGGACGGTTGGTGATTGGGTAAAGAAGCTAGAAGAACGCATGGAAAACATGCCCTCGATTGCCCAATAAGTTATATCCCTAAGAGCAGTGTTGATGCATCGCCCTTTGGATGGATGAGCCAGGAGTGTAGTCCTGCGACAGTTTTTTTAACAACATGTTCATATGCAGGTCCCAAGTCAGGGGGCAGACGGCTTGAGATCTTAAGAAATCCCTGGAAGGAGTGGATGACTCGACTAACCACATAGCATCATAGCGGCGTTGCTTTCGAAGTCATGATTTCTCTAGATACCCATACAATGTTAATTCAAGATCGGCATTTGCTACGACAGCGTTCATTACCGTCCTCTCTGTTTTTGATGTCTTCCAAACCCAATTGCATGAGAGACGATGGGTTTCCACATGACCAAGTCAAATTCGTCAAACTCATCGAGTAGATTATACATGATTATTATTATGATATTTTATGTGTGTCCTGCAATTAGAAATGCGTGTCTATCAAGTACCACAAGGCCCTACACGTGAAAATCTGTGGTGCACAATGCTCCGCATGTAGCGATCGTACAAAACGAAGTTAAGTCATGAAATATGATGAGATTGCAGTGAACTGATATGTAGAACATCTACTAACAAGATTCGCGTCTTGGATAACTCTTGCAGCCTCACATATTTCCCTTATCTGTAATAGTCTATGCTACACAGACATGTTCTTACTGCTCCAAACTGTAAATGAACATCCGCTTGTTTATATTTGTGGACCTTCCAAATTCTATCCTGACTCGATTCAACTTCTACTTTTCCATTAGAACTTTCCGTTTCCAGTATATGAAGCAAGTCAAGGCCAACGAAACCTGATGTGTGCTCGATGGTCATAACCTCTACGACCATAATCCATTCAGAGCGATCAGTCCCAACGCTTAAGGAAGACTGTGGTCCATTGGTGAGAACTCTCCCTAGGGGCGAATTAGAACCACATCTTTAGCAATCCATCACAGCCAATGTATCTCAATTTGGCTAGACTGATATTCTGATACTCTCCGCAGTGTGTCTCCCAGCAGAGCATATATCTTGATTACTGAGATGAAGACAACATGCTTTCCTTGAAATTGACTAATTGTAGTTTTATGACAAGCGTACTTTGACGTGTGGCCAAACTAATTGTGATATAGTATGATTCCATGTAGGAATGCCACACTACCCACGATTGCATGACATGAGAGCGAGATACTCGATAGGGACAAAGGAGAATGAATCGAGGCATGGGATGGCATTTTCATGGCCAAAGAAGATTAGCATTAACCTATACAGAGCATACGGAAAGTCTAAACATTGCCATGGTGGCCGCAATTAGCCGTTTGGAAGAGGATTAGGCCATGCTCCAGGATTCACAAGCAATATTTGGTATCCGTCCAAGGTAACGGAAACATTGGCAACGGCGATCCGAGACTATGGGATGCCGCCTAGCTGGCCGGGACTCTAAAGTTAGAGTTCCCGGTATGCTAGTTCGTTGACATATAATGCTTGTTGTGAAGGACATGGGCAATGATGTCTTTATCGATGAGTATTACACTACAACTTGTCATACTCAATGATGAACAGCTTACGTATCTGGGCATATTTTAATAGCAGTAACCTCATTGATACGATTTGTTCAATCTGTAGAAAGCTTCTCTTTCCGGAAGCTGACGTCTTCACAGTCCCATAATCGCTAGGTAGATGCAGCTGGCGAAATCAGCCTTGGTATAGATAGGCGACCCAAATGGATCGGTATACCGGTGTCTCGCCCACCGCGCGCTCCGTTGTTGCCCAAATAGATTCAGTTGAAAGTTATTTTCATTGGGTTGATCCACAGTAAAATGAGTAATAAGGAATCGTTTACTCGTACCAAGTGGCTCTGCGTACGATTGATGTACGATTGCCTCGTACCTCATTTGCGTTAAGGGCTTGGCGAAACTTGTGAATTTGGAGAGCATAACGGATTCGGCCTTTCGACTTTACTGGCACTACTAAGGAACCAAGTCTCGATGCTGTCTCAATGTGATGACGTATACCTGGAACTACTGGAGATCTAACATTTTCTTTTATGAGTCGAGGGAGTTCAAGATGAGAACATTAGCATTTGCGACCAATGAAATGAACCTGAAGCTTACGACACCCGTCTCCATTAAGTACTACTAAACTTACACAGTACTATTCTGTCAAAACCAATGATTTCTCGGTGTTTCGGTCATTCCTTTTATATTTACTGAATATTCCAATGGACATAAATCCGGACAGACCATGTCGTACACGCAATACGTCCATCGGCGAATCTTTTCTATAATGCCGACTTTTCGTTTCATGTGCCGTACAATTGCATTCGCTCTTCGTACAACCAGATCGGCCGAATACAGAAGTCGGCCCTCCTATATTTTGTCAAGAAAAGGGTTCTACGCAATAACGCACATAACTACACGGACGGCATTTTCACCGGAGTGCGGCAGTGCCAGATTCCATGGGAAGTTCCGTCCCACGTGGAAAGTGTCCAATGAGACTGACGCGATCCATGGCTCCGGAGCCAGTCCCTGATACATTATTCACTTCGGGTACTCGTCTGGACCCAGATCCATTGGAACAACATTCGTCCGCCTCGGTGAATGCTAAGGATGATCCCGATTAATAAGGACCCACCAGGTCGACGTGATGTACAATCGCTAGGCAGTCCAATCTGATTGTACCATCTGTACATATACATCTTTGAGCCTCCAATCTTGCATCAATCTGAAAAGTTCGCCTAGATCCCATCTGAGTTTGTACTTTGCTCCCTTCTTCATCAAAAGCTTATTTCTTTTTTCAATACATAGGTCATCCATACCATTTTTTAGATTTAATCTTTAAATACTTTGTCACACTAGAGTCGAAAGACTCACTTCCTCAACATGGAAGACCGCAGACGAAATTCAATCGGTAGCAGCATACCAGCTGGTACAGGAGAGGACATTTTACGACGTTTGTCAAGAACGTTCTCTGGACGATCACGGCACAGCAATCGAGATGACGACATTGAGCTTTTGGACGCAGACCTCGAAGAAGACGGATCATCGGAGAAAACGAAGGTGGACGATTGGAGACTCGCAGCACAAGTCAAGGAAGTTCAAATCAACGACCAAGCTGAAAGTCGTCGCCTGGGTGTCACCTGGAAAGACTTGACTGTCAAAGTCATGCCCTCGGATGCTAAGCTACAGGAGAACGTGCTTAGTCAATTCAACATCCCCCAGCAAATCAAGGAATCACGACACAAACCAACACTGAAGACCATCCTAGACCAAAGTTCCGGTTGCGTCAAACCAGGAGAGATGCTCTTAGTCCTTGGAAGACCAGGGAGCGGTTGCACCACGTTGCTGAAAATGTTAGCCAACAAGAGAAAAGGGTAATGCTCAATTCCATAACCATAGCTACAAAACTTTAGTTCCAGCGCTGACTCCTTTATTAGCTACGGCGAGATCACTGGTGACGTCCGATTTGGCACCCTTGATGCCAAAGAAGCCGAGCCATATCGTGGATACATCACCATCAATACAGAAGAAGAACTCTTCTATCCTACGTTGACTGTCGGGCGGACCATGGACTTTGCCACTCGCCTCAATGTCCCCAGAACCCTTCCCACGAATGCCGAGAACAGTGAAGATTATCGAACAAAATTCAAAGACTTCCTTCTTGACTCCATGGGAATTTCTCACACCGCGGACACCAAGGTTGGTGACGCCTTCGTCCGTGGAGTTTCTGGCGGAGAAAGGAAGCGAGTTTCCATCATCGAGACACTTTGCACCCGGGGAAGTGTGATGTGTTGGGACAACTCGACACGTGGACTGGATGCCTCAACAGCTTTGGAATATACCCGCGCGTTGAGATGCATGACAGATGAATTAGGGATCGCTACCATCGTCACCTTGTACCAAGCTGGCAATGGCATCTACGATTTGTTCGACAAGGTCCTCGTCCTTGATGAGGGCAAGCAAGTCTTCTATGGTACTCGGGCTCAAGCACGCCCTTTCATGGAGTCCCAAGGATTCGTATGTGGAGACGGAGCAAACGTAGCCGACTTCCTCACCGGTGTCACCGTCCCGAGTGAGCGACAGATCAAGCCTGAATTCGAGTCTCGATTCCCTCGCAATAAACTCGAATTGGAGCAGGCATACCAGCAGTCCACGATAAAGACCGCAATGGATCGTGAGCTCGCATATCCTACAACGGAAGAAGCTCGAATCAATACTCAAATGTTTCGCGAGGCTGTGTCGTTGGACAAGTCCACACATTTACCCAAGAGCTCGCCCATGACTGTTTCTTTCAAAACACAGATCAAAGCCTGCATCATTCGACAGTATCAAATCATTTGGGGAGACAAAGCAACGTTCTTCATCAAGCAAGGTGCCACACTGGTCCAAGCCCTAATTGCTGGTTCGCTGTTCTACAACGCTCCAGGTAATTCCGCTGGACTCTTCATCAAAGGTGGTGCTATCTTCATGGCACTTCTGTACAATGCCTTGATGGCCATGAGTGAAGTTACCGATTCATTCGCAGGACGTCCAATTCTGTCAAAGCACAAGAATTTTGCCTTCTACAATCCTGCGGCTTTCTGCATCGCTCAAATTACTGCAGATGTGCCAATATTGTTTGTACAGGTGACAGTGTTCTTGGTCGTTTTATACTGGATGACGGCACTGAAAGCCACCGCCGCTGCTTTCTTTACATGTTGGTTCATAGTATACCTTGTAACATTCGTCATGACCGCCTTTTTCAGGATGATAGGAGCAGCGTTTCCCAATTTCGATGCTGCTTCAAAGGTGTCGGGTTTCTCCGTTACTGCTTTGATCTTGTATATCGGATACCAGATTCGCAAACCCGCAATGCATCCCTGGTTTGTCTGGATCTACTGGATCAATCCTTTATCTTACGGCTTCGAATCACTGATGGCCAACGAGTTTAAAGATACGGTAATTCCCTGCGCTTACAACAACCTTATCCCGAACTACCTACCCGAATACTTGGATCCGGAGCACCAAGCCTGTGCAGGAGTTGGCGGTGCTTTGCCCGGTGCAACCTCAGTGACCGGAGAAGCCTACCTCGAAAGTCTGTCTTACTCTCCTGCACACATATGGCGCAATGTAGGGATTTTGTTCGCTTGGTGGGCCTTATACATTGGCCTTACTATCTACTTCACACAAAGGTGGGATGATGTTGCGGGCTCCAACGGTGCCCTTCTAATTCCTCGCGAAAACCATAAGAAGGTGCCGACGAGCATTACATCTGAAGATGAAGAATCCCAAGGGAATGAGAAAGTGACACAGGGTGCGACCGGGGGTCGGACGACTCAGGAGCAGAACGATGCAAGTCTCATGCGAAACACCTCGGTGTTCACATGGAGGAACTTGTCTTACGTGGTTCAGACACCAACAGGAGATCGTACGCTGCTTGATAATGTGCACGGATACGTTAAGCCAGGTATGCTTGGTGCTCTAATGGGTTCTTCTGGTGCTGGAAAAACCACTCTGCTCGATGTACTCGCCCTACGCAAGACTGAGGGGACGATCCATGGTGAGGTCCTTGTCGACGGTCGCCCGCTTCCGGTATCATTCCAGCGATCTGCAGGATATTGTGAACAATTGGACGTCCACGAACCTTTTGCGACAGTCAGAGAAGCACTAGAGTTCTCTGCTCTTCTACGCCAGAGTCGAGAAACGCCACGTGAAGAGAAACTCGCCTATGTGGATACTATCATCGATCTTTTGGAGCTGCATGACCTTGAGCATACATTGATTGGTAGAATCGGTGCAGGCCTGTCAGTCGAACAACGCAAGCGCGTCACTATTGGTGTTGAACTGGTTTCGAAGCCTTCTATTCTTATATTCTTGGACGAACCCACTTCAGGACTAGATGGACAGGCTGCTTTTAACACAGTCCGCTTCCTACGCAAGTTGGCCGACGTTGGGCAGGCAGTGCTGGTTACCATTCACCAGCCCTCTGCTCAATTATTCGCACAATTTGATACTCTTCTCTTGCTTGCAAAGGGAGGAAAAACTGTCTACTTTGGCGATATCGGCGACAATGCCAATACCATCAAGGAATATTTCAGTCGCTACGATGCCCCTTGCCCACCTTCTGCTAATCCGGCTGAGCACATGATCGACGTCGTAACGGGACATCACTCAAATGGGAAAGACTGGCATCAGATCTGGTTGGATTCTCCAGAGGCAGCTCGAATGCATCAGGAATTAGAGCAGATCATTTCCGAAGCTGCAAGCAAGCCACCTGGAACTCTCGATGACGGTCACGAATTTGCGACAGACCTATGGACACAGACTAAGATTGTCTCTCACAGGATGAACGTCAGCATGTTCCGCAACATTGACTATGTGAACAACAAGTTCGCCCTCCACATCGGCACAGCACTGTTCATTGGTTTCTCCTTCTGGCAGATTGGCAATACCGTCGCCGAGCAACAATTGGTCCTCTTCTCCTTGTTCAACTATATTTTCGTGGCCGCTGGTGTTATTGCACAACTCCAGCCTCTCTTCATCGACCGTCGAGACATTTATGAGACGCGAGAAAAGAAGTCTAAGATGTATTCCTGGGTTGCCTTTGTGACTGGGCTCATCGTCTCAGAGATCCCGTACCTCATAATCTGCGGCATACTCTACTTCGTCTGTTTCTACTATACTGCCGGATTACCATCCGACTCTGACAAAGCTGGAGCTGTCTTCTTTGTCATGCTGGTTTATCAGTTCATCTACACCGGCATTGGTCAGTTCGTTGCCAGTTATGCTCCGAACGCGGTGTTTGCCTCCTTGGTCAACCCTCTGCTCCTCGGTACACTGGTCTCTTTCTGTGGTGTTCTTGTTCCATACGGTCAGATCCAAGAGTTCTGGCGGTACTGGATGTACTACCTGAACCCTTTCAATTACTTGATGGGAGCACTGCTCGTATTCGCCGACTTCGATTGGGAAGTCAAGTGTACGGAGGCTGAATTTGCTAAATTCGACCCACCTGCCAATCAAACATGTGGCCAGTACCTCGCTGCCTGGACCAACGGACCAGGAATGCGAACGAATCTTGTCAATCCGGAAGCAATGTCGGATTGCCGTGTTTGCCAGTATACGCGTGGTAGCGACTACTTGTACACGGTCAACCTCACGGAATATTATCATGGCTGGAGAGATGCTGCGATCTGTGTACTTTTTGCTTTCTCGAGCTACGCCATGGTCTACCTTCTGATGAAGTTGAGAACCAAGGCGAGCAAGAAGGCTGAGTGAGTCTTCCAGTGGTGGATCTGTTGAGGAATTTGAGGAAGGGCCTATTCGACCAAGACCCCGAAGTTGCACACACTATGAAATTATTTCCTTTCTATCGGTAATGCACGTCTTATATTTAGACTTAGAGTTTTCTTTTGTATTTGTACATATAACACATTTCAGTAATATTAAGGTTGGGACTCGGGGCGTATCCAGAAAGCATAGATTGTCCAGGCATATTGGTAGGCACCATTGGGAAAGTAGAATCAATTTACAGCATATCGTCCCACAAACTTTAATACATACTAGTTCTGGTCAAATTCTCTTATCGATGATTTGATATCTAGGACTAAATAAAGTATAATATCTACGTGCGAAGTTACGTCTAGGTGGGATTGAAGAGACTGGATGGTGAGTTCGGCCTTCTAAGGGCCTCCTTGGCCACATGCAATCAAGACACAACAACTACTACATTTTAGTGTTCTGTAGGCAGGTAAATATAATCCACCGGACGGTATACACTCGTAGTTGAAGACTGTAGTATATGGAGCATATTAATTTCAGCATCACAAGAAAATCACGGTTGCCAACAGTGCTCCAAGGTGCTTCATGCAGAAACCTGAAGATGCAGATGCAAGGAAAGAGCCCACCGACAAGAGGGTATAGTATCAACGTATTTGATCCACAAAGTTTGTCACTACAGGGATCATGTAGTATCTGATGTGGAACATCTCATTTGCCACATCTACAATCGTGCGTGAGTACGTTCTATCGGTGAACATGCCCAGAAACAATCGAAATGCACCACCCTAGCTTCAAAACAAGATAGTATGCTTGGCCCTGATCTCCAGATGAATTAACAGCCGTGTGCGGAATCCCATCATTCAAGTTCGTTATGGTGGCATACGTATAAGACGCTAGATTCGTCAATCATTTAGCAAACCCAAGAGCTTCAAAACGCTTGCAGGACATTCTCTGGTTGAAGAAGCAATGATCTCATGTAAATATGCAGCGTAAATAAAGCCAAAGAGCAACACGACAAAGGCACGTAAAAAGTCAAATGCATCTTGGGGGTATGTACATAATGCTATGGCTATCGAGCTAAATGGAAAGTAAAATCTTGCCAAAGTACGATGGTGGGGAAAGGGACAAACAAGCGAGCTACTGTGAAGAAAAAAAACCAGGATGTGCGTGAACTGGCAACGCTCCATTAAATGCAGATAAAACTGGCTTATGCAAAGCGGCCGTTTGGTATGATGTGGCATAGTAGCGTGGTTATTAAGGGCGGGCGTTTTGGGTACAGTACGTGGGGGAATATAGTAACGATCGAGGTGCTGATTATCAACCGCTATAGGACATAAAGGGGTATCCTTCGGTACAGAAAGAGAGAAGAAATAGGGCTTTTGAAGGGGTCATGGAATCGTGTTTTCGCAGGCTTCGTCAAGATAGCCTACTACGGCCACCAACCCATGGCTTTGTAGCTCGCAATGACGTTGTCGATTTCTTGAGTGGTCAATTGCTTGTGTTCGTATCTGAACATTGTTAGTACTCTGTCATATGCTAGTACGAAATGACTTACTCAAACCCGGTCTCTTTTTCAAACAGGCTTCCATCCAAGCTAAGGTCTGTATCTCTGAGGAGTTCCTTCTCCATGAAGGGGCTCAGAGGAGTTGTCCTTTCGATACCTGCTGCCTTTTGGAGGTCAGCCCAAGGGTCTAGGGTCTCATCGTTAACGTCCTCCACGACAGAGTCCATATTCAGTCTTGCGAAGGTAGATATAATCGTGCCATGGAAACCAGTTTTGATACCTGGAAAGCTAGCGGGGATTAAATTTGCTATCGTCCCTTGCGCTGTAGATGTATTAGTTATACCATGTCGAGATCAAGATGGCGCGCCACTCACATGTGTTGCCATGGTCGACAATGTTGAAAATCTGTGGCGATTTCCGTGCTGGGTCTTTCACAAACCATTCCGCACCTGTCCAGAAAGCTCGAGCAACATCTTCGACGTGGACAGTATTTTGACGGAGGTCGTCTTTCCACAAGAACTTCATTTCCTTGTCAAGATCCTGGTAGACGCGCGCCATACACAGGCACGTTCCGAGGAATTTGCTCGTATATGCACCGTAGACATGCGCCATTCGCATCACCAACAAATTGAGGCCTTCGATCTTGGCCAAATCCTCTTCCGCGGTGAGCTTCCACTTTGCCAATTTCGACCAAGGCTTCAGCTTGTCGGTTTCCTTGCGAGGTACTTCATCTGGTTTGTAGACCATGCCCGTGCTGCTCTCAATGAAGCACTTCACCTTACGTCTTGCAGCCTCCTTGCCGAGGACCATTGACAGGCCATATGATCGCATTTTGTATACCTCCTCCTCTTGTGAGTATCGCGTCTCTCCGCCACAATTGAAGACATAATCGAATTCTTTGCCATTCTCGCGGTCGAATATGCGCTGAAGGGATTCTACGCCGCATGGGTCAGTACATGCCTGTGTTACCAGACTGTGGAGACATATGAAAGTCACGCACGTTCGCGCGAGGCATCAGCCTGCATGAATTTGTCCCGCGAGCATGCCTCCTTGAATTCTGGTGCCAGCCATGCAAGTTCCGGGAGGTGCTTGTCGACCAGACGGGTTTCGGAGGTCAGGTTGTTATCGTGGAGGTATTTGGCGAGGAAGCGTCCAGTGTAGCCTATATTTTATTTGTGTGTAAGAAAGATTGTTTGAATAATACCTGGTACTTGGATACAGAAGAGATGTGCAGTATTAAGGAGTAAATGGGTTGCATACCTAGACCGCCGATGATGAGGACCGCAGGCTTCTCTGTTGTAGCCATGGTGGGGGTAACTCGCCGCGATAGCTGCTGTGACGAAGACGCGCGCGCAGAACAGAACCCCAGAGACGAAGGCACGTACAAGGCTATTCTTTTCCTAAATTTGGGAGGGTCGGAAGAAAGTGGGAGAGGATTGTGTATCTATTAATCAGTAACGGGAGAAGAACAGGTCCGACTCTGCACAGTGCGGATCGATCAGGATGTTCCCGCCTCCAGACCAGACCACCCGCGAACAATAGCTCGCGCCCGTAGCGAGCGATGAGGTCAACCGGAGTTTAGACTTGCTCAAATGTTAAGCCGTAGTGGACCACCGACGAGTCGGCAAATGGTAATTGTGCAAGAAGATGGGAACTGGGGTCAGGTGTCGGATGTGAGCGGCATGCAATGGCAGGGGAGTTGAAGGGCGCAGACTGGGGGAGAAGAACAGTCTCAGAACGCAGCCGAGTGCAGGTGGGATGCAGCGACGAAGAGAAAGGCAAGAAAGAAGAATCCTAAGGCCGCATGTTCGCAAGCATGCTGCATGAGATCCCAAGAGTCATTCGCCTGCAGCAGCGCGAAAGGTAGACTCCTAGTTAGTCCTTATAATGTGTAAATACAGGGGTGTGGAGGAGTGCTCGCGATAGAGTGGACACAGAGAAAGGCGGCGAAATAACGATTTACTGTACGGAGTAATAATAGGTCTGTTTTGTAACCCTTAACTGGAGGGACAAGGAGCAGAGCCCAACAGACATCAGACATCATCGCCAGGCGGGACGTTGTGGAGCAAAGTGGCTTGTCGCATGCAAACCATCTGGAGCCGGCGTCCGTATTGCTCCTTCGCTCGTGTCCGCACTACTTTCACAGGCAATGATTTTATTCCATGTGGCTGTCATGAATGATTTTGTAGCCACTGGCTGGTTAGCTTTTTGAGTTGTTAGGTATTCACATTGCAGAAGTACATCAATTATATACAAGTTTAAAAACATAATGGTATCAGCGATTTTCGATGAACCACGAGAGCAGTTGACTATGATAACGACCACCACCATGCCCATCATCATCATACTTGTCACACGCCAGCTTCTAACAATGATCTGACGGTGACGAACTGGATCCAATGGGACCAAGCGACCGCCCGGCGCGCTCCCGTAGTCCTGGCCCTTGATGCACGACGTCGCGGAACCTTGATTCAGGGGATGTGGACCTTTTGTCAATAATGGCTCCTTTCCTAAGTCCTCAACCATGAATGATGAATCCACCACAATCACCACATCCAACTACCGTACCTATAGTTCCCTACTCCCACACCGATTGTTCTCCAACATCAGTACATCTCCGGTGATCGGCTACTCCGTACCCTTGTCCTCACTGAGCAGTATCTGATGTGCAACCGTACTGTGAGTGGCTGTTGCAGAGGCTCAGGCGTCATTTGACGATCGCGCACGTTGTCCCCAACGTTCGCCCTGACATGCATGCATGTCTATCAATGAATCAATCAATGAACCAGTCTAGCAGACGCCTGCAACAGAATCAAAAAAATCGTCCAGAACCCCCTCATCGCCCTCAAAGCCAGCCACACCGAGCCGCGTTGTCCGGACACTAATTAGATATGTCCTGGCGCTGTCGGTAAAAGGTCCGGCGCTATTCTGATCTATTGAGCTGTATCGTACAACAACAGCGACGACAACACCAAGAATAATGATGATAATTAATAGAGAGTAGCAAATAGTCAAGAACGTGCCGACGCCCAAGCTCCCGTTCCATCCTTTCTTCCTGTTTCTTATCCCGAGGCACTACTCCGTACCCCCACCCTGAGTCGGTATGTGTGGATCATTTGCTCATCACCTGACAATGCGGAGGACCAGATCGGGAAGTGTTGGTGATGAATGATGTGAATGACAGGAAAATAAATAAAACAAGGCCCAACCAGCGGGCCCAATTATATGTATGAGGCTTACAATACCTTGGACTTATTGGCCATTGCAAGAAGAGATAGGCAGGGTATCTTTTCCTCGCCTCATAGCCAGGCTGCATTTCTCTCTCGAAGAGGATTTTGCAACTGGAACTAACGACTTGCCATTGTGGACGTGCTGCTTTTAGCCTTCTGACCGCCATTCACAAAGTGCGGCCTCTGTGTCCCATGGTGTAACGCGCCTCTGTAGGGAGTGATGGAAGGAAACCTACTTGGAACATTGCTCTAATCCAGAAAAAGCAACCTTGTAAGAGAATGATTCCTGCTGGCTTCTCTCGGTTGTCCAATTTTACTATGCTACCTTCCCCAGCTGGTGGTGTAGTCTCTGCTACGACAATGATAACTACCAAAGCCTAGGTGTACGATGCATTTGTCCCGCATGGAGATATAGTAGCTCCCTTGATATACCTTCCCCTTTGATCCCTCTGATCCTACGGTTGACCAGCCGAGTATAGTGGCGTGCCACATTCATGCAAAAGATCCCACCCTTTAGCAGGATCGTCCCGCACCTGCAGAATATTCATGTCCAAAGAACGAAGACTTACAGGGATCAGTCACAAGTTGTCGTTACGAGGTATGATCATGAATCGAAAAATCGAACCTGCAGGCGGGAAAAGAGCAAAGGTGCATGATAGCTAAGACTTTTGCATTCAATTGAGTAAGTAATACGTGAAAAAGAATATATCAGATTGCTTGTTAACCGTAATCCGGTGCCGCGTCAATGCCCACCTATGTAAATGGTTGAAGATTGAGCAGGCACCTCGCAAAGACCGCACCGAGGTGCATAGAGCACAATGGGAACGTCATCGCCACGACTTTTGGCTCACGCCTCAGTGGCTTGACCTCCTATCTCCCTTTTGTTCCCCTAGAAAGATGCACCCAAACGCAGACTCCTTTATGCGCTAACCAAAAAATTACAGCTGGAATACAAGTGCATCTAGTAAGCTAGAACTCCCAGTTCTCATCCACCGACTTGATAGCCCAATCGAACTTCTCCCGCAAGGTCTTCGAAAAGAATCGTTCAATAGGGACGTTGAACTTCTTGGAGAATACCACCGTAAGACGAGGGTCAATGTAATTCTGAATGAGTAAGTAAAGCGCACACCAGAAGACTGGAAGTTCAATTGACTTACGATCTTGGAGGTGCCGAGAGCTACCTCCTTGTTGCCCTCCTTGTCTTCCATCTGGATTTTCATCACCTCAATGCGCTGGTTGAGCTTCTCCACGTTCGCCTCCAGCTTCTCGACTGTTGGGCCTTTGCCTTCAGCTTCGACCTTGCCGGTCTTATTCTCTTTCTTGAACTTCTTCTCCATCTCGTTCGTAACCGCGAGACGTTCATTCAGCTCCTTTACTTTCATTTCCTTTTCACCTTCGGCCTTGAGCTTCTCGTTCTCTTTCTCAAACTTCTTCCGTATCTTCTCGCGTTGCTCTTCCACGAGGAATTCCTGATGCTTCTTGACCCACTCATTGTCCAGATCATCTGGCCGCTCAAAGAACTGCGCGCCTCTCTTCTTCTTAAGCTTCGGGTCGACATCAATCATCATCATCTTCGAGCGCCACACTTGATATCGGAGTCCATTGATCTGCGGGATAAATTAGCTTCAACGCCGAATGCTTCCGTGCTCGTACATACCTTCTCCTGAATCTTCTCCATGGAGGCAGCATGGCTTGCGGCGACAGTACGCTTGTGATTACAGAGAATCGCAACCTCTCGATTGGCGTCGTTATAATCCTTGACCTTTTCTGGAATGGTGCCCTCTGACTTCATTTTCTTCAAAAGACTGGCCATCGTCCAAGAAGCATTATAAGTACGGAAAACCTTTGCCGTCAGACCAGGCATATAATTCGTCAAGTGCTTGTTGAGAGCAGAAGTCGTCAAGCGATCAAAGATATCGTCGTCAGTAGTTTTTGGGGACTTCTTGAAAATTTTCAAGTTCTTGAACACCTGCAAGTCAACCTCAACCTCGTTGTAGAAGCGAATACTGTCTTTACCCAGAAAGTCGAAGATGACTTTGTTTGGGGGCTGCAGAGTAACGTGCTGGTACTTTAGTGAGCAACAGCCGACGGTGTCGGCCTCGTCTTCACCTTTCTCGTTTCCAGCTCGAAGGGCAAATTGATCGATCAAGTAGATCGCCGTAGCACGTTGGCGGTCGACCATCTTTTCCGATTTAAGATCGCGTTTGTAATCCTTGCGAATGCGATCGATGTGCTTCTTGAGCTCTCGAGCCTTCTCGAATTTCTTGTAATCGCTCTGACCCTTAATGTCCGAATTGGCAGCAAGCATGACGTACTTGTAGGCGCCGTTGATGTTCTCCTGCCACATGGCAAGCCAGGTGCCTTCTTGATCATGCTTCACCTCCTTCCAACGGTGTCCAGCAGGTGGATCAGGGACCTTGGCCTCTTTGCCGATATTGATTGTAATTTGTTCTGGGAGGACTCGCTTCTTTACTCGACCTGTCTTTGGATGCTCACCACGGCCACGGAACAGGCTTGGAGGTTCGACGCGAAAATTGCCAACCTTTTGCTTACGACCATCCCAAGTGCAATACATGAAGGGCGCCTCTGCGGCATCCTTTTCGGCCTTGGCAGCCTTCTTCTCGGCAGCGGGAAGGGCTTTCTTCTTCGCTCGTTCGGCCTCGAACCACTCGAATATGGGCTTGAAGTCGCATTTCTCGAATTTCTTGATTTTCACGACGTTGCCATTCTTATCCTTGCCATGGCCGGTCTTATCCAAAATCGCGGTAAAATCCTCAAAGAAGTTCTTGTTGAAAGTAGGGTTTTCAATGTTGACGGTAGAGTGCAACATGCTACCGTAGAAGGTTGCTACCTCTTCTGCGTCTTTGTGTAGAGTGACAGGAACACCGTCATACACAAACTTGACGTTCTTCGGAAGAGGTTCGTACTCAGGAGGAAAGACAACACCATTGTGTTCCAAGGTTGTCCATTTCTTTGTGCCATCCCCTTTTGTAGGATCTTCCCACCATCGGTACTCTTCTTCGTCATCATCCTCCTCGCCTTCCTGATCGTTCTGCTCCTCTTTCTTTGCCTTTGCCTTTGTAGTAGTCGTCGCAGCTTGGGCTTTCGCTTTCGCCTTGGTAGCTGGGGCTTTCTTTCGTAGAGGGACATCGGAATCAGAATCATCCTTCTTTTTAATACCGTTGGCTTTCTTAGCAGGCTGTTTCTTCTTTGCGAGCGGTACGTCGTCCTCGCTTTCGCTCTCAGCCTTGGGTTTGCGCTTGGGTGCAACCTTTTCCTTGCTCCTAATGGCCCTCGCTTCCTTTGCTGCGGCTTTCTCTATGCCAGCCTTCTCTTTCGCTAACTTCGTGGTGATAGGAATATCTGAGTCGGACTCTTCACCGATCTGCGCAGCGGCAGCCTTCGGGGGTCTTCTAGCTTTCAAAGGCACGTCGCTAAGCTCCGAATCGGATTCGTCCTTCATTTGTCTGGTCTGTTGAGATGTTCTTCGGCGCTTACTCTATGGGAGAGTTAGCGCACTCAATTGTAAAGGGGCCAGTGGGAACACACCATTGGTTTGTCATCTTCATCTGAGCTGCTGGCATCTTTATATGTCTTCCCATTTGTCAAGCTACCTCGCGATTTGCGCTTCCCGTTGGCGATGCCATTCGTGGCAGGTGGATCCACGTCCATGTCCTCAACGGGGCCCATTCGGATGGAAACGCCCGGGTCCATGTCGCCATTTGAGGGGTTTGCTCGATCCATAGCTCTGTCAACGGTTTTGGGGATGCGGACGTCGGATTTCACTGATGAAGATCATGTTAGTGAGAATGGATTCAAAGATAATGATGAAAGATTCCGTTCGAGCGCTATGAGCGTAGGAACAGAAAGCTAAGGAAGTGTAGTTTACACAAATCACGAAGTGATATCGGGTAACGAGAGAACTCATTGTGCTTCAAGATGCGCGTGCACGTACCTCCGTTTGATTTTCCCTTGACAAGAGGGGTGTCATCGTCTGAAGAAGAAGACATGATCGCTGATGAGTGAAGCCGAGAACTCAGGTATTGAAAAGTAGCGCGGTTCTGCTCAGCTTTCTTTGGCGCGGAACCAGTGGGCCTAGTGGTAATGAAAGAGAGAGATCGGTAGATGGGCGCAAGTCGCGTTGTTGCGCGTGCGAGGCAGAAACACCCACGCCGCGCAGGCAATATCGTGATGTGTTGGATGGTGTGAGCGGGTCAGCAGAGAGAGGTCGAGAAAAGACGCGGGAATGAAGGTGTCTTGAGTGAAGGGAGTGGTGAAGAGGAAGGAGCGACTCGGGCTAAGACGCTCGGACCGCTTCCTTAGTAATATTTGTGACAATACGGAAAGACTTGAAGTGGCAATGTCCTGTTTTATGGGCTTCGCAAGATGGTGAAGGTATGAATAAAAGTCAATAGGGCGATTGGAAGACAATAAGTCGGCCTGAAAGCCAGGTCGGCTTACTCTTGTAAACGTTGAATCTTACAAGTGCAACGTCTATTATTTCTGAGAGGTGCTCTGAATACCAAGCCACTAGTACCCTTTCAAGATAGTGGAAAGTGCGCAACTTCTCACCCGAAAGCTCCAGTCCTCCGTGACCGCAATACAGTTGTCAAACATCTCAGGCTGCCTGCCATCTCCACTCCATCTCAATTGCTCTTCTGCACCATGATGCTGTCTAGAGCTGCCCGTCCGGCTTTGAGAGCTGGCGTCGCGGCCGCCGCCCGGTACGATATGGACCCACAAACAGCCCAGCTTCATCAGCAATCCCACATCAATTGTATCAGGAACTGACGATTATCTTCATCTATACAGGCCCGCCACCCTCAATGCCACCAATGCCGCCAACTATGCGACTCTCCGTGAGATTGAGGACCGTCTTAAGTCCATCCGCAACATCGAGAAGATCACCAAGACGATGAAAATCGTCGCGTCTACCAAGCTCACTCGCGCCCAGAGGGCAATGACCGAGTCCAAGACTTACGGTCAGACCTCCAACACCGTCTTCGAGAGTGCCGAAACCAAGCCATTGGAGGGCGAGGATAAGAAGACATTGATCGTGGTCTGCAGCTCGGACAAGGGTCTCTGCGGTGGTATTCACTCGGGTTTGTCCAGGAAGATCCGAAGGACTCTTGCTGAAAAGCCCAACTCGGACCTCGCTATCTTGGGTGAAAAGTGCAAGGCTCAACTCAGCCGTTCCAATGGCAAGAATATCGTTTTGAGCTTCGCTGGCATTGGCAAGGATGTTCCTACTTTTGCCGATGCGTCTGCCATTGCCGACCAGATCACCTCATTGCCCACCGACTACGCTTCCATCCAGGTCGTTTACAACAAGTTCCTGAATGCTCAGAGCTACGAGCCGGTCGAGATTGAGGCTTTCTCCGAGGAGGCCATTGCTGCATCCCGTAAGTATCGAGGACGTCTTCAAAGTTCAGGTCGCTAACTTTTCCTTTAGCCAACTTCTCTGCTTTCGAGATCGAGGGTGACGCCCTTGGTAACTTGCGCGAGTATGCCCTTGCCAACTCGATCTACTGGGTAAGTTGATGAGATGAACACGTTGACGCGATGTGCTATTTGCTAATGAATCTCAGGGACTTGCCGAGGGCCACGCTTGCGAGCAGTCTGCACGCCGAAACGCCATGGACGTGAGTACACTCCTCTACCTATTACTTATTCATCTGTATGAAGCTAACGCATTCTGCAGAATGCTTCCAAGAACGCCGGAGACATGATCAACAAGTTCCAGATCTTGTTTAACCGTACTCGTCAAGCCGTCATTACTGGCGAGTTGGTCGAGATCATCACTGGTGCTGCTGCTTCCGAGGAGGGTTAGACAAATTCGTAGTCCATCTTGCATCGCGTATTTCAGAATACCAGCTGGTTGCGCCCTCTGTAGAATAAGTATCTGTTGCTCATAGGCTTCTATAAGCTCCCTTGAATTCCGCTTGATGATATGTGCTTGCATCACCGTGAACGTACTGCCAAAATGACATGTCACTTGTAGCTTTTTTCCTCCGTTGTAAATCGATATCTTTCTAACCCCTGCTCGTGTTTAAGTCACGTAGGGTGGTGGGATATGGGCACTCAGCGGGAGAGTGTTGTTAGAACTGCAGTTCAGTACCCGTTCGAGCTAATCTTGACAGTCGTGCCGTGTGCTGTACGAAACACCGGTTAAGTTGGTTAGGTGCGTTTGTCTCTGCTGGAGTGCATCGTCTAGTCAGGCTTATGCAGATTGGAACCTTGAATGTGACCTGTTGGCTGTATTCGCGCTACTCATGAAGTTGCGTTTATAAGAAAACCCAGTCAAATCGGCCAGAAATGGGAAAGTCGCATCTGCATCAGGCCAACTGTGAAACACTCAATGCAGGCACACCTTGCAACTGCCTTTACCAGGTTGAATCGCTCCGAAACCTGCGGTCCCCAGGGAGACGCTCATCTGTAGCTATAACATGTCCCTTAAGACCACCGCAATTAGTGTCGTCTGCTATTCTATCCTTTGTTGTCGGCTGCTCGTCGTTCCTTCACATCACCTTCATCTCTGGTTTCACGCGCGCACTCGAGTGCATAGCCGAGACCCGTAACCACCAACAACGACGCAGCTCAGCAATTTTGCATTGCAGCCTGGGCACATTATTTGGCTGAAGTCTTGTGTGCTTACAGTCGCAGAGTCTATAATCCCTTTCATCCCTTACTCTCATTCCACCCAACTTCAAGCTATATATATATCACTACCTCATTTCTGAACTTTCGACCTATTAGCAAAGACCACACTGAAGGACTTTAAAATGCGGATCGAAAAAGACGACGGTTCTCGACCTGGTCATTGCGAAACGAGAAGGAAATTCCCCGAGATCAAAGAGCTCTTCCAGAATCGGCAATATGTTTCATGCGCTTCTCTTTGTGAGCATCTCTTGACTCGCTCCACCGACAAGGTCAGTAACGCCACTGTATTTCTGATACATCACATCGATAGGGTGTATGGTATGCAGGACCTTCGAAAGCGCTCTCCTTAATGAATATACAGCTGGATGACATCAAGTTCTAACAAGTATACAGTTACACCCCGTTCACTTGGCCTACCTTAACTTCTACCTGGCGCAATGCCACGATTCTCTAGCTAGAGAAGTGGCTTTGCGAAAGCGGAGAGCAGAGCTCGATCTTGCAGAAAAGCATTATATGATAGCCCTGTCTTCGATAACTCCTGCTCGATTAAACACACTTGCCAGCGTTGAGGAAGATTCTAGTTCACCAGCCTCGCCAGAAAGCCAACACGGTGCCTCACATTCAAGACGGGCGTCTGATGCTGTATCCTTGAACTCCGACCACTCTACTTCGACTGTAGCAACCTCGATTATGGACGGAGATATTCCACCTTCGAAATCCGCTTCGCCTAGTAGCAGTCGTTCGGTCCGGTTTATTACAGCAGATACAGAAGAAGGCAACCCCACTTCTACTCATAAGCAACACAAGAGAAGACCTGCGCCTATCTTCATAGCCCAGCGTGTTCAATCATCGTCGCTCGAGGAGGAGAGGCTGTCGAAAGATATGTCGTCTTTTATTTCGATGCTGAAGGCACATATCGCCAGTGTCCGCGAACTCAAGGAGGTGTCAACTGAGCCAAATGCTAGATGGTCTTTCTACGGGCAGCGGAATTCCATCGGCACTCGTCCTACCAGCATGAGCGCCAATCATGACCAGGCTACAATGGAACAGATCCGGCAGCAACGCAGAAGCGTGTGCTTCCGTCCACGTTTTGACCCTATGAGTGTGCGCATGCTTTGCAAGGATGCTCTGAGCGAGCTTTAGTGCTACCTTGTAAGCACGTTGTCTGCGAGCAGACCAACTACGCGAATATGATCCGAATCGCCGGCGATTCAACCAATGACCCTTAAACGCAAACGAAATCCCAGAGCAATGCAGACACGCCTGGATTTCACTAGCAACCCACTGCTGATGTGTCGAACAAAATATCTTTATGCCACTTCACCGAATTCCCTTTTGTCTTGGAGGCCGTTCGAAGCTATTGAGTTGATACCCCAGCGAAGCTTGCGTTCATTCATGTACTGTAACTATAGTTTAACTATATTTAGCCAATTAATTTCACTGTGTCAGATTGCAGACCTGCGTTTGCCGACTCGATCATCACAAATTTACGCATGTATGAGGTGCTTAAGTCTGCAAAGAAAGATGTAATAGCGTCTAACATACAGTATTGTGACAGATGACTGCTATAACGTGAGAATGCCTACCGTGATATCATGGACTTTTCCCAAGGCACTCCAGATCCCAAACGCCCGCAATGCACGATTCATCCGCTCTAGTAGTCAGGGGTCCTCATTTATTCATCTCGTCCAACCCCCTCCGGATGCGTTGGCACTTGACCTTGAGCAGCTTGACACTCTCCAGGAACAGGTCTTCGCTATCCCATTGGCCAGTGCTCTCGATCTTGAAAATGAAGTGATCCCTGATCCTCCCAAGCTTGACTTTGTCCTTGAATTCCTCATGTCGCAGGACCTCTCTGCTTACGGTATCCTTCATCGCGTTCTTTACTACAGCCCTAACCTGGCCCTCTTTACCCTGCAGTTCCAAATCGTCCTGCGAGTCTTCTGTCGTGATTACAGGCGTATCGATAACACCTTTGGGGAAGCATTTTGCGAATTTCTTGGCGTCGTCGCCGACGATGGGCTTCAAGATGTCGATAGTAGGGAGAAGTCGGTAAGATGCAGTTGCCACGGGAGAGAATTTGGCGTGATCTTGTCCAATCCCTTTGAACGCATGCATCAGGAGATCGATGCTTTGTCCAGGCCTCAGCTTGACAATCAAAATATCCGGGTTCACGGCCTCGAGGGGCCTTCCGTCGCCAAAAATTTCTTCCTGCTTGCCGATTGGAGTCCACCTCAAATCTTTTGCGTATACACTGTGGTTCACGAAAAGCTTGTCCGGATCTGTCTCGCCTTGTGCCGCCAACTTTAAGCCATCCGCTTTCCATTCGCACTTGATGTTCAAGTGTAGGACTGCGCAATTGTAATCTGAAGGGCTGCCGGAGTTCTGGTTGTCTTCGGTGGGACGATGGTACCACTTCATCCAGTTAAGAGCGTTGCGATTGCCGGCGAGAGGAATGAGGCCCAGGCGATGCGCGAGCACTTCGTCCTGCATGATCGAGGTGTTTTGGCGAATGAAAACATCCTCGATGGCCAGTGTGGGTATCTCGGAAATCAGAATTCGGCGGAAAGCATTGGCAATGGACGTATCGATACCAATGAGAGAGAACTCGGAATCGAGAGGTTCGGACTTATGGAATTGCACGCGGAAGGTCTAATTCAGTTAGCTTTGACGCAAGCCTTCACTTTGACCGACAGCACACACCTCTCTGAAGTGGTCGATGTTCCATGCGTGGTTCTCACCGGGCCAATGTCCAGGAAAGTCGGTTGATGCTTGGTTCGAGACAGTTTCGGGACCGACTTGGAGGCGCTGTGAATCATTTTAGCAGATATTGTTTTCAGTTTAAGGATCGCAACAGTACCCTGCGCTGCTCCAGCTCCTCCTGAGAGGGAATTCGTGGTGCGTTGGTCGCCATTGTGTTTTTGGTGTTGTGCCGGTGGGGAGCTTGGATTTTTTTTCGACGACAACCCTCTGCAGCCATATGACAAAAGATCGAGGTCCGTGCGGACAACGCTAAATTCCATTTCTAGGTATGTCTTTTGAGGTGGTCAACCAACTGGGTGCATAATGAAAGCATCAAGGAGTCTGATTTGAACTGACACAATTGGTACGTGAAATTCTATTGCAAGGTACTTTGATAATGTCTTTAAACAAATTGCCATGAAAACTCAGCCGTATAGAATGCAGTGTTGATTGGTGTTGTTTAAACGGTCACTGAGTCTCTCAATTAACCAAGCTAAGTAATAACAAATTTCAGGCTGAGGAGAACAGTTAGATAATACGTCGAGGAGTGTATTTGAGCGCTAGGATTCGGCATTGACAAGCATCTGATCATGGGAATGCATCAGAAGAATGTGCGGATATGGAAGCCGGACCCCTAGTAATTCGGAGGGATAGCAGAATAGAATGATGCTTTCTAAAAGTATGTCATATTTGCGAGCTCAAAATAATAGCAGTGAGAGAGATTCGACTGCAAAGCTGCCTTGATATCGCCTCAAAAGTGTAGCAGTTGTGATGCATTTGACATCTGTAACTGAGTCCTCGGGTGCCAAGCCACGCTCGGTCCAATCAAAGTTAGGGAGAATAATCCACTGTGTCGTCGACCTCATCATTTCGAAGAAGCTCCCCTCCTACGCCACCACCTCTCTCTCCGCTTCACCAACCCATTGACGCCGCAAACGGGCATCCTCGATCTGCTACGATCACAATGCCCGTCTCGATTGCGCGTCTTGCCGGCCACACGGCGAAACGGCTGTGCCAGACGCCCCGAACGACCCAGTTTGCTAGGGTAGCTTCACGAACACCCTTCGCGCGATGCTTGTCGACGACTCGTTCTCGTCACTATGCCGACGTTGAAGACCATCAGAAAATGCGCATTATTGCGACCGATTCGAATTTCGCCCATCCTGTCAATGCCGAAGACCCCCAGCATCTCAACGAGGCCGAGGACGACGGTACCCACCCGGAGAACAGGAAAATTAGACATTACACTGTGAACTTTGGTCCTCAGCATCCTGCTGCTCACGGTGTGTTGCGTTTGATTCTGGAGCTCAATGGCGAGGAAATCGTGCGAGCCGATCCCCACGTCGGATTGCTACACCGAGGAACCGAAAAACTCATCGAGTACCGAACATATCTTCAGGCCCTTCCATACTTTGATCGTTTGGATTACGTCTCTATGATGACCAATGAGCAGTGCTTCTCCCTTGCTGTTGAGAAACTTCTGAACATTGAGATCCCAGAGCGCGCAAAGTACATCCGAACAATGTTTGGCGAGATTACCAGGATTCTGAACCATCTTATGTCGGTCCTCTCCCATGCTATGGATGTCGGCGCTTTGACACCTTTCTTGTGGGGTTTCGAAGAGCGTGAGAAGCTCATGGTTTGTTCTCCTGTACGCCACAATCTAGTACACGCATACTGACTGGTGTAGGAATTCTACGAACGTGTATCCGGTGCCCGTCTTCACGCTGCCTATGTCCGACCCGGAGGTGTTAGCCAGGATATCCCCATTGGTCTTCTCGACGATATTTACCAATGGGCTACTCAATTCGGTGACCGCATCGACGAAACCGAAGAGATGTTGACTGATAACCGTATTTGGATTGGCCGTACCAAGGGCGTTGGTGTCGTTTCCGCTGCCGATGCCATCAATTACTCCTTCTCCGGAGTTATGCTTCGTGGTTCTGGTGTACCTTGGGATATCCGAAAGTCACAGCCATACGACGCGTATGACAAAGTCGAGTTCGACGTCCCCGTTGGTGTCAACGGTGACTGCTACGACCGATACCTCTGCCGTATGGAGGAGTTCCGTCAATCCCTTCGGATTATTCACCAATGTCTCAACCAAATGCCTGCCGGTCCTATCAAGGTCGAGGATTACAAGATTGCACCACCCCCACGTGCAGCCATGAAGGAGAACATGGAGGCCCTCATTCACCACTTCTTGCTTTTCAGCAAGGGTTACAGTGTTCCTCCAGGTGAGACCTACAGTGCCATTGAGGCACCCAAGGGAGAGATGGGTGTTTTCCTTGTTTCAGACGGTAGCGAGAGGCCATACAGGTGCAAGATCAGGGCACCCGGATTCGCTCATTTGGCATGCATGGATCAGATCTCGAGAGGACATTTGCTTGCTGACGCAGTAGCAATTATTGGAACTATGGATTTGGTGTTCGGTGAGGTGGACAGGTAGTAGTCTCGAATCGAGAAAATGGAATCTTTCGCGAATGGTGATATAAGGGTGCTGGCTGAAAAGGAGCCCGCTGTACATATTGTACCTTACAATTTCTTTTAAAGAGTCAATCTACGTTGCACGTTCATCTTGTCTTCTTCTGCTTATGTGCTCCGGTACTGTGGCCGAGATGCTTGAGGTCTTCTAACTCGTGCATGTCTCATATTCATGATCAATGCATCCACAGATCATAGGGAGATAGTCAGTGTACATGAAAAAGGGAAGGCCATACGGTCAACTTTTCATGGCGGAGTATACTGTTGGCCGTACGATGTAGCTCGAAAGTACAATATTAGGTAGGCATGTTGTTAATCGCGCAGTGGGGTTCAGTGCTGGGCAACACAATCAAGCTACCTCGTCCTGCCGCCCATGCTCCAAGTTGATGAACCACCCTCATTATCTGATCTGATCTATTCCACAAAAGAACAGTTGGCTACCATCTAGAGCTCCTCAGCCCCTATTCACGTTCGCAATTGATTCTAGCGTCGAAGAGATGATGCTGCTTTTCAGCTACGCTAGTACCGCACTGCCACTGCTTGACTTGCGTTGTACCTCGCCAGTTGGGCCTAGAACTTTGATTGGAGACCCAACAAACAAACAACGTCGTCCACAAGCTGCAGCTCGTGGTTCCACAGCAGACCACAGCAAGAATTAGTGTCTGTAGGATGTCGAAGAGGGGCAATTGAATGGTGTGAGTGGTGGATAGTATACGTCATCGGCCCGAGGCATCCCCCACTACAGCTGAACAGCTTATAGTGCTTGCTTTGGTACCTCTCACCTCTTCTTCTCCTTCCTTGTTCAATACCTTTCCAAACTACTCGTTCAATTTGAGGTGTTCTAAACATTTGCATCTGCATTCTGCATTAATGTAGGTTAACTCCAAATCCACTATTCAAACGAAGTTCTTTGTAGCATCAACCGAGCATCTAGCTACAGTTGTTACGCCAAAGCTTTACTAGATGGCCCCTTTCTATCATTTGAAGGAACTACAAAAACCACCTCGTTGATTGTCGAGAAAGAAATGCATTGTGCTTTGGACACAGTTGGATCATGCAGAGCATTGACTAACGCCATACAGAAACTATACCATCATGTCCTACAACGATTCATATGGCAGCGGCGGAGGCGGTAGCTATGGTGGAGATCGAAGGGAAGAACATGGCAGTGGACGCCAGGGTGGAGGCTATGGCGATGATCGCAGGGACGAATACGGTAGCGGACGCCAGGGTGGTAGTGGTAGCGGTTATGGTGAGGATCGTAGGGAAGAGCATGGCGGAAGACATCAAGGCGGCGGTTACGGCGACGAGCGTCGAGAGGAATATGGCGGAGGACATCAAAGCGGGGGTGGTTTTGGGGACAGACGTGACGACCGTCCCAGCGATAACTATGGGGGAGGCCAAGGTGGCGGCTACAACGATCGTCCCAGTGGTGGCCACAATGACCGCCCTTCCGGTGGAAGTGGATACAACGACAGACCATCTGGAGGAAGCGGGTATAATGACAGACCATCTGGAGGAAGTGAATATAATGACCGCCCCTCCGGTGGAAGTGGATACAACGACAGGCCATCTGGAGGAAGTGGATACAACGATAGGCCGTCCGGAGGCTACAATGACCGCCCTGGCGACAACTACTCAGGCGGGGGCTCAGGCGGTGGATACAATGACCGGCCCTCAGGCGGCTATGGTGGAGAACACACCAGTCAACATTCAACGGGCACTTCCTATGGAGGAGGCGGCCATGGTGGCTCGAATGATTTCTCAGGAGCGGCTCAGCATGCTTCATCTAACGCCGGGGACTCCGCGGACTCCAGCCTTTTCGGTACCGCGCTTGGTCTGCTCACGGGCAAGCAGAGCAAGCTTGAGAAGGAGGATGTTGACGAGGATGATGCTGTTCAGCAGCATCAGAAATTTTATGGCAATGGTGGAGGAAACCAACAGGCCAGCTCGAACAACATCGGCGCTGCTGCCGCTATGGAAGCCATGAAGCTATTCACCAATGGCAAGGGTGATGAAGGAAAGGGTGGGAAGAACGAGTTCATTGGTGCTGCAATGGGCCACGCAGCGAAGCTGTTTGATCAGCAGAGTAGCCAAGGAAATCTGGTGAGTATCATGACATCTGCATAAACTTCAAGGACTGATAATACTAGGAATCCGGAGCTTCTAAGCAGGATGCTATCTCTTCTGCAGCTCAAATGGCTCTGAAGCTATTCCTCAAGTCCGAACTTGGTGGAGGTGGAGGTGCCTCAGGAGGAAGTGGAGGCGCCAGCAGTCTCCTGAACTTGGCTGGAAAATTTCTGTCAAAGTAAAGAAGCAGTGCTTCTCTCTTCTAATCACGGCTGATTCATGATAATCATTATATGATGTGACTCTTCCAGCGCAAACTCGATATTGGGAAAATGTGTCTTTCAATCATATGTGAGATATGCTACATAGTTGACAAGTACGAAGACGAAGATACAAGATCGTAAGGTCCATGTGATATCAGATCAATTCAATCATGCCTCCGTATCAGTTGCTGAGGCTACTAGAGATGTACTGTGTAATGCCCTCTGAATAACCAAAGAGAACAGCTTCATCACCAAGAAACTGTCCCTTCTTCATGTCACGTTGTAGGGAAATTATGTACCTAAGGCTTTGATAAATATTTATAGCTGAGCATTTTGCAGTAGCTGTCTCAGGGCATGAGGCGGATAATAAATTGTCGTGTCTCGTCTTCACCTTTCCAAACATCGGTCTCTGGGTCAGAAGGCGAGGAATTTGCGCTTTGCCTGTTACATCGGAAAACAGATTGCAATTGATTAAAGGAATATTGTGAAATCAATTCTCGATCGCAGGTCGAGGATATTTGATTGCCAATGCACAGGTCTTCCCATCGCCATTGTTTGCCTTGTTTACCTTGGTTAACGATATGTTTGAGTAGACGCTGTAGTCCGAGGCCGAAATACGGGGAAGTGGGGAACAGGGAGGGCACGTGTTGGCAAAGGATGAACCTAAACCTGATGGGCGTAGTTATCTGGGTATGAGGTAAAAAATGCTTATCATTCATTTACGAACGCTTGCTCTTGTCGTTGGCTAGCGATAAATTGGCCTTTCTTTCCCCGCGATGCGATTGCTGGATGTGAAAGCCCGTTCACATTACCGGGCGTGCTGAATGAATCCGCATACCTCGCCATCCCCGTTTCCTCGTCTAATTGGTAGCTCCCAACCATGACGCATGCAACTTCATCGACTCTTCCTTCTTTGGGCCTTCCTCCCAGCGGTCTGAGCACCGCACAAGAGCCGCACCCAGACTCTGAAGAATTCGTACGGCACGAAAGACGCAGAGTTGCCAGCGAACTTGATACCATACAATCTCCCAATGCATCATTGGCCAATCCGAGTAGAGAGCCCTCCACCACACCAAGTTATCAACACTATCAAGACACACGATCCCGCGGAAGCGACCGCAATCCGTCGACGATATGGCGGCGGACTGCTACCCCAAGTGCCTCTGACATTACCACTATTCCGGATTCAGAGGGACCAGAAGCCAATGACACTCGAAGATATAGACTGCAAAGACAAGCAACGCACTGGTATGATCCTGTTGTGAGAATCTGGACCAGCCAGATTAGCATCACAATTGATGAAGGGTCGCATCGAGATCATCTAGGTAAGTTATCAATGAGCCAATCAATGCTGTGGTTGTCACGAAACTGAAGCAATCATGCAGCCCTCGAGCGAACCTTTCTTGGATACCTACGGACATCTCTGATGTTGACGATGACTGGAGTCATTATAGCCCAGCTCTTTCGTGTACATCACTCCGAAAATCCCAATCCTCAACTTGGCTTCTTTGTACTGGGAGTGCCTCTGGCAGCTACTTTCGTCATCTTGGCCATCATTGTACTCCTTATTGGAGCGTTCAGGTTCTGGAGACAGCAAAATGCCTTGGTCAGGGGGATGATTCATGCTGGCGGCTGGGAGATTTCGACTATCATGCTTTTTAGCATCTTGGTAAGTGAGCCTATCAATTTTTGATCCCTTCTCTGGCGCTCTGGGCTAATTGTCGTGGTAGCTGTGCGTGGCAATATTCATTTTGGTCACAGCAATTGACATAGAGAGAAGCTACAATTAGTATAATGATATGCCTTCATCTAACTCAAGACCCCCCCAATTCCTTTGAAGAGACCCTAATTGTCTTCCCTCTGGGTTGTCAACTACATTAGTTACAAGCGGCCCCTTAGAGAACTAAGTACACAGATCTGCATAATTCTTAGTGTCGCAGATGAGCAAATGCTTTTATCTCCTGTACATGGATTCAAAGCAAAGTACGATTAAGTTCTGAATACACCTCAACACAGACTCCAATGGTCTCGCTTGGCGCAGCTGTCCCACCCGCGAGTGCAAGATTACAACCAGCAACCAGCAAACATCGAGGTTCTAACCTTATAACCTACCACAGTAGCTCTATTCAGGTACTGTTGGTTCCAGAAAACCACTCATCGTACCTGAAAGTTGCATTTTCCGACGATTCTACGGCAGTGTTGGTCGAACAAGTTACCTTCTCTCGCTAACGTTACAAGGAAGAAATACCTCTAGTCTTGACAGTTTTTGTCTTCTTCGTTCCCGCCATATAGGTCGAATGGCTTCTTGGCTTCCGATGTTGGATGTTAACTTCCCCGGAGTAGAAGGAAGGAGCCATCAGACTACATGGCAGGCATGTGGACTCAGCAGTCCTCCATGAAGCCATCGCGACTTCCTCTTCAGATATGCGATAAACATATATGAAGCCCTCCTGGGCTCCCTGAACAATTTCTCCTTTCCTTTTTCTCTTCACCCACTTTCGATTGACAGACACGCAATGGGCTCATCTTTGTCCCCTGTGATTTTACCTCAATTGACTACCCACCTCTACAACGCATCAGCGTTCACAGCAGCAACAGCAACAGCAGCATCAACAGCAGCATAAGCAGCAACAGCAGCAACAGCAGCAACAGCAGCAACAGCAGCAACAGCAGCAACAGCAGCAACAGCAGCAGTCACAGCAACAGCAACAACAAGACGACGACGACGACGATGACGATGACGATGACGATGAAGATGGTGGGTTTCCTGGCGCTGGTGTTTTTGCTGGCGGCGGCGGCGAGCGGGCAGCAGCAGCAGCAGCATCAGCAGTACATGTGGTATTTGCTCGCTGAGAACGGCCTCGACGCGGTTCTCGAGAGGCTGGAGACAATTGCTGGAAACGTCCAGCCGCCCCTCCCCGTCCCCGTCATGGCCTTCGTCACCCTATGGGCGTTTTGCGCCACCATCGGTGCCCGCCTCGCTGCCGCCTGGGGTTTTGTGGTTCGGTGGGCCCATTCGAGGGGTCCCCGACCACTTTATGTCAAGTGTATCCTGTGGGTGGACGGCGTCCTGACGCCATTCAAGTTTGATGCAGAAGTCAGAGCTGCAAGCCTCCAACAGCAAGTCGAGGCCGAAAGGCAGCGAGCCGATGTCGAAAAGAAGCGAGCCGATAACGAAAAGAAGCGCGCCGATGACGCCGACAAGAGAGCTGATAAAGCTGACAAGAGAATTGAGGCCGCCATCGAGAGAGCTGAGGCCGCCGAAAAGCGAGCAGATGCTGCCGAAAAGCGAGCAGATGAAGCCCTGGAGCAAGTCAGAACCCTCCAGGCGGGCATTGCCGAAAACGTTGCTGACAGCGAGGAGGACGTCGAGGAAATTTTGGACAGTGTTCGGCACCTGTTCGAGGCATTCACGTCATAATTGGCGGATCTTGACATTCCCGCTTTGTAAGAATGAAGTTGAATGTGTAACGTTATACTACTGTACACATTGCTTATAATACATCTGTTCTATGTAACCTTTCGCTTTCATTCAAGGAAGACTAAAGTGTGAAGCCCGAACTCAGTCTAATCTACTACAGATTCGTTTAGTTAAATGCTGGTTGCTGGACCAATTGCGGACTGGGGCGTTGACTCAACGTACCGCAGGAATGGTTCTATTAGTTGGGAAAGTTCACCGACAGACACACAGCTATAAATCATCAATCACTTAGTCCCTGTACGACTCCGTTCGCCCCTTACAGCTCCGGACATCATGATTATTTCACGATGGATTCAAAGACGGCGCAAAGAATACCAGCTGACCAAGGAAGCGGAGGCACGCGAAACGGAGAGGCGTCTTCAACAGGAGAAGCTGGACCACCAACAGGCTCTCCTAGCCAGGGAAGCGGAGGCACGAGAAACGGAGAGACGACTTCAGCAGGAGAAGCTGGACCATCAACGCACTGAAAGGCTCCTTGGTACCCTAAAAGAGTTACAGCACACTATGGATCCTCTTATAGCTCTGCAGGTCTACAACAATCGCTCCTGTCCCCTGATCGGTCGTCTGCCAGAAGAACTTCTCCTAGGCATACTTGAATTTCTTTACGACGATGTGGTGACGGTCCTATGTCTCCGAATGGTCTCTAGGATATTCTTTCGCCTCCTTAACTATAAATCAAGCGCTTGGAGAAACCCGTTTCAGCACGGTCTGTGGAGGCCTGGCATTCACTATCTACCCCGAGGGCAACTGCTACAATTTCGAAGACTCTTGCAGAGATCTGGGCGGTGCGACAATTGTAGGCGTTGGAACGACGCGCATGCACATGTACTATACGACGACTGCAAATTCCATCAGCATCGCCGCGAGCCCCCACTCTTTGACAGGCTTTACTGCTACGCTTGTCACAGTCTCCACGACTTTCGCCAGTTCTCGTCTAGCTACCAGCTTGCATGGAGGGATCAACCGGAACGACGGTGTTTAGGTCAACAGGGGCTGGTAAAGCTGTGTGAGCATGTGCAAATCGCCTGGGCAAGCATCAAGGAGCATATCGACAAGTGGCGGCGGCAGCAGCAGTGTGGAGGGGGAGACTGGCAAGCTTGCCTCGACAGCTTTACTATTGAGTGCCACGATATTAGCCACGATACACGATGCACGCCCTTAGGGGCCCCCACCTGGCCTCGAGCTCGTCTCTCTAAAGGCATCCATGACTCTGATTTTGTAGTCCTCAATCTAGAGTGGGCACCTCACGCCCGCATCGACGCTCTCGCCCTACCTGGGGATAATCGAATACCTGCAACTGAGCTAAGGGCACTGTTCCAGAGGCTGAGGCTTCGAGGACCTGCTGATACACTGTACCCTTCGTACCGTCCAGGCGCTCTACCCGAGATGGCATGTTGTGGTTCATCGTCTTATATAGGAACCTTCATTAAGTATGAAGCAGGCGAGGGTAATCAGACAGTGCTCCAACCACCACTAGTCTTACCGCCATACTCGCAAATCTGGCCGTACCTTTTTGATAGCTATGGATTAGGACGCTGTGGCAAGATACTAAGGGTTACCCCTCATTACCTTGAAGGTGATGGCGACAACTGCAGCGCATTGCCGCAATGCCTCAAAGTCAGCTACAAGAAGGATATCATGATTTGCAAGATAGCACATGTGACGGACCCGGCTATCAAGATTATCCCCACCGACCATTGGCTCCACGCCATGGATATCAACACATACCCTCATCCGTCGGCGAGCCATATCAGGCCCCAGTGCAAGGACAGCACCTGCACCAACTACTATCAAAAACCTCGGGAGGATCACTCCTGCATGACTTGGCCCCAGGCCGACCGACCCCTAAATTGGTAGGACTCTTGCAGCGGTACCCCAAGGCGGTCAGGCATCATGCGCAACATTAATGAAGCTCCCCAAACAGCTAACGGGCGGATGCTAGAATCTTCATCACACTGTCCATTATTTGTCTGGAGGATTCATTATGTCTCGTGTCTCATGTCAACGCCATGGGAAGTGTCTGCAATACTTCTTCTTCCGGCCTAAATCTCTATCTCGGGTTCTCACACACAGTCCAACGTGGCCACCAGTACCGCTGAACAGTTACAGTCATTACCACTTCAACGGACTAAGCAACTCGCAGCTCGCCACCGTACTTTGCTTTCCATGCTTTTCACGAAACAACCATCATTCGACTCTCGTTTCTTCGTCCAGACACGATTGCGTCAATTTCAACTTCATGGACAGTGTCGGCCTCTCCCAGTTCACAGCCGATGTGCACAAGAATTGCTACCATACAGCTGTTCTGGGTGGAAGACAAGGTATGAAGATTCCTTGATCCCCGCCACCCCATGAAACAACCACCCTTTACTATTGGGGGAAAAGTTCTCTGCTATGGAGATGATCTGGAGGATCTTAAGGAGCTTAGCACATTCGCGAGTATATGCTTGCTGGGGAGACACGATTGTGTTTAAACGACCGAGGTCAACGTGGTGGAGGGGGGTATATTTACGTATTACGCAGAGTATGGCAAAGATCGTTCACGCTTCAATTTACTACTGAGGCGCAGAAACGTTCAATAGTAATACTATCTATGACAAAGTCACATGGTCGATCAAGCAACCGCTGCAGAATATCTATTACTCCTCTTTTCATAAGTTTGTTTTGTGTACTGTGTTTGATATAAGCCCTTGTTGTAACAGCGAATTTGAGCTCTACAGTAAAGCAAGTTCTGCAGATTGCTTTTGGCGTAGAGAACTTCAGATGAGCCTTAGATTTGCCCAAGACAGATTGAATGTTGGGAATAAAGGCAGCTACCAAAATACAATGAATTCCAATGAGCTCAAACTGTCAAAGTATGCATACACGTTATACTTCTGTTCTTTGTCTTGCATACGGCGAGGTCCCCCCCCTCAAAAAATTGGCACGCTATTTCGCTCAATAGCAAGTATTTAAATTTTTTGGGAGAGCCTCTTTAGCATGTGACATCTTTACCTTGGTAAATGATTGTCCAACTGTCAGAATTGAACAAATAGATGTTGCAAATCATAATATTTTGACATTTGGTCGATATGACATCGAAGCTCGGCCCCTGCAATTGGACTAGCCATTTACGTATTAGTAAGATCATATATTCCGGAGCTTTGACGACATAACATCGCAAGCGTCCGCCACTTTTCGGCGTTGTATCCTCCTGATCGACTTTCCTGCATTTTACAACCGCGACATCTCGTGCCTTGGGGAGCCTTTCTTGATCTCTCTTAACGCCCCTTCTGCTCTGTGGTCCTCTGAGAGGCTTCCACGACCGTGTTGCTTCCTCTACCGACCTCAAACCAGCTGCAAGCCCGCGCCGTACTCCCGATAACGCCATCATGGGTCTCTCTAAGTCCAGCAGGATCATGATCCTGCTGGCGATTGATTCCGCATTCTTCTTGTTGGAATTGGTCGTTGGTAGGCTCAGCATCTACAAGATTACAGCTCCATTTGCTAAATCTCTTTTCAGGTTACGCGGTACATTCCCTCGCACTCGTCGCCGACTCTTTTCACATGGTGAGTGATCACCCCTCCTTGTAACAATGCGCCATTAACATCCCGCGAAGCTGAACGATGTCATCTCCTTACTCGTGGGGCTTTGGGCAGTCAAAGTCGCAAACCAAAGAACCAACTCTAAGATGTATACATATGGTGTAAGCACTTCAGTCCCCACACTGGTATATTGATAATAACCCTCTGTAGTGGCAACGCGCCGAAACGTTGGGCGCCTTAGTCAACGGAGTGTTCCTCGTAGCTCTGTGTCTTTCCATCTTCCTCGAAGCCATTCAACGATTCGTCGAACCCCAGGAAGTTTCCCACCCCAAACTGGTCCTCATAGTCGGTTGCTTTGGGCTCGCTTCCAACATCATCGGACTCTTCCTATTCCACGATCACGGCCATAGCCACGGTGGCCATTCCCACAGCCATGGACCACAGGACTCTCATAGCGCAGCCGAGGAGGGACACGCACATTCCCACGGTCACGACCACGATGCTGAAGATCGCGCGGTAGCCGATGAATCCGGAAACGTTGTAGACGTATTACCTCAAAGCAGGGTCGGAAATTTCCCTTCCAGTATCAAGGGACAATCGAAAGCTAAGGATGTATCTTGGGATGTCACTCAAAACCCCACTCGGTCAGCATCTGGAAAGCGCGCCGCTCGGAGACACAGTCGGTCTAGGTCTCGAGGCTATTCCACATTGGACGAAATATACGTACACCCGTCGTCATTCCGACATAGCATCATTGAGTCTTCGCGCTTGGAACAGAATGACTCGGACTCTGATGCGGACAATGAGGATGCGGCAGAGGAAGAGCAGCCCACAGAGCAATCTCCTTTGCTGAAGGGCAACCAACCAACGTACGCCGACGCAGTCAAGGGAACACCAACAAAGAAGAGGGATTGCCATGTCGATCACAAGCACAACAAACCTCGGGAATCTGGCAAGGGCGGCGCTCATGGCCATTCGCACGGAGATCTAAACATGCGCGGAGTATTCCTTCACGTGATGGGTGATGCTCTCGGCAACATTGGTGTCATCGCTTCAGCTTTGATCATCTGGCTTACAGACTATTCCTGGAGGTTCTATTCCGATCCGCTCATATCGCTCATCATCACTGTCATCATTCTCGCGTCGGCTATCCCGCTATGCAAGGCAGCATCACGAATTCTTTTGCAGGCTGTGCCAGCAGGTCTCTCAGTTGATGAGATCAAGGAAGATATCACCGATCTCGACGGCATTGTTTCATGCCACCACATCCATGTGTGGCAGTTGTCCGACACCAAACTCATTGCTTCGTTGCATGTGCAAGTTGACTTCGATTTCAAGGGCGAGGGCTCAGCTCGGTACATGGACCTTGCCCGGGAGATCCGCAAGTGTCTACATGAATATGGCATTCACTCCTCGACCATTCAGCCGGAATTTTGCCTCGATGTCAATCATGACCACTCCGGCGCTACCGACGACAGCAGCGCTGACGAGGGCCATGCTAACGGCAACGGAAGCGGGAGCCAAGGCCGCGGAAGCAAGACCGGTAGTGTACGAGGAGATGTCGAAGCATGCCTGCTTGAATGCGGAGACGATTGCGGCAATTCGAAGCAGTGCTGCGTGTCCGACATCAAGGGATGCGGTGGGGATAATGGAAACGGGAAGTAATTTGTCTTCCTTTCCATGGTCATACGTAAAGAAAGATTTCATTGTATCATATTGGCCAATAGTCCTTCATATCTTTTTTCATGGGGTATCATGCGGTAGACTTTCTCTTGTTTCCCAACCAATAGGGGTCATAGTGTAGAAGGGAAGGAGGTCTGTGTGTGTTTTATAAGGCGTTGAAAAAAGGGATGGCGGGAAAGCGGAGGAATACCTGTACCTTAGTACTTCACTTGATGTTTCCATCTTAAGTTTCCTTTCTTACATCTAATCAATCTTCCTATATTGTCATCGCTCTCTCTCATCTATGATCATTCTTCCCATCGTTCTCATTTGTACCTGTAGTGCTCCAATGCATCGAACAGGGATTGTAGGCAGTGTTCAAATTGATTCATCATTCCAATAAATTCCAGAATTTGCTTACGAGGGTCTTACTGTTCTCTCCTTCGGATCAGGAAATCAGGGGTTGAATAGTAGACTGCGGCTGTCGAGTCTCTCCACGAGAATCCATCATCAAGTGGTACCGTTCGATGAATGCATACATATATCAAGCCATGTTAGAGGCTTACAACAAACAGTGGCTAGAGTGCAACTCCGCAGAGACCTAATGTGTAAGTCTGCTCATCCTACCATATATCAGGGACGCGAGCAAGGAACGTCTTGTATATGATTCGTTCCCACTCTTCTCCCATCCCTCGGTCCACCGTACCGCTCGACTTGAACGCGGGGATAGCCAAGGGATCCCCAGCCGAGCGGCTTAAGGAGATAGTAGGCAGAGGGTGGATAGCACCGTGGGAAACATGGAAAACATCGGTTCAAACCGTAAATCACCTTCTAAATTTATCCTTTGCAGCGACGGGGGGGAGGGGGAAATCCAGCAGGTCGAACCGCGACCACTTCCCTCCTTCCATCTTGCGATGATCATCTTGCCGCACGCCCTACGTATCTAAGGTGCTTGTATCTATTGGCACTACTTTTAAATACCTCTTTCTAGCTTCGGGAATTGCGATTGAATGCGTGTCCGTCGAAGGGGAAATAAGGCGGTTGCAAGCGCGTGCGCTTCCTTTGGTGGAAGGAAGCATCCCGTTTGATATCAACAACGAGAGGACCTGCCTATATAGGCATGGCGACGATACCTGCCGATAGTTACATGACATTAAGCGGGGGTAGTGATGCGCGTTTTGGGCGGGTGGGACGGACGAAGCACCACCCACCCGTTGAGCTGGGAAAGCTTGTGTCGACGGGAGGCGATGCTTGTTTTCTTGTGGCTGGCTTCGTCGTTCGCTCCATGCAGGCATGTGTCCTGTTTCCCGTCTCGGGATTGCGCATCACAGATAGTTTTGGTTTGAGATAGTGGTACGCTGGAGTTGCAACGTGGATGAAGGCGGGGTTTCCGAGGTCCACGATACATACAATGTTCAATGTACCCCAGTTGCGGGGGCAAAGGTCGGACCATGGTGTGGTCTATAGGCGAGGCAAGGACTGGAGCAGTTTTTGTGTAGTAATTAGATGGTAATAATTAATTGTAAGACATATTCAGCAAAGTCCTGCTATCTGAGGGAAAGGGGGGTCGTGTGATTTGGATCCAATCCGGGATCCGAAATGTGGGTAATGAATGTGGGCCATTTCTATGACATACGAGTTCGAAATTCAAAGGTCGTGGTCTCGTCTGATTATGTGAGGACCTTTCTGTTATTAGCGTTGAAAGAGTTTGAGCTTGAGACGGCATATATTCGGTCAAAATACATAGACAGGTCGGTATAGGTCAACATTATTGGGATTGATCAAGTCTGGTGGCTCTCGTGGCATGCCACATACCGTATTTGACTTGCAAAGGACAAAGCCAACGATAGCATAGGCACTGCATACATATTGATGGATACGGAGTAGTGGCCTCATTGGGCCTGTTGGGATCGTCAGTATTGTGTCCTGTGTAAGGATGGTTTGGTGATTTGGAAGGATTGTATTCATTCCTTCTGATTCATAAGCCCTTCGCAGCCAATTGGCACGACACCAATGAAAATCCCAAATATGCAAAAGCAATTATTACAATTGCAATGATTTGAGAGGAACATCTAGATTGTCATGGTGTTGGAACTCTGGAACTTTGGTTCTTGAGTGAAGCCACACCACATGCCTGGTTTCCCCGAAGGACCCTTACTCGGTCTCCTCCGGGGTTGCCACACGTGCAAGTCCCGTCGTCTCCCGCGAAGGCGCTCTAATGGCCTGCCTAAAGAAAATATTTTTTCACAACGCCAGCGCGGAATTCAAGAAAAAGTCCCACCATAGATAACGAAACGAGAATTTGGCCGAAAAAAATGAGAGAGGAAATTGTCCAGAATGTCTAATTTCTGTGTGAAGGTTGAGCCTCGTAGGCTTTTGGAATTTGCTATGTTTGATGGTCGGTCAAGCTTCCAGAAGGAAATGATTCCGCGCCGTTCCTATCACTCGTATCCTGTAATCCGACGTCAGCGGGCGTGCTATTGCATCGAATGCTGGACTTGCAGACGCCCTATGTGGCTTTTGGGATATGCTGCAGACGACGTGGGTCTTGATAATGTATGTGATGTGGGTTCTGGGGTAGTGAAGTGGCTGTCGAGGACTCGAGGATTACATCGAGACGAGCCTTATCGTTTGTGCCTGAATGGTTTGTTTGGTTCATTTGGTTCTTGGTCGCCGTTGTGCCTGGAAGTGGAGGCAATGTAGTTCGATCCGTTCATTGCAACTTTACGATGTAGGTGTTCCAAAGATGAATTGTCCATTAGCCGGCCTGTCCGCCGGAGGATCAACCCCATTTGGGAAACGAATAGAATATGGCTGCCAATCATAATACGACCTGTTCATGCCTAAACAAGCGGTGGCGTGAAATAAGAGTATCCACGCATGATAGGCGAAGGCTTGGGGTGCTTGTTGGGGGATACATCGTCGGGGGTATCGACAGAACAGGAATCTCGGGCACGGAGAGGCGTGTTACATCGGCCATGGCGAGGAAGCTTAGGCTGTCTTGACCATTTCTTGGTGTCGCTTGGTCGCGAGGCTCCGAGGGAAAGTGATACGGATACGCGTTGGTGAATTGGTAATGAGCCTGTGGTGGTGGGTTTGTCGGACGGTGGGTGGTGGGTGCCACGGCGCGTCGATACCGAGGGTGTGTGTACTGTATGTACAAGGACATTTAATAACTGTGCCCACCCCCAGATTGGCCTTCGAGTCTCCTCTTGTTCTGCATCCAATCCATTCTCTTTCTTTTTGCGGAGGTTCTCTCGTCACTCGCGGAGCAATGGATCAATATCTCACTGAGGCAGATCGGTACGTGCAGTCGATATTGCAGAACATGCAAACCTTGCAACTTTTCCAACGCAAATCCTGACAATATTTCATTTAGTCTCCACCAGGAGCTCGACAAGCCCGATGGCTCAAACAAGCGAGTTGATATGGCAGGCGGAGACCTTGGAAACCACCCCCATACTGTACCGGAGGTTCAACCCGTCGTCGACGAGAAGCACCCCTCCAACGCGCCAGGCACAGCAACACCTGAGAAGGAGGTCTACCGTGACGCCGAGGACGAAAGCCTGAGTGGTGAAATCCCTACCGCAGAGGAGAAGAAGACACTTCGCCATGTCGGCGAGCCTTTGCCTTACGCTGCTTTCCTCGTCGCCATTGTCGAATTGTGCGAGCGTTTCACCTACTACGGTGCCTCAGGTCTTTTCCAGAACTATATCGCCAGGCCTCGGGATGGAAGCGACGGTCGCGGTGCCCTTGGTATGGGCCACCAAGGTGCCACTGGTCTTTCCACATTCTTCCAGTTCTGGTGCTATGGTAAGTGCCAATCGCTTGTTATTTGCCTGGCTGGTCGTCCATTCGGAAACCACCAAGAATCCCCAACACAAAGCCACAAGCACATGTGACTGACTTATTCTTCAGTGACTCCCATTCTCGGTGCCATTATCGCTGATCAATATCTCGGCAAATACAACACAATCGTCATCTTCTGCTTCATCTACCTTGCCGGTCTCCTCATTCTCACCTGCACATCCATCCCATCTGCATTGAGCCATGGAGCTGGACTTGGCGGATTCGTCGTTTCCATCATTATTATTGGATTGGGAACTGGAGGTATCAAGTCGAACGTTGCGCCCCTTATTGCCGATCAATACAAGCGTCGCCAGATGGTCATTAGTACCGATGCAAAGACCGGAGAGCGCGTCATTCTCGACCCAGCCATCACCATCCAGCGTATTTACATGATCTTCTACTTCTGTATCAACGTTGGTTCGTTGTCGCTCCTCGCCACTCCCTACATGGAACGCGATGTCGACTTTTGGTCTGCCTTCTTGCTTTGCACTTGCGTCTTCCTCGTCGGTACTCTCGTTTTGGTCTTCGGAAGGAAGATCTACATCGTTCGACCTCCTCAGGGATCCGTCATTACGAATGCCTTCCGTGTGATCTGGATGATGATCACCAACCGCAACAGGGATGGAGCCAAACCTTCCTACCAGGCAGCTCTTGGAAAGAACGCCAACCTCGCTTGGGACGACCACTTTGTCGAGGAGGTCAAGCGTGCCCTCATCGGTTGCCAGGTTTTCTGCTTCTACCCAATTTACTGGGTTGTCTACGGCCAATTCTCCAACAACTTCGTCACACAGGCAGGTCAGATGGAGGGCCACGGAATCCCCAATGACTTGATGCAGAACTTCGACCCTATCGCCATTATCGTCTTCCTCCCTCTCATGGATCGCTTCTTCTACCCCTTCCTGCGAAAGATGAACATCAACTTCCCGCCCATCAACCGTATTGTGGTTGGCTTCTGGATTGCTTCCTTGGCCATGGCGTACGCTGCCATCATCCAGTACTACATCTACAAGGCCGGACCTTGTTATGAACACCCTCTCTGCGATGCCAGCATCGTCGATGGCGTCGCCCAAGGAAACAAGATCCATATTGCCGCCCAGACCGGTGCCTACATGCTCATCGGTATCTCCGAAATCTTTGCTTCCGTCACTGGTTTGGAGTATGCCTACACCAAGGCTCCCCCAAGCATGAAGTCATTCGTTCAGTCCATGTACCTCCTCACCAACGCTTTCGGATCTGCCATCTCCGAGGCCTTGAACCCTGTTCTCTACGACCCTGCCATTCAATGGATGTTTGTCGGTTTGGCCGTCAGCAGTTTCATCGCCGGTTGCTTGATGTGGATCATCTTCCACCACTTGAACGAGACCGAGGACGAGATGAACGCCTTGGACAAGGACTACGATGACCCGTCGCTCCATAAGGGCGTGCAGGGAAAGGAGAGCATTGATGCTTAAACGCAAACAGAAACGCACCCGCGAAATACCCCTCTGGACATTGTATGTGTGTGGAGCAGAATTCTACACAAGGGGCAAATGCAACGACGGCGCATGATCGGGTTCCCATATAGACCACCCAAGATGAACAAAGATCATGAACTATATAATCCCAAGCTCCCTTCTCTACCTTAGAACTCAAATCATATCATAATTTCATACACAAACGTGCCACTTGCTATCTCGATCCGTCGTGTCCAAATTCTCTGTGACATTAGCCAAGTCAACTTAGTAACAGCAGTAGTCAGGCGAACACGTACCTCGACAGACAGCATCAAATGGATCTTTACATGTCCGAGCAATCGAAGAGCTCACGAAGCAGATCCACATCCCCCTCTCTTAACACCAGCTTTGGCGGAAATAGTTATCTTTTTTTATTTATTGATTAATTAGGTATACACAAAAGTCCTTCTCCTGTCTTAACTCCCCCGCTCCACGCCTAACACTACCCTCGCTGGTATCCCCGATGATACCGCCGCCCGTAGTGCCGTCCAATCCATAATCGTGGGATTGATTGATAGTGGCTGGGGGACACTAGGGGGGCGTTTGGGATTCTCCAAGTTTCCTCCTGGACTACATTCATCCCCACAAGCTATTACCGCCTCTGGCTGTCATTCTATATGACAGCTAGTATTACCCCCCACGCTCACCCATACGTTCGGCCTTTCCCGCCCTTGTTTGACTACTAAGTGTACACATTAAATATCGCACGTTCACACAAAGACACACCAGCACCATAGAAGAAGGAGAAAGTAAAAGGAAAAATTTGGAGATAAGGAAAAGACTCTTTGGCTGCAATCAAGCTGGCCATGGTGGTATCAAGAAAAAAAGGAACATAAGGAAAAGGGGGGCTGAGGCTTTTGGAAACCGCATCCATCCACCTTGTATCTGAACCGATGTAGCATTCCACCTTTCGTTCGCTTCTGAAGAGGAGGAAGAAGAAGAAGCCTAATGGCCGGGCCCAGGTAGACAAGATATCCGAAAGGGTAACATCTACCGACAGAGCCATGAAGAAGAGTAAACTCCCGCGCGTCATGCAGGCATAAACAGCAATGCAGATCGCAGGAAGAGACGGCCAAAGGTAGCACTGACGCCAGCCTATGCAGTGGTAAAAAGCAAAAGAAGGTGTGGTCCTGATATACACAGATACGAAACAATGAACTAATATGGAGAAGATCGGAGGATCGAACGCCTTGCGATGCCGTACTTCGTGACCCTTTGTGCTAGCATGTCGTAGGTACGGCCCTGGATAGGCCTGGAACTTTGTACAGGGTTAAGTTATGTAGGTGATGCTTAAAGCTTTTGATTCATATCGCCGGTGGACGATTGCCGGATAACGTGCCGAATAGTTGTTCTGGAGGAACGCGGCTGGTGTTGATAGTCCTATCGGGGTACGCTGTAGGTGCAGGAACATAGCCCCTTGACCTCTTCCGATACCATTCCAATAGAATTCCTGCAACAACGAGCAGGAAGGTGAGTGCAAGTGCGACGGCCAAGGCAATCAGGACGATGAAGCCGAGCGCAAGATGCTTCTTTCCAGACCTGAAGAAGTTCTGCGGGTTCTCAACGAACATCTGGGACAGGCTACCAGCCTTACCCTCCGAGGTGGAGGACAGAAGGAAGGGGATCAAAGTGGTTCCGTTGAAAAGTACAGCAGATGCAGAGCCAAAGTCAGTGACGTTGATTTTTCCGAGGATGAGTAAATCTTGGTTGCGATCGATGAAGTCTGATCGGTCGTGCTGGGTTGACAAGGCAACCACTTGCAAGCCACGGATCTCGGTGCCTTGGCCAAATTGGTCAGTGACAGGAAGCCATTTGTCGCCGTCGAAGCGCTGCAAGTAAGCAGTGCCGTCGTCATTCTGACCAGAAGCCCAGACCTGGGTTCCGTCCGCATTGCCGATTGTCAGAGCGGTCACTGGCCCGGGAAGATCCCGCGAGTTTGCAAACTCTTTAAATTCGCTCTTAGAAGAGTCGTACTGCAGAATCTTTGTTTGGTTGTTGCCCTCGGTCAGATTACCTGCAATCAAAAGAGTATTATCGGCAACCCAGGTCAAAGATGTCACGACTCCAGAGAGGTCGCCACCAGGAGAAGTCCATTGGTTACGGTCGGTATTCCAAACGCAAAGCGACGCACAGCTAAGCGCTCCAGCCGACTCAAATCTTCCTCCGACGTAGATATCCTGGGATTTCGGTCGTGGGGCGATGGAGTTGACAGTAACATTTGTGCCTCCTAGTGCGGGCGGTTGGGTGTTGGGGAAACTTCCACTTCCTAGATCGTAGACTACGACTCCTCCAACTTTGTTGTTGTTGATGGTGCCAGTGACCACACCGCCAGCGAACAATAGGTTGTTGCTGCTCACTGCAACCGCCGCAAAAGTTGAATTAGCGTCTACTTCGTCCTCAAAGCCGGTCACCTTATTGTTGTCTTTCCCATCAATAATGAGAACATTGGTAATGTTTTGACCATCGGTGCCCGTCGCTGCGAAATGTCCTCCTAGAATTGTCTTGTTCATGTCATTCTCTTTGTAGAAGGTCGCTGTGATGACGCCGGTTGTATTGAGGTTTTGATCTGCTGTGATGGCGCGCTTGCGTCGAGCATTGGCCTGCTGCTGCTGGACTTGTGGGCGAATTTCCGTAGGCAGTGATTGAAGAGTCAATTGATCGTCATCTTGTAAGCCAACAACACCACTCGCGCCCACGGCCTGGGAGTTCATTGAGCCAGCAAACAAGGGATCTTGTCCAGGGATGTCAGTGAAGGTGATCAGATTACCTTGCATAGCGATAGTGTTTATGTCGAGATTCTGCAACCACTTCTGCTGAGAGGGTACCCATACTGCAAAATTATCGACTGGAACCCCTGGAGTTGAGCCAAATCCGTTGATACGGTCGAAAAATCCACTAATGGCGAGGACAGTCTCGGGGCTTCCGGCGGTGATGTTGAGCGTGAAGGGAACAATGTACATAACAACACCATTGACACCTGCTCCGAGGGCTTGCCAACGATCATTGGCATAGGCAGCAATTCCGTTCAAATTGGTGGTTTCGCTATTCTGCGTCTTGGTGAAGTTACCACCAACGTAGAGCGTACCGTCGGACTGGTTCTGGTACGTTGTCATGACCTGACTATCCAGTCCTTCTCCTCGTAGTGCTGTTGGTCCATCGGTGTTGCGATCAATGGCGAAGATGTTGTTGCGGCCGTCTCGTGAGGTAAAATTGCCTCCGACGAACAGTCTATCATTATGTGCAGAAAGAGTCGTTATGAGAGCTTGATCTTGAGGCGTCAAGCTGGCTCCGGCGGCGTCAATAACAGAATCATCGAAATTGCTGCTAGCTTCCTGTTTGCTGGAGTCATACTCGTAGAGACCGTTCAACCCTCCTGCGGCTGCTTTGATGACCTTGAAGCGAACCCTTTGGGCGACGAACGTCAAAGGGCCAGTTTGTCCAGGTGCTGGAGCCAAAGTCACCGAGGGGCGGAAGCCATTAGTCGCGTCAACAAATCCTAGGTGGATCTCATCGTACTTGTCGAAATTATTAGTCTGGTAGAGCTCGACGGGGACCTGAGGCTCATTTTCCATCTCTTTGTTGAGAGTGGCATTGATTACTACACGGCCACGGGTACCACAGGTACCGTCGCCGACGCAACCAGGGGTGAAGATCGTCACCGAATAGTTGCCGGTCTGTCGAATATCTGGTTGGAAAACGATGGACGCACTCTCGGGCCCGATACCACCTGACAGAGTTGCTGTGAGGTATTGTGAATTACTATTGTGAGAAGGGGTGACGAGCCATGGTCCCGTCTGGGTAGCGGAAGCTCCGGTAGTGACGCCTCCGCACTTTGGCTCGTTAAAATCGTTGATTGCGTATGTGTAGATATCTATGGCGGTCAGCTAAAATGAGGATGTAGATGAGCTATTCGCTTACCATTCTGGAAGATCTCGATGCCATTGAGTCCACCACCACTCCCATACCAGTCTGATATGTCAAGTCTGAAGGAATTCATTCCAACATTGTTAACGAACGTAAAGTCCTGGGCTGTGGTGTTACCTTCTGGCAGGGGGCAGGAGGCATCGCAGAAGGAACGCTGTCCTGATGATGGGTCAACATAGGACAAGTTCATAATGCCGCCATCTGGTAGAGCCGTGTAGCGGAAGGTCTTGGTTCCACGGCCCTCGAGTTTGGTGTTATGGAGACGGAGTTTGGTAGGGAGGAAACCGAACCCGAAGTCAGCTTTCCAGAAGCCGGGTGTATTATCTGCGAGGAGCCATGTGGAGCCTTCCCCCTCAGCGTTGACGTCGCTCTTGCAAACGATGTTCTTTGGATCAGTCAATCCTGGACGTCCTGAACTCGTTTGCGCGGTGAGATTGGCGGATCCGATGGGCAAGACTTGCGTATCATTCTGTGTCGGGGCCGAAGAATTATCTCCTAACGCATTGAACTCTCCTCCAAAGATTATCTTTCCATTAGGTGCTTTTATGATCGAATGTACGGGCCCATTAAACCCAGAAAAGGGCATGTTGGTCCAGTCTTCCACCCATACGATTGCATTACTTGAATTACCGCCGGTAAAAGATCCTCCCACGAAAACGCGCCCTTCCTCGCAGTGAAGAGCATTGACGGATCCATTCAGGCCTGGAAGTGGTGTGACTGAGCCGTCGGTAACATTGAGCAACGCGATGCCGCCGGGAGTGTGTTGGTCACCAACGCTAGTGAAATTACCCCCAAAGACTACGCCTTGAAGATTGCCATTCCTCGAGAATGCGCACATAGCTTTGATGTCAGCATCGGTATTTTCGAGTTTCGCGAATGCGCCGTTCGGGAAGCGGGATAGGAGAGCGCCATTGCCATCAGAAGACTGTTCGGTCTGGCCTTCATACTGGTACAACGATATCGAATCGAAGTCGCCAGCGAAGGCGATGCGACCAAGGTTGCCGAGATCGAGTTCTGGAGAAGGGACTTCTGGGAAGGTAAAGGCGTCGGTCCCGGGTATTAATCGCGTCGAGGCCAGGAGTAGAGATATGGCGAGGTTGCCGGCCCTCGATCCCAGCGCAGAGGAAAAGAGCTCCCTCATGGCCAGCGAGGGGCGACAACGTCGAGAAGTCGAGATTACTCGTAGTATGGGGTGGTTGAGAGTGAATGAGGAAGGGAGGTGAATGTCTGGAGATCTAGCAGGAGTAGGCCACAGACATGGCCGGGCAGCGAGGGGATCGACCGGGCTTGGTTTGAGGTAGGCACAACCACGGGTCGCAGATCGTTGGTGTATGGTCGGAGGTGCGGGAGTAAAGGCAGCCGGCGAAAGTGTCAGGCGGGATTAGCTTGGCGGATTATGGAGAGTCGAGCGTGCGCGCTGCCGTGAGAGAGTGAGGAAGGGATTGATTGAGGGCGATTATGGACGCTGAAACGAATGACTGTGGGTTAGAGAGAAGGGCGTCGCAAGAAGGAAAGGGAAAAAGGAAGGAAACCGGGCTCGCGATTGAGTTGGTGGGCGGAGAAAGGAGGATGAAGGAAGGTGAGAGTGAGAGAGAGCGAGAAACAGAGAGAGCAGGCACTACCGTAATTAGCACGGCCGGGGGAAGGCGGTAAATTAGGAGTTGGTAGGGCCAGAACGAGCAAGCGAGCGAGCGAGCGAACGATGATAGTGGTAGTGGTGATGGTGAGGTTGACGATGGATGTAGCCTGTAATAGGTATCGTACCAGGTACACGTCGGGTGATTAGGTGCTCGTAGATAGTGTAGTGTACCCCGTACACAGTACACAGTACTCCTTGAAGCGTAGAAGCAATAATAGGTAGTGAGGGTGAATGTGTGAAGATGATGATGATATGATGAGAAAGGGAAAGGTGAAGGGGATGGTCAAGGTGGTGATGGGATTAGGATAATTACAGACAAGGATGTACTCACAGGGAAAGTAATACGGTTTAAGCCCAATCCGGTATCGTGACCGTCTTGTACCGTCACCGAGCAACCAATGGAACGCGCTTCTTCTCTCTTTCCCTCTCTTTCCTCTCTCTTGGGTTGCTCTTTCCTCAATTTCACGGGATCACGCTAAGGAAAGCTTAGCCCACGCGCTCGGTCAGAGTCGTCACTCTGCGGCCTCTCAAACAACAAATACACTCAACTCACCCCAATTCGCAATCTCAATCTCAATCTTGTTCAGGTCAATCAATCGTGCTTCTGTTTGCCTCTCGTCTGTATCACAGAATTGATCAAATCAGTCGTGTTCGTTCACAGTGCGCAATGCCCGCTATTTCAGCTGCCCCCCGTTTTCGTTTTCGGTTACACTCTGTTGCTGGCTGGGTGATCCGCCTCGCTCTTTTCTCCTCCCACGCCTCCCCATCCCGGCTGCATATCCACCCAATACCCTGACAACGTCCCCTGCGTCCAATAAATCCAAGCCTGGCCACGGCCACGGCGCCGGCGACAATCGACGTTGGTCGTGGCTGGGGTGACACCATGAACATGATGTCGTGCACTGTGCGACTTGAACATCATCGTGCCTTTCAACCCTCACCTCGAGCAGATTGATTCACTTCCTCTCATGCTGATGATCCCAACACCAATAAGGGCAATTGCGCGCGATCCTTCAGGCTCTGGTCCTGGTCTGCCGTCATTGATCGGAGCGGCTGACCTTCCTTCTGTCCCAGGAATACGAATTGTCTTTCTTCCCAAAATTCACGTTCACAGCCGCCTTTCAGGCCAGGCATTCCATACTAGCATTCACCAGCATCCACGCACCTCTGAAAGCGCCTTTACACAGAGACGCTCAATGGCGCGACTGTCACCGTTTTGCCTGAGTCACCCAAGGCAATGCGCACGGCGCGCCTCAACACGTTACCCTACCCGTTGTAGTACACATCCACCTGCGCCGTGCCGAATGCCTCTTCCCCATTACAGTTCTCTGAACGTCTAACTCCTCAGCATCTCAAAACATCGTCACAACAACGCACCTATTAACATCTTGTAGCGTAGTATACACCAGGTCTGGACCTAAGATGCCGCCCGATCCATATGATAACCCAGGAATCATTCGTCACCGCACTCGTCATACGCAAGGATATCCAGTGCCAGGCCCCCTGCTCTACCCTCCCGCTGTTTCAGAGCCCTGACATGCTGTCTGAAACCTCAACGCTACAATCACCCACTTCTCTCCATGGCTTCCCCAATTGACAACCTCCCTCAACAGCAGCCGAGCCGAGACCTTTGCGCGTGCCGTCGGCGTGGTCCATATCTTCGACCTCCCTATCCAGGATAGCCTGTACGACAGGCCCATTCTTGCCACCAGATTGACTTGATAGCAGACGACGAGAAGATCTGACCCCGGTCCGCTTTACAAAGTAGCGGATTGACAGCATGTAGCGCGCGTTGCTAAAAATTGCCTTCCAGATTGGCGAGTCTGTTGGAATTTCATTCATCTATCTCGAGACTGACTGTCGTTTGGCTACGGCCTCTGGGCATGGATGCATGCATACTGTAGTGTTCCCAATGGGTGAGCCAAGAGGAGGTTGGATAGGCTGTCGTCTGCGAATCGATTCAGGCTGGTGTCGCACAACTCTTTGTTGCTAGATCCGATAAGCCGGATGCCTATGTTCAAGAACTCGGAGGCAGGACCGATACCCAGCCCTCTGATTAGCCTACGCAGAATGGTTGGTCTTGCAAACACCCAGTATCGAACAAATGTGAAGTATTATCCTTTATTCGCGAGAGTCGGGTATTCTAATATTATCTAGAGTAAACGTAGTTGTCTAAAAATGAAAAGTCGTGTAGTACATTATATCATACCATCGAACCATCACAACCAACAACCGTAATTAAAGTTGTTCATACAACCTGATGAAAAGAAAAACCCCAATCTATTACTTCCCCTTCTCTCCAATTCAATGAATCATGCCTTCGCCTGCGAATCCTTCTCCTCGTCCTTCGCCCTCTTCTTATCCTTGAACCCCTGATCCGTCTCCAGCGGCTTGTCCAACGCATACGACTTCGTCCAGAAGCTCAGCACCAGCGCGACAGCCGAGAAAGCAGTCATGACGATCCAGATGTACCTCAGCGCGTCGGCGTAGCTCTCCCTCAACTGGTCCTTCATGTCGCCAGCCGGCAGCGACCTGATGATCTCGACGAGCCCCGCCGCGTCCTTGGAGTACTCGGTCGCGAGATCCGCGAGCAGCGGGAACGTGAGCATCTTCTTCTTCATCTGGTTCTGGAAGATGACGCCGCCGATGGCGACGCCGAGGGTCTGGCCGAAGGCGCGGAGGAAGGAGAACATGTTGGTTGCGTAGGCGGCGTCGTAGGAGGGGACGGAGGCCTGCGTCGTGATGGCCATGGCGGGGAAGAGGGCGCCCGTGCCGAAGCCGGAGACGAGGCAGAGGAAGACCCAGGCGACGGTCGTCGTCTCTGGCTTCAGGAGGATGATGAGGCCGAGGCCTAGGGTTGTGAGGGTCCAGCCGGACCAGATGGCCCAGCGGTACTTTCCGCTGATAGCGATGGCGGCACCGACGACCATTGCGGCGGGCGCGACGGTGAAGGTCTCTGGGAACAGGGCGACGCCGGACATGATCGGTGACATGCCCTTGACGGCTTGGAAGTAGAGCGGGAGGAAGTAGAGGAGGGCCCAGAGGATGATGCCGTGGATGACGGTGCCGGCGTAGGTCACGGCGGCGGTGGTGGTCTTGAAGACGCTGGTGCGGACCAAGGGTTCTTGCGCCCAGCGCTCTTGGTGGACAACGAAGACTACCATGCCTACAGCGCTGACGATGAGCGGGACGAGTGTTCGCCAGCTGTCCCAGGGGTATTGAACACCTCCCCATGTCACAGGAATGAGGAAGCCGGTGGTCGATCCGAGGAAGAGTGTCATACCGATCCAATCGACACGCTTGAGCTTCTCGAGCAAAGAACTGGTCTTGTAGTTGAGCTTCAAGAAGATGCCGATGAGAACAGCGCCAGGCACGATGAAGAAGAGGTTCAGCCAGAAGATCCAAGTCCAAGAGACCTCCTGGGCGAAGGCACCTCCAACGAGCGGTCCTGCGACCGTGCCAATGGACCACATGGCGCTGAACATGCTGAACCACTTGCCTCGCTCGCGGAGCGGCACCATGTCTGTGACGATGATTTCGGTCAGGCAGATGATGCCGCCGCCACCGACACCCTGAATGCTTCGACCCACGAGGATGACTGTGAAGTTCTTCGCGAGTGCTGCGGCGACCGATCCTGCGAAGAAGAGGACTAAGCTGAAATAGACCAATGGTTTGCGCCCGAAGATGTGAGAGAAGGATCCGAGGACTGGTTGGAAGACAGTCGATGTCAAGAGGAATGATGTTCCTGCCCAAAAGGCTTCAATAGCTGAACCGTGGAGTGCCCTCGCCATGATCTACTTTGATGTCAGGATCCGAATATTTACTGCCTTGCAGTATCAAAAGTTACTTACAGGAAGTGCAACGGAAATCATAGTTGCATCCAATGCAGCCATCAAGGTGATGACACACAGAGATACAAAAGCTGCTATAAAACGCCATCCTGGGTTGAATGCTGGCCCAGCAGCCTCCTCAGTCTTCTCAGCTAATGAAGGAGACTCCGATGAGGAAGAGATTTCTGCTTGTGGTATTCCAAGCTGCACAGGGTCGTCCGAGGACGTGGTGGGTAGTGGGCTGGACATATTGTTACTAGCCTTGCCGAATGTGGTAATCGATTGTAGGAAGGCAACGAGATAAAAATATTGAGCTTCTGCTGGCTGTCGAGGCTATCTGGATGTTCTGGGTGTTCTGGATAGGATACGAGCTTCAAGGCAATGGCAGAAGATCGTACTTAATACTTCATGATTTCTCCTAAACTCCACGATAACCGATTGTGATGAATCATTCAAAAGCCATATTTTTTATTTCTTTCGTCCGATCGCAAGCACGCATCACGCACGTAGCGGTAGATTTAGCACCGCTCAATGCTTAACGTTAGTCCGCTTTGGTGGCCTAATAGCGAGTGTGGCTCTCTTGGTAGGTTCGTAAAATGTGTACAGTGGACTCCGTACCTCCTGTTGAACTGCTCGTTATGTCGGAGGAATTTCAGCCCATGCATCGAGGTGGTCTAACAACCGACCGATCGCTAAACCCGCCATAGTAAGTACACGAGGAGAGTGCGAAGAGTCGACCATTCACGGATCATGGCAATCCTCTGCTAGTGGGATCCAGTTAGGCATCATTGACGCTGTAATGTTAACGTGGGCTGAGCGAATGGAGGTGTGAATTAGTCGAGTCGGTGCAACATCTGCCCGCTTCTCGCTAACCTTCTTTCTCAGCATCGAAAAGCCCGACTACGATGCTCGGTGTATCGGTTTCCCGCTTGATTCAGCGAATTATGCGATTTCCCTTCTCATGCGCTTTTTGTGCGTCTCCACTGTGAACGGGTACTCGTTAACAATTTGATGTAAGAGTGGCTGGTTTAGGAATGAAACTGGCGCGCTGACGTTTGATGGTAAGGTCGGAGGTCGGTGTCAGTATGCAGTGTCGTCGCCGTGAACCGGAGTAAAGTTGCGCTCACACTCTTAAAACAACATCCACAAAGACAGAGAACACCAAGTAATGTTCTGTAAGCAAGCAAACAAAATCCGGGCTAGATATCAATATTGTTAATCTAGTGTCTCAATGACTTGATCTCTTGTATTCCGCGGTTGTTCACCATATTAGGAAATAAGCAATCGTGTCTCAAGGCCATCCTAGTTATACAACATGTATGTCACCTTGGCATCGTTGCGGAAAGTATCGAGATGCGATGATTGTCGCCTAGAACTCAATATGATGAACAAATGAGTTTCAACGGGACCCATGAGTCATGCATCTACTATGTACTTGCAGCAGATTTCTTATCGTTTCTCACTTGGTTCTTGTCCCTATATTCATCAGCCACTCCTCAATTTGAGATAGTCCATCTCTGTCGGTATGGCCCGCTCCTCTGTTTCTGCATTAGACAATAGGTTCCGGCAAACGAAGCCACCAGAAATTCACATTCCGGGGGATTGAACAGCAAAAATGTACTGGCTGCATGCAGAACTACGACAAACACCAAGGGAGCGTCAAGCACCCCTGTCTTTGTTCCACTCCTTCAAGAACTCCACAAGTCACGACCGTTTTTGACGGTACACACGTGAATCATTGCCTATTTCTTTGTTTCCAGGAATTCTTCTAGAAGCAAGAGTTATCCAAGGCTTGTTGACCATTTCGTCGTTCAAAACCGGCCGACTTTGCATTTCTCCACTGTAGAGGCATGAACCGAAGCCAGCACTGAAAGAACATGGCGACCCCGTTCAAGCAGATAAACTTGTCGACATCGTCTCTCGAGGGAATGGAGCGCCCAGTGCGGTCCTTCAAGTCCTTCATAAAGACTGTACCTCCAAACCCAGAACAACCACGAAACGACAAGCCATTGCCACCGACTCCATCACCCTCACAGGAGTTCGTGGTAGCATCACAACCTCTCACTCCAACACTCGAGTTCCCCAAAAGAAGCGCGAGCGACGCTTCGTGGAAAGCTCCTGCAGAGTGGTTCAACAGTACCCCCGAAATCGCGAAGACGTATCCTGGAACACCCCCACTGCCCGGTGGACGAACGCTATCCCCAGTCATTCCCGAGCCCTTGTTTGAGGCCGGCGAAGGATTCATGGAATTTTTAACAACGCAAACGTCGCCCTCGTCTCCCCAGGTTTCTCGACTCTTGCCGATATACGAGCGTTCGTTTGTGGACCTGGGACCACCCGGTTCTCCACCTAGGACTCCGTTGCCGTTACCACCAAAACCTACCACTAACCTAGTACCTCTCCCAATACCACCGATCACGAGTACATCGATGGTAGATCTGAAGCCATACACTGTACCTACACCAGCAGTCCGGCCAGATTCCGAGATTGGCACCGATGCGGCTTCGGATCACCCCTCGCCCCTGCAAGATACTCGAGTCGACGGTTCAAGTTCGTCAGGAGGTTCGGCAGTGTCCGATGAATCGACCAAGGAGAAGGCATTTTCATCACTTGGACTGGATCCATCAGTGGGGCATGCTATGGACGACTACCGTGAGCACCACGATCACGATCGCCCCGATAGACGATATATGCGGGGGAGGAAGCTTCGTGCGTTGAACAAAGGAAACCCGTTGAGCGATGACAGTTGGGAGGACCCGGATCTAGATGAAAAGGCCAGACAATTGAGCTTCTCGCAAGACTATCACGATCTGCTGGTTGATCAGTACCAAGAACTGAATGTGCGTCCTGAGGAGGTTCTCAGACAAGCGCCGAACGACAACAGTTCTTTTATGGTGGCTGGAGCCGGACTCGATCCGAAGCCTCGACCGTTGGACCAAGGTCTCATGCCACGGCCATTGTCATGGCAAAAATCCTCGAATGACTCCACACCGCGCTGTGTCTCCCTGAATGGAAATGCCACTACGGTTACGACTGGGGGAGATTCGGCGAATAAGAGGTATAGGATTTCTGGCAAGCTCTCTGTTTGGATACCGCAACGACTCAGTGTTGGGAATAGGAGCCGGCAGTGCAAAGACGAAACAGGCTCCGCTAAAAAACAAAAGACGCCAAAGGAGTCGAAGGTTATCGATGCCAACAGCTTCAAAGCGATTCCTTATGGGCATACCCAGGAGAACACTAGTAGGGACTCAAGGTTCTCTATACTTCCCCAGAACAAGCCTCTGCTATTCGGCAGGAAAAACAGGTCAAGCAAATCCAGTGATGGGAGTCAAGAAAGGGGTTTAGGAGAACCATCTCCAACCACGAGGTCTCCTAGGCACATGCCTTTGAAGCCTATGGTCCGTTTGCCAGGAGGTTTTGCAGTGGTTCGTACTCCACCGGATCCAAGGCCGCGATCGAAACATGCAAGCCTTATTGATCTGAGTTCTTCGGTGAGGGAAAGACCAATTAGTGAGGCATTCCCTGAAAGCAGCAGTGTCTCCACATACTCTGAATCATTCCTCCCAGCCCCTTCCGAGCATCGAATGTCTCAAATAAGCCAACGCTCGGTTTTGACCGAAAGTAGAGGTCTAGCTGCAACAGCAGCAGCTCGCAACAAACTCCGAGTGTCAATGGCATCCTCACAATCAAGACGCTCCAGTGGCTCGAATCATCCACTCGCCAACGAGATCACCCATCGTACCAACACCTCATCGCTCAGTCCGATATCTACGAAATCCACTTGGACGCAGTCCAGTGGTGATTCAGCATCGGTGCGGCAGAAACCAGGTATTTTTGACAAGGCCATGCAGGCGAGGCGCAGACGAAGCCGGGAACTGAGGCAGAAGAGATTGAAGAATAGTATCAAAGTATTAGGACCTACGGATCCGCACGTCGTCAGTGGGTACATCCGCGATAGTGGACAGATCAACAACATTGACGAGGGAGGAAGAAGGCCTGGTTATCTTGTCGAAGGGGTTTGATCCAGCAATGTGAATCTATAATCATTTTAATTAATTTAATGCATGATCTAGAAGTGGCATTCCGATAACGCATGCAAAGCGGAAGCATTGAGATGTGAGATTGACGACATAATAAAATCCCATTGGAAAGAAAGTCTCGACCGTCAAGGGCATTCCTCAGCCTCATCTTCACCCATTTAGATGCTCATGATTTGTGAATTGTGCATGCAACTGGGTAATTGTATTTCTTCCCCCGTCCCACGAGGCATTATTATCCATCCCCACTCGATCTAGCGCTCCCGGCCTTAGCTTATATGTACGACAACCCAACGTCGTACGTCCCTCATCCCCTCATTCTCGTCCCCCATTTAGTAGTTACCTCGTATCTTCCCAACTGATATCATCCCAGCTAGAGCTCCTCCCTACCCCCTCCGCTTCTACTTCTACCTCCGACATCCCCACAGCTACAAATGCACCTTGAACTCCCCTCTTTTCGACAAAAAATCTATCAAACCTATTAGTATTCACTCGTTTCAATTGGTCAATTCACTCAGAACCTTTATCTTTCCGTAACTAACTAGTATCCACCATTATATGACATCTTCCAGATAACACCATCCACATAGCTATATATCTCCTTTCAACGCTGCATTTCCCATCCCAACCCATATTCAAGTCAGTTATACCTTCGACCAGCAACCATGGCCCAATTCTACTCCTCCAACCCCTCTACCCCTCCCATCAAGGTATCACCCCACCTCACGATCCAGCCCCCACTTTCACGTCGCGGTCATGGTCCTGGCCTCATTCTCGTCGCCGATCACTATGCCTCGCTCGACGAGAGTGACAAACATCTCGACCCGCCGCCGCTCGTCAAGTGGGCCGAGGAAGGTTACGCGGTCGCACAGGTTCTCATCCCCGGTAAAACAGATGAGGATGGGAGTGAGTTCCCATTGAAAAGAGCGGTAGAGGAGCTGAGAAAGCTGGAGAGTTGCGACGATGGTGGTGGGTTTGGATTGATTTGTACGTTGCTTTCAATTGTTTACTTACTGCTCTATTCTACTCCATTCCATTTCCTCCTTTTATATACGCGGATTTCAATCCAAGTCGAAACCTTTTCGACATTGCCTAGAAATGACATGAACTAGAGTTCTATATGTGTATCTTCTTATTCCTAAAACTAACCCATATCGTCCCTATCACAACAGCATACCTGACCCGCGTCCCCTACTACGTCGAAGAAGCCACCTGCCTCTCCCAAGACATTCGCGCCATAATCTCCTACGGAGGTAGGAAATTCACCTCCCTCAACACCTCACACACCTCGCCTCTCCCACCGCAACTCATCCACCTCTCCGGCGACGCCAAACCGCGCCGAGAATCCCTCTCCGTCGTCCCAGATACCAGCACCTCGACCCTCCGCGCCCAGGACAGCACCGTGAAGACCTACCGGTACACGGACGCACCCAAGGACTCCGCCTGGCCTCTCCCCTCCTCCGCAGAGTACCACCCCTCCTCCGCAAAGCTCGCCCACACCCGGTCCCTCACGTTCCTCAAGCCCCTGCTCAACGGCCCGCACTTCGACCTCGAGGACATCTGGAACGAGCACACGCGGTACGAGTTCGAGGAGCGCGACGTCCCGAAGACGATGGCGACGATGGTGTCCCAGCCGTACGTCAACCACATCCCCACCCTGACCGGCGGGATTGGGAAGGAGAGGCTCACGGCGTTCTACACGCACAACTTCATCTTCGCCAATCCAGAGGACACGGACTTGAAGCTGGTGAGTAGGACGATCGGGGTCGATAGGGTGGTGGATGAGTTTGTGTTCCGCTTCACGCATGACAAGGTGGTGGATTGGTTGTTGCCTGGTGTCCCGCCTACGGGGAGGTTCCTTGAGATCCCGTTCACGTCGGTGGTTAATATGCGCGGGGATCGGTTGTGCCATGAGCATATTTCTTGGGATCAGGCGACGGCATTGAGGCAGGCGGGTTTGTTGCCTGAGTGGACGGATTTTCCATATCAGATCGATGGGAAGGAGCCAGGGGCTGGGAAGAAGTTTGAGGTTAGGTTGCCCGTATTCGGAGAGGAGACATCTAGGAAGTTGGTCGACGAAGGTTCTGTGGAAAGTAATACTTTGATTGAGAAAGATGGCGGGAAGGGATGGAGGGAGACTGACGCATGAACTTCATGACGGTTTTAATGATGTGTAAATTGACACGGGCGGCATACGTAATTGTATATTTTGCCCCATGGGTGCAATTATATCGGCAATTGTAGTCATGGCTTTAATAACAATGCTTGAGGGAGTAATATACAATCATCAGGGTAACCATGAGGCTGAAAAAAGATGTCGATAGCAACGTCATCTATCCATAGGGCCGATACTTCAGTTAATGATTAAAATATGCCAGCAAAATGTCTTCATGCTCATATATCCGGCTGCAGCACTGCTTAGATACTCATGCTCTGCTTCCGAAAAGCCCCCATCCAGCAAGCACCTCGCGTTCGCCTCTGAATGCCCAATCTTCGGCGCCGACCTTTCCAAGTCCCTCACGTCTCCTCTGTTCGCCTAGTTCACCCCACCTCATCAAGAGATTACCGTCCAGTATTCCTCTTGTTCCTCCGCCGCCACCTGTCTCGTTCTCTACCGCCCGATACGCCCTTGGGTTTAGTCCACAAGGCGAGTCTAGCGTGTTGGCAAGGTATGTTGCCAGGCCACTTAGCCTCCTATACGTTGACTCAGACAATGGCGTCAACAGGGCTAGCGTGCCAGACTGCGATGTATGTAGGATTTGATGAAGAGGCCCCGAGTCCTCGGAGTCGATGTCCATTTCTATGTCCATGTCATCTGGTGACGGCGATATTGCGCCAGGGAATTCTGAGGCAGAGGGCATCTTCAAAGATGACTTCAACAAATGCATGGACACTGGGAAGTGTCCAGTGTGAAATGTTGATTTTTGGAGCAGTCGAAGGCCGCCAACAGATTTTGGATCTGCCCATCTTGATTAGCAAAAGAACATGCGAGATCGGAGTTGGGTTGCGTACTTTCAGGATCAAATTGCAAGACTTGGAGGTTCATGTCTGCGTCTGCAACTATGATGTGGAGTTGCTGTTCAAATGGCAGAAACTCCGCGGCAAGGACTTCCATTGGGCTCTTGCTTCGGCCAAAGAGCATCATCTTGTATGGCTCTTCCTGTTGTAACAATTAGATGGAATCTGCCTCCAAATTGTTTAGCCTGCAAACATACCGTATATCCTGTGAACCAAAGCCCTTTGAAAGCATCACCCATGAGCAGCATTCCAGTCGTAGGGAGCGTTTTCAACACAGTTACATAACACTGCATATCCATGAAAGCAACTGGCAGCAGGGTTCCATCCTCTTTGAGGCCTCGGACCATGCATTTTTGGCCTTGGGCCATGATCATGAATCCCTGGTTGCCAATGTCGGATATTGCAGAGACCGCTCCTTTCACTTCGTCCTTTACGATCAATCTCAATCGCCTGTTCGTCTCTGGTCTTTCCGGATCTGGCACAACAGTGATGACCTCGAAGATTCGGATATTTCCCTTGGTAGCAAGATCTTCACCACGAACCATGGCCGTCCCAACCGCGACCAGCGCTCGCCGTTCATGCGTGGTTTCGGAGTACTCCATGTTCAGTGTTTTGATGCAAATAACAACCTCTTGCGGATCCAAAACGTGAGTATCAATGACGGTCCATGTCTTTGCATCCACTACCTTGATGATCCCTTGTTCCACGTGTGGTTTGAATGCAATATCCTCCTTGACCCAATCGTAATGGTAAGTGTCGTCTGGGAGCATGTATTCTTCTGTCTGCCCCATTCCTAATATATATAGATCCTTGGGATGGTAGGAAAGAGCATGGATCTCAGAACCCATGGGGTATCTACGAGCTGCCCAGCCCAGATGTCCATAGTGAGTCTTTGCAGGGAATTGGGAGATTCGAAGAGTGTCTTCCGTGTCAATGTAAGCGAAACCTCTCTGGCATGCGGAGGTATGAAAGCTGGTCAGGCCTTTGACGGCTCTCCCACTCAGTCCAATGACTCTGGGCATACTCGATGCTTCCTTCAGAATGAACGCGGGAGATGCTCCGCGTTGGAAGACGGTACTGTAACCGCAAATGTTGTCCAATGCGATGAGGGTGTTTTCTCTTTCAATACTAGCAGATTCTATTCCTGGCTCGTCGGTATATCTAGGAAGATGTTGTTGAGACACTTTAACCCAACGTAGATTCTTGGTCCATGCATCTGAGCCACTCCGGGACGGATGATGGAAAGCTTTGTAGATTACTAAATCGTCTGTGGATGTTCGTATCTAGAAGAAAATGTTAGTCTGTATATGGTCGATAGTGCAAAACGACGACTTACTATAAGATGTGGAGTCTTGGAGGTCGCGTCTCCAATATCAGCTATCAGGAGCTCGGTGATCGCTGCTTTGGCATTGCCACGCCTGGCCGCGTATTCGGGGGTCAGGAAAGGCGGGAGGAATGATAGCCCTTCAGCAACATAGCAAGGTGTTTCCAAGTCTGACATTGCAAACATGTACAATCCACCCTCTGGAGATAGAAGTAAAGTGTAGATCTCGGGTATCTTGGAAGACTTGAAGAGCGAAGCAGACAACCATTGCGAAGAAGACAATCCACTGCATTCGACATCCTCGACCTCGTCACTACTACTCGCTTTGAAAATCTTCGCACTGGAATCTTCGCGCAAAACCAGCAAGTAAGGGTCTGCGAAGCTGGCCCCAATGACTTGCAATTCATCTCCCGATGTCTCGTCTTCCATCGGGATCATTTGGTCCATGTTCAGTTCAGAATCGTATGTTCTGACTTCACTGCGCATGATCTGGACAACTTTAGTGCCGCCCGCGAGAGTACCAACCGCCATGGTTGCACCGTCTCGCTCAACATCACCCTTATCTGTTGGACTGATGTCGTTGCCGTTCACCTCATATACAACGGTGGCTTCCACATCATTGGCATCTGCATTGCAAACCACGAGATATTGGTGATAATCTACATCCGCAGACATATTGGCTTCTGTGTCTTGACCGTCCTCAGTGACTAGCCCGATCGCAGATCGCGTCTTTGCATGCACAGCCCAAAGCCCTTTCGATGGGCCCAAATTTGTTTGGGCCAGGTTAGCTGGAATCAATTCACGATTGAGGGCGGTGAGTCCTCCAGCCTTTCCTCGACCGGTGGATAGCAGCATGTCGCATGCTGTACTCGGCAATTTTGTGGAAGGTATATCTCCCAATGTGCCTGGAGAATGTATCACAGCATCTCGGATTGGTGCAATGCTGGGCAAAGAGTCGTGAATCCGGAAGCTATATGTCCCTGGAAGAGTAGGATCTGCTGCTACTGCTGTAACCTTCTTCACTGCCACAGTGTTGTCATTGTAGAGATCATCATCAAGATCATCCATACTCTCATCTTCATCCTCTTGTGATGAACCTGCATCTTCTGCGATGAGATCGGCTTGCGATCGCTTCCTGGTGGTCTGGCCAAGCTTGCTGCTCCATCCAAGCAGCGCAGAGTCTCCATCTTCGCTTCCAATGAAGATTCTGCCGCGTCCAATGTTCGATACGCACGATGGTCTGGTATTCAAGATCTGACCTCCTTGCTCAGTTGACACTGGCTGGAGTGTCAAGCCAGACACAGTACGTCCATCTAGAGTGAAAGTAAGGATCCATATAGAACCATCATCAAGAACAACCAGAACATCCCCATTGTCTTCAGACAGACGTTCGATCGCGCAGCCCTCGAGCCTCAAGGCTAGGCTTGACTGGTCTTTGAGCGCAAACGAGGTACAGGCTTTAGCGAACTCATTTACAGCAATTCCATTTGTCCTTCCGGCTTGGTCAACGTGAACGATCTCGTTAACTCCGACGAGTAAGGCACCGCCAATTGGCAGAGGTAGAGGAACCACCCTATTGATGTCGTAGGGAAGTCCTTGAACTGACAGAAGCGTTGTCGATGCCTTCTGTTCAAGATCAAGTGTGAAGACAGTGTATGTGAGGATATCTTTTCGTTCGGCGAGCAGGGACGGGGCAGCAGCGCGAGACGAGGCGACGATTCCAAAGGTCGGCTCGCGATATTCGTAGAGGAAAGCCAGATGAACAGGGTGGGTCAACGTGGGGTCGAGATGCGTGAGAGGTAGCACGAATGAGGACGAGTAGGGCGTCTTTTGCGTATCTTGTCCATTACTATCCACAGCCTTATCTCCTCGAGGACCTTCTACATCCGAGTCATAATCGTCCTCAACTAGATCACGCTGCCGAAAGGGCAGGATAGCGAGGTTATGAGTACCGAACTTGAAAGCGGCGCATCTGCTACTTGGATCCGCTGTCAAAAAATTGTAGGTGTCCTTCAAATCTGCAGACCACGGTGCACCAGATAAGTCTGGGTTCTCATAGTAGTGTATAGATATAGTATGAAGATTGAATGTCTCTGGGTCCCACTCCACCAAACTGAGCTTCGCGTCTCGAAACGCAACCAGTAAACATTCCGCCCTTGTCTTTGTGTTCAGTGCTTTTATACGTGCGAGCGAAGTGACCGTTCCTGCCAACGGAAATTCTCCAATGAGTACCAATTTCGATGTGTGCTCGGTGCGCTGCAATGGTACATCGGCCGCTTCTGTATCCAGATTTGCGGTCGCATTTTCCGCGTCCTCGGCTCCGTTCGAGGATACCTCGGTGATTGTGGACTTGAGCTCGAATATTTGCAGCAGGGAGTTCTTTGCGACGATTAAATTGTTGGCCTTGGAGGAGAGAAAGGGGAGTTGAATGGCATGGCTGACGGCCGTCGGCGGGGCCAACTCAGTGTAGCACTGCATCGTGGTTACAGGGAGTCGACGCGCTTCCGACTGTCATGTTCTGAGCGGGACTCGTAACAGGGTGGACCATCAATCAATTCGAGATACAATGTCCAAAGATTGGTTTGCGACGCGTTCAAAGAGCTCGAACTGCCAAGGGCGCTAGTGGTGATCTCTCTTGAGGAAGGAGCTTTGACCACCATAGGCTTGTTGCAGTACAGACAGTGCGACCAGGTAGGTACCTACATAAGAACCTAGGTAAGTACGAGATGAGATCCTTTTTTCAGGATGAGACCGAATGAAGGAGAATTCGATTCTTCAAATGTAAGTTGACGGAAAAATATAAGCTTTAGTATTTATGATTAGTTTTGATATGCTACATTGCGTTCAAAAAGGAAATATTATGTGGTTGTGGTTGTGACTGCGGAAGTACCTACCAAGTACCTGCGGAGGGTCTAGAAGGCGCGAGCCTCGATTCGTCGATCGACCGGGACTGTCGTCATTTGTTGCGCTTGCCTGTCCAGCTTCCCATTCCACCAACACCAACTTCGACGCTGAGGGGTAGGCCGAGTTCTTCACACGACAATCAGCTCCCTCATCATGGCGCTCATACAAACGAGCTTGATCTGGGTGGCCTATGCTATCGCCATCGTTCTGCTCCTGGCCATAGCCTCCGTATTTGTCTTTATTTACCAGGCTCCGCGAGATCGCGCGGCTTCCGTCACGATCGTATCGATCTTCACAACATTGGCTTTGCTTGCAACGGTTCTCCTTCTGCCTGTCGATGTCGCCCTCGTATCTTCGACTTCCCTTTCTAGCCAGGGCCGCAAGAAGGACTGGGCCAGTCCGGATCGTGTCAACAACATCCTATACACTCTAAAGATTGTTTACTATACACTGTTTTCGCTTGACGCACTCCTTTGCTTGTTGGTCGTGCCTTTCACCTATTTCTGGTACGAGGAGTACGATGACGATGCAGCTGAATCAGGCGAGCAGACCGTCGGTCAGCGTTTCTGGGGCGCTTTCAAGTATACCATTGCGTTCATATTGTTCGTGGTCATCATCTTCCTGGTTGGCTTCTTCGCCCCATTCGCGAAACAAGCCAAACATGACCAGCAGCTGGACCTAGACTACTTCAAGAGGTTACTACAAGAGAATCGTAGGTGTTCTTCTACTCGCCTTTGTTACGAAATGCTGACACTGTGTAGACGGAGAACGTGCACTTACGTTCGCACTCGGACTACTCACTACCATCGGAACCTTAGTTTACATCCTATATACTGGTGCCGGACTGGCGTTGCTCCCCGTGTCTCTGATCAAATCCGCCCCTTCGATTTCAGCCCCTGCGCTGGCTGCCAACACAGCATCACAACTTGAGCAGAACCGTGAGCGCCAGAGACAACTTGAAGGCCGCAATGAAGGCCGAGATGGTGGCCTGGATTCTAGAGACAGGCGAGAGCTGGAGGCGCTCATTCGTGAGGAGCGAACACTTATTCGACGAGAACGCTTGGCGGCAGAATCCAGCGGCGAAGACCGTCATTTCCTCGTCAAGGCTTGGATCAAGATCGAGGCAGTCTTCCGTCCCCTCAAGCTTCTCGGTGGTCTCCTCTTGATGATTGTAGCTCTACTGGTGTTCACGAGCATGCTTATCACCGCTATTGACAAGGCGAAGAACTCGATCTGCAAATCTCATTGTGGTTACATACTGGGAAAGATCAACATCTTCCAACCTATCAACTGGATACTCGTCAAATCCTCGAAGGTCTTCCCCATTGATTACGTTATCTTCCTCTTGCTAGTTCTCTTCTTCTTTTCTGCCTCGATCGTCGGGATTGCAACCATTGGCATCCGCTTCCTCTGGATCACTATTTTCAAGATCCGCAAGGGCCACACCTCTCCTCAGGCATTGCTGCTGGCTACGGTGCTGCTAAATCTCATTGTCCTAGCCATCAACTATTCCGTCGCAATGGTAGTCGCGCCACAGTACGCAACGTTCGGTCCTCAAACGTTCTGTGATCGACCTCCACGCCATGCTGGAGAGCAGCCCGACTGCACAAAGGACGGCGGTGCTATCAAGCCATGCACAGAGCTCGCCGATAATCCGGTCGCAAAGGATGTCTGCACTCCGAGTGTAATCAGTACCTTCCTCAACCGTGTTACTATCAACTTCCCCTTCTTCGGTGTAGTTTTGTTCTGGGCACAATTCGCCTTCTTGGGCGTCTACATCATCGTCTTTTTGACAACGCTTTTCAGGACACCTAAGCTAGACCAAGAACAAGTCGACCGAGATCTAGAAGAGGAGGAAGAGGAGGGCCTTTTGGCAAGCACAGGCAGGCGGTTCGGTGCTACATGGCAGGACATCACCGGCCGTTCGAAGAAGAACAACTACGGTTCCACGGAGAGGAACGGAGAGCGAAGCTAAATCAAAAACAACAAGCCGTTCGGATTTCCCTAAAATTGTCGTCTCAAGTTCACGCACAGTCGGTTCTCTGGTTGGTTCTGGGTGGGTTTCATTAGGCAATCAAACGAGTGTGCATACTTGGGCTGGGTTGGGTTGGGTTTCCTCATACTAATAGTCATGATACCTCGATTATCGGTTGGGCATGGGTTTTTTAAGGTTGTCTTTAAGTCTGTTTTCTTTGTGTTAGTTTATCAAACTTCAATCGTACATCTGCTCCTCTGCGTCCATTCCATCATATCTGATAATCCCGTTCCCCATGTTGATACCAAATACGACCCTCCCTATGTCCCAACACGAAAGGAAATCCGAGGAGCAGATTCATGAACAGTAACAAAGAGCCCCCTACCAGTAACAAAACCCATATTCTACAAACATCCCTCCACCTTGTGATCTTCACGGCATGTATGTCCATGGTTTGGAATGCGTATGACATTGTTTTGAAAAGGCAAAGAAGGGGTATTCATCTGAGTACTATCTCAGGCACCATCATTTCTGTCCGTCGATGCGCACATCTGTATACACACGCGAGTACACGTATGCATGAGATCCCTTTCAACATCACCATCCAGAAGGTGCATGCATGTACGCATATCACCATTACCATAAAGCCAAACAGACACTCCTCCACCTTCTCTTTAGATCCAACCCACATCTCACAAAGGGGAGCAAGGCAGTTTTGCCCCAACCGGAAACAAAACTTCCATCATCGCTGATCGTCATAGGTGAGGTGAGGGGAAGTGCACGTTTCTTTCTCGTGTCATTCTCATCATTCTGTCTACTCTTATCTTATTACCCGAAACTCCCGGTTTTAGATGTTTTTGTCTCGTCTTCTGGCCTCCTTTCTCGGTTTTATTGCTGCCTTTTTGGAGCCTGTGTGTCTGTCTGTCTATTATACCCAAAGAGAACCAAAAAAACTCTCTTCAGTCCCCATGCAAACTGAGAGTATGGAGCAAGGAGAAAAACGCCGAGAGGTTACAGACACAGGCACGGAGAATGAGAGATGATGATGATGACGAAGGAGATGAAGGATATTTTGCCCATCAAAAGGAAAAGGGGTATACTTTGAATTGATTTAAGTTTTTAAAGAAACAATGAAGTAGGGAAAAAGAGTTACATGATGAGAGAAGAAAGATAATGCCCCATGCCGAAAAAGAGAGAAGAAAGGAGAAGAAGAGCCTATAGTATGCTATGCCATTGCCCACCAGCCTTCCTGACAAGAGGAGACAAGATGAGGCGGGAGAAGCTGAAGAGGAGGAGGGGGGGGGGGAAAGATATGGGTTTCCTTTTTCTTTCTCAATTCATTTCTTCGACGGCGCTGTATCTCTCTTCTGCCGCCTGCGCTTGCGGGCGTGATCTCTCAGTGCCTCGACAGTGAGGTATTCCTCCGGCAGCCCGAACTCTAGCTCTGCGAAGTCGGGCACGGGCTGCCCGAACGCGCTTGCGTTGCGGCCGTGGCGATGTTTGCCTAAGGCCGCGGCGCGGAGGTGCGGTTTGGAGTAGAAAGATGTGAAGGGGGCGGTGGGCTGGGGCGGTAAGAGGGGCAAGAAGTATCCGTGTGGGCGGGGCGGACGACGGGGTTTGGGGGGTTGGGGCTCTTTCTCGCGGTGCTGGTGGTGGTCGGAGGGGGAGGAGGATTTCGCGCCGTTGACGTTTATGAGGGAGGAGGATGTGCCGTCATCGTCATCGTCTTCATCTTCCTCGTCGTCCTCGTCTTCGTCGTCCTCGTCGTCCTGTCTGGCGAGGGCTGCCTCTTTTTCTGCTCGTAACCTCTTCTCCTCTTCTTTCCATATGCGGAACTTGTCGACGAGGGCTTCGACCTCCTTGACGAAGTAGTCTCGTTTTGGTTCCCAGTCCTTGCGTTCGCCGTCTGTCACGCCTGTCACGCCCATGACCTTGAGCCAATCGGGACCCTGGAGTCCGTCCAGAAGCCGCTCGAGCTGCATCTTTTCGTGCATGGCCCGCTCCTTCTCGATGTTCCGCAGCTGTTTCTCTTTTCTCTCCGCGCGACGGTGCTGCGCGAAAAATACCGAATCCGCAAGTGGGTCCTCGGCATTGTTATTGCTGCTATTGTTATCTCCACTGCCACTGCTGTTGTTGTTGGTGGTGGTAGTGGTATTGCTGCTCTCTTCGTTTCGGAAGTGTGCCACTATCGCGCCGTACTCGAGGATTTGGTAGGTTGTGGAGGATTGAGAGGGAGGTAATGCGGGATGCGATTGTTTTTGAAGTACTGGAGATTGTGGTTTGGGCTTTCTTGACCGTGTTGGACTCACCGACCCTCGTGTGGATGTGGGGGAGCTTCTGTTTGGGTTTCTAGTGGTCTTGGGAGGGTCGTCGATGATGTATATGGGAGTGTCGAGGTCGAGGAATTCTACAGATAGTTGGTCATGCCATTCGAACTTAAAGAGGGTTAGACCTTGTCGAGACTCACCTGCAGGCTTTTCAATGCCAGCTATTATGTCGTCATAGTTGGAGAAGTAAATTGCGAGGTCGCTCTTGAGACGGTGTCCGCCATCGTGGCTCCTCAGACTCCGCTTGTCCTGCGACTGCGCCGGTGCGGAGAGGGCATCGCCAGCCTTGTGGGAGCTGGGTGTGGACGTGCCGGAAGCAAGGTCGTCGTGCCTGAGCTCCAATTCCTGCGGGACGCCGTTCGTGAGTCTCAGCAGCTGGCCGTGTGGGTGTGTAACAGTGACCTTGGTGGGAGGTGTTGTCTCAGTCGGCGGCGCGTCAGCGCTCCCAAGTGCCGCCGCTGGCCGCTTCCTGGAGCCTGCTGCTGCTGCTGCTCCGTGGGCGAGACTGGCAGGCTTCGTCGGGGTCTGCGAGACGGTCCTCGTGGCAGAATCGTCGCTGAGTGCGATGAGTGGAGCGTTGCGCGAGGCTCGACGCGTGGAGATAGTGACGTTGTCGTGATGATGCGCGTTGTTCTCGACTTCGTCGGTCGCGGGGGACTTGGTGAGCCTCGTGCGGCGCTCAGTCGAGGAGCGCAAAGGCGGTGGTGGTGGCCTGCTCGGTGTGGCCATCATTTTGTGCAATTCGCAGGCTCATCTTTCAGTTGGAGGTCACGAAAGCGGCCATTGAGCGGTTGTGCATGCCTGGGAGAAGGGTGAAGCGTAAGGGTTAGGGGGGGTGTTTGGTCGTTCTCGTTTTGGCGGGCGAATCCTCTACCACGCGAGCTGCAGAGTAGACAACTCGATGCTTGCTAGGCTGCGACGTCGCAGGCTTCGCAATTCAAAGCTCGAGCGGGTGGAATAACAAAATAAATTATCAGATGTATGTACCTTGGCCGTACCGCGATCGAGAATTGCTTTCCAGATCAGCGAATCGCAATCAAGAAGCCTCCGAGGTTTCGAAAATGATAGTACAACGCCACAATCGGGGCTAACCAATCACAGGGATCATGGAGCTTGCCGAACAGCTTCATGAAAGCAATATGCTACGATGTTGTTGTAACAAGGAACTCCTTGGTCAGACACTGTTTGCAGTTCAGATCATAACGGCTGAACGATAGCCCTAAATTGATCGTCTACCACCAGCTATTTCTACCTTCATTGGCTGTCTAGCTGTTCCAGACCTGCTTTTATCATCGATAACACTTTTGGCGCAGTTTCATTGATGGACATCTGTACTTTGGATACTCTGCGACCTCACGACTCGAAGGAATGCACAGAGGATTGTGAGCAGCACCGATAACTACTCGATCGGATGTCGCAATACTTGTAAGGACGTTTCGCAGGCTTTACATGACCTAGTCCAGGCGCCCGATTGGCGTCTTGTAAAGATACAAATCTCATTGTTTGCACTCCGAAACACCCTCGCAGCCTGTGAGAATGCGAGACTGAATTCTGCAGCTGCGACCCGACCTCGGCTCCTTCACGAGTGCTGTGAACTGTGAGAGTATACCGTCGGCTTCACCAATTCATGTGGTCTCACATCACAGGGAAACGAAGAGCCATTACAACTCGACGGCTTCGACTTCGACTGGCGAACTGATCGGTATGAAATCAGCGAGACTCGCCGGCAGTGTTTTGGGATGTGCCAGGTCGCCATTTGACACTTCAACCTAATCTTCAATGTCTGAACATTCTTCATCATTCTTGTAGACCAAAAGATTCGATTTTGGCACAAGCTACAGCCAATACAGGTGAGGAAGTCGCAAATGGAGAGAAACGGTCGCGAATTCACACCTACACATCTTTGTGAGCTCGATCACGTGGCAGGCGCTCTTTTAGGACTTACCATGACCACGCATCTTTATAAATGCCTCGCCCACCGAATCGCGACTCACCTTCCTCACACACTTCGGTAGACCAGTCATCCATCACGATTACGCCTCAAGATTCCCCTGGAAATAGGGCAGTCATGGATAACCAACGCTTGTACCGAAAGAGACACCGTATCTTGACATCCTGCACGGAATGCCATCGCCGCAAACAAAAGGTCAGTACCGAGCTGAAGCCGCACATCTAGAATTCCTCTACTACCCATTTTTCCGGACTGTCACTCAATGGAGATATTGGCGGGACGAACGTTAATTCTTGAATGCAGTGTAACCGTGTCCAACCTTGTCAGCACTGTACGAAACGTTCGAAGCCGGTAGGGCTCCATTACAATATCCACAACGTGCACTGATGTAGTGGCCGTAGGAACTATGCCGCTACGAAAATGTTGACAGCAAATATGGCCAATACGCCGCCATCAATGCAAGTACAAACGCCTCTGGTGATAGCGGAATCGAATCTTCAACGATATCGGCGCCTTCGCCATCAATGCTGGAAACGAATTCATTGTCCCCGCAGGACAACCAGGACCTCGTCAATGTCCTGGGCTATTCCACTCACAGTGAACACAATACCCTAGGCTTAGTCCAAAGGGTGGAGACTACCTCCCCATCCACATCGAGCCGTCTTTCTACCTTGAATAGCAAGCAGCAGACAGCTCTGGACCACAAATATCGATCACTAGTCCGTCAGTTACCATCAAAGGAGCATATCGACATCCTCGTCCAGCACTTTTTCTCGGATATCAATTGGCACTACGACGTGATCGATGAGATCACTTTCCGTCAGCAGCTCGAGAACTGGAGAAGCATCCCTTACTCGGCTCATAGCAACGCGATAAGTGTCCTGCCCGCCGACGTTCTTGCATTTCCTTCCCTTCTTTTCCAGCTTATGGCCCATGCTCTACTACATCAACCCGTTGCTGATGGAACTTGCTCACGCCTTGAATCCCTGAAATACGCCTCGGAGATGACATTCGTCGATTTGGCATGTGACTTCTCCGAAGCTGGCTTTTCAACCTTGGAAACTATAGGAAAGAACGAAGTGACAGTGGTGGCTGTACAGTCAGGGATCCTACGTGCATCCCTATTGAAAAATACCGGAAATGTCATCGAGGCATGGCATGTCCTAGGAACCGCCATTCGAGACGCACAGGAAATAGGGCTTCATGCAGAATCGACCTCACAAACCCCGTCGGCAAGCATTGACGCTCAGTGGGATAAAGAGATGAGGCGCAAGATCTGGTTTGTGTTACACAACTGGGATATTCACATGGCTGTCGTGCTAGGAAGACCGATCACGACAATGATGGCCACTGGAAATGCGCTTGATCTTCCCGACGACCTTGCACAAAGAGAGAGTGGAACACTGCCGAGAAAGAGAACGTCCCATGATCCCCCTACTCCATCCAGCATAATCCATATTGGTTACGACGTTGCCTATCGATATTTTCCACAAGTCCATGGTCTTGAGAACCGTGGAGCACGGATAGAAGACTACAATATTGTGCGAGAGACGCACGCCGCGATTGTGAAGAATATGGACCGTGTCCCGCTTTGGTGTCGCCACGAAGACCCTGATACACAGTTTGACGAATTTCCAAGTTGCCACTGGCTGCCGGCGGCGCGCCAGGCATTGACGAGTGGGATTTACTTTGTCTTGCTTTCGCTACATCGGCCCTACATATTCAGTGTAGCTGAAAGTCGGACAGTGGCACTCAAGGCGGCACTGAATATCCTCACCGTCCAGAGACGATTGTTTCATCTGTCAGAACCGCAACAGTACATTTCATTCAACATGGTCTACCCAATGTTTGACGCAATGGTCATCTCACTGGCTACTGTTGTGCTATTTCCAAATGAGAACCTCGATATTGTCTCGGAATTGGTCCAGAATGTGCGCTGGGGCATTGATGTGCTCAACAAGATAGGCGAACATAATGCTATGGCTCGGTCGGCATACAGCATTGTGAAGAAGCTATTCTCCCGGTTGAAGCAATCTGGTCCACACGCTATTCAGCATTCCAGTCATACGAGCGAGAGCGTAACAGAATGGTCGAGCACCGAGACCGCGGATCTTGGTTGGGCCAGCACGAGTTTGGACGGAGCTCCGACGGTGAGTAACGTCGACGCTGAACTGCCATCACCAACCTACCAGGGAACGGATTTAGGGGCGTTAAATCCTCACGGTTTTCACTTTGAGACCCTTTTACCCCCCCAGCCAGTTCATGATCTATTCTATCAAGATATTTACGCACCGGATATACAGGAGGCCTGCCCGGGTCCCGAGTTTCCTTTGCAGAGTCTCGACTTCGATGGTCATTACCCAGACAACAGTTTCTGGAGCTTCATGAGTAACTTCACTCAACCATTAGAAAGTACCTAGGGTGTGCACGATGTTACATTTATGTACTAGTTTTATGGAGTTTAGATTTTAAAATCTGCAGAACCAAAGTCCTCCACGATTACCACCAACTCAAAAACTAGCAAAAAACTTCGCAATGTCGCCTACATTCCTGTCGACCGCATCAGGCTGGTCGTAGTGCTGGAAGTGGGAGACATCATTGTTCCAGATAAGCTTCTTGTTCACGGCCGGAATGGATTCGAAATGTCTCTTGGCCGCAGGCGCATTCATACAATTGTCCCCATGGATGATCAAAGCCGGCTTGTTCAGCTTCGCCACTCCTGGGACGGTGGTGTAGGAAAAATGGTCCAGGTCACTCATGACCGCGTAGCGGTTCTCAAATCCCTTCAAGGTCCACGGTCCGTACCAGGACCATACCACAGGACCTGGAAGACCTGCTACTGCACCGGTGTCTGGATCGGCGGCCTCGGGGTCGACCAGGGGTTGGTACACAACTTCGCCAGTACTGTCATAAACCTCGCGAGCTTTGCGGGCTCGTTCGAGACGCGCTTGCAATAGCGCTTCTCCTTGTTCCGGTGTGGGCATCTTGAGCGAGCCAATGTCGACACCCGGTTCCCAGGGCACGCAGCCAGCGCAGATCATGTAAATATCCGTCTCGTGGTCACGGAAGTAGCCCGAGACGGACGCCGCAGCCTTGACGCGGTCATCGTACGAGGCAATGTCTAGACTCTCAGGTCCACCTTGACAGATGCCGACGAGGAAGAGTCTGGAGGCATCGACGTCGCCGCGGGAAACGAGATAGTCGAGTCCTGCAACTGCATCCTCGTTTTTCATTTTGGGGTTCTCGAGTCGTCGAGGCATTCCCGTGCTCTCACCCACAGTGCGCGGGTCAAAGATCAGCGCCGCGTAGCCCTCATCGGCCAGGCGGGTACCGTACTGTGTCGGTGCCTGCTCCTTCATGAACGAGTAGGGCCCCGTGAGAACGATGCCAGGAGGTTTAGCGACACCGATAGGCCGAAAGAGAACGGCACCGATTGTCTCGCCGTGGGACGGATAGCGGACCTTTTCCGTCGTGTAGTTTCCGTGAGCCGGCATGTTGCTGCAGTTGATATTGAATGGGGCAGATGAGAGGTAGGTGCTTTGATGATATGTTGAACTATTGCCTTTTCTGCTGTATTGCTATTGAGCAGCGATACAAACAAAAGATCTTGACAGCGATTTCCTGTGTTCATTTTATACCCGTGGGAGAGCAGAGCTCGACGACATCAACTAAGCTCCGAAACTCTCCAAGTCTAAACAAATCGTCATAGGGACATGTGAATTAGGTTCGGGGGTCAGACTAAAAACGTTGGATGCATTATCGCCGAAAATGAGTCAATCAATGGATCCGCCAGGACCCTTTATCGCCGAAAGATCGCCAACCTCGATTGGTCTAACTCAAAACCCTTCTCGCAGCACAACGTTCGTCTCGCCATGATAGCCTCCTAGCCTTGTAGACTTCCTCCTTCGTGACAAGGTCTGTATCCCAGGTCACTGCAAGGCCAATTAGGAGTCGAGGCCCGAGAGCAGAGCAATCCTTTTAGCAGCGGTAGGTTTGATGATGATGTTCTCAACATCGATAGTAGTCTGGACAATCATAGATCTCACGACGGGCAAGAGTGTTTCCTCGAGATTGAGGGTCAAAATAGATCGAATTAGGGACTAGCAGAGGAAACGAATGTATCAGATGTAAGTAAGAAAGTAAGAGATCTAGAACAGAGACCTGCTGCTGCGAATACTTCTGATAATAACAAACACGGTCACTCCTTCTCTCAAACTGTCACTTGCAAACTACTTCTTCTTTTGGAGGCCCAGCTGGACTCGTCTCCCGTGAACAGTGCCGGTCAAACCAGGCCCAACCGTTTGACTCCCTCCCAGCTATCCTCCACCGTCTTCTGGAAAGGAGTGAATTTCAGTTTCAGCATCCCTTCGGCGTTACTTCTATCAAGCCCAAAGTGCTTGGCCTTGTCACAGCGTGCACCTTCCTCTCCCAGTCCCCTTTCACCTTTAGCTCTCAATCCCGCGAGGCCGTCTTCCAAATAATCCACCCCTCCGCACAATAGAAACCTCTCACTGACACCATTCTCCAACGCCAGAGCTCTCACATGGGCCTCAGCCACATCCCTCACATCCACCCAAGCCGGCAGACCCGGCGTCGCAACCTTAGGCCTGAACGCCGGATCCTCACCCCGCAAACCCACGATCAATCCCTTCAAACTCGTATTCAACCCCTCTACCCCCTTGTCCTCGTGAACTTCATGATACGGAGGTCCGTATATCATCGGCGGACAAAACGTGACCAAATCCCAGCTAACCTCGCCCTTCGCTTTGGCCTCCTTCCACATATCCCAGGCCGCGCGCTCAGCGAACGTCTTGCTCGCGAAATACCCATAGTACCCGTCCTGCGCAGCCTGCGCGGAGGTCACGGGATCCCAGTCCTCAGCCGTGTAGACGTACCCAGGCCGCGCGCCCTGCGACATGTCGACGACTGAGGCAAAGCTGCTCAGGATGGTCATCTTCTTCAGCGTCGTGCTTTTGAGGGCGCTGTGGATGACGCTGCGGGTCCCGTTGACGGCGGGCTCAACGAGGTCTTTGATCGGGTCAACCGTCGAGGTGAAGAAGGGGGAGGCGACGTGGCAGATGAAGTCGACTCCCTGGGCGGCTGAGTCGAGGGCGCCGGGGGCTTGGATGTCCGGGACGGCGATGAAGGTGAGGTCTCCGTTCTGGTAGGCCTGTGGGTATTTGGTCTGCAGGAAGGTGGCTTTTGAGAGGGAGCGGACGGTCCCGCGGACGCGGTAGTTGTGCTGAAGGAGTTGGTCGAGGACGTGGGCGCCGACGAAGCCGTTGGGTCCAGTCAAGAGGACGAGAGGTCTGGTTGTAGACATTGCAATAGGGGAATTGGGGAGTTGGTGGGTTGTAGAATCTTGTGAAATCTGCTCAGTGTTTCGCGGTGTTATGCCGATTCAGCTATTTGGCAGAGATATATATTCGATTGTAACACGGCGTCATTTTATAGAACCAACAGCCCGTCCTCAACTTGTCAAAAGCTGACGTATTGCACACTCTACCCAACTCCTCATTCCTAACAAGTACAGACCACATAATGCTCGAAGTCCTCAATTATTCTCATAGGGTCTTTCAGCGCCGACAAAATAACGCTGGCAGACGTTGTAGTTAGCAATCTTTCGGCGATAAAAGACGATCTCAGAGTAGTGGCCAGTGGCCACCGATGATCTACCATTCATTTTTCGGCGATAAGTGCACTGACGTTCTTAGTCCGAACGTCCTGGACTGGACTGGACCCCCATCATTACCTTCCGACTCTCACGACGACACAAAATGCGGAGTTGCTGGTCCCTGCGCGTCATTAAGTTATATTCCCCGCAAAACTGCACATATTTGATCGAACTGGTTTCTATTGGTGCCCTCGCAGCATTCATGAAAATGAAAAGTGTTGAGCCAGATAAACGGTTCCCAATGGGTTTAATTCTGGGCCCAGTAGACTTGTCCCGCCTTTGTCTGTCTGTCTGTCGGACGTCCCAACAATCGGCGCCGAAAAAGAAGGTGCCTGGTGTGCAGGGTAGGTGGTGTTCACTTTGGTTTTCCCAGTATGCAACTCTCTTCGGCGATAGCGATAGCGATTTCGAAGGCACAGTACACCAGTCTAAGCTGTCTGGCGCTTGATATTCAGCAGCACCTACCTAACGACATAAGGCAACTTCCCAGTGCTCACTCCCTGGGCGGGAGGGAGGAGGCTGGTGAGGTGATCGCAGAGTTTCAGACATCGATTGGCAGTAAGCATTCATAGACGATACTCGGCGGTGAGTATCGTACGTGTATTGAAATTCTCATCATTCCACAACTCCACAATCATGGCTCACTCGCGCTTTGCGCTGCGACGCTTCTGCTTGCCAAAGACACCAGGACTTCGAACATATGTCAATCCTGCACGGATACTCTTCCTGAAAGAAATCTACGCTGAGGCCCGCAAACTTGACCCGCGTAGCGAAGAGTACAAGGTTCTTGAGCGAAGCGGCGACTGCTGGTACAACTACTTCCAACCTGACAACTCAGAACGCTATGGATATCATGAACTCCAAAAGGTAAACATCCTTCAATGGCAGCTATGGACAAATCGACTGACCAGTTCCTAGGAATATTCAGATGTTCTCGCAGAAATCGACTCATTGCGCTCATCCATCAAGACACCTGTCTCAACCATCGCGAAAACTCTTGTTCCCGAGTACGCCCATCAGTCTGTCAAGATAGAGTCAAACTCTCTCTCGCTCAGCGAATCTGTAATCATCAGCGATGCGCTTGAAAGTACAGTCTTCAAGAGCCATGACTTCGCATCTCTCAACATTGACGATCTCAACCATGTCGACTTCCCACGGCCTCACGATCTACTTCCTAGCAGACTTTCCACCAAGCTACTTCCATCTGCGATCTCCGAAAGGGTTATGACTGAGGTTGCTGAGTTGCGTAATCACATCATTGTATCGCACTGGATCGCCGAGATGGCCCCAAGGTTTCCAGGCACAGCAGGTCTGGACGAAGACGACCTCCACGGGCTAAATGCCCTTATGTTAAAAGACACACCATCCGAAAAATTTTGGACTGCGCCTACCTGGGGGAAAAAATCACCTATTGGCTCTTACCGCAATCTTCCAATCTCAGTGGTGTCCAGCCCGATGCAAGTGTTTCCATACCCCCAAGAAGTGCCAAACTTGATGAAGAAGTTCATCACTTGGAGAAACGATGCCCATGCACAAAAGGAACTCCACCCCCTCATCCTCGCATGCCAGGCAACCATCTACTTCTTCTCCATTCACCCTTTTCAAGATGGCAATGGAAGAGTCGGACGAACCCTAATGCATGACTACATGGTTTGACAAGGCTATGTGCCGGTCGTTATGCAGGGCTGGTCTCGCGAAGACTATCTGCGCAGCGTCTCGGATGCGCAAAATGGCAGACCGAGAGCTTTCGTCAATTTGATGCTTTCTACGCAGTTAGACATGATGAGGACTTTCAAATGGCGAGAGTTCGTCTAATGCGAACCATTCGGCTGCAAATACCCTTCGAAATTCTTTTCCATGGAGACAACCCTTTCCGTAATTGAACCTCTCCGTGAAGAGATAGTCTCCAAGGAGAGCTGATCTCCATTGGGAGGATACTAATTCATTTTGTTCGCGTTTGTCTCTCTAGCTTAAGATACACATTTAGGTACCTAATTTATCTAGAATGGAGCCGTGATCCCAATTGACCAGAAAAGACGTGCCCGTGCGATTTGCTAACCTGATGAAATAAATGCCTTGGTTGGAAATACACAAAATTGGATGGAAGAGGAAAAACGAGATGGTCGGAAATAAAATAAAATATATACAATACCCATCCATATGCACAATAAATAGCGTGTGGGGGAGGGAAAATGGAGGAAGTATGATCAAGAGAAGAGGAATTCTTTTAGGACTGGCGAACCCGCGAATTCGGGATTCAGTAGGATGCAACTAAAAATAGAAGGAAGAAAGAGTTAGTGGGACGTTTTTTGGACTGGATAGATACGGCAAGCGATGGGAAGATCGGAGAACGTACTTGAGGAAATACGAGAGGCCGGTCCTTCGTTTTTCTAGAAATCTCGGTCGAAAGCGAGCTGTGTGGGTTGGGCAATAATGTCAATATTGGTTCTTTTGATAATGCAACAGTATGTAGAATTGGCGCGGATGAGGCAGGTGGGGTGGGGTGGGTGTGTTTCGAGAAGTTGTTGACTACTGGATATTGGGAGGTCTGGTCTGGTGACTTACATATTACGCTCTTTGGTGGTAGTGGAGGCATGGCTCCCTCGGCATGCGGAAACGTTTGCACTAGCTTTTGCCGCAGCTCGTCGAACTCGGAATATCTATAGCATCGGTGTTAATGTGGTATGGGGATAGTGAGGTGTTTCACAACCATGATAGATAGACTATACGATACCTTTTAATAATCTTCATGGGCCCTCCCTGGAAAAGAACAGTTGTGGTTAGCCAAGAAACGTCTCGTAGTGTTGGCATCGTTGGATAGTATGACTACCCCATCTGTAATGGGAGAGGCAACGGCATAGATGATAGGGTAGCATGGGTAGTGCAGTTCTGCAATACAACGCCGCAGCGGAACTGCAAGAACGGCTCCCGGAAGTGATAGACTTACATGCAATGTTTCGACGGTGCAGTGGAAGACGACGTAAGCTCCCAGGCCAGGTGCGGTGCCACTGACAATGACATAATCGTCAATGGTGACATGCTTTGCCCACAGCGCTTTGCATTGCTCGGAGCCAGAGTCGGTGTGGTCCTCGAGGAGGATCGGGGCCGACTGTGAGACGTTGTCGGAAGAGCTCACATTGCTGTTGCTGGTGGTTCGCTCGTGCCTCTGCCAGTAAGGGGGTACGATGCTGCTGCGCTCTGGACGTGGCGTGAACGAGGCGGGGAGGGTGCGGTCTGCATTGCCATGGTCGACACCGTCGTCGAGGTTGTCCGCAGAGGCAGGACGCGGGTGTTGGCCCTGGCCTCGGCCTTCAACTTTGACTCTGTGGTGAGTTTGGTGTTGGACAGACTCAGAACCGGGCTCCATCCATCTAGGTAGTGGGTCGAGAGTGCGGTAGCGCGGGTCCAACTACAACGGGGAAGAAGAAGGATTGGGGTTGGGATGGGGATTGGGATTTGGTTCGGGTTCAGGTTTCAGAGATAGAGAGGACGGGCTGCGGGGAGAGAGGGGTTGGTGGAAGAGAAGGTGTGTGACAGTGTGTATGTATGTGTATAGAGTCCGGTATGTCTTGTAGAGAATACGGAGGATTAGAGAGGAAAGGAGGTTTGTTTTAAGCCAGGTGTGGAGTAGGGCGAGATGGAATAAGTGATGGACGGATACAATGGTATGTAATATGTGTGTAGTCACTGCTCGTATGTACGGAGCATGTGCAATGGAATTGTATGGATGTGGCTGATGACGATAAGGTATGAGGTGCAGAAGTGGTGATAGTGATGGGGCGACGGTGGCATGCAAAAACAGAAATGGAGGACGAACAAGACGGGGCTAGTGCGATTGTTGAGGCGGCAGAAGAGCAGAGGAGAGGTGGCCATCGACCAAAGACTACGCCATCACGCTCTCCGCATGCACAAGTTAAAAAGCAAGCGTCAATCTAGGAACATCATCGATCTACGAGTAGCTAATTGACTTATCCACCATTGAAGCCATCCAAGGCGGGGTGGGTAAGGTGAGGCAGGGAATCAAAGGGTTGGTTGACTCGGGCCTGTCTTGGATATATCTACGGGCTACTCGGTGCTTGTGGGCATGGCGAGAAAAGATGAATAGAATTCGACAATAGAGGCCCGCACCCGATTATTATTGGCATCCAATGCAGATGCGGCCCTACTTAATAATTCATAGATTATTACGAGAAGTGCATGACCGGCCGGCAAAGAAAGAATAGAAAAGAAAAGAAAAGAAAGAGAGCGAGACCGTGGGGAGACTCTGAGAGAGGAAAAGAGAGAGTGGAAATAGGAGGCTAACGAGTCGACAAGGGTCAAGCTAAGGGTCAAGGGCGATGGCATGGGCAGGACCCGCGGGCCGATCTGTGTTTGACTGCATCGTGAAAGCGGAGCGGGTGCTCATTGCCGGAGACTGAAGCAACTGTAATAACTACTGTATTGTTGGTACAGTTGAATAGGGAATCCAGTCAGAAGCAGAAGGACAAGAACATGCTGTGAATCGATAATTATGAAACAAGGTGGTGGTGGTGGTGGTGGTTGTGGAAGAAGGGATAGAGAGACAAGACATGGTCATCTGTAGAAGGACATGGGGGAGTGTAGAGTATATTGTGATGACCTTCAATGGACTGTTGTTATGCCATCTGATTCATGTATCAGGCCTGCATACTCCATATGTTGGTGAGATTTCACTTCTCCTTGGTTCCCGTTGTGTTGATGAAGTTGTTGATGATTATTATCATTATCGTAGGGATTACGGAGTAATAGAATCGAACAGAATGGAGGGACTCTGTGGTGGTGGCCATAGCTCTTTCGTAGCGATTCCCGAATAGGAAGGGGATGCATCCTTCCCCCCTTTATCCCTGTTGTTCCTTCCGGACTTGGGACTTGGCGTTTGGTCTCGTTTGTTTTCTTTTCGTCAAATCATTTCACATCCTCAACTCTTCCATTTTCCTTCGGTTCCCTTTACACAGCTTACTGTGTACACAGTAGTTACCTCGTAGTCTTCAGTTCAGTTCAGTTCAGTTCAGTCCAGTCCAGTCCACCTCGGTTCCGTTCCGTCCGTCGATCATCGTGTTTTCTGAAACACCCACTCATTATTCATCCATTCTTTCATCATTCACCTTTCACTCCAATTCTCACCGTAGTACCCCAATCCACTCTGTAGTCCAACCAACACCGTGATAGTGATACTCCCCCATAGTCCATAGGCCATCTAATTTGTAGAGTAACAGCAGCAGCAGCAGCAGCTACTCTCCCGTGTTTGCTACCTCCTTATGCCACGGCCGCCACCATAACCATTCTCCGTAGACGCGGCCTGTGTCTTACCACACCTACACAGTATCCTCCCTGCATCTCAGACGGTATGGGATGGTATGGTCAGACACGCTCTACTGCAATGAGCCATGGCACAGGTGGGCAATCATTCTTATGGGGCGAACATTGTTAGGCATGCTATGGAGCCCATTATCGTCATGTATCCCGTACACATACATTATAGTACAGACTACAGAAGGGTGAGCCGGGAATAGGTAGGTGTGATTTGAATAGAATAGCAATGGAAGCTAGGATCGCATCTGAGTCCAGTCCAGTCCAGTCCAGTCCAATCCTGTCTAATTCAATATTTATTGTATTGAAGATGCCCCGTCACAGTTCATGTCCCCATCCAGTCCGATCCAGTGGCCAATCCAGTGGCCAATCCAGTCCAATCCAGTCCAATCCAGTCCATTTGCCGCCGTCGCCGCCTCCATCTCTCGCCCTCACCCTCACCCTCACCCTCACCCTCACACTCTCACGTTCACGCAGGGACTCACACCATCCATACACTCAATCCATTCAGAACGCCATGAATTCTTTCCTATCCTATCCCCCTTCAGCTCCTGTTCATCTTCTAAATTTCCACCTGATAGACAGTAATTAACCACTACTCACCGATGATGTTACAGCTTTGCATAGTTGCAGCATTATCTATCCAACCATGCGACAATACAGTTGAAAGATAGGCGGGTGGTGGTGAGCGATGTCTAACACAGACCATGTCCAAGACCTCCCATCCCGGTCTCGTCCTCTCCCTTTTTTTATCGTCAGTTCACGACAAAACTCCACTTTATGCAGGAAACCACCTGAACCACCTTAATTACCTACCCTAATCGTTCTACTAACTTAATAACTTACTCCATCTCCTCTCTCTCCACTCCACTATCCGGTCCCTGCACCTGCGCAATCATGTACTAATACTCATCCATATCCCCATCTTCTTCTAATAAACCCACTCTCGCTTCTTCTGCTTCTTCCATCACTCTCGCTCACACCTTCGCTTGCTTCTTCATCTCGAGGTGCTTCCTTCTTCTTATTCTTTCGAGTCCTTGACCTGACTTCGACTTCCTCTCCATCCAGTCGCTACTATACTCATACATTGTTTAATCCCTTCCTAATTCATCTATTCACTATTTCCCCCTTTCAATCGAAAGAGTAAGAACCAGCCCCACCCAATGCATTCCTTCCCTTCACAATCACCTCACCAACGCCTTGATATTTATTCGAATCTTTCATCTACTCTAATCCTCCATTCTTCCAAACACAATCACAAACATCCGCATCCACAATTGCTAACGTTATATCTCTTTCTCCAGTAGTCCATCAATAACTCGTACATCCAACCCCATCATCAACATCCCAACCGTCAATATGCGTTCCGCTATCGCCGTTGCCGCCTTCGCCTTTGCTACCCTTTCTGCTGCTCAGTCAGACCCTCAGCAAAACTACCCATACACCATCGACCCGAACTCTGTCTCAGATGCAGACAAGGGTAAGTTCCCCAACAGAGACACACTTGTTCGATCACTGCTAACTCCCACCTCCAGCCAAGTGGTGTCTTGACCAGACGTCTCAATGCCCTCTCATCTGCCTCCAGCAACCTGGTGTCACCTCCCAGGACACTATCGAGAATGAGTGCGACCCCGAAGCTCTGACCTACTCCTGCGTCTGCGAGAACAACGTCCGCCCCAACATCACCGAGTACTCTCAGACTCTCCCCTACTGGATCTGCACAACATGGCAAAACCAGTGTGTAGCCAACTGCGGCTTGGGCAACAACGAGTGCTCCAACTCCTGCCGGTATGTCAAATGCTAAGCCTCTATGCTCTCTCACCGAGCCAATCTTGTACCGATATCTGACAATATATTCTAGTGCCGACCACCCTTGCGGAGCTCAAACCCCAAAACCGGCCAACTCCTCTCTTGCAACCCTGCACACTGCTTCCTCCACTCCCTCGGCCACTGCCAGCTCTGACCCTTGGGGCTCTACGGGAACCAGCAAGCCGAATGACAAGGGCGCTGCGAGCTCCATGCTCAACCTCGGCCAGAGCTACAGCCTCGCGGTCGTCTTCGCTGGTGTCTTCGCCGGATTCGCCCTCATCTTGTAAAATTGATGATCGGCGCTGGCGTCTCACCTCGCACGGGACGTAAACATCACTCAATCTCGCTTCGAGCCAGCTGCTCCCCCAAGCTGGCGGCGCCTCCTCCATGCTCCTTTCGATTCATTCTCGTGCACGAACCTCTTACATACCTTTTTTTACCTATGCATAGCGTTGTAGCGTTTTTCAACTGTTTCGGAAAACATATCCAGTCCTTTACATTGTGGTTTTGCCCGCGCAAAAGCGGGTTTCGTCAATCCTTTCCGCATCACATTTGCATTTTTGGCTTTGGCATACATTACAGGCAGTCCGGTACCATCGATTGCCTTCTCCTCACAGTACTACCAAGGATTTCTCTAATTGGGTCGCTATATATGGGGTTGGAGGTTCAGAGAGAAGCCCGAGGTTCACCTCCGTTGATTCATGTCCATTAGCTTCTTAACAGCCTAGGAACGTTTGTAATAGCATATGAGAGACGTGGAGGGGTTGTGAAAACCAAAGAACTTTGTTCCGTTGATAATTGGTGATGACGCACGTGATATATTCCGAGGGACCCCTTCGCGAACAGTCCATACGATTCACCAGACTGCTGACACACGACGTATTGATGAATGTATGCTGTGTCGATCATCTTCCAGAATACTCCACACCTAAAGTCGGCTACCAGGACTCGAATTGACATCCGAGCGAAGACCTCAGATCCTCTGGAACACCAGTCGTCCATTGAACAATATGAAATTGGCTCGGAGTTTGGTGGCTGAACCCAGGTATGTCTACCACACGTGCAACAATGGCGCGCCTCTTTTCTCCATTCCCTACCACAGAGATCCTTGAAGTCATCGATATCAATCCACCAACCAGCAATCATTCAGTCCCCTTCGTAGACCCGACCCAACCCACCATCTAATAAGACAATGCGATTGGCCAAAGTCATCTTGTATGATGTCTTTCGATTTTATAGAAAGATCGATCATGGGGATCGTGTACACGTATTTGTTTCAGGGGGGTCATGGTTTAGGGTTCAGGTATTTCTACTACTCGTTTCCCACGCTGTTGTTTCCATGTCCGGTTACGATCAAGGTATGTGTGTATGAACTACCGTGTCCAATAAAGTCAATGGGAACCTTTGTACCTCGGACGACGCAGAACGGCCAAGTACTGGGGCGGAGACGGGGGCGACTTTAACTCTTCCTTGGAGTCCTACCTATTCCCATATTCTTCTCCTCCCACCCCAATTACTACTCATATGTGTATGTAGTGGAGAAATCACAATGATTGAATGAATGATTTTTTTTTTTTTTTGCTTTTCTTCCTGGGTGTCGATTAGATGTCGTATGAAAAGTATAAGAGGTTTTAGTTTTAGACTTTGGGAAGTTGTATACGTGTGTGTTGAAAGAAAGGGTGGCAATGACATTTATTAGTGCTATTTGTTTGTCTCTGTCTAGGTAGCTATCTGTCGACGAGGTGCCGACTACAAGAAATGGTAATGAATGAATATGGGAATTGCCTGAGATCCGATAATCTGAAAATGAAGTTGAACTTGCGTGCTTATCTCGCTTTGATATCATCCGTCCATTATTCCACCAGCCCATCCATCTGTCCATTTGTTCATCTACTCAAATACTGGGTGGTTCTTATCTCCAAAGTGTATAGGTCGTGGAAGTACGTCGTGAAGCCGGTTACGTACGATGAAGCGATTTTGCAGGAGCGTTGTGCGAGAAACCGGGCCTATTTCTCCCCAGACGTGGTGCACGAGGGGTTCGTTTCGGGTCTTGGTGGTGTAGTCGGTGATGATGATGGCGCTGCGGACGGCGATGAAGAGAGTCGTGTCGTCGATGGCGTCGTTGATGGGGCTCGAAAGGTTACTACGTGGATTGGGTCGTCCTTATTCGATTGTGGGGTTATCCGGGAGTCCTCGGTCGGTTCGTTGAGATCCAGGCGAGAGGTAGAGCTAAGTAGGGAGGACTCTTCAGAGAAGCACGGCACATGTAGTCGAGATGACATATGCTGGTCGAGAAGCCTTTCCATGATGGCATCGATCAATTCGTCGGGTTCTCCCGAGGGCTCAGTGGTCCAGTCGGGGCATTTATACGGTGCGTGCGGTATATCATTCGAATCCGCAATCGACGCTGCGTCCGAGTTTTGCAAGATGCCCATGTCGTCGATCGTGATCGAGCAGCCTTGTCGTCCTAGTACAGGACCAAAGTGGTTGGGTATGTCCCCGAAGAGCACGTTGGCCGAGGTGGTCACGATTGCCGAGGAGTACGATGCACACCGACTGAGAGCTTGCTTTCCCTTCGACTTTGATTTTTTACGCCTGAAAGGGACGAGGAACAAGGGCAGGAAGAATGGCGATTTCTCACTTTCCGTCGCCGCACTTTCATGGCTCAATGGATCCTCGTTGGGGATAGAGCAATGTTGGGAATCTTTCAAATCCATTGGACTGAACGAACTCGAGGGTATGTGTGGTGATGGAGGTCCGTTGAAGGGTTCTGGGTAGACGTCGAAGGGAGAGGAAGCCCATTCGCATGGTGCACTGCCTTCTGGAAATTGACAGCGTCGGCCATGATATCTCTTACTGCGCCAGTAGTCGCTTGGGCCTGGGGCACACTGAAGCAATTCGGTGCTATGCCATGCAAAGCGGAGACTGCCTTCAATTGCACAAGCCTCTAAGTCTAACATGCACTCCACGGGCAGGCGTTCAGGCGGACTGATCAAGCCTTCCGATGTGTTTGGGAGTTGGAAGAACGTCTCGTCTTTGGCGAGCCTGTACGATGGTGTACGTGGTGGTGCTTTAAGCGGTGATGCTGACCGTCTGCCAAAATGGTAAGATGACAGGTCCTCATTCGGCGGCGAATCGAACCGTCGGTGTCTCGACGTGAGAATAGACTTGAGCTGTGTTGAAAAGCTCCCAAACATCGTGGACCCACGCCGACGCTCCTCTACAGCATTGTCTCTGCCTTGTAAGTGCGCCTCGAATGCTATAGCGCAGGAGTGAGAGTTATCTGCAATGGGAAGTATTTCAGGCAAGACCAGTGATGGATCAACGATAGTCTCGGCCATGATGTCGGTTGGACTGTTTTTGCACCGTGAGAGCTTGGTGAAGAACCCTGCACGACGGCGGACCTTGATGCTTTGGGCCGGTCTTGAAGTGTGACTAAATCCAAACTTACGCTTACGCTTCCTCTCCGGATATGTGTGATGCTCTTGCGATCGCGTGGGTGAGACAGATGAGGTCCTAGGACAATGATTGCTGGGAGATGGGAGAGAAAAGAACGGCGCGCTTTGGGACGACATGGCGAATATCGAAGATGACAGCTGGATTAAGAAGGCTATTCGACGTCAATACCGCGAACCTACAACAGTCTGGATAGAATAGGAGTTGTAAAACATGGAACGGCCAAAGCCTGGCAATAGTATCATGCAAGAGGTGAGGTCTCGGTGCTTGGGGCAGGGCTTGCACATGTACGAAAATCGATACGAAATTCGTAGGTCGCCAAATAATGGATGACTGGGAGTTTGAAAGAAGATATAGAGGTACGTGAGGCTGTCGTCACGGTTGACCTAGACATTTCAAGAAGCGAGAGGGGGTCGCCTGCCTACCAGGACGGAAAGCTCGAGACCTAATATTGGTTCCATAGTCGTTGACCAGGCAATCTAATGACTTGGAAACCCCATTTAGGTTTCGATATTCTCAAGAGAACATGTTTGCCAGAGCACTCCCATGGTACTGTTTCCAGGGAACAGAATCCACCAATCTATTGGTAATCGGATATTGCGGAGAGCCCAAACCTCTAGAACGGCCTCGTGACGAGATAAACATGGTACGTCACGCTCAGACCTCGAGCTCAGACTGATTACTGGCTTCGATGTCTTACCAGATCTCTGCTTTCAGATGCTGCAAAGAGCTGCGCAACTCAAACAATATATACCTGTGATGCGTAGAGAATGCCTATTGTGGCCTTGTAGTAGTTACTCTGAACTCCAATCATCATTACCATATGGCTATACAGGTCATACTCTAGAAGACTGGACGAATGAATAAGATCTCAGACCTGATGATGTTGTTTGGATGTTGAGGCCCCGAGCCATTGATGCTCTCTGAGTTAGCGACACGTATTCGGCTTAGCGCAGTTACCCAAGGTGGAAATTGCCGAGGGCATGCAAACAATACAAACCTATCGTAGTGTCTGGGGAGTTCATGACACCACCATTGTTGGTGCAACATCGCAATTGCACCCCCAAAACGCATTTGAATGCGGTAGCAAGCAATCGAGTTTGCGATGTCACCTCGACTTCCCCTGGGGACACATCGAGCCCTCGCTGCGGGCATCTCACGAATCCGCATCGTTCAGCGGAGGTGCGCTTCAAACTCCGCAACAGGACCAGAAATCTACGATGTGGTATGCGTGGGCGGCGGCCCGGCCGGACTGAGCCTTCTTGCTGGGCTTCGAGCCTCCAACCTGACCAGAGGACTCAGAGTTGCGCTCATTGAAGGCCAAGACCTCTACAAGAATCGACTACCTAAGGATGCCAGTCTCGATACCTTCTCGAATCGATGTTCTTCGTTGACGCCTGCCTCAGTCAAGAACCTCCAAGGTACAAGAGCGAATACTTTGCAGAGAGAGGCCCGGGCTAATTGCTTTGTGTAGAAATTGGAGCTTGGGACCACGTAAATGCCGCTCGGGTACAGCCATACCAGGAAATGCAAGTATGGGATGGCGTGAGCGATGCACGAATCTCCTTCGACTGGGACTCCGCACGCGGAATGTCCCCGCGCAAGCCTACACAACCTACTACAATCGCCTACATGATCGAAAATGTAAACACGATTACTACGCTGTTGTCTCGCGTGGAGGAATTGGGCGGGGTTGATATATTCTCTGCAACAAAGGTCGACTCGATCGATTTGGGCAAGGAGACGGAACACGCGGACTTCTCGTCATGGCCAATCCTATCGCTATCGAACGGCAAGTCTCTGGCAGCACGATTACTAGTTGGTGCAGATGGTGCGAACAGTCCGGTTAGAACATTTGCTGGTATTCAGTCTCGCGGGTTCGACTACAATAGACATGGCGTGGTTGCAACATTGAAGCTCTCCGGGCCCGGCTGGGGAGGAGCGGATCATAAAATAGCCTACCAGCGTTTCCTTCCTTCTGGTCCGTTGGCCATGCTTCCCCTACCAGGAAACATGGCAACTCTAGTCTGGAGCACAACACCTGAACGGGCAGCGAAACTCAAGACGCTTGCGCCGAACGATTTCGTTGCGATGGTCAATGCAGGATTCCGCTTGTCACCAACAGACCTTGAGTACTTACACACAGTACCGTCAGGCCAGGAAGATGAGGTCCAATGGCGAGAGAAACACACGTCGACGAATGAACGTGCCATTCCCGTTCGCGCCGTTGATGTTCAACAAGGCACAGTAGCTTCATTCCCACTTCGCATGCGCCACGCCGATACCTACACTGGCGAACGTGTGGCTTTGGTCGGCGATGCTGCGCATACCATCCACCCACTTGCAGGTCAGGGTCTCAATCAGGGCCAGGGCGATGCAGCTGCTCTGGTGCGAACGATATCGCATGCAGTGCAGACAGGACAGGATATCGGGTCCACAATAGCTCTCGAAAGTTATAACGAAGAGCGATATGCAGAAAACAATGCCATGTTAGGGGTATGCGATAAGCTTCATCGGTTGTACAGCATCGAATCTGGACCTCTCGTTGGACTTCGCAGCATTGGCCTGAGAGCTGTTGACGCAATGGGTCCACTCAAGGGATTCCTGATGGGAAGAGCAGCGGGCGGCGCATGATTATGATGGCATCGCATTGGAGGAAACCCATTCTTGTACAACAAATCCTGTAGAAATAAGTCATTACAAACGCAGAGAAATACGAGATTTCTCGTTAATAGACTTTCATGACCTCACAGCTCTCCCCCACGATAGTTAGTGATGAAGATCGTTGCGCGAATGAATCACTAGGTCCGGGAGCTATGTCGACATACCGAGTCATGCACACGGCATTTGGTAGGTGTTTTCTAGCTCCCCGAACCCACCTTCTCCACAATTTTAAGGTCCCCTAAAAGGTTCGAGTCGCTGGCAATTGCCCTTGCCCCTCCACAGCTAACATGATTACATACCTCTGCCTGTACATAACTACATAATTACAATATATCTGTCATCTAACCACACCAATTCCTCCAAACCTAGATACCCTGCTGTCTCTTGAAAGAACCATCATCACCTTTCAGCAATTTTACCACAGACATGGCAGAATCCGAACACCAACGACAAATCGAAGAGTTCGGCAAGGATGACGACTTCTGGCTCTTTGGCTATGGGTCAGTGACTCCATCTCCCTACCCACGAAGCTCCGGAAGACATGGACTAACAGCTCGATCTCGTGTAACCACAGGAGTCTGATATGGAAACCTCCGCCACATTTCGGTACGAACAATCCCACCAGAGAGGTCACTCAAGCCACATGCACCAGCCCCGTGAAACTGACCGAACCTTGTCGTACAGACCAGCGAATCCCAGGCTACATTGAAGGCTACGTGCGTCGGTTCTGGCAGGTATGAACAGCGCCAATTGGAAACCCTTACAAACCCCAACGACAATGAATAAGCTAACAATCGCATCAAATGTAGGCAAGGTGAGCCATCTCGCATCTCTCAGCACATCCCCCGCACCCTCTCCCGCAATCCGCAATCCAGAAATCAATCTCACGACGCATGCACATGTAGCGAAGACCACCGCGGCACGCCGTCAGCCCCAGGCCGCGTCGTGACGCTGATCGACCGCGCGCACTGGGAGACGCTGGCTGACCACGACTCACACACGCCGACGGAGCGCGTCTGGGGCGCCGCGTACCACATCCCCGCGAGGCACGTCGCGGAGGTCCGCGAGTACCTCGACATCCGCGAGATCAACGGCTACAGCATCCAGTTCACGCCGTTCCACCCCGCGCCCTTCACCACGCAGATAACGTCGCCGCCTGCGACTAGCCACGGTGTCGGAGGTGGCGGAGGAAACTCGGACGAAGTGTCTTCGACAACGACTGCTGCTGCTGGTAGTGGTGGTGGTGAGACTACGACGACTATTACGAGTACTGCGGATACTACTACCGCCGTCACGCCAGAGAAGAAACTCTCCATAACGGCCGAGACGACGATCCTCGCAAGGCCAGAAGTCCAGGCTTCGCCTGTGACGTGCCTCGTGTACATCGGACTCCCGGAGAACCCGCAGTTCCTGGGCCCACAGGACACTGACGAGCTAGCCGCGCACATCCTGCGGAGCAGGGGCCCCAGTGGCGAGAATAGGGAGTATCTGTTTAACCTCGAGAAGAGCCTGCTGGAGTTGAGCGCGGAGAGCGGCGACAGGCATATTAGTGATTTGGTGAGGAGGGCGAGGGCGATAGAGAGGGAGAGGGGGGATGGGAGTGGTGGGGAGGATGGTGATGATCATCGGGGGGATAGGAGGGTAGGAGTGCCGTTGCATAAGGTTGGGAGTACGGAGGAGCAGGAGGAGGTGGAAAGGTAGGGTGTAGGGGTTGTTGCAAATGTGAGTTGATTCAATTAAGAGAAATAGCCGCAGATGGGTGTAAACATCGTGTAGTCGGATTGATGACATCGTGTTGGACACGAGATGGAAGATAGCCGATTGATGGAAATACTACGCCAAGCACGGATGCCCGGTTTGCAGTTTGCATCCGAAAAGTTGATCAGGTAGACTACGAAATATGAGTAACGAAAGCGCAAAAATTCGAAATCGGGATTCGAGCGAAGCCTCCATTGTGTCCGTATCGTACGGTCCTTGCACTGCCGTATCCGTGGCATTCCGCCATGTCCTATCCACGGGTTCAAGCGGAGAGTGTAACAAAGTTTAAGCAAATTCAGAACGTCGTTTTCTATACTTTCGATACTACCATGCTTCTTCCTATTTGAGGATAACCGTCTTCGTTCCCAGGGGTATAAACGTGAAATCATTAAACGTACATATCGGGTATACTGATGCTAGTTGTCGTCCTAGCATCTAATAATGCCAGCGTCAAAATGAAGTAAAAATGAATCATGATCGAAAAGCCATATGCCAGGAATGTTTCGAAACGCCAGTGAAAGAAAAGTCTACTGTGACACCTCTATACATATTTCAGATTGGAATGGACATAGTTGCATATTCGGTCGAAATGGTGCTGGTGGAGTAAAGCGGTCCTCATGAGGTCCGATGCCTGTTGGACCAATCCCTGATCTTAAAATGATGGGATAGGTTCGGTGGCTCTGCTGGGCAAGTAAAGATTGCCGTCTCAAACTCGGCCATCGCCCTTGTTCAACGAGTTGAGGTACGATAGATGTGGCAGGAATGAGTAATCTTCTCTCCATGATTGGCGAAAAGGAGATTTCGATGCAGAAGGGACTGCCAGGTGCTTCATTCCGAGGGCGCTTGATAGCTTGCCCACTGAATACCCTGCAGGACAGGTTGGGCAGTTGGGTAATCTACATGGCCGTTCGTTAGCGTTAATGATCACGTGTTGTAGGAATGGCGCTGACTTACAAATATAATGCCCAAAACTATGAATACCCGCGCCTGATTCTTGCTGTTTATCGGGATCTGCTGTCGGGGTCCTGTTGTCACTTGATGCTAGCCAGTCATCGTAATCGTGCCAGTTGGTCCAATCCGGTGGTGATACATGGGGCTGAAGCGGTCCAACCTCATTGATCGGATCGAATGATGGCGTTTGCCTAATAGAGATGATCAAGAATAAGTAAACGACCTGATCGCGGAGAGTTTACGGCCATCTAACCTCAGATGCAAGATATTATTCCATAGGTGATGAACCGCCGTGTCGAGCTTATAACCAACCCATCCACATAGATGAAGCCGGTCAAGCAAAATCTGTACGGATCCAACTCCGAACTCCTGACAGGCTAGCGAAACTTGGTAGGAGAACCACGAGTACTGCATCGATCCTTCGGATGATATGGCGCCGATGGTAAGGATCCATAAGAGAAGATCAGGACAGGGCGCCCATTCCTCTCGGCTGGTGGCGCAAAGAGATTTTACCAGGCGTGCACTGGCGATAGTATGAAGAGTATGTGGGTCGGACCGTCGCTGGAGTGCCTCAGTAGCGCGCACGGTCAGTATAAGGAGAGCGACACAGAGAGCGTTTTCCAGAGGCGTCGTCCGGCCTTCATGGCTTCGTAGCCAGTCGAGCAACAAGCATTCGAGGACGCAGGATGAATTCTGAATGTCGAGTGGGTCGAGAGGGCTTTCGGGATTGCCAAATCCGTCGTTCAGGTCGGCAATCAAGATTAGGGCTGATTCTACGTGGACGGTGAGGGTGGATTGAATCTGAGCGGCTCTGCAGTATTCGATCAGATGATCTGATATTCTCGGTCGATATCCTGGGGGATGCGGCGGAAAATGCGATGTGCTAATATAGTCGATGCTGGAGAGATATGGGATGTCGAACGCCGCTATAGCATGTGCTGTTGAATGCCTGATGCTCAGTCAGCCGATGCCAAACCACTTTGGGCCCACTCCAATGTAGAGAACATAACACGCACCATAATATAAAAGCTTGCAGGATGCGGTTTGAGTGAATCGCCTTCAACCCTCCTCGAAGTTGCACCATCCTTCGTAGGCCGTCCAAATGAATTTGCCTTTGATTGGGCATCTCCTCGCCTGGATCCAATTGCCGTAGATGAGGCAAGCTCTCCTCTACACATAACAGATTGAACACGGCGCCAATATTAGCATCGGAGATACCTAAAAGCGGGTCTGGATCTGAAATAGCTGCATTTACGGCCGCGATCGCTTGCGCTTTGTGGTAGTGGATCGTGTCGAAGGAGCCTTTGCCGAACACGAACATGTGTAATGCGGCAGTGCATAGTAAGCTATGCATGAATCCGGAATTATTCATGGCTGTACCAAACCAATCCGACCTCATTAGATTCGACTTGTTCCGGAAATCGAGAGGAATGGTGGTAGGGGCCATTCTCGCAACAACTGTGTATTTGCCGTTAGTTTCCATTGGTATTGCAGAACGATCCTTTTCACATTGTGGTAGATGCTGCCAGATATGAACGATATGGTTCAAGCAAGAGCCTGCCATGTCTACATCCTTGCACAGCGATTGCACTTGGAACGGGTCGATTCCACCCATAGGGTCCCAATGATCAAGGACGTCCCCGGCTTGGGACTTAACACTCACAGTGGTCTAATAACTCTGTTACGCTCTCATTGACATTGACAGAAATGGTGCCGAATGGATCAAAGAGGGAATGATCAGGATCTGTGAGTGTTGGTGTGTTGAGCACGATACATCTTCGGCACAGACTACGACCGGGTCCAGAATGGAGCATTTGACATTCCGAGCAACGCACTTGCTTCAGGAGGGAAAGTCCGTCCGCAGGTTCAAAGGATCGATAGGATTCAAAGGATCGATAGTCAGGGCCCAGCGTGGTTCTCGTAGGACTAGGTGTGGTGGTGTTTGGAGTACGGAGGTTCGTGATATCAGGTGTACCAACAGCTACAGGACTCGTGGTTTCGGGGCTCTTTCTCTGTTTCGCTGCGTGTTTACTGGTTGACCACGGGCGCTCTCGTCTGGCCTTCTGCATCACAAAAGAGCGAGCGTTTCGACGGCCCTGGCGAGAGCTTTTGGCAGATTTGGAGGCATCGACAAAAAGGAAATCCTGCTGAATGGGCGTGACCGTAGGCATGGATCTTTGCCTGACCTTGGCATCGTCTTCGGGGGCCTCCATGGTTATGGCCCGTCACGGGCTTTGGCTGTATTGGAGACCAGTCGACTTGAACTGAATTGGCCGGATACAGAAAGCCGGCCACGAGATAGCAAACCTAAAGAATTGATGATGAAGTGACGGTGGATCCTAGGACGGCATGCTTGGGGAAGAAGTTCACGATGTAGAGGCGTTTAATATCTCCTATTTGGAATGCATTCACTTGCATTGTGGTCCAGACGGTTAACGAACCTGCGCTGGTCGCAGGAGTACGGTGGATCAGAACGTCGGAAGCAGGGACGGATGGTAGATGCTGCAATTGGATCCAAAGGAGTTACAATGAGTAGTAAGTATTGGGGGAACCGATGATTCGATGAAGACGACAGCGAAGGACAATCGACAACTATCAAGAACTCGAATAGGCTTAGAGCCGTAGCGGACAACCTTCCTAGGGTGTGTGGGAGCCAGAAGGGTAGTGTAGAGAGCCAAGGGAAGTGTTGCAGAGAAGTCTGCCGTGGTAATTGTCAGCCCTCAAACATTGGGGTGGTAAGTGCGGATATGTATGGTAGGGAAGAAAAGATGCGCTGTACCTGTTAAAGCCCTATGGCGCCCAGTAAGACGGACGGACTGCCGTGTCCAGAGCTGAACTATTGCAAAGCAGACTGGATGGTTGTCGGAGGTGCAGGCAGCGGGAGATTATGTAGGGAGCCGGTATGCTAAAAAGAAAAGGAACGGGGCAGAAATAGTAGTCGTTCCTGGGGCTACTGCGTGCCGACGATTACGCAGGAAGACGAAGGGGGCGACGGAGAGAGAAAGAGGGAGATGGAGAAAGGAGATAGGCGGGTGTAGAGGATGGAAGAGTGGAGTGTACGAGGTGGTGCAGGTGTAGTGGAGTGGAGTAGAGTAGAGTAGAGTAGAGTAGTGTAGTGTGAGGTGGATTGGAGGGGAGGGGAGGGGAGGGGAGGGGAGAGAAGAGGGGCGTGGGTGTGTATTGTATGTATGTATGTACCGTATGTGTGTGTGTGCGTGTGCGTGTGCGTGTATGCGTGTGCGCGCGAGTCTGTGTGTGCGTGTGTGTGCGGTAACTAGAGGAGATGAGATGAAAGGAAAGGAAAGGAAGAAAGGAAGAAGGGTTTACGGGTAAGGCAGAGACAGGGTGTGCAAGGCTCACCTCGTTCTCGTATCGTCGTCGTTGATGATCCAAGTGTAGGTATTAGTTATCGGTAACTATTTCTTGTAATTAGTTTACTGTGTAAGAGAGATGATTAGAGGCTGGTAGACGGTACTAATTGGTTTAGTAGAGAGACTCAGAGAGTACGAGTATCCGATGTACATGCACCTATACTGTGTACTGTGTGTACGGAAGAGGTAGGTAGAAGAGAGGAAGGAGAGTGGGCAAAGAGTGGCAGAGGCGGACACAGACACAAGTGTCACACCAGTGACCCGACCAGCGACCATTCGACCAGTTGACCAGTAGTGACCAGACCAGCCCAACGAAACCTCTCACAGTCCCTCTTCCTCTTCCTCTTCCTCTTCCTTTCCCTCTGCCACTCGCTCTGCCACTCGCTCTGCCACTCCCATCCAAGTTGAGTTCAGCCGAGTCGAGTCGAATTGCTCCCTCGTATTGGATGGGGAATGAATGGGCTTTCCGATACAATTGGGCAGTGAACAGGCTGGGTTAGGTAAGCCTGTAGGGTCCAACTGGCTTTAATTATCTAATTGGTTAGGCGACGGTGCACGTCCGTCTGCGCTGACTGATCCGATGCCGTACTCACCTAGGGCTTGATGTCACTATTGCCCATTAATCAACCAAAGACTCGTACCACTGTTCACGATAATACAATGCCTATACCATTCCGGAAGGGAGCTGCGAAAGTGAAGCGAAAAGAAGGCAAATCTGCGGGGTTGGCTGCTCGAAACTGATTACCTATGAATCTGATTATGCCATAATCATGCTTTGTAGTCATGGTGGATTCGCTTCACGCCTTTGCATAGGCGGCGCGATAACGTGGAGCGCGGTGTCTTGCTCCGTAGCACATACAATAGCGTAGCCACTGCCATATTGATCCTCACTTCTCATCCCGAATTCACATCTTCAACTCTGTCCTTTGCCACAGGATCAACCGGGTTTCAATTCGGGCTGTACAGCGCATGTGGTAAAGGGAGCCATCTTCGTCGGTTTTATGCGTCCCAATGCAATGTACACACATTGTACACGGGTTAAGCCGTCCTCCCAAAATTGACATGATCGCTAGAGAACACCTGCCCGTGATTCTACCAGAAGGACGATGAACAAACGAAGAGGAAACAAGAAATGAGAGTCGCTTGAACAGACAACGAATTAAAACCATGCTTCCGGACATGTAAAACAAAGCAACATGGCTTCTCGCTATGTACTCAGTCAATACTACTCCATTATGCAAGCAACAAACATGGACCCTGGGCCCCGAGTCTCTGACCCGATGAAACACAATTTCCGGATTCAAAATGGAGCCGTAATCCACAGCATCGGAACGCTCTAGAATGCCGGTGCCATACTATTCCATGCTATTCCATACCTTTGCACTATTGTAGGTTAGTTTGACGTGTTCACTGGCAGCATTTTGTGACTACTCGGCGGCGAGTCGGCGCTATACACAGTAGTACATTATTATCGTAGGAATAGGAAATAGGTCTATGGCTACTCTTACAATAAAACTCTGGCTGGTGTGCAAGCGTCTAAAGGAGAGTGCGACATCAAGATTAGATATACTATTATATCTACAGCATCAACAATCACCTTTCCCTGGCCTGGATTTACGCCAACAATATTTTCCAACCGTATGAATCGAGCTATAGAGGTTAAGTAACTCGGGGTGCCTGCCCGCTAGCTTCATGTATCTGCTATACCTGAAGGAGCCATTCAAAAATACACTGCAGCCAGTTAACATTCTCAAGACCTTACAAGAGTACAGTGGTGAGCATACAATACCAGCAGGGCCGAGCCCAACATGCCTACCCTCTGTACTCTGTAGTCCTTCATTATTAGCCTTCAGTCCATGATCATGAAAGAGCCGACTATTACAGAGTATGGTTGCAGCATCTTACTTTCTTGACTAAACACTAGATACAAGCACAAACCTGTTGTTGCGGTGCGTTCTCTGGTAGCGATATACTGCGGAAAGACCCTTAACTAGTCCGTCTGCTAATGCAGATTGGCGTTCCGAATTCGCAAACGAAACTCGTGTCGTTGGATTAATGTTTGCAAAAGACCTGGGACGGTTTGTTTCACATCCCAAGCTTGGCGTGGCACCCTGCACATATTGCTCTCTCTCCCACATGCATAGTTACGGAACGTCGATGCGAGCCCACTCGGCGACCGCGGCCATGTACCGTCCCGTCATCCAACAACATCCCCCGACCAACGACTTTCCCAATTTACCCGTACACCAACCACTACGGCGACCATTGGAGTAGCTAACTGAGCCACTCGATGAAAAAGAAACGAAAGAGAGAGAAAATTACAACAAACATCCCATCCCCAGGCTTGACTTGATGGCCAACGATCGACGCATCCTTAGCAAGCTGGTCTCCTAACGGAACGCCATCGTTCCTCCTCTGGGCTAGGGTTTCTCCACAATTGTTTGCATCCGGCGTTCTCCCGTCGTCTACACAGCTACGTCTGTATTGCTGCACTGCACTGCACTGGAGACCGGACTGCAATCACAACCATTGCACGACGTCCCTCACCACTTTGATTCTCTCAATTAACCGCTTCCGATCGAGCCGCCATGGCTCACGAAGGCCCCATAGCAGGTGTGTGATTGTGTGTGTGTGTGCGTGTGCGTGTGCGCATCCTCTTTCTTTCCACTTCTCACTCCCCATACCATACCGGACCCTTGCTGATCCAATCCATTATCTTCCCAGGCTTCTCGTGGACCGACATCCCTACCCATATCCTGCGCGATGAGCTACGGCGAAGGCAAACTGACGACGACCGTCCGGCGTGTGGTACGAAAGGCAATAGGGGGACCTACAATACACCCCTACATGTCTTCGCGCTGGTCCTGATCCTCGCGCTCAGCACTATCGGTATGTGTCAATCCCAGCTGTCATGAATCCGGCTTCGATCAAGCTTCAAACAAGCTTCAATCAAGCTTTGCCTCAGTCGATCATGCATGTCTTCGCGGCTATGGAATTACATTCCCGGAATACGTTGTGCTAATCGATATACCTGCAGCTTGTTCCTTCCCCATCGTCGTCAAACGCTTTCCCAAGATCCCCGTTCCACATACCTTCCTCTTCCTGTCACGGCACTTCGGAACCGGAGTCCTCATCGCTACAGCCTTCGTACACCTCTTGCCAACGGCCTTCGAGTCCCTCACAGACCCATGTCTACCCTACTTTTGGAATCAAGGCTACTCGGCTATGCCCGGCCTAATAGCTATGAGTGCTGTCTTTGTGGTAGTGGGAATTGAGATGTTTTTTGCCTCGAAGGGTGCAGGCCACGTCCACACCGCCGACTATGAAGTATTTGCCTCGGAGGGGAGGGCTTCTCACGATTCCCGGCGTATCGCGGTTCACAAGCGGAGCAATAGCTACAGTCGATTCCGAGCGGACGGTCATGTCCCGGATATTGTTCTGCATAACATACCTGGCTCATCGGAGAACTTGATGAACGGCAGGTCTCCCTCTGTTCCTACATTCTCCCCACAGCCTTCCTCGGCATCGAACGCCAACCACACGCGCAACTCGGTGGACGACGATTCAGATCTCGATCTCGATCTCGATGAGCTGGGCCCACCGGATGTAGATGCCGAGGACACAGAGGACGAGTCACGGTTGCTTTCGAAACCGAATGCGCGGAAGAGGACATCGCACCAGCATTCCGAGGACCCTGAAGAGGACTCGGAACTTTCGGAAGCCCAGCGCAAGAAGCAATTGTTACAATGTCTGCTCTTAGAGGCCGGTATACTTTTCCATAGCGTGTTTATTGGCATGGCGCTTTCCGTCGCGACGGGCACCTCGTTCATTGTATTATTGGTTGCCATTTCGTTCCACCAGACGTTCGAAGGGTTTGCACTTGGTTCCCGCATAAGCGCAATCCGCTTCCCACCAGGGTCCATCAGGCCCTGGCTAATGGCACTTGCGTACGGCACAACGACACCTGTTGGCCAGGCCATCGGGCTTGGGATTCATAACCTTTACGATCCAGCTAGCCAGACTGGCCTCCTAACTGTGGGTATCATGAATGCCATCAGCAGTGGGCTTCTCCTCTTTGCAGGACTAGTGGAACTTCTGGCCGAAGACTTCCTTAGCGATGAGAGTTACGTTACCCTTACTGGGAAAAGACGCCTGCAAGCATGCGGTAGTGTCGTCGGAGGAGCCGCCTTGATGGCACTCGTAGGAGCTTGGGCATAATAGTTGACTTTTTTTACTCTTTAGGCATTGTACATGGTTTTAGACATATCGGTTCTCTCGCTCTCTCTTTCGCGAGCAATTTTGGTCAATTGCATTTACACCGGCGTCGATGATCTACGATGTAGCATCCATCTAGAACGAGCATCTATCATTGTCTTTTTCTGCTTCTACCTGAAATGTACATCTACATCGTCATAACCATAGCGCCGTTACATCGGGATGGCGAAACAAAGAAATAATCGAGACATTCCAAATACCAATACAAACGGTCCGCACGCATAACCTACCTGGTTTGTATGTGGTGGCTTTTTTCACAAACCGTTGATGAGTCCTATCTCCGCAAGCTATCACCGTACCAATCAATCAATGGTGAAAGGAAATCATTATTATGGGACGTAGATTCGAGATCTGACATTTTACACCGAGATAGATTCGATCTGCAAGATATCTCCGTAAACGGAACTAAGTAACATGCGACAATGACGACCAACGTCTTAATCTTTCACTATTTCAAACAATAAAAAAAAATATTCCAACTCAAAAACGAATCGTCCAGACATTCCAAATGCAGATCCATATCAAGATCTAATCTCGCGCGCCCCGTAGTCACCTCGTTCCCAACTATTCGAAACACCTCGGCAACCCCACTATTGCATACAAGTACAGTTACACCCGCCCGTACCTACACGATGGCATTGAACTGCATGCATGAGCGATATGTTTCCCTTTTTTTGCCTCTCTCCTTTCCTTGGTTTAGATAAAGTCCGGTTGCAAACACCGTTTGCTGATCAACCCCTTTGAGCATAGATAAGACAATGTGTTCATTTGCAATTCCTGACTGATGGGTTGAAACACCTCGATACGATGGCATGGATGATTGATTGGAAGGCACGGAAGGAAACAAAAGAGAAGCCATGTCTATGTACGAGCATCTCCAACGGTCCCTCGGCAAGGATAAAAAATGGAGAAGACGAATCGAGCGTTTACCGAGAACGTTTGTTGCTGAGCTGCAGTTACTCGTATACCGTCGTCCAACGACTTGGGGCATTACAGCGGGAATACCATCGATCTACGGTTACCACGCCGATCCGAATATGCCATGCCGATCTGTACGCGCCATACCGACATCTACTCCATGCCGTTCGTCCCCACGTTCGTTCAAGCATTTGGCGTGGCGCTCGTTTCTTTTCTTGCCTAGAAATCGTACGGAGTAGACTTGTACCTGTGCAGTAAATGCCCGGGTACTTGCAAAACAACCTCTTGGCGATCGAATCCGTTTTTGGCTTTTCTGGTAAGGTTGGCGCCTGAAACTATCGCATACATGATTGCGAAAACTTGTTTTTTTCCTCTCTCTCTCTTTCCAATGCCTTCCAGCAGCAGCGCGACAAAGTGGCTTTTTCTTTCCATAGGGAATTCGGCCCGTTGCCTGCATCTTGTCCACGCAATCTAACCTCGAAAGGGAGGAATAGGCAATAGGTCGCGAAGCCAACGATGTACATAAATTGGACTTTGGAAGTGCTTCGAGTCATGAGTTTTTATCTTGTCGCACATGTCCCGATGTTGTGCCTTTGAAAACAAACATCTCCACCTATGGACGTCTAGCCTCGATCGACACGTTAGATGGAGTACGGCGGGTAGGCACGTTGGGTTGGTACATCCGTCTGCTAGCATAGTATAAACTTTGGTCTTAATTAGCTGCTTTACAAAATAAAAGGCTATGATACACCTTTTGTTGCTTAGAAACGAAGGTGCACACGTTAGGTCAGCGGCCTGCTAGTGTTTTAGCATTGGCCAGGAACAAAACGTGCATTTGTAGCCTCGTGTTTGCGGTAAAGAAACTAACTAAGGTGAAAGTGCTCTCGATGCATAATGGCAATGCTAGCATATATGATGGGAAAGTTGTTCTGGCCGTCTGCTACGTGGGCCATAGAGCCTCACATTTGCGGTTAAGAAACCAATTCAAGTTAAAGCGTACGAGCCACATACTACATGCAGATGTATTACACAATCCACGATATCATACATGCCTACCTTCTCCTCTGTGGCAGGTGTGGGGGACAAGTCACTTGTTTTCGGGTTGTTTCCTGCTTCCGGCCTGATATCTTTGGCTGGGTGGACCTTGCTTTCCGTATTTCTCGACAGCTGCCTGGACTTTGGACATATCTGCATATGCACAGAACCTCTGTCCGCATAGCCGAGCCCACTTGCTCTTACACACTTCTTACTTCATCCAATTCCGCTCTTACAAATGCGTTTATGCCAAGTGATGGAAAGTTCTGCCAAGATGATCGTGGTGCGGAAAGTCAACGTAATCATCAATATTTACGACAGCATTTTGATTCGAGACGGAGGTATTACGCCCAATATTCCGTTGCCGAGGCAAACTATCGATCTGGGCGAATATTGAAAAGATGCGGTGTGTGAAGTGACGTTGACGCATGTATGCGATTTGAGGAAGAGATCGCCGATCGTATTGCGAGGAGTCGAATTGCAGAAGTGAGGAGGGCGCCTTCATGGACCTGTAGTTCTTTAGCAATGTCGTTGAGCATGATGATTGCAGAACCGTTTTGTTCGTGTCTACGTTCTGGTTTTGGTGCCACCACGGGGCACCTTGTTTCCGTCTTCACGGGGGAACTTGAGACTTGCAAGCTTGCATGTATACGGATTGGAATTGTGAGCGTTTTTACGGATATCTCGAGGCAAATATTCAGATCGACCGGGTATTTTTCACCACCCAATGTTCCATGAAGCCCCATCGAAAACAGTAATTACAGTATGAACGGGAATCTGATTCCTTTGCAGAATGACGTCCTATAGGGAAAATGTGAAAGGAAAGGAGCTCATAAGCATTGGTAATACCAAGGAGCAGAAACCGCTTTGCAAGTGTAAGGTGACTGGAAGAAGTGAAAGAGTTAGTCATGGTTTGTTCTTTATTATTGATGATATTGCAATTTGATGGTAGAGGCCACGGAGGAAGTTGGACAAGAGAAACTCCATATACTCCATATGAGTGTGGTATGGATACGAGAAAAGTAGGAATCGGCTCGCTTACCTCGCAAGTTGTACAGCCTTTCCAATCGTTTCCACCGCATTGATCCCAATGTTTTTGTTTACAACCACCACCAGGGTTTCCTGGTGGCGTACTTGAAGGTCTTGTAGTGCTTCGAATCGTTGTCGATGGTGGTGGACGAAGTGTCGTTGATGGCGGCCGAGGCGTTGTTGTTGGTGTAGCTCTGCTAGTAGAGCTAGGTCTTGGGGGAATTGGAGGTCTGGAGGTAGGTCGGGGAGGATTCGATGGCCTAGGTGGACTCGTTCCTCCCTTTGTTGGAGTATTGACCTGACTTCCGTCACAGTAGACCGCAATTCCAGTCAATTGCATGTCCTTCAAAATTGTACTCATCCCGTCTGTTCCAGGACCGTTGCAGTATGTCGAGTTGGCCTGTGAAGGATTTAAAGGAGTCGGGTACTCGATGTGAAAGACAGGCTTTCCTGAGGCAAGAAAATCATTGTAGGCAGTGCATTCACTGAGTTGCGCGCACTGCTCGTTCACAGCAAAGTCCATAATGGGCCCAATGGTGGGCAATATGTCGAGGCTGTTCTTGAGACCAATTTTCATATTGTAACCTGCAGCAGTTTTCTGGAGCCATCGCATATAGTCGATCAGATCTGTATTTCTCAGATTGAGGCCGTTGTCGTTTTGCTGCACAATGTTAGAGGATACTCTAAATCATAGTATCATGTTCGGAACGTACATAACCATCTACACAAATACGTTAGCTATTGATACCCAGTTGTTCGTTCGGGGAATTTCGTTTACCAGTGTTGTCTGGATCTATCGCATCACACCCTTTGTCCGCTGCGATTTTTATCCGCTTCGACATGATATCTCTGACCTTTTGACTCCCAGTACGTATCCACTTCTCGTTAGGCCACTCTGGAAGCACTTTTCCAATGTCTGCATTTGGAAATTCCTTTGCATCGTCTCTCCAATCTTCCCAGGTGCCTGCGCTGAAATAGCAGATCACTATCTTACCCGCCGCCTTCAATGTCTTGATACTTGAAGCTTCCGTATCGAACAAATCAACATCCCAGACCGGCGCATCAGTAGGTGGAAGTGGCATTTTGGAAACGTCCGGTGTGCCTGTGAGTACAATTTGCCATTTCTGTCCACGCTGAAACTCAACTTGCCCCAAGCAGACGCCGGCAAAGAAGCACAAACATAGCGTCCGCAACAACATCTCTGCTAGAAAGAGTCTCATTCCCGTGTCAATTGTAGCGGAAACAAATGGAAAGATCAAAATATCGCCCCTAGCAGCAACGAACGGAAGTTAAAGGATACGGAATGCAGGACCAGGCGGCAACGTCCATTTCGCCAAAAAAGATCTTTCAAAAACCGCACATCAACGTGAAATAGGACCGGGTTAACCATTTTGGAATACGTATAGTGGACGACGAACGTGCAATGCGGGGAGATTAACCGTCTCGAATGCTTGAAATCTTAGACGTACTTGTCGTCGCCCAAAGTCCCATGAAAATTGCTTGTTAGCAACCGAGCCAACCAAGACGGCGAGTAGTAAATGTAATGAATTGCTACTGGTGACACCCGGGCCTCTTTGTGATGCTCATTGCCGCAGTCAATCTATGTTAAGCCATGCATCTATAACACTGCTGCGGCTAGACCCTTTACGGTTGGCGAGCAGGAGGCGATATAGTTGTTTCATATTTGACGTCCCGTGGAAGCATTGCACTGAATAGTGCGACATAGTCCAGTGTGAAGGTGTGATTACTAGATGTGGCTATCGTTCCTGGCGACAAGCAAAAACCACAGACAAGCAGGTCCAAGTGCATGTTCGGCAGATGGAAGTATTGCGGGGAAAAGCTTGAATGCAACAATGCTCATAGCTTGATCTTCTGATCTCAGGGGACTTTAGCGGGAGATCGACTGGTGGTGGAAAGTGTAAAGAGCGTTCTGGATGGCGGCTAAATAATCCACCAATATGAAACGCTCGACGAACAACTTAGCCATCGAGGAGAGTGAGAAATCAAGGAAATATAATTGAGAAACTTTGATCAAATTTGGAGGCCCTTGGCCTCGGACATTTTGTATCGCCGGCAGCTGGGTTTTCTGGCCAATTGGCCGGCCTGATAGTACCATGTCTACAAGGGCTAAGCATATCAAAGATCCACGTCGGCTGTATGCACTACCAAGGCTCGAGGCCAGATGCTTCTTTCATCTTCGGAGGTCTTTCGCGGGCAGGCTGAGGCTCAATGTCCCCATGCTGTCCATGTACGTTCTCATGTCTTATCATTCCGTCATTTGCAGCACTCCACGTTTTTAATCTGTTCAATGATGATAGATCCAGGCTTCATCGACTTTGTCTCTCCCCGGTTTCGATCCATCGCATCTTGTTAGACAGGCCCAAAGATAGGGACGGCGGCATGAGGGTAATACATGCGAGATTTCGAGATGATTGCAGCTGGATCAGAACCCGTCATGAACTTGAATACTAATATGAAGTCATGTTCGGACCGGTCCACGAAGAAGTCCGTCGGTTGTTTTGATGGATATAGACCATACCGAGTAATATACACGCCATTGGAGGACAGACAGCCTAGACTTCCTGACAACTTTTAGACATCTGAGCGCAACTCGACCGAAAAAGGATGCCAAATCCGGAAAGCGCTCCGGTGGACTTAAAGAGCAGTTGTTCCGTGTCCCTAGAGAGTCATCTAGGACTGTTCATACAACTATAGTGGTAAATTGTAGACTGAGTCAGATCGACTATAGGGGTATTCTTGCTTGTGCTTGCATAAAAGTGAATCGCCCATCTGACCTTACAGCTACTTGAGGATAGCAGGAAGTTGGCTACGTGCTTTGATGGAGGATATTTGCCCATCCCTCTTGTGGCATATGTAGAGCAATTAGATATCGCATATTTGGTCTACATTAGACCCATGAGTCGCTTGAAATTCGGATTTCATTGCTCGTCTCTTCATTGCACGGAGGACTATGTATCTGAGCGACCAAATAACAAATGCCACATTCACTGCGATCGAAATGGTTTGGCGCGCCGTCGATCTGGGGAGAATCGATGCTGCTGACATCATCAAAGATCCTCACTAGCGTTCGGTCCCGCTGGATTCTCCGACCACCGATCAAATTTCTGGGATTGTGAGAGCTACTTCGAGGTTTTGCTTAGACAAATCGCACCTCTGCTCGATATTTTCTCGTCATCACTAGTCTATCTATCTGATTCAATGGGCCGTCTTGCCTTCAAACTCGCGCAATTCTGCCGCCCGTACTGCTTCAACGATCGACTCTCATGCTAAAGCGTACCGTCATCGCCTCAAGATGCACCAAGCACAGATGGAGTCTTCAGCAAATCCGTGCGATAAATACCCAGCCCTTGGTCATTCCTGACTACGTCGAAACATGGAACCCCGCAACCCACAAACGGAGAATATCACGCGCAATCAGACCGTTGGCTCGAAATCGTGCGGCGCCTCCTGCCCGGGGATTGAATCAAGATGAACGAGCGAAGATGCAGCGAAAGGAGCTCGCTGAAACACAAAATCCGATAGTCACCCTAGATGAAGAAACAATTACGGATCATGGACTCAATCCGAAGAGAAGAGAGTCGTTGAAGTTCGCGATTCAAAGACTAAATAAAGGCCTTGTCCTTGCCGGCCGCCTTCCATCGAAACCTGAAGTGCGGGCCTTCCTGTGGAGAGCTTACAAAAAGGCGAAGCTGGCAGATCCAAACATAATCTCCATACTACCTAATCGTGCTTGGGATGTAATTTGGGCCTCTCGAATGGACGGACCGCGGATAACCCCTCCTAGCACGATACGATGGTCACCCCGTCGCGCTCGAATAAACAAATACGCAGAGTACTACATGTGGCGGGAACGTCTGTGCGAACTTTATCGTGATATGGATGCTGTCGGCAAAGCGATGACAGTACAACAGCGTGTACGGTGGATTGAAGGCCTCTTTTTTAACAAGCAAGAATATTGCGCTCTCCGCGAATGGGAAGACGATAGGCTAGAATCGGATCCCTCGAAAAGACATGACTATAAACCAGAGCATCTGCAGAGCGGAGCGAGAATGTATGCATATGCTGACAATGTAAGGCGATCACGTCAACTGCTCGATGAATTGTACGAACTCCATCCGTCCTGGGATCCTTCTATTATATTACCAGTTTTTCGTGCGCACGCGCGCTCGAAAGGCCGTGATCACCGCTCCATGGCCTGGGGTTTGTACGAAAAAAGGCTAAACTTCCCGATCAAACTATCAAGAAAGGAGATGGACGGATATTTCATTGGATTCATCGAGGCCCAAGATCTTCGGCATGCTATCATAGTGTTCAATAGCATGCTTAAGGATGGACACTTGACTGGAAAGCTTTCGGAGAGAATGATCAACCGAGTGCTTCGAAAGCTTAATTTACTGTACCGACTAGGTACAAATATCGAGTCAATGACCAGCATTGCTCTTTCCGTAATTTCCAATCTGCCACGACCTTACCATCCCCATCTGTTCGGGGATTGGTTGAAAGCAGCTGTCAGAGCAAGAGCACCCGAAGCTGCTGCGCAGATCCTCGAAATCATGTTTCAACGGGGTACCACGCCAAGAACAATACATTTCAACCTATTCCTTCGCACTCTCTTGCGATCGGAAAAGAGGCAACATGACCTGAAAGCGGAAAATATTGGTTGGGAAATGGTTGATCAATGCGACAAGACCAGTCCGCCCGAAGCCCCCCATATCAACACTGCTGATGCGATAGTTTCTTATGGCAAAGCAGATCAAGAAGGCCGCAATAACAAATCCCTGGAAAGGATCACACCAAGAGCCAACGTAGTCACCTTTGGGCTGCTTATGCTTCGCCATTCCAATCTCTCACAGTGGGAGCACGTGGAATACTTAAGCCGACGTCTCAGAGAGTTAGGTATTCCGCCGAATGTGGATGTACTGAATTCAATGATCAGATATTATAGCGCAAGGGGAAACTACAACAAAGTGTGGGAGACGTACAAGACTATGACTCACGTGCCCAACAACAATGGCGGTGTCTTCCCCAATGGTATGACGTTCAGGCTACTGTGGCGGACGCTTCGAATCGCCCTTGGCGACAAGAATAGGAAAGAGAATATCGAACTGCCGAGCCCTCGGTATCTTCTTGCTGAAACCATCCGTTGGACTGACATGGTTCGCAGTCGATGGGATGCACAGCGATTCCGTGAAGGACTTGCAGCAGAAAATCTAGAGGCAATCAGCACTCTCGTCATGCACTGTTTCAGTTACACAGATGATCTCGCTGGCTCTATTGTTGCTCTGTATGCTTTGCGTAGACGTTTCGACATTATGCCTACCAAAGAGTTGGCCACTGTGCTGCAAACCCACGCCGCTTGGACGGATTTGCATTTGGAGACGAAATCTGTTCGGGCACAATTTTCACTCAGCAAAACTTTTCCAAACAAGATGCAGCAACTGGGACGCATCTTCGCAATTCTGAAGGACGCCCGCTCAAAGCGGTTGAACATCACCGATGGCATCGCTGTAACTTTGAGCAAGGATGAGCAAGCAGAGTTGAATCTAAACCTGCTGTCCGAATTTGTGCGAGTCATTTCCAAAAGACAGCATTCCCCTGAAACTATTGAAGCCATGATCGATCAGGCTAAGAAGGATGTTGGTTTGCCGACGTTAAAGATTGGTGACATGGATGCTTTTGAAGTCCTCTGAGCATTCACGTTTCGATCTTTCGCCTTCATTTCCGTTATCCCTCAGAGCATCAACGTACTTTCCATGCGCGGCACTGAGAGGGTGTATCAAGGCATACGGTTTGAAAACGAGGCATGCTAGATTGTAATTATTTATAGATATCAGGCGTTTTTCTGCATCTGAGATACCCCATCCAAACTCCTGTATTTATTGTAGATAGTAGATATTCCACACTCCATAAACTCCAATCATGTTTGTAATCAAAGGAGTCGATGACACCCATTTCATCATTTCACACTGAAGTATTACAGCCCCAAGGGATTGTTTGCAGTTCCCTTCCTCGGATTTACACCACCCCTTGAACCCATGGTCGCTTTAGCACCTCCAGCTGTACTCGACAGGCCCAGCGGATTCTTGTTGGTGCTTGCTCGAGGTCCGGATGCGCCTGTTGCATCCTTGATTGAATTTCCGTATTCGCGCACTGTGTCTCCCCAGTTTCGTGTGCTGTTAGTCACACTGCTACATATTAGCATGTGTCAATCAATCGTGTATATTGCATGTATTGCATACCTCGCACCGGCTCCCTTTCCTGCTCCAGCAACCCCGTTGCCTGCTGCTGTGACGATGGCTCCCGCAAAGTTGCCAACACCGGCCGCCGCCGCATTGGTGGATCGTGTAAGCCAGCTTTGTTGCTGTTTTGGCGGCATTGTGAATATGTATTGGGTGGAAGTACGGGTAAAAGGTGGGCGTTGAACACTGTAGTATTCATATGATTAACGAAGCCTGCGGGTCTTATCCAAGAATCTAGACATCTGAAGGCTGATGACATCAAGTGGCTAATGGTCCCGCACTTGCCCCAGTCTAAACAAGACCCGCATTAGCCTGATCGCGGAAAGCTTGGCCCCGACCCTAGACTCGGAACATATTACAACGTCGCGAAGCTACGTGTAGCACTTACTACAACTCTTCGACTTTCTCTGTATATTTTCGTCGTAATACCGCCTATACTCTCACTCGGTCCGGCGCCTTGTGAGACTGCACCCTCTAATGTTTACTTGTTGAAAGATTCCTCAAAGGGCGAAGGTCTACAGGCCCAGAGGCCCAGGAGGAATTGGTGAAGGTGTACTGCACTCACCGCCCGCCCACCTACCCAGGAACAGGAGCAGTGGGACATTCAAACAGACGTTTGCAAGCGGACAGGTGAGTTACAATCATGTTTGCCTTGAGAAAGTCTCGAATTTCACCACCTTCCCCCAATCGCAACCTCGACTTTGGCAACGCCTCAGTCAACCATGGGACCGGGAGAGACATTTTCTCTCTTTTTGAAGGCGATGGGACTGGGCTCTACAGGACGACTCAGCGAAAAGCAAAGACAATGCGGGGCTGTAATCGATCGAAAGCTGATTCGCATAGAACATCACACCGCTATCAAAACCACAATCCCAAGTCCGAATACAACTGAATATCCTCGAATTGAACCATTCCTCCTAGCGAATTCGCCGAAACACACACATCTACCTCTTCCCGTATCTACATTAGATCATCCGACAGATCTTACATCGGAACGCCGATCACGACAAGGGTATATACAGTTTTCGAAGGCCAGTACAGACACAACTGATTTAAGAAGTCCCCTGCCACAATCTGAAGATCCGCGTGTCGCTGCATCAAATTCAACACACCAACCTGCCTATCCTAGTTTCCATTCACCCGCGCACTTATATCCAGGCCCGGCGCCACTTTGTGCTCTATCTTTACTTCCAGAGGGAGTTAAAAGATCTACACCCAGAAACCGAAGGCTCCGTCTACACCAAGCAGAAACAATGGAGGCATCACATTTGCAGCCGCCCAATGCGGGCACCAAACTTCGTGCAGTGCAGCAGGCCAAAGAAATGCAAGCGATTGTGCTAGATAGAGCAAGGCGCAATGGGGATGAACCACCTCCTTACGATTTCCACGAACTCATTGGGAAAGGCGCATACGGCCGAGTGTTCAAAGGGTTGAATCGTGCGACGAAAGGCTTGGTTGCCATCAAGATCATCGATATCGATAGAGTGGATTACGAAGAAATGACCACCAAGAATCTCCAGGATACCCTGCAAGAAATCAAAATCCTCCAGCAGGTCAAAGACAGTAGGGCGCGAGACTATGTAAATATTATAGAAGAGGCCCGCACAGTTCATAACGAGTTATGGATTATAAGCGAATACGCCAGTGGTGGCAGTGTCAACACACTGATGAAGCCATATGTATTTCTTTCAAGCACGGGGCTTGAAGAGAAATACATAATCCCGATTGCACGCGAACTTGCGCAAGGTCTCAAATATATCCACGAAGCTGGTGTCATACATCGAGATCTCAAATGTAAGCATCTCCGTATTACTGGAAGCGTCCCCAAAACTGAGGTTCCCCTTGCCTCTCTTACCTCATCCCCATCTACCTATGATATCTGATAACCTTAGGCAACAATATCTTGGTCAATGAACAAGGTCGAGTGCAATTGTGTGACTTTGGTGTTTCCGGAGCTCTTGAGCCTGAAATCACTAAACGGTCAACCATCGTTGGCACACCGTTCTGGATGGCACCTGAACTACACCAAGAGTGGGTGAAGGAGGCAGATCCGCGGAGTAGAGCGAGGCCACAGCAGATCTTGTATGGATCGGAAGTAGACATATGGGCGTACGGATGCACGCTTTTCGAAATGGCCACCGGGTTTCCCCCATTCCACACAACGAAGCCCTTTGAACTTCTGGATGCCGGAGTACCAAAACTCGAAGGACCGGGTTTCTCTGACGGGCTGAAAGATTTGATCTCATATGTGCTCCAACCCAATGCCCAGGATCGGCCAACCGCGAGCCAAATACTGGAGCAGCCATACCTATTTGACACCGAGAAGCAGTACCCTACGTATACATTGGTCCAGTTGGTAGAGAACTATTACAGGTGGGAGCAAGGTGGTGGCTCACGTGCCTCCCTTTTCAATCCATTTGGCGCGCAGGCTCCTGATCCATTGGCTCCGGAGACGGACGATGAAGAAGACTGGAACTTCAGTACTAGCGAAGAATTCGAGAAGCAGCATGCTAGTGGCTCCCTGCCTGATCCATTCCTCTCCGGATCTCAAGATCCACCCTTCACAAGTTTCGCCCAACCTCCTGTGGATGATTCCCGGTTTGCGCAGCTTCAAGCACAATATCGCAGAGAGGCTGCAGACCGAGGAGGAAAGCGCCTCAATCGCCTATTTGACCAAAATACCACCCCGTATCGGTACAGTGCCGTGGAACCGGAGCTAAGCATAGGTCGCCCACCATCCGATCTAGTCCTTCGAGACTTTGACACGGGTGCACCCAATCGGGAAACTGTCATTGACTTGGATATTGCGCTTCCTACAGTTGAAGATGCACCTGGAATTGACCTCGGCGAAGTACCCACCGTGAGGGCCAACCGTAACAGGTTGACGCAGGACAGTTTCAGATACGAAGAGGAAGAGCAAGATACGTTCGACATGGATCAAACTATGCGTCGCAGCACTCGAGACTCAAACCGATTCGCGGAGCAACTCAATCGTCGGACAATGGATTGGAAGATGCCAGGCTTTACTGAGCAACCCAACCGACGCACCATGGAGTGGACCTTCAACGCGTCGATGGCCGAAGCCAACCAAGAGCCAATGCCTAAGCCGTTCAGATTGTCGCGACGTCGGGATACATCAGAATCACTTTCGACCACAGCTCCACCAGCCGAGAACCGATATACACAGGATTTCGTCTTCCCGCCTCGAGACTCTAGTAATAATAGCGTGCAGTCTAGCCAAGGTCTTCTTCCATCATCGCCGACTCTTGAACCAGGTTTCGACGACTACCCACGAGTTAATTCGGCACCTGGATCTCCCTTGCGGACGTCAATGATAGACCTCGATATGGCCATGGTCGATGATGATTATCGCCCATCCACGTCTGGCTCCGCAAGTACTTCTACATTCACAACAGGAACCGAAACTCTGAACGGAAATCCCTTTGACCTTGAAGACCAAGTGCATCTCTCAACAACGAACAACCGGGCTTCATATCACATGAAGTCACAATCGGAGCCCAACCAAGCCATCCCAGGTCTCTTGACTCCACAATCATATGACGAACTCGGCCATCCCATTAACCAAGATCCCCATCACCCGAGCATGCACGCCAGAGGCGTCTCGTCAGTATCCCAAATGCAAGCCAAGCAGCCGTCAAACGTCGGGCACGGAAGGCAGCGAAGCTACCAGCCAGCCTGGGACGCCTGGAATCACCAGGTAGCATACGGCATGGAGGAGTCACCACCAGCCTCCATCGCAACCTCGACATCCACAGAGGAAGACTACGACGAGATGTGGGACGCGTACGAGCGCCGGGTCCTCCAAAGCCACGCCCGCAAGACCTCCGGGTTCCAGTCCCGCCGCAAGCCCAGCCAGGACGAGGACCTCCGATCCGACACCGACGACAACTACGGCTCAGAATACGAAGACATCCCCGGCCGCCAAAGCCGCGTCTCCGTCGGTCCGAACGGCAGGCCTCTCCTCGCCTTCCCTATCCCCCGAGGCCCTGAACCCGAGGCGCTGCTGGGCTTCGACATGGATCCGAACCTAATGATGAACGCGATGTGGAAGAGCACGGTGGAGATGAGAGACGGGCTCCGCTCGAGCATCGACCTCTTGAAATCGATGCACCTCAAGGAGACGGTGCAGGCCGACTCCGAGAGCGACGAAAGCATCGACACGAGCACGATCAGGCTTGGGAAGTGAAGAGTAACTCGTAAGGATGTTCCCCCATAGTATCTATCCCATTACCCCAATTGCGCCATCTCACTCTATCCTTATTCTTTCCTCAGGGAGAAAGATGGGAGAGAGAGGGTGGCACGCAAAATCATCGAGATGGGCTCCGTACACCGCATGTACACAACCCATCTACCCCCTTCATCATGACCCAAGCAAGGTCCACTATAACGAACGATACTCACAAAACCGCCGATCCACAAGAGATGCATAGTAATGGGTATTCATTCGAATCAGGATGGGCTAATGAGGCTCTTTACATCAAACGCTCGACGCCCTAGATTTTCAATCCCCCTGTGCGAGGGTGTGCCGGCGTTGACATAGACATTTGTGGCGCAGGCGAATAGGAATCGGAATCGTATATTTACTACGATAGGAATTGAGACGGACAGACAGACAGATATATGTACACATAGACATAAGAATCGAAACCTCTTTATTTGCATCTTCTTCCTCATATATCATAACGTTCGCGTGACATCAAACATCACATCTCACATCTCCCTACAATCACGAATTGCGTGATATCAGAATGCGCATGATTGTTTTATGAATTGTTTTATGAACTGTTTTTCATTGATTGCTGCTCGCTCGCTCGCTCGCCAGCATACCACAATCAACTACCAAATACAAGTTACCTATCCATATACGATTTGTATCGTGTCCACCCGCCGCCCGCCGGTCCCATGTACATACCATACATACATGTTATGATTGCAATACACAAAAAACAAAAATGGGAAACAAAAACATATGTATGAGTGTCCGTCATCATGGGGAAATGAAAAGAGAGAAAAATCGAGGACGCCAGCCACTTTTGGGGTACCTTCATGAAGATCGAGAAAATGCCGAGACAAGAAAGGAAATCGAGAAACGCCTTTTGATTTGACAGTGTGGAAATAATCGTCCCGGGAAGTATATGCATGATTTGAATTCGCTGTGGCCGCCATGTACATGTCAAGTTGCGCCTGGAAATAAGGGAAGAGGTGTGGGGTGTCGTGAACAGAGAAAGGAGAGGTGGAGGTAAGGTAGAGTAAGGAATTGTGCTAAGTGGGAGGAGGAGGTTGAGGTTAGGTGAGAGAGGCATTAGATGCTCGGATCGGAAGCAGTGCTCTCAGCGACCTCCGGCTGCTCTTCTTGTTCTTCTTCGTCGTCGTCGGCAGTGTCGTCAGAGCTGGACTCGCTGTCGCTGGCATTGTCGTCGTCTTCATCATCCTCATTGTCTTCCTCGTCGTCTAGCTCTTGGACGGGCTCCATGCCTGGGACGGGCTTCCACTCAACGTAGTCCTGCTCTATCCACCTTCTACTACGTGGTAGGAGATACGGATCGAAGGGGAAGTATGCATCAAGCAGGAAGCTCTGCTCACCCATCTTCATGGATAATGCAGTTTCTCTGGCGGCTACGCCCTCCATGTAGCTTCCGCCCATATTCCTGGCCAATCTGATACGCTTGTTCGTCTCTAGAAGAGGGAAAACGTAGAGGAAGCGGAGATGATGTGCCATGCGTGCGAACTGCGAGACAATATCGGGAGCGCAGATCTTGAGAGGGTTCAGCTTGGAGAAGATGTTTCGGCGAAGGATGTCCTGAATATCGTTGTGCCAGCGGAAGTCTCCTTCATGGTACATGACTTCTTCGTCCGTGGGTGGATTGCCGTCTTTCGTGACAATGAGGTCACGCCAGCGAAAGCAGAATGTGTAGATGAGGGCCTGAGCGATAGCATAATAGGTACCGAAGCGACTGAGGTCGGGGATCTTGCAGAGCGACTCTTGCTCAGCTCGAAGGCTCTCAAGGCGATGGCAGAGCAGATCGAAGACATCGCGGACGACAGCTCCAGAAACGTGAGCACCGCGAGCAATGTACGAGGCCAAATATGCCGAGGACGCAACCTGAAAGATTCGCGGTTGACCTTTTTCGAAAGCAAGATGCGAGCAGCAACCGGCATACCGCTCCATGAAATCATTGGACAACTGGCTGAAGTGGAAGAGAAGGAATTGAGCGTGTCGGGATCGGTGTGTAGGGAGGATGATGCTTGCAAACTGGGACAGGAGACTCTCGAATGTCTCGTCCATATCGAACAAATCGCCCTTAGCAAAGACGCTGTCATAGTGCGAGAACAGAAGATCCATAACGGCATCCAACTTGAGAATAGACTCCTTCACCTCCTTGGCGCGACGTTCCTCGGGATCCAAGGTTTCAGTGCTAGAGTCCGAATCCTCATCGCTGTCTTCGTCATCGTCGTCAGCCGCGTCGTCCTCAAGCAGATCCTCAATGTCGTCCTCGAACTCTTCCAGATCAACTTGAATCTGAGCATCGATCTTAACGAGCTTATCCATGATCAACGACGTGATTGAGCCCTTGAGTTCGGGGCAGTACCCCGCAACTTTGAGGATATTGCCAATGTACTGTGTATGTGCTTTCGTCGTGTCGCTCGAGGAAGGGAAAACGGAGGTGAGGATAGGTCCGAGCATTGTGCTCATCATCGGGTTCTGTCGAAGGAGATATCTCAGGCAGTCGTGGATGCGGGATTCGAGCCATGGCCGCGGCACAGCTGGGTCGTCTTGTTGTCGGATCGCCGGGGATGGAGAGGTAGCAAGCATGCTCACGAGCATTGTAAGCACCGAGGATGTGTATCCAGGGTGAACAGATAGCAATGAGCTGAGCAAGTGTCGGTACGATCTGACATATTGTTCGTTGCGAGCTACCCAGTAGGAGTCGACTATGGCGTGGACCATGCCGGAGCATTCGTGGTTAAGGAGGGGAACGTGATTGCTCAAGGCGACGATGTATTTGTAGAGGAGGGAGGTAAGAGGTGCGCCGGCTGACGTAGGTTTTGCGAGTAGGAGACTGCGTATCTCATCGTAGGGTCCATTGTCGGGATGCAACTTGTCGGCGTGCTTCTCAAGAGCACGTCGTACCTCTTCCACGACGAGTTCAAGGCTTTTCTCATTTGCATCGGGCAGTATATGGACATCGACAGAGGGGTCGAACGTAACTCTACGGCGTTTGTATTGCGAGGACGGGAGAGGGCTGTCGACGTCGGCGGAATCGATTTGTTTGCGCTTTAGGCTGCCCCCAACGGCAGGGGCGATGACGCCAGTTGCTCTCTCCATAGAAGCAAGCGAGACCATGATCGAAAGTTGTGGGAAATATTTATAGTCACATTTGAACCGTATCTACGAGGTGTATCGGTTATACAGCAAAAATTGAGTGCCGGATGAAAATACGGTGGGTCCAGTGAAGATGTAGTAACGGTGGGGGTTCACTTTTGCCTGGCGAACTTTTGCGCACGGACTGTTGTTCACGTGATCAGCCCTAACGCTTTTGGGCAACCATCCACGAGGGACTATTGTTGTATATGAGAATATCGGAAAATTGGTAGATTCTGTGATATATAGACTTTTTATTGGTTTCACATTCTTTTGAATTCTAGAAAAAGATCCATTCCGAGATCATGTCTCGCCCTATCAATCTGCTCATCTACAATTCTCCGCTCTTTCCTGCCCATTGGTCCTTATGGCTGCCTTCAGCAGCTGATCCCAACATTGGAAAACGCATCCACGTCACCGGAGACTCAGCTTTTGGATTCGAAACCGTCTTCGAGCGCAACTACAATCTTGCCGCTACTAGGCGTCGTTATCAAATTGTCCCACTCGCCCAGGTCCTCGAACACCATGTGGCTAATGACGAGGGAGACAGTGGTCCATCGTCGGACAACACTGCGCGAGATTATGTTGAGCAAGTTGCGCTTAGCGTTCCTGCACCAGGTCCGAGTCTTGTATCGGCTAGCTCTTCTGTTAGTAATACTCCTTCCTCGACACTACCTGGTTTTGTTGATCTTGGTTGCTGTAGGGGCCTAGGCAGCGAGTAGCAATTCAAAACTGCCAAACATGGCTGCGGGAATTGGTCGTTAAACTCGTGGAGAAAGGCGTGATGGATCAATCGGCTGTGGAGGCAATTGATAAAGCACCTAAGAACTAAGGGTCGTTAGACAACTCTTCTCTTTCACGTGTCCTTGGTGATTGATATCAACGCGCATTGCTCAATTTTGTAGTGCAAAGTCGCTCGTCAGGCCCCACGAGCTAGAACAAAATAGTCCCAATAGTTATAACAATCGTGACTGTCTAGGAAGAGGGGAAGGTATTTCGTCTCCCATTCTCCACCACTCAACGCCGTCCACCGAGCCTTACAATACTCCCAGGACGAAGGGTACCATCCAGCTTGATGCCAGTCAACGATAGCAACAACACGAGGACTGGGTCCAGAGGATACGATTATATTTCTAGGATGTAGGTCTGCGTGTGTGAACACGATCGGAACGTCGTCTGGGAGAAAAGAGCGGTACGGATGTGTTGGTATATCCTCGACAGGCACGTGTCGATATGGGCCGAATGTTGATGTAAACCAGTCATGGAATTCGGAGACACTAGAGAATGGACCAGCAGCCGGAGAGGAAGTGTCTGTGAAAACTATGTCTAATAGCGGTTGCTTGCCAACATGTCCTAACCAAGGAATCAGTACGACATAGTTCTTAGGCGACAGTTGCCGCATGATAATAGCAGCACTTCGTATGTGGGAATAACGTACCGATAAATTGAGGCGTAATATTATTCTCAAGGCTCCGCCACGAATCTATCATATGTCGCAAGTGGTGACATATGGCCAGTCTATCATCTTCAACGAGTGTCTCCCAGCTATTCTCCAAGGTAACACCATCCACCAATTCCATATAAATGAACACTTGATCGCCATCTTTACGCCACCCAAATACCTCGGGAACAGGAACTGTTTCCGGAAGTTTTCTTCGTATAAACAAGAGGCATTGTGCTTCAGCAATCGTGATCTCCGTTCCATACTTGACCAGCAAAGCCAAACCAGAAAATCGTACTGGCGGTGGTCGAGTCATGAGAGGCGCACTGGGTTCCGTTGATCGGCTTGCGACTTCTCTAACTTCAGCTGGAGATGGTAGAGATTTTGGGGCATTGGGTTTCTGGAAGAACGATGACTCTTGGATGATGAACTCCTCGTTGTATGGGAAAGGCGAGTTAGTTTCCGGGCGGGGAGAGGATTCTTTCGATGTTTGGTTGGGTTGTTTCTGGGGCTCCATGACTGCATGTGTTATAGATTTAGCGTCTCTAGTACGAGTTCGCTCTCCAGCGCTGGGAATATAGTCCTGTAGGGGGAGGGTAGAACCATCTTGTTTTGAGAACGAGTAGAATAGAGTTGACGTTTTCCACAGCCAATCAGAAGGCAATATGTAGCCAGTGCACGGATCCGTGCGCTAGCATTTTCTATAATCGGCCTCTATTGAGGGAGCAGGTATGCCATTGCTCAATAGTAGGTATATATCTTGCAATCTGGATTACTCAAAGCAGAAGTTCTATCAATCAAGCTTCTAAATTATGTCACTTTTTTGGCCGTATATCGTCATGAATTTTTGGTATGATGATAGTATACAAGAACTACATTTCGCCGCATTGGGCAATGGACACCTCTTGTATCGGTGCGTCCTGCGAGTTCGTCCGTGTGTTTTCGATCTTCTTGACGACGTCCAAGCCCTCGATGACTCTGCCAAAGACGACGTGTTTACCGTCGAGATGAGGCGTTCGCACGGTGGTAATGAAGAACTGGCAGCCATTGGTGTTTGGGCCAGAATTCTGGATCAAGTTAGCAAGATGAATTGAAAGATTTGGTCTTTGGTGAGAAGTGACGGGAACTTACCGCCATAGAGAGAAGACCAGGCTGGTCGTGCTTCAAGTTGAAGTTCTCGTCGGCGAACTTTTCTGTCCCGTAGATGGTGCGAGAACCTGTCCCATTGCCGTTTATGAAGTCTCCTCCCTGGAGCATGAAATCTTTGATCTGAAATCGTCAGTACATCTGCATGGTCAGATGGGATGATGTACTTACCACACGATGGAACTTGCAGTTCTTGTAGCCCTGAGGCTTTCCCCGACCATCTTTGGTCTCGCCTGTGCAGAACTGACGGAAGTTTTCGGCGGTCTTGGGGACGACGTCTTTGAACAGTTCCATCTGAATCCTACCAAGCTTCTCGCCTGTCACCGATGTCAGCCAGGTCTAGAAGAAAAAAAGAAGGGTTTGTCATCATTGATCCGGTCAATGCAGTGCTAGAACAAGGGTCTGATAGATCCAAGACTAGAAGAACACGACGCGTGTCCATACAAGAGGGGAAGAGGCAATGCAAACGTAACAGGGTCCATGGAAGAGGCGAATTGAAGCAGACATACCTCCTAGAGTGATGTCGAAGAAGACAATTGGGTTGCGCTCCGTGGGTTCGGCCATGGCTGAGGCAGTGCAATACTACGAGTATCTGCAGGGCCGTTTACGGGACTATCGTGGCTAAATGACGTTAGACGTTGTTTTCAGAGATGGAGATAACACAAAGTAGTAAGATGTCATGCAATGGACCAAGCATTTGTGCCAAAAAGAACTCACAAATGATCTGATAGAGCGGGATCTCCCGGCAATTCAAGTATAGAGATGAGCAGGTGATAGGTGGTAGGGGAGGGGGAGGGGAGGGTAGGGTAGAAGCGAGTAGAGAGTTGAGTGGACGGGTATAACGATCCGGGGTTTGACACGTCTAGATTTGGGTGCAAACAGTCCTGAGTATGGGTATGCGTGAGTATGGAAAAGGACAAGCCGATACGGGTATGCGCTGTTCAAGCAGGGCAACTCTAGGGTGAAGCTTGAGGCTTGCAATGGTGTGTGTAGGTAACGTGGATTGGTGAGTCTGTGATTGACTGTCTGTACCTATGTCGGTATGTGTGTCTCTCTGTCTGTAACTGGGTAGTGGTCATAGTCTACTGTGTGGATGTGTGAAGTCTGTGCAGGCTTGCGATGGCGCCAAACGACACCCTTGGCGCTAAGGAACCTAGCGGGAAGAGGGGACGGATGACGGTTGAGAGATTAACGACCTGGGATGAGGGATGAGGGATGAGGGATGAGGGATGAGGGACGATGAGGAGGGGTTAGATCGCAGTCCAGGCAGTGCACCATCTACTCCGTGACTAACTTGAAAATAATACAGAATTGACATTGTGCAACAAACATCATACCTACGGTGATGCTGCATGTATGTACGAGGACCGTTTGTTAGCTGTTGTGGCCGTCTGGCGATACTGGACTTGGAAACGCCTGCAGCCAAACCCCAAAACAATGGTCTCGTGCTCTGGTTATGGAGTACGGGACGGAGTAGGACAGTACAACAAAGACGAGAACAAAGACGAGGACCACGACTGCAAGAAGATTTGCCTTGCAAGATGCATGGCTTACTTGTCCGTGTGTGCACTGTGTAGGTAGATCTGTCAAGGAACTTAAAGTGTTTTGGTGCGTGCGTGTCTGACATTCATTGCATTGCCTCCTGTAGCTCAATAACGATCAATCAAGCAACACTATCAATGCGCTCTTTGCGTCTGTGTACGGAGTATAACCACGCAGACGGGACCGCGCACAACAGCACAGTAGGTAGGTATTGTATCAGCACCGTGCGACTGTAAGTCTGCAAGTCTGTAACAGCTGTGTTCAGATGCGGAGTATTGTTATTATTATAACTGGTCATGAGTGATATTGTCCGGGGGTGGGTGAATGCGAGACGCTTGGTGAACTTGGGGATCCGGGGGTCGGTTTGAGGATGCAAGTAGCTCGTACATAGATTCACAGCGTCTCCGCCTCCTCTCTTTCGCAAGCGATGATGCATCTCCATGGCCCCAACCCCCGTCCCCCATCCCCCATCCCCCATCCTCCCCATTATTTCTAATCCTCATCCTATTCCTAATCCTATTGTAACTATTCGCACTGCGGCATAGTCCAATCCATCGTATCCGCCTCGGTCGGCCATTAATCCCGTACTGTAGTGGACTGTCGTGGACTATGGGATGATATTTGGCTCTACCTGATAACCATCCAACTCAACCCCATATGCGAGATTTTTCCTGCAAGCGCCACAAAGAGGTTGGACACGACTCGCGACTCAATGAGTGGTATCTTTCTAAACTTCCTCGCTATCGTCAATTCGAACCTCTTGACCGGTGCTATTGTTGAGGCTTTTAACGGAGGTACGGTCCTTCTTCGAATAATACCCACGAATAAGGTTGGGAGTACTCCGTACCGCAAGGTGCATGATTTGCCATTACCACTGCAAAGACTCGTACAGTCTACAGTCTACAGTCTACTACTGCTGTGTGTGTGTACAGTGTATGTGTGCGTGTAGCCGTTGTCGTTGGTACAATAGAATCTAAATCGCGCAATTGTTTCCGAGTGGCCTCATCCACGGCCTTCTCTCCATTCCCCACCCTCCCCAGGTCTGTCAGTACATATTGTATGTAATCGTCGTCGTAGTCGTCAGTCTTCTCCACAAGTGAAAAGTCGACACAGCCTCGTGCCGACCAGTGTGATTGCCCGGATATTCAACCGGCCGGCGTTAATTGTCATCGAAACCCCCCTAGACAATCATCCGTGGCTTTGCAAAAAGCTGGTCCGTCTTTCTTGGCTATTACGGCTACACTCAACTTGGTCTCTTGTCAGGAATCAGGATTAGCGAGGGTGAGGCGAGGATCAAACCAACCAAGCAAAAGATACCGTCGCTCAACACTCGTAACCACTTGGAGAGGAGGCCAAAGCAGGTCAAGACTAAAGTCAAGACTCAAAGACAGGACAGAACAGGACAAGGCAGGGCAATTCAGGTCTCGTCTTTCTGCAGGTTCTGGTTCTGGTTCTGGTTCTGGTTCTGGTTCTGGTCTCGCCTTTTTGTCTCTTGTCTCTTGAGTCTGTTCTCTCTCTATTCTTCTCTCAGCTTCCCTTTGCTGTTAGTTGTTAATACTAGTCGTACTGTTCCTGCTGGTGCTGCGGCTGCTTTCTGATCCGCCCACACCCACACCCTCACCCACTCACCCAAACCCCAACCCCAGTAGCAGTACGTAGCCCGAACCCACTTCAACCCACGGCAGGACATCACCTCCTCTTCCTTCTCACTCTCCCACCTCTACCATCCTCCACCATCCTCCACCATCACACATCTCGTGTGAGCCCACCCTGCAGAAGATCTCTCTGTCGCTCGTCGCTCTCGACATTTCAGCGATCGAGCCAGCGCTCTGCAATCATCCGACGGCCAGCAGCGTTGTCGTCTTCTTAACACGCACTTCTTCCGCTAGGGGAATCCTGACTCGCCGTTTGACAAACGATCGCTGCAAGGCTTTGCCACGCCCATCGTCGTTTACCCATCGCTCCGTATACAACATCGTCCATCAGAGACTTTCTCTCTTCTCCTTCACACTTCCACGTCGTCCGACTCAACACCTCCCCCACCATTCGCCGTCGTTCCACATCTACGGTCAGGGTGTATACACCAACCTCAACGTTCCAGCCTTTGGAACCCCGGCGATACCGGTCTCGCCCGACGACAAAGAACCATCCGCATTCGGTTCATCCTACTATTCCAACGGCCTTCCCCGTTGTCTCGTCGAACTTTTTGCACGCCCATAGCAACGGCGTGCGACAACATTTACTGATCGTGCAGCTCCATCGACTGTCGTTCTTGTCGTAATCGCATGGATCGTCTCGAGACATAATGTCTGCCACATCTTCAGCTGCTCCTCCTCCGGCAACCTCTGCTGCCCCCTCAGGCGGCGGTGGTGGTGGAGGTCCAACTAGCTCGCCGCTGCTATTCTTCGTCGCGCTTGGTTTTGGTGTTGTCTTCACCAACCTCTGGTATGCTTAGACTGTCTCAGAACCATGTATCCGATCTCGTGGGCTAATAATAATGTCGTGTAGGATTATCGTTGGTGTCAAGTATTGCTTCCGATATAATCAGCGTAACAGGGCTGCTCGTGCCGCCGCAGATGGCGAGCCCATCGATCTCGCCGCCATGCCCCGTCCGCATCGGCGAAGGAGGGAAAAGAAGTTGATGACCATGGATGAGGTCAACGAGCGATTCCCACTGTCCAAGTACAAGCAATGGAAGTCCAGTAGGGAAAACCAAGGATTGCCAGCGGCAGGAGGAATCGCTACTGCGCCTCCCAGTCGAGCTGCCAGTATTAAAGAGGTGGAGTCTGTGACAGAGCCTGTACGAGACGCTGGAGCGTCAAGCCCGCGACCAGAAACCGCCGCCTCACTTGCAAAAGAAGTCCAACCTACCACTCATCGAGCCTCGCAAGAGCAATCATCCCCGCCTAAGGAGCTTTCCTCGGAGGAGAAAGAGACAGAGAAGAACAAAAACAAGGTCGAGTTGACGACGGTAGAGACGGAGAATTATCAGCCAGGAAAGGAACCTACACCTTCTCACGATGCGGATGCCGACGACTCAGATGATGATGACCCGATCCGCACTGCTGCCGCACCGGAATTGCTGCATGAACCAGGTGATACTTGCGCCATCTGCCTTGACACTCTTGAGGACGACGACGACGTTCGAGGCCTGACTTGCGGCCATGCTTTCCATGCCAGCTGCGTGGATCCGTGGTTGACCAGCCGCCGTGCTTGCTGCCCTCTCTGCAAGGCCGACTACTATGTGCCGAAGCCGAAGCCTGAAGGTGAGACTACCGAGCAGACCTCCGCGGGACGACGCCCTGCCGGTTTCCGCTCTCCCACGTCTCCTCAATCGGCCTGGACGGGAGGACGCTTCACTCGACCTCGAGTTGTGTTCCTGGGCAACCCTCATCAGCCCGCTAATGGTGACGATCGTCCGGCATCATCGCACGGTTGGGCAGGTGCTTTACGTCGGCCAAGGCGGCAAGATCGCAACGCTGCTACACAGCAAACCTCCGAGCCAACTGCGGAAGTTCAAAACCCTAGTGGGCGATCCAGGTTCGGCTGGTTTAGCCGCAACCGTGACGCAAATGCCACAAACAACGAAGCCCAGGCCCAGACCCAGCCTACTCCAGCTCAGCTGGAATCTGGCACTGCTGGCCGGTAAATCTGTATCATGTTCACGACGCTCAAAACCTCAGGAGGCCCCATTGACTACACTGCACACAATTTCCTCTCCACAACCACGAAATCCCTCACGCCCCCTTACGACTCGTATCCTATCTAGATTCCCACTTTCCTTTTCTGTATTTTCACTTTGTTCAGCGCATCCATAGTCCGCGCTTTCGGTACAAGGTTTCTCAGCGATCTACACCCTTTTGGCGTTTACTTTCGGATACTTCGTGGTCAATGTTTAGTCTGGTATATAACTATCTGGCCCCCTTTCCCGTTCGACGATGACGAGCACGCCCGGAAAAATGGAGACGGTGCTTGGAGTTACGCCCGACAGTGGTGTTTTCCTCTCCCTACCCCGGGGCTGAGGCTTCACTGTAAGGACTGCCCTCGATATCATACCCTCGGCTGCCCTACCGACTCCGATGGAGTCGCGTCGTCGCTCTCCTCTCTGTCCCTGGCGAGGGACATGCGAGACCTTGGATGGAGTATGTCTTTAGGGCGGGGCTCCTACTCTCCCTCCCTCCTGTACATAGGATAGCTTTTCAAACACCATGTGTGCATATATAGTTTCTGCTGCACCCACCCCCCAAATGCATATTATTATAGTTGACGAAAAAATATTCATGTCCCTTCGGTCCATCCTACGTCAATGTCTCTGGCCCCTCCTAGAAACCCTGGTGTGTTGTATAGGAACTCGCGTCACGTGCCCATTCTCTCGTAAAATATAATCGTTTTTCATCTGCATGGTCAGACTGACGATGATTTGGCATCGAGGAGATGTCTCTTACAATTGGATCACGAACTTGTGTTAGAAATCGCACGGCGGAGGAGCAATGTCCGGAAATACAGTCAAGGATAAGGTTTAATAGACTCTCCCGTCACATACATCTAACCAATTTTAAGATAACACTACGTAGACGTAAGATGCGAAGATATTCCATCTGAACATATCACGTCTCCAAGAAGATACATGACTCGAAAATCCGTCCGTCCGTCCACTTCACTCTTCTAATCCTTCCAAGAAAAGCTCGTGAGAGGCAACATCTCCAAGGCGTTTGGACGATGAGACTGATGCCGTTCCTTCGTACGAAGATCTTTTTCTTTTTAGACTGGGATGGGTATGTACGCAGGCATTTCGACGATCGCTTGAATGAAACAAGAGCTTGCAATGGCAGCTGTGAGAGAGAACTACACGTCTTGAGAAGGAGGTTAGTAAGTTTTGCAAAATTACGTGGCTGTGATGCCAATGTTATGCTTCAATCTAATGCCACCCTCCTGCACCGCACTAGGGTAGACGTCTCGTCACCTTCCATCCACCAGCTCGGCATTCTAGCACACTGGTCGTTGATACAACGGTCCTACAAACCTTTTGACCCGCCATCTTCACACTTCATCTGCTCGAGCACGAACGTCACCGCGTTGTTCACTATTATGACAGTCTTTCACGGTACTGTTCAGAACATCCCATCCCTATCGCACGGAAACCCTCCTATGTCCCTGGCCTTCCCACCGCACCCCTTGAATCCCCTAGAGTCCCGGAGTCATGTGTAGACGGTGGTTTGAACGGTCGTGTACATACCTTGCCTTCCCTTCCCTTCATCCTAACAGCAACGTTACTAATTTTCCTTACAGAAGTGATCAAAGAGACGTTGGTTAGGCGTATATGTATGTCTGATTCTTCGCCCTGAGAGGTGAAGTGGGTGAGGTGAAGTGAAGTGAAGGGAGTGAAGTGAAGGGAGGTGAAGGGAGGTGAAGGGAGTGAAGTGAAGGGAGGTGAAGGGAGGTGAGGTGAAGATAAAGTGAAGATAAAGTGAAGATAAAGTGAAGATAGGGTAAAGTAGGTGAGGTGAAGTAGGTGAGGTGAAGTAGGTGAGGTGAAGTAGGTGAGGTGAAGTAGGTGAGGTGAAGTAGGTGAGGTGAAGTAGGTGAG